CGGAAGTGGGCGTTGCTTTCTCATATCGCCAATAAGGCTTGTGATTTACATGAGCGTGTAGGAGGAGATGGTATATATAATGTGGGCAGTGGTGGTAGGATGTATGCCTGGCTCATAATCGTGTCACTCATATTTGTATTGTTAGGATTTCTAATTGTCTACTACACAAATCGATACAAATTGGTTGATAAGGCTGTGGCGGCACTCAAGGATATCTCAGATACTGACCCGTATATGCCGATGGAATGTCGTCGCCCTTGAAGTTGTCCCTTCTAAGTAGGATTGTGAGCCTGCCCAAAGCGGTGCCTCATTTCCCAAGGTAATGTGTAGGAAGCGAAATCTGCTTCTCTATTCAGTAGAGGGAAACAATGTTCTCGGGGACTAACACTTCAATTTTTACGAGATTGACAACTCAGGTGTCGTATCTTCTCGCTGTTCAGCTTCTGGCTATAGATGCGAAAACTGCATCCTGTGCCGTGAAACAAAAATATTTCTAACCAACAGTTAATCTGTATTTGTTAACGTAATCTGCAAAATAATGGAATTAGATCCCTGTGATAAAACGTGTTGTGTTTGATTATTTTATGAATTACGCTGCATCCACTGTTTAACTAAATATCTTAAGTGGAAGATGACCAGAATCATAGATTCGTCGTCTAACCCTAACAGTTGTGAAACGGTACTGAGTTGTGTTGGGGTCAAAAAGCTAGCTGGATGCTGTCTTATCGTGCATCCTGGTGATCACGCATCTAGTGCATGTCATTGATTTGGGGCGTCAATCTCGCCGTGCGCGGAGAATCTTGGGGTACCATAGAGACGTAATTGTTGCCCAACGGTGGTACGCAGAGAGATGCCAGCGAGGCAATACGCTATATATTTGGAGGACATACCAGAATAGCTTCAGACATATTTGTACCTTGCTCTCCCAGAAGCACAAATTTACTTTGGAATCTATCTGCTAGTGCTATCAGCAATTCAACAACTTCATATCGATAAATTCTGGCCACTATAAGGGATAACATCAAGCGTGTTTTGAATATGACGGGATTCAAGTTTTCTAAATTGATGGTTGCCTTCTTGGCCGTTGCCACCATCATCGGTGGTAATGTTGTGGGCGAAGAGGTTTCTCAGAATGTTGGACCTAAAAACTCTAAGCCTACCACTAGTAACCTGTCAAGCGTCGAAACCAAGCCAACCAAAAAAGAAAGCTGGTTGCGTAAGATTTTCGGTGGATCGAAAAAAGGATCTGCAGAAGAAAAACAACCTGCAGCCGCCTCCCCCAAATCCGACGCAAGTTCCACTTCACCACGTAAAGATGATGTGGCAGACGAATTAGCACCTGGCGCTGAAAATCGCAGGAGATTGCGTGGTAAACTCCCGCATTACCTAGCCATGAAACTCCCAAACGACGATGATGAAGAGATCTACCCAAAGGTTGCTAAAAAAATTCGTGCGTATCTTACGTCATCACCTTTTGATAAAGCTTTTATGTTGATGATATATACCGATATGGTCTGTGCGTGAGGCACATTTATCAGAATGTTTAATCAACGTTGTGTTTGAATAGGTATTGCGATTCACATAACCGTAGTGTTCATACATCAATCATTGTTGCTAAGCTCGGCAGCTTTGCTAATTAAGTAGGCACTTTGTTGCCTTAACGCGAACTCTTTTGTTATACATCTCATGTTGAGGGACGAACTAGGTGCGTTTTCTCATCCTCAGCCGTGAAAGGTTTTGAACACTTTTGTGGCATCACATACTTCGCTACTCATCGTCCAGTATCATGAGACTGAGGCGTTTTTATAAACCCACTCGAAACAATAAATTGCGGCCTAGCCAAGCGCATATCGAGTAGACAGTTTAAGTTGTTAAAACATTAAGTTACGTGTGAATGTAATCATGGCTATAGTCACAAAATGTAGTGCCATCTTCATTGTGATCATTTTTGATAGACTGCATTTTTGATTCTGAAGTGTGGGACTCCGATGCGTCAAACGAGCCCTCCATTTTCCCAAGATAGACCTCCTCATCTTCTGCCTGTGGCAGTGTAGTTTATAGTATATATGTACTTACTTTGGAAGAATATTGACTGTGCTCCGCATCATAATCGGTCATTTCATCGCAGTTGCATGGCAGTCCTATTAATCATGTAATATTGTAATGTTAATTACCTGACGCAGCCGTGCAAATGTCTGGTTGAAGTGTCTGGTTGAACACCGGATCCACCATATAGCACATTTCTGAAGTTGTATTACGAAAAAAACGCTACAATACCAACCATTCGGTTCACGCAGGTAGCTTCTGTTAACGTTATTCACCGGGTCCACATCTTTGGTGTAACCACGTTCGTCATCTCTTAACTCTTCAACACAATCGGGGCAACTTTTACCTTCAAATTCACCGACGGAAGCTGTATGCGCGGTGTTTCCCGTGTGGTACCTTTTTTGCCGTTCGGCAAGAGCTCTTTCATTACTTCTCATGCAATTCTTTTCTATGAGGTAGTTGATTAGCTGGTGAGTTGTGAAGCTTCCATACGACTGAAACATCCGCTCGAAAGAGTTCATTTTGCCCGCATAGCAAGGCATCGCTGGTAACAAGCCGGTGCTCGTTCCTCCCATGTATGGCATGGGAGCGTGATAAGGTAACATCTTAGATTTTTTGGATGCATCTTCCGTACTCAAACGTGTTTTCTTTCGCACGGGGGAATACACGTTATCGGAGTCGCTATCCTCGTCATCGTCCTCACAATCATCCAAGTATTTATCCTGGCGTTGACGACTTATACGTTTGCCGGACGCCGTTGTGAGCTCCTTGGAGCTTGCTGAATCTTGTTTAGCCGGGCGCAGCTTAGACCTCCGATCTAAGTCCAACAGCCGTTCTTCTGTTATGCTGGTGATTATCATCCCGTCCTCACTTTTCATCTGTCTTCCCAGGTCAATGACCTTCCGAAGTAATTTGAAGGCGAGATCGAAGGTGGCAATAAGAACATCTTTACTATCATAGGTAAACACACAAGTCACCACCTCTCTGTCTACACCTCGGTACTGTACCCGCCACGTCCCACGGGTGTAGTATATGCCACGCACGCCGCTTAGAGGCTTAGCTCCCACTCTACTTTTTTTACCAGACTCTTTTCTAGCGCTGGTAACCACTTCACTCTCTTCCAAAGGACCTAGCCTGTCCAATTCCTCGAAATAACGAAGATATGCCTGTCCACATCGCTCGTATGCTTCGGGATTTATAGAAGCCCGATAGGGCATATCGTCAACTTGGATATCTTCCAACGCTTCCATTTTAACATTAATGGCACATTACTACTTTCATATGTTTCAACTTGACGCCAACTGCAGCTTGCAGGAGCTGCGAGGTATACGTGAAAACAGGTGTCATTTGAGCTAGACAAGGACACCAATGATTTTCTGTAACATGGCGCCACCGACGTTAAATATGGATTTGCTGCCTTTAAGCTTGCCATGGCGATGCTTAACGGCTCGTAATTACGAGTACAGCCATTGATTCGGCGTACGCCGATAAAGGAGATCATCCTGCGTTCTCTTTAACGAGCAGGTAGAAACACAGAGACTCGAATGTGATCCTTCCCGCATTTAAATTCATAATTTCGCAAGGTATGGCGCATTTAAGCAGCCCAAATGACGCACCGCGCGTAAAAAATTCGACCCGCAAGGCCGAAACACCGGCAGGACGCTCGTGACTCGACGCAACAGCATTTAGACATAACAGAATCATTGTAAATTATGAAAAGGAGCAGGTATAACTTGATCACGGCGCATTCACAGTCATTACGCTACCTAAATCGCTCCGAAGGTAAAGGGGCCACTGTGGCCGCAAAATCTGCTGGAAGACTCACATTGTAGCTTACAAGAAATAATTAAAAGGTTATTGGTTTACACATTGGGCATGTTTCCCAGTTTGTTACTGATAAAATGCACCACTGTACGTATCCTTCTTACATCAGATTCCCGATACAGACACCCACGACGCAACGGCAACAGCTATAATGATTATATTTCAAACAAATCTATCAACCAAACGCTTCAGCTACGCTATATCGACACTCGAAGTGTTGTCTAGGTTCATATGTACGTGAGAATCCCGTGCTTTACAGGAGGGCGGCTAGCTCAAATGGTAGAGCGCTCGCTTAGCATGCGAGAGGTACGGGGATCGATGCCCTGGTCGTCCACATTTTTCTATTGCAAAATTACTACCACCTTAACTTCCGAGTCAGTCTAACGTATTTGACGTCTAATGACAGAACTATTCAGCGATTTTCGTATCTTCAAGTTTCATTTGATTAATGCTGGTCATGGTAATACCAACCACCACTGCATCTCACGAAGTAAGCATCAAACCTTTACTAAAAAAGGTATTAAACATCATGCGCAAGGTGCTACAGATGTGAACGATAAAGTTTTTCATGTAAAACATAATGCCAGACATGTTGTGGCCTGGATGTGGCACCATATCAACACCATGGACAATCATGGTCACAAACTACACGTATTACGGATAAAAGAGTACATATGGTTACTACCGATAGATTAACGTCAGTTAAGTTGCACAATCGGCGCTCAAAGGCACAAACCAGCGTGCTGGTTACTGTTCAACTTCAGCGCTGCGGAAGAAGTCACGCTGGCCAAAATTCTGGAACCTGTTATTCTGTTGCCTACGCTGCTGTTGTCCGGTACGTTTTCCACCACGTTCATCCTGCGGGCGTGTATATACAGGGCCGTTTGCGTCAGCATTCATGAGGTTTTGCAGGATTATGTTGGACCTCAAAGTCAGGTTCTGAGTTTTCTCAATAACCTGCTGGTATAGATTTGGGGGTACAGTAGAAATCTCAACACAGTTCTTCTCACTGTCGATTTTAGCCTCAAGATGAGAATGACGAATAAGACCCACGATCCAACGCTCAGCCTCAAGAACACTCATGTTCACCTTTTCAGCAATCAGATCAAGGTTGATCGATTTATGAATGCGACAGTACGTTTCGAAAATAATGTGACGGCTGTGCTCCTCGATCTGGAATTTCAACGGCTCGAGGAATATGTCAAGCCGGCAAGCACTTTGAATTTGGGTGATGTGTTTTTGTGCATCTTCAAAGTTAAAATCCACAAACAAAGCACCCACCAGTGCAGTAAACGTGTCAGAATATTTTGATTTGCCATTAGATATGGCACTGCTGATCACCTTGAAGTGGTCCTTGCGGCTCCTGTTTAAAATGGCGTAAACCGCGTAATATCTCAGAAGGTGTGGTGCTACCAGTTGAACCACGGCCATGTTGCGATCATCAAGAAGGTATTCCTGAACATGGGGCCATTCGTAGCTTTTGGCGCCCTTGGTTTTCACCTGTGACAGTGGGATATGGTACTTGAAGACGTAGAAAAGAGACCAATGTAACAGCCAAACACGTTTCAATACCACCTCCTTGCGGGTCTTTCCCAGCTCCTCGTTACTCAAGAGCTCTGCAAGACGCAAAATACACTGTACAGCCGTACGTGGCAGGTCAGGCTCCAATATGCTTGATTCTCGGTTCTCGTCATTAGGTAGTGCGGTGCTCGCCATAGACATCAGATCAGCCTCGGTAGATGGGAGCAAAACACCTACAGTGATGGACCTCAATATACCCCAGTAGCATTTAGCCCGGTTTGCCGCAGCGTTACCATCAAAGGTGTACTTAGACAAGTTCTCTATGTAGTACACCAACCACTGCTTGCACTTACGCCAGTCGCCTTGATTTGAATACAACTTTGCCAGAGCAAATATAGCGTTATCCGAGTCAGGGGCAAGCTCCACATTGGTACCTTCCTGGGACGCTAGCCATTGCGGCAGAGACACCAACCAAATACGCTCCGCAGAGGACGATATGCGATTGCTCTGGTTTTTCTTGTACAGCGTTATAGCTTCTTGTAGAGGTTCTATTTTTTTAAGTAGAGTCGCTTCAAGTTCCTGGAATTTCTCGTCAGAAACTTTCTGCGATTCCACCTTCGCAGCTACATCTGCACGTACAGCAACCAACTCTTCTGGGACCTCGCCCTTTTCACTCAGCCAATCCAACACGTACAGCAGCATCTCGACGTCCAGAAACGGCGAGATGCGGCTGGTGATGTCATAAGACGCACAATCCTCCATGATGACGTAAATTTATAATGATACCTCCTATATGACAAAAGGTAGTACAAATCCCCTTTAACACGTATTGTTAGCCGTGACAGAAAATATGTAGAATCGTGACGGCAGGGGCTAGACAGGTCCTGGCAAGCGCCGGAACCAAGGGTATAGATGGCTCGGGTAGTGAGCGCTGTGTATCACGCGGCAAACACCCTTTAGTTCAACCACCCTAGTAAAACCCGATATCTAATGGTTTTTGATGGGACTTTACATGGACACGAGGATGCGTAACACTGCTCTATGGCGTCAACCCCCATCGGCACGCGCCGAGGCTAGAAACGTACAATGTTAAAGACAATAGGCAAATTTAGTCATAAATGACACTATTACACCCACATTGTTCAACTTCAACACTATATCGGTACCTATAGGTGTCACATCAGACCAAGATTCTCTTTGAGCTCCGACTCAGCTCTCTGGCAGAAGGCTACTTTCATTTGAACATGACCGCCCTTCTGAGTCTGCCATCTTTCATTGTGGTGCTTTTGCTAACTATTTGCACCTCGAGCTACTTGAAAGTCTTCTCTCCTAACACCTTTAACGCCAAACGGGCAGGTTTCCTTGGAGTTCTGGGCAAATTTGCCGTAATAGGAGACCGTCTATCACCGTACGTATCGGTTTGTTGCGTCATATGCGCATTTTGGATAATCTTGGTCCGCTAATTACCTCTAGACAGTCCCGTTGACCTAGGGGTGTTGGAATCCGGCCGGCGTCTGAAGGGAAACTTACATTATCGGCAACGCGGAAGCGACGTGTTGGTTACAATTCAGGAAATAATTACGGTAAATCGAGTTAAGTGTTCCTGGACGAAATTTCGTACGATGGCGTCAGACCCAGCGTACCAGACAACTGAGGGGCTTCCTAATCAAACACTATACATTTCGAATCTGGATGATAAAGTCCATGTGAACGAGCTTACAAAGCTTCTATTCGAGTTGTTTGTGCCATACGGCGAAATAGTGGATATACAAGTCCGTCGAACCAAGAAAATGCGGGGGCAGGCTTTCGTCTCATTTAGGTATGTTGTCATTGTAACAGAAACATGTCTAACAGCGAGATATCTGGAGCTATCGCAGCTTTAAAGGGTGCCAACGAGCGGCTATTCATGAATCGCCCGTTGAAGGTTGCTTATGCGCGAAAACAGTCGTACAAAGCGATGAAACCTGCGGAGTGTTACCGGCTGCTGACGTCAGCACGGTCAGTTCCAACAGAACCACAAGTTGTAGAAGACACTGTGGAAGCTGGTGATGATGTCGGTGGAAGACACACCTTGTTTGTAGAAAACATGCACCCGGATATGAACAAGCTGGCGGTCGAGATTCTATTCAAGCAGTATCCCGGCTACAAGGACACGCGATTTGTGGAAGGGAAATGTGTCGCTTTTGTCGATTTCGCTACCGCATATCAGGGCGAAGTTGCTCTGCAAGGATTACAAGGATTCCGAGTATCACACGGCCACGAACTGCGCATATCGTTTGCTAAGTAGCCGCGGATAGACACATGACGCATCGCACAAATTTCATGCAGCCGTATTAACATTGCATCGAAATCGAATTTTAAATATTGCATAAATATCATAAATAGCGTGTCATCGTGAATTTGTCGACGGTGGCGGGTATTCCCGCCGACGGTATGCACATCGTATGTCGTCTGCAATTCTTTGTAAATATATCACGCACCGGAAGGCATCAAGCCGTCAGCTTTAATTTTCTAGCCATTTCGCCGGCTCCTTGGCGACGGCGGTGCTCTGCGGCAATCATCGCTACGCGGAGGAGAACACAATCCGACGGTGTGCCATTACAGCCGTCAAGGATTGCACTTGAAATATAGCCGATGGCTCAATATAAGCCTTCTATGTAACATAGTAATAATTAAAATGGCGAACGGTATGGTATGCAATTGTTTATTTAAAGCGCGCACAGGGAATGAGGAAGGCGTGGGATGTACACCCGGTTTAATCTCATTGGTGAAACGTTTGTTCCAAAGGAAACATAAGAAAGCCCAAAGTTGCACTCTAGAAATTAGAAAACCGACTGCTAAGCTCGAAAAAAAAAATTTCGAGTTCGTACGTACCCTAGGAACAGGTGGGTATTCTATACTATTAATTGTGCCTGTTGGTCATTTTCATATCTTAAAAGGGGGTCACGTCCTCTATTCCAATGTTATAACACAACGCGACATGTATTTACACATTCATGGCTAATACATGCACAGGTGGTTTCGGCAGGGTCATGTTGGCAATTCCCCAAAATGTAGAAGGTATAGATGAACCGTGCGCTATAAAGCGACTTAAGAAGCATTCCCTAATTGTACAAAAACAAGTAGACCATGTAGTCTCCGAGAAGAAACTACTGGCAAGTGTTAACCATCCTTTCATCGTCAATATGCTCGGAACGTTCAAAGACCCACAGTACCTTTACATTGTTATGGAATGCGTTTTTGGAGGAGATTTCTTCGGTTATCTACGTAGTGTTGATAAACTGGAGAGTAAAGATGCTATGTTCTACGCTGCCCAAATTGCTTGCATCTTTGACTACATGCACTCAAACAACATCATTTACCGAGACCTGAAGCCGGAAAACCTTTTAGTAGGGTGCGATGGATACCTGAAATTGACAGATTTCGGTTTCGCTAAGGTTGTCGAGCTACGCACGTACACCTTATGCGGTACCCCTGAATACCTGGCACCCGAGATATTACTCAACAAAGGCCATGGTAAAGCTGTTGACTGGTGGACAATGGGAATTCTTATTTATGAGATGCTGGTGGGATATCCCCCATTCTACCACGAAGACCCTATGGGTATCTACAAGAAGATATTAGAATGCCGACTCATATTCCCTCGTTCCTACGATGCGTAAGTGACCGTGATACCATGAAACAAACGTTATACAGGGATGCCAAGATACTTACAAAACAGCTGCTTACATTTGATCCGTCCAAACGTATAGGAAATTTGCACAAAGGAGCTAAAGATATTATTGATAGTCCATGGTTTGCCTCCATGGATTTCGATAAGTTGCTGCAAAAGAAGCTGCAACCACCATATGTACCAGAGCTCAGCGTTAGTTCAAACGGGTCATTGATTACATTTTACTGCAGGGAAAACATGATCCTGGGAAATTCGGTACATACCCGGACTCGGTAGATGTGCCGCGTCCGGTTGAGGGCGACGCAGACCCTTTCGAAAATTGGTAAGAAAACCATAAGCCATACAATTGATCCAAAAATACGTCTATAGTAGAATTGTAACGTTTAATGTTTAAATATAACATTTTTACTTAATATCTATAGTGGTGTGTGCGATGTGTAAGGTACGCGGACTCGCCATTCCCCCGTGCCACGAGCGATTAGATAGCGTCATTCGTAAAATTAACGAGTCTATAATTATTAAGGTCGTGGTGGATAAATACGCCATCAAGACCACATTCAAAAGCGTGAGGGTTATGTGTGTCTTAGATATATTGCCCTGCACACTGCAGTTATTTTTGTACAGCTTGGCGTATATTACGCAAATTACCTATTGAAACAAGAAGTAAGTACGCTTTCAAGGAGCCGGTGATATGGCGCCTTCTGATATTTTACCGCAAGGACAAATGGAGCATCTAGACTCCGAGGAGTTCTCCATGGGTTTGGTCACTCATAGGGAAGAGGACGCTGTTGAGCAAGATGAAGCTGAAATCGCTGTTGTACCTGGAATTATGAACCTAAAATCCTTTGGTGAAGGTTATAGGTCCACCCAGCGTGATTCAAGCTCAGTCGCCTCCGGAAGTTCCAAAACATCGTTCATGAGATGGCATTCACAAGGTAACCTCCTCATGGAGATGAAGCGTGAAGATGCACGTATAAGAAGAGAAGCAAAATCTATAATAGATAGCTCCTCTCGTAGCGATTCTTGTGAAGGCGAATTCGGACAGGTGCGACCTTGCGAAACCCCGGAACTAGACCCCGATGAATTCTCTACACAGATACATACACTATTCTTTACACCGCATTCGCACTCTCAACCAGTCAACAACGATGTTGTATCGTTCCTACTCAAGACGTTTCGTGATATGGAAAACTCTAAGTTGATATCTGCGCCATTTGAGCTCACATCGGATATAGAACATTTTCGTGGGCGTATTTTCGAGGTCATGAATCGGGAATTCAACAGTGTTACACTTTCGGAAGCATTAATCACAGTGGCTTTCAACCAATATGCCGGAATGACACATCCAGGATACATGACACTAGAAGAATACCTAGCAATGATGGAAACCTACAAGGGTGTTTTCGCCAACGATACTATGACCCGGTTCGTGTTTGATTCGATGGACCGACGACGTAAGCTAATGATATCTCTCAACGATTTCATTGCCGGTATGATGGCATGCTCACCACAAGCGGTACACAAGGTGAACAACGCAGCTGGTCGCTTACGGTTGCAGCATATTTTCCGAGCATATGATGTAAAACGCAAGGGCTATCTTAATAGAGAAGCTCTTGGCGTGATGCTTGCACATATACAACAGCTTGAACGCATTACTAACAGCCTGAAGGTTGAAGGCATTGCTAGCATGAACAAGTCGTTCAGTTCAATGTGCTCAAATGGAGGTTTGACAGAGCTGGATGATCAAGGATCTGGTCGCACCGTAGAAGAGATGATGGACTTGATCATGTCTACACATGAAGATGGGTTTGGTTACGACGCATTCTACTCATGTGTCGAAAATGGTTTGATCAAGGGATCACACCTCCTATTGAGATCAGACAAGGACTTTGCAGAAATGGTTGGACAACATCTCATATATGCACTGGGCCATGTGGTACTGCCTTCTGCCACCGTAGTGGCGAATGAAGAATTGCCGCCACCAGAAAATATTAAAATACTATTAAACGAAACTGAACAGGCGCCTTACAGCAATGATAACCAGCCAAACCAATCACAAGAATCGGTGAAGAAACCTTCATTATGGTCTACTTCAAACTCTCCACGGTCTCCGGAGGCTTACAATCTGGCACAATCTAGATATCTTGTCAAATTCGCACAGGAAGATTATGGCCTAGGATCCGAATCGGGAAGGAACCACATACAGTTTGGGGATTCTCACGTGTCGAAGTCGGCTAGAGATCCTTACAACTTCTCGGGGATGGGTTCGGGCAGGAGACCTCTGTTCCACGCTGAGGCACCAAAATCAAAGTCTTTGGAAGGCACTAACCTTTACCCAAGTCCACAACCATTTGCCAAGAAGTATACGCCTCATAAATCAAAGGCGAGGTTCGGAACTGGTGAAACCGATTACAATTTCCAGTCTCATGGAGAAAGGACCATGTTTTCTGGCGATGGTCTAGCATCATCGCAATGGTTGTCAAATTCTAAAGAAGATGATGACGATGTATATCCCTATCACAGCGGATTGAGGCGTGTAAGGCCCTTTGAAACTGATCTTGGTGCTATCCCGGTAAGTGATGAAACACACCTGTCGCCATTTACGCATAATCGTGGTTCAAATGCTGATTGTCCAAGTGGATGGCGTGAAGTACACAAGCGAGCAGATACAGATGGTGTTCTGGGCAATGTAGATCATCTAGGACAACGTGGTATACGAGCGAGTAACTTGGAGTTCTCTACATCGGCAGACTCAACAGAAAACCATATAGAGGTCCCTGAGCTAGTTCTACCTTCTTCACACAAAATAGTGGACCAACAGTGCAAAGACCTGGGCACCAGTATTGAACCGGCTGTACCTGTAGAGCCATCCGTAGGTGTGATAGCTGGTTTTACTGGCCAGAGTGGCGTGCAATTTTCTGATAACGTGGCTGGTGAATCTCCCTCTGTGTTTTCAGGTGGTGACGGTCGTACCGTTGGCACACCTGGCAAGGTCCAAGATACCGAGCTCGATATCATTCTTAACAGACGAATGGTAGATCTATGCCGTAGATACCGCGCTAGATTCATAGGTTTCAATAGTCGCATGCTATCTGATTATGCTGTGGCTTTGAAGGTTTTCGGAGGGATATACAGGATTGCATTCAAATGCAATAACTACCGGTCGGCGTTTAAAAAATTCGACTGGTGTTCTTACAACGAGCTGCTCGAGCTTTGCGATGTGGTTTCTAATATAGTGAAGCAGGAGACCACCGTCGTTAATCTCCAGGGCACAACACAACTTCATGGGCCCCTAAATGGGAATGTGTTAACGCTTCTGGAGTCATTCAACTCTTTGGGGTGGCCACTGCATGGTGAGAGTTGCGATAGCGGCGTCAATAAGCTACTAGATGCGGGAATGTATGCCAAGGGGGAGGCCACCAAATTGATATTCTTAGGTGATATGATAGGCGATGTTGAAGGTTTCTCCTTGGAGACACTGATGGTACTGTTTTCCCTGAAGATCTTGTTCCCATATCACGTATTTCTGTTGCGTGGCGGACGTGAGGCACGTCATAGGGACTATAAATCGCCTTTGTTCCGTGAGATATGTACAAAGCTCCGTGACAACGCAAGAATGCTGAAATTGGGAAATGACGAGGCGCTACTGGTGCAAAGCGCCCACGAGCTTTACCACAGGATATATGATGTATTTGAAAACTTATCTTTGGCAGCATGCATTTCCGAGAGAATATTGTGTATTCATGGCTCATTGTCTAAGAAGTTCTGCTCTCTGGATCACTTGTCTAACATTCCAAAGCCAATCGTCATCTCTTCATCGGTAAAGGACGACAATCAAGCTATGGTGGCCTACACAAACCTACACACGCGTAATGCGCTATTTAGTAGTCTTTCCCCAGTCGCATATGATGGCAGTGAAGACCAATTTCATGTGAAGTTCACGGAGGATGCGATGATCCGCTGCTTGGACCTAGCTGGAGTATCACTTCTGGTTACTTCTGGCTCTGTCGCTGACTGCGGGTACTCGTACGTCTATGGAGACCGCGTGCTTCAGTTAGGCGGTTGTACCGCCGGTGGCACGTACTCAGCAGCGCTGCTCAGGGAGCAGCGCAGCATGCACTACTTTATCACGCATCGGTCACTGCCAGTTTCATCCTTGTCATGAGACACTGTAATAACTACTGATGTGGAACTTGATATAATGTGTTTTACATTAGATTTGGCACGTTTAGGTTTCGAACAATTGTGTCATAGTCAAGTGAACTGACATTTAAAGAATCAGCAACATTCAGATTGCACTTGACGGTTCTCACCTAATCACAATGAAAGGGAGAATTACCAACCTACCAGCGATTTCATGGTTCCCAATGTACCTAATTTGTATGCGATATCACGGATCAAACTTCGTACATACGTTCCACCTGAGCACGCGACCCTGAGGCCAAAGTGCGGCAGCTCCTAGCGGCAAAATGATGAGACGAAAAGGTCGATCTTACCAATCCAGGAACTCTTAGCCGCTCGATACGGTGTACCATGACCTGTGCTGATTTCACCTCCACGGGGAGGTTTTTAATGGCGTATTCCCGAAGCGTTTTGCCACGGTATTTCTTGGCTGTGCTCAATGTGACGCACGAGTATTAGCAACTTACAGCTATATAGCGGTGGTATCTGCTCATAAACGCCATTCATACTATCAACTGCTTCTTCGAATGCCGCATCTGTTATGTGTTCCCAAGGTGCTTCACGCAGTGTCTTGCCCTAAAAGAGATGAGAGGACTTGTGCTGGTCCTACATTAATGTCAAGAGTATCAGTCTCATGTCCTAGCACTCCCGTAGCTTCGTATGTCTTATCGCCTGTTGCCGATGTATGCTATTTCTGATACATGGAACATACCCTTGAGGTAAAACGACAGCGCCTTTGTACCGCCACCTACTCCTACTGCCAAAACCCCTTCCGCGTGCATATCAAGGGTTCCGCCGTGTCCCACCTTGATTTTAGGGATGTTGGACCTTAGGTATCGCTCCCGATATCCTTCGGTGAGTATTTTCTTGACGAGCTGGCACGTATCGTTTGATGTGATGCCCCTTGGTTTGTAAATGTTAAGAATACCGTTGAATGGCTGTCTTTGGCTTGTCTGAGAACGCTGTGTGAATCCAATGACTACATTAAAGGCAATGATAGACAGGCATTGCAAAAGTTGCGCGACGGTCATTATTGACCCAGTTCGCGATTCAATACAGCTACCACTATTAAAGCATTTTATACAATCTGTTTACTCCAAAGTAGGCTGTAGTGAGTGGTCAAAGGGCAGGGTTTCCCGCCATGCGGAAGGCTACACACTACCAAGGTGTCCGAAAAACTCAGCATTTGTTACAGTTCAATAACTAAGAAATCATTTAAACACCACACATCGTTGAATTTAGGTTTTGCAAAATCATTGTGACGTGGATACCGTGTCTAAGGGAAGAATCCGCCAAATCCGCCACCGAATCTTCCTGGCCCAGGTGCCGGGAACCCACCGCCCCTTTTTGGTAGCGATGGTATTCCTGGAGGAAGATCAATATCTGGGTCTGGCTCTCTTCCAAACGGGCCAATCAAATCATACCGTGCATGACCAGCTTCATTGTATCTGTGAATGTGTCAGACTTTTCTGATGATCCGGGCAATTGATGCCTGTATCATTGACTTACCTAGACTGTGTTTGCATCTCCTGAAAGAACGGGTCGTTAGGTCCCATTAACATGCCACTGGGCCGTCTCAACCTTTGTGGTTGTGTCACTGCATAAAAACAATAAATAAGAAAGACAATTGAGTATCAATAGCTAATACACGCCACTCATAAGACAAGAATTAGACTTCATTATGAAATTATCAACGTTCAACCCTGTTATTGACGACTATTACTGCAACAAACATTCACCCGCTACTCATCAGCATGGATTGTGTAAACTCACCATGCAGCGGATCAGAGGGTCTAGAGATTGTTGGATTAACATCATCAACCCGGCTGGAAGTAGTATCCAACAGTTCCTACAATTCATTATAACCAAACATAGTTTTCAACACGAATACTCTGTCTTAAAACGGTATTTCAATAATGATTAAGCAGATTGATATGAGTAGTTTTACATATAGCGCTTTTATCAAAAGATGTATTAAAGCCCGATTGACTTACTCCTAAAACTTCGTCTGTAGAGCTAGGTACTTCCTGCCTTGGCTGAACAGATTCCATTGGCAGTTGGATTTTGGGGATCGAGGATTCCACGATCCCCTCAGGATCAACAGGAGGTGTATTACCATCCATCACTGTATCACTGTGCTATAACTTGTCTATTGTTACATCACTGTTGGACGATGGGCGTTAGTGGTTTGTGATAGTGGCGCGTTAAGGGGGCCCATGTTGCCGAAGTCTCTTGTTAGGTAACGGGCCATAGACATCGATATATGGCGAAGCGACAGTCATTTTGGGAATATTACTGTAAAAATGTAGTTATGTGTACGATCTTTCTAAGTGTGAGTCCATGATTCGGCAACACGAATGGAAGGAGGTGTAATATAGACTACTACATAAATGGCGTTTTAAAACAGCTAAACAAGCCGTTTCCCCTATGGAAAATATCCATTTCTGACGTATGAAACCTGCAATACGGTAATGTGCAGCAAATGTATAGACTCCGTACTGCCTATAGCATTGTCGTTGATGCTCTAGGCGCTGGCACTTTCATAACCTAAACTAGCTTGTGGGGGTGTGCACGCAGAAACACTATAGTTAAACGTTTGTGTCGTAATGGTTGGAAGGACGCTGCAGTTGGGAATGAATTTTCTATATAAGTTCCCAGCAGCCTTCCGTGGGAAATTCCTTAACTCCAGAGCTGTGATGAACCCTCTATGACAAAATTTTATCTGATACTTCCTTATAGTGTACACCATGCTCTGATAACAAATGTCTTGCACATATAGGGTAAAGGACACCAGAGGAAAAGGCTAGGCCTAAAAGGTGCTCCTTGAGGTTCTTTAATCTTGAGAACTAATTGCAATTTACCATGAATATATAAACAAATGTCTGTCAGTGTTTATAGAAATTGCGAATACTGCAGTTTTATAACGTTGGCGGTCTAACACACATCTCGAGTTCTCAAAGGCTCGCTTTTGTTGAACGCGTTTATTGAGGATTAGGGAATTACTAATCACACTACTCAGCGAGGGCGTAGCATATTTATATTCACAGACGAAACACCTGACTCAAGAGGATCGATACGGACACGCTGCCGTGTCCATTGTATTCATTGGAGAATAAAGGAAATAGGTGGATCAAAAGACCGTAATCGACTTTGAAACACTAAAGAGGTCAACAGGAGCCATTTTATGTCCTAAGACAATATCATTGGACTTTATGGCCACGGAAAGTTGAAGGTTCAATGTCCTTATCTGCAGCAATATCCAAATGTTGACACATTGCAGGCCGCAGTAAATCGCTTAAAGAACTCTCCAATAGAAAAAGCAGTGCTTATTATATAGAGAGTCTACCTGTAGAACACGAATAGTGCTCAATTATCTCTGAATGGAGCGCCATGTGCGCGGACCACAGGGCCACGATGGCGTTCCAGTAACATGGCGAAATGAAAACGATGATACAGCAACCGATGTGCCGCCTACACGTCAAAGTGATGCGTCCGAATCATCAACGGCTATAGATACGGATTTATCGCGTTCTGGCACTAGCTACAATGACTGCAAGAGTGATACCAACTACGCTTTAAAAGGACCCGATGCCGCCTCTGCATTGACACCTACAGCATCAGGGTCAAACAACTATAATAATGCCCTTAATAAGATGTTGAAAATGGGAGTTAACCCTGGTAACACTGATGGACGTAGGGATGCTAATGACACCAGAGTCCCGCTTAACGTTCTTCTTGAAAATGTTGTAAGAAGTACAAATATAAGTATCGCTCCTGATAAATACGTAAGCTTAGAGCTTGATAGGAAAAGCCAATCTGGTGAGGCAAACGCACGGCTCAAGTACTGTGGTAGCACTATGTTGAATGCCAATCAGTATCGAGAGGAGTTTTTGATGGTTACTCGACAACATGATGAAGTGGGCTTTAGATTGCTCTATAACCGGTATTACTCCCGTATTTACGTAACTATCATAATGCTCTATGCGCTTCTCCTTGGATGCAGTACTTTGATGGACTGGAACACGATATCGGAGCCATGGATACGAGCAATTGTCATTATGCGTTATGTTTTTTTACTATTCTTTACATTTGATCTCGTGGTGCAAGGGTCGAATCTTACAAATATAAATCTATTACAAAAACCAGATTTTCTTTTCGATCTCGGCTTGCTTATATGCGAAATTGTAAGCTTGATTTGGTTGACGACAATCATTGGACGTGACTGCAATTCACAAATGCCATTATCAGAACAGTGCTACGCCTCACTGCACAACTTAAGATTGTGGTCGTGTATTCCACTATTTAGACTATATAAGTTGTGCTTGGATAACAACGAACTCTGCACTTTATCAAAGGGTATACTTCTGAGCATACGCTCACTAGCGTGGACGGGGCTATTCGTGCTCATGGTGATGTATGCCTGTGCCATATACACGACATGGCGGTTTACGGATGTGGAAGACGAGACGTTGGACGAGCATTGGGGCACGCTACTGAGATCAATGTACACGTTGTTCACCATAATGACACTAGAAGGGTGGAATGAAGTAAGCAGTGAGACTGCCAGACACTATCCAAATTCCAAGATTTTATTCGTTATTTTTGTATGTTTTGCAACACTGACGGTCATGAACGTGGTCACGGGTATCATTCTCAACACTTTCCTCACATCAAACGAAAAATTGAGTGGTGAAATGTCGTGTAAAGGGCGGTGTGACAGATACGTACAAATGTCTAAGGTTTTCAGAGAAGCACTGAACAACGAACATTCTGAAGGTGAACAGAACTGCTCGTCACATTGCACAGCGGCATCATTTGGAACCTGCTTCCAAGACACAAAGGACGTGAATGGCATGAAATCGAAAACTTCACAATATCAGACAAGTGCTATCGCAAGGTTTGGATATGGAGTAGTATCGGGGATACGGAATATGCTATGGCGGGCAATTCCCTTTTTTAACTGGAATCGCGGTGAAACAGACGGCGCCATAGATATCGAAAAAGCTGAGCAGAGGGGTGTAGGTCCGCCAAATGATGACGCTTCCAACCAAAACCAGGATGGCATGCAATCGCAACAAGTGGCTGATTTACAAAGCAGCAGTGCGCGTAGCGCCAAGCTACGAATGACACCACTCCTCCTCTCACTCACGGACCAAGAGGACTTGGATGCAATACAAAGCGCTGGTGACAACAGTAGCCAGAGGGCAGTCAGTCAATACCAGCCCAAGGATCAACACGTGTGCCACACGGACTCCTTTAGGTCATCTGTACCTTGGGGGTCCATGTTTGTCGACGATACGATAATCGACATGGCAACGCGTGACCCTTGTACTATTCTGTCCGACCCGGCAATCAAGCGTGCGTTGAAGATGGCAGATGTACCGATATACCAGGCATATGAAGTACTCAAACTATACTACAATAACGGGCTTTTCCAAATAACGGTTACGGAATTCGCAACTGCCTGCGACCGTATGGTTGGAACGGCAAGTGGTAAAGATTTGCTATCGTTTGAAATCGCATTTGCTAGGCGCATATGCACCCTCGAGGAGAACCTTGCACAAGTTGCCGGGAAACTGGACCTGCTACTCGAGAGGCTCACCGTATCAGGAGTTAATCCTACATACACGACGTAAAATTTTACTTTAGTGTGTTATATATGTGTAAAGTGCTCCTATGGAAGGAGCTATCTGATTATGCTGTGGGGACATAGCGTCCTTTGCAAAATGGCGTTTTCGCCTAGAGATCGATGTAACAGGGTTATGTAGGCAGTCGATTCTTTTCACTGTGTCGGTATACCGGCGAAGCTGAACTAGCGCTGTTGTTTGCCTTCGTGTTGTAGATCATTTTGTAACTAGCTCGACGCGCGCAATACAGCTGCGCCAATCTCAACCGAAACGATGTCTATCCAGCCCTTCATCGGTACTCGTATCTCTATAATAACACATCGCGAGTTACGTTACGAAGGTAAGTTTTTTGGGAGGAACATACTATATATCCGGGTCCATTGTGAGTTGCTAGGTTGTATTTAGACCGATGCAGACCGTAATGACGCCTTATCAACGTTGCATACGTTCTTCGTTAGCAGATGTTTATATCTTTGTATATGCGATCTTTATTTCAAACGCTTTTGTAGGATTGTATGACCCGGTATCTCTAGCGGGACATCGTTCCAGTGATGTATATCTGTAGTGACCCCTTCATAGCCATTATTATGTTTCACGGCATCACTCTGCTACAGGACTCCTCTATGACCTAAACTCCGATGAAGGGATAGTAGTGCTGCAACATGTGTACTGCATGGGCACAGAAAACCGATGGGCGGATCAACCCGTACCACCTTCCCGCAGAGTACAAGATTTCGTTATATTCAAAGGAGACGAAATCAAGGACTTGAGTGTATGCGAACCTGGAAAGGACGATGATCTCCACCATGGAGCATTCGACAACCCTGATATACTAGGCGCATACCATGACCGTACATTCGAATTGCCGGGTGGGCTATCCCATTCCCGGGTCCACGGGATCGAACGCACGCATGCCAAACACCCTGATATGATGCCAATAGGCAAACACATCATAGACGGTTCTAGCTCGGGGATACAGATGGCAGACTCTGAGATGCTAGAACTGGACCCTTTGCGTATAGTGGCACCTCATATCAAAGAGCGACTCCAAGAAGGATACGACAAATTCGACGTAGCAATGCCTCCCCATTCACTGTCAAAACCCTTTTACTCAAACGGCATACACCCGGACGGCACGGATGCGCTGGGGGAACATATGACAAATGGAGCAGTCGCTAGAATGCCAAAATGCGATATATCCACTATGTACAGTGATATGTCGCCTCATATGGAATCAGATTCTGATACTGGCAAGCATGATTTAGTGGAGTTCGACTTTGGACCGGACCCGTTTGCTGAATCGACGGCGCCTAAGCTCGAAGAAAACAAAAAAACTTTATCGCTATTCCAAAAAACAACGCTGTGTGAACAAAAGGATCTCAAACTTCCGCAACCTAAACAGAAGGCTGCAAACAAGCCTCGTGGTGACAAAACAACGAAAGCACCATCTGTAAAGAGCTCCTACATCGCTCAAAGTGGCAAATCTCACACTAGCGAATCGCAAAACAAAACACAACGGCAAAAAACGTATGATCTACAGTCAAATATTACAACCACAGCAAATGTGGTAAAAGAAAGTAGGCCTTTCTATGACAAGCGCAGCTCATTCTTCGACAATCTCTCAAGCGATACTCAGGGCAGCAGAGTAGGTTTGCATGGTTCGCAGTTGAAACAGTACATAGCGGAATATGCGGGAAGAACGACAGCGGGAGCGTGCAATCAATGTGGATACTTTTGGTGAGGACACCGTACGACGGCCACGCCACAACCGTGGACGTGGCAACGGCGACCGTAGGAGGCCAGGGCAGTGGAACCATGGGGGAAAGAAGTCTGACGTTGCATCAGATGCAGCTGTGAGAGGGACTAAACATAAGGGGTACGTTCCTTGCGATCAATGCAATAGTCATCCACTTGCAGGTCCGAAAAGACTGCCATGACTGTTGCAGACCTTGAAAGTGGGCCAGCAACGCTAACTAAATGAGCAATGGGCATCGCGATATTACTCCCCAAGCGCTCTACGAAGTAACAACACGGCAATAGGGTTTAAGCTGTAACCACTTAGAGAATTGCCAAAGGGGCAAGCAGATAGACAGCTGTTTAGCTGTAATGGAAGAATGTGCACAGTAGTCGGCTATGCCTTTAATTGTTCGAAACATGTATTGGTTACTATATGAGTTATGTGCGGCTCGTTGGGTATCGAAACCCCTCCACATTCGCGCCGCCTCGACAGCGGCGATAACACTCGTTAAGGGCAATAGCCGCATATATTGCCTAAAACGCGGTATACATGGGCACATGATTTACGGGCGCGATCTTAACGCTCAAAGAGCGCGATGAGGATCTCGCGTGTTAGTCAGTGCTGCGGCTCGCGGGGGTCACTCAGTTCGGTGGACTTCCAACCGCACGTAAAGCCGAGAGCAGCGCATAGACTGGCCACTGCATCGTCTACAGAAGTCCAAATATGGGCGCTTTGGCGAGTGGAATCTAAAAACGAACCATCTTCTGTGAAGTGTCTGTGCCTTTACACATTCAGAGGGCATTCACCATATGAAGTAGCAACTGCTAGGTGGTCGCCAAATGGGCGATATCTTGCAAGCACCGACTCAGGTGGTGTGACTCATATATTGGAACGCAGTGCGGAGAAGTCACAGCTCCTGGAGTCTTCGTTAGGTAACCTCCCTAGAGATGGTAATGTAGAAAACTCAATCTCGTCAGTAGAGGGCCACAAACCTCCAGCTCAGACCAAGGAAACACGAAAGTATACGTTTAAATATGATGGAACCTCTTCTAAACGTCAAAGAGCTACTGGTGAATCAGCTAGTAAACGAATAAGCTTCGACTCACAATCTGTGAAGCGAGAGGTTGTCAACCCGATAACTGTAGACAAAAACGGAGGAAACTTCGAAGTGTGGACGTCCGTACAATCGTTTTGTTGCCCATCGTCAATGGGTCAATTGTTCGACCTCAGCTGGGCACCCGACAGCCGAAGTATAGTAGGAGGGGGATTGAACGGTCAGGTTGTAGTGTTTGACATCGTCGCTAAGCAAGTAGTTGCTAAATTCGACGTGTTTGAAGGTCGACCTACGGATTCTGTGTTACATGGGCGAGGGTACGTCAAGAGCGTTGCATGGGATCCGATGACTCTACATATTGCCGTGCAGACTAGCAGCCGAGAAGTCTCTCTATGGCGAAGATCACCTCCGCATCCAGATGGAGCACCGCAGAAGTGGACATTCAAAAGGGTTTTTGAGGAAAGCGGACTCTTTAAAAAATCACAGAGCGACGTACTGGGAGGATCACGCATATCATGGGCACCCAATGGTCAAGTGGTTGCTTTTCCCAGTGCAGGAATCTCAAATTTAAACTTCGCTGCATGTTTCGAGGTGATACACGAGGATCTGTCCAAGAAAAGGGCTTGCTTCAAAGACGGTAAAATAAATTACAGTGAACTGCAGTTAGCATATGACATTGCCGAACATAAAGTCAGACAGGATCCTATGCTGTTGCAGGGACACCAATCACGGGTACGAAATGTTAGATTCTGCCAAGACCTAATGGTACCTCGGAAACATGCGACGTGCAAAGGAAGTTCATATTCAGAAAATGATCGATTCATATTCTACGCACAATCAAGCGACGACGGGGTGGTCTCAATTTGGCGTTTCAACCAGGCAAATAACTGGAAATCAAAGTATAAGAATGAAGCATTCTGTATATGCGTTATTAAAAATGCATCAGATGAACAGAGTAGTCTGGAGGATCTCGCTTGGGGCAACAGAGGGAGATGGCTAGCAGTTGCTGCTAGTCAAGGCGGCCTAATACTGGTCGAGTTAAACGAAGAGGAAACACACACAAGATACCATAACAACTGGATGGAAGGTCTAGAAGTAGAAGATACACAAGAAATAACCTTAAGCTTTTTGGAAAAGGTAGAGCGTCATATTGCAAATACTGCAGAACACTACAGAAGTGACACTGCGACTTCCTCTCAATCAGATGTGCAGAAAAATGGCAACAATACAAATTGTAAGCATACTGTGAAGTTCTCGAGATACGGTAGCAAAGCGGCAACACCTACCTTCGAGGCCAGATGTAACGATACACAATTTTACGTGTCGAGGTGCGAACAACCGATAAATGTGTTCAGATCTCATAACCCGGGACGTATATCGACAATTAATCAACAAAAGCACTATGTTGTTGGTGCACCGATGTATATTCCCTACCGTTTTTGGAGCTGGATTTTAATCGCTTCTGTGAATGCGATTCAGGGAGTTTTGAGTGCGTACACTAGTATAGTTGCCATTATGGTTTCGTACGCGATATATATGAACCGGATAAGAGGTTCAATGGATCTATGCCTGGACGGAAGAATACGCGGCACATGTCCTGCCGAAGCCACCAACTCTTGCGAAGAGGTGGAACTGTTTTTGTCTCTGGAAGACACAACCGCGGGGGTAGTTCGGAGAGTCACCACCAAACGCTGGGTTACACAAGTTGGAGTGACACAAAAACTGGCATCGGTTGGAACTGTTTACGTAGACGATAGCGTACCGTCTGCTTCGGCCATGGAAACGGGGTTAACTGTACATCGGAAGTATGCCACGTACTGTAGTGCTATAGATGCCATTGAAAGCTACTCTGATTTAAACGCCAAGGACTCCGCTTCGAAAATAGTCACGAGGAGGTCCACGAGGAACAAAGCTTCCCAGAAAAACGTGACGCCAGAACCAACGGGAAATAGTATCAGCCGTCACGCAAAAGGTAAATCGAACGTCGTAAAGGCCGCAAAAAATGACGGACAATCTCAATCGCCAGCGCAGGACGTATCGCATGATAATAACAATGACAGGGATAACGCAGTAAAACCATCGAACGTTGCCACGCGCAAATCTACACGTCAAAGGAAGGTACGAAGCCAAACGGATGAAGTTGTTGTGGATATTTGGTTGAAAATGGATTACTCCAACTGTATGGATAAACTTGCCGAATATTGGCGTTCATACAATGAACTTCTTGATGATTCCGAAACACGGATGCAGGTAGACAAACCTGTCAGCAAAAGGTTGTCACGGAAGACGTCGACGGATTCAATGTGTCCCGGGGAGCAAGTGGGTTTGACATCTGATGTAGCAAAGGTCGCGGTTAAGAAGGTTAAAATAACCAGAAAGGCAGTACCGTCACAATCGTGCGCTCGTAAAGCACGTGATGCCGATGCGATAATTCCTATATCGCCTCAACTCCAGCCAATAACAGCACCATACGTCTCTCGACCTTCGACTGCAGAAGCTGAAGAACCGACAGTGGTTAGAGAATTTAAAGTGGGTGGACCAGAGTCACCAACTCGTTTGAAAGGGAAAACCACAAACAAAAGTTATGGGTTCTTTGAACATCCAAAAGTGCGCGCATCGATTTCAGCAACTGTGTTGCTGCTGGGCGAGTGCCACCGCGTGTTTGCCACTAACGACACTGGTGGAGAACCGTCCGCCGTGATTACATGTTTTAATCCGCAGTCAGATGGAGGGTTGCGTGTAACGTGGATGAGGAACATTACCAATGGGTCTGTAACTCATATTTGTCCTATGAAGGAACCGGCTGTGGTACTTATCGTAAGCCAGAAGGTATACCGCAACAACCGTGAGAAACATGGAAAAGCTGGATCGCCAAAGATTGCACAAGGCACAATTGTAGATCGGGAGTGTCACACAGAAAAGCACGTGATGGACACCCAAGAATCAAAGAGCGATGGCACCGCATATCTCACATTGTTGGACACTAGAACCGGTGCCACATTAATAAATGAATGTATACTCTCTAACTTCAATGTAGCCAACGCAAACCCTTTCCCAGTTGGTGAAAGCATCTATGTCGCGGTCACATGTACCGACAGCTCTATTGCCTTGTACAGGTTGGGCCAAGTTATGGGATGCCACCGTTGGCAGCTACAAAAGCTTCTTGAGTCATCGGTTACAGCTTTAGCACATGGAGACCCTCCCTATATACGACATTTGCAACTTCTTAATGTCATGCATAGTGCTGGGAATCGGGAAGTTTCGGGTGATTCCAGTACAACTGCGGGACACAACACCGGCGGAGGTTCGTGGTCCAATGGGTTGCCACACTTCTCTATGGTGAAGTCAATACGGACAGAGGGCGAGTTACAGTCGAAATTGGATGCAGCTGTGGCACAATTGCTCCCATATTACAATGAATCGGATGAGTCATGTTTTATTGCAATCCTGGTGTACATGAAAGAACCGAAGGTATACGTACTTACGCAGCGTTACAGGCCCTTCATGATAGACGTTAAACGCATACCCCAGGATATTGGCCGCAAAGATTCGCCAACGGATGCACTAACTTTGCAATCTATACGAGAAGTGTACTGCGGTAAGACTGATGCCACTCATCCCATCGACCACGAAAATAGTGATGTCTTCAACGCCGTTGTAAACCGTCTTGTAGACGTATTTCACTTAAACCCGCTTGTCAAGGGGGATTCGACACTCTCTGTCCCTCGTAGTGACGCAACTACTGGCGTGGAGAACAGCTCTGTTGATATAGAGCAACTGTTGGCAGCTGCGCTAGTCGTAGGCAACAAGTCGGAATATGTGTTGCAAGTGTATGAGTATATTAACGAGCTATTTGCTCAGGTACAATTATCAAAGCTGTGCGACACAGTCACAGTGCTATACAAGACGTCGATAGAATGGAAAAGAAAGCGATGGGATGAAACACCAGCGGAACTAAATGCTTTTGACGCCAGAATGATGCAAATTATTGGCATTGAGGTGGATGCAATCTTGAATGCGTACATGATGCCTTTGATGCATAGCATGTACTGCGAATTGGACGATGAGTGCCAGTCCCGACTGCTAGGGCATATCGAAGATGGCCCCAGTCGGACAACTAGTAGAACTGACTCGGGCTGCCATAAATATTGCATAGGTGCATCAGTGCCGTGCCCTATCGACCGAGCACGGGTTGTGCTTGGAAACCGTCTGCAAACCAGCGACGCGGCGCTACTTCACATGCGAGAAGTGGGTTTACTATACTTTATTGATTAACCGTTTTTCAGATTTGTGCTACACTACTGCGTAATGTATCAATGTGGGAGCGGGTGCTGTCAAGCGCTTAGCCGCGCCGCACTTCTCCCGCATCATGGACCTCGTTAATGTCTAGCAAATTAATGTCCGGCTCCTCCCATTTACTGATACTGTCGTTGCTCTTCGTGGTACCTAAGTGATCCGTTTCTAGCATTTTCTTTACGGGTTCATCCTCTGCACGGGCCTCACCGCGGTCAACCTTTTGGAGGTGCTCCAGCGTCATCATGTAAAGTTCCCGAGGCTTTTGAGCCATTTGATATCTAGGGTCGTCCGGAGGGTATCTCACGCCCTTTTCGTAAAATCTTGCAGCAGGGACCTCGTCATGAATAGTGTATTCCGCGTATGGGTCGTTCAACGGTGGCACCGTCCACATGGTTTTCATTGCTTCGCTCGGGGTCAAATGACTTACCAGCTTGCCGCCACGACGCGTATATGCATTGCTAAGATCAGGCCACGTGAGTCCAGCACCTTTCCTGAGGTAATCGAGAATCATCTCGTTCTTGATCAGGGCACCGCTAATCATGTCAGCGCTGAGCTCACGTCTACGATCCAACCGGTATGGTGCTTTGCCAAAAAGCAGACACCGTTCATCGTCGTTCTTGTACAACATATGACAGTCGCTTTTTTTCATCCAATATCCTCCAACAGCGACCGGTTTGTTTTCAGGTAAACGGTTCATGTCCTCTGCCGTAGTAGGCAAATTAGTTTCGTTATCACGCTCCATAGCATTATAACGTTTGTTGTCATGAGGGGGTATACACTCGAAAAAATCGCCAGCTGGCAATGATATATAGATGTAGTCCTTGAGGAGATCAGCATAGAAGGGTGTGTCCAACTCAACTGGTGCGTTCTCTCCTAGGAGCTTCCGTATTGCTTCGGTAGACAGGAGCACATTTGGCAGTGTCTGCGCGTCCCCTAAGTCCTCCAAAGCACCCTCCTGACGGGCACTATAGAGACAATCACGCTGAGGTTGGCTAGGCATGTCATGTGTAGTCCCAGTAGAAAGACGATTCGTGACGATCTTGCGGGGGCACCCCGGCCAAGGTAAAGCCACATCTACAGCGAGGCTTCCGTCATCACGGAAAGGTACAGCACCTAGGTGGGCCTGTTTCGAAACACGCCGACGGGTCATAGCGGCGTACCTCGCCGAAATATTTGATGCCTTGAAACACTCAGATACGGTACGCCGTATGGTAATTAGCAGCCTTTGCGGCCATGTAGGTGGCGAATCCTTTTCTTTCTCATCTTTTGAGGGTGTTAACGGTTCGTCGACCTTTTTCTTTTCAGAAGAGTCCGCACCTCCGCTCATACCTAACGACTCGTTTGACGAGATATTACTATAAAGTTCCGATGGTCGTGGAAGCTCCCTAGGAAGTGACATAAAGTGTCCATTGCCATCCGACATACGTTTCCTTAAGGCATCCACAGGGTCAAACTCCACTATCGCGTATTCCTGTCTCACAGGAACCAGGGCTTTGGCCATTGGCAGTGGTGCAATATACTTGCAACTACGACCATAGAAGCCAATCTCGTAAGCTTTAGCTACAAAAAGGCTCTTGTAGCAACCTGAACGAGTGTAAGGAGAACGTCGTGCCCAGTCAAGTGCATCATCGGTGTCAAACTGGTTGATGATAGTAAGGTCAGCCACTGGTGGTGATTTGTTTTTGGTGTTACAAGCATCCCTGACGTTGTTCAGTTTGTCCAGTAAACGGTCGCGTTGTTTCGTAGTGATGGGCAAGAACTGCTGTACAGGCATGCTAAGGTCAACCATGGCATCTTTCCTCGGGCCGTGCAAAAGTAAATGTGTATTTACGCAATTGGACCGCACGATGAACCTCATCATTTTGTCTCTCAGAATCTCGGGGTCGTATCGGTCGTCATATGAGCCTAACACAACGTACTGACGAGGATTGTCCTTGTCAGGTTCGCGTTTCTCAAATATTCGATACTTAAGCGCGTCGTCAACCTCAAAAAGTAGCAACTGCTGGTAAAAGTTGCATCTGGCCATAGGGTCTGAACAGACTAGGTCAACCGCATGGTGCAGTGTCGGAGCAGAGAGGAAATACAAGACACCAACCGACGTCTCAACCGGGTCATCCGAGGCCGGTTGGGATTTTCCCAAAATAGTGGTCCTCTGACGAGCCGAAAATACCTGCTGCTTGAAATTTTTACGTATGCGTAGCTTATACATGCGGTGTACCTTTGCTGTGGCACGCAGCATTCTTGTGGAGAGTCGTGCCCATAGAGCCTGAGAGGCGGTCATGGAACTCACCACACATTCAAAGTGTTTCCGCGGCCATACGCCACCTTCTGCAAAACGATGTGGGTAAAGGTTTTCGTTTATGATTTCGTGCTGCTTAGGTGCCTCTGTGGTTAGGCTTGACATGTCACCCTTTCGGCCACGGAACTTTTCGCCTTGTTCAATGGGATGCTTCGTGTACAGTAACGTGTTATCTGGCTTAACCGCTCCGCAGCCACTGAATGCACGTAAACCGACGTAAGGATGGTAGAGGCCACTAGCCAGCCGACCCATCGGATCACCATCAGTAAGTCGAAACCCCGACCACAGCACAGCTGGGTCGCTTACGCCGGTAGCAGTATGGTACAGACCAATGGCGGCAAATATTCGCCAACCCAATGGTACAGAAGGTAGTTCACGGTCACCCTCTGTTGTAGGCATATCCTGAGGCATCTTTAGCTCCGGCGGCTCCAATCTGCGCGGCGTGATTTCAGTGCCGTTGCGCATATATTCAAACTCCGGCTCATACCTGAAAAACGCCTTTACGTGACTTCGGCAGTAGTAGCCTTCATAGGTGGGATCCACTATATCATCCACATTAGAACCATCTGTGACGTTAAGACAATCTCGTGCTTTGCTCTCTGGCATGAGTTCGCGCAGCGAACGTAGCGCCTGGCGTTGTGGAAGGCTGCGTCTGTAGATATTGTTCCATATAACTGCATTCTTGCTGCGTGGGTCCTCAATAAACTTGCGAAGGTCGCTAAAGATGGTCTCCGGATTCGATTCCTCGAGGTCTATAAGCGGCGGAACGTTGGGATCAACCACCGGAGGTCCGAAGGTTATACCATACTGATTAACTACTGTACATTTAGTGCTAGATTCCTCTGTGACGAGACGGCGTGCCTTTGCGAAAAGGGAATTGTGACCACTAGGCCGCCTTCGTCGGACTCCGTCATTTTTCGACGGCAAAGCAGCGCCTCGCACATCTCGCTGCACGAAGGAATTCCGACCGAAATCCGAAACGGAATGAGAGGACGAGCTCACATGTGTTGTAGCTTCTGACAGTCCAGTAAGGAGGTGGAATGCAGATTGGATGTGTGGCTTTAACCTGTAGGAAGGAGAGATTGTTCGCCTTCGCCGTTCCAAATAAGCCCCTTCCAAACCAACCAACGACGCCGAGACGTAACACCATACGAATAACAGATTATTCACAATGCACATCGAGCGCCACATCGACTGCTTTGGTAAGTTAATGGAGTCGGTCGCGCGGCGAGATCCGAGGAACACCGCCGCCGCGCAAGACCGGTGTTCCTACCATTTAGAGACTTATATCATCGGATTAAGTACTGCTAGGCAGTACAGCTCCGCAAATAATAGAAATGGCTCCGGAATCTTAGGTAATGAGTGACATACGTGTGTCGAGTTCCCCATAGGCGCGATTTCAGACAGGAAACAAAGCTTGCACTGCATCCCACAGATGCCAACATTCTTAGCGTAGCGAGTTTTGCCACATACGACTTATTAATCTTCCTATACCATACTATATTTCCTGGGAGTGTAGTATGGGCATCGCCTCGCCCCGTTAAGCGCGTATACCTGGCGTTCAGGTGAACGCAAAGACTTATTAAAAGCACCGTTTGACGCTTCGTTTGCCATAGTCAAACCAAAAGAGGCTTATTCTTAAGCTATGTCGCCCAGCGAGGGCGATGTGAGCGATTACCTAAGTAAGCCACTATCTCGTACCACATAATATCATCCCTTAGGCGGCATTCGCGCATCAACCTCGTCGTGTACGGCAGAAAAGCTTTACAGACGATTGGTAAAGCATGGAACTAACTTCCACGTACCGCAGGGTGAAGATGTGCCGGGAAACAAAGTTCTCCTGGGAGAATTGTTGCTGGCAACCTTCATAGAACGATGCAACAACGGAAATTCAGACGAAAAGTTGTTTGCAACTTTTCAAGAGCGGTGTCTGCATCCCATCGCTCTTGAACAGTCACAAAATCTACACGAAACAATTGCGCCCCTGACAACTGAACATGCAGGGAATAACAGCAGTGTCGCTGACCTGGCCTCTGGAGCTCCGCACTGGAGCGACTCAGCTTCCAGTCAGCCGGCTAGTAATACTGACAGTCCATGTGGTAGCGTGAAAAACGTAGACGAATCTGCTACCGAGCAGTCACCCGTGTCCAGCGAGGAGCCAGGGACCAGCTATGCGGAAACCGGCGAACCGCCGCCACATAAATTGCGTAAAGTTACCTGTAAGGATGATATGTGTGATGGCGAGACAGAATCAATCGAACCATCGATGTATGTGGAGGCGCCACAACTATTGCTCTCAGCAATTGTTCGTATGTCAGCAACAACCCGCCCATGGGAAGGCCAAGAGCAGGATACGGGGAATAATGGTGATGATAGTATACTATGGAGCTCTAGGTTGGCTATGTTGGTCACCGTGATAGCGAGTTTAGAAGGCATCACGGATGCGAATCACTGTGATGACTGTGCCAGCTTGACAAGTGCGCTATCTGCATCGTTTCCATGGCATATGCGATATATGCTGTCCTCGTTGAAGCGTTTTGAGGATTTAGAGGCAATGCAAGGGCATCTATTCCAGGCGATCTCAGGGTACTATCATAATGGAGATGCTCTATTGGGCACATTTTGTGCTCAAATGGCCAAAGGGATTGGATGCGCTGGTGATACTTCCGAAGAGGCAAATGTAGACATAGAGCATTTGGCACAAGTCTTGGTGGGATGGTTGATGGATCGGCGTATACATTACTTTGTTGACCTGTTTCCCCGAATCCACCTTTACCAGCTGCTGTTTAGCGCCATCATGAAGTTGGCCCCTCGCAGCGAAAATCAAGCAGTGGACACTGAACATATACGACTTTTCCGCGATGCCACGAGCTCATTCATTCTAGGGTCGGTGGAACACTTGTTGGAAGATATTTGCGGTGCTTCGAAGGTCTCGGTTGATGTCTACACCACAAGGGGTGTGCATTACGCTTTCCGCCTAAATTCGCGGTTGCATCACCTATCTTGTATGGTAGACGATTACGTGAAGGCTATCTCGTCATACACGACGTTTGCTGACGAAACAGGCTCATCACAGTTCTGGACTGTGGTTTCACCGTTCCTGGCAAATGCTAAAATATGTCGTTGGATCTCCGAGGTAGACTTTTTGGGTTGCAAAACAGAGATGCAGCGCAAACAATGCCGCCTGGCTGTATGTATCCTCTACCTAATTGTGCTGAATCACCAGCAGCCGTTAGTCAGATCGGAGGATATCCGACTTCTGCGCAAGTTCCACCGCCTACCATGGGTATCGGCGATACGATTTTGCTGCGCTGACCCGGTCACAAACCACATGGTTGCGCCACTCACCAGTGCACTTGTGCAGTCTATGGGAGAGGGCATGTTGCTAAATCTGTCGATGGGAAATACACTCTTCATGACACTCGACGAGGCAATATCCGACCTTCACCACGGTGGTGAAGACCGTATAGGATGCAGGGCCTTGAAAATGGCAGCAATAAATCGTCTCGATGGAATCACTATGTACACTGCATTAAGTACCTTTTGGGGAAAGATCATGAGCAGCATACTCAGCCGGACTCTACAACCGACGACACTACCGTCTTGGATATACAACGCGGTGACTCACTTGAGTCCCATGTTGTTCGCTGTGGAACAGCATATAGACGTCACCACGTTGGATGAGGTGGGTGCTTTTACGCCGTGGATAATCTCTATTTGCAGGGTCAATACGACCTCAAGAGGGACGGGCCACAGCAAACAATTGCGTGGAAGTGGATGCTATCGCACATAAACATGTGCTACTCAATGGAACCAACGCTGTTCGACTCCGCTCTTTTGGATACAATTATATACAACTATATTCTGGAGGTAGGCACGGTGACTCAGGTTCAAGGGCAGGATGACCTTGTATTATTACGTGACGAGTGCGATAATACGGATCTTCAACATAAGATATCGTCGAATTATATCTCACTGCATCAAAACCCTATCAACCTGCTGTTGCGCATGCCTCAAAAGGTTGTAGTGGCCGCATTCGTGCTCAGAGCGTTTTCCAATCTGCTGGTCCAGCTCTTTTATAGCCTCTACAAATATGTATGTTACGGGTTCCCGACGTTTAGCTCCCAAAACAAGACCAATTTGGAACTAACACACATCAACTCTCTGCAGGTTAGTTGTTTACCGTTCACCGTGTGCGACAACAACGTGTAGGAGGCGGCGGCTCTTAATGTCATATTTGATATGCTTACTGATGCCATTCCGCGCGGCATAGAGATCAACATCACCAGTTTTATTGTCACATTGACATCCAAAGGGACTTTTAGTGATGATCTGATCTCTGCGACTGGCCTAGCACCTAATCCTATGTTGCGCTGTCTCACGCTTGGTGTTTCAGACGATAAGTCATTCGACAAAGTGACGGAGAGATTTGTCGCAGCGGTGGAAAACTTGCTGAAGAGTGCTGATGGATCTGACCAGGGGTAGGTTTTACCAAATATGTTTGTTGACGAAGTAACAGCGAAATTTATGCTATCACGTTCAACCGGCGGGTTGGGACACGGACCGTATGCCTTCAGCCTTACAGCCTGGGTGACTTGGCTACCTATCACCTATACAACACAATGCTACTTGTTATCGATATGCCGGATCTTTCAAAGGTTTGTGAATATGCATAACTGTCTTCGACCCATTTGCAGGAGTCGACGGAGCTTGCCGAGGACGTGAACGCGCAGCGATTAGTGCGCGTAATCAACTCATTTTGGAGCTGTCTGCAAGCTGGAAGTGCGAACCGTGTTGTCTTGGATTTTATAAAAGGCTCCATTTCGATCGTTCTCCGTCTGCACTATTTGTGCCCCTGGATGGTCAACATGTCGACAGGTGGGTGTTTGTAACTGTTTTACGCGGTCATATTCCAAACTCCGCATACACAAGTAGCTTATTCTGCACTATGTGTCCGGCTTGTATACCTTGGTTGAATCTGTCCTTCGCTAAAAGTCCGCATCTGCTAGCGATGTGACTGATTATATTCATTTTTTGTCAGAGCAACTACAAACGTGGATGCATGCCGATCGCAGTAAGGAAACAGAGTTGCGAGAATTCACGAGGTATGTTAGCTCTATATGGCGCAAGCCGCGGAACACTAAGCGATAAACACACCGTATTACAGCACCATAGTCAACAGTCTGCGTCAAATATATCACGATATTATGGAACTGGAGAAGGCGGAGGATCTCAAATGACCTGGTTATCCAACGTGATGGTGACAGGTGTATTTCACATTGCTGCCCTGTTCACGTTTGTTACACGTGCGGGATGGCTTTGTTAGCGAGAGCTCTGTCGACCGCTTTGTAAGGGAGAACTTCCAAACATGACAGATAACGGGCGGTCCCCCACCCCAGTACTATCCCGGCCTACCGCCGCTTGACTTCGGAGTTCGGATGGGATCCGGTATTTTCGACGCAGTATGGCCGGCAACAAGGATCATCCGACATACACATTCATACACTCAGGGTAGAGCAACCGTAGCTCCGGAACCTGGGTGTAACCCATCGGGCGGAGGCTTGACAATAATTTTTATATTGAACACTTAATTTTTTATTTGTGTGTATTACGTACTTATTCATATTATTAGCGACTAACGACACAGCGCCATGGTAACCAACCGACTGGTTTCTATGACCTACAGTGTTAGTCGCGCATCGCAATACAGGTAACACCGTGCGTTTGGACACTCGTATGCGCAAATGGCAACCCCTTTCATGTTCAATTCGTCAGCAAAACCCGCTACAAGTACGGGTGGGTCGTTATTCAATGCGCAGAATTCGACATTAAGCGTATCGAGCGCGCCTGCCTTCGGATATCCTTCGACTACAACTAATGCCACAGGTACACAGCCCTTCGGTACTACACATAATACGGGATTGGGACCATCATTTGGCACCCTGGGAAATGCCGGGACGTCAACTTTCGGTCAACCTGCTCCAGCGGTCGCCGCTACACCGAAGATGTTTAACTCAAGGTGTACTGTTAGATTATTGACCCAACACGTACCACAATGGCGTGGTCATTTCGACATCGCCGACGTGATGCTCAGTGCCCATGAGAAAAGCATTGTAAAGGTCCGAGGTATGGTCGACCGTCTAGTTGAGCTTGATAAACAATCCTGGGAATCGCATGAAAATATCAAGAATTCCTTAAACGGAATCAGTTTGCTGCAGTCGAAACTGCAACGTGAGGTTAACGATCGTTGCAAACGTCAGGACACGCAGAATATGATCTCCATTAAGGCACGCAGATTATCGGAGTCGCTACAAACAAATGAAACACCCCGTGGGAGCAAGGTTTCAGCTGCGTTCCGTGTACCCAACCATTTACATGTACATCTTACAAAGGAGTTACTCGACACAATAAGGTCGTGGAGGCGAGAGATTAACGTACTTCAGTTAGAGGTCCTATCACTTAAAGATATCGAGCTGTCACAGTATGTGTCCACTGTCAAGGTCGTCTTAGGAAGTCACGATAAAAGAATTGCAAACATAGGCAATAGAGTTACGAAGGCAGTTTCTAGCATGGATGTTCGCCTAAGAGACCGCAAGGGGCTCTGGGAGGTTGTTGCCGACGAACCTAGCGAATTGAAAAAAGCATTCCTTACAGCTGTGGGACTCCCTGTGAGACCTCCAGTTTCACAAAATGATTCTCTCGCAGTGTCATGCAGTGAAAGTAGTAGGGAAATAAAGAAACAGATTGCCTATCTACGGAAATTCAACTCCGCGTTCACGGAAACAGGAAAGAGCGCCGTCGACTCGTGTTACAACATTCGTGAGGTGTTACAGAAACCAACACCACCTCCCACAAGTTCGCAATTGTTCGGTTCAATTGCGCCTGTAGGTGCCATGGTGGGAGGCGCTCCTGCCGGCACCGCTGGTGGGTCCCTGTTTGGGGCGACCAGTACCACACCTGGAACAGGTTTGTTTGGGAGCACCACCGGAATAGGTCTCTTCGGTACCGCGGCGAAACCAGCTGGTATCACCGGAACTACAACTACTACTGGAACTACGGGATTGTTTGGTGCTACTCCCGCCAGCAACACAGGTACAACCGGACTTTTTGGTGCCACTACTACGGGGACGACTGGAACTGGCCTGTTTGGTACGAATACCGCTACTACCACTGGAACTGGTTTGTTCGGAACAAAACCAACAGGAACTACAACAGGGTCCACAGGATTATTTGGGGCGGCGGCAACGACAACAGCTCCTGCTACGACTGGCACTGGCCTTTTCGGGACAACTAACACTAGCACTGGTGTGTTTGGAACGGCCGCAGCGGCGCCAGCTACCACGGGTGCCGGTTTGTTCGGAAGTACCACTGCAGGTACTACAACAAGTACAACTGGAACAGGGTTATTCGGTAGCGCCGCGACAGCAGCAACGCCCACAGCGGGGACCGGATTATTTGGTTCCACTACTACCGGTACCACTGGTACCGGATCAGGCTTGTTTGGAACAACTGCGTCTACAACAGGTAACACTGGACTCTTTGGTGCCACCAATACGTCGAGTTCCCAAGGGCTCTTTGGATCGACAACTGCCACGACAACCGGTGGGCAACAACAACAACAAACGTCCACAACTGGTGGACTATTCGGGTTGTCAGGTACAGGGACCAACACCAGTCAGCAAACTACTGTTTCGAAAAGCACCGCCATTGTACCTTACAACCCAAACCCGCTTTTACGATAAAATCGTAGTCACAACGAATATATAAGTTGCAGAATTTGATGTAATCTGAGTGCAACCACCTTTAGCCAAACGGTATAGTTGATCAGGCTACGAGCACGCATGCTCCGCCAGCCTCTTTGATCTTCTTTTCAGCAAGCTTGCTGAAGAAACGTGCCTTGACGATCAATGGCTTCTTGGGCAAGTTTCCAGTACCGAGGACCTTGAAGTATCCCCTCTGTACAACATCCAAAACAGGGGCCTTGCCACTCTCCTTGGCGGCGGCCTCGATCTCTTCCTGTGGGACCATTGACCATAGGTGGTCTACGTTTACGGTCTTGCAGTGGTAACGGTTCTTGATTTTGTGGAAGTAACGCATACCAACCTGTGTGTGATGATTGCAATGGATAGGGAAATCGTACCTTTCCGAAGAAACCAGGGTGGAACTTGTCGAAAAGAATACGATGGTGATTGAAACCACCAGCCTTACCACGACCACCAGGGTGCTTACGATGCTTGCCTACCCTACCGTGTCCATGTGACACGTGGCCCCTTAGTTTACGGCAGTTCTTAAACCTGGTCGTCATCTTGTGTGACCTTCTCTGCGGTTGAACCCAATCTGCGGCGAAATGACTAGGTGTTACAGTAGTTAATCTATGAATAAGACCCGCCTACCCTGGAGAAAACCACATAAAGGTAATCCAGGCTTTACGGTAGCCAGACTGTGGCGCGCGCTGGCTGTGACCACCCAAAAGCTTCAAGGCACACTAGTTCAACACCTTACAAACATTCACAAAACCTACCTTAATGAATGAAGAGATATAGTGACGTTATAGACCGCGGTTCACGTTTGTTCGTGTCGTCCCCATGACACAGGCCGCGGTCACCCGATAAGCTGCCGTCATCCTCGATGGTCGACTCCGGCGTAAGCTGCCCTTCGAAACCCTAATTTTACACATTCACGTTGTTTAGTAAGCTGAATCTTGTGGCATGGTTTGGTTACAATGTAACCTGGGTCTGCCCTTCAGAGCTACTCGTTCACCTCCCAGAGGTTTAAGAAGCCTAGCAAGGCACTAGACATTTGCCATTGGACGCAACAGATAACGACTGGTATAATATTGTAAACGTTGTGAAATTTAACAGTAGTTGCGATACACCTAGGTGGTGTCGGCGGAAACGCTACCATGCTGTCGTGGTTCCAACGCCGCACATATTGTCATTCTCGTGACACAATATACTAAGCACAATAACAAATTCATATCGGCCGTTTTGCGGCTTCCTAATTGCGCTATTCCGCTGTAAGCGGGCCTGTAGCGCAGTCGACGCCTGGTCTCTAAAGCTGCTATAACAAAATGGAGGTCGTAGCGAAACAGCTCGAATTACTCATGATACATGAGATTGTCAAGTACTATTTCGCACGAGAGATGCGAGTGACAGCCAACAATACAGACAAAGCAGAGAAATCACAATCGCAAAGAACTGAAGCTAACGCAGCAGTCAAATCGGCACTCGATCTCCACGGATACTATCTCGGAGCAAAGATAGCACATAGGTAATAGTGGTCATATAGAGTATAACAAGACATAGGCTCACGATGGGAGAGGGTAGGATATGGGACCAGATCAGCTGTGTCATATTCGTGTGCAAGAATGTATGGTCATATCTATTCGGAACGAACGCTAGTCGACTACAATCAAACAGTCAGGGAACATATATCATACTGTGCGACAGTATACCATGGTTGAGCCCACTAGGACCAAGACAGTCCACGGCAACAGAAGGGGAGACCCTTACGACCTTTGAACACAGCTACAAATTGTTCTATTTGCATCTTCTAGCGGGAATAGTACGTGGAACCCTAGCGTCACTAGGGTTAGCCGCTACGGTCACGCCATACATAGAAGAGGCATGTAGGTTTAATATACTGTGTAAAAACATATTGATTAGACAAGTTCAAGGTTACCGTCAAGGATTAGAACATTCCTCAAATAGGACATGCGCTCTTCTGGGTCCATTTCAACCCTAATAACGTTGTACAAACAGTTTAATAAACTAACCAATCACGCACAGATAAATGAACGGGAGTGTAGCCCATCGCCTCCAGGTGCCGGTTCTTAAGCAGAACAGATCCAAGAGGGTGCCTAGTTATAGGACAGACAGAGGCCTCAGACAAAAGGTCAAATGCAAGAGTCCTATATAAACTGTAAGAAAACACATCAACACCAACCCATTGATAAGCGCGTCAACACGATACAGGCCAATAAACGCAAAACGTTCATAAGGAACTCCCAGCTCTTCCAAAAGGTGAAATAATATATCCCGTGGCTGAGCAGTCATGAGAAGTTCACAGAGTGGAGAGACCCACCCCGAGTGGAACTGCGGTAAGAAAGTGCCCTTGGTAAAGTCCAATAAGAGTTTGAGTTGGCGGTGGTGCCTCGCATACGAAATACGGATACTGAAGGGCAACCATGTATCCATCAGAGTTTTTGAAATTTACCTCGAAACGGATGCAGTACATTATCCGGTTTAACTGATTGACACTCGCATCATCGAGATCGTCCTGAGTAACATCAAGGATACACTATATCCACATACCTCGGCCATTCTAGTGATTCCAGCAAGCAACGCGTTGTAGGCATCTTGATCAAAGTGCCCAAGTACGGCACACGCGTCCAAAACTGCGATGCTTTGCGACAGTGTGAACGCTGACTGTTGTTGTGAAATTAGCGTAAGACTAATGTAACCCACCATTGTTTCCTTAGCGTGAGTTAAAAGATTAGCAACCACATCACGGCGGTATATACCCAGTTTAGAAAACCCTTGCATCAACATTGCAATATTTTGAGGGTTTTGGTGGTTTGCGCGACTCTGCAGGAAAATATGACGGTTACGTTCAATCAAACCTTCGAAAATTCGAAGATGCTCTCAAAGACTTCGGGAGAACGATAGCCCAGCTGACCTAAAGAAAAGGCTATCTGTGCTACCTCGTGATCTTGGAACATGAATATACCCCTGAAGATTATAGCTACACGCGGTAGTTGCACCCACTTGTGCACCTGTTCCAAGAGCCCCGCAAAATTACCTCGGGGACGGAAGCGGAGCTTAGCATACGAGTGAAGGAAACAAGTGATAGTGGCCGTATCTAGTTGCTTTTGGGCGCATATTAAAGCAGCAAATGCCTTCAAGGTACCTTTGTCCGGAAACTTTAGCATCGACAACGATCTAGCATGGATTGCCATAGTCTTAGCATCCAATTCTCCCGCACGCCTACGTATTACGTTACAAGCGTGATATACAATCCCCCAGGGAATGTGGCCGATGTAAGCCAGGTTGGAGATGAGGCACACAAGACCCCCTGGAGAAAACCGTGGGAGCTTGTTACCGCCCTCAGCAGCAACGCCAACGACTATAGCCCTAAGCATCGCCGCGTAGGTCTGACTCTCGGCAGTATCAAGCGTTGGCGGCAGACATCGCATCCGACGCATGTAAAACAGAGTCATGCAAATGTCACGTTCGTTCATCTGTCCAACATCACGTACAATCCATCTTAATAGGCTCGTAGTGGAATGTACAGGTTTGTCAAACACCCGTGCGTAGCAGCAGAGGATCAAGGCTACCTCGCTGGCTGATATCCCCGTGACATTGGAATGTGGCCCGTATGCATGATGCGCTGCGGCGGAGCAAAGACGCTTCCATTCAGCACGCCCAACTCGTCCTAACCTCCAGTAGGCGATAGCTGTGGCAAGTAGCTGTGTTGGCGATAGTTCCCTTGCACACGCATCTACCTCCGCAACCAACTGACGCCAGTCGTCGATTTTTCGAAAGAATGGCACATCACGTGAGGAATCAGTTCGTGTTCGTCCAGAAGATGATGGAGTATCGTTTTTATGTCCAGAAGGAAGTAATCCGGCGCGAAATCTGGCATACTCCTGCAAGTGGTAGACCTTGAGGGAAGTCTTTGTTCCATGGTCATATATTTGCGCTGCAAGGCGTTGGCGCGCGCTAAGAGGAACAGTAATATACATGCCGAACTGTACAGGCCTTAAGTCAACGGGTGCCACCGTATGGATGACGGACTCCCCCAACGTCCACCTTTCATCTGGAACAAACAATGTACAAAAAGGTGTGTCTATCGTGCGCTACCAAGGTAAAGTAATTATCCAAATTACCTATAATTGGACCTGTAAAGTTGATATTATATGTCTATACAAGGAACATAATCGAAAAAGTTCCATACACCCTGCACCTGAAATGTGACATTCCCGTCACGCTGCTGCACACTTATACAGTTTCTGATTGAAATTGACCCTTTCCTAGCACGTTTAGTCTTAAGATTCCGACCGAAAGTCGGGCATACACTGCATATTTGGCTGATAAATGGTTTCAGCCCCCACGGATCCCGCTATACGGTGCCGAATCCCTTCGTGTATGTCCCTCGAGAATGCTTCCTTCGAGAGGTCGCGCAGATATGCACGATCAGGAGGCTAGTACAGCCATATGTGCTGTTTCGACAAATATGCTGTCTGACCTGGTCGGTTGAGAAGCGGTGTGTACCATTAGCGACGGTACCGACAGTGCCGCGCGTTAATAACACCGACACAAGATGAAGGCGCAGAAGCGCGGTATGTCATAGTTCTATGAGCATGGATAACCATACTAATGTTTATTTATTAGCAGATTGCAAAATTAACGGTCGCGGTATACGAAGAGGAAGTGAGGGTGCTATGGTTAAACCAGAGATCTTCTATTTCCGAGAATTGGATGAAAATGCGAAGTCAACTGGGTTGCGCCGCATCGAAATCATCGCCGGTATGTACTTATCGATGAGACTATTGTATAGCTATGCAGATTCGAGACCGGACTATCGCCCTAACATATTCATGCCAGCTGGGATACTCAGTAGGCTGAATTTGTTGAAGAAGGTGCATGATCCGCAATACCATCTACCGTTAACTTGCCCATCGTTACCGCCAGATGCAATTCTATCAGATGATACGATACAAGCTCTGGCGGATGCAGATGAAGCCATATGGAAACTAAAGCCAGTAACCGTCTCCGACGGGGACCAGTCGGCAGTTTCGAACAACTGCGACGGCATTGATAGCAGTACAGGCTATCCATTAAGGTGGACATCCACGTCTTTACGAAATCTAGACTATCTAGGCATTGACACTGTCGATGAAAAGGTTAGCCCAACCAATTGTCGTAAGACACTATCCGGGCACCTGATGGATATATTTATGAACGCAGTGACATCAGCAAAACTGCGATATATTAAGGATGAACAGCTACTGCTAGGAGGACAGGATGCCGATATTGATGATGGTAATGAAGTGGCAACCACGGCACATGCTGCACAAAAGGATGATTACGAAACGACTCTCGCAGACGCAAACAGTGATTTGTGCTACGCCGAAGACAACCAAACTCATTTATCTGCAGACGAAATACAAAGCGATGGTGCATATTTCGATGCAGTATCTATGAGTACCTCTTCGGCTGGGGAGCTGTTTGACGAAGATAATAGCGTGTGCAACAAACTGGCATCCAGCACTGCTCTGTCACTGGGTTCACAGGGAGGGAATATAACGGAAGGTCGTAAAAGCTATAACATTTCCGATATAGAATCAACGGAATGTGAAACTTTAGAGAAAGCAAAAGAGGTGAAACAACAATCACCGGTAGCGTCACATGGTTGCAGCGTGGAAGCGCCACAACCTATTGCTGTCAAACTTATTGCGGCTTCTATCGAAGGATCGCCCACTTCAACGGGATTGTATCAGAGTGTACCAGCTAGGCTCTCTGCAGCCTCGCCAGTTCTTTCCGATATACCCCAACAATCTGTGGAACGATATCATACACCCATCCCAGAAACTCACACATGTGCTGGGAGTGATGTGACCATGCTCACACCAAATCCGGAGATACACTCGGAATCACGCAATGTGCAGAACCGGATTGGAGTGATGAGTATGGTCTCTCCACGACTTATTAACAATGCTGTGAAGGTAAAACCTCAGCAAACGATCGATCACCCACGGCGAGACGGCCCAAAGGGCATGCATGAGAAGGTTAAGGCATTTGTCGACACTATGCAGAGTAACTGGAATGCCGCTAAAAATCAACGGGTGTGTCATCCGCTAAAAAACCACGCGACCGAGATGCGACATAACAAGCTTTGTATGGAATTCATTGCTAACTACAATGAAAGACGACAGATGGAGTACCTAAAGGGGGCACGTATGCCGGTCCAGAGAATAAGCGTGCAACTCCCACAAAGAATACCTAATCTGCGCTATGGATGCCAACGTAATCAGCCAGTGGAAACTGCAACCCCGCAGCCCCCGGGGCTAATGAGGCATGCTGTAGGAGCCCCCAAGAATCCTATGTTTTTGCCTCAAAGGCGTTTCTACAGCGATAGCAGCGCATTACGTGAGATAAACGAAAAGAGCCCGTTCCGAATCCCCTTCAAACGGACACCGAATAATATGCCGTACACGCCGTGGCAACGGGATCCTAGTATCTCATACAATCAAACCGATAGCAGAGCATCGTCGACTGCCAGTCGTCTACCCTCAAACGAGTCTATGCAAGCGCAGCAGGAATACCGGCATCGTAGTTTCGAACGATCGACTCCACTATACTCACGTTCAGACATGTGGAGGCCACCTCGTACCTTCCAGGATATACGAGAACGAAGTGTTGGTCACTCTACTTGGCGTGCTGAAGAGGAACAAAGGTTGAGACAACGCAGCTATGATGCGGATTATCGTGAAACTTATAGTGGCTACCGTGACCAAGAGAGTTATACACCTGACTGGCACTGTAGAAGTCTCGGATCCTCACGTTCAAGGTCACGTGAGAGGGAATATGAGTATTATAGCCGTAACCGACAATGGTACTTGGGACCGGATGCATATCGCCGTTGTGGTAATAGATGATAATCGTTCACAGTCACTGCCACGTGCACCGTTCCCTTCTACAAGTCTTTAGGAGATGCCAATTAAGACTATTATGTAGTATCGCTGCGTCAATGGCCGTATAGTTAGACTATATGTTTCCGTTAAATGAGGTGCGATGCCACCTCGTCGGACATCGAACTTGGGCATACACCCAATCTAATATCGCTGCTAGATAACACAGTGAAGCTATAACCAATATAAAAATCTCGGCTTTCGCTGATCATAACGCTTAAGTCGGGATATTAGTGGCGCACCGCATCCGACGGGTGTGTAGGTGTGCGGCCGGCAGAATTTTAATATGCTCTCAGACAATTGGTATTCTACAACATTTAGTTCCCGCTGAAGCGCCAAAATGTCACACATGGGCCCAAATGGCGCCGATGGCGACCCCTGGCAACAACTATCAGGGAAGGCTTCAAGACTTCGCGTCCCTAAGCACGCTATCCTGACGAGAGACACCCCTTTCGGCCGGCACAGACCGGCACCTGAGGTAGTGGAACATATGTTAGATGATCTAGAAGATCGTATGAGAAACTACTTTGTGCTGTACAATCGGGAACGTGAGATGCGTAAAGAGGTAGAAGCTACTGCATATCGCCTTGAGAAGGAGCTTTTGGCAGAACGTGAGAAGGTGGCAGAAACTAATAGTAAGATAGACCATTTGGAAGCGAAGATTAAGGCGTTGATCGGACAGCCGCTCAAAATAAGAGAAACCATCGATAAAATAGAAATACTCTACAATCAAATGGATACTCTGGTACAAGCATTTGTGGGAATAGGTAGCTGTGCAACATTGCAAAGCCAAAACCGTGCGGCGTTTCTGCGGTTGTTCTTAGAATACCTCTACCCGTGCCGGGATCTAGATGCACGGCTCAATACCCTCTACACCGCAATGTACGCATCGCTCTCATGTGCAGGTGGAGCAGTACAACTAACACCTCTGCCGGAACCGGTGGCGCCTGTAAGTGAGGAAACAGCAACGCCCGCGCCGCCACTAAGAGGGCTTTCGATTACCGTACACCAACTTATGCTCAAGGTCACAAATGCGACGTCAGAACCCGGATGGTACTCATGCGTTTTCCGATATGATCATGAACCGGCTGAATCTATGGAAACTAATGCATCACGAGTTTTGAAGGTCAATGCACGACCACTAGACAGCGCCTCAGGTGTTATCGATTTCAACGATTGCGTAGAGGTACATCAGTTGCCCCCTAGGATACCAAATGTAATTCCAAAACTCATATTGGACGTTTATGCCGCGAAAGAATTAGTGGGCAGTGCCACTGTCTCCATTGTGGATGCCAAGACTTTGAACCCACGTGATCCGTGGGCCATAGTCAACGCACAGGGTAATCATTGCGGTGACGTAATAGTCACCGTTCGTGGCATACCCGCCGGTGCCAAGCTACCTGCTGTCGGTTTTGCTCGTCGTAACAATGAGTTGCTGCTGAGCAGTGTAGCGCCCGCAGAAAGCGAAGACACATCGAAATTCGTGGCGACTGTGCCAGACAGCAAGAAGGAGACACGTCCGACTGATGCCGCTGATAAAAAGGATCCGCCGCAACGCGCTGCGAAAACACCTGTGGTTGAAAAGGGACCACCCAGGTTTATACCTCCACGTGCTACCGCACCACCTAAAGCAGCTGCGGATGAACCATTCCAGCCTAAGCAGAAGGCGGTATTCCGCAAACCATTATTCCTCAAGAGCAAGGGCCTGAGCAAACCCACACCGTTGGGTGGTGAACCTAAAGCGCCCGAGGCGACCGCCGAACCCCCAAGCGCTCCTGCGGCCAGCAAAGCGACACCTACCGAAAAGGCTAAGGTGCCATCTCCGCCAGTAGAAGCTAAAACTGCACCAGTGCCACCGAAGGTAGCACTAAGCAAGGATACGGTGCCTAAGATGGCCGTAAAAGCACCTGCAAAAGCACCAATAGAGAAACAACCGGCGCCAACACCAAAGGTGACATTCAAATCACCCTCAGGAGATGCCTCTCCGGCACCGAAGGCGCTGGTAAAGACGCCAGCGATCGCCAAGGCAGACACCGCAACAAAAGCTCCACCGGTTCTTAGCAAGGCTGTGGCCAAGGGTACTCCCGCACCTTCACCGGCAGCTGTACCCAAGGTAACACCCAAAGGAGCGCCAGCTGTCGCTCCAAAGGCTGCAGGAGTTTCGGAGGCTAAAGCACCGGGAGTCTTGCCAAAAGTTGCTCCAAAAGCAACTCCCGCCGCAACGACAACGGATGCTGCTGCGGTAGTCCCCAAGGTATCATTGATAGCTCCCAAAACCAAGGCGCTTTCGCTCACTCCTAAAGTAGCAATGGAAAAAATAGCGCCGAAGATGGCCCCACCAGCAGCGGCTTCTACTGCCTCAGAAACATCACAGGAAAAGAAACCGTTGGTACCGGTTGTTGTCAAGCCTAAATTATTGCTTAAGAAACCGCTGGCGCCGAAGAAGGCGTCAGGTAACGCATTGTGAGTAAAGTGTGTGCCACACACCGATGTCTTCTTGGTACATCGTTATTCTAACTGCTCCGCAATAAATGGCTGACTTGGACGATGTTCCGATGCCGGATGCCGCGTCTTCGGATCCCAAGTCGAAGATATTGGTTTTAATCATAGTAGGCCGCGATGACCGTCCGCTGCTGATACAGGACCTATCTACGCCGGGATGGAGACCGGACCCACCGCATCTCGCTTCGTTCGTGGCACACCAGGCATTAGATGTGATTGACGAGGTACTATGGACAAACTCGTCGATGTATCTTAAAGAGGTGGACGTGTTTGACTGTCTTGCAGTGTGGGCATTCGTCAGCAGTAGTCACGTCCGTTTCCTGTTGATAACACGCGCTGCCAACTGGACACTCCCAAATACGACGTCAGAACCGACATCTCCGGTTCCGGAGCCACCGACGTGCGACTCTATACGCGCATTTTTGAAGGAGATACACGAACTATATTGCAAGTACCTCTACAATCCTCTATACAGACCGAATGACAGTATAGTGTCCTCTGAGTTTAACACAAGAGTGCACAGAATCGCAATGAAACACTTATATTGAAATAATATACAAGCCACTAGTTAGTCATTGCTGTAGAACTCGTTGGTAATAGCTTCAGAGATCACGTAGAACGGAACTTCGCTGGACGTCCCGTCGTTAGGTGCAGCGTCATCCTTCTGCGATATTGAGCCCATGAGCTTTTTCTGGGCGTTGAAGACGCTGCCCTCGTCCGTATCACGCACAATCTCTCGTAGCTGGCTGCATACCCGCCGCAAAGAGTCATCAAAATTAGAGAACTTCTGATACTGGTACCCCTTAGAAATAGGGTAAGTTAATCTACTCTTCGCCCTGTGCTGGAAAATAGGATGCGACGGGTCGTACAAACTCTCGAGAATGCAGTCACCGCCTGCCTCGAACTTGTAGTCGTCACGTTGCCGTGAATCAGTTACAGTTTCCTTGTCCCTAAGGATGAAAAATGCCTGCTTAAAAGCTGTACAAGCACAAGACATGTTAAAAGCGTTCTTTCCTATGTCAATCGATGGGTCGAGAGGGCTCTCACATGACAGCATAGATGTATCCTTGGATTGCATAAGCGTCCTCGGGTAAACATGACCAAGCCCGCGAACCGTCGTTACAAACTGGCTGTAGTCCCTCACGAATCCCCAATAGTAAAAGAAATCGACGAACATGGTCGCTAGTGTGTTTTCCTCGTCACTGCTTTTGCGGCAGGTTGCATCGTGCATCTGGAGGAAACTAAGAACCATACAATAAAGCAAGTATGAACCGATCCCTCCAATGTAGGTGTCATTAAGGTTCCTCAGCTGTAAAAAAAACTTGAGTAGAAGTATAAGCGGTTGCATGTACTTGTATTGTTTGCACTGTATGTTTTTGTGGTTGTCTATACGTACCGTCGACCTACCTTCTTCTTGACGAAATTAGTCGTGGTTATCGCATTCGGTTGCCATGCCGAAATATCAAGCTTTACGCCTACACAATGTTAAATAGACAAGTGTCATCATACCTGTGTTCTTGTCGATAGCCTTAACCACCGGAACTGGGGTGTTGAATACGCACTCAAACGAATGAAGCAGATCCAATTTGCTCAACGTGTACACGAGAAATTTTAGCGTTACAATGTCGTCACCCTTCCCTTCGACACAGACATCGATATCACCTCCAGGTAACGAGAGCCCGGTCACATCTGCGTGTAAATTACGCTAGTTGTTGATCAATACTAACATGATCCGAAGACGTGGATGCGGGCCTTCGGGAAAAGAGCTGAAACTATCATCTCTAGCTGAAGTAACACCTGCAAATCGTAGTCTAGATATACTAGCCACTTACCAGCTCCTTCGCCGCACGCTCTTCCTCGCTCGGTGTGAGCCACTCAAGGAGTTTGGCAAGCTCCACGTCCAGCATAACACGAAAGCTTACCCGCGGTTGGGTAATGCTGTGATAGAATCCGTCCAAACCAAGTACTCGACGTAGGCGCCTCTCTTTTCGCACTGAACCGATTTAGCATTCGTATGGTTAGACGCACCCTTTGTTGATTTTACCGGGGGTTCTGGTTTAGGAGCCTCACGTTTTATCGCGATAAACTCTCCAGACATCTCGATCTTCGACCTCTCATCTCTCTTGTTCTTGCCAGGCACCTTTATTGCCTCCTAAATCAAAGTTGGACAATACGTTACCCACACCCACCCGAATCGCGGAGTTCCGCTCAATGATTTCCTGGTGCCTTTCATCCTCAACCATGGAATACACCTCGGGACCGTAATACGCAGAAAGCCGTTCGAGATCAGCAGGACTTAGGTTAGCCACGATTCCGCGCTCGCCATCTTCGGCGCGCTGGCCATCGCCCTCCGCCTTTGCAGAAGATTCCATATTAAAATATAATTACAAGATTGGTAGTGTTCATGTTTTATTGGTGTGGCAAAATTCGATGAAATCACGGCATCCGTGGAGAGGCATAAGGCGACGCTGCACCTTGAAATTGCCTCGACGCTCAACGACCCCCGAACCCTACCTTGATGGGTATCCACCCCTCATTAACTTCGTTTGGAGTTTACACCTTAGCGAGGACAGCGCTACGGCGCACGAACGCGTGCTGAGATCTATTGAGGTTAAACTCTCCACCGTCAGCAGCCGCATCGGAAAAGAGAACGGTGTCTCCAGGCTGGAAGTTGTCCAGTGGGATGAGTTTACCGTCTGGTGTGTATGCTCCTGGTCCCACAGCGACGATGGTTGCACGGAATATGGTCCCAGCCACATCGTCAGAATTAGCAAGTACCAATCCGCTCTGTGTCTTCTTCGGACTGTCTATTACACGCACCAATATCCTGTGGCAATGCATAGCTTGATGCTAATATAAGACAATTACCGGTCTGACAGTGGCCTTATATCTGAAGCAGCGAGTGGTCGCGAACCTCCTGAGTCGCATTCCACACGAGCATAGATTTGATCCTCGGTCACAAGAACACATTCTTGTTTCTTATAGGTTATCTGCACGCAATGACGAGCCATAAGTGATATACTAACCACTGATCTCTCCTCAGGAGGATCGTAGAGCACTATGTCTCCAACTTTGACGGACATAGGTATGACGGCTCTGAGTAGACATTAGACATTGGCGGTGAAGTGGTGGCAACTATGTTCGGCTTCAATGCTGGAACGTTGATGGGTCCTCTGTGCATTCACCGTTTTGTGTAGCGTTGTGTATCATACCCCAGAACAGAAGTTTATTCTGCCAGGCTCAGCCTCAACGCGGACCCCAAAAAATTGCACTAAACTCACCCAGTTTCAGGCGACACTTTTCCTGGGCCAACTGCAATGATACGGCCCGCAAACTCCTTGTTAGGCTGAGACGATATAAACACAGCTGCTAACCGTACCAACCGTAGAGCCAATGTAGACACCGCCAGCAGAATACTCGTGTGCGTTTGTCTTGACGATAAGGACATAGTTGTTGGCCGGCTTCAGGGCACCATCGAGAGCATGGCCCATGTACTTAATATCCCCCGGCGCTACCGGTGGGAAGTAACCTGAAGGGAATTGGCTACCGCAACTCTTGTCTTACCGCTGGTGTAGGGGAGCGGTTCGTTAGAAGAGGATACCGCTTCGGCTCCTTGCCTCGTCAGGCGCCTAGCAGTGATATCTGAAGCTGATGGAGTTGTGGTAGGCAACACAAAGGCGCTAGAACGCTGCGCCTGTGAGTTATTCGCGGTCCTGATACACAGGGCGCGCGCCACGTAAGCGATGAACAAGGCGGCGAAAACCTTTGACATCGTTAGTCACATAGAAAAATAAATAATGGCGTTTATAATCCCACTTTTGTCTTTATTCCGTCTAGCACTGGGGCATAGTCGTGTGGTTTAGGCACTGATGTACGAACGCCCAGGTTCAATGTTCCATGTTCCGCGTATCCCTGCGGAATACACATCGAATTAATTCACTTTATTTGAACCCATTAAAGGGTTCTAGACCTCAGATAAACTCCATTGGTCGACTACTGTCCAGTGGCCTTCACTTGCCGGCCTCTGCTTCAACTGGTTCCAAAAACTCCAAAATGGCGGAATCGGGCTCTTACAACGCTACATTTATGCCAGGTATCTTTTACATTAGTGATTATAACGACGATGGTAGTGGACGATAAGGTCGAGTTCCCCAAGGAGGAAGAGGCGGTCTTGCGTTACTGGAAGGAGATACACGCATTCGAGACTGCAAATAAGCTTGCTGAGGGAAGGCCTAAGTTTAACTTCTACGATGGGCCACCATTCGCAACGGGGCTACCACATTACGGTCACATCCTGGCGGGAACGATCAAGGTGAGAACGCTGATATAACTTGCCAAATGTTTCTTAGGATGTGGTCACACGATATGCATATCAGACTGGCCACTCTGTCGAAAGGAGGTTCGGGTGGGACTGTCATGGTCTGCCGATCGAGTACGAGATCGACAAGACCAACAACATCAAACACCTAAACGATGTGCTGGAGATGGGTATCGGCGTATACAATGAAAAGTGCAGGTTGGTTGATGAGATACCATAAATATTTGACGTCACGTAGGGAGATCGTCATGAGATATTCTTCGGAATGGCGTACAATAGTAGCTCGTACTGGTCGTTGGATCGACTTCGATAATGACTACAAGACTCTTAACACCAGCTACATGGAGACACTATGGTGGATTTTTAAACAATTGTATAACAAAGGGCTAGTTTATCGTGGTTTTCAAGTGATGCCGTATTCGGTGGCTTGCACAACGCCCGTGTCTAACTTTGAGGCGAACCTGAATTACAAGGATGTAACCGACCCTGCAGTCTATGTCGCATTCCGTTGTGTGGATGAACCTCTGGAAATGGTTGCATGGACAACCACACCGTGGACGCTACCATCAAACCTTGCGTTGATTGTTAATCCAGATTTCGTATATGTAGTCCTACACCACGAACAACGTGGTGTCAACCTAGTCGTTGCTGAGTGTCGTCTGGAGAACTTCTGCAACGAGACACGCCTTGTATGCGGCAAGGATATAAATGTAGTCCGTAAGGTACCAGCTACAGAATTAATCGGCAAGCGTTACGAACCACTGTTCGAATACCACGCAGCAGAGCCGGGTTTCAGCGAGGAGCAACTTTCAGTCTCATATGTGATTTTGGGAGACTCAATGGTTACAGCCGACGCTGGTAGCGGTATAGTTCATTGTGCACCATACTATGGTGAGGAGGATATGAAAGTATGCAAACGTCATGGTGTATTCCGAGGTGCTATACCAGATCTGGTCGACGAAAGTGGTCGGTTCAAAAGCCACCTGGCACGTATAGGGGGCATGTTCATCAAGGACGCTGATGTGGAGATCAAGAAACTATTGAAAGAGAGGTCACGACTAGTACACGCTGGCAGTGTGGTTCACTCATATCCCTTCTGCTGGCGTAGTGACACTCCTCTAATCTACCGCGCTGTCAGCTGTTGGTTCATCAAAGTGGAGGATTACCGTGCTGATATCCTGCGAAGCGTTGAGCAGACGCAGTGGGTACCCAGTTTTGTCAAGGATAAACGTTTCCGCAACTGGATTGCAGATGCACGTGACTGGTGTGTGAGCCGTAACCGCTTTTGGGGGACACCTATCCCACTATGGGTTAGCGATGATTACACCCAATTAGTATGTATCGGAAGCATCGAAGAGCTGGAAAGTCTCTCAGGTCGCAAAGTTGTGGATCTGCATCGCCACTTTGTGGACGAAATCGAAATACCGGATCCTCGAGGTCCACAATACAAGCCTCTAAGACGTATCCCAGAGATTTTTGATTGCTGGTATGAAAGCGGGTCGATGCCTTACGCTAAAGTGCACTATCCATTCGAGAACAGTGAGAAGTTTAACGAAATATTCCCTGCAGACTTCATTGCCGAGGGGCTGGATCAAACCCGAGGATGGTTCTATACTTTAATGGTGTTGTCCACGCACCTATTCGGGGCACCAGCCTTCCGTAACATCATTGTAAATGGTCTGGTATTGGCTAGTGACGGAAAGAAAATGTCTAAGCGTCTAAAGAATTTTGCAGATCCTGTAGAGGTAATAAATCAGTACGGAGCAGACAGTGTTCGTCTCTACTTGATTTCATCGCCAGTTGTGCGTGCCGAACCCTTGCGTTTCGTAACTGATGGTGTCCGAGGTATTTTGAAGGATGTTATTCTCCCGTGGTTCCACGCATACAGATTTTTGGTACAGGAAGCATCTCGGTATGAATTGACAACTGGGCGCCGATTCATGCCCAGTACCGACGCCACGCTGAGTTCATCGTGCGTTATGGACCTGTGGCTACACTCGATAACACAACAGTTAATAGGCAACGTTCACCGAGAAATGAAAGCGTACCGTCTATACAATGTCCTTCCACATCTTTTGGAGTTTTTAGAACAGCTTACCAACTGGTATATTCGTATCAATCGTGAGCGTATGCGTGGCGCTTTGGGAGAGGATGAATCTTACGTGTCACTTGCTTCGTTGTACGCTTCTCTTGACGCATTCACCCGGCTAATGAGTATGTTCGCCCCGTTCACATCTGAAATGATATATTCCAACTTGAAGCGTGCATCCTCGTCGTCCAGCGATAGCGTCCACTTCGAAATGCTGCCTCAAGTCAGTGGTACCGTAGACGAAGAGATAACGCGTAAGGTTCACACCATGCAGCAAGTCATTCTACTTGGGCGTACCGTGCGTGAGAGACGACGTGTATCGTTGAAGACGCCTATCGCGGGTCTAAAGGTCATCCATGAAGATGAACGTGTGCTTGATGCTGTACGTGAGTTAGAAGCTTGGGTGAAAGATGAGCTCAACGTAATGAACATCGAATTTTCTAGGGATGTGTCGTGTATCAGCTGTCAAATCACACCGAACTTCAAGGTGCTCGGGTCGCGTCTTGGATCAAGTATGAAACAGGTAGGAGCAGCAATAAAGGGGTTATCGCAATCTGAAATTACCGCGTTTGAGACTGAGGGTGGTGCCGATATCATGGGCCACCGTATCACAATGGACGATGTTCTGATATCCCGTCGCATTGACCTAAGTGCTCTTTCCAATCCCAACATAGATGGCGATTCGAACCGCGAGGTAGCCGTTCTACTGGACTTTACCAGCGATGAGTCACTCCAGTGGATGGCGTGTGCTCGAGAGGTTGCCAACCGTGTCCAGAAGCTGCGTAAGCAACTGCGGTTGTCGGTACACGATCATGTGACCATATACGTACAGCCGTCCGGAGAGGAGGTATTCGAAAAATTGTCATCGCAGAGCGAGTACCTAGAGAAATCTCTAAGGCATAGCGTAACCGTAACACGTGATATACCTTCTGGTGAAAAGGTACGCGCAGTTTCCTTCGGGCTCGGCGAGAATGCATTCACTGTGGCAATCAAATTGTGCTAACATTAAACATCAGTTTAAATTAATCATTCTTTATTGCTCATGCGTTCGAGACAGCTTAGTAGCTCTGGCACCCAATTTGAAACCTCAATGGTGCCTCGTGCCTGCTTCCTCAGTGTTTCTGAGAGTCCGCCAAGCCCAGAACTGATTAGCTGCCTGAGCAATTGTTATTACTTGAGGAAGTCAACATACTGTTTTAGTTGTTTAAATCTCACTTCATCGTTTAGCTGGTACATGCAAATCATCTTAATGGCATCAGTCACCTTGCATGAACCAGCAATCTCCTCCGCCACTAGAGCAGCACAGAGGGCTTCACGAAAACGGCGCTTTCCAACAAGGACTTCCGCCTGTATTAGGATAGACTTCTAACCAACTTAACCAACCTGCATCAAATAGAACGTAGCGCTTTCGTAAGCGCTACACATAAGATATGACGTGGCGTAATAGGAGTCGCGCATTTCCTTCAGCGCTTCATCGGATATGTGATTAGACGCTGCCCACTATAGTTGTTGCTAAAAACTACTCACCTTTCCTGGATCCCATGTAACCGCTACTTCTCATACCAGTAGTGTCACTGATGTCAAAAATCGGCGCACTGCGCCCTCCCGTACTCCGTATGATGTCGTAGTCGTCGAGGTAATCCGACTACCAAACTTTTACGGCGTTGCAACAACCCTTACCAGTCCATCATCATCATAATCTTCGAGTGGATAGCTTAGCGATTCGATATTGTGTTCCATTGCTGTCTAATTGTAGCGTATCGAGCGTGCGCCGCTGCGTTATCGCAGGCGGCGCTTCCCTATGAAAACGCCTCTGATAGTACTAAGCAAGCTGCTCAGGTGGCACTGGGCGCGTAATGTGCGGGATACTGTTGTAATAGCGGCCATATAGGCTCAACTAATCTATGGCTGTAGACCCCCATAGGCTGCGCGGCTGATACACCCTAAACAAAAAACGGAAAAGGGGTTCGGTTACACGAACTTGTCAAACGTACACATAATGGACTTTTCTGTTAATAAGTGCTCCCGCATGACTCCGGTCAGGAGCCCCGCGGTGGCGCCGGCCATGGCTCCCGCGGATTCTGCATCTGCCGGAAAGCCTGTATCCAGCGTCAAAGACACATACGTGGAAATAGATAGTCTGGCGCTGATAAAGGCGCTCAAACATTGCAAGGACAACTACCCTGTGCCAGTTAACGGTCAACTGCTTGGTCTAGATGTCGGCGATAAATTAGAGGTTACCAACTGTTTACCGTACCCTCAGAAGAGAGACATATATAACTCCCTTAATAGGGACAAGAGCACGACCAACATGACTGAAAAGGAATTGGAGGAAAAGGCGGACGATGAGTTTGTCAAGTACCAGGACAAAATGATCGATCTGCTACATGACATTCACGTGGACTGCTTCGCCATAGGATGGTATCAAACATTGCACTTTGGCGATGTGCAGTCTAAGGAAGTGATTGATAACTTGGTGATCTACCAAGAGGCAGTTGATAAGGCTATCATGCTGGGATTTGATCCTATGTCAAGTACCGGTGAAATTTCGTTCAAGGCATACCGTGCGTCGGAGCAATTGCTTGAGCTGTACCATAACTCACAAGGAGAAATAACCAATTTTAACAGCTTAAAGGGCACTCAGATTTTGGTGGAAGTGCCAATAGTTATCAAGAACTCGATTCTGTCAGAGTGCTTCCTGAGCCAATACGTGTTCGACAGCCCGGCACAGAATGTATCTGTGTTTGACATCTTGGATGCTGACCACAACAAATACCTAGCACACAACTTAGAGTTCTTGTCTCATTCGTTGGAGGCGCTCTCTGACAACCAGGAGAAGTTTTTCCGCTACCAGCGTGAGCTTGCCAAACTGACTCACCACCACAAACAACTGGTGGAGAGACGTAGGCTGGAGAACGAACAAGGTAGATTGAAGGGCGAACCGATTTTGCCTCTTCCAGAGCTCGATCTGAGCTCCCTGAAGAAGGTCGAGAAGCCATCGCAGCTGTCGACTATAGTCATGAGCAATGAATGCGCCACTCACACCAAGAGCGTGAGTGAGCTCTGCTTCGACAACGTCGCGAAGATGTCACTGTTATTCCACCGCATTTCTGCGAAATCGGAGGGAAAGTAACACTTTTTAAAACATGTGCACTGTTGCATCTATTTTTCGTGATATCAGATCTATGTTCCTCACGCGTATTTTCTCATTGGCTTTCGCTCTGGAAAATCGGCAGCGTTTAGTTAAATCAGATCTGCTTAGTTACCAGCCGCCCGTTTTTTGCATAGAAATTTATAAATATTCATATAGATATACATTGGCACGGGCATCCTAGATGTCTCCCCTTCAGCATCAATGATAGTCTATCGTATCCCCTTTTTTATAACGTAAAGGGCTATATTTATGTAATAGTTAAGGAGGTTGTGATTAATTTGGTGTGATTTAGGGTGTATTCAATTTTTTTGATATTTCTAAACGTTGTTACTTCATAACTCCAGAAACGACTATATGGGATATTGACCTCATAGCCGTGAAGTAAAACAACTTTACCACATCTTAAGCCTTGGCTGAGGGCCAATGTTTCAGCATGCATCATACATTTGACCGTATTCCGGATCACAGTTGGCGAGCAGTTCGCGCTACCCCGGTGCTTAGCCGGCAGGCAGAAGTTGATGACAGATCTAGGGTACTATATCAACCCGGAAGAAGCACAGCTCATTGGAAACACCCGAACTTATCTGAAACACGACAAAGGCCTCGTCATCATATAGAAGAGCATCAACCGCAACCACCTCTTAGGGCAGTTCGGTACGACAAGCATACTCCAGTCCATGAAAGGCCTCGAGAGGCTGAGACGTTATATGATGATGACATCGATCATGCTAAGCAAAGATATCGTGTTCCTGATGATCGAAGGTATTTACATGTAAGTGATCGATACGTAGATGTTCCGCCTGATTATGGTCGGAGGGTGGTACGACATGGGATTTCTACCCACGATAGACGGCCGTCACCAAAGTCAAACCGTAAAGGAGTACAGAAAGTGGATCCTAACACTGCTGAAATAGACGAACTGCTTTATCTTAAAGATGAAGCCGCCAGACTACGACGTCACCTCTTGGCGGTGCAACGCAAGACAGACGCTATAGTTAAGCCCCCAGCGGAAGACTTCGATGATGTTGTACCATCGAAAGGTAATCATAGACACGATTTACAAAAAGGGAAAAACCTTCCAGTGAATGATCATGGCCCTATTGCTTCAAGATGCAAAGAGGCTTTGGAACCCTGGAAAGATGCGGCGACGCATCTTTGTGCGGGTGTCGGTTCAATGGTGCTAGCTGTATGCCAACTTGTTAGTTTTACGGGGAAGAATGCCCTCTCCAGTTGTTCAAACGTTTCTGGGGCTCACCCCATGAGAGATCAACCACCCTTGCAGTATCAGCCTGAGGCACAGCGGCGTCATATAGAGCCAGACAAGACGAGATATGACACTCCACAGGAAAGACTGCGATACGCAGATACAAGGGGAGGGCACACTCCCCTTCGCCAAAACCCTAGTCCACCCCGTTACGGAACACCGGGTGGTGTGACTAGTTGTCACTGGGAAAGACAGCACCAATCGCTTACTCGCAGGGAGAGGCGAGAGCTTCGCGCTCGTCGGGCAAAGAATGCTGCAGTGCGACGAATGCTAACGAGATCGACTGACGGTTCGTCAAGTGATGTCGAGTCCGTGGTGAGTAACGCTACATCTTACCTGGATCTTAACGGATCCCAGTCTACCATCTCGCGATCGCCCAGCGAGACGGAGGGCAGTTTTGTATTGTATATGGATGATAAAAGCCCAGAAGGACGGCCTTACGACGGAGTTGGATTACCTCTTTCATCGACTGACAGACCAAACTATGGTCATCCTAACAGACGACACATTGGTCTTTCTGATATGGCCTACGTGGACGATCATACTTACATACCGCATACTTCTCTCTATCAAACTCGCCATATTGATCAACCAGTTATAAGAATAAATTTGGGTGACATGGATGACCCAGGACCAACACTACCCACAGTATCTAGGTCTCCAGAGCTACAGCCCAGCAGAATCGAGACCTCATTAGCCAGGCCTACATATGGTAGAGGCAATGTTATCACGGGCACTGGCATAAACAATATCAACAGAGGGTTTCAGGTAGCACCACCTGTATCGAAAATTGCCGAATCTTTGGAGGAGCCAAACATGCCAGATCGCAGCGACCATACAGCAACATTCGGATCACCTACGGCTATGGCAGATAGTAGGAATCTGCAAAGTCAGCACATGCTAAATGGGCTACGTGATACACTAGGCGGAGAGTTTCGTCCGACCAACCCAGTTGCCCTGAGCCGGCAGCAGCCCAGAACTAGACCAGACGACGGTGTTCCGTCTCAAACCGGACTCATTTCGCGCGGAGACAATGTAGCGGCTGATAGGACCACGGAACAGATTCTAAGTGCTTTGCAAAAGGAGGAAAACAGTACACCTGTAGTTCCGCCAGGTGACACGGGCGAAAGCCCGCCAAAATCTAAGGATGTTGTTTCTATAAGTGAGACGCGAAATGTCGAATCCGACCCACCGATTGCGGAAGTCACAAAAACAAACGACTGCCGAAGCTATGTCGAAGAGGCACATAGACGGGACAAGCCGCGCAAAGGTTTCTTTGCCAACAAGTGGAAACTCAACAAGACAGCGGTGCCAAACGCGAAGGTTGAGCTGTTTTGAGTGTCTTTGTCACGTGGACGTTGTGACCATCGCTAGAGCTGTTTAAACACTCTATCGCAACTTGTTATTGTATTTTAAACTTATATATCAGATAATGTTAATAAGCGGTCGAATTTGGGTTGCTGGCCCTGCTGGCATCCGAGGAATATGTGCCACGCGGCCGTGGGGGTGATAGACCTGAACCTGTCAATTGCTCTCCATCCGCCGGCCACAGCTTACCGAAAGCAATAGCGATAGTGTTACACAAACGTGATAGTATATAAATCGCCTGAAATACAGCTTAGGCCATTTCCTATTTGCTCCCAGTCAATAGTAGTGCTGAGAGGTGTTCATCACTGAGTAGCACATTTTTACTCCAATAGCAAAAATGGTGAAGAAGACTAAGTCTAAGGGTATGGACAGCATGAACCACAAGCTTCAGCTTGTGATGAAGTCTGGAAAGGTGTGCTTGGGGTTCAAGTCTACCAAGGCTGCTCTACGTAATGGCAAGGGTGAGTTCTATCTAAGATTATTTTAATACGAATTTAGCGCTTCTTGTTATAATCAGCAACAACTGCCCACCCATTCGTCGATCGGAGCTGGAGCATTACGCTATGTTGGCCAAGTGCGACGTCCACATCTTCGCGGGGGACAACAACGAGCTTGGTACCGTATGCGGAAAATACTTCCGTGTCGGTTCAATGGCTGTTCTCGATGCCGGCGATTCTGACATATTGCGCGGCCTTTCATAGACCAGTATGGCATGTTAATTCTTAGGATGTGCGCTACTGTATTTTTCGTTGTTCGAATGCTGTTGCGCGTTTTACCTTTGTGTTTATTAGCTGTGTTAGTGTGACGGATATGGTCGGATGTAACTCAGCCGATTGTCTATTGCGGTCGGTAACGTGAAGGCGATGGGGACTGTGCGTCTCACGTGGACGCAGCGCATTGAGTCCGGGGTCAGCCACACGCAACGAAAACCCAACAATTAACACAGTTTATAGCGGAGTTCTATTTCCGCGCACCCTTTCCCGTGTCTGTGTGTTGCGTCCGGATGGCTCCGATGGACGGGAAGTACTTCCGGGGCAACCGCCGCTCCGAGGTCCAGGAGCTTCGGGAGGAGCTGCAAAAAGCTTCTAAGGACCGACGCAAGGACGTTATCAAAAAAATAATAGGTGCTATGACCGTAGGGAAGGATGTGTCAAGCCTTTTCCCCGAGGTCGTCAACTGCATCCAGACTAATAACTTGGAGCTTAAGAAATTGGTATACCTCTACGTAATCAACTATGCAAAGGTACAACCTGAGCTAGCCATTTTGGCTGTGAACACTTTCTGCAAGGATGCCAAGGATCGCAATCCGCTCATAAGGTAGGTGGAGTGCACACTTCCTTTACTCTTATCAGGGCACTTGCCGTGCGAACTATGGGATACATTAGACTTCCAGCTATTACGGAATACTTGGTAGAACCGTTAAAGCGCTGTCACTCCGATCCGGACCCGTACGTGCGTAAGACAGCAGCAATATGCATCGCAAAACTATACGGTACGTCTGGTCACCTTCCACCTACACACGCACACAGGAATCTCGCCACAACTAGTGACCGATGAAGGCTTCATTGATGTACTGGAGCGAATGCTCTCAGACTCAAACCCTATGGTGGTGGCCAACGCTGTGTCTACGCTAGTGGAAATCTCAGAGCTGTCGGAGGACAACCTATTGGGACGCATACTCTCCAAGAACCCTTCCAAGCTAGAAGGACTACTGCGTTCGCTTAATGAGTGTATGGAATGGGGGCAGGTGTACATTTTGGATGCACTGATGCTCTACAACCCTTCCACCAGCGATGAGGCGCGCATGTTGGTCGACGCAGTGCTCCCCCGCTTCTCGCATATTAACCCAGCTGTGGTTATGTCCGCTATTAAGGTAGTCATCAAACTGCTACCTAAGGTGAACGACGAGGAATATGTCCACATGCTTCAAAACAAGCTTGCCGCGCCGTTAGTGACGTTGGTCTCACTAGACCCAGAGATCCAATACGTGGCCTTGCGTTCGATCCTAGTGGTCATTGAGAAGTGGCCACGCCTGCTGGAGGGAAGCGTGCGCGCGTTCTTCTGCAAACGTCACGAACCTCTCTATGTGCGTATAGAGAAGCTGGAGATTATGGTCCGTCTTGCTACGACGACCAACTTCCAGAAAGTACTCTCTGAGCTCTGCGAGTACGCAACAGACATTGACGTCGACTTTGTCCGTCGTACAGTTCGCGCCATTGGTGCGTTGGCCGTGCGTTTGGAGGCTGCATTGTCGGCCTGCACTAGCGCACTGAGCGACCTGCTACGTATGCGGGTTTCGCACCTTACGGATGAGTGTACAATCGTGTACCGCGACCTGCTCCGCGTCTATCCACACGTTTTCAGTTTGGATTTGTTTTCACTATGTGCAGATGTGGAGTATCTGCACGCAATAGAATCAAAGTCCGCGTTGGTGTGGATCATCGGACAGTATGCCTCGAAGATACCTGACGCAGTCGAATACATCTCTAATATGGCGGAAGCACTTCACGACGAGGATCACCAGGTTCAGTTGAGTCTTTTGACAGCGGCTGTCAAAGTTGTGGTGGTACATGGCACTGACTGCGGTTTGGTTGATCAGGTGCTTCGCCGCTGCCTCTATGAGAGCACGAGCCCCGACGTCCGCGGGAGAGCTCAGATATATATGCGTCTGCTAGATTACGGATTAGATGTAGCAGGAAAAGTCGTAATGGCCCCTCTTCCACCCATTGGTTTGCCTACCATTGATAAGGATGTGTTGGATAACCTGTTGGGTCACATTGGTCAGGTCTCCGCTGTGTACCATTTACCAGCATGGGCAGTCTCGTTTAAGGATGCTCTACCGATTGGATCAACCCGCGAGAAAGAACCTAAAGAGTCTGACACGTCGTCAAGCGACGGTGATCTTCTTGACCTGGGCGACTCTGACGTCACTCCGTCCAAAACGGACAGCTTCGACATCTTCAACGACATGCCACAGGAACGCCACGGCGGCTACGCGGAAGACCTATTTGTGGGATACGACAAGTCATTCCGATATGCGTGCAAGGAAGAAGTGGTGTTAACGCAGTACCAACAGGGTTCCAAGGGCCAGATGGGCCTACAGGTGGTAGCATCTTTGTACCGAGAAGACGATAGAATGGTGCTAAAGCTGATCCTCACCAATAAAACATCCGGTCCTATATCGCTTCAAGCCATACAATTCAACAAGAATTCGTTTGGACTGAGCCCGGCGTCGCCACTTGATAACCCAGTTGCCGTATTCCCCGATAAGAGCACTGAGACACACGTCCCTCTTGCAGCTGGTGTTGTGCTTTCCAATACGCCGCCTTCCAACCCGATAGACTTACACGTGGCGATCAAGACGAATGTCGATGTGTTTTACTTCCGTGTATTTTATGAGCTGCCAATAGTTTTGACACATGGCGCGAGGATTTCGCCGCGCCAGTTCGAGGAGCTTTGGTCTAGCTTCCCCGTGGAGGAGTCATTTGATGTTGGCAGCAGGGACAGTATCAGCGATGTGGCCGCTAAGATTGGCCTGTCGTTCGTAGGCTCTGGTTTGAACGTTGGTCACCATGCAGGCCGGCCCACCGATTCTTTCTACGCAATAACGACCAATTCTTTACGTCTGCTAGTGGTGTTCAGCGGCGGCCGCGCTTCTGTGAAGGCTGAAGCGGCTGCGTTGATGCCTCTGTTGGTACATACCATTGGCACGGCGCTGCGTGCTTAGGGATATAATGTAATATACGATATCTACGACATTTAACATATGTTTGATGGGCATTTCGCCGCTAAACATTGCACATTCGCACATTTTAGTTGATTCAATAGGGTGTAACTATCACGTGCTTTGTACTTCGTTGGCTGTCAATGGCCCGGCACTACGGCGGTTTAGCCTGCGGCATGACGCAGGGTGGAATGGTAAAGCCTCATAGAGTCCGTCTTGAAATACTTTTCTATACCACTCTCTGTATCCTGAGGTTTAATTTGTTTGACTACGTCCTCGCGTGCAGCTGGAACACATATTCCCGAATTAGGGTCGTCTCTTTTATAGCCTCCCTCCAGCGTCCATCGGCACGATTGTAGGAGTTGTTCAAACTCTTCGCAATTGTTCTCAAAGTCCAACATGGCCAATAGCTCTGGGACACTCATCTGAAGGTATACCAATGGTACAACGTCTAGAATGAAGCGGCGAATTGATTCGCGAAGTCCAGGTACCTCTATGAAAAGAGCGGAGGAAGTTTCTGCCATTGGTTTACGTGCCGCATCCCAGAACATATGGAATAGGCAGCTTTGCAGCATATTATGCAGGGAGACCACCTGTGCGATCACCGGATGTTCCTGTGTAGGCAGCGGTACCTGTGCTATGCATATGTTGAAGTCATTGGCCGGTAGTTGCGTAAGGCATTGAACCAATATCTTCTGTATGACGATAGGGTCGGCGATATGTGGAAACAGAGTGTAAATCTTTAAAATAGCGACATTATTGTCGAGGCTGTAAGTGTTTGCATCGGCCATTTGCTCGTTCAGGAAGTCCGTTAGCGCGGGCAACCCGGCTATGTTGAACTGCAAGGTCGGCGAGGCAAGTACTGCCTCTGCTTTTTTCCTGGCATCACTGGAAGCGTCCGTGTCCATGGTTGTAATGTTTTGTACTAGTTTTTGGATCATCCGTGGGGAGGCATAATTGAAGGGGGATACACATCGAGCAATGTCGTTCAACACAACGTAACTAAGCATGTTATTTACACGAAGATTATGTGGTATGTTACAAAATCACAACTGTTGTTGTAAACATGCGTCGTATGTTTATCTCGAGTCGTTGCTTTCGTTGTCTGTCTCAACATCCTCAGAGCACTCTGGCACAGCCGCATCGTTCTCCGTGATCTTACGATATCGCATAGGTCCAGATACCGGGCTGAGTCCGGCGGTAGAGCGCAGATACCTCATCGAAAGTGCGAACGGATCGAACTTGATGTATCCGCGCAGGTATGCCAGGGAGATGAGCATTGCGATTAGGTGGAGTATACTGCATGCTATGCAAGCGGTGTGAGCGGTTGGTATCCGTTGTGGCAGTATAGCAATGTTTTGTCTGTCCCCGCTCAGATGTGCAGTAATGACCTGAAAAACGATAAAGTTGAAGCCGCTCGTCAGGCAGCAAAAGTATCCGAACACACGCCACGACATCCTGGCTGTCTTGTTCCTAATACTTCCCGCTCTCCTAGTTCTGTAGTGCGTGCGCTGCGCCGTCTGTATGGTCCCCAAACAAGTTCCACTATGTGTATCCTGTTAGTTTACGTTTGTCGAGACTTGGTGTAGGCAGCGCGTAACCTTAACATTCCCGCTTCGTGACAAGTTTAACGCAAACATCTGCCCACAATCGACTCCCCTTTGGTCGGACGGCTGCCTTCTCAATATGAGTAAGGATTTCCGGCAATTATGCGTTTAGTTCCTTGAAGTAAGCTGAGATATGTTCGTCGAACAATTCTGACCGAACTGGCATGTCCGGCTGGTGGAAGGGACACTTGTGTACGAAGTCAGCGTAGAGCTCGTAGACGTAGCTCAGAATAACGTTGATATGTTCCTTAGAAGGTCCACGAGAGGTACATACCATACAGATCTTGAGTCCTAAGAATTCATGGGTCATTACGGTGCAAATTCAAATACCTGTTAAAGTTTCTAAGCACTGTAATCTGAAAGAGTTGGATTCGATATATGTGATCCCTTCGCGCTGTGAGTGCAATATAGATTCTCATACCTTTAGGCTGCGGGAGCAATGATGGTTCTTGACCTAAATTTGGCACACAAAGCTTGGGAGCGATCGTAGAAAGCCCGTGAAGTGTGCTTGCTAGCCGAATAGCATCGTTTGACGAGAACGCGTCTCTACCGTTGAGGCTCTGTGACACTTGAGGTCCGTGCAAGTAGACTTTACCTTGTAATATATCAAGCTTCCGTGTTGGTTGGTTATGAATAATGCAAGCATCGCCATTTAAGGTGGAAAATAGCGATGTTACGGCACGATTATATCCGTAGTATGTTCTCCGGCGCGCACAGTGTTTCTTGGCCAATGCGCACTGTAAGTTTAGTACTGAATCTGTGTTTAGCTATATTAATAATTACAGTCACCAGCGCTGTAATAGCGCACAATGATGTGCCGACGGCTCAGTGCGCCTCTCTCACAAAAATTGCCTCCCCACGGTGTGTCACCTCTGTAGGTCAATTAATGGATATTACACTTAAGCAACAGCTAGACACTTTTTAACTATTAATTAATATTATGACCAATGGGTGTCATCCAACTTTGTGTGCCTCATGGTCGCCAGAAAAGTCTGTTAGAGTTATCGACGCTCCAATAACTTAGACTCACTCCGTGCACGCGTGAACATACATACACGAATCATTTGTGATTTGTACAAGGGTATGGCAGATACGGTTGCGCGTAGCAGACCGAGATTCTTACCTTCTTAGCGCTTAGCTCCGCCACTTATAATGTACGTTAATACGACCGACGGCGGCAGATAGTGATTAGTAAATAGTCCACTAAGAAGTTACGACTACTGTGACATATCAGAGTGTAGAGGATTGTTAATGTAGTACACACCACTATGACGCGGCCTCCCTAACGGTGATGTCGGTTATATCTCCATTAAAGGAAGCACACACCGGAGACACCAGCGAATAAGTACCTAAAATCAATGTGTATATATCTGCGAGCCAAATACTGATTCTTGAACCCCAGTTTTATTAGTTGGATGGGAAAATTCAATCCATTCCACGCATCTCCATGTCAATTACGGCATGACTTATTAGATGCGTCGTTGCAGCCCACGCAGCGGACAGCTCAGTCTCTAATTATCATTTACTCCGCGTGTATTTCACAATGGCGGCCACTGCTATATGGAAGAACTTTAGGTTGGATAATGAGTACCGTCGTCTCATGGGAGACAGTCCTTTCGTCCTAGATTCTCGTCCTAATGGAGAAGGTCGTCGTGTGGTATCTGCTACTAACGTCTTCGCAGCGGATGCTTATGCTCTGCCTCTTGGGACCGACGCGAAGTTACGTGAGCTATATCCCAGTTTGGTGGAGTTAAGCCGTGAGAGTTGTTATATGCCCGAGTCCAGATTAGAGAAAATGGCTGCTGAACTATGCAAGCCTCGTTATCTTCCTACTGCTCCTACGGTACCGAGGTACTTCCCTACGACAGAACCCTTCGTAATGGATTCCCCGATACCAAGGAGCCGCCAGGCGGATCTGCGATTGTCTCCACGGTTGGATTCATCCAGTCTCCGCCGCCCGGATTATCTACGTAGTGAATATGGAAGGGAACGTACTAACATAGGTCAGGCTACGCTATACCAGAGTGTAGACCGTTTCCCTACTAGGGCGGCCCACGTACCATACAGCAATGGTAATATCTTCGACGTTGACACTTACCGTACTGGCGTATTTGACCACGGCCCTACTGGGTTAAACCACGTGGCGTTTACGCCTTTGGACCCTATACGTCACGATTTTAACTTCGACGGGGAGTTTTTGAGTGCCTTCAAGCCTGAAGGTGAACCAGGCAACGACTATAGGGCGATACAGACACCAATACCTGACTATGGTACACGTAAAGGACACACAAACAACTTGGATACATTGGTGTCTCCATTCCCTTGGGAGAAGAACATGGATATTCACCGTACTAACGAATTCACGTGCACGCCCCGAAACCGACTACATGACACTAGTGAGCAGCGCTATCCCAGTTATATTTCTGGAAGGAGTAACCAGTATAATGGGTCGGTAGCAGGTCCGTTCCGTCGATTCGATGAGCCTATGGGAATATTCGATTCAATGCCTCCCAGGATAAATACGGGTGTTGTGAGCGACTTTGTGCTTCGGGACTTCGCTAGATCGCCCTTGCGTTCACTTATGCGTGATAGTGACCACAGTTATGGCTACAAGCATTCTCATATGACGCCTCGAGCACTTTACCACAACCTCATCTAGTCGCGCGGCGCGGCGGGTAAAAGGCGTACGTAGTTTAAAAATTAATGTGGTAGCTCATTATATGTGTTATCATGAATTAGTTTAGTTGGCGAATTGGCTCGTTAGGCGGGCGTAATTTACATTTTACTGCACATCAACATGTGGTTATGCCTGGAACGGTTGTGGTACCGTACCAAGACGGCCACGGTACCACTGCAAGGGCCACCTACTACCGTATACATCTGCGGTGCCCTTAATTTCATCTTATTCGGTGTTGGCACTATGATTTTGGGATTCGTTAATGACTGTCTTGAAGACGTGGTCATAGGTGCCATGCAGCTGTTGTTGCCATTCGTTGGATGGATATGGTCAATCGTTTGGGGTATATTAATTATCGCTAGAAAATCGGCTAGGCAAGACTCGCCGGTGTAAGTTACACGGTGAGTCAAAATTTTTTCACGTCGCCTACCCGGCGGATACTCATCGCAACGAGGATCGTCGAGCGGTGTTTTTTAATATCGTCAAACGTTAATTTAAAATGTACCGTTGAGAGACCAATAGAGTTTTTTCATCAACTATTTTTTGATGTGCAGGACCTACCTGCTTAAAAATGCACAAGCATGACGGCATAGGTCCAAACCTGCTGGCACGCAAGCACACGTGCCCTACTGACACTTTAATTTTGTTGTACTGTGTTGATTCACGCATTGTGACCGTTAGTCGACCGCCAGAGCGGTCGCCAAGTGGCTCTATCAACGCGCGCCACGCTGGTAGCCCATCCCCTATCCTTGACACCGCCTGTTGCGACATCCGTACGATGCTCATAATTGCCGCGGGACGAAATGTCTGCTGGCAGCCTACGTATTTCGCAACAGAACTACTTCAGCACTCACAATGCGCTCAGGGAAGCGTCGCCGGAGGATAAAGGCGCGCGCTACGTGCTTCACGAGCTCCATGGAGAGCGACACGGGGCTCTGCGCCTTTATCCTTTCTACGATGTACAGGTAAAGAGCGGATTCCACCGATCCACGTCAATCACACGCAGATGTTGAAACGGATGTTGGTCAAGAAGCTCAACCTCCCAGCAGGGACCACTGTAAACGACCTACGGATCCTTTATAAGGGGGTTGAGTTGCCAAACTACCGTACCCTGGAGACGTATATGAGCAAGGGAAAGTCAGATCATCGTCTTTTCTGGTCATTGAGAGAAAAGAACCCCGGTGCAGGCATACGACGTACGGGCATCAAGACAACGACCCACATGCAAGGGATCATTAACGAAATCGCCCTATCGTTTAAGAATAACATTAAGCCTAAGCTGACCATGGATGGTACAGGTAGGTAACATCATCTTGTTCTTATACCTATTTCAGGGGGAACATACCTTCTATATGACAAGCAACGCAGATGCCGTGCTGTCTTCAAACCCATCGACGAAGAAGCTTTTGCACCATGCAACCCTAGAGGTTACGAAGGAACTCTAAACCAGCAGGGCTTCCGCTCTGGTGTCCTTTCAGGCGAAGGTGCGAGTCGTGAGGTGGCCGCCTACCTGCTAGACTCTGCATACGGAGGGGTATGCGGAGTACCAGACACAACTATGGTCGAAGCAAGTCATCCCGCATTCAAGAACTCATGTGACGAACGTTTTATCAAAGACATCACGTCTGGGTTGAAGTGGAAAGCGGGTTCTCTGCAGGAGTTCATCAATTGCAAGGAGTCGAGCGGCAACTACAACCCTAGCCTCTTCCCAGTTGGTGACGTCCACCGTATCGGTATCTTCGACCTACGCGTGGTAAACCTCGATAGGAACGATGGAAATATCCTAGTCGTGGATATGAGACAACGTATTCCCGAAACAAACAACAATACAACACAGACTGGACCTAGGTACAAGCTGATACCTATCGACCATGGTCTCATCCTACCAGACGTCATAGACGTCGCTGATATGGATCTAGTGTGGTTTGACTGGCCACAAACTGAGCTGCCATTCAGTAAGAATGAACTGAAACTGATATTTGCTTACGACCCCGATAAGGATGCAGACCGGCTTCGCAAACGGTTGTTGATTCGCCCAGAATGCCTACGTACGATGCGTGTATCGGTAAGGCTCTTGCAAATCGGAGCGCAAATGCATCTTAACCTGAAACAAATTGCAAGGATCGTTTGCCGAAGCGACGTGGATACGCCGTCGGACCTAGAACTGATGATTAAAAAGGCTGTCGAAGAGGCGTATAAAGCAACAGAAGCAACGTCGGTAATAAACACGCGTAGACTGGGCGTGTCTCTGGATCTCTTTAGCCATTCTGTGCATTTCGCTACAAATGGCGATGATGTAGAACAGTTGGAGCCAACGTTTGATGATCCGATGGTTGAAGTGACCCCGGTCTCTGCTAGATCTGAGGAGTCAGATACATCATCAGATGAATCGTTTAAAGCGGCCCAAGAAGAGATTTCTTATCCAATGGCAACTTTTCAGCACCAAGGCGCCCACGAGCTTAAATATCGCGATATAGTAAGAACAACCTACCGCCGACGAAGACCTATGCAAGAGGAGCGTTCCATATGGGTTTTGGAGGATAGCAAAGGTCGTCAGGTACATTTCGATTGGGATGAACATTTCGAACGCATATTCTACGCAACTGTAGATCGCATATTTACGAGTTACATCGAACAGTACCATCCCGGGTGGAGTTCTTACCCGTACTGTGGAGATGGTGACGAGAGGTTTCCGTGGTCGACGCATAGCACATTAACCATTCCCCCCTCTGAGCGACGGAGTAAAAGTATCCGATCGCCAAACGGATGACTACTATTGTATATTAAAATCGACGATCGTGTTGTACGTTAACTTGAGTAGATATTCCAGAAATGGTTTATGCTGTTCCAGATCTCCTTTGAAATCCTGAGGAGCTACTACAACAGCAGTCTTGGCCCCGTCTAAAGTCTGTCGTCGCAGCTGCCGCACAGCAGACTCGATGGCATCAAACCCGCCTTCACCTACGGGGTCGACAGGTCCAAAGTCTGGCCATTGCAGCAGTTCGCCGCTGGTGGCAAGCCCCAAGGGCAGTGGCATTGCCCGCAACAGCTGTGGCGCAAATGGCATGAATAGGCGTAGGAGTTGGCGATATCCTTGAGTCAACACTGCATCGCTGGATACTTGACTACGATGTGCGGGAATTGTGTAATTGGAGAAAACACCAACACAGCGCTCCAAGTCTTCCAAAGCGCGGCGAAAGCTGAAAGACTGGATATTTTGGCCGACTTCACGACCATGCCGAGCGAAACCAGCGACAATGGCCGTCGTGACGAAGGACGGGCGAGTCCCTTTGTCGCTATCCACATCCCACATGCGACGTAGGCTTTGTTTATTACAGACTTTGCTGACGTAATTCGTAATTTGGGCCACCTTCTTTAGCATGGTTTGTACCCGTTCGCGGTAGGTTTCGATGTCGTGACACACGTTACCCTTTGAGGCCGCTGCAGCCAGGGTCATTCGAGCCTGTGCCACTGCCAGTGGGTCATAATGGTGTGACGGTGTTTCGAACATATTTCCCAAGAACTGGTCTACTACACTGGGCTTTGTAAAGTCCGGGAAACCGTTGAGCGTCCCGAAGCCCCTAACAAATTCCGCTGCCGTTACGGTGTTTCCCTTGGATTTGCTCATTTTCCTCCCAGCAGCGTCATTCACGATACCGTGCAACACCAAACAGTCGAATGGCAATTTTCCATTGGAAAGCTTAGTGCAGAGCAGCAGCATACGTGCTACCCAACTGTGTAGGATATCGTAACATGTGTAGAGGACACGAGTTACGCCCGGTTCCGAAATTTCGGCCCCGCTGTTGTTGGATAATTTATGGTCTGTACTGGGAGTAGGAGAAAGCACTCCTGAAACAATGGGGTCCGGACGCGTGTATATAGGCCAAAGTGCCGATGTAAACCACGTGTCTAATGTGCGCGTGTCCTGCTCTAACGTGTAACCTTCCTTCAATGCCTCATTAAATGTTACCTTCAGGTGTTGTGAGGCGCGCTCTTGTGCCTCCAATTCCGAGGTGGCTGGTATATTCGTTGTGATGGCTCCCTTCGTCAGTCTCCACACAGGCACACGCAGACCCCACCACCCGTTACGACTAACACACCAGGGTTGTGTAGATTCCACTCTCCGACGTAACATGGCCAGGCGGCTAGGTGGGTCGACGTCCAATCGATCCAGAACACTTTTAGCGGTCTGGGATATAGAGCGTACGTCCAGTAGCCATTGAGGTGCAGGCTGAATATGGACGCCGTAGCCTTCGCCTCCTACCAGTTGGGGGACTGCCATCTCCACTGTCTTGACAGGTTCGAATAACGCTAACATTTGGTCTTTTGCTTCGGCGAAAGTGAGTCCTAAGAGGTTTTGTGGTGTGTTTTGCATCCTCCCTTGTTTGTCGGTTATGTTGATGACATCGAGGCCATGCTCCCACGCCAGCTGGAAGTCTGCTTCGGAATACCCGGGGCATACTAGCGCAGCACCAGTATCATTTAATCTTCCAACTGGTACCATGGGTATTTCTCGATTGGATCCTGGGAGCACTGCCACCTTGCCCCTGACCTGTTCGTACACCTTCTCTGGCACAGCGACTGCGACAGAGGCATGTAGCAGCGCGGGATTAGTGGTATTGACTTTGATTCTTTCCGCATCGCGATATATGTTATGTTCTGTTTCACCTGAACGTAGTTCGCCGTTCCCTGCTGATGCGGCATTGCCATCCAGTAGCCTCAAACCTATGGAGAAGACCGTTACCGGTTTACTCACGAATTCCACATCCGCTACGTCTATGAAAGCAACACCATTCTCCGTAACTTTGGCAAAAGTCGGGTACAGACGCTCCGTAATGTGACCCTGTCGAAACAGCTCAACGAACGCTTCCCGGGCGACGTCTTTGTTACGTCGGCTTAATGTCCAGCCATCATCTAACCAGTCCACACCTAAGCTGCGAAGCGTCTTTAGATGGTCGCTTCTTACGGCTTTGCAATGAAGTAAAGCTGCGCGCAGACGCTCAGCATGGGCGCTCTCTGGACCTAGCTTCAGGTTGATTATGCGTTCCAGTCCATGCCCGGCATGGTCGCTGCCGAACCTCACATAGACAAATTGTTGTTTGAGCTCAGAGTATCTCAAGAATATGTCGCTACAGACGAGATTCAACGCGTTTCCTATATGAAGGTCGCCAGTGAGATTTGGTGGAGGTGTTATAAGCTGTACCAGCCGCCCTTCTGAGCATAAAATGAATCAGTATATGTATAGAGTGACTACAATAGTGCATATAATATTCACGGGTGTCATTGACGGACATACATGAACACACTTACCAGATGTTTCCGCGTTCAGTGGCGGTGACCTACTGGTTACAGAGCTGCCAACCTTCTGCGTTGCCTTGCGTAAAGTAAATGTAGCAGATAATTGCAACAAAGCCAGAAACAACGACGAAAACGCCGCCAACTTCATGGCCATACCAGTACCGGCGAGTTTATTAAAAAGAGGATACGCGCCATTCGCTTAGGATATTACATATACACATCACATATAACGAAACAGTACTTTAACATTATGACGTGTCTGACGGCTTATCGATAATTGATCCGAGTGGGCATTCTGCATTTAGCAGTTCCTGCCTCTTTCGGTACCACGAACGCACTACCGTATCTTGTGCAGCCATGTCATCTACCAACTCACGAAGCAGTTGGAGGTAAGGGCGAATACGCAATAGAAGCTTGAGATTGTTTCCGACGCTCCGAGAAATCAGTGAGTGATGCTGGCAGAAGGCCACAGTTTGTGGTCCCTCAGAAAGGTCGACACTGTGTGACTCAACAACGAAACGGTTCTCCATACCACAATTAGCGTGAAACTTCACCTTACACCCTTCTTTGCAACATGATACCATCAGACCTTCACTTGAGTGGCATATTGGACATGCACCGCTCTCCCCGTTTTCGGAATTTGTTGAACCACCCACAGGTTTACCTCGATAAATAGCAATCAGAGCCTCAGGGAAACACACACCGCAAATTGTATGCATGTAACGGCGCTGTTTGTCACCATCAGGACCCCCAATTGGAATTCGCTTCAACAAACCAGTGTCAACAAGACATATTGCACATTGCGCACCTTGGTCAGAGTTACGGCAAACGTCACATATAAAGGAAGTGATCGATGTCGTAACAGTCGATTCCCTTCCTTTAGAAGCATCCAAATCGCTTTCCACGTAACACGAGTAATGCGCGTGCGTACCACATTGAGTGCAGACAGCGAGAGCACCCATGCCAAAGCAGACGCCACAGCGACGTTCTGTAGCGGCTGTTCTCTGTTCGCATATGTCGCTCCTAAGTTGTCCCAAGTCCATGGCCTCTATGGACGCCATTCCTTCCATGACCAGTGCGCGAGACTTGCGTCGCTTGTCACGGTTCTCGAAAAGATAGTACGCGGTGTCTCTGTTGAGGAAACGTTTATTGCGTGTAGAAACGAACTGCTGCCATTTCCTGTCACTGTCGTGCCCATTACACTGTATGCGCACGTGAAGTTCCCGCATGAGCACATTTCCCTTCTTAACATATGACCTGTAACCAATCGACGACGTAGGAATGAACTTGAAACCGTGCAGCCATGCACATAGTGGGTGCGCTGTTACTTCACAGTCGACGCATCGCATCACATACCCCCAGGCTACACAGCAGACGGCACAGAGAGCCTCGCTACGCCATTGCGCCACACCATCCAAGCTCCAGGGTTCCATCATGATGTAATTGTTACATTTAGTCTCCGGCATCAAGGACAACAAACAAAACATGTGAGCCCATTCTTCTACTGCACAGCGTTTCAATGCGCCACCTCCACGACCACATATCCAACATATTATGCTGCAGCTACGGAACGCCGTTTGCCACTGGCTACCCATGGTACGCCGCTCATACTCACAGCGACGGCAGATATAATCATTGTTGTAGCCAGGTTTAGCATTACGATTCACTCCGTAACAATTACGATGCGTGGACATAAAACATCGGGAGCACGTGTAGATGGGATTGAGGTTGTTGCCCGTGTTGATGAAACAAACATTGCAATATGCACCTTCCGTGATACCCTCAGCCTTCATCGCAGCACTGCGAGCGTCCGAAGTGCTAGAACCCAGTACTACGGGTACCTGAGGTTTAGGTGTGGAAGACGATGATGGAGTTTTCGAGTCCGCAGAGTCGCAGAGACCACGGCAAAAGTTAATCAGGAGAGTACTCCATCTTTCCATAGATTCATATTGATCCAACAACTTAGAAGTGTATCCCAATCGATCGTTCATCGTGGGTAGCCGTGAATTCAATTCAAGTACGTTCTCTCTGATGTTCTCACGCAATGTTCGCAACTGAGATGAAACCACTGTTAGATCCCGCTCAGTTATTTCCTTTTGGCGCCTCACAAAATTCTCATCGTCAACAACAGGCCAAGTTTGTTTCCCAAGGTACACCATAGGCACCGGTGGCAGAGTCACTGCGGGGTTACTTGTGGGTGTGGATACGCCAACGTTAGCGGGGGGCGTAGTGGCGGAATATCGGGGTGTCGATCCCCCCTTAGTAGCGCCGTGAGTGCTAGCGTTGCTATCCCCACCTCTGCTACCTTTGGAATGTTGAGAGCTGCGAGTCCCAGTCGACTTTGAACCACTCTTACCGGTATTGACAGCTTGGCGTGGATTGCGTCTTACTTTTGAAAGCACCGTGTTCCAATCGAGCATTTGCAAACAACTGACACCTGCAGCAGCATCAACGGTATCCTTCATTACCGCAACTTTCAGATTAGTTTCGTTTATATAACTCATTTCAAGTATACCCCGGCGTAGCAGTTCACTTTCCAGCGGGGACAAAACGATAAAATCTTCCACGGCCATATTCTTGAGAGATGGATCGTACTTTCCTCTTTTTACCAGTTTCCTACGTAGTCGCATCGCATCACTGTCAGAGCTAGCAGCATTGGCCGCCGCATGCAACTGACGCACATCCTCCTTTAGACAATATTCAGCGAATCCACTCAAAAGAGTTACTTCCTTGTTACCATTTGCGTTTGGCGATAAGAATGCGTGCGCTGCTGATGTGCTTTTAGACATCTCACTGTTAACGTGTGAGAGGAAGTGACGTACCTCTTCATCAAGTGCCATGCCAGCGGCGGATAGCGCAGGTTTTTCGCAGCGTTCCGACAGAATAGCGTCATCATTAAGTACCTCTAGTAACCACTTATTTACTCTAAAAATGGCTATTCCGGCTGTTCTCCCAGTGTCTACAAGCACGTGGAAACGGGCATGCTTCCTATCATTGTTCACAGGTGAAGAATTAGCTTTCAACGAGGACTGTACTTCACGATCAAGGTTTGTCTTTAGTGCTGCAAGAAATGACATCACACCGGTGCATCCGTAGAGAATCTGCTGAAGGAACATATCACTGAGATCCTGTGGGTCCAGGAAATCGGAGCATGCCAAAACAGTGCTCTCCAGGCTAGGACATTCATCTGCACTCTTCTTTTGCGAAGCAGCGTCCATGTTTTTCAGCAGTAGATCTGCAGCGGGGCCGTAAAGTATCGGTCTGAAAATATCAAACTTCTGCCATATCATTCGTTGTCCTCTGAACTGTGATCCTCCGCCGTCCACGTTACCATCACCATGACCTGGATGCATTTCTACAACTGGAAGGACGTCAGATGGCACTGTTGCCCTAATGGGCAGGTCAATATCTATTTCATCGCTCTTCAATCTTTGAATGGCAACTATGCTTCCACTGTTCATACGTTCGTCACGTGGCTCCATGAAGTATTCTTTCCACTCATCGAGTGAGTTCTGCGTGTAACCGTGGTCGCCTTCATTAGAGTCTATTGACACATGTCTATCTATCTGAGTCGGTAAGCTAACGCAGGGTTCCACTTTCATGGATAGCTCCGACATACTGTGCGCGCCAGCCTCGCCACAGTCTTCCCTCATTGCAGCAGTTGTTACCGCAGAGGTCATTCTTACCATATCTGCCACCTCATTATGATATTTCCTATAACTACTTGCGTTGCTTTCCCGTATGACATGACATCTACTCAGATGCATCCTAATCCCTATGGCAACCCAATCCTGTGTCGAATGTTCAGCACAGAATACTCCGAGGAAAGTGCTATATTGTGGGCGTTCATCCGTCTTGTAGTACACATGGTCAGAGAATGCCGTACCATTATATCCTTCAAGAAACAAGGCACACCTCACATGCAACTTTCTGGAGCATCTGACGAACGAACACATCACCAACAATCCCTTTGCAGATCCACAAGCGTCGCATTTGGTACTCGTCGGGTTCACAGTCCTTGTCGCTATAGCACGCATTCCGCATGGATTCCGCATACGGAACGGAGCCTTGAAGAATACACCACTCCCAGGTGGTGCGAATACCACGCAGCTGCAGTGTACCCACAGGTCTTCTTTCCTCGAATATCTCATTGCTCCTCCCGATAGTCCACACAATGCACATTTCGGATTTCCTTTCGTCCCTTGTGCTGAACAAACATCACAAGTGAATTTAAATTCATCCAACAACGCGTTATTATGATCCTTTTGCGCGTTTTTTGGTGAGACTTCATTATAGTTAGACATATCACCGTAGTTTTCTCGATGATCAGTAGAGTGTATATTGCATCTACCATATTTCAACTTCTCCAACAATTTCATTTGTTCCTCACGTGAAATATAGCATAGATCGTGTACTATGATACCACACCCTATACAATTCCAACCGTAACAGTCAACCGGTCCTAGACAGGCATCGCACCTCCTATTTGGTGGCACGGATACCGGTTCCTCGGGGTTGCATAGTATACCGCACCGGCCTAAAACATCTGATTCCACTGAACATAATGAAGGTTCAAATGCAGCGTAAAGTGTCCCTTCGTAGTTCGAATGTGTCAGTCCCCAAGACTCATTGATTGCGGAATTGTTACCGTACGCCGATCGCGCATTATTGTCACAACGTGACATATCCGACGCACAACTAAGACTTCCATATTGTTCTAATGCCGAGATATAATCTGTAGGCACGTTGTTTCGACCTGCTGTCAAAGAGCTTTCAGCTGATCCCGAATCCGCCAGTTCCACGGGCTGCTGCGCTGATACATTCATTTGAATCGTCATGATTAAAAAAAGTATTCAGCGTCGTGGTCGCGGCATCACCTTGCCAGCAATTAGGAGCTGGATGCTCGACACTCATATCTCCAAGCTAGCGCCGCGGCAGGCCATCCGCAAGCGGATTCTTGAGAAATTGCGCCAACTTCTCCCTTATTTTATCGTGCCTGATTACTAAAGGCGTTTTTACAGAAATATAAAAATTTTGGCAGTCGACAAACGCGCTGCGTGGATGCGGTTAACTAGCCTTTTCGGGATTCTAGATTTGCGATGGTACCAGACAACGTTTTAACTTATTCTGTCTCTAAAGAGTGACATCGCCGTTTTACGAATTGCCCAGTTCTGATGGTGCTGTCACCCGGCGCGGAGTGTATATTGGACACCCCTACGAACCAGAGGATCACTGCGCATCTGCGCTCGTTTATCGTAGTGACGTGTTATTACTGTGTGTTAGGTTATCTGATATTACCTCCCATATTTTGGTATCGAGTCCGTAATGGGTGTAATGCCATTGAGTCATACTACCGATTAAATATTGATAAAAAGCGTGTTACAAATCGCTTAAAGATCCAATATCATGGGCTACGTATCATGCGTCGCTTCTATTGTAGCCACATATACTCGAATCGAAGCGTCTTATGAAATCTTTTGCGACCGATACCCCGGGCGTCTCCCTTCCGTTGGATTCAGACGCCGGCTAAGACGGCAGCGTCGCTCCGACTATACAGTCTTATAACTAATGATACACTACAACCAGTAACGCATATGATCGGTGAAAAACGTGATTTAATGCTTGTCTGATACTTATAATAGTTATTAAGCAAAAGTTATTCACCCGCAAGTCGCCCCGCATTACCCCGCGAATTCTGTACTTAAGTGCACAGAGACACGCACCCCTCAAGATGGTAGATACGCATCCAGGTAAACGGTTGATTTTGTCCCCCAGCCGTCTAATATGCATCGTTACTCTGACGGTTGCATCATTATGCCGCCCGGCGGCATCCGTCATTATAAGCCCTGTGCGACAGTGTGTTGATCAGGGAGGGAAGCCAGTAACTGAAGGTGACTGCCAGTGGCGGTCTCATACAAACATCGATGTTAAGGGTGGTGAGGTAGGTATCACACTCCATGAATAATCAATGCCTTTCAGGAGAGTGTCAGCTATGTTCTGCGCCGCAAGGACAATCCCAATAGCGGCCTGTATATTCACATACAGACCTCCGAAACTGCATTAAATTATGGGCTAGAATATGTTATGGTAAGTTCCACGTTGAGTCGATGTTGATATATGCCCATCAGGATGTTCCACGTATGTACCGCGAACACAACCGAAGTCTTACTTATGGTCAAATGCAAGGACAATGTGATAATTGCGATGCGATTTCACTAGATGCCTGTACAACTGAAGATGACATTCCCCCTCCACTAAAGGGCCAATTCAAGAACAAGGTTTGCTGCATTTGCAATGTCAACGCACATGATGGATCGGCCCGTGAAAATTTTAGCTGTTCGGGCATATCTTCCTACTTTATGTATGGTAAATGTGTGAGCATGAGTTGTTTGGAGGCCGTGGGACCTTGGTATTCTATTTATAAACCGGCCTACCCACCTGACATATATCGGAGAATATTTGTGGACGTCTACGCATTTGATGGTGACGATGGCGTGATTCCAGATGGTAAGCTACTGAGTGTTATTAATATATCAACATATAGTTGCTACAAAGGGTTACCATTTCAGTGAGAATGAGGAAGAGAGACGTTACTTAAAAGAGCCCGTTTACAAAGACAACCACTACAAGTTCACAATATCTGCCAACGCACTGGCTTTTAAAAACGAGGAGCTGGACATCAAAGTGACTCTTATCAAACAACAGTGGTTGGATGGTAATGCTCCCCAGAAGCTTGAGAAATATGTCGCCGTGCCAACGTGGCCCGAGAGTGATGAGACTGTACAGGGTAGCTCGCTGAAGGTGTGTTTATCCACTACTGGCCATCAATGTTATTCAGTATGATTGTGAGCAAGCTTCCCGAGAAGAGCATATATGTGAGCATGGCCAAGATGCACAGTGTCGTATGGAAAGGTGCGCGCTTAATGTCCGCGCCATAGAAGCCGACGCCATTGACACCACCGGAACGCAGTGCGACAAGATCGGTGTTTCAATGGGCACCTGGGGTAACGAAGGCCGACTCTGTAACACAAGTAAAAATAGTTGCATACAAAATCAGCTGGGCTGGTATCTTGATGAGAAGGGCGACAAGGTTTGTTCTTATAATCATCTATTTCATATGAGTATCAGGCACGGTTACCCAAATTATACGGTGCACAACCTATGTTGGCACACAAGAGGGTTGCTCCCCCGGCAAAACCTCTCGCTTCAAGTAAAGCAGCGGCTCCGGGCCCCAAGACTGCACTTAAACTAACCATATCCGAAGAAGAAGAAGAAGATGACGAAGATGACGAAGATGACGACGACGATGAAATTTCTGAGTGGCATGATGATACCGTTTCTCATGCCATCGCCTATTCCGTGGGTGCAGCCGATACATCTCGTATCGAAATAGACACCTTTGAGGCCACTGTAACGCTTATTATTGCTGAAGCCGTAGGATTTATTGTCAGCGCAAAGGTTGATGGAACATGTGCGATTGCAAGCGATTCTATCTGCAGAATAATGATTGTTACCAAGAATGTAGGGGAAATACGCGCATCCTTCAGTCACCGTATCCATTGCTACGACGCTGATGGTCTTAGTCAGACTGAAGTGGCGTCAGCAGCCGAGCATAGCGTCTCTGTGGATCCTAATAGTACAGCATCTTCTGCGATTCCTCTAAACATATTGGCAAGTGGAAATTCGGATAAGATCAATTGCAACATCGATTTGTTTTCTTCTACTGTAACCCTTCTTGAGACAGTAACTATACAAGTGACTCTTTCTGGGCCAGTCGCAACAATGGGAATGGACGTTCGGTCGTACGACAGCATAACTGATACTTCACAGGAGAATCACACTGTGAAAGTTGACGATATCCCAGTGAGCAATCAATGCAACTGTACTGGTTTTGCTGTAGCATGTTTCTTTGGTAATTTCAAGAGTTGTATGGGCTACGCATTCAACAAATACTACACCTGGTTTGTGGTTGGTATATCAGCTATCAGCGTCGTCGTCCTCTTACCTGTTCTGATCCCACTTGGCAGTTTGATTATAAACAGAATCAGTGCGAGTATAGCTCGCTCTCGCATTGCCGCTCAACAACGGCGTCAACTTTTGGCGGAGCGTTCAACGCACCTATCAAATGACGTGTAATAGCGGCGCAGTACAACATTATTACAGACTGTCACAGCATTTTAATTTTAACATACGGGACCTCGATTCATCTACGTTGAGCGCACGCGCAGCGTTCGAGGTTGATGGTTTTTCATATCTTTTTGGGTTGCGCAGAATTTCCTGTGCTAGCAGTTCAAAGACTGCAGAAATATTCTGCCCTGTCTTGGCACTTGTTTCTACAATCATGAGCGAGTTTTCTTTAGCATATGCCTTTGCGTTAGCGAGTGTTTGTTCATGTTCCTCTTTAGAACCAAGCAAATCTACTTTGTTGGCTACTAGAACGACGAGTGTTTGGTTGGAGTTCGCGACTCTAATCTGGTCAACCCACGAGACAGCATGTTGCAGGCTTGGCGGCGACGATATATCAAGGATAACTATTGCGCATGCTGCGCCACGGTAGTATATGGGTGCGATACTCTTGAAGCGCTCTTGTCCGGCCGTGTCCCAGATGTCAAATTTGACAGCAACCTGCTCCGCAGGAGCGTCATCAGAAGATGTCGCTATTGGAACAGTCCTCTTAGCGTTCCTTTCTCTTGAAGCTGCTGCTGTATCAGCAACTCCCTTCGATCCTTGTGTGTTGCAACGTACAGTATGGGTGAAGAATGCTGCTCCGATTGTTGAGTTTGTGCTGTCTGAAAACTCCCCTCGGGTTAGCCTTACCGCAAAACTCGACTTGCCTACAGAGGCGTCTCCGAGTAAGACCGTTTTATAACTCTTTTTTGCAGTCATGTTTGGACCCACGGCATGTGTCGAGCGAGGGTGTTGAACGCTCGTCGGTGCGCCTAGGGTAACCGACGACGCTCAGACAGATAGATTCCTTTTATCAATGGCAGCAGAACCTACTGATACCGTTTGTGAAGGTGAGACACACGGTACAGAAATCTTCAACCCTGTGGCCTGTGTACACACAGCCGTTACAGCGGCAAAGCGTCACACTCCCGACGCCTGTGGAGTTATAAATATACAGAATCACTGTTTGTCAGCGTAAATAAGGGGTATTGGGTACGCCCACCAAACCTATCATGTGCCCCGAGCTCAAGGGGGCTCGCGCATATGAGACAATTCGGCTCAACAACGTCACATCAGACCCTGTTAATCAGTGATTCTTTGAGAAGGTCGGTCACTGAATCATAAGCCTAGGAGTGGCAACGTATAATTGAGCTAGTCGCTATAGTTGTCGCTCTATATGCGCCTGGAGGTTATAGCGTAGACCTCATGGCCTGTCCAACTTCACTTCTAAAAACTTACTGCATTACGTGAACTCGCAACGGTGACACCTATGCGGATACCCAGCGCTTCACCTTGTGGGCCAGTTGTAAACTTCGAAACGCATTGCTCAGACTTCTTCCACCCTAGTGTCTTAGCCTACGTTCTGCGCAATCGCGCAGCCCACCTCGCCAGGCATGGTCGCCGCACCGGAACTTTGGCACCCGGAGTACGCGATGAGCTATGGCAAATAGGAGCGGCTGCGACAAGCGTTAGCGCCAATATTGAACCACAGACTGCAGCAACGTTGCTGCTGTCTTTCTCCAAACTTGTAAGTTTGATGATCCAGAACGCTTTCCATATCCATTTTGAGATATATTGTGTATAGTGTTTTCAAATATCACCTATTTTAAGTTAGGTTGTTAAATATTATAAACATCTTGTCCTTTTCAATGTTATTGTCTAAGTGTCACATCATCACCTTCAACCTGAATCCACATCTTATCAGGGTCAATCTATTCCCTATGCTGTCAAAGCTCTAACAGCATCATTTAACTTTGAGCGTGCAAGACCGAAAGCTATCGCACTTACACTGAACGCTTTCTCTCGGCAGCCTCGGGTTCTGAGTCATGTAGATTCGCACTTTTGGGATAGACTCTCTGATGCTGTTGAACGAACTGAATCTCAATTCACCCCTCAAGATTCCGCGGCGTGCGCACTTTCGATAACGGGGATTCTTGCAGCGAATCGGGGTAAGCACGCATTAGGGGACGCTGTGCCGTTAGACGACTCGACGGCCCGAAAGCTTAGGAATGTCTATTCCACTGTGCTGCAATATCTGGAACGGATGCTAAACGAGCTTGACTCACATTCATTCAAGACAAGGGATCTATCGTGTAGTTTACAGGCCGTGTATGCGTCAAGGATAGAAGCTCCCACACTTATTATAGCTATTCTTAATAAGCTAAAGGAAGTCATCCCAACGTCTCTACATGGTATGATCAGTTTTTATCTTTCTTTTAGTCGCTTATAGGCATTGACGACGTACTGTTTACTCTCGATCTCCTGCCGCCTCCATGCCTAATCGGTGACACCGTCGAGCAACGTCGGATCAAGAGGGACGTTGCACGTGCTGAAAAAGCGTTTGTTGAATGGGCATTCGATTATCTCGAGGAGCATCTCGATTGTCTTAGAGATCGAGAATTAGGTAGAATTGCAGCGGCTTGTAATCGTCTACGTTCGTGGTCTAGTGACAATTTTGCGATAAAATTCGCACAAACTTGGGAGGCACTGCTTAGTGCATCTGAAGAGATACCTCCGAATTCCTTAAGCCAGGGAGCATGTTACTTTTTGCGTCGCTATGAGGCCTCGGTATCCCGGGAGCTCGCAGCTCGGGACGAGGCAAAACAGCTCAGCATTTCTCGCGTATCGGATGTATGTGCACGCATTGGAGAGATGCTACATGAATATGCGAGAACTCACTACAGCAAAGATGATCTGCTTCGCGTGGAGGAGGTAATGGATATCGCCGAGCAATGCCGGGCTAAACGCACAGGCAAACAACATCCTCGCCCGTTATAGAACAACACAACTATGAATGCAGTATAGATTGCTTATATGTACTTACTGTTAGTGCCCCAACGTGTTACCGACGAGCAAAGTGTGTACCTGATTTCGATCACACATAAAAGAGCGATTCCATGAGTATCGCATTCTGCGTTATTCAACTTATACGTCGGGGTTGAAATACATGTTTTTAAAATCTTGCTAGACATAAGGTTGCATATTTAGTATATGCAAAGGTTATACTTTGCTCAACGTTTGGCTACAGGCAACGCCTGAGTTGTGTTACCTCGTTTGTTCGATATTTGCTTGGACAGAAATACCACCCAACTATTGCTACGGTCTCTGACTGCAACTTCGTGTTCACGGCGTAGCTCAGCCAACATGATACCCTGTGACCTACGGTAGAAGTCGGAAACTTCTGTAGGTATCTGGTCACGTTGATCTACGTCGATGTCATCTAGACCTTCTTGATCATTTCCAAAGGCGAACAACCTCAACAATAACCGTAACAGCTTCCTGCTACGATTGAGTGTATTGGAATGTATCGCGAGAGATAGGATATCCACCTTGGTCGCGTCGCCACTTAGATTAGACATGACCACAACATCGTCATGATCCAGGTATGAAATTATTTTTTCTAGATTTCCTGCAAGGCGTGATAAGTATGCACATACGGCCTTAGGATTGACACGTTTTATCAACGACTTGAGTTCGTCAGTTTCTGAAATACTATTAGGGTATCGTCGTTAACTACCTACTTTGAGATTCAAACAATTTTCTTGAGCACAGCTTCTGGAAATCCCGCAAAACAACAATGTGGAAACATGTTGATTCTGTATTTTTGTTTTCACGCAGTACATCACCAAGACGCTCAACTGAAGATGCATCGTCCGACGTCGGCTCCACTGATACCGTCACATCCATCAGCTACGTATGATGTATCGAAATGCAAATGAAACCTACCGATTCATATTCCTTCCCCATAGGGTCGAATATGTGGATCTTCGGTGCGGGATAAGGATCATCCGATTGAACCATTAGAGAATACGCGTGTGGCCCCAGGATATCAACGACGTATGTGATTGGCGGTTCCAGCTTAGTGACACCTTCCATAGCAAGGTACATCGTGGTAACCGCATCTGTGTATGAATCGTGACCATTCTCACGTATCAATTCCAATTGCAGATGCATCTTGGCCTGCAAGGTATGCGTTAGTGGAGCGGCATGCTTACCAGTGATTTCAAAGAGGGTTTGTTGAAGCGTTTAGGTGGAGTGTACTGTACTGCCGTATCGAGAACATATAAATGTTTAATTTCGCACGCCCTGAATTCATATAAATCAAGTGATAGATGACGTACTTCAAATCGTTTTCCAGGGAGTGTCCTACTAATAGCGTATCTTTATCTAGTAAACGATTGAGACACTCCTGGATATCCGCGAGCGTAACCGTCACCCCTTCTAACGATTCTTCCGTGATTCCAGAGTATGGAGTACGGTAATCTGTGACAGGTTCTTCTGGGCGTACCATCACGTCACAAACCACCCTGAATAGGGTGTCGACAATGGTGATACGTGCGAGTGCTGTTCTTGTTCCTGCAGTAACCATTTCGCAATCTATTGCAAACGTTTTAGTGAATATAGGATCACGGCTGAGTGTATGTGCCACGGAAGCATATCTCCGCAGAAGTGCCTCCCCCAAAACGAATGCATCTGTTTTCAAATCACCGTCAGATACCGACTCCTCGGCGGTAGTGTCCGAGCTCTTGGATTCAGGTACTTCGGTGAATTGTGTAGCGAAATATCTGTCGAGATCGGCCCAGAGTTGTTCTGTGGTTTTGCACAGCCGCCTTGGTGCTGAACAATTTGCCATCAACACCTCAAAAAGCTTATCCTCAGATATATCAGGTCCCACGACGTTAGACACGGCACTCGGTGTATCCGATACGTTTCGATACTCTTCTGTGAATGCGAAATGCCAGTTTTCCAATTTACTGAGGTCCACATTGTTCAGAGTGAACTGGGCAATGGAGCATGGCATCGCATGCGATGCCGATTGCTTAACATCCATGAAAATCAGTTTCTATGGCACATTTTCGTCTATTATATAGTTATATACCTTTATGATGGCACATTGGCTATTATCATCGTGAGTTTTTGGCGTTTTACTGCGCAAGATGATCCCATTGTTACACAGTGAACCTACAGTCTACAGAGAGTACTGCCTTCACTTGACATGATTACCGCTTTTAGTGCATCTAGATCGTCCATCAAATAGTCGGCATCTAGGTATGGAACGGCGATAATGACATTGTTATGTGCTTTGTTTCTTTTATGTCTCAGGGTAAGAGGGCATTTTGTACGTGAAGGTTGGCACATTAGCCTATAAGATATGAATCAATGAAGGTAACACTAACCATGTGATAAAACACTGTAGTTGTTTCCAATCCAATGCCGAACTGCGATGTTGTAGCAACGGCTGCAGCGTATAGCCAGCCGCGGTGCCTCCGTCCGTCGACTCGGCCATTTTAACGTTCACATATGTCAACTAAAGTTATGTTTCATTTGATTTAGTATTAATTCGAATTATTGGCTATATATAGCGGTAAATATTTGTCTAGAATCTCTCCTGGTAGGAACGTTAAAGGCAACGTATAGGCGCGTTATTTACACACGCCGGACACTCACCAGCCTTCTCCTGTTGTGCTTCCATGGACGATCTCAATTCCATGTGTTTTGCCATTATATTCTATTAGACATCAATGATTAATAAACCGCATCCTACGTTGATTTTCTCAATTGCTTTAGTCAAAACAGAGAGTTGGGACTCCTGGTCGTGCAGAAGTTTCTTTACTAGGAACCTATAACCCCTTTACAATTTTACAGTTGGTACCAACTTATCCACAGATATCAGGGTACCCAGCCTTTTCTTGCAGTGCCGTACAAAGTTCGCCGCCGTTAGTTGTGTAGGGGTGTATAGGAATATGAGTCTGATGATTCTTAGACAGCAATGTTAAGCACTTACTCTGGGTTTTCGTGCATGAGAACTGAATCCTTTTCTGCATCGGTACACATCGAGAGTACAACTCCTAGGTGTTCGCCTAGAATCTCATCATCTATTCCTAGGCTCTCCTTGATGTACTTCATAAAATGCATTACAAAGCGGGTTTACCAACCTCAATGCATCGTGAACGTAGCACATGCATGGAATCTGAAGTATGCAATACTAGGAAGTTGAAACCGAGAGCATCGCATACCGTGGCTTCCAGCTCAAACACACCTAACCTATGTGACACAGAATGCAATAGCACTTACGTGAGATATTCAGTCCTTCTACAGGTCCTAGCAGTTTGTCCACGTAGTAGTTTCTCCACATATCTTCCGATTTTATGGCGAGTGTGATGCAGGTGAACCTGTATCATCTCATTGTAATTGCACATCTCTGACATACATCACTAGCCTCGGGTCGTGTTCTAGCATTGAACGGCGTATGTAAAAACGGTTGAAGAATGTTAATGACGTTTCCTGTAGTTATGTGTTCTTATATAGTCTATCGCTACCTTGACTGCATCCTTAAGATGCTGTGCAGCGACGAAACGAGACAGTTGCAATGCATAGAAACGGATAAGCCACAGCTCTTCATCCAGCGTAGGTAGCTCTTTCTCATCAACTTTGGTACTGGCTGTGATATTGTGTATAGGTTATTGATGCTTATTATATAGATATTTATGTTTTCTTGGAACAATCTCTCACCTTTTATACGTTCTAATGCTGCATAAAACGTGTGTTCTTGCAACTCCTTTAGATGCGATACCGATCGCAGTAGCCATCTACTAATATGTGTACAGTTACTGGGCCATATGGATGGATCTTTCTTCTCCTTTTCCTCCATTACTCCGCCTGGAGCGGGTGTCCGGGACTATGTGTGCCCTTCACTAATACCCCTCTTCCGACAGTTGGCGCATTTATATGTAACCGTAATGATTTTATATTACTCTGGATGTGTAGAAGCTTGGCTGAGCGGCGTAATATCCGCTGATATCTTGGATGACTTTTGTCGATGCTGTGGGGAGTACCTCCGCTCAAAGTTAAGATAAAACAACCATAGACAATAGCATTAAGCGCTTACCCGTACACACATACAATATTGTGACTTACAGGTATAGTAGATCGTATCGGTTAGGTTATTAAGCTCCTAAAGGCAGATTAAGTTCTAGCTTTTTTCTATACATATGTTGTTCAAAAACCCTGTGCTATGTACACAGCTTATATTACACTATCGCGAAAATTTACATCGCAACATTCAATATAATTGTCCTCCTAAAATATGACGGAGCCAAATAAGCTCTCCAGCTTGCTGGATGGAGCTGAAGCCACAACGGACGCTAACCACAGCTATACTGCTCAAAATGCACTGGAAAGTGAAGCAGTAACCCTTATGGCGAAGTTGGATCGCGTTGACCTTGCGCAAGGTAGGTGCTATGATTGGCTATCTAATGGTATTCAGTGGTATTAGCACTGGGCGCACACGTAGATGTCGAGCAAGTTATACGGCAAGTCGTACCTCATGCCGTGGGTAAACCGGTATGTTATCACGAATGTTTCACATAGGTGTGACAGAATGTTGATCCGGAGACCCAGGAGGAGGAACTTACTGGTATCAACTTGCTTGATTCCGAATCTCTTCCGTCTACAAATGAAGACATCTCTATTGATGGAGAATCGCAATCAGGACCTGAATACTTCTTACAAATTGCCAAATATGCACCTTTGCGTTTGACACTGGGTGAACGTAAACTCATGCGTTTGCTTGATAGCACTCTTCATGTTAGTGAGTACACTGACAAGATCGACATTTTACACGAGGGTAACAAATCTCGTAAGATCCTTCGTGAGATCAAGGAAGTATGTGCAATTCTAAGTGGTTTGGCGGTGGCACACAACTATGACGATGGTCAACGGCTAGTACGAGACCGAGAGTATGCTGCTAATGCTGAGTTTTTTAGAAACGTCTTCGAAATTGGTAGACGTTACAAGATACTAAACCCTGATAAGATCAGGAATTCTTATGGGAAACTTATCTATTTCCTCATGGACTCACGAAAGCCAGAGATACAAGAGCTACTGAATTTCGATTGTGTTGCACCCGTAAAAACGGTGTTTGGCCTACTTGCTACGAAACGACGTGGTCTTGAGCTACTTCAGGACCCTAAGATACGTATAGCTACAATGGAGATTTCACCAGAAGGCAAAACTCGTGCCGATGTTCAGCGTGAAATCTCCGCTAAAGAAGAGGCTGTGCGGTACCTCACAAACAAATATGCACGTAAGAAGGGTTCTGGAATAATGGGTATCGAATTTTCATTTTTGACTCGACCATTTGCTGGCTCTAACGAGGCTCAGGATGAAGGTGAGATGACCGCCGACGAGTTGCAGACTTGTCTATATTCTCTGTCGGACCACAACTCACACTTGAGAGCTTTCCGTCGCCCTTGTGACATAATGATCGCATACCTTAAGGATAACTTTAATCCAAGCGAATCCAATCCGAAATATAATCTGTCTATTTCCGCAGGAAGTGAAGGGTCAAGGCTTAGTCACGGCCATGCGCGACAGTTTACCTATGTCTTGCAATCGTTAACTTTGTGGCGTGAAATCGCTCACGACATGTTTGCTTTATGGCATTATGCGGAAGCGGACTTACTTGACGCTGGTAACCCTTACAGGTTGAGGAATACCGGTCAGGGTCTCAACCGTGTTCAGGATGGTCACAATGTGATAAACGGTATGCGTAGGATTTTACACCGAGTACAGCAGCAGGTTGGATCTTGGGTTGGATCTAATATGGTTCACCTTGGTGACCACAATGTGCCCAATTCATTTATGTTCATCGACAAGTATACTCAAATTCCCCGCATACTCTCACCTATCGTTTCGTGTATTGAAAAGATACCGGAATTGTATAAGTCTACAACTGCTATGAAGACGTATATTGACACCCAATTTGGTGGTCCAAAGCATCTAAAGATGCTAATTTTGACAGACTTCTTTAGACATGCCTTCGACGGCAGTGGAGCTGACAATTTCAATGACGCCGGTAGCTGTATTGACGGTCGTCTAACTTCGGCATGGAACTGGTGTTCGAAGATCGAGAAGAAGAAATACTTCCCCGTATTTTTGCTCACCTCTTTCTGTGGTTTTGACGGCAGATTCGGCGAGGGATGAACATTGTGTAGACCATTTTATTAAATTAATTTATAAAATTCACGTAGCTGATTTTTTATCCACGGCAAGTGCTTTACTAAAGCTTCGAACTCGCTGCGACGGAACATCAGCGTCGGTCGTGTACCGCAGCAGAGTACAAGGGTAGGTTCCGTCCTCATTCCATCCTTGAGTGCTCTTCGCATAACGAAAATGTTGCGTCCAAACGGGGCAAACTGGCATCAACATGTGTTAGATTCACTGTTCAACTTACCGAGCCGTTGCCTACTATGATACGTGAAGGCGGTGGCCAACCCTCGTAGGTGATACTACACCGCGACTGCTCTGCTACCAGCTGCTTGAAAGCCTCGAGACTGACAATAATGTTACTTCTGTGCGATGGTAGATGCCGCTTGAGCAGCGGTGCGGCTAATTTCATAGTGTGCGAATGAACGTTGTCCACTCCACCTGCGGCAGCATGTCCAGTGCTGTTAGGCCGTTACAACGGTGAAGACAACAATAATTTCTTATTTATTAGGGTGTGCTATATCTAGGAAGCTAATTGTCACTAAATTTTGGAATATTTTACTATGCTCTAAGTTAGTTGCTAGATGATGGTGGATGCGAGAAGGTACGCATTAGAACACCGGTACGACCAGAAGCTAACTACTTCGACACCAATATACAGACTAGCCAATAGTTAAAACTCACTTGATCAAGTCGGGTGAAATCAAAACAGTTATTAAAACGTTCTTGCGTTGCACACGTCATCATTAACACCGATTCAGACATATGAATAACCCATCTACATGACGCGATCAGGCTGCCATAACACTTAGTTACACGTCCTGGTACCTCTTCTTCACTTGGGGAGCGGGTGGCGTGCTTTGACGCAGTGTACTCAACGGAGCTCGCGACGTCACCACCCCATCGTCTAGAGCTGAAGCGCGGAAATGCCGACACGAAGGCATGAATATTTACTGATTTTGATACACCATACCGTATAATCCGTAAGTTGGCAGTTCATAATTTGTAGGGCCGGATAATAATGGCAGGCGGACGTGGATTTTATGTGCATGGTCGATTAGTATAAGCTGCTTGAGCAATACGTGCGCCTCGGCTGTAGCGGTTCAGAACCATAGCAGACAGGGATTTACCAATGTACATTTCGCAGTAATTGTTTGTGACAGACCGCGAAGTGTGCGACGCAATAAGGGCAGGCGTTGTTAGAACGGGTATACCGGAACATAAAGTTTCAATAATTGCGACAAAGCTTACATGCGCCGGCTCGCAATCAACATACACGACTCACCCACACGAGAACTTAGTGTTATCTTACCGGCAAGCATCAAGAATTTTACCGCCGTAATAACAAGCGTGCGGCTCATAGCTGTGGTAGTGAAGCCGCAGTTAAACTGAAGCACCGGGGAGATGGTTTTTGGTGGGTGCAGCATTCACTAAGAATGCGCATTTGCAGAAATGCTACATGGATGAGGAACTTCAGATAGTGGACGTGTGGTCGGATAACTTAGAAGATGCATTCGAGAGAATAAGAGACATTCTGGAGCGATACCCGTATGTTGCGATAGATACGGAATTTCCGGGTATCGTGGCCAAACCGACCAGCTACCAGGAAGATTACAATTACCAGACCGTGAAGTGCAATGTCGACTTGCTGAAACTCATACAATTAGGGCTGACCTTCGCTGATGCGGATGGTCAGACACCTAGTGGAGTGTCAACATGGCAATTTAACTTCAAATTCGACTTACAGCGGGATATGTACGCTTATGATTCAATAGAGCTACTGAAGCAAAGTGGAATAGATTTTGAGAAACATCTTCGCAAAGGAATTGATGTCGCACATTTCGGAGAGCTTATCATTTCATCCGGACTCGTTATGAATGAGGATGTTGTATGGGTTAGCTTTCACGGCAGCTATGACTTTGCTTATGTGCTCAAATTGCTCACTTGCACTGCACTTCCTGCTAACCAGTCGGAATTTTTTGAATTGCTGCATGACTTCTTCCCTTCGTTGTATGATATCAAATTTCTACTCGACGAGCAGTCTATCAATTTATCTAGCCGCACCAGTTTGCAAAGAATTGCTGAGCATCTGGACGTCAAAAGAATTGGACCGCAACATCAAGCTGGAAGTGACAGCTTAGTTACGTGTCGAACTTTTTTTAAACTCATGCAAAGATATTTTGACAACAAGCTCGACGATGAGAAGTATCAAGGGATCATATACGGACTGGGTAAGGCATCAGCACAGCTGCACAACGATTGTAAGAGCGATGGATTGTACAACACACCAACGTACCCCGTAGCGGTACCGTACTCGAACGGGTCTTCATCAGTTAAATGGGGATCAGAAATGCCGCCACATCATGTACAAACCACGCTCAATCCGGGCATTGTGAACGCAAAACTGCATACCACAACGTCCGGTGCGGTCATTTTAAATTCGTCTACGCCAAACACGCTGGCCGCCGATGTGTCAAGCCCAATGGGAGCTACAGTGCTACCTGCGAGTGTTACTTTGGTCAACAGCAACGCGATTGGTAATATGAACGAGATCAGCTTTTACGATGCCTCGCACTTCAACCAGTAGTCGAATATTTTTTGTCCGCACTACTATTTTGCTGGGTCTCTCGCATCATCATCCGTTATCCGGTGATCACACACGTCATTTCTATACAATGTTCACCTGTGGCAAAAGCTGCCATTATTGAGTGATATCAGATTCAGAAACACCTTAACATTATGCTCTAAGTTATGATTATTTCATATGGGTTGGGCCTAGTGGCGTGGTCGTTGGCCTGTGCGTGGGCCGATTAATCTGTCCTGTTTTTGTTGAGTACGTCATGTCTTCTAATTTCATCTTCGCTCTTGGGGTAAGCTGTTAGTGCCATGCGGCACGCTTCCAAGCACTGCACATTTTATCATTCCCGATATACATCTACTTACGGCATATTTCTTCACGTCGTCGTAGTCGATGAATGGTGTTCCGGCATCCGCTTGTATGGCGGGCTTTTCTGATATTGGTCGAGGATACATTTTGTTACACCGCGCTTCACATCCAGTTGCCAACATCTTGTATGTGATCTCAATACCTGTTACTCCAGACAGTCTAAGTACTATGGCGATAATAAAGCTGAAAGGTAGCAATATCCTTCGTAAGACAACCATTTTTATATAATATATTCCAGTTCTATGATACACTGTTGGTATATATACCGGCACCTCCCAGTTCTTGTCTACACAGATGTCGAAAATTGCTCCAACAACTCTTATGATATTAGATCGATTAAGTTGATCTGTTGTTTTAAAACATAAACCTTATTACGCGCCTATTCTCTTCACTACGGCGTCAATGAGATACTTTATTTATATAGATATTTGACTACTAATTGTGGTAGCAGTTTCCATCTAATGAAAATGGATCTATATCGATAGTGGATCTCGGTATATTTTAATTCTATCGAGGAAATATTCGGTCACCCTGTATCCGTGAGATCCGCAAAAATGATACCAGTTCTATTTTCAAGATGATACTGAAAACTTCCATGAAAAAGCTATTTGCTACTATAGCCTTGTTGTCGCTATTGGTAGCCTCTGCAGAGGGAAAGTTCATTGGGTACTTCAATGGGCAATGTGACGACCTTTGCAAGCAGTGTAAATATGAGTGCGAGTCAAAGTTCAAGGCGGGGACCTTCAAGCGGTGGTTTGTAGGTTTTAAACAGTTTCCTTCATGCTCAATGTTTGGCAGTGTAAGGGGAAGTGCAAGTTTAATACAACTAAGTAAATAGCCTAGACGTGGCAGGTACTCTCTCCTGTACCCGGCGAGAGGTCATCGCTTTAATTACCCAGATCCCATGGGAATTCAAATATGAACACTTATACAAAGACTGAGATTAATGTTTAATAAAGGTTGTTGTAGTTCCATGTAAGATGAAGTGCCCACCGTACACTGAGTTGGCGCTACGCCGCAGTAACCGCTCTCTACTTTAGGGCTCAGCGTGATTTGTCTTGAAATTATTAAAAGTGAGATCGAACGGAGATATAACTTTGGTATAGCATTTTCTCGTAGGATAGAACCATCCTGCTGGAGAGAACGGCATCAGCTTAATGATTATTTTGCGAATTTTCTGTATGAATTTTCATCCGTTGTAACAATGTCCTCCAGGGTTATAGATGCACTAATATAATTAACAGTTACTGTTTTTTCGCAACAATTAAAACGCACTATAAATTCAGTACTCCAAGATGCATTTTTTTACAGCGATCGTTACAGCGCTGATGCTGATATCAGGGTTCACTAGTGCTGAAACTGACGTACGCCGGAGACAGCAGTGTATCGACAAGTGCATAAGTAACCAGAAGGGCAAATTCCTGCGTCCAGCCCATAGATTGATGGTACGTTAGTATTAGAAGACGAAAAATTTGTGCAGTGTAAAATTTATTGCAATAAGAGACACGGTAGTGAACCACTTGTGGAAAACCTGTCACTGCATCCAGCTTTCAACGGGCAAGATGCATTGTTTAGGTCTTGAACATCACATTAGGTTTGTTAATGTATTATAAGTCGTACACCTTCGCATAGGGTGCCCTTGTACTTTGAAAATACTGTGAACAAACCTAGATGAGAATGAGATCGCCCATCCGGTAGTAAACCAAATGAACAGCAGGGTATGAGGATTGTCACGGAATAACAATTCTAAAACAGCCTTCTTAATGCTAAATCATATATAGCTCTTTATAATGTTCAACATGGGTAATATGATTGTGACTCTGTGATTGCATTGCTGTAAGGTAACATCGACAATGATATCCCTTTGCAGACATAACTGCGAAAGGTTGATACAGTTAATCAGAGATCGTATGGCGGGACGTCGGCCATATTAAAGCTGCAACCTAGTGTAATACGGTTTGATGGGCCTATCTATTCGCTTAGATGTGGGTTTCTCATGTTACGCTGTATAGGCCAAGGTTTCGTTATGCTGGGACGCACAATAGTTCGTTTTATACCTACACCTCATTAAATAAAAATAAAAACATTTTGAAGATTATAATTTCAGTAAAATATCCCATATACATTTACACCCGGTGCTTCGTAACCACATGTGTCGTCACGGAGTTATTTGTTCCAACTAACGACGAATATTCCTAATAGACACCGGAACCATCATCTGAAGGATCATTTTTCAGGAAGAGTGGTGGCATTGCCGCTCGTGTATTGCGCAGTGGAGACGCTAGGCGCTACTCCATCGAATCAGGACATCGACATCACCTTCTATCGCAAACGATGAATCCTCCGCAAGCTCTAAGACTGATAATACTGAGATACACGTATTATGTTTCGAGGAAGAGCGTTCGATGTTGCCATCTAGAATGATGCGACATAGTCTGTCTATTGTAACTCGATTTCACGATGAGATACTGCATAGCATTTGCAAGTGAAGGATGCATAGCTAAAGTATGTCTAGTATTACTCTGTTTGTGTACTCTATGTGCCACGTATGTTGGTGCAGTGAGCGTTTCTATTGGTGCAGAATATGCCCAGCTGTACCCTCATCTACCTCAAGCAAAGACTTGCGGTTATAATGGTCATGTGAATCGGCCACTGGCATACATTGCAAACTGCAGACATGAAAGAAATCATAATCGTATATCATCTGATTACAAGAGGAACTTGCTGCTGAATTCCGAGGATGAGCCTGTTGGTTATGCTGAAGAGGAGGGTTTTTTCAGGGGGTTACTCCGGGGTCGAAGGTTGTTCCGCAGGGGGGAAAGGATACCTTCTGGAATGATGCATCAAGAGTATAAGCGAATCATCCCCGAAAGTGATCCTTGGGATGAACAGGATTTTGGAGGGATACCTAATCTTCCTCGTAGGATACCTATAGAGCTGTCTAACGACCCCGTCAACGAAGAATTTATTGAGATGCGAAAGAGACAAATCCCGCATTCCATACTAAAAAATTATTATATGATCACAACGGATGAGCCTGGTTTGGTGAAGGATTATGGTAATACGTTTAAGCCTTTGTTTGAAGGCCCCTATGAGGATACGGACCTTTATCTTCTGGGTCAGGGTATCACGACTCCCTTTGTGTATGATGACGATGAAGCTCTTGAATCCCCTGCAGGGGGAGTTAGTCAGCATTCTGATATAACACGAAGCAGTACATCGTCTCTAGAGGAGGGCGAAGAGCCGGATGAAGAGATCGATGAGAATGTCAGGATTGCTCGCGAACTATGGCACACTTATAATGACAAAGACCGTGTGTGCCAACTTATGCTTTCTTCGATGAGTGATTACCAAGATGCTAATTTGTCACCAATGGCGCCGGATGAATTACCAGATGACGCCGATTTCTTCGATTCTCATCTGGGAAGGTATTTCATTACGGACAGTTGCGGTTCTCCTATGTGGCTTACTGACTGGAACGAGGAGTATCTGCGTGGTCTGGAGGGCCTCGAGGGCAAAGAATTGATTGACTACGAAAAGATGTGGTACGAAAGGCTTGATAAATTAGTTGAGCGTTATGATCGTTTGATACCAGATGATAATCCAATCAAAAAGGTATGGGAATACTTTGCTGATGTGGACAGCGATGAAGCGTCGCTTAGACAATCGGGTCTCCGTCACCGAGGGCCACCACGTGTTATCATTGGAGGCAAGGTCTTAAAGACAAAATGGTCCGAACATATCCCTCCAATCCTGCTTGAGTACCTAACGAAACACTCATCTGTTAGTCGACTGAATAACATCAAAGAGAAGGACCAGCGGCAGCGATCACTCGATATCAAAGCGGATGCATTTAGGTCTTGTATTGACATGTCTATGAACCGTCTAATAAAAGAACGTAAGTTACGTGCTGAAGAGGAAGATCGTCGCAAATACATTGCATTTTTACATGAACGAAGGAAGCACTTAGGGACAAGCCATATAGGAGCACAACCGAACACACCATACTGGTTGTGGGAGGAGTGTTGGAAGAATCGCGATAGCCTTGTTCCGGATACCATGTTAGAGATCCTACGTGGCATAAGGGCTGTGGATCCGACTACCGACATTACCGATTTGACTAAGGGGACTATTGAGAGCATGAAATCCCCGAAGCTTCATGGTACTAAATTTGACACACGTATATACCTGGATAATCTCGCAGCGGATAGAACTCTTCGTCTTGGAGAATATATCGATGCATGTAAGCAAGAGGATAGAAAGGCTGAGACTGATGTGGCAAATAACGGCAGTTCAGGGGAAGAACATAAAGAGGGTTATGACGAGAAGATCGACGGCTTGCCCCTCCCGTTACCTCTAGGTTACTATTTCCGCGACGTTTTATCCCTTGATAAATTTGAAGAAGCATTTGAAAGCTTCAACGAGGAATCGTTTGGTACCAAGGAATACTGCGTGAATGTCGGTCAGCTAGTGAAGGGCACTGTTGAGGATGTGAAACCAAGACGTTTGTTGGTAGACATCCATAGTGGCAAGTTTGCAGTAATGTATCTAAACGACCATTATAGCACCCCTGACGATGTTCCATCAGGGGGTTTTACCGCGGAGTTTAGGAAAGGGGATGAAATGTACTTCGAGGTGCTGTCAAAGTACGGTAGCGATATAAGGGTATCGACACGTCGGATCCAGGATATGTACAAGCATCGCGATATTTATCGCAAGCATTTCAAGCGTGAAATATTTAAGGTGCGTGCAATACAAAGGTACACTATGGGTCTGCTTGTTCAGTTCCAGGGTGACGACATCCAGGACATAAAGGATTACGAATGTCCATCTGATGTCCACAACTTGGATAACCTGGCTTTCATTCCCTACGAAGAGTTGGACCAGAGATATTGCAGCGATGTGCAGAGGATACGCTTCGATGTTGTTGGTAAAGTTATTCCTGTATTCATTGCTAACTGGTCTATTTGTCACGGGATTCCTCTTCTCTCCAATATTGAGGCCATAAGGAGGCTTCCTCTAGCTCATATCCGACGTGGTGACATAATCTGCGCTAAACAGTGTATGTATGGTAAAGAATCGGTTTGGTTGAACATGGGTCATACTTTATGTACTCTTTCCGTGATGGATATGGACCCCGAAGCTTATGAGAAGCATAAACGTGGTGATCGTGGTCTGGTTTTGGCGGAGGTCAAGAATGTGCATATGTTAGCTGGTAACGTGGAGCTTACCACCAAGGGCATCAAAACATCGAGTAGAGGGGCGTCTGTGAATGAATGGATGGAGCGCATCCATCTGGACCCCGACCCTGTGAGAACGTTTAACGAAAGGCTGAGGGGCGATGTCAATTCTGCAATGACACTGACAGCCACCGAGCCTATGCCTTCTGGTACAGAGCTTAACCCTATCCACAACGTTCCTAAAATGGTACTTTCCACGCCGTCTATACCCCGTTTACCACCTGTAAAGCCGGATGATGGAAAGGGTGACTGGAGTGGTATTCGTTGGGACTTTACTGCCACCGCATCGCCTCACCGTGATGAGGATGAGCTGCAACATGGTTACAACCAATATCGGTGGGAAGTTCTAACTGAGCAAGGTTGGGACATCATCCCGCCAGGAGAGCAACTTATCCTCAACCGTGCTAAGTTCCAACACGATGATGTTGTGTACTACGAATATGAAGGTCGATCTTACCGTGCTGATCTTTTGGATATGTTACGCGAGAACCTCACTGATTTCATTGAGCAGCCTCTGCGTAACAACTGTGTTGTACCTCTTGACGACGATGAGCTTCAAGAAGCTATGGGTTTGATAAGGCTGAATGCGGATGCCGGCACCCTTTAGGTTGCGTTAAACATAAGGCAAAGGTGCCTAGTATAACTTTTAGAGATATAATTTTAGTTTTTCCTACACGCATTCACTTCATATAGTACTAGCAGATACGCAAGACATTGAATAGTATGTCTGGTTTTAGAAATTGGTTATAACCAGCATTCTATAGAAATTTAAAGTTAGAATCGCATTTCCGCGATGCATGGTTATGCTGGAATCAAGAAATGTTGTTTTTCGCAACGGTGTGCTCCAGCGCTTTTTCTCTCTTGATATATAACTTCAAATTCTATGCTTCATTTGTATAGCGATATCTCTTGCATCACCTTGGGTTTCATCCACCATTTTTATGATTATTTTGCAGTAACTCACTCCGCATCGCTTTTACCTTCGACATAGACCCACTCATCATTACCCTCGGTATTTTTTTCATCTTGTGTTTTTGTTTTGGAGAAATGTGATTTAAATGTTTCGCCGAACTTTTGTTTAGTTCCCTGGAAGCTAGGACGCCTGGAGCCTGGAGCTGGTGTATCCTTGGTTATACGTGTAGCCCTTGTTGTTTTGTTATCTGATTGCTCTTCAGACGGCTCATCATCATAGAGTTCATCTTCGTCCGTGTATTCATCATCCGATGCGTCATCATAAAGTTCATGATCATAATTGTATATCCTCTTAATATATCTCATGAAGCTTCTTTTTCTAAATCTTTTATATAAATAATATGCTAGGTAGGAGGTGGCCAAAACGCCGAGAACTCCAACACCTGCTAGCGATACATTGAATCTTCGATTCTGAGACATGATTATAGAAGTTTGGTTAATCTTGTGTCTTCTAGCTATAATGTATTTCTGGCTATATCACCGTAATACATCTCAATAGTCTTGAGCGCGTACTTTTTTGGCGCTGTAGAGTATCTAGTCGGCACACAGGGGTACCTCTTCTAGATCAGGGCAATAAAAAATGTATCAATGTGTAAAACAACGAACTATTGGTCGCAGTGTTCTACAACTTATCACAATAACCACCTAGTGTGCCACACCTTTGCAACCGGACAATATCACCTATTGTCTCACCCTATGGGTCGGTTACATCCGATGTCTAAACGTTCCTAATATTCAGTGACCGATAATGTGATCGTTAGTAAATCGCTCAGTGTAAATCATTTTATGGAATCTTTGTAGAATCCACGTAACCAAGGATTCGGTCGCATATTGGCGACGCCATCTGTTGCGTATGAGCCGTCTAAGGCTCACGCAAATTTCCCTATATCTACTATTCGCCGCTCTGCGCGCTGTGCCCAGTGTTGGCGCAGCTGGTGTGCGCTTAGCGTGCGAAACCAGTGTGTCGGCATTTCCAACGCTTTGTTGCGTCAATAAGGTTTCGCACATCCGTCCTCGGTCTTTTGAACATATCGCAACACATCCTGCTGTGACATGTAAGGTACAGCAGCAAGGAAAATCGGCCTTCGTGATCTCAGGATGCAACAGACCTACGGTGTCTAATTCCACCAAGAAACGTAAAGGTAAGTTATGCTTTAAGAGCCTTACAGCGTGAATGAAGGTGTTGATACAAATGTATCGGTCATTGGGAAGCTTGACACCAACGGTGTACCACTATGGAACGATCGGCGGCAAGTGGCGTGCAGCCTTGCTGTAGTCGATCGCGTGGTGGAGTTTGGCAACAATATACGTGAGCTTGTAAAAAGGGTAGTACATCCTCAAATTGTTAGCGATGAATACTACCAATATGCCCATTGGCGTATGTTAGAACGGTTTGCAATAGCTGCTGGATTGGCACTTGCTGGGCAGGTGAACCCTGTGCAACCATCTTCAGCGAAAGAGAAGACCGAAGTAACCGCCGATTCTGGAGACCACAGTTGGCTCTCATGGATGACACGTAGCAAGGTCAGCTCTGCTCTTACCAACATGGTTCTCAAAGATATCGTATCCCGGGCATTCAACTTTGTATGGTTCGGAAAGATCGGAGCTGGTTTTGATGACAACCCTAAGGCATTCAGGTTATTGGGTGGACTTTTGTGTAGTGTTGCTGGAGTCACATCTTTTGCTGGTAATGCCGTCAGAGTGGACTCGAAAGTTCTACTAAATGTCTGTGTTAACGTACTGAAACATGTTGGTATGTTGACAATGTTAGCATCACAGGCTGCTTTCCACAGCACTTTCTGTGTGAAAAATGCAGCAACTAATGTCGGTGAAATAACTGCTAAGCTGGAAGCACAAAGTCCGATATGTGATTTTTTGGGAATGGCTACTGGGATGCAGCTTGGGTCATTGTTGTCTGAAACATCTCTCTCTGCGCAAGCTGGAGCTTTTGCTGCCATATGTCTTACATCTAATCTTGCTACATATATGTGTGCCAAGAGTGTATGTTTCCGTACCCTTAACCCGCAACGATGTTTCGTCCTCCTTGAAGACTTCGCTAGTGTCCTATTGCGCAGGTTAGATAGGTACCTGAGGTACCATAAAATGCGACTCGAGGCGTTAAGGCATCGTGCTGACTACGATGATGGTGAGGAGACCGATGACGATAATAGCGATTCGGAGGGATCATCTAGTAGCAGCAATTCATGTTTTGAGGACGATGAGTGTGGAGCTATTGCGGAAATGATACATGACTATGAGTTTGATACAGCTAACAGGTTGCTTAGCAGGTTTACATCCAAGCATTTATGTAACAAGCTCAAAAGGGGCAGGGAAAGGGATGACACCGGTGACGATGTACGGTATCCTAATGAGCCATTAAACTTGGTACAAAAACGTATCGGTATCACGTTTTTAACACCGGAACAAGTAGCTGCACGTGAACCTTTGTTATTCCCATGGCGTGACGGCGCACTGAAGCATGGTGCTGTTAAATACTCTCTGGCCGATATGTCTATTTGTCCTGCTACAATTGCGGAGTATCTAAAGATCTTTAAAGGCGAACGCTTCGTTGTCGCTTTGGGATCCGATGGTGTGGTCGAATGTGCTATTCACCGTTCGGCGAAACCTCGTGATGCTATGCTTGCGATATTAACGTACAATATTGCCGAGAAGCTCTGGACACTTCTAGATGAATCTATGGACACTGGTTTTATCGACCATCAATTGGAGCAGATATGGGATATGTGCAAGCGTTCGGCGGTAAGCCTGAAAGAGGTGCTAATACGTCTCAACACCAAGGTGAACGTACGGCCGGCCCCTGCTACAAGGACCTATGACCGAGAGCAGTTGCAAGAGGAGATGCAACTATGGAAATGGGGACTTCAAACGGTTAGATACGCTTACAACGTCGCACAGGCATGTATCGACGAAGTGATGTTAAGTGCACAAGCTGCTAAATGGGATGTAGAAAAGTTTGAGCTATGTTCGCCATTCAAGCACTAATAGAAGAAGACAGCTGGTCTTCCTGGGAACGCCGATTCTCGAACATTTGTTGAGTCTCTTTCGTGCGGTTCGCTGTGCGGCAGTACGTGGAGCTCTGCGTGACATTAGACTAAATTAATTGCATCATACCTTTGACCTCCAACGACATCTGTACAAATGGCGCTATTGAGCGCAAAAATGAAAGTTCACAGTATGGCAGCTCCAAAAGCAACGCGCTTGCGCCTAGAACAGCGACGTCACGCAGTTGGAAGCTTGCAAAAGCGAGCATCGTCTTCTTGTCTGATGGTGAAGCATTTTTCACAATATCAGATGATGACATAGCCTTGATCACGTCTTTCTCAGACATAGATCCGCTAACTACATCCATCGATTGCAGCTCTCGTAAAACCTTCTGGTGTAGTGCTGGGTATTCCCTGTAACAGATTGGGGATAATGTATCCACAACCTACTTCGCCACGTATATGACTGCACCAGTGAATTCCTCTGTAGCCGCTGCCCCTTTCTTCTTTCGTGTCATTGCCTGAGACCTGTCCTTGTATTTTCGGAATTCGTCCAAGTTCTTGTAGAGTAGTTTCACTTGCCTGCGAGAGCTATGGCAATATCTACAGAGTAACCTACCGGTGTAGTCCCCAATCAATAGCGGGCAAGGTTGGCCAAAGTTCGCCAACCAGTGAACTGCTGTTATTCAGTACCTTGCGCCAAATGTACTCACAAATATGAGGCACAATAGGGTTAGCGATACGGCAGAACGTCTCGTGGTACAACCGCAGTGCTTCGTAGTCGAGGTCACCCTGCGACATCTGCAAGTAGTTCCGTCTGGCACTAATGTAGTCGTAGAAGCAGTATTTGAGAGCATCCCTGTATATGAATCCTGTGTAAGCCTCCTTGGTACGTTCTGCAAGCACACATAATTCGTTCAAGAAGACGCTCTTGGCATATTCCGAAATGCTACTGCCACTAGATGATCGCCCTGCAAGTTCCATGTCAGATTGTGCCGACTGTAATATGGTATGAAGTTTTAAAATAGCTGCTTCTGCCGTTTCCTTAGCAAAATTTGCATCATCTAACCCATCACCGGCATCTGCCAATGCCACACGAGTTCCGTCCGCTGTGTATTGAGCGATTGCATCTTCAAGCGTTAGGAAGTTGCCCTTAGACTTTGACATTTTTTCAGAATCCACAAGGACGTGACCGACGCAAAGATATGACCTTGGCATGGCTTCAATTGACGTTACACCGTTCCAAATTGCATTGTGTACAAACAGACTCATTGTCAAATGGTTGAATATTAGATCCTTACCAGAACATCGTAGGTCAACTGGGTACCAGTATGAGAAATCATCTCTCATTTGTCTCAGCTTCTCGCATGTAAATTCATCCAGATGTTCTGGAGCAGAGTCCCTTAGGTGAAATACATAATCAAATACGTCAGGTGTCAACTGTTTCGGTTGCAATCCCATGGAGCCGGGTGTTGTACCGAATATGTCACCTTGCAAATAATGAGCGATTGTATAGTATGCCATATATATTGTACTGTCAGAAAGACTCTCTATCAATGAATTCTTGTTCTGACTAATATCTTCCCATGGCAATACTGTCCCAAGCCCGTACGACCGACTGCAAGCCCAGTTGTCTAGCCAGCTAACGACATGTTTAACCTGGTTTAATGCCGATTCGGAATAACAAGTGAACCTTTCAGGGTCGTTTACGTGTTCCATAACCCGTTGTTTCCAAGCGGGGTCACCAAATTTGGTGTACCACTGGTTGCATAGTGCAACAATGCATACATCTCCCGCACGTGCAACCACACGTTTGTTCGGTTCGTAGTATACAAATGCATTTTCAGCACGTACCATATCCTCTCGAATGGTATCTTTTACATCTGATACTTTCCTCCCGCTGTAAGGTCCTACCGCCATCACACCTTCGTAAAACCCGCGTTTGTACAGTATCTCTTTACAACGTTCAAGTTTAACAGCATCCTTACTTGACACTACCTTTTCCTGTTGGCACACCAATTCAGCTGCACATTTACCCAATCCTGGTATGTCGATCACCGGAACAATGTCCAGGCTACAGTGTATGGGTTCTACGTTGTACTTCTCCTTGTAATATGCACCCTTCTTGCGTATTTCTGACAAAGTGATATAGTCATCGGGTGAATCACTAGGTACGCATGACACTATACCAGTGCCCTTTTCCATGGAGATAGTTAGCATGGGTAGGACGTATATGCGTTCGTGTACGCTCAAAGGGCTCCTAAGGGCGGACCCTATCAAATCCATACCGGTACACTGCGCTACGGTATGTAATTCGCTTAATTTTGAATCCGTAGGGCGTAATAACACTAGACCCTGGTATGCCATGTTCAAGGCAGCACGTCCTGATGTAACGTATAAGCAATCAGATGTTTTCACTGCTTCCTCAATATCAGCAATGGTTTCCACCACCCCAACATCATTGAACTTCAATTTTGCGGAACTTAGACCCAGAACCACCTCGTAATTGCCTTCAGGTAACACGAAGCAATTTGTCTGTCCGTACATCGTCTCGGGTCTCAATGTTGCCGCCAATAAGAAGATTTGCTTGGAAGCTAGTACATCCTTGAAGTTGTTGTAGCGCGGGTCTATGTTATCCAGAATGTGAAATTGTGAATCTTCCAATCGCATCTTTATCACGGTGTATTCCTGTGCAGTTGCACCTTCACCCTCAGCACGGTCGTGGTCAGCACAGGGCTGCATGACAGACCGGCTGAAAATGGATGGTCTACATCCAAAATGTAGCGTGTCCAATGCTTTCATACGTGTGAACTGCCATTCTACAAATGCGTTATAATATGGATTTCGGTTAGTAGTGATAAATGTACGTCTCCAATCGACAGATGTACCGAACCTCCGTAAATCCTGAACAGCCAACGGTGAGAAATATGTTAACCAATGTTGTGGATCGGCGAACTTCGGTATCTCTTTATCGCTAATGCCCATATGGCGCATGATATCCATTTGTGTCATCTGTGTAATATGTGATAATATACGAGCGGGTTGTTACCTTAACATTCGACTTTGCTGCCAATTTGGTCTTCTTAGAACTAAACTTTGTGCAATCTTTTTCCTGGGTCTGTTCTGGAGCAGTTTCTGTAACCTCGGGCTCAGCTTGTACTACAGCAGGTGGTTCTGGTTTGTTCAACTGAAAAACGTGCTTAAGGTATTGACTATATCACTTACATCGATCATTTCAGCTTTAATTTTGTCTGCACAAGCCATAATAGGCATTCCTGGGTGGATTTTGAATATGATTTTTTTAGATTTTACCTGTGCAGTGCAAACCGAACGGCCATAGTACCGCTTTTCCTTGAGTTCGTTGGAACCTAGCTTGAAATTCAGCTTTTGACATACTAAAAGCATGGCCTATATGCAGTCGGCCGTTCATGTACGGGTATGGAAATGTGCAGAAGTATTTCTCGACGGATCGAGATGTTGGCACAGAGGCCTCGTATACTCGTCCTTCCTGCCACCATGCCCGTACAAGTGCTTCATTCTCCAATAACTGTGCTCTTTTCGACATATTGTCAGAACTTGTTGCAATGTAATTAATGAAACAGGGCTATATCTGTGTTATACCAGTCGCGCGTATGGAGGGCGATATTTATCCTTAATACGGTCAGAATGAATTTATACGCCCATGTAATCAACCTATAATTCCATGTTAATCTAGTACCCCGCTCAGGTCATCAGGATGGCCGATGATGGCGGCTCTGCTAGCGGTGTTTCAGCAAGACATGACACCATTTCTGTGGATAATATAAAGACACATCCTACAGTCACCGCTTTGTCGAATGCTATCGCAGGAGCGGCGTGTACATTGATCACACAGCCTATTGCGGCTCTAAGGACTAGACTGCAATCGCTTAATATATATAACCATGGGATACCTAACGATAACAAGAATAAAATCAAATCTATACTTAATATAAGTATGAAAGATGGGATTTTCACATTGTATCGTGGTGGTGGTTGTTCTATGGTAATATCTGCAGTTGGATGGTTTTTGTTTAGGTTCACCTTCGACGCAATATCGCAGAGTAAGATTGTAGAACTTGAAAGTAACACTGCTACTAAACTTGCTAACGGCTCGCTTAGTAGCCTGATTACTACAGCGGTATTACATCCAGCATGGAACGCAAAACTCAACCTTGAACTACAAACTGGCAGGACCAAGATGGATGGTTGGCCACAGTACCGGGGAGCGACACACTATTTATTAAGCACATTCCGCAAAGAGGGCATCGCAGCGTTATATAAAGGTTGGGAAGCTAATTTGGTAGGGGTATTCTATTACGGGTTCGTTATATGTCTCTATGAGTCACTTTCTGAATTTGACTGGCAACGTTACAAGGCCTTGCAAAACGCACAAAATTTTAAACCTGTCGTCAACGGTATGATTGCTAGGATCATACCTACAGCACTGTGCTATCCAGTTTATGTCAGCAGGACCATGCAAATATGCTTCGCAACAGAACTCACTCATCGCAAGTTGCATGAAGTATTCTTTTGGACTCTGAAAAACAAGAAACTCAAAGGGCTATATGCTGGATTCCAGATGCAACTTGTCAAATCAATCATAAGCGGAGGTATCACTTTCGGATTCTACGAAGCGATACTTGCCGCTATCGTACGGGGATACAACTTCGTCCATGATTGAAACCCCGACAAATGCGCATCTCACACAACTACAACAATCGTAAACTCATGGGATGACCCCATGCAATAATATGGCTAATGTAGTACACATTCATATTAACAAATGTGTCAACGCTAGGGTAGATACGTGATGGTGTCCTCCGATAACGTGAGGTATTCCCTCCCACGTAAATTCTCTACACGCGCCAATAAGTCCTGCATCATGTTAACATTTGTGGAGGTCTACGTGTCCATACCTCTCGAGAGAAATGCGATAGCTGTAATAGCAGGTCGTCGCGTTTCAAGCTCTTCACAGACTTAAGTAGTGACATTATGCACGCATCGATTGCGGCGAGAGGGTCAATTGCTGATCCTGTTTAGCCATATTTCACAACACGGATAGTATAACGTACCACGAGCTGCGGTGCCCATATTAGTGCGATAGCTCGGCACAGCATCGACCGTCACATCAGTGCCGTCGACAAAGCCAGAGTTCAGTTCCACTGTGTCATCACCCTGCAACCAGTAACCATCTTATGTCGATCACATACCGCCAAACGCAAGACACCCTTATCCACCAGTGGTTTTATAATAGATATCGCAGCATCCTTGTTAACGCCCAGGCCACTGGCAAGGTCATCTACAGGCATCGAGTCTTCTGTGAAAAGTAAGACTGCAGAAGCCTGTACAAGGTCACATATCAATTTCCTGCTGTCCAATTCCAATTCTGCACGGCCAAGCATGCGATTTATGACCACCTGGCGATGTAGTTGGTTCCTTTGCGATTCGTGAAATTCCGATATTCCCAGCTCAAACTCGGTGTGCAGCTTAATGCTCTCCGCATAATCTGTACAATGTAAATATGTGGTAACATTTACCAACCTCTTAAAGAAGGCCAATTGGCCTTTGATATAAGTTTGATTTTGTCGTGGGCCTTGGTTGATCGAGCCTCGGTCGCCTCCTTGATCATACGACGAAGTTGCGCCGCTTCTTCCGACGGTATACAAGGTTCTAGCATAGAAAGAGAAAGTTGCTCTTTCTGCAAAGAACTTGTCTCATACAGTAGTCTTGCTGCTAGTTTATATTTATAACACTGAGAGAAACACGTATTCTCTTCCGAAAGCTCCAACAGATCACAACACTGTCTCAAGCGTTTATCGACGTCGATCCCCGACACTAGCACATTATCCCAATGATCAACGAGCTTTTTGACAAAATCGACGTGGTGGGATATCACATACTTGAATCCTAAACGAGTCGCTTGGGTGATTTGGGGGTCTATCTCGTAGCGATCAACCAAAGATGAGCAGTTATCCGACACGGCGCTTAGCCCCGTGGACGACTGATCCATGCCATCCGATTCTCCATTCTCTATTGTGGCATTTTGCGATTTATACGAAAAGCAGCGTTCTAGAAGGCCTTGATAATGGAGCCAGGATGCTAGGATATCCTCAAGTGAGTTGATTTTGCTCCCATAACTTTGTACACAGCCCTTCAAAGACTCTGCCATGGTGACAACACTCCGTTCGATATCGTGCAGTAACTTATAGATCAAGCCGATGTCCTAAAGAAGTTGATTGCATAAACTAATAAGGACCTACCGCTTCGTTACCCTCATCAACCACTGATCCAAACTCCTTAAGCTTGTTTAAGAGCTCCTTTTCTCTCGATTTAATCAGAACAGAATACAGTGTATCCATGAGATGTACTTTAGTTGTTTTGTGAAGCCAACGGTCACAGTCTTTACGTTCCTGTTCCAAACAGTGCTGCCCATTTTGAGCTAACCTAACCCAAGGAACCCACCTCAACTATGCTAACGTAATCCACCAAGTTACAATCTTCCACCCATATAGCTGCCATTGTGGTATAATATTTAGATGCGCGTTCTATAATCTCTGGCTCGATCTCCATTTTGTATTGACCCTGGCCGCTGGAGTCCAGCTCGTTGAACATCTGTGACAGGGCATCGGCAGTGAATTCATCAATATCGGTAGCCGTACGTTTGTGATCAAGCATTTCCAGAAACGTATTCTTCAGTGTTGCCTTGTGTTTCACAAAAATCTGGCAGCATGTGATACTTTTTTAGATTTAGACAAACCTTGTTACGAAACTGTTCCAAACCCATGCACCTCATGCTAGGGTTATAGGAATAGTATACGTAGAATCTGTCCAGATATGAGAAAAGGTTGCTCACAGCAAAGACGTAGGACCGGTAGCGTATCCATGTTTCAACAATGGTGTCTGCAGAGTCTCCAATCGATGTGACCTATGAAACATGGATCTATTACGAACCTTACACACCTTTCGGTTGATATATTCCGAAAAGAGTTGTGATACTCTTAAATAAAGCGATTCTTCATTGTTACTTTCAGGAGCCGTGCACAGTGAATAAACGATCCTGTTAAGAATAAGCCCACTGACCCTTGAAACTTACGAATAACCCTTTAAATACTCTGAAGGTGTTAATATAGGCCTGGGAGGCGAGCGTATGTCCATGGAATCCACATAATTAACGATCCTATGATCATATCTCCTCAAGCGTCTAAAGGTGAACACACCTGGCTAGGTGATCACGGCTGAGTATATCCCAGCCATCATCAAGATTGTATGTATGTGAAGACGTTTGCATTGTATTAATTAAAGTACGTCGGACACCCCTTATATAACTCGAGCACATCCAGTTGCTCTCGGGTGAATTTATGTACGTGGGCCTGCGACCACGCGTCCATGTGTGACTTATAAAAATCTTGTAATGTAGCTTGGACAGTGCGCTGTAGTGTGTCAAAATTCAATATCAACATCACCTACCCTCACGGTATCCGGGAAACGTGATGCGCCGCAACTGGCCTGTAGTATTGTTGAGATCGTGTAGAACATTTGGAAACTTACCAATGTAGTCAAGGTATGAGGTAACCATTTGGGCACATGGTAAGGTGAAGTTGCCACCAAGGCTGCTAGACCCAGTACACCTGCATTAGCAAGGTCGCCATTCTTGTCTTTAGTCAGGGCGTAGAACCGTTCTGTCAATTCGAGGTGTACCTGGTCTCGGGCAGATATGGTGATTGAAGTTAATGCGCTGCGCGCATTATCACGAACCTGACGGTCGTTAAGCGCAGCGATATACATCTCAAGTAGCATCTTTACCACACCCGTGTTACGTAGGTACATACACAAATTACGCTGTAACATCGTAGCAACCTGGATAGAATTTGCCTTTGTCTTGTTCAATTGTGCCTTGCATGTAGTCTCCAGGGTACGCACTATAGCCTCCACTGTAGTCAAGTTGTTCCTAGAATGATATGGAGACATTGCGATGTTGTGAACAGCACGTGTCGCCACATCGCTTATCGTAGGGTTGGAACTGGCACTAAACCTTAAGCAAAATTCCAAATATTGAGATGTATACTGGTGACCTAGGTCCTGTGCCGGTAACGACATGGAATATAACAACCCAATCACAGATAATAACCCTTTAATTGATAATTCAGCCGTATCATCTTGATAATCTTTTCCCTCGACACTGGCAATCAATTTTGAAATACAATTGTGAACACGATCCTTGAAACCGCCTAATTCGTTGTAAGTGCAACAGAGAGAGACTAAAAATGAACATAGGTATCCCACCTCGTCAACTACTTGTAAAGAATCGTTAAATATTGTAGATTCGTTCAAAATACCGTCACAAAGCTTATCAAACAGATGATGGTTAAGTGTAGTTACCTGTTGAAGCACAGCCTGATACAATTTAAGCTGTTTTACCACACCAAGGCTCGTGTTATTGCCGTTGATCAAATCGCATGAATGTAAAGCGGTCATGCTAAGGGGCGCTCCGAAGTTAATAGCAAGATTGAAAATAGGTATGCAACCTTCACATGAAAAATCAGACCCGTCTATAGCCAAACGTAACCCATCCATAAAGTCGACAATACGATCCGGTACTAAAGCATCTAACTCACGTTTAAATACAGGATGGAAGATCCGCCAAAAATGCTCACGAAGTGGACTGGGTGCACGTAACGATGCTTTCATCAATCCAGCTGATATCTCAGCGAAGGCACAATGGTTCTCGGAGACAGTTGGTGGACTTGAAGCTATCTCGTCCAATACTGACACAGCTCGCTCGACAACCTCCATATAACCACCATCAAAGACACGGCAGAAGTAATGGTAAGCCACCAAGAAGTTTTGCATAGAAAAGGCTTTAGAGTTAGAACTTACACGGTTACGTGGCCATGATCGCTCCAATTTGATAACACTTGTAACAATAGCATTCGATTGCTTCACTGTTGATGAATTGTCCTGCTTGATAGAATCATGGTTAACCGCGCAAATCGAATTCAGCAAGATGTTGGCGAAATTTGGAGACCACAATTCAGATGGGAGATCTGTAGATACAACCGAATCACTTAATAAACGGTAGAGACCCGAAAGTGCCACCGTAACCACACATGGATGCTTAGTAGTATGGTTACTTACTTCTATCAGCCATGAAATGTATCTTCCGAAACTTTCACGTGGGATCAAGTGCCTGAAAGTTACAAGAAGTGACGTTGCATAAAGTTGGAACCGCCAATGTGTAGCAGCCTGTACCTGTTTTAATCCATCATCAAAAACAGAATCCAAAGTGGAGTTCATGGTCTCAGTTGTGGCGGCAGTTGGAGAAAGTTGCTCGCGACAATTGATTAGAGATAACAACAGGTTGTCGTACTTGCTCATCAACGAGTCCTTGTTAGGAGTGGTCAGCACAACTCCAAAAATGAACTTGCAAAACTTGCTGAACAGATATGGTTTGTTGACAATATGTTTAACAAGCGGTATGGATAAAATATCTGGAATGCATGATAGACATTCGAGGACACTGCTGGACCCATCAGCAGATTTGGGGTATATTTCCATACCACGCTCTAGCAAATAGTCGCACACATCGCTCCTCAGCTTACGGTGCACAGATGTCAAAGGCTTTATCAACTGTTGTGCATATCCAGACACATCCTTGTATTGACATATTGCACATTGTAATACCATATTCAACAGTTGACGACGTGGACCTTCGCAATAATGACCTAATTTGCGGAGATTCAAACGCTCATTGTATCGCTCGTGTAACATCAAAAGCCATGTTGCACGAGGTGCATCCTGCCAGAACCCTTTGCTGTGGATACCGTGATAAAACGACATCCAAGGTAACATCGATCTTCCGGCAGTGATAGTAGTGCCTACGTGTGACTCCTGTTTCATCGAACCTACTAAAGAACCGCTATCGAGTATCGAGTTATTATCTCTTAAAATTGCATGACGACACAGATATTCATCCGCCACCTTCAAAAGCTTTGCGAATAGCTTTGTTACCATAAGATCGTTGATAGAATCGATACCTCCATATTTCGATAATACTGAGAGGATGAAGTCTAAAACAAACTGTTGTAGACGATGGGTTTCAGTGCATTCGATAGGGGTGACTTTGGGTAACCCTGTTGCACTTATATCACGGTCATCGACGATAAAGTTTTTGAGGCCACGTAACATACTCTTTGCCAAACTGCAAGCGCGATTTGTTCGGACATACAGTGTCTGAGTCAAGTCAATCTCGACATCAAGATCCGTAGCACCCTCAGGTTTAACGGGATATGATATATCAATGAGGTCCTTAGTCAAATTGGTTATCATTTGCATGGAATACCAACACAGCTCCATTGCGCAGTCGATCTCCTGTTTAGACGCTATATGCCATTCCACACCACTTATCACACTAATATCACATTTCCCATTTCGAAATTGTGCATCTCTTGCAAACCATGGTAAGTCCCAAAGCAAGAGACCGGGATTCAAATCATCTTTGAAATTGTTTGAACAGTGCAAGTCAGTAAAATAGACACCGGTCAAGCTGTCAATACACCTTTGCAACAGTTTAGCGGTACTCTTGAACGCAGATTTCGACTTGTGTCCAAGACCCACTTTGAAAATATAACGTAAACTCGGTAAACGTGATACCAGATCAATCTTTGCTCGCCTTACTAAACCAGAAAAACATGATATAAACCATACAATTTGTGTCTCACTCAAACCGTCACTTGAATTTTCAACACCCCGTTTGAATTTTGCAAACAGTTTAGCAAATACGAGGTCCATAGTAATCGAACCATTAGCGTAACTGAGACTCGTTGCTATGGCTACCATGTATTTGAGTGCATCTTGGCGGAATGCGTTATCGCAGACCCATTGGACAAATGTTTCGCAGATAGTGCGAAAGGTGTAATCATCAGTTTGCGACAGTATAGTGACCAAAGCTGAGCGTGTCAATATGAACGTTCCCATATCAACGGCATTCATGAGAGAATCCGTACCAGAATTGGGTTTAGAGGAATTCTCTGCCAATTGTAACATGGCACGGAACCAATCCAGGCACCAGCATGAAAATGTTTGTGTAATATATCGGCGCTGATTAAGTAATGCATCCAATGCGGTAACCGCGTCATCCAATTTTTTTGCAGTCTTTAAAACTACCATATCACGTGAATATGTATCCTCAGGATTATCAGGCATTACCATCTCACCAGAGATGTGTAGCATAGCACTTCTCACATCTACAAGGTTGTTATCCAAAGCTAATTGGTCCAGTGATGTTTCTACGTCGCCAGTTTCACCTTCACCGCTCATATACATCGATCGTATAAGTTCCACCTTATCTTGATGTGATAGTTCAATGTCGCTCAGGTCGCGGCATGCCAGGTGTGAGAATATGACATTGACGAGTGTCAGAGTTTGACCAGTTTTGAAGGGATCTGACGAATCGATACCCTTTAGCGCAATCTCTAGTATAGGTATCAGTGCCTGTGGCGAATATGTTAAAATCAAAGGGATTAGCTGTGCAAATAAGCGTAGTGCACACAACATTTGGTGAGGTTCTGTGACACTTTCGCTTGATAGTATGAGGTGATCTAGGAGTCCTACCAAGGTCTTGTCAGGTAGTAGGTAGCACAACCTCTTGATGACATCTTCATATGCGTAAGCGACATGCATATTTTTAGAGTACATCCCTTGTAACGCCAAAGGATAGAAGAGTTCCACAATAGCATCGTCGTTGGCACGATTTAGACGCAGGTTCACTCCACTCTCCGTACTACCGGTTTTAGAACATACAACATTTGGCGATGCCCTTTCGCGGCACACTCTGCGAGTGTACGACAATACAAATTGTCTTACGAATAACGCTATATTGTATGACCATTTTCCACCGTTGGAGGGATGGGTGTAAGGGTATACTGCACTAACCACGGCGGTCAAATAATCCATAATATCCGATGCGAAGGTAGCACCTGCATCGGTTTCATTGCCGATTGGACACAATAGGTATGCTAACAGTTTCCCAAACTTTTTGCATATCTGTAATGGTTTTTCCAACAGTACTGTGAATTCTCCTGGTACCGACTCTTTACACCTAGATACTGTGACTATATTTGGAATTCCGAAAGTTGAATAGATTAGGTGAAAGAGGTATGGCAATCTAACAGTGATGTTTTCCACGATATACGTCTTCCCGGTAGCCCATCCGAATTTGGCCGCCCTCACGAGGAAACATAGCATCATTGCATTCCAAAAGTTAACCGTGCCTTCGTTGACCAAATTCCACCATTTAAAGATCTCACCGTCTACCATAAGCCTATATAATGCCGCATTAGGGCACATGATCAATATCAACCTGAATTTGAAAAAAATATCGTTATTCCTCAAGTCGATATCGCTGACATCACCTAGTACGCGTTTCACTAGAGTAAGTCCAATATCTTCACGGAATACCCATATATGACGCATTAGTGCGGTGAGCCGAACTAAAGTCCCCATCCAAGATTTACGTCTATGTGAGCTCATTCCTACGGGCGATTCCACCATATATTTGTTGAAAAGCTGTACCAGCATATCCATGGTTATGAAGTTAAGTCTGTTATCCAATGCTTTATGGCTGGCATAACTGTTTACTTCCCATACTGATGGTAAAGTCTGCCTCAAAGCTTGAAGCACCGATATCAATATTTGTAGCGACCTGATCCTGTTTTGCAATGTAATTTTGTCATGCGATTTAACAACATGTTTCAGGTCTTCTACCAATTCTTGTGTATACAGAGTCACATTTTGTGAATAATCTTCGGTAAAGACTTCATGAGCAGCCAATAGCCATAACCTCCGACATAAGGTCATTAGTCGATCCAGATTGGATGTGTCCAAGAGATACTTCTCATTAAGAGCATAATGGCACAACTGATCGCCATGGCTGAATAATCCTACCCAATCAGAGGATTCCCAACTTGTTTTAATGAGTTCGAATACTTCATTGTATTCCGTATCTCTTACATTTTTGACAAATGCGGGTAGCGCATTGTCAATCTCCGCAGAAACACGGAACAACACACCCTGATGGACTCCCATTATTTATAAAATTGTGGAACCGACCCTGGTCGAGGTCCACAAATTAAGAGTGCCGATGGTTCGTGATTCTACCGGCACGAGATGCACAGGTAACATCCCTGGGGCAATATTGCGTTACATTTATAGAAAAATCTAACATAAGGCAAAAATATATTTATACTTTATTAGTGTCATTGGCCGCCTCTTCAAAAACTACCTGGAGATATCGCTCATATGTGCGATGAGGTATGCAATAGCTCTGGAAAATGGTCATTTTCCACAAAGTTTTTGTTAACACCCTAAATAAGAGACCCTTTCAATTTAATCTAATAAGGTTTCATGTAGCGAAGATGTGTATTGTAGCCTCGTGTCAAGAACATAATAGATGACACACAACTAATCCAAAGATTCTGGTACCTCGTTTGAACTGTGTTATAGATATTTCCACACATTTAAACTGCTAAGTCAGATATGTACAGTGCCGCGTCTTAGCACGTGTTTTAGTTGGAACGTGTCGGCGTAATGGACAACCTATAGCCCGTCGATGGGCGCACTGGTCCAGTAACGACACAGTATGCGACACTTGACAGTTAACGGTAATATAAATGTGCATTGTAACTATGGGTAAGGTAAAATCTTTTTTCAGGGGACTTTCATGTCCGAAGTCAAGTAGTGGCAAAGGTGAGTACCCCAAAATCCAACGCCCGGCGACATATAACCCAACAGATGTTAGAAATAACAAAAAAATAAATAGAAGTACAACTAGTGATGAAGATGATTTCGTAAGTGTTATGCGAGGGGATAACTTCTCCTTCTCTACACCCGTCAACACAGAGGATATTACGGAGGAGAATCTGGAGCCCGAGATTACGGAGTTTAACCAAGGTATAGAAACTGGAAGCTCTATAGTCAATTTTAGAGATAATGCCCTAGTTGCTCTATGCAACACACTAAGTCTCAAAATCAGACATGTCCTTCTGCTCTCCTTGGTATGTATGCATCAGAACACAACAAAGGCACATCTCTATCGACATTTTGTCAAAAAGGTCGTTATTGTACTCGCGAGAAACCTGGATAAGAAAGCCAGGTAAGTTTTGTCATTCTTCAAGAAAATACTGGTACAGGCAAGCTGTGGTAACACTTAGGCAAAACGGGGTTCCACTCATCAAGCCACCTATAATTAACGGCGCGGTTACAATTTTAGCCGTCAGTCTTGCAAAAAATCTAAGGTGGAATCTCTTATCGGTGTTTTTCGAGCTGAGGTCTGTAAAGTCGACCTGCACTGTTGCCGACTCAAAAAACAAGCCGAAGGACTCCACAAATGATGCTAATGACCCTAGTGTAAGGGGACAGCCGGTCAACCAAGTGAAACCTACGACTGGTGGTGACGGTGGTTGTTCAAGTAGCAGTGGCAAAGAACCTGTGACCCGTAAATTAGGACTAAAGAAATCAACTGGAGAAATAATTGACAAAAGTAAAGTGAAAATCGGTGATAATATATTCAAGAACGCTATAAAGAACGTCAAAGTGAAATCACCAGTGACAGTGGAACATAAAGCAAACATAGTATGGGAGCTGGACTTCTTTACATGTGAACCATACTTGAAATATGTTAACAAGTCAATGGAGTGTTCTCAAATGACTCATCATGATATTTCTGAATAAGGTCCTCCGAAGCGTCACATTCACACCACAAGCGGTGGAACGCCTCAAGTTTCTAGCTGCCAAATACAACAGCAAAAGTCTAGTTGTATCCGTTACTGGAGGCGGGTGCTCTGGGTTCCAGTACCATTTCAATCTAGCTGATGATACTAGAGATATGAGGTAGGCCCGCTGGCTTGGTCTCATAATCAACAGGTGTATATACGACAATGAAAATTGTATCAAGGTATTCAGTGACGATGCTAGCTTGGAACTTATCGCATCCTGTACTATAGACTACGAACAAAATCTAGTCGGCTCAAAGTTCGTGTTAAATAATATCAAGAACGTAGCCAAGAGATGTTCGTGTGGTAACTCTTTCGACATTAAATATTAACTCTAAGAGATTTTTAACCTTCAACGTTTTATGCAAAGTATACTAGCCATTATAATTTCATAACGACAATTTGAATTGCAATTACCATAATACAATACAGAGTTTTCGCACCTGCGACATATAGCGCCCTTGATGGTAAAGGTGGCTACACCACTAAAACTGATTTGTGACTTATAGAGATACTATAGTACATTTTACATTAGTTCTCTGTTTTAACAACCTTTCGCGATGATCCACTGACATCACCAACTAGGTTGTTGGGGTTGGCCTTGCCAACCATTCGACCACCTTTGAAGAATGCGGTTACATAGTCAAAAAGACCCAACCGGTAACCGCAGTAAAGGAAAGGGATTAGAAGAACGCATTGAGTAGCAAGAATGGCATACGCTTCGGGTTCGTCATGATAGTCGCCGATTACATATAATATAAGCAAGACGAAGCATAAGATTACGAGTATACCAAGAGTTCCAAATGCGACTTCTGTTAGGTTAAAGTGCTGTCCAAAGAAACCCATGTAACAAGACAGTGAGAGTAATGCTGTAGTAAAAATGAAGTACAAGGAGATAAATATGGGTATTGATTTGTACGAAAAGTTGAATACCTCAAATAAGCCGTGTGTCGTCTTGCTAGTGTCTTCTTCTTCTTCTTCTTGTTCACTTTCAGCTTCGTTGCTCCTTAAGTTAGCGTACGAAGCTAACGTAACGCGTAGAATGATTATGGATGCAGTTGCCATGATCAAAGAGAATGCTACCAGCACTCCTAATACAATAAATATCATCTGACAGGTACTTAATGGTCGCTTGAAATTACACTGGCGGCACACACCGAAAATGAATGCGATAAAAAAGATTAAGAATAGAAGAACGAACGCATTTTCCGAGTAGTACGCACTTACAACATCCTCATCCTTGTCTGGTTCCGTGTGTAGAAAGATTTCCAATACAACCAACAGCAAACTGCACACGAATAACAGGATGCCGAGGCAGAGGCAGCCCTTCTGGCAGAGAGTAACACTTCCATCAGCGTGATATAGGCAACAACCGCAAACGACGAATAGGATCAAAAATATGGAGCCTAAAACTAAAAAAACGTAGACAACAGCTTTCGGGCGTGGCTTTGGCATCTGCGGTTCGACACTTGGTGTGAATCTTATCTTCTCCTTAGGCGACACCAACGTTGTCCCTGTGGCAACGAAAAAACAAATCAGGGACAGCGACCCCAACAATGCGAATAGTTTCTCCCCATTAGACAGTCTAGCAAGTTTCTGACCTAGAGTTAGAGTCTCTGATCCCTCAACCTTTTCTGCTGTAACCGCTGTCAACACTCCTAGCAGGAGGATTGCCAACTGCGGAACGGGTATCCCAAATGTACCTCGAAGAAACATCTTGTGTCTTTCCAGCTTCTCAGCACAAACCATTGTTCGTATTATTGCCAGATACGCTGATATAGGTGAGCATCTAGATTTCAGAAGGTAGTTGAGTGCGATCTTTAAAATGTCAATGGAGCTTGGTGTCCGAGGACATATCGATGGTAGAAATAACAGAAGTTAGTACTTCAATATTTGCGTTTATGCAGAACTTATGCTAATACACAATGCCTATAATGGCTACAGTGGTTTTGGCATTGAAGATTGAACCGCCGCCCCGCCCCTCCGTTGCGTTGCCCCTTGCAAGGTTCTTGCAAATCCTTCCGGGGGCACCCCCATTCACTCGTTGCAGAAAGATGTTGTCTTAATTCCCCACATATCTAGATTCTATCGGCTCTTCTGCGGCTATGATATAGTAGACGCGAAGTTGGAACTTCTGGCCATGGCCATGTGGAGATCCCCTAACAAGACGATCTTGATCGTATTCCACAGCCGCTAGTCCATCATATCGTCCTCCAATGAATGCGGATTTTCACATTGAACTAATCTAACAAGTCTTTCAAAAGGCTGTGAGCCTCGGCTTGTACCATTGTCCCCGTAGAGGTGACATGACTACATTGGCGCATTGTAAATGTTCTCCCAAACTGCCACCCCTGAGAATACCATTTTCGCTGCACAACATAGCCAATTAGAGGTTCCATTCCTTGGCAACCCCTAGGATGTAGCAGCGCATCCATTCACAGCAGTTGTCTACTCTGCCATGACCTCCTTATTGAAAAGGCGACAATATACTCCATCTTCCTGTGTTATGTCTGTCGTACTTCCCTTCAAACAATGAGATATTGCGTTCAGCATAGTAGATGGGCCGTTGATCGTTGATGTCCGCAAGAAGGAGGCCTTTGGTGGTCCTTCTTTGCACACCCCCTTTTGACGTTGAAATGTCATAGTACATCGGTGTAGGACGACAACGTTATTTCTATTTTGACGTCCAGCTAGCACATCTTGCCGTTCTCGGGAAATATGAACTCTCGCTTTCCCAAAGGACCGAACCAGGTACCCACTGTGTCAGTGGTCTACCACTCTACTGGCATTATTGAGGACCGCCAACGAATTTTTAAGGGCATCTACTGAAACTAGTAGTATAACATGATTGAGTAACGAAATATTCCATATAGACTAAATGTGTGATGTTATATGGTGGCCAACCCACGTGCCACACCATGCTTGGGTGCATGCATTTATAGGGCACGGTTGCACCCTAAGGTCTTGAGGAGCCATATAGAGAGCCACACAGTAATAACTTATGTTAACGACCTTCCTAATATATTAGTCTGTCATATAATGTGTTAACATGGCAATGTGTAGAATAGAAACTCAAGACTGTTTCCAGATTAGTACCTGAGGGCTTACTAAGGTGTTACACACCTCGGCCATAGAGCTATATCACACCTACGAATGAATAGAGCCCGGTTATAGAAATAACATTAATGTTAACAACTTCATTTGTGTTACGTTGGAAAATACCATATATCAGCAGGTGACAATGTCTTCTTCGTGAATAGACTGATTGGTAAAGCCAGGTCAGTGGGCGCCAATCTCCTGGAGAGTTTACTTAGACGTAACAGGGTTCCCATAACGTCATAAAATGTGTCTATCATGGTGATTTCTTCTATACAAGAATGAACAACGACATATGTAGGACTTAGTGGAGTTAATTAAGTATGCAGAGTTAGTGCCTTAAAAACATAATGACAGATCGAGGGGACGCATATCGTTTGTTCGATCTCTACGCCCATGCGATCCTCGAATCGATTGTAAGTTTGTCTCAGAAGTCTTCAGAAGCCAAAACAGGTTTTCCTCACCTGTGTGGGGAAGTATACACGAGCAAAAATATTTCACTTTTGCTGCTTTACAGCATCGCAAAATGACGTGGTTCTTGGACATTTGAAGGGAGTTGGATGTGAATCCCACGGCAAAATCCATGGTTGGGGCGTTACCGGCAGTTTGGTCAATAATGACTTTGCCAATAGGGCAGACGTCAGAGGGCCCAAAATAAGCGATCCTACCAGTGTAACAATCTAGATCTCATCCATATCGTATTGTTTGTACCATTTAAGGTCATTTGGGCTAGGTATTGCCATGTTGTAGATGTTTTTTGTGATATGGGCATACTGGTGACGATCCATGGCCTTGTCCACACTTGTAGCGGCACTGCCGCAGTACCATCTCCAGATTTACCTTACCCTACAATAGTGAGACGCCGCTGTTGATTCTGTGTAGTGTCGTTTGACCATAATTAAGCCGTATTGGACACACTAGTTGTACCACTAGCATGCTGACGTTGTTCCCGCCCCTGCTACTCGCCTCAAAGCAGTGTACCCACGCGTTTTATCGTGGTATCACATTGCTGCAGTGATGGAGGTGCCCACAAGAAGCGTTATAGCGATTGTGGATGAGAAAATATATTGGCACTGCCGATATCTGAGATTGTGCTTTCCCCAGTCACTGCATGGCGGGCAAGCACGATGACCGATTTGCTGACACAGTCATTTTCAAGGGTCAAACTTCGCATGTGTAGATTTTCTCTGATAAATGCGGCACATAGTGCCGTTTGGGGTCCAGAAGTAGCAGCGTAGTTCTGAACCCGCCGATCACTGGATCGACATAGATATATTTGTCGTCCAGCTGAACGATCGTCCCTGATCCTTGGTGGCAGTGATAGCTCGATGATGACAAATCCCATTGAGATTCGGTTCCAGTAGGTCTAGTGTATAAAGGTCGAATTGTAGGTACCTCTTTGCCATTTCCCAACATTTCGTCCCCGGGGTCTACATGCAACTCTTCATCCTCTTCATTGCCGTTCACAACACCCGTTGGGGCATTTCCCTCCTCGAAAATAAAGTTGTGAAATGATTCCGTCCTCGATATGACGTATAGTTGCGATAGAAAGTCGATAAGGTTTTGTGGCATGGCTGTGGTGATGTGGGACGGTTGATTTGGCGCCTTATGCTCCAGTATTAGAAACGGGCATTTTGTCGATGTAAAATCGTTTGGTTCTCGAGGCAGCTCAATTTTCTGATCGCTGCTGTGATCGAGATAGATGTTGAACCTCAGCAGGTCAAATAGAATCTTCAATCGCCTGAGCGGCAATGATGCTGCTGATAGGAAGTTAGAATGTCTATGCAAACTTTCTATGCATGACAGTAAAAGATCTTCTTTCCAATAGCTCTTCATAAGCATCATCTCGAAATGTTTCATAATATCAACATTTTGTGAAGTATCGGGAGAATCGCCATCGAACCAACTTTCTGACCTCTCTCGTAGCTTATCCAGATCATGTTCAACAATTTTTTGTACATTTTGCAACACATGCTCTTTAGATAGTTTTTCTGACCCTATATCTTCCGTCCCCACAGATTCCATTTGGTAATCTGTGAATGGCCAATTTGCAAATGATATACATGAAGCCAGAATGTGTGTCGCTTTCATGTCATGCAATTGGGGTTTAATCTGTTTTTGTATTTGTAGCATGAGGTGGAGTGAAAATGGGCTCCAATAATCTAGCCCATGGATAGCCTCACAAATACCAACAAGGTGGGTAATTTCTACCTTTTCCAACTTTTTGGAGCATACCTCGCTATCAAACGGGCATGGGGGCATTGTGTTATACGCATACAAACTTTTCTTCGGCATATGAACACTTGAATGCCAATCTTGTCCTTTTTTGTAGGCACCGGCGATGGCCGCGATCAACGCCGCAATTATCTCTGGTGTGCGTTGCTTTGATCTGTAGAGTGCATTAAGCATAGCCCCAGCTTGTACTGTAGTGATTTGATCCATTAATTTCTCGCAAACATGCTTCATGGTGGCATTAACAAGTCGGTTGCTTATAATCCGCATGCTCTTGTAGCTATTCTGTTCCGAACAGCATAGCGTAATATTGTCCAGCATCCTTGTGACACATGTGATCAATTGTTGTGATGTCGATGTGGTCATGCTTGCAATGTTTCGTAGTATCAGCTTGTATATTTCCACAAGTACTGAAGGCTTGTTGAAACTATCGAATCTGGTCAAGGCGGATAGCGAGATGACCAAAGAGTTGACATTGGGGGTACCTAGATCCTTTGATGAGTAGCGTTGCAATGCCGATTCCAGGAACTTCGAATGCTTGAAATGGAGTTTATAGAACCCCCATAATATCCCAGAACAATTTGATTCTGATGTTTCGCTGAACTTGTGTGGATCCCTGACAAACATATCGGCTATTTTGTATAAGAAGTTGTGATTTTTGCAATTAGCTTGCATTCTACCTAGGGTTTGGATACACAACGCGATTGTTGATACATTCAAATCATCAATCTCATCTGTGTCCAGCTTGTCTGCAATAGCGTCCACGAGATCTTGGCTATGTAGATCATGCTTGTACAATGCCTGCAGTACACTACACACGTCCATGCAAGTAACCGCATGGATGTTGCTCAAGATTTGTGTTTCCAATACTTGCAAAAGGCGCTCTAAACCACCAATAGCATCATTCCGATTGCATACGTTGGCGATGCTATTAATTAGTTTTGCGTCAACCGGTGTTTTCATGATGAGTTCTGTAAGTACCTTGACCACATATGGGTACAATTCCTTGAACTTTGCGTGTTGTGCCATGCGTTTAACATTGGAAAACATCTCTACTACCTCAGGTAGGTCGAATTTAGTCTCTTGGCAGTGCCCGCATAGTTGAACGATAACACTTTCCTCGACCGAAATGTTATTCTGGCCATATGCAACTAGATCGTTCTGGACCACGTCACAAAATCCATTGAAATCCGTAGTGTTGGTGTTCCTGTCAACCAGGGCGATAACATTGGACATGTACAGCTTGGCGAAAACAGGATGGTACAGGTCGGCATTGTGTACAAAATATTGGTTGATCCACGTATTAAATGGAAATCCCCTATGCCAGTACTTGACGCTAAATACGTGTCCAAATACCAATGCTATCACGTTAGTCGATAACAGACAGTCTTCGCTCCTGGTCTCCGGTGATATGGGAGGTATATGAGGATCATATACAATCTCCGTACCTAACATGTCAGAACCATGACCCACATGATCGGTGGGGGTAGATGCCTGGTCGCTAAAATGGGTGCGTCGAGTATTGTCAACTTGTTCTTCACAAAATCCAGATGTAGAAGCACTGCCGTACATATTATTGCATTCAACACCTTCGACAGCGACAGAACTCCCCAGCGGCGCCTGATTTTCACAGGCGCCGCTGCTCAATTCATCCTCTCCCAAATGCTGGCCAACGCATTTATCAGTCGTTGATCGTTTGTTTTTGAATGTCACAATACGCTCTTTACCACCGCAAGGGAGGGTGGTACCCTGTCTCACCTCTTCCCTGAACCTAAGCAGATCATTTCTGTGTTGAAACAGAAAGTTACAGATATGTTTTTTATATCTCTCATTTGTAGTCCTCACTAAAGTCTTTGTGTTGCTCAGGAAATGGCCGAGAGTATCATGTGATGTCACCTCGCGCATATAAGTGACGATGCTGTGTGACACAGCTTCCATAAATGAATATTTGATTTCACTATTACTAGTTGTACATTTTAGGTTCAACTGCAGACAGTGATATTGTAATATTGCCCACCTTACCTGGTATAGCGCTAATAGTTGGTCAAGTGACATCCGGTCCATATATATCTGGAGGATGTCGTCTAGATTGTGCAGATATTTCGTGTCGGTGTTACCTAAACGTGACCATTCGAAAACCGTATTACCATGAAGGTCCAATGCTTTGATGAACCTGTTGACTGAATGTCTTCGGAAACCTAGGAATGCGCCCTTGACAAGTTCCACACCCAAATTCGCATTAGGGATCCTCGCGGATCTGAAGTCGGCAGCGAATAGCATTTCCGTGACCAAAGGAGCCGGATTTTCATATCTTGTCGAGCCAATTTTGGCGAATCCCTTAACGCGTGGAACGCGCCTAGATACCCAGTTCATTGTTGCGAGGCTAAGTTATAATGTCCTATGAGGACCCTTTTATTACCCTTAAAATGGCATTGCGATTGATATTTATCACAAATAAATATCACTTTATTACCAATTGCCAGGCATAGTAAGATTCCAACGACATCGTATGTCACGATACACACTAATAATTTTTTAATTAAAAAATATTTTGGAAAATGTAGACTTTAAGAATAATTTGTGCAGTATATATAGACATTATCAATGGTGTATATTCGAGGCATTGTATTCGCCCTGCTTTTCGCCGGCTCAAGCGAAGGAAAGAAGTCGAAAGATGAAATACAGAACATACTGATGAACGCTGTTGGCGCCCTAGGGAAGAAGAAAAGCGAGCCTGCGCCTTTGGTATTGCCGTGGAAGAAGCCAAGCACCGTCATGGAGTATCTAGACATTCTAAAATTCCCAAATGAAACGGTAAGATGTGTAGTTGTAAACATGACAATTCACAGGAAATTACCGACAACCATATCTGCCAGTGCCACATAGAAGGTTAGTTATGGACTGTATAACTACTATTGAATGTTAGAATACCAAAACGACTCCATACTTCATTCCTACGAAGGAGCTATTTGAGTCTTTGGTCTGTCGTTTTCTGGGATATTGCACGCGTTCTTCACCCATTGGGGCAGTAAACTCTCTAACACCTTGATCTTCTGATCATGCTTCATCCTGGATCGCATATAAGCAAAAATCATAGAGAATGCTTACCATGGAACAAGAGACCAATAGTGGAGCCGGACAACGTCCCAACCACGGGCATTTAATAATCTGCACATTTATCTGTTTATATTCCATGCGATGGAACGTACCGTTCCTTGTACAGTGTACTGTTGTTTAATGGCGGTGGGAATACATCGGTAGATTTCTGCAGGTAGTGGTATGGTCCATGTACCTCGATAGCACATCGTTTGTCCTTTAAGAAATCTTTAGCACCGATCTTTTCCGTGTACTTAGCGAGACTTGATGGAAGGATAGCTATATCCACAACAAGGCCGTCATTAGTCACGTGCTCCACTTCACACTCTATACCGAATGCCTGTAAATATATGAAACACATAGCATCTCACTCACCTCGTTCAGGATATCCTTGACTTGTATATGGAATGCAGATGAATTGAAAGTCCAATGTTTAACACCTGAAGTGTAAATATCCTTTAGTTTGACCACGGCATCTTTAGGTAGCTCAAACTTGTTAAGGTTACCAGACAACAGTTGGTAGCCAAGATACGCATGGTAGGTATTACCAAACACTACGTTAAGCGTGCTTGAGACCGTAGGTTGGAGATATGCCTGCGGAAATATATATAAATGGGTAATTTGGACTTACAGCATAGGCAGATTTCTTCTGGTTCAGCTGAAGGTTGATTTGTTGCAACACTTTTACCGACGGTGGGTTCATAAAAAGGTCCAAACTAAAGACTTTACGATATAGATCATCCATGTAACAATCCATAATTGCAAGGTTCCGTAGCGCTGCCGTTAGCTCAACGAGACTGTAAGATTTAATATCATCAAGTATAAACGAAGATAGGTGGTCCACAAGGTTCTTTGGTGGTTTGAAGTGGCAATTAGCAAGGCATGTTACAAGCCTTATAACCATCTCTTTACCTTTTATAAGACCTATATTTTGCGCTAACAAGCCATATAGGTGCTTATAAAGGGGCTCATCCATATGCTGGACCCCCGTGAACAGCCATATGGCGTTGACTACCTTCCCCAAAGGTATACTTTCCTGTTTCTTGAAATATTCGGCTATATGTTTAAATAGCTCATTATCCATATGATCTGTCTTGTTACATATTCGTAGAACATCAAGATAGTATTTCAAATGATCTTCGCCATCCACCTTACTTTCTGCCTTCTTGATTTCCGATTTCAACTTGGTTATGTAATCACCCACCATCTGCGATGGGTCTGCGCCCATTTTTATTGAAGCCATTATAATTGCCGACATTTCATCTGTTGTGAAATCTTCGTAGCGTTTGGCATACTGTAGCATTGCTTTGAGAACATTTTCGTGCTTGTACCCGAAATATGACAGCACTGAAAAAATGGTAACCAATTGTTCTCTACTAAATCGTGGAACCATATCCAACAGCTTCTTATAATCTTTAAGGTGTCTAGGTAACTCGATACGTGTGACGTATTTCATGTGTCGAACTACACTACCCACAAGTCGCTTGAAACATTCATGATCACGAAACCGTTTAAGCATATCCTCACCACAATGTGACTCCTTAGCTATACGTCGGATGATCTGGAACATAGCCACTGTCTTGGGTATGTTCGTATAAAAGTGGCCACCCTTAGTGTCCCATATTTGTAATAGCTCTTCGGCATTGTATTTGTTAATCTGTGGTTCTTGTTTCATCGGATCTTTGGGGTCATCCGCTACCGTCTTGTTCTTGAACAAAGATTCGTCGATGGATTTAACCCCGCTATGCAGCCTCGCATTTGTACCTTTGTCTAACAGGTAAGAATAAAAGTAATTGTCAAGGAATAGATCTGTCTCCTCTATTTTTTGCTTTTCCTGCTTTATTATATTCGGGATACCCATACGTTTCCACGGTTTCCTCTCCAGCACCTTTTGGGTCTCCTTTAGTGACGGTGGCTGTGGGATTAGGCGTTTCTTGATTACATCTGCTATCGTAAACGGTTTTGGCATAAGTCTCCAGTCAATAAGTTTACTTCCACCACGTCGTTTTCTACCAGCTTTCCTGGAAGATAACGGGTGTTTGGCATCGGCTGGTGCCTTGTTATCTGTATCAACGGATCCATCTTCGCTTGTAGTAGCCTTCAATGGCTCAGAATGTCTATTAATTTGACATTGTCGTGCCTTGCTACACATTAAACCTTTACAATATGCGAAGGCGGTATGGTAAAACACGTTTCCAGGCCCACAGGAACCTATGGATCGTGACAATAACATATTATATTGTCGATTTCGACCTATACCGGTTGCACGAACACCATAAGTGCCTCTATAACACCGTATAATACGATGTCTAGCTCCATCTTTGCCATAAGCTGCCAATGAGGAAGCTAACAAGACAACCAGGAACCTTCTACAATACAATCTCAGTTTAATTGACAACAGGCAAATACATATGGCATACATACACCATGTGGCTGTTGAAATTGATTCTAGACCTTGCAAAGACGTCCATTTTTGCATCTTCGCGAGGCTACCAAAGGTGTCGCAAGTCACCTATCGATCTACACCTTTCATGCTTTCATGATCTCCAAGACGAGACGTGTTAACAAACCCATTGTAATTATTATGGCGTACATATTAGTCTATTATCTCACCACAAAGGGTGCTATTCGGGGTGTAAAATTAATACCACCTCGGAGTAGTCACGATAGGTGATTTATAAACTAGATACGGCTACACATTACACTGTTAGTTTATATGCTAATGGAAATTTTATAATTTGGAAATCTGCACTTTACTCAGAGATACGCATACCCAGACGGTGTAGCGTGGCTAAGATTTAGGAGTTAAACGGGAATAAGTTATTATATGGTATTCGAGAGAACATGATGTAATGTATTGCTATAAAGATTTCGATTGATAGGTGTTATGTATTGCGAGGGTTACACATTTAGTGCCAAGCGTTTCCTTGGCGCTGCACGACGGACCGGGTGGTCCGGAGTTAACAGCTTTACCCGGTCAATTACACGCATAATACAACTATCACATTATACTGTTAACATAAGGTCGTATTCTATAGCAAGTGGTTGTTGTTGGCGTGTATCTGGGGGTGCTGCTCTAGCGTCTCAGCAGAAATCCGGCACTTATCATACCCCGCGTCATTGAACGCTCTCAAAATGGTATTTGGAAGCCCATATTCCGATACTTACCCGAAAGGGGTCTGGGATAGCCTTAAGAAAAGCCGCCGTGGTAAAGATATATTCGCCCCGGTACTCTCAGTTATAAACGCATCAAAGTAAGTTATAAGACCGTGGAGAAACGCAACTATATACAGGATATACAACCATGTACTCAAATATAACAAGGGCTATTGGCTATTCAGCATCGCAGGAGGATGCCTAAGCTGCTATGCGCTTGGCAGCGCCTGCGACTACGTCTGGAGAAGAGTCAACAAAGGAGTAGGTTACATTGCAATGGATAGAATGTGCCCAGAGGCTCTATGTGGACCTGCCATACAAGGCTCCAGAGGAATAACAGACTACAGTTTTTGTAAATGACATCGCGTAAACTATGAATATTGTTTAAAAAAAATTAATTAAATGCGGAAGTACGATTTCTTACTGCATTCTAGAGTAAAATAAAGAAAACAGCAAACGCCGCAATGCTGTCCTATCCTGTGAGTTGTAGAAACAGCCAAGTTTGACATTAAAATTTCAATAAAAATTGCCACTCGCCTTTTCAGTGAACAATTGTCGTTTGCAGATAATAACGCAATTTATGACGTTATCGAAGGCGATAATAAGTAAAAAAAATGTATAAGATTCGTGTTGGTATCCGATTTTGAAGCCTAGATACTGCGTGCACCGTTTGTATAGATGGAGTCACCCCTAAAGTGATTACGGGGTTAAAATCCTACGACACCGTTTTTAGTGTCAAACACACTCCAAAACATATGATCATTGACTAGATTCTTGCACATAGTGATTCACGTCCATGAGACAAAAAGGATCGTTCATACTTGAACCGTAGCGATAAGTCGGCCTACCCACGCTTGGTGTAGGCTGATCATCCAACCCAGTTGGTGGAATGTATGGTGTCTGACTATTGTAGCCATAGACCACTTGACCGGGTTTAAACATTAATTCTGCCCTGTTGCGATTCATTAATTTCCTAATAAGACCCTTGTTTGCCTTGCCTTTGGGAGGACCCTCAGTACGACGACAAAATGGGTTGCCGACAGTCGGAGTGTCAAGCCTGCCAACAGAAGCATTAAGAAACTCCAAATAGTATTTTGCACGCTTGTGAGCGCCCATAAATCCATATCTTACGCCACTAAAGTACTTGTAAACACGCCTGTTCGTTATGGGATTATCCCAACGGACGACCCACTTCTTGCTCTTCGCCTTCCACTTTAGACCAGATATTGCTGTATATATAGGGTCACGCTTGTTAGCAGGGGGTGCGGTACCGTCAGGACCTACCAAGTCATCGAAATCCTCGACAGAGTCACCATCAACTGTGGAATTCACGCTGTCGTTACCACATACCCTGTTATCATGATATAAGGCATAGTCACGCGGGTTCCAGTCGTTATACACAAGCCCAGGTTGTGACAAATCAGCATGGGCTGCGGGAGGTAAGTAAAAATCGCATTCACCTTGAAACCCAAACTGATCTCCCTTGGGAACCTTGTTGTAACCAAATAGACAACCATGTTTAGAATGCCCAAAGTGTACACTGGGCTCTTTGGGATCACCGATTTGATTCAAGATAAACGATCCTCGAGCCCCTGCGAGTTGAGCAATGTTTAGATGCTCCTTAGGAGTGGCAATACGATCCTGGCCATAACATCCTTGCATACGGTTGAAAGGATCAGTTCCCATCCCTTCGGCATAAATCTCCGTGTTATTGCTGTACACCGGACCATCTAACATTTGACGATGGTCGTACGAGCCCGAACAGGAGAGACTGTTTTCTTGTGTGTTTTGGCCCATAGGACCCATCTGCAAACCACTTGCCGACATATTTTGGTCAGTTTGCTTCCTTAAATTTACATCGCGTCGCCTATGGCCCTGAACAACGGCCATGATCTACCCGTCAACAATCGCGGCAAAATTCAACTTGATGTCGTGAATTTCCTTCAGCGACATTTAGCGATAAATTTTCACTAATGGTTTACCACGGGATACGTGAGGATTGTGTCATGATTTTCTGCGTTGCTTGAATTTCTTCGAGCCAAATGCGTCAGAGCAGATGTGGCTGCAGGCCTCAGCGTCGAAATTACGTGCTGCTAAGAGGTACCTAACATAGGTATCCTTTTCTACCTCTGTATGCGATTCATGTCTTGCGATTGTGTCTGATGCCATTGTTAAGCGGGCTAGTAGTTAAGCGAGATCTTAAAATTGTCTCCCGCAAAGATCAACGGATTCCCCTGACTCAAGGTGTACCGGTTTAATGCATTCAAGATCACGATGTCGTTTCAAGCTTACCCATATTCACCTTCCCATCTGTCGTCTAGCCGTCTTATGTAGTGTTTCTGTATCCCGAGACACGGGAACATGGGACACCGAGACAACGGAGGAATTGTGTGTCGTATTGCGTAATTAATTTCTTTATTACGCACATACGTTCCGATTACACTCCGTGCCTCTAAACGGTACACCCACATTTTGTAAAATTTTCACGTGATTTTTTTCTAAAAACTATAAGGACCGGCTACAGGGATTTACAAATGCTACCCTGTGGAATAACGCTTCATTAGTATACGTGATACCTCGATAGCGCTAGTTAAGGGTATGGAGCTCCATCGTAGACTTGACCCTTGAATTTTACCCGGAGAATCCAGGTAACGCGACACACGGACATTTTTAATCGTGGTAGAAACAATGCAGATTTTTTCTTTTACCCACATTTTTATACACACTTGCAACCTTTTTTCTTCGCTGCTACTGCGCTGCTGCTGCTCCCCCTCCAAATATCATTTTTATACGGCGTGTGGGTAGCCATACACTTGCGATACGTAACACTCGACATGATGGACCAACAGGAACCATCTACGCACGGTTCTACATTCCCAACCGATGTGTATCGGAGTATCGACCCTAGGGGATTTTATGACAAAATCCTAAAGCAACAACTGCGACCTGATGGTAGGAAACTACGAGCATTTCGCACTGTGGCAGTTTCCGATCTTCTAGAAGATTATAAGGGCGCCGCGGAACTTTCAGACGAAGATGGAATCGTTATTTCATCAGTACGTGTCACTGTCGGTGATACGCATGTAAATTGCGCGATCACGGCGACACCACAGTTCGTAGATGTAGAGATGGCGGAGTCCTACAGCCCTGAACCACTCATAGATGTAGAAGTTGAACTACCAAAACAAGTACAATCATATATCTATGATGCAAATGGGCACAGTGCAAACCTTAACTTCACGGTTGCAACGATACTGGCAACGGTACTCAATTCGGACGATATATTACCTTCAGAACAACTGATATTTGTTGAAAACACTAATGAGACGACGTCGGAATGTAAAGATGATATATGCTCTTATCTGTCATGGCGCAATTTCAGATGGAAACTAGACATTAATTTAATATGCGAAGAGTATGATGGCAACCTACTGGATCTGTCCGTCATGGCGACAACTTACGCACTGAGGAAAGCGATGTTGCCAGTTATACTCTTGGAATATAACGAGGCAATGGGAGTATATGAGATGCGGATACTTGATCGTGAAACTTTAGAGCAAACACAAAATCCACAGGTTAGTTGCTATATTAACAAAAAACATAAAAACACACAACAGGCCAACAAGTGGATCAAAGACAACAAAAAGGCTATAGAAAAACAAATAGAAACACAATTAATGGAAGAAAATATGGCTAGTCAGTTAATCAAACATATGGGGAACTGGCATTACCTTGGTAGACACCTCAAACTGTTGGCTGTGCCATTTACAGTGACCTTCCTAAGGTACAACCAAGACACATTCCTCGTGGACCCCACCGCAGAGGAGGAACGATTAGGCACAAATGTAAGTGTGTATTGCTTAAAACGGGCAGACGGATCATCACAAACACAAATACTGAACATGACCTGTTGCAATGGCATCACAACAGAGATATACCAATCTCTCAGACAAATGGCAATCGATATTATCGACTGTATATCAACCAATGATATCTAACTCATAACTATTTTATCAGCAAGTTCATACAGAGACTCCTGACGGGAAACGTCTTGCGCATGCTTACTCACATAACCTAATCGACACTCATAGTAATAACCTCCAGGGATCAACTCATCAAGAGGAGCAGAACATAGGTACCTGAACAGTTATATAATCGTTTTTATGTCTACCTACAATATAGTCATCGCTCCATCCTTAGAGGTCTTGGTGAAACGTAACACCATGGCGGAAACGAAACGTGGCAGGATTACCTGGGAATAATGCTCAAATAACGGGGTATTAATGATACCAGGGCCACAGGAAAAACACACCGGACCCACTTGGCCACCAGTAATTTTCTCGAAACGCCGCTGAAGGGACTGAGCGTGCCACAGATTAAAAAGCTTAGATCGACCGTAATAATCTTTGGCAGTACAGTTCCTAGGCAACCGCATAGTATCACCACTCTTCAACAAAGGGTCATAGTTGGGGTCGTAAGAATAATGTGCTATGCTCGACACATTAATCACCCTAGCCCGAGACCTAATCAACCTATCCATCAACAGCTTCGTAAGGTAAAAATGACCCAGGAAATTAGTGGCAAACATAATCTCCAGCTTGTGAGCGTTTAAATAGGGCTCGCTCGCGATACCAGCATTATTGATCAAAAAATCAATTGATGAATTCGACCTCAAAATCTCATCAACAGCAATCTTAATCGACTTACGGTCGTTCAGGTCCATCTCAACATACTGGATTTTATCGCTGCATATAATATATAATCTTAAGACATTCTACTTACAATCCCACTTTAGCGTTTTTACGCAGATACTCCACAGCATTCGCACCCTTGGTCTTGTCACGACCAGTAATAACAACCTTGCAGTTCCAACGTAAAAGCTGCAGAGCCGCCTCGCGACCGATGCCACTAGAACCACCTGTTATCACAGCAGTTTGACCAGTAAGATCGGTATTCTGCAGTAACAGATAGTGCAATGGCCGTCCGGCAGCAACGAACTTAGAAGCGTAGACGCAAAGAGACATGAACCCAACAGTAGTTTGAATATTGAAAATCCAAGTTACCCATGGACTATCAGACATCTTCAACATGTTTATTATAGCAGATTGCTTAGCAACCAATTCAAAATTGAAACCTGATCTCCACAAAACAATAAAGTGGGTTAGCAGAAATGCCAAAATATAGAATATTGCACGGTAACATGGGTCACAGACACATGCCAGTGCCCTTGATGACACTGGGTTAGTATTACTCCACTTACGCTTAGCCATTGTGGACAATTGGTAACGCTTGGATAAGTTTAGGATCCTTTAATTTCCCCTCCAGCTCGTCTAAAGTACACCAAGCGTAATCGATAATATCACTCGACTCAACACGAGGTTCAACAACAGAACCAGATATGTGTCTTGCCCTAAAATAGAATACCTAAATTAATATATAAATTGCTAGAACCTCAATGTCACATACCTTGTTACCCTTGATATCAGAGTCCACAGTTTTGAATGGAAAAGTCCTATATAAAAATGGAGCGTAGCCTAAAAAATATGGAGTATAAGATTCTCCAAGTTGCTCGATACAGATACGCTCTAAAGTCTACACAAATCATATTAGATATGGTAAATAAGAATCACCTGTCTAAGACCATCACCGTATAATAGGTCAGTAGTAGGTAGCTTCCATCCGTCCAATTTGTGCTTTACCACAAGAAACAAACGATGTGTAACAAGACGATCAACGTTACGAATGTCACCGTCCACGTTCAACTTCACAACACTCTTCACCTCTTGGTCACCCTTCTTAGATCGACGACGAGTAGGTTGAAGACGTATCTCCCCAGCCAACAAAGCTTCAAGCTCACCGGAGGATTCAACGGGAATATCACCCTCAGAATCTGATCGTACCACCCTAGCTTCTTTGGAAGGGGTTATCTTGTGTGTAATCTTGCTCTCGATAGTTGATAGGCGCGGTACCTTTATCTGGTTACGAGTTACAGCGCCCCAAACATCAGAAAATTCGCGAAACACTCTGTCATAAGGTGGTTCGATGTATTGTGTAGGCTGACGATCAATACAAAGGGAAAGTTGGACCTTCCAACCGCAATGCTCTGTTAGTAACTTGGAATTTGAGAATCTGGCCACGCAGCGTCTCATTCGCTCTGGCCAAAACGTCAAAATAAACACTACATATTATGAAAATAAAAAATGTGTAATTACTACGGATATTAACCGAGGCAGTTCGTTCCAATTTTTTTCGTTTTATGGGGAAGTAAAAAAAGATATCTAGAAAGATTCCGTAGTAATCAGTGGCACTTTTAGGCCTTCATCACGCGGATGCAGTTGGCAGAAGTGCTCAAAGGACTACCAGAACCAAACACGACCACAACCGTCGCACCACTCTTTACAGCACCAAGCTGCTTAGCAGTAGACAAAGCATTGGCAATGTCTGATTCATGGTTGCTAGAAGAAGGAGCACGCCTAGCCATCACACCCCGGCAAACACTCATGTATTTCACAACATGGTGCTCGGGAGAATAAGAAAATACAGGACAAATTGGCCTGCACTTCGAAATGTAACGATTAAGCTTGTCATCAGCACTCAAACTAATAATAGCACCAGCTTGAAGCTCCATAGCAAGTAAAGCTACAGCACGACCCAAAGCTTCCTCGTCACTAACCTTCTCAGTAGTGTTGGCAATACCCTTAGCAAAAAGCTTACGGTACGCACTGCAATTCTCAGCCTCAAAACACAGCTTAGCCATGCTCTGAACACATACTATAGGGTACTTGCCGTTGGCGGATTCGCCAGAAAGCATGACACAGTCAGTTCCATCCAAAACAGCATTGGCAACGTCACAAGACTCTGCCCTAGTAGGCCTAGTGTTATTAATCATAGACTCCAACATCTGAGTAGCTGTGATCACAGGCTTAGCAGCCTCATTACATTTCTTTATCATGTATTTCTGCGCAAGGCAAACCTTCTCCAAGGGGATCTCCATACCAAGATCACCACGAGCTATCATTATACCATCAGCAGCGTCAAGGATAGCATCAAAATTAATCAGACCCTCCATGTTCTCAATCTTGGGGATGATCTTAATGTGCTTACCAGCATCACCTAAAACCCTCCTACATTCACGAACATCATCAGCCGATTGTGCAAACGAAAGGGCAATGAAGTCGAAATTGTTAGGAACAGCGAAGTTGGCAATGTCATTCACATCCTCCTCACCAAGAACGGGAAGGTCAACCTTAACGCCAGGAAGGTTCATATTCTTCCTCTCACCGATGGTCGCATTGTTAAGCACCTTTACCACTATATGGTCACTGTGCTTCTCAGTAACCTCGCAGCTCAAAGTTCCATCAGCCATAAGGATAGTACTACCAACATGGACTGATGTAGTCAGCTTAGGGTATGAACATGCTATGCACTGGTTGTCACCTTCAAAAGTATAATCAGTAGTAATCTTCAGAGATTGACCTTGGACCAAAGTAATAGGCTTGTGGTCCTTAAGCATACCAGTCCGGATTTCAGGACCCTTGGTGTCCAACAACAACCCAATGTTAGCTTCAGGGCGTTGAGATATAGCACCGAGAACCTTCTTAAGCATCTCACGTTGAGTCTCATGACTACCATGAGAAAAGTTAAAACGGCAGACGTTCATACCAGCGTCAATAAGGTCAACTATCATTTGACTTGAAACTATAGCAGGACCCATAGTACAGACGATGTGAGTACGCTTATTCTGCACACCATCACTGCTAATAGGCCTACGAATGACGTCAAGGTCAATCGATGCCATTTGGCCGGTTTCGGCGCAAAGAATCTCTTTCATAGTTGACATTGTTTTAACTTGCATACAAAGGTCAATTGGAGCCCTTATACAGTTTGGGGTGTCCACGTAAAAACACGAAATTTATTGTCAATGACTAATATACCGTGTGTGGCGCCTTAGTGTAAGGCGATCCCAACAGTTCTTATATTTCTTGCTGCTCTAATACATCTACTAAGATAACGATTTATAAAACACACAACACATATTTCAGCTCATATTTCACACTATCAACAAGAAATATCGAACTGTGATGCGGTCCTGAATTTTTTTAAAAGAAAAATTCTAACCGCCACACGCGCGTCGCAGCAATATTCACCGACATCTACCATGCAGAACCACGGCTGAAATTGAAATCATCCAGAGTTGATTTTAACTCAGGATGACCATGTGTTTACGGTTGACATTATTACGACGTCACACAGCACATTGAGTGAAATATTAATCAGATCCAAGGTCTTCTGAACTCGATTCGTCAGTTAACATCTCGTCATCCATCTCATCCTCATCACTAACATCTTCCTCATCATCAAGCTCATCTTCAGAAGAAGAATCTTCGTCAATATCAAACTCACCCTTGTATATATCCCTGAAATTATAACCCTGGTCCACACATTTCCAGACATCCCTAAATAATACATTAATTAACGCACTAATACTGACCTTTTCACAAGATCGAGCGACCACATGTCACTTAGAGTCATCTCAACAGACCCTTGGTCTACTATGCCGCCATACACGTACATTACGCTCCCGCAAACGAAAACATGAGGGTTCATCCTAGGAGGCGGATTCGCAGACAGAGACACAGCGCTCATTTTCTCTAAGAAATAATATGGAGGCAAATAGAAACACGTACGCGCAAGAGTGTCCTCCTCTAATGCTTCATCAACTGCGTTATCGGCGATAGTTAAGGGATACCATCTCCTAAAAGTACAAAGTAAGACAGAAATTAATACAACCAAACCTACTTCTGGTCAACATTTATAGTATAACAGCTGTTGTAAAAAGTAGATTTCAGCGAAGTCCCTCCGGAGTCAGTGTCGCTGACGCCACCGAATACGACACCGAACGTTTTGTAGTTGGCGAAACCGAAACCTGAAAATGGTATGTATAATCAGAAGAAAGCAGAAAATACCGATAGAATAACTAGGCTTGCCCTTAGTACTAATCTTCTCCCAAACCAGCACGTCTGGCTGCAATGCCAAGTCCATATTTATAAGCCACGAATCCTACAGACCATTTTGAAACAACACAAAGGTTGTACCTGATGATACTGTCCTGATACGTTCTTGTTGGTATCCTTAGTTTTGGTAAATCCACCGAACACGAGCACTTTATTAGCTGAAAGTATTTATAAACAACCGATAATAATAAAACGAATCTATAACAGCTAAATAGTGTACTAGGTGATGGAAAACAGGATAGATAGAGGGTATCATAAGGAACCTACAGTTCTTAGGAGCTAGCATAAGGCATGCCGCCCTAGGCTCGGGTGTAGCGCCGGGAAATTTACGCTGACATACACGTTTCCATATACGATCCTTGAACGAAAACAGATAGAGATCATTATAATACGTTATCTCCCGAATAGTGTCGTGAAAACCGCCAAAAAGAACCCAGTAACCGTTCCATGTGACCTATGAAAAACATTACCACATTTATAACTCAAACCGTACCATACGATGACCACTACGGGGTGTAGGTATCTGACCAGTAGCCTGAACAGGTTCCCAGGTATAAGATTTTAAACATAATCGGTGCATGTCATTGAAGTGATGGAACTGATTAAGGGTACTGTATTCACCCCCAAAAATGTAAAGGTAGTTGCTAAAACATATTTATCACATAACAAATAAAGACCAACTTGAAAATAGTAGCTTGATGCGCACATCGTGGAGGTGGCTTGCAGACGGTCTCTACAAGACGCCATTCGTTCTTCCCAGGGTTGTAGATAAAAGCATCATTGGAAACCTCAACTTGGACACCATCGTAAAATTCACCGCCAAAGAGGATAGCAACGTCACTCCTACACTATTAAAGACTATTAGATAGACACTTACCCTGGGATACACGTAAAAGTCGCACTCGCACGTGGAGACGGACGACCACCAACACATTCGACCAGCTTACCCTTATCCGTAGAACTAGATGTATAACGATAACGTTTCAGTAGTTGGCTAATGTCACATTCTTTGGATGACTTCAATAGCTTCTTACGAGCCTTACGCTCCTGAGCCTCGCGCTTCTCAGAGGCAAGCTTGGCTTTGGCCTCAGATCTATTCTTAGTCATAGTACGCAAAAAATTATAGTGGTCAGTAATTTAGAACAAGTTTTCTAACGCAGCTAGTCGTGAGAAAATAACCCCCTGAACTTTCGAACCAAACGGTTAAATAAATGCCAACGCTTCTTAAGAACAAAACCTATCCCGCTCTCTCGCATAGCAGCAGAATTCAAACGGCGATAGTGATTTGCAAAACGACGAAGGTCCTGACGACGAACACAACTTGATTTCAGACGATCACGTAATACCGCATTGAACCAACGAATCTCAGTAGATGACGCTTGTAACCCTTGAAGCGCACACTTACGCAATATCAACTCACCAGTACATATGCGCTCAAAATATAACGCATAGATACACGCACTACGACCCAACTTGTCAGCTACGTCCAATCTCAGAAGACCAGCATTCTCGATAATCAGCTGAGCTATATCCTCGTTACGGGTACGAAGAGCAGCCATAAGCGGGGTCTCACCGTTGCTGAACTCAGCTATATTAGGGTCACAGTCGTGACGCAACAACGCAAGCACCGCATCCTTCTTATTCTCCAACACTGCAAGGTAAAGCGGAGTACGACCGCGAGAATCTTGCTCGTTCTTATTGGCTTTACGACTTAACAAAAGATTCAAACATTCCACACGACCTTCCTCACACGCTATATGTACCGCATTCATACGACGGATGTCCAGCTGGTTTATGCTGGCACCACGGTCAATCAATGCCTCCAAAATAGCGTATTTACCAAGACGAGCGGCCTGAGCTATAGGACTAGACCAAATGGCATGCTCACGGTTCAGAAGATCGGGATAGGAATCAACCAATACTATCACCGAATCTAAATCATCACGCATTATTGCGCAACTCAATACATCAGTTAACACAAACCTTTTGTTAGCTGGACGACCAGCACCATACTTGACAAAAACAGGTAACCACTTACTGTCGTTACTGTAAGCAAGCATAGTAGTACTAACTCGACCATGATAACACCAATTCGGATCAGCACCATTCTCAAGTAACATACGTATACATTCATCACTCTTGTACTCACAAGCAATGTAAAGAGGGGACTTGAAACTTCGAATATGAGGAAAACGAGTGTTGAGCTGAACTCCCACTTTGAGGAGCCGAGACAACAACTCCGTGTTACCACGCCTCACGCAAGCAGATATTGGAGAAAGGTCAGTGTTCTCCGCAGATACAGGGGCGTGCTCCATCTTCAAAAACAATTTTGCTAAACCAACACGACCCAATTCACAAGCCTTGTATAAAGGACTCTTACCACAATAGTCCCAAATGTTTATACGAGCACCGCGACGGATCAACAAGTTGCAAGTCAAGATGTCGTCGTTATGAATAGCTATAGAGATCGGCAAAGTCCAGACATCCGTACCACTATGAGGGTCGTATTCAACTATTGGACAATTTACCAAAAGCTCACTACCGCGATGCATCAATAAACGTAAACAAGGGTCTTGATCCTCACTATCACCATTTGCTGATTCCTCCAATTGATTTTGGACACGACGAGAAAGCGTAGCACATAACTTTGTAGTCTTCGTTTTTACCGCAGAAGCAAATGCCACTAACTCAGTACCAAAACCATGCTTCTCAAGGAATCGACGACTACCGCGACAACCTGAAATTTCAAGTTGACATACTGCATTAGGAGCTGGCTGCCCGGCAGAAGAACTACATTCAAGCTCATTAGTACGCGGTTTAGCAGACAGTGAGGGTTGTGCAAAACGGTTACCGCTGTCGCTCCAACTGTCCGTAGAGACCGTGTAGCCTAATGAGATACTTGCAAGACGACCATCCAAAGTATCGCCATCTAGATTACTCGCTGTATTATGAATAAAACGAGCAACCGCCTCAATCGCATCCAATGTTATGTTGCTGAAACTACAGTTAAATTTAGTAAAACGAGGCCACAAATCAGATGAAAGACCGATAATGAAAGGTTTACCAGTCAAATTCTCATTTCGACAACAAACAATGCTAAGCTTTTCGAGGTTCGGTAATTTAGTAGCAAGCAAAATCTCAAGCGCATTGTCAGTGATCTGGTTACAGTAGTCCAATACCAGTGCCCTCATATTTTTACAACGCATACGCACAGTAAATTTGTTGTTAAGCTTCGCCTGATTAGATAAGAGTTGTACAACAGAGATGTCCTTGAAGTTGTAACATTGACTGAAATCAAATACCAAAGCGGCGTCCTCCGTAATGTTCAACGCCTTGCTAGCCAAAGGTAAAACCTTCTTGACAACAACATCCATGTTGTAACCCCTAAAACCACGAAAACATAACTCATTGTTAGTGTTCAAAGCGTACTTATGCCTATTCAGAACAACGCAGGTCTGACGCAACATTAAAAGACTATGGACATCCAAATACTGCTCCACTTTAGGTATGATACGTTTCCACACCCTGTTCTCCGGGGCACCTTCGATGAAACAAAATGGTATTTCTTCACGGTCCACACCCAATAAGACCTTACCGCCTTGTACCACACGACTAACACCACCACGGCACGGTTTACGAGCCGCCTCATTCATACGAAGTTCCAATGCACTTATCTCATCATACATACTTTGAATCTTTTTCTTATCCGTTGTAAGCTCAGGGGGCTTCACCACGGCATCTAAATGGTACCTTGCAACAACATCTTGCATACGGTTACCATTCATGTATCCCGTGTACATACTATCACAGACGAAGGGGGCATCCATAGCACAAAACTTCAAATGTTCGCTGCAAACTGCAGAATATCCTATTCCAGGCAAAGGGGGCAATTCACGGTTACCAAAGTAACCAATATCCATTCGCCCGGATAAAACAGTAAAATGATCTGGCATCAAGGTGTAACCCCGATTACCTGTTACTACTACATCAGGGCATGTGAATTCCGCAGTTAATGCGTCAGATTGAGCCTGGGTGTAAGCCTCCGCAAGGGACCTCGCGGAAGCATCACTCGTTGACTGACTACCTTCCTTAGACATTGACCCATTAAGGCCACGTGAAGACATTTCGTTAGCCATCTTTTCGGCCGTATATTACTATTCACACCTATACCAAATGAGCGCTAGAGCCCGCTCGCGATAACCTGTTCCGTGATGATGTCTATGAAACGAAAATAATATCCATAATAATTTTCTTCAGAAACAACATTCACAATACAATATATAGACGGAGTCAGTATTCAAGAAATACTGAAAAATGAATAACCTAAAATTTTCCACGCTGTAGCAGATGGTTGCCTCGAGTTGTCGCCGGTTAAACTCAAAAAATTGCAACAACTAAAAATTCTTTTAACAGTTACAATTCATTACATAATATGATTCGTGGGACGCTCTGAAGCCACGAGTTTTGACATCATATCTCGAAACGCCGCCAATGCTCCGTTATTTTAAACGCTCTGATTATTCCAGCCACCAATGTGCGTAGATTCGCATACAAAATGATAGCTAATTTGACATTTCAGCCCTGTTAAAGGGCATTCCACGCCGACAGTACGGGTATCTCACCCAAAACGATTTTTCTTCGCTGCTGAATTATTTCCCTTCTAGTAGTAGGCCAGTATCCTAATACTTTTTATAATTTTTCGAAGTCGAATCGCTGTCCAAACCCGTTAGTAATCTAATAGACCCTGCAGTGTGAATCCGAGGGAAATATTCGCCCCTTCGTATTTACAAAGGAGAAAATCAACGCCGTACTATTTTCGATACGACGATATCGCACACCAATATTTTCAGATGTGTTTTGCAAAATATATTAGGCGAAAGATAACTTACACCGAGAATATATAGCTAGCGGAACATGCCTACGCGCCCACTACACAACACATAAAGTGACATACTCAAAAGTATCCTTGGTACATTCACCAAAGATGATTCTATAAATGTGCCGGGAATGTGAGGGTGGGATATCGCAATCAGGAATTTTTAGAAGATATCAGAATCACAGTCTAAAGGTTACAGATGACGCTACTGACGAAGTCGCTACACCGATTCATAAGACGTTACGCAGGGCAGCATTGGTACCAGAAGAGCCGAGTGTACCCATATGAATCGGTGACACGGGCCCCTTTGTACCAAGCACACGCCCGTGCTTTCTCGGAACGTGCACGAGCAGTGGTACCCGACAGATACAATGAAAAGGACCAAGAAGTAGTAGACTCAATCAAAATGCTACTAGACAAACGTATAGCACCCGTAGTGCAACAGGATGGCGGAAACGTATCATTCGTATCATATGACCCAGAAACAGGTATGTCTAATATAAATTAACTTGCTAAAAAACACGATATACCCATGGGAAACGCATAACTCCAATGTATTATGAAACACCATACTAACAGTCTTATCAAAATCACACATCATACCGTAGGGTTCGTCTACGTACGACTCAGTGGTGCTTGCGTGGGATGCGCACAAAGTGACGTCACCCTAAAACACATGATACAAGGTACACTCTGCCACTACCTGGACGAAGTAACAGCAGTATTAAACTGCGATGAAGACGGGTTCGTTATCTCTAACCAAGATGACAATGAATATTAACAGTTTAATTCCTGTAACCTAAATATGACATTGCGACAACCAGCACCATTGGAGCTGGATACCAAGATCAGTACCATAAAGGCACGGTGTAAGTGCTCTTGACTTTCTTAGGTATTGTTGCAACTTGGTTGTTCTTGAGGTTAAATACGACCCGCTTAGGCTCAGTGGACTTCCTGTTACGCTTACGCACAATCGACTTCTCTGGCGTAGTATGCTTGATGTTGTGCAAAGCCTTGGCAACGTCAATAGAACGACGACGGCTTGGTAAGGATTCGGCCGTTTCAGTAATAGTCATGATACGGTGAAGCTTTCGAGCACACTTGAAACGACGGTCAGGGTTAAGCCAGCGAATCTTATGCAAAGCCAAAAGAGTCATTTGCCTGCGCATACGCGGAGTGTTCAACTTCTTCAAAAGCTTGTGCTGCTCGTGACCGTTAGCAACAATGTACTTTCGCAGCGTGTCCAATGTAGCAATCTCTTTCATGTGCTTGCCCAACGTACGGTTAGGGTTACGAGGACCAAAGGCCTCAGCAAGACTAATGAAACCCTCACCATCCATATCATCGGGATCGTACATCTCGGTATCCAGCATATCTGAAACGTCTACCAGACCAGGAGCGATATCCGAGCCTTCCTTCGTTTCACCGGAAGGCTCATCAGTAGTGCCAACTTTCACATTCCGGCCCTTGCGATTTAAACTGCGAGTAGAGCGTGTGTCTTCCACCCCAGCATTCAAATTCATAGTTTGATCATCGTCACCAGGATCAGCCATATCAAGGGCCTCCTTAGTGTGAGAAATGCTATCTTTTTGCACCGCAGACTCTATAGCAGAAATAGCCGCGCTCACATGCCTTTCAAGCTCATCGTCAACAGGCAACATCTCGCCAAATTCAACGAGCGCTTCTTTCAACATGTTCTTGACGAAAGGCCTAGCCAACTGACTTTCCGAAAGACGATCCATGGCGAGAGTGAAACCATGCATAGGCACGACAGGAACATTTGCAGCACGCTTAAGCACATACATACTCAACGTATTAAGCACATGCTTGTTGTCAAGAGTTAACGCCAGAACCAAAAATGGTTTCATAAGTTGTAGAAATGCACAAGCACTCAACTCAGCAAATTTCTTACTCTTAGTAAGACTCTCCTGGTTCTCACGAAACTCGTCAAAAAACACTTGTAAAAACTGAAATGCTAAACCACGACTACGCTTGTTAAAGATACCCTCAGAATCCAACACGATCACCTCAAACTCTTCCAGCTCCTGCATAGCCCAACCGCCATCGTTCAGAAATTCTAAAAGCGCAGCCACAACAATCCTCACAAATAACAACATTTTATCCAAACGGTTCTTATCAAGAGTTGGCCACTCCATGGAAATCGATCTGAAGAGTGCAGTAAAGAAAAGGAACCTATTTGAACGATCCGCAAAACGATTCTGAGTCTCCACAATAGCAACAGCTACCTTCCGAACCTTAAGCGGCTTGTCAGTCATCCATAGCATGTAGTAGAGGGCCTTAGTGATCTTCACAAGAGTAAGCTCGTCAACGGGTTCTCTTATCTGGGCAAAGAGCTTAGAGACACTACGTAGAGCACGAGTCCGAGTTGCCTCCTCGCAACTAGCCAACATGTGGCACAGCCTTTGAGCGACCTGGGCGTCCATTTTACGCCGAAATCAAACAAATACAAACAATAAGCAATATAACCGCATTTGGTGAGTAACGCGAAACTCAGCTTAACACAGGGGCATTGCACATGGAAGGACGCGCGACTTCAGATTAGTAGAGTTCAACGGTAAATATTAGTAGGATATGACACTACTATTTAAATTCATACTAACACACCGCGCCAATGTTGTGTGTTGCGACGGCAAAAATTATTAAAGTGAAGATGCTCATACTCACCGTGACACTAACAGTAGCGGGTATATAGTGAGTTCATAGTGGTGTGCTGGATCATCGTAGCAATGTAGCTACTAAACCCCAATTACATTGTTATAGACAAAAAAATAAACACAAATGGCTGCAGATATGGGATAAAGCGTGAAACACACGCAGTCTCGACCTTCCGCTTTTAAGTAAATAGAAATGGCCACACCAAGGCGATATAACGAATATGACAGCGATGACAGCTACTCAGAATCCGATGATGATGCCATAGGATACGATGATTTTGTAGTCAATATACACAAAAAATCAAATGCAGCAAGAAACACTGTACAAAACAAATCCAATATATCATCGGCCGGGAAAACAGCTACGAACCAACAGTATAAAGGCAATGTAGCTAATCCTCGTGGCCCTGCACAAAAATTTACAATAAGGGAAAATAACAATAACAGAACTACACAAGGTCATGCAAGCCATAATAACAAGCATGAAACGGCTGACAGTAACAAACACGCTACTGGACAACATTCCGGTAATGGAAACGCAAACATACCGGCGTTGAACGTAGTGGTGTGTGGTAGAGTGGATGTTGGAAAGTCAACACTTTTGGGACACCTGCTTACGCTACTAGGGGCAGTGGACTCACGTTTACTCCGAGGCGGAGATATGGCATGGATATTGGATCAAGGTGATGATGAGAGGGCCAGAGGTATCACTATTGATCCCACAAAAGCATCTGCTCTAATTGAGGTACCGCTCACCGACACAAAAAACACCAAATCTACAAAACAGTCAAATCAAAATCTCAAAGGAGATATAAAAGTCACACATACACGTGTCAAAATCGATTTCATTGACACACCAGGACACCACGACCTTATAACAAACCTAGTACGTGGTGCAGTATTTGCAAAAGCAGCACTAGTTATAGTTGATATCCTCGATTTCATGAAAGAGGATATTAACGGGTACTTCGAACAACACTTTTTCCTGCTATGGATGTTAGGGGTAAGACACTTTGTCGTATGCGTAAACAAAGTCGATCGTTGCGAAGGATTTGCATCGTTCGCAGAAGCAGAAAGGAAGGTTCTAAATCTCATAACACCATATAAGTCCTCTTCCTTTGTCATTGTAGTACCAACGGCGGGGCTAAAAGGAATAAATCTGCTGAATCGCGAACCCTCCTGGGGAAACGGACCTTCAGTAGTTGAAGCCTTGCAGACAATCGCGAAACAGACCGTAATCGCCTCCAATGACGTAACAAATGGTACATATAAGACCGATGGAGGGTTTTCCCGCCCCGAGGATAGCCTCATTCCCAACTCACAAATGCCAACGGGAACTGTATTGTGTCATATATTCGATATGTGGGAAATATCAAAATCACAAGTCGGATGTTCCTGTTTCGTGGAAGCTACACTGCGGACGCCATGCAAACTTATAGCACTGCCAAGCGGCAGCACTGTCACCTGCACTGAAATTTCGTGCATATTACCGACCGATGAAAAGGACACAAATGTCCCCTCATCAGATGAAAAGAATACGGATGAACCAAATTTATCAACCCTTATGGGTCGTGTGAAGCTAAGTAAGATACACTGCGTTCCTCCATTGGACTTTGTGGACACCATGACTCTACGAGACCAAGAGATACAGACACTAACGGGTGATCGGCTCTTGGTTGACAAGTATACATTCGAGAGATTGAAGGCAGGAACTGGTATTATGTCCGAGACTTCACGAATTATTTGTCAAGTCTACGTATCTCCGCAAGCTCGACATAAACTGACTTTGGGCTTTGATGTCGAAGTATTCGTAACATGTTTCCAGGCTGCTGGCGCTATAACAGCGTTATGGCAATTGGTTTCGGCCGGTAAATGGAAGCGCGTAACCTCGTTGTCGCCTTGCAAAGAAGGGGTAGTAGTGGTACAACTGACAACGTCACTGTTAGTACACCCAGTGCCACCAAAAATAATCAAAAGCGTGTCACCGCTCTCAGCACCTCATAAACCTCACACTGACACGTCAAAAGCTACGGACAACGACGCCTGCATGCCAATGCCGCTACTCAGCAGAGTACTATTTAAAGTTGCTGGCTACGTTGTAGCAGGAGGCACAATAGTTGTAGACACTCCACAGTAGATGTAACAATAGTTAAATAGGAGTATATCTAGTGTGATTTATTAGAGGTTGAGCCAAAATACGGCCGTAATTCAAGGTGCCTGTTGTCTGCGGCGGCGGGTTGGAGCTATACGCTTTCTACGATACAAATAATGTCAAGTAGCACATCAAACGAACACTCAGGTCCTACACATACCATTTATAAGCAAAACACGTGTGTGTGTCACCTCGAAAGCATTAGACGGATGTCGCATACACACACTATTCACACATAGACCATCCTTCTCCAGCCAGGAATAGGTCATTCCGACCTAGAAACCAACTTAACGCGCTACGTAAACCTAGAGCAGGTTCCTAACCGTCGTGTAACAGCCCCTTGAGACCCCATCATATGGAACGTTCCCCACTCCTGTATGCCATTTTCGACGCAACCACGTGGAGTCACTCTGCGCTTAGAGCCGACTCGTACACTCAGTCACAGCGCAAACATTTTGACTCTGCCAACGGGTATGGGCCTGGACGTCCGTTGTGTCGCCTCCTTTTGAAAGAAGACAGGTGACGACGACGCGACTGTGTAGACCGACAGCCACACTACGCTGGGTACGTCTAGCCGATTCTGCTACCCAATAGCGCTCTATTTTAAGGTGTGTGCTGTATAAGGCGACTGTGTTGCAACTTGGAGACTACACAGTCATGGCTCCGCGCCGAAGTTGGTGTAAACTTTGCCAAGATGACTACAAGGCCGGTGATAATATTATTAAGTGTAAGTCAAAAAATCCTTGGAAATCAACATGCACAGGTTCAAGCTGCCCCAAATCATACCATAGGGAGTGTCTAGAACACGATCTCATAACAACAGGAGGCCACGGCGCAGATATCATAAATGGGCAGTATGATTTTACCAAATTCCAATGTGAAAACTGCTTACATTATGAAGATGAAAACGTCATTGAAAATGATGATCGATGCAAGTTGTGTAAGGAAAAAAATAGAAATGATCACGATGTTCTACTACTCTGTGATGGATGCCCAAATAGCTACCATATGAGCTGTCTACAACTTGTAGCGGAACCTGATGGAGAACAATGGTTCTGTCCTATGTGTAAACCTGATGATTTCCAGGTTATCAAATTCAGAAAAAAACAACATCCACTAGCGGAATCAGGAGACCATGTTAATTCATCGATTTGCTATGTCTGCCAGCGACATGGAAAACTATTGGGGTGTGACTTCTGCAGCAACTCCTTTCATCATGGATGCCTCCCTGAGTTCGATATTGGTAATATCGGCGACGTATGGGAGTGTCCATGCTGCAAAGGACAAGATCCTTTCATCAACCAAATGCACAAAAGATGGACTGTGCAACAAATTGACAGAAACATTAAGGAAAGAAGACGATGCATACAGTTATGGAAATCCAAAATCACAAAGTATAGAAACAGGTTTCTGTTAGCACACCGGGACGATCTAGGACCATTCGTCACGGATAAATTTATGGAGCTACTCACAAAAAACTTCATGGACGAAGGATCAGCCGCAAGAAGAAGACTCACAAATGCCGGCCGCAGTATAGACGATCTTTTAGAATATTTTGAGGAAGAAGCTATGGTTGAAGCAGAAAAGTTTATTGCAAAGGCACACAAAAGCTGCTTCTATCCAAGCGGACGCAGAATAGAAGGGAGACCACTCAGAACTGGAGTAGAACTAAAACCACATCAGGAATTTGGAGTAGATTGGCTTCTAAAATCCTTCCTAACCGGAGGAGCAATTTTGTCGGACGAAATGGGTCTAGGCAAAACTATTCAAACACTATGCTTCCTCTCATACCTGAAAATGATGAAAATAGAGGGACCACACCTAATTGTAGTGCCACTATCTACAGTGGGTAACTGGCTACGGGAAGTGCATCGTTTCACGCCACACCTAACCTCTATTAAAATATGTGGATCCAGGACTGAACGAGCACATGCTATGGAGGACAGATTGGCGTACAAAGGTTTATATGATTTGTACATTACCACATATGAAACCGTAAAGAGTGAGGAAGAATTTTTTGTGGAAACGGTCCCTAGATGGCAATGCCTAATCCTAGATGAAGCTCACAGGATCAAAAATCAATCCGGCGCTGCGAGACATTCAATGGATCGTATCCTGGCCAACATGCGACTCTTATTGACGGGAACACCCTTGCAGAACAATGCAATGGAGCTTTTTACACTAATTAATTTTATGTTCCCAGATATATTCAAGGATACAACGCTGATGGACGAAGCATTTCGCCACCCACCCAAGAGACCTGGCCGTTCCGGACCCATGTCAATCACAGCACTCGCTGTAGCATCAGCGAATACCGTTTTTAAAAAGGAAGATCTTGAATCAATCAAGTCCCTGTTGAGCCAAGTTATGTTGAGGCGACTCAAGGAAGAGGCAATCACCTTACAACCCAAAATTTTCCATGATGTATGGCTTCCATTAAGCAAAGTCTCGTTACACTGGTATAAAACTTTGATGAGTGTCCGTTCTTTGATGAAGGAACAAATAAGCGTGAAAAAGTTGTTGGGTATGGTAATTAAAATGCGTGTTGTTTGTGGTCACCCAAGAGGTGTAGTAAGCAGGGCTCATCAAACTGAAAAATTGTTCGATTTCTTCAAACAGGAGTCCATGCCATTACAAAACCAAATAGAGGATGATGCCAACCGGTTGAGAGAACTTCGCGACCAACAGCATAGAGATGCTAGCGCAAAACTTACATTTCTAGACAAGTTATTGTGTCAGCTGCATTATGAAAATTGTGAATTTGTTCCTGGTTATGTGGCGAAATTTAACCACCATCTAAGAGAGCTTGAGAGTATGAAAGAACATAAAATCAAACTACGAAAAAGGATGAAAGGGGTAGCAGCTCAAGAACCTTTTGTTGTAGAGACACATGAATTCCTGGTGCGAACACCATCACCCACCGCAAGGAATAAGCAATTGATGGTTGATGGATTATACGAAAAACCAGTGTCGAGTGTGTGTCCATACAAGAGGGAGAGCCTCACTGCTTTGTTTACTAGGAATAAAAAAACTGATGCTTCCACTACAGATAGAAGCAGAGGTGACCACAATATAACACGAGGTGCTGGTAAGGGACGTGTTGTGGATGATGATTTTGACACACCTGGCAAGGTGAAACCAGAAGGTCACGAGAGTGACAATGGGTTCACCACGAGTAACACCGATGTCAAGACAGAAGAGAACTTGGTCCAAGGGGATGACAAACACACAGGCAATTCTTATACTGTTAAAAAGGAAATGACAGAAGAGATTGAAAAACAGGAGCAAGTATCGGATGATGCGGCTAACACAAACAATGAAGCTCCGTTAACGGAGGTCTCGAAGGAACCGACGATGCACAAAGTACTTGTATTTACTCAGTTCCAACTGGTACTCGATGAACTTGAGAGGTACTGTAACTCTCGCGGATGGAAATACATGCGTCTTGACGGATCAACAAACAAATTGATTCGTGAACTTGATATACGTGAATTCAATTCGCCGCAGAGTCCGTACTTTATTTACCTCATCAGTACTCGTGCTGGAGGTTTGGGGATCAACCTGACAGCAGCAAACCATGTGGTTCTGTTCGATGAGGATTGGAACCCATTCATAGATTTACAGGCGATAGATCGCGCCCACAGAATAGGACAGAAACGTAGTGTCCATATTTGGAAATTGATTTCAGAATGGACTGTTGAGGAACGTATGGCACTTTGTCGTGAAAAGAAACTTCACTTGGACAAGTTGCTCATCAATTCAAACCTACAGTCAATGGATTATGAAGAAGCGGCAGAGGCGCCTATAGTGTCACTGACACCTGCCGCCATTTTGAAAATGATGATGCATGGTAACAATGCGTTGAAGATGACTGAGGGTGAGGACATCACCGAGGCGTACCTCGATGACATAATCGAACGTGGCCGTAAGAAACCTCCTCAGGGTCTAGACGATTCAGCAGAGATTGATGAATCTGAGGACGTATCCCTATTGGAGGATGATGCTGATCCCGATATGGTTAATGTCGCGGACGTTATGAAGGAGGAGGATGTGGTGGAGTCTGATGCTACCAGCGTGGCAGGGGAAGTTGAAGAAACAGTGTCTTTATTGGAAGGAACAAACCTTAGCGTCTCCGATATGCTGGATCACAAGCAAGTTAAAAAACTGCTGAGCAACGCTAAGGATAAGGCCGAACTATTGCGACAACTCGAAAGTGGCGGATTGTTGTGGCGCTCCGGCCGAGAAAGACGCAGGCCCTCATCTATGTATGTGCCGGAGGGATTCCGTAAACGTGCCGAAACTCGTACGATACGCCATGAGTGCCGCTGTTTCTGTTGCGGGTTTGCTAAAAACCACAAAGCACACTACAAAGACAAAGACGGTGTAAGTATAGAAGTTGATTATGGAGAACTCGTCAAGTGTTTCCGTTGCCCTAAGAGTTACCACAAGGTCTGCGAGAGTTTGGGTGATACAAAGAAGACGTGGACTTGTAGGTGGCACGAATGTTGTCTCTGTTTCAGGAAAAGTTCACAGTGTGACAACATGTTGATCCATTGCTCAAATTGTCCAACATCGTTCTGTTATGACTGCTTCCCGCCAGATTACACACGTCATTATGTAGGTGAAGATTACTATTACGCTTTAACGCAGAGAGGATTGAATGCAAACGCCGGGAATTGGATCTTCTTTTTATGTTCGAAGTGCAAGATTTTACAAGAAAAGGACCGTCGTAAGAAGATGACAAAGGAAGATAGGGAACAGCAGCAGAAGCAGCAACGTGAGTTACGCAAACAATTGGCGTCAGTTGATCATGGTGATGACAAGGAATCGAAGCGAAGGCGCCGTGAAAACCGTATCACATTCTTGGACGGTTATCGAGCCAGCGAGGTGCAATATGAAAATCGCATCAGGCTTGCTTACGAAAGATTGTGCCCGCCCAATCTGATTGAAGAGGTGACTAAACGTATTGAAGCGGCACGAGCAAAGCGAGAAGCTGATGAAGCTGCTGGTGTTGTTCGTCTGAAACGCGAAGTTAACTTTTTGGCAATTCGCTTACCTTATAAGATGCTTGCAATCTGCGAAAACTGCAAACTGCCACTGCATAACTCAGTGCGTTACCCAGGAGAATGCCCGTACCCTAAGGAGGTTGTTAAGATGGAGGTAACGGTACCCAGTGAGGGACAAGCCAATGCATCCCCCAGGTTAGAGGAAGCAGGGCCAACAGCGGAATCAAATGCAGCGACACCTGGAAAAGTTATGAAGAAAACGGCTTGCTCCAAATGTATGCTGGCGTTGACTGGTAAACTTTCTCATACACGTCGCAGCTGTGATTTGTTGACCGACGATGAGATCCGTGAGTATGAGGATCGTCGTAAGCAGGTGAATGCCGCCGTTGAGATGATGGAGAGTCTTGCCGTGACCAAACCAACCGACGATGATTATTCCGTGATACCACACGCAAGACTGAAAGTCATTTATGCAAATGCGTTGGAAGCTATGGATCGTATCGTGCTGGATTGCTTCACAAAGTGTGGCGTTACACTTTTATCCCCTTCCGCTGCTGCTAGTGGGATCCTGGCACCGGCGAGCACACCACCATCTCCTGGTATGGCGCCAAGCAGTTCTACGATGACATCGGCCACCAATTCGACCCCCAACGAAATTTCACCGACAACGTCAAGTTTGGGGGATCATACAAGTGTACCTGGATCACCACGAATAAAGAGACCTGCAAATCCGCTGTTGGGTGAAGTTATACCAAAAAAATCAACTGCCAGCCCAGGTGACATCTCTCACACATTGTCACCATCAGGTAAACTCGACGGCTTTAGCTCTAGTCCTGGCAGGCATGCGCATCCTGTACCACCTCTGAATTTGAGCGGTAGTTTGAGTGCTGAGGAGCTTAACTTTACCATTCCAAAGTTGAAACAATCGCCCGTCCCATCAGCCAATACTCACCATGTTGAAGGGTCGCATTTACCTGGCAGGCTATCTGCTGAAACAGCTAATTCGCTCATGGCTAACACCCAAATACCCAAAAAGGCTGCGTCGCAATACGACGGTGATATATGCGACTTTTTTCAAAGCCGTCGCTAGACGACACAACTAGCGCCGCCTGGAACTGACCAACCATTTGAATGACTTATGACGGCACAGCCATTAGGCGCGCCAAAAACATATATGATGCGTGCGTACGTAGAACGGTAGTGCCGTAGCTTACAGGTGATACATTGAGACATGTGTGACGCAGTTTGCGTGCGTGTAGTAGTAGGGCTAACAGAAATGGGTTGCAGGGGCGTGCGTTTGCGCCGAATGCATGGTCACCTAGCCATGCCAGCTGTAAAATGCCAGTACAAGTGGTTTTAAAATCCACGTTAGCCCATATGACCTGCGAGCAGGCATCACAAGATGTGGAAAGAGTTGGCGTAACTGTAAGAACTGAAGAAAGCGTAGAGTGGTGTGTACCACTTACGCTGACTCCCATGGATCTTCCAGTTGCGGTACACCTCCACTGGTGTGTTGTAAACACAACTGGGTTTCCTAAACAAATAACGCATCACAACATATATTGGCAAGAACCGTTCAACTCCGTTGAACGTGATTAACGTCCATACCTTGAGGTCGGGTTTCTTCTTCTTCAGAGCAGCGACAGCATTGTGGGTGTTAACGTGTATATGAGAATGATCACCACCGTGCCGGTCAAAGGTGATAACGAAATCACTCTTGTGTCTCTCTAGGTACGCCTCAATGTGCGGGATAGCCTTTTCAGGATCCTCGTACCTGGACTCATCAAGTATTTCGGGTACATCAAGCACTGAGCACTGCATGTTGTACTTGAAACAGAGTTCTTCCATCTCTAATACGTGCTTATCACCCGGGCCACTGGAGCCACCCCTGGTGAGAACAAGGGCGCGAATGGTGACATCCTGACTCGAAACCATGGGAGAATTCCTGAGTATCTCCAGGGTCGGCGTAAAGAAAAGTGTTTCATCGTTAGGAAGTGATAAGACGAAAGTCAACGAGTGTTGACCGTCATCGTCGAACTCAGAGAGAAGCTGTGATACGAATTTACGATTCACGTGCTTCGCCCCGAAGTGTACAAACAGTATGAATAAGGCAAGTACGACTAAAGCCGCAACGGAATATTGACATGACATGTCTAAAAAGAAAAACTAAAACACACATTACAAACAACCTATACAGACAATGTTCTGCGATAATACGCAGTACGAACGTAAGCTGCCCGGCGGCGCTGGCAAACCCTAGCGATACAAACGTCACTGTAATCAGTTCCTTGGAGCGATATCCAATCAACCCAACGTCACAATCAATTAGTTCAAAAATGCCTTCAGAACATGGACGGATTCACTTATGATATCCGACATCAATTCGTCCTTCCTATTACTGCCTGATGGCTTGTTTAAATTACCTATATCACCTAAGGTCTGATACTATCGATGAACCAAGCAAGCGCATTGGAAAGTGACATGCACACATCAAATGCTAACAATAACTATAGTGACAGAACAAGGCCGCTTAACGGCATACAGTATTATTAGACTCTAAAAAGTCGCGAATGCTTAGGTCCACATACGCACACATAGGCCACTTCGTCCACCACAGAACCTAAAACGTGGTGTTCAGGCTCTTGCCATAGTGGAACGTTGTTACCATGGCTGGGATTCGCCCATTTGCAATGAATAATATAAACAATACCTCAATACTAGAGATATCTCTCTAATAGCGTTATTTTTAATGCCCGTTACAATTCGCTATTGGCCGTGACGATCTGTTGTTTAACTACACTGTGAAATATTAGGCCTAGACAATCGAAGTAGACCAGTGGAATAGAAAGAAGCAGCATATAGATTTGTTTAACTACTCTAGCAGATGTTTTAGATGTCCAGACGCTCAGGAAAGAGCGGCGTGATTAACCAGCACGGAAATCCGTGGTTTGGGCCATTCCTAACTACCTCCTATCAACCGCCGTACGGCTTCGTCTTTGTTGAAAACGGTGGGCGACGATGCAACAGAAGAAATGCGTCGGCAGTGATGGCAGCGGAATCCCTGTGTGGACCGCAAAATCGGAACCGTATCGCATATGAGGCTGTGCATAGAATACACATGTGCAAAATATAAAATCAGCTATATAACGTAGCCAGAGCTAGGTAACATCAAATCAAGATTAGCTCCTTTGTGTTTACTTGTACGAACACGATAGAAGTAGTCAGGAAATACGTAAGACGTTAGGGTACAGTCGTATATCAACACACAGTCGTTTAGCGTAATGTTCAGAGTGTTAATTTGGTTAAAACGACTACAGAAAATTACAGTAAATGAGGTGGCTATGGTGCGGGACCACTGAGGGTCCCAAGCGCGTAGCCCATCATAGTCATCCTGGAGTCTCCTTCGTGCGAGGCTTTCTGAGCTTTGGTATTTCAATAACAAAAATAATCCTCGGCAGCGTTAACGCGGTCTGTTGTTGCGATTCTTAAAGCGCGGAGGAGGGATGCGCGGTTGTACCGTCATTGTGATTTGCATTTTGTTTTAATATTTTTCGAGCAGACTCCTTTTGATCGTTTTTGTAAGCTATAATGTACTATTAAATAGCAGAACTGGAGGACAGAGAATGCACTTAAAACCTTAAGTGTGTCGCGAAGTTACCCATTTTCCCTTTTCGGATTGCAAATGGCGTGAACTATTGCTACAGGGCATAGGAAGAATATATCGCGCCTGATAATAGTGTGTACTGCGTATATAATTAAACTCATCCATTTGTATTTTGCTGAGTAAAAACTATTGACGGGATGAGTTATGGTAGTAAGCGGCTAAAGGCTGATCTGACACAATGTCCTACAAATGTGAGAGAGGCAATTGATTGGATATTAAGGATCACAGGAAAGGATGAATTTGGTAAGTCAATTGAGACCATGTGTGTCAATACTTTCTTAGGCCACGTGACCGGAGGGCTATCATCTCGTCAAGGTAGGTAGATGACCAATCAACTTCATAGCTTGCAGGTGATAAAACCGGCCTTGGTGAGGAGGTCTGGGCTCTCTTTCAGCAGGTGAAAGATGATGGAGATACACCTATCAAGGATGTATGGTCGGAGCTGGATGACGATGCAGAGTTAAATGCAACCGCTTTTGATTAAAAAGTTGCAGACTATCTCAATGTGCTGATCAACGAATTGGGGGAGAAGTTGGCCAAATTTACGGGATACTATGCGTCGTTAGCAGAAGATAAATGGTCCCTCGGGAGAGGCGGTATTGGGCAACAAGGCGCATACAAATCCACCTATGAGGCGACGGCCACTTGGGAAGATGTTAAAAATGATGTCGAACATAGAAAAACATGCGCACAAATCCTACTTGGCTGTATGCCATTAATCTTTAGCGGACTAAGCTATCTATATTGGCAGTGCAACAAGGGCAAGGGGAGCGACGGGAAACCAGATAAGAGATGGAACGATAGTGAACAGATAATCAATCTAGAAAATGGCTCAATCTGCATCTACATGGAATCCATGGGATATAAGAGGACTGAACTCGATGAGAAAAAGGGATCCGATGTGAAAGAGCTCCTGGAGTTGAATTTCGAGGAGTTAAAAAAATTCGCAAAAGGTGACAATGGAACGTTCAATCTTGAACAAGATCCCAACGCAGCACAAGGATCGTACGCCGAGTTTGTTAACGCTATACAGACTGCGTATAGCAAGACTTATGGATCAACTGAAGATGGTAGGGAGGAGGAACGAAGAACACGGAAGAAACAAATTGCACAGGGACGTCCACTCGACCGACTGTATATGGGAGCAGAATGGTACTTTCAGAGGATGCAACAGAAGCATAACGCTCAACACAGCGAACGCATTCAACCTGCCAACATCAGAGAGATGCTCTATTGGTTGATGTGTCTACCATATTCACCAGTATATATGGGGCTGGCAAACGGTGTAATGGCGAATGAAGCAGAAGATACAGAATTCGTATGTGGAACGAAAACGATCCCATCCATCGCAGACAGTCTGGATTACTACTTGCTGCCACCGTGCTACTATGCTGGGTTCGTTTTAATGTCAATTCAAGGTGGATTAGAAGATGCATCACGCAAGTCATCGTCGCCACCATTCCTCCATGAGCTGTATTCCAATAACTATTTTCAGTTCTGTTACCCAGACAATGTCAGCGAGTGGTTTGGTATGCTCTGGGATGTAGTATACGCGGTGTACTTCAGAATGAACTTTCTCAAGGTACATTGCGCTGTGGATCCTAAGTCGTTTTTGATCTTGTCGATGGCTATTGTCTATTAGACACCTACGCATCGTATGTGTTTATGCGCCGCACGTTTGTGAGCGAAATCACGGCGATACAAGTTCACGGAACATCAACTGACGGCATCTGAACATGCAACACGCCTACGCTGTGGTCGCACTCACTACCAAACGCACGTGCCGTATGGGATATGAAGAAGTCACACAATCCAGGTTAGATCTACTAGCGCTAGGTGTAAATCCTTTTGCAAATCTTACGTCACGATATATCGGCGTTGAGCTGGGAACATTTTATGTAATGCTATCGGCCTACAGTTGCCATACCAATCTAGACATGACACCTTGATGGTGACCCTTCTACATCTGGAGACTAAAAGTTTGCTATGTGAGTTGGATGTGATTGCAACGATAATTGAAAGAATGACAAATAATGCAAGGAAAGACGATCTAGGCTTGTTCTTTCGCTCGAACCATGAGCATGGTAATATGGAATATGGATTGTGCCAGTTGAAACCCAACTAGCGTCCTTTTAGCTTGCCATCTCGGAGCAGTATAAGACTACCATGATTCGAGTTGTATGGGTGATAGCGGCATCCCGTTTTATTCCGCGTGGATGGGGCTGAATCTGGAAGAATGGGAAACAGGGCGGCAAGGAGTGATGCGCTCTAATATTGAATCAGACAGCTATTTACGTCCCTCGTTCCCTATTATCGTCACAGGAATTGTACATTAGCAAAATATTTCAACATTCGCAACTGGTGAATTGGAGTTTTGTATTCTGATAGCCTCGTGATATAAGAGAGAAGGGAAACTGTAGCATCGTCGGATTCAAGGTTTCAGCACAATCAAGTATTTTAAGCCGCCAACTACCGTATCTGCGTTCGTCAGAATAACAAATATATCGACCATCGCTACTGCGGAGAAGATGGAAGGACTCTGCAGGCTTGAAGGTATCAGTAGGATGCCGATGACCCAAATAGTCCTTATGATACTGGGAATACTGATGAAGGTAGTTAGGGCCGAAGTTGCCGAATCGATAGTTGATAACAAGGGTGGCATAACTATCTTAGGAAAGCACTTCACAAGGATGGAAATTCTCCTTTACACTCTTCGCATTTTGATCATCATCCGCTTCATCGCTGCTGCAGGCGCTGCTGCAGGAGAGAAATCGGAAGCAGGTTGGCCGTGTTTCGGGGTTGGATGCGCTTTGTGCGTCCCATATCTCTACCTTTCCTACCGACTAAATAAGTTCCAATGGCTGACCAAATTCTTCGGATGCACAAAGGGAATGCCACAATCGACATGATTAACACCAACAATACAATTGGCTGCGCCATTCACTGAATCATCGCATAAGTCTCTCTAAACGGCTGTTTAACACGTACAGCAGCTTTATTACGACATACGTGTCGACTATCCTCATAGCTGTATTTCAAGCACATCTCTCACGTCCAATCTCACACACGTACTATAGTGGATGCTGTGCTATTTTCACGAACTCTAATATTAATAACATGTGCACATAGACATAACACCTGCACTGACTGTCTGTCTCATTTGTTCAATGCTCTTCTGGTTGCTCTGTCTAGTTCATTTAAAAGGATGTCGTCTGGTGATGTAATGCTGCTGGGCAGCATAAAACAATGACTAAGATGTACTACATCATGCATAAATCGTTTCTTGTGTTTGTTTATTTCATGGCGATGTCGATATTAGTTGAATATCCAGCGTCAGGAAAGTGCTTTAGTCGTTTAAGGTAGAAAGCGTGACTTTCACGATGCATGGAGGGATACCACAACTTGCAAATCGTTTGGCTAGATATCACTGGATAGCAATCTTGCCAATACAAAAGGCAAGACACTACGAGTGCTCAATCGTGTCCTTTTGTGCGTTGGAGAGCAGCTGAAGCGATTAGAAGCAAAGAAATAACCTATTCTCAGTCTGCAGAGCGCATCGTGGAATTCATTGAGTTGGGTTAGCAGGTCATAAACTTTCGCGTAAGGACAACACCTAAATAGAAGAAGGTTGAAGCCAATCCAACTGTGTACATTGGAATAGCTGTGTTGCGATTGACTATCTGCGTTACATGGACTTCAGTTCGGGGCATGGAGGTTGTGTATGTTATGAATACCAGCAAAACACGTGTCATTTTTTCTCGAGAGGAAACATAACCAGTATACAATATGCGCCACAGTTATTTAAACTAGGTACCAATTCACCGCGAAACAGATATGAACACAGGAAGACAGCTTGATAAAATTGCATAGACAAACTCACTGTTCTGTGTTTTTGAAAGAACGTTCTATATATGCCCATACCAAGGGAGCAGATTGATACGGTGGCAGAAAAACAGTATCCAATATTTTCTGCTGGCAACGCCAAAATTACATACGATCCGACTGAATGATATGATTCATCAATTGTTAGCATACCGGCGTATGATGCGGATATCGACGTGGCGACAAGAAGGGACACAACGGAACGTTTCAAGGCGTACGCATAAACTCCACCGCCCATGAAGCAGGCGCTGCCGAGTCCAGCTGGAACAGCGAGTAACCAGTTCATTTTGTTGTTTTATTGGGACTAATGGCTGCTTTGTCGACTAGATAGCTATACCAGCGTGACAACTGAGTGATGCATCCATTTTTTCCGCGCTCCCCCAAATCAGCAAGCTAAAAAAAAATATACGAGCATACGTTTGAATAAATAGGGGGCATAAGGCAATATTTAGGATGCAAACATTTAGTATATTAATAGATTGCTTTATTGTCATAGATACAGTTTTCGGCTCTATCGCTTCGTGACGCTCAAGCCAAGTGATAACTGCCGTAGCTTTGTAGGTTGTTGCTAACTTATTGAAGTGAAGAATCATATTAAATGTACTGCATTTCGGCCTTGTTTTTGTTAACGTTTTACAAATTTTCAGATTTGTTTTCCCAGTGGAGAGTTGTTCAGGCGCGCATAGACGCCTTCCATACATCGTTGAACATATATAGAGAAGTATGATTTCCTTTTATGCCTCCTGAGAGTGGAGTGAGGCAAAATCGTGTCTAGCTCTCTGTGTGTGTTGTGCTGAACCACTGCTCACATGATCATATTACACCATAGTCTACTACATCGCCATGAAAATTTACTATAATATAAGTGCAAATTTAGATAAATGAGAGTTCATGGTGGCTTAGATTTAAGGTGTAAGTATGTGTAGACTCCAGACAAGGTCGCTCACCGTTTCCGCAAAGAACGTGTATGTTGAATGAAACACATCCGCGAATATAGTAACCGTATATCCTTAATTACTTTTTTCATAAACAAGTGTCCCTGGCTTATATAGCTGTTCGTACTTGACACTGAGGTGTCGTCTCAGCGCGATAGACATCACTCACCCTTAAAACGGTGACTAAAACCTGATTACGCACTGGGAAGTCATATATGTGTGAGGAAAAGTTAGTGAGATTCCCTTCCAGAAATCTGGACTTCACTCAGATTTCGTTGCAAAATAATTGGCGCCATTTGTAGACTAAATTTACAACCTTTGTCAAGTCCTAGTCAGCAGTTAAGTTTTGTAAGAACCACACTGGGGATTATAGGCATTATGAGTATGTTACCGAGTGATTTAATGGGAACTATATTTCTAGCTTTAATTTACCCTATCCACATCGTTGCAGCAATCCACACTTTTTGGAATACGCCGCATGATGAAGTTGTTAGACACTTATTTTCAGTTTAACTCCACGTTTTACAGCAGCTCGAAACTGTTGACGTAGCTGTAGGAGGCACAAAATGCCCACAACTTCGTATACCACCTTTTCTGAGTATGATATATTTCCATGTTACTATCGACGTCGAATGGCGAAAATCTTACGACGCTGGGTCTTCTAAATACTGATCTCAAGATAGCTAGAGGCGGGAAGTATTTTGTAATGATACCGTATGTTTTTAAACACCATACATCCACAGCTGAGTATCGCTCTTTAACGTTTGCGGCAGCTTTGTGAGCACTGATATGGTTTGGATGACCAGAGACACCGTACTGATCAAATGTGAAGACTAGTGTTACATTGTTCTCCTGTAGAAATTGCTCGATGCGATATGATACCTTCTCTAGATCCCAGACATAAGGACCGTCCTGCGTATCCGGTTCATCGTCGACGGTGCACTTGATGTTGTACTTCTCACATATTTTAGCCAATTCAGCGATGCGCTTGTCTCCCTGTCCCATATAATCGCCTGAACGATATGGACTGCATCCGTTGGACCCACCTTTCGTTAGAGAGAGCAGCTTAAGTCTAATTTGTTGATTTGCAACATCCGGTGAAGTGGTAAGAACCTCAAGCAAAGGGGTGAAGAACATAGATTCATCATCAGGGTGAGCAATAACAAAAGCTATAGATTTCGTGTCCCCACCAACGCTATCAAAATGTGCTAGCAAGTCCTTCGTAAAGGTAACATTCATTCGTATGGACAACTGCCATATTAGCTGAATTACAACAAATACAGCAGGAATGCCAATCACACGCACACTCCATCTACGCATCATCAAAGCACACGTAGATCAGAATAACTTATAAGGAACGCAAAATGCCGTGTATGATACGATGCCGTAGGCACCAGACGACTGGGAAGGCTGCGTAACGCAAGCAAGTTTGCTTTAGGCAATCCCTCTTAAAGCGACTCGATAGCTGTAGGAATAGTATTCACAAATTTTGATAAGTATGGGAAAATAAAGCTGTGATAACTGTGTAAGACGCCGTGAACCATAACGAGGATACAGTAGGGAAGTTTAGAAGATATCATTATGATAGACACATAATTATATATAAGTCGCATATATCGGTCGTACTGGCCGCGAAAAGAGTGCGGCAGCGCTGCGCGTTACGTGATGGCCGCACAACACACCGCGGTACACATTGTAGACCCGAGTCGACAATATAGAGATCGAGGCACACGGGTTTTCCTGAAAATCTTCAAAACATAGCCCGTAGTAGGAACGGAAGCTTGATAATCCTCGGGCGCCGCGATTCAAGATATCTTCGGAAGGATGGTAATATTTACGAGTCACGTGCTCTTGTATTTCTATAAATATTGCAGTTATTGGATCTTTTGGGGTAAAATACTCTGATTGGTATTCTGTCAAAGCGAGAAGCCGCGACATTAGCTATTGGTGTCTGTATTTCCGCCTCCAGGTCAGAGGCTCGTTTCTTGCTTTCTAATAATTCTTGTCGTTCCTTGTGACACGTTTGTAAATCTATAATGATGGTCAATGGACATTCATATCGTCTCAGGGAGACATTGAGAGCTACAATGGAGGCGCCGTAGTCGCCATGGTCGGCAATGGTTGCGTGGCAATCGCATGTGACAAACGCCTGGGAATGAACGGACAGCACACTATCGGATCAAACTTTCCCAAGGCGTTCAAGGTCACAGACACATCCTATTTCTCTGCCTGCGGATTGGCAACCGACATCCAAACCATGTGAGTGATTATCGCGTATTAATAATGCCACGCAGGAAATCGGAAATCGAATTCAAGACCAACATGTACGAGCTCCGCTGCGAGAGAACTATGGGAGTGAAGACTTTGGCGCACATGGTTGGATCCCTGCTCTACTCGCGGCGATTCGGCCCGTGGTTCGTCTCGTCTGTGGTTGCGGGGCTTGATAAAGATACACCGCACATATACTGCTTCGATCTTATCGGTGCTCCGTGCAATGCTAAGGACTTCGTTGTCGTTGGCACTTGTTCGGAGCAGTTATACGGTATATGCGAGTCGCTGTATCGCCCTAACATGGGACCCTCCGAGTTGTTCGAAACGATATCACAGTGCCTTATGGCTGCGATTGATCGTGACTGCCTGTCTGGTTGGGGAGCGGAGGTTCACATGATAACCCCTGAAAAGATCACAGTGTCAACTCTGAAAACAAGGATGGACTGATACATTTTCAGCAAGCGGGAGCGCCAGGAACACAGCCGAATCGAGCTCAACGCTTACGACTGAAATATAAACGTGTTCAAAGCGTAAATCTAAAGATTTGCTCAATAATGTTTTTCATGCAAAACTTGAATTCAAAATTAAGTGCTGTTTATGCCTGTTACGAGATCAAGAGCCCTTCAAATGCAATGAGGCAGGCTTCTCGAATGCCTTTTTGGCGCACAAAACGGCGACGTAGAAACACGCTGATGCTAAACCGGCACTATAGATGCCTATCGCCCAGTTTCGCTTGGAAGCCTAAGTCACAATCAAGGGAACCGTAAAACATAGAGATAATCATAATGCAGGATGCGAGTTACAGATGTGGATACGGACAGCGACTTGTAACCAGTGAACACAACTTCACATGTACATTGGTATTCTATTATAATCATATAATAATATCCATCATATTCGTAAAATCACATAACGGTGATTCGGATAGGAATCAAGTTTTGTTGGTGATGGTAAAGTGTAATAGAGATTTACACAACGTACCGTGGGTAGTTCTGCTGAAAATAATCTGTAGGCACCAAAACTCAGGGCAGTGAGAGACACAGTGGCGGCCAGACAGTATCCCAAATGCCTTTCCGCTTGAGACATAATCACAAACGCAGAACCTGATTCGTGTGTAACATTGACGTAGTAACTAACCAGCATAAAGTCCGGAGAAGGCCGCAGCCACCAACAGTGAAACGAGCGACTTCTTAGACACATAGGCGTACACACCTCCATACAAAAAGAAGCCACTGCACAACAGTGCCGGAACAGACAAAACACGAATCATTTTGCAGTAGCGTAACTAAAATAATTAGTGAGCGTCCCCAGCAACCTAGCGCTGTCGCACCATGATGGGGGTAGCGTCCTTCTTCTTACCTAGGTATTTCACACCCATATTTCTTACAAAGCAGCCCCATGATATTTGACACCCACTTTTGATCGATGTGTATATCTGTGTACCATCGTCTCCAACAAACTGAACCACCTTGTGCCTGGGATACAACCTCCATCTCCTTCCATCTCGATTCCGACACACATCCACTTTGTATATTCACCGTCCTAACATTTATGAATACTTAGCTTTGTTTAGCGATACTATACCTCGTGTCTTACCTAGGTTCTCACATTATTCCATACACGGCGGCCGCTAGTACCTATAAAACAACTGACGTATAGCTACTCTATCAGTTGAAGGAGGTGGAACGTCTGAGATCGTAGGGTACTGGTATAAGTTAGAGGTGCCTGAATTTCTTGTTAGTGAACCTGCAGCTATGTCTCTCTCATAGCGTACTGGTTGGCCCTATCGTTACACATTGCTGTCGTGACTAGACATTTATTTCAAATCGGTATATGTGACGTGACTTCCGTCACACATGAGCTTGTGGTATTCCGGTTTTAAATGTTTCGGAACTCATTAAGACTCTACGTTTGACTTTTGCCCGTTGGCAGCAATGCAGCACAATCAGCTGATAAAATCATCAAACTATTGAAACGAATGATTCTTTGGAAACCGATAAGAGACTCCGTCTGGAAAGAGGTTCTTAAATGAGCGGTTTTTGCGTTTAATGTGCGTAATGCTTCACACGTACCAGTTCACGTGATAGCAGTCATGATGTCGAATGAGGTTGAAGACATGTAGTGAAGGGTAAACGATAGGTCAGCTTATCATACGGTGGATATCAGCGACAACTTGTGCTCTTTAAATGCCGGATGATTGTCTTTGGTCTACGTTGAAGTCGACGCTTTTATTCAATTATATCTAGTCTATGGTATTTTTTACTGATTCGTTCTTTATATGATCTTTTTTATGATTAGGCTGTTTGGAAGGTTGGCATAGGGGATGTGTGCCTGATTGGTGTCGCACACCAGTTCTTTAAAATTTACGGTGACCTCAATATTTAGCTTCAATATCACACTTGTTTTTTATCGCAGTTTGAGATTTAATAGTATTTAAATGTTTTTTTAATTTCTGGACCTCCCGCTTTACTGTCTCTGATGTAGCGACGTTCTTGGAAGGTATGCGATCATGATGAAACAAGGACGCTTTGTTGCATTCGCAAGATACAAACAACGGCGTAGTAATGCCTTTAAACGCCATGGAGAATCAGATGTAGCGTGTGACAGGGAAAGTTGTGATCACAGTTTGCACTCCCATGGTATGTTTCCTCGTACCTGCAGAACATCATCTGCCACTCGAAGTGAAATATTTGGTGGATATAATGCGTGTCATGTTTCGGCGCCTGGTTCCAGGGATAGAACTGTGCGGACATTTGCCACGGTTACGACCAATGAGTCTTCCGACGTATCCCACGGCAAGTTTGATGAAAATATTACTGCGGAATCGGCGCCCCGACAACGATCACTTGCAAAAAAGGACGTTGAAGCAAATATAGTAGTCAGGAAACCTATTCCAAAGAACTTCATTAGGGAAACTTTTTTACCTCATCTAGAGCATAATGTTGCATACAACGCTCACAAATTTCCACCCGCCGTGGTTCTACAAATAGGCATCGCATATTCGAAATTGCCTGCTTTCATAAGGCAACGTGCTATTGAAGATTCTTTGGTACAGACTTTTATAGAACGTATGGTGGACTACAGTGCTTCAGATTGCGTGCAACTCTTGAACACGAGTTTACAGTTGCAGGGGTTGCGTAATTTAAAAGTATACAAAGAAATACTCAAGCGACTACAAGATAAACATGTCTTTGGAACTATTACCGTGCTTAATCGTTTGGGCCTCGTGCGCAACATTTCAAGGATTCTGCAGCGGGCTCAGGTGCTACAGGGCGATTCGGAACCTCCTACGCTTGACGTGGAAATGCTAGATTTGCACAAATATCGCGTTTCGATATTGAAACCGTGGACAATGATTACCTCTGGTCTGCGCTCTACTGATCTTAAGAAACTCTGTAGCGATTTAGTGGACTTTGGGGGTGACTCGCTGTTACCGCAACTGGAGTTCGAACTACAAAGCTTTGATTCTAACGAACTTACTGATCTACTGGGTGTATTCGCAGAGCGTGCGGAACGCGATTCGGCAAAACTTGACTTTCCCATAATCGCAATTCTGATGCAAAGGATTATAGAACTGGATGACAAAACGCCTCTTTCCAACAAACTGGCAAATGTTTGTAGTTTGTGTCGTCTGGGAATCGCTCACGACCGATATCTATCCATGGTGGCCAATCAGTTGCACAATCCTTTAATGGTGAACAACATCTTCCATCGCCACTTGGCCAGAGCACTATGGGCCTTTGCACGATTCGGGATGCTAGGAAGCGTGATCGAGCCTTTGTTGCCGCACCTAGAGCGTAACGCGCTGCACTTCGAGCCCAGCAGTATGGCACGGCTGAGTCAAATATACAGCGGCGAATCTGCAACCAGTGAGATACCGTCGTCCCATCTAGATGCATTGCGTGACGTGGTGGTACGCAATGCGTTGAGTATGATAACTAAGCTCGATAAATTCACGCCCAAAGAATTGCTTTTCTTCTACACAGGCTTGTGCTATATGCATCTGCTCCCAGAACCAGCGGATTTCGCCTTATTTGTAGCATCCAAAGATTCCGGGGTCTTGCGCTACGTGGAATCGGTGCCGCAAGGCTTTGACAATATGTTGACCGCAAAAGGCAAAACGCGCACTCATATTGTGGAACACTTTTTACATGCCGTGGAGGAAGTAGAGAATGACTTCGACCTATCAGAAATCCAACGCATTCTCTCTCTAACGCAATCAATGGAGCACGCACAATTTGTTTTGCAGCACCTACCGGTTACTTGGTCTAAGATCATCGAAGAACATAAGGGAACGGAAATCTAAAGTGACTGAAACCGCGCTGTAACACGCTTCATTCGCCGACCCCCTGCTGAGTACAACTTTATTAAACCAACGTTACGTGGTTAACGCCACTCGGAACACCAAAAACAAAAGCGGCAAAATGCGTTGTGTGTCCAAGCGAAAGGCGCGTGTTTGCTTGCGCAGGTAACACCGCCATATTTGATTAAGAACTAATTTGTTAGATTCAAAATTAAGTGCTGCTTGTGCCTGTTACGAGATCAAGAGCCCTTCAAATGCAATGAGGCAGGCTTCTCGAATGCCTTTTTGGCGCACAAAACGGCGACGTAGAAACACGCTGATGCTAAACCGGCACTATAGATGCCTATCGCCCAGTTTCGCTTGGAAGCCTAAGTCACAATCAAGGGAACCGTAAAACATAGAGATAATCATAATGCAGGATGCGAGTTACAGATGTGGATACGGACAGCGACTTGTAACCAGTGAACACAACTTCACATGTACATTGGTATTCTATTATAATCATATAATAATATCCATCATATTCGTAAAATCACATAACGGTGATTCGGATAGGAATCAAGTTTTGTTGGTGATGGTAAAGTGTAATAGAGATTTACACAACGTACCGTGGGTAGTTCTGCTGAAAATAATCTGTAGGCACCAAAACTCAGGGCAGTGAGAGACACAGTGGCGGCCAGACAGTATCCCAAATGCCTTTCCGCTTGAGACATAATCACAAACGCAGAACCTGATTCGTGTGTAACATTGACGTAGTAACTAACCAGCATAAAGTCCGGAGAAGGCCGCAGCCACCAACAGTGAAACGAGCGACTTCTTAGACACATAGGCGTACACACCTCCATACAAAAAGAAGCCACTGCACAACAGTGCCGGAACAGACAAAACACGAATCATTTTGCAGTAGCGTAACTAAAATAATTAGTGAGCGTCCCCAGCAACCTAGCGCTGTCGCACCATGATGGGGGTAGCGTCCTTCTTCTTACCTAGGTATTTCACACCCATATTTCTTACAAAGCAGCCCCATGATATTTGACACCCACTTTTGATCGATGTGTATATCTGTGTACCATCGTCTCCAACAAACTGAACCACCTTGTGCCTGGGATACAACCTCCATCTCCTTCCATCTCGATTCCGACACACATCCACTTTGTATATTCACCGTCCTAACATTTATGAATACTTAGCTTTGTTTAGCGATACTATACCTCGTGTCTTACCTAGGTTCTCACATTATTCCATACACGGCGGCCGCTAGTACCTATAAAACAACTGACGTATAGCTACTCTATCAGTTGGAGGAGGTAGAGGCGGCGCGTGTGAAATTTGTCTGGTGTGTTTCACTTTTGAATGGCTCACATGCTGTCATATAGTTCATCTGTTCGTATTGAAAACTAAGAGCGGTCTGTTGATCCTTAACGTGATGTAACAAATGGGTTAAACAACGAAGTCGCAGTATTATACATAGATTTCTCAGCGTAACACGAGTGGTTCACCTTTTTAGACCCTAGGAGGCTACTTCGCTACCCTTCTCAGGGCGAACCAAGGGGCGGCGTACAGGCAAGAGAAACGTAATTTTCGCGGTTCCAGGCCCCGCGATATCTTAAAATGTTAACCGCGCGTTCAGGGTACGACCTTTAGCGCCATTAGCGATAAAATGACGTGTTTAATTTCTTAATCTGTCACGTAGAGTGTTGTTTAAACCATGCAGCACCCCTGCTGTTAGCAAGGATTGGAGCACGGAGTTGCCTCTGTGCTACATTCGGCCCACTTCGAAACGGCGCAGCGCGTGCCGCATGTTGTTGTTGGTTCACGCTCGAAATTTCTTGCCGTTTAATTTTCGTGAGTGAGGCACCTTGCTAAGGATGTGCGATGAGTCGAATACGTACACCACGTCCTCTGCAGCATTCTCGTTCGGTTGCGTTCTCTCTTCCGAGACGTGTTTCGAAGCTGTTGATCTATTTCGATCCGATTTACTGTGGTACTTGGACAGCCTGTGGCGCCACGCTCTTCTGATTGCGACACCTATGCTCAGAGTAGGCCTGCAACGTGGTGAGGAGACTGCAGGTTTGCGATAGTTGCGATATTTCTTAATTTTGGCAGCTCGTCTTAATTTTTCTATAGTGAGCAGGTCCAGTTGTCTCAGTTTTTGGTTGTGTTTGTTTTTTTCACGCAGCTGTGCAGCATCATCGCAAAGCTCCTCTATGAACTCCTCCTTCTGCTTTACCGTATCGCACAGCTTGTAGTTCTCGTCTTTAAGGTCGGATATTTTCTGCAAATACTCTGTTGCCTTTTGCTGGAGTTCCGTATTTAGTCGCTGCGCCTGTTCCAAAACCTGGCACCGCTCGTACCAGGCTGCCTGCAGTTCGTCAACTATTTTTTGCTTCTCTTGTAGCATTTCCTCTAGCACGTTGATCCTTTTGATCCATTGGTCATAACACTGCGTGGTTGCCTCCGTGAGTTGCATACGCAGGGCATCACAATTTGTGCATATAACTGCGGAACTGCTCGCGTCGCAGGGATGAAGAATCCTCGGGCGCGACACCCTTTTGAGGGAGCGAAGTGGAGACATTCGCAGTCCCACAAACTTGCTCTTCGTTCCACGTCTCTGAGATCCAGTGGTGTCGCAAGTAGATGACGAACACTCGGAGGTACTGCAACCCTGCTGTCCAGTCGAGAGTTCACCTTCACTCGGATAGCTTCGCAACCTGCAGAACCCGCGCGGCGAGTCCTGATACGCCATGCTTGTTTGTCTACTGATGTTCCAGTGAGTTGTATGGATATCCCGTGTGGTAGGGAATGAGAAACTGCCTAGATGTCAGCAGCTACCATGGATAGAGCGTTAGATGCGAATGGGAGTAGAATCCTCCACGCTACCCTGGAGCGGCGCTTCCTTTAGTCACCTGCGTAATTCAAACAGCGTATGGAGTGTCATTATCCATCGTCCGAGGCGTTCGGTAGTTGTCCTTTTTCGCCGCGATGGGGAGGCGCGGGCTGGGGTTGCCGCCGCAATTATCTCAAAAAACATATAGCCGAACACGAAAATACGTTTTTGCGACGCCAACGCTTCCCTTAATAACTGCGAATACAGGATCTAGTTGTCAATGTTCGCGACCAAACGCGGAGAGTTGTATTCGCGGGCAGCTTTCCGTGGATTTCTTAATGTGTAAGACAATCTCCAACCTGAGTTCTGCTATTGGCTCCAACTTAGATCTGTGTCATCCTTTTAGTCGAATAAATGTGGATTGTGAAACTTTTATTGCATTTATAGCTACTTGTGGCACGAATCTGAGTGTCAGAGTGCTGCGCCGTCTAACGCATCTCTGCGCGTTGTACACATCCAAACATCAACTGCTATTGCTTTTGATACAGCTGTTGGAGGTCATGTGCCTGTCACAGCTTGTTCGGTGTACGCTAAGAGTAACTTGTTTTACCGTCACGACACAATTTGTAGACTTACTGTACATGCCCGCCCCTCCAGTTACGCGCTGTGAAGTCACATAATATGCCCTAAAGTCTTTGTAGCGATGCATTAATTGGCAGTTTTCTGTCTTGTATCTCTTATTTCCCATGTCCGCCATAACCTACGTGTGCGCATCACAAGGCAAATCAATTTTGTACGGATTGCCCATAACATCGTCCGGTTTTCCTCGTCATGACCGAATCAGTGTTATAGTATGGATGACAACGGCATGTTTGACCGCCCATTACTGATGGCTAAACCATCGATGGAAAGGATGCCAAATGCTGAACCTAAGAGATGGTGAAAACTTAACATCTAACGGTGGGAAATATGCATCACATTTCCGTTATCTGATGGGATAAGATTACAACTTACACCAAATCATTTAGCGACATAACTAACTAATATTTAGAATATGAGTTTGTCAGAGCACCATGTTCTGATCAGGCTCATACGAGCAGGTGAGGCTATATGCCGCTTACGGCAAATTTTTATGTTTCATTCACCGGTTACGATTTCTCTTCTAGTGTTAAAACAACGTGATATCGTAATTTGCGCGGATTTGAAGGCCAAGTGCTGCCTTAGTTTGTGGAACATTTCTTTGTGTTCTATTGACAGGATGCTGCAATGACGTGAAATGGCAAAAATTCGTTAATTCAGCACCAGTGGCGGCATTGCTGGTAAATCGCTGTGTCTGTCGGATCTTTTTAGGTAGCTTAAGCATTTCTTTGGTTATTTTTTATTGTTGCCACTACTGTGTCATTCGCTCTTCAGGGTAATAATTTTGGTGGTTACTCCCTACGTCAGCAATATTGAATCAACCACAATGAACTGTATTGTTAGCATGAAGAGTAACCTGGCGCTAGTCCGACACATGATAACATATACATCTGTTTACCATTAGCCCAGCCGCCTTCTGCGGTCCAACAATGGTCTGCTCCGGTCCCTTGTCTGACTGATTCTTAACGTGATTATTTATTACAATTGCTGCCTATCACTAATTTGTGCTATAGTGTGTAAAGACATGTTTTTTGTTTTTTGTCGAATTGGCGTGTGCAAAGAGTTCTTTGTCGCACATCCAATACGAAGGTTTGCTGGATGCTGTTTGAAAAAAACGTCTTATGTACATCCACGAATGTGTTCGTATGATTTTCCAGACGATGTAACCACGTTAGAGGCTGTCACCTATGGCATTTTAGCAGTTATTTTTTTCCTATGGGAGGGTCGTACTGCCTTTTGTGAGAGTATTTATTCACTCACGTTTTCCAGCATTAAAACTCTCTTGAATTTTGCAATTTGTAGTCCTATTGCTGCATTTAGAACGCTGTACATAAATGACATGAATATTTAAACCTGCTGTTAATTTTGAAGAAGGCGCCCGTGGTACCGAAGTAGTCGGGGTGCCCCACTGAGCCCGTCCGTACTTCACCATGATAACTGAACGATACAATAGTTTCTAAGACCCAAGACGAGCCTATTAACGTTTTTTCCCACCGACGTGACATCTGTATGTCTTAAGAAACTATGAATATGTAATTTTTTCTACCTCCACTTAGGTCATTTCCTGTGTACAGCCGTTCCAAAAAACTGCTTATAATCATATGGCTTTTGTTCATCAGATTTGAAGTGCTATATGAATGGCATATGTCTCATAATATTCGCGCTTACTTTTGCAGGTAGACTGTATTCCCTTTTTCCTTATCAGCGGCGTACATTTGGCGAAGAATTATTCGGAGAACATAGATGACGCTAGGATTACTAAACTGCTAACACGTGGAAGGCTCTAATGCCCATATGAGGTTAGGATAGCATGATACATTAGGGTTATATATCGTTTATGATATACCTTACGGCATTACACCTCTCTCCATGGTATTTGTATATGCCACACGTCTTGGCGCCTGCGTCAATACCTTCCTCTCCCACCAATTGAACAAGGCGTTGGTATTCTTCCCTGACCAATTGATTGAACGTTATCGGGGGTACTCGGTCTCCACGTTTATGACAGAGGCGTTTCACGTGTTTCTCGGTAGGTTGGGCACCATGATTCCCATACTTTCGTACGAATGTGACATATCCTAAGTTGTTGATTTCCTGCAGGTATCCCTGCAAGTTCTTAGGCCTGTTGCTCTGCGCCGCCGCATCCCTCATGTTCTGTATTTGCTGCAAGATTTTCAGGTGTTCCCGTCCTACGGTGTAATTGACCCCCGAAAGCCCTAACACTGGAGGGTCTAGCTCCAGGTCACCATGGATCTACAGCTCAGATGTCGAATTCGCCAGCAGTGACGTACCTCTAGAATAGTGATACCGTAAACCTTAAGCATAATGGCCACTTTGATGAACCTGGTGAGAGCCTCAGCTTTAAAAGGTGCAAACGCCTCCCACAATACGTCAAGTTCCTTGATGTTTCTGGCTATGTTCAGCCAACTAATGGACCCGTCTGACACCCCAGCGATGATGTTACACAGCGCAGGTACTACTTGAACACTCAAACCGGTGGATAGAGTGTCTGTTTGCATTTTGGTACGTATGTCATCTAAACCCACTTGATGCAACCACAGAGTGTCTTCTTATGACCTTGATCATGCCTGCGTTTTTCGTCATTTTTTGGCCATAGGTATGACTATGTAGCGACGCCGGTAGGATAAATTTGAAGGCAGATTTGAGTTGCATGAGCTTGACGAATGTGAGAGGTACTTGCATCCACCAGGCATTATGCATGACATCACCTTGCGCCATGATATCGTAAAGCGCGACAGCGTTAAACAGGCTTCTGGTACCTATCTTGACCACATTTTCGATAACTAAGTGGGATAGCGTCTGGCTGCCAACTGCAGCAGCCAGTGCGTCTGAGTTTTTCCTTAGCGTCTGTGGCGAAGTGGACGGGCTGAAAAGATGGCGTAGGAATGTTATCATGTCTTGGCTCCTGTCCTTGGCAAATACATCAAGATTTTCGGCGAGATCAGGATTTCTGGGTAACTTTAAACGTTGACACTGCGTCTACTTACTTTACAATGAACTCCAGAGCCGTAATACAACTTCTGATATCGCCATGATGTAGCTTTATCAGGTCATCTACGAGTTGATCGTCAATTTTGTAGCCCTCGACTTCGGCGATATTTGTAAGTCGGTGTCTAAGGGCTTCGGTGTCGCAAGTGTCTACTACTACGACCTTAGCAATTTGCCTCAGTTCCCTGAGATTTTTATCATATAGGTCGTTACAGATGCAGATTATTGGTCGTTTGATCAGATTCTTCTGGTTAAAGTCTTTAAGGACTCCCATAATCTGACCTTCGGCGGCGTGCAGTCCATCAACTTCCTCAAGCAGGCATAGATTCGGCTTATTTTTGCTGATAGAATTTGCCGTAATCACCCCTTTAATGGTTGGAAGCACTTTATCTTTGGTCCTATCGTCACTGGCATTGATTTCAACAACATCGAAGCCACAGTGCCTTGCCAGCACGTTCACGACAGTCGACTTGCCTACCCCTGGGGGACCACCTAATAACATAATTTTATGATGCTTTTCATCGTTCAGACGTTTATCTGTTTGCAACATGTGTTATTTTGCGGTTTTCAGCCTAACCTGGTGTGCCATTGTGACTATACGTCGGCTTCACAGTTCTCTCCTGCCGATATGAAAACTGTCTCGTTTTGCCTCTGGAATACAACTTGCTACACTTCCACGATGCCAACCATTCCAGCACCTGCTCCGCGTGTTAGTAATTGCCTGTGCAGCATACCTCGACGTTGACAGACTCTTCCGTGAGCAGATCAGAGAAGTACCGGGGGTGGTATTTGTTGAGCCAGCTTTCGCCTGAGTTCGACTCTGTCGATTGTCGCTTGCGTTTACGTGCCATTATCAGTGTTCGCTGTCCCCGTCTTGCGGGAGCATGGTCTTGGCGTTCGATCATGTTGCTACATTTATTTGTCCTACTTATAAAGTAACCCACTTGAATATCTCATCGATGGGCTGTCCAAGTAGGTGCCCAGCCTGCTGGGTCCCTGCATCTGCGGCATCATTTTTTTTATAGAACCGCAGGTAAAGAGGTGGGTGTCCAAGTTGGTATCCCGTAGTCCTGACTGCGAACTCCTCACCCCTTTCGAGTAGCGTAGCCGACTTGATTAGCTTCCTCTTATCAAGGTGGCATGACCGAACGTACAAGGCATCATCCGGAGCGAATCCAGCAGCTCCACCCGGCGCGATGTTGCGCGCAATATCGATAATACGCAAGCTCGAAAACCCATTACTTGTTTGACTGTCTAATGGGAACAGCGTGATGATATCCTGTTTATAAGCGGTATCATTGGCCTCGATTTGATCGAGTATATCGTCCACGGAGACGTCTCCTGCGCAGCGTTACACATAACACATAAAGTATTACCATGGATGAAGTGGTCCATGACCACAAATTAAGACATTAAATTACAGTTGTTGGTGTATCGTCTACACACTGCTGTTCGCTGGTTTTATGGACTTTCGCCCCTAGCCTTCCCAAGACCTTCCTAGAGGCCCGCGAGATGAGTTGTAAAGTCGCCAAAGTCCACTCATCATAGCCTTTGTAGACACACCGTGCCTGTATATCATCGTCCACGCCAAAAATATTGTAGTATACGTCCAGTTTTTCTGCCTGTGCCACGTCCTTGTTTATTGTCACTTCTTTGAGTTGCTGTAGGCGTACGAAGAGGTGAACGCGTTCCTCCACCATTTCTAAGCGTGACACAGCCTTGCAAATACTGGAAAAAAATGATGTCCCTAGTTGCAACCCCTTGAACGTGCTCCTGCCGACCCGGGATACCATGCGCAGATGTTGTGAATAAATCTGAAAGGCAAGTAGCAGACCGAAAAGCACATCGATAGTGTAGTGTGACCTTGTTAGTACGAGGAGCATATACACAATCACCGCCGCGACGATAACGATTGTGTTGAGATACCACGTGCGGTTGTGTAAGACAAACATCAGTACGACACTGGTGCTGCCTGCTGTGTGACCCGATATGATCATATCCGTGCACGTGTCTACTACCGAGAAGTATCCCATGATCACGTGCAAGTATTGTTTTGCGAAGCTGTCTTGGATGTCAAATGTCCGGCAGTGTGGGATTGACGCAGGTACGACCGTAGCGAGGATGAAGATACCTCTTACGAAGTAAACCTGCGACATGACTATGAGATATCGTATCACCATCTGGCAGGCATATATGACCGGGGAGCAAAGTACAACTTTAGTCCCAACAACCACGAATATTGTGGCAATCAGCGCATCGGCATATCTAATCGATATCCTTGAGTCACCGTACCACGAGGCGAAAACGACCTGTAAATGGTCGTATAGCTTGGACATATTCCATTCTAGATTTCTTCCCTCTTGGGCGAGTTTTGATACGTCGACATTTGAGTACGCTGCGTATATACGATCGCTGTTCCACATGCATAGAGCCTGTAACAAGAGCACGGCGACTAATATGAGAGCAGCTATGACGAGGTTGCGCAGCATGCCTCGCGTGACGGCTTGACATTCTTTCAGCACCGATTCTACATACGATTCATCTGCGTTATCTAGATATATGGACACATCTCCCCTGCTTGAACTCCTTTCCACAGAGTGCGACATCGCCATGGGTACGGGGGACTCCCACGAATCATCCGTATCTTTATGCAGCGACTCCATCGATGCAGGCGATGTACAGGTAGATTTAACATCATATATTTTCGAACTATTGGTACTGTCTGCCATATTCAATTTTCACCACTCTGGTGGCAACGGTCAAATTCGATAGATGCCACCCGGTAGCGCTACACATCACATTTATGGCGTCTTTGGACGTTTTCGCGAATGTCCCTTGTTTCAATTTGGCTTCGCGCCACGTAATCTTTGTTGTGTTATTAACAACGCAGAGGAGTCCGGTGATGCCCCGGTACTAACAATTTTGCAATTTGAGTCGATTACTGGCGACTGTTCAGCTTCCCGTTGCATATAGAATCTGGTGACTACAATGTGTAAGGCTGCGAGTTTTTGCCACTGTCTACTGAGTCGTAGCTTCACGCCCCCTTCAACCGAGGTTCACACCGTGGCACACACCTCCAATCCTTTACCACCTAACGTTTTATTGGTCCCTATTTTGATACACACCACAATTCCGGAGTGTCCAGGGCGCCGTTGCAACACACGGTGAAAAAATGCCAATCTATATTGCTGCAGCCTCAGCTGTGTTTGGCGCCGCAATCACATGTGTACATATCCAGCTACACTGTTGAATAAAATATCAATAATTGTACCGGGTTTATAAAGTGGTGCTGCTACCAGCACGTCAGAGATACTTTTCAGATGTTGGGGCCGCTGCTCGCCGCAGGTAACCTCTGTCCTGTTGTTTAGAAGCCCACTCGGCACTTAAATGTAAGTAACAGGCCACTTAACATAGTGAGTAATGCTGTGAAAAAGTATGCAGACTTGTGGGCAGTAATCGGTTGCGACAGATCTTCTTTCTCTCGCGTCGCACCCGTATACGGGGACCAGTCGATCATCGCGATGATTCCGAATTTATATTTAGAATACGATAGTACTATTTATACCCCAGGCCTTGTTGCAGCCGTGGTTCACCCGCAGCACGATGTCTTAGGCGTGACATCTCAGCTTACGCCGGGCCGTCATCACCTCTTGGCCACCGTGATCGGGAGGCTGGGCTAAAGAGAGTAGCTCCGGATACAACTACCTTAATAATATCACCGATAGCCGACTACTCTCGTGAAGCGGCGCTCACCTTTTGACATCGGTCTGATCCCCACTCTGTTGCCTTATTGCCGCGGCAATGCAGGCTTTTCAATGAAGAGGGATGGCGTATGTCGCTGAGCGTCGTGCTGCTCGGGCGAACTCTGGCTCTCTTGCTTCATTTGTTTCGGCGGATGGATGGGTTGATTCCGTCGCTGATGCGGTAGAAGGCTCTGATCATTCAGAAAGGTATTATTACACACAAAAAGCGGCTAGGGCTACGTTTCCGGATAGTTATGCATCGATACCTGCTGAAGACACGGTAGAAGGCATCGGAATCCCATCATTTTCCCGTCGTGGGTACGTTTTGAGCGACACATCAGACATGTCAGAAACGTCGGTGGTGGACCACGACATCGCCCTTCTTGGCCCTTCAATGATGCCAGTTTCAGATTCAATATCGAGGCGTATGCCTCGCAAGATCATTATCACGCTGCGTGCCTCAGATTTATTGCGTTACCCGTTGCTACGTCTTTCGCACTGCATCAGTGTTTTACGTTTCCAACGGTCTCTGGTTGATGTGCATGCTGCATCGGACGGAATTTACCGCAACATGACCATATTGCCGAACTTGTTCACTCTCACATCTCCTAGCGGTTTCGCATTTGCGAGCGACTTGGTGAAGTCCGTGTGGCGTCGTTATGGTTGGATGGGTTTTTATCGGGGTTTTATGGAGTATGTTGCTCATCGGCTACTGTGTGACGTGATGAGATTTGTCGTACCCCGTTATATCGCTCCATCCGTGAATGCTGTTGGTATGTCTATCTGTCGGCGTGCACTATTGTTGGAGCCCGAATCGCTTCGCCGCCTGCGTAACCTTTGCTTTGGTGAAGGCCTTATTGACGCGGATAACGTATCCAAGTGGAAATCCAGCTCTATTAATGATTTCATCGAGCGCAACTTTGACTTCGACGGGCATGTGTTTTTGACGGAGGTATTGGTGGAGGCATTCACTTACCCTGCCCTTACTGTCTCGTCGCGTATGATGATTTACGATGGCCCGTATCCATTGAACGCATTATCGCTTTTGAAGGGAACATTAGCATGTGACGGCATGTCTTCCCTTTACCAAGGTTTCATTTGGCGTCTGGTGTCGCTTATTTTTGAGCACCTGCATCGTCGTCACGAGCGTCGTGGTCGTCATCTCATGTTTGCTTTGGACGGTCGTCGGACACCGCTGGACCAATCCGTTCCGTTTTTCTTGACAGTTGGTTCTACCGTGTTCCAGCAGATTTCACTTGTGCAACGTTGCATGTCATCCATGGATGGATTTTGTGCTGAGTCGTCATCGATGAGTCTGCTGTCTCATTTTCCGTGGTTGGCAATCTCTACCCAGATGGCGCTCACCGTATGCTTAATGCACCTGAAGGATCGCATTATGGAGTAGGCATGTTGTGTTGATGTTATCTGGCGTTGTCGGCTTTTGTGATAACGGACTGTGCCATATTGTATCCTGTGGTTTCCAAGGTATGATCGCATAATGTGCAAAGCAGTCGGTTGAAGTCATTGTTTTGACCGGTAGATGCACATAGATACAATAGAACCCAGGTATACTTTTAAGGTGTGATGTCAGTTGTATGACGGTGTTTGCTGCTACGTGTTTTCCGTTTTGTTTGTTAAGGTCTGTTGCGGTTTCAGTTTTCTGCAATAAAATGCGGTTGGTCTAATTTTAAAAAATTGGTCTCGGGGTCGCTCACGAATTTATTTGGCGCAGCAGTAATCGGTCATGTGCCGTGGACTCGTCATTGTATGTTGTTTTGTGTTCCTGACATGCTACTCTTATCACACACAGCGCCAATGGCATGTGGGTATTGGACATGTTTAAAAATTACAGGAAGCAAGGATTGCGTTAATTGACCCCGCACGAATCCGCACTGCGGTGTATGCCGATGTGTAAGGGCCGCACGGCCTTAGCCTTTTGGTCACGGCACAATGTGCACCTGTGTTCATGCGTATCTATTTGACTCTGTAACGTGCCAATAAACCACAGAAAGCAGAATGCTTGCATTGTAGATTACCTGCAGCTATCGTCGCGCCACCTTCCCCCCTGTGAATGCAACGGCAGTTTAATTTTTTTTTGCATTAACAACAACACGTCACGATGGATGCCAGACATGGCAATACTTGCTTAATAGCACCCGAGCAGGGATATTATTCGGCTTTTCCCTCTGGCGGTGCTCAATGTGTGACGGCGGTACCGGCGCAGGAGGATGGTTACATGGTGCCCAGCGGATATCAATTTTCTGACGGCTATTCCATGGATTACCAACCTATGCATTACAACCAGCCTATTCAGAGCACGGTTGAATGTGACCCGTCGCTGTTCCACGGCCAAGGCATTGAGGGTGTGCATCAAGGCGGTTACGAGTACCCAGCACCTCAATATGTACAACATGACTACGGCTACACGGGAGCGGATTACCAATACTATCAGGATGTAATGGGTTCGGAGACCATCCCAAAGGTATTTTGACAATAACTGTATTTCATACTGCTCAGATGGTTGGCGATCCTGCGCCCCTTACGACAGAATTCTTTGCATCTAACGATGCTTTCCAGCGCATACCCCTTTGTCCCACAAGATCCGTTTTCCGACGTCGTCGTCAAGGCGACCCTTCAAGCGAGTGGAGCAACGCGTTTCTGAATGAGGAAATTGACGCTTGCGACAACACGCCATGCTGCACGAAATAAATTACTCGAACTGTAGTAATGTAGATTTTTTGTGTTTGCCGTGGGTGCCTGGCGACCGTCCCTCGAATGGGACTTTCGCCGTGGGCGTCATCTAAGTCTTTATGGAGTGTCACTACAGCGGCTGTATTCGATTTTTATATACTTATCAATGCAATGGCATATTTCGTGGTATGTAAGATCTTGTTTGGCCTTCTGTTTGAATTTGTTAATCATGTGTGTGTGTTACGTTACACACCCTCTCCCCACTCGCGTCGTCTGCGACGTCGTTTTTGCGGCCCTAACATCCATTCAAAAACAATGGTGATGGAATGTAAGCCTAGGTAGGCGCTGTAGAACAATGAAATGCGGCGTACTGCCTCTTTTTCTATTGTGTGCGGTGGTTCGTCGATGGCATACTATCGACGCCACATTCAGTCTCTTTGAAGACCCGAAAGACAGCTACAGCAGTACTGTTGGTGGGCAAACAAATGTAGATGATGCTTCGTCGCCAACTAACGGTGTTAGACAGGCGATTCCACCCACACCAGATGCCGGCAATAATCGATACACATCATCGTCGCCTGCACCTTCTCCGCCTAATGACGATGGTGTAACGAGGATGCCATCTGCACCGGATCCGGCAACAGCAGTAACTGAGAATCGTGTAATACCTGTACCTGGGTCGGATTCTATTTCTGGCGATGGCACGGGGGAGGATGACGACAGCGACTTGATGTTTTATTTGACACAATATCGTGCACGGGCTCGTCGTACGGTGGAAGGACATCTCTGCGCGTCTGCTTTTGTCGAGAAGAACCAGATTTACACGGACTGCACGCTCGAGGTTGCACCAGATGGTACAGAAAACCGTGAGTGGTGTTACCACGAATCGCAACTCAACGGTAAGCTTGAGCGCGACTGGGGTTTTTGCGCTCCTCCGTTGAACTATGAGCGTATTCGTGCTACGGTACTGGGTAAGATTCGGGAGAAGGCGGAACAAGGCAGTGAGCTAAAGCGTGCGTTGACCAAACATAGATCACTCCTGCTTGGCATGGAACGCCGGTTGGGTGTATTTTGCGGTGCTGGCCACAAGGGTTTCGAGCGTTCTTTGACACGCCTGGAGGAGATGGTTCAGGATTCTGAGAATGCCCTTAAGTCTATGCGGTCGCTCTCCAATGATGTCGTCGAGATTAAGCAGGAGATCAAGCGTGACCAGTGTCGTTACCGTTCTCTGCAACAAAAGATGCCTCCAGAGGCATCAGGGCAGCTGAGTGACGGCCTGGTGGGCACCTACTTTTCAGGCCATCTGTTGGAGTTTCCGGCATACGGCAGCCGCGTTGACCGAGAGTTGAACTTCGTCTTTTCTGACTTTATGCCAGTCGTTGGTCTCAACCCTCACCGATTTTCTGCAGTCTGGCATGGTTTCCTGCGTGCGCCACACTCTGGAAATTTTGTGTTTGCGATAGAGACAAGTTCTTACGTGCGTATGGAGCTTGAAGGCGTTGAGATCGTGAACAATGGCCTTGTTCGTCAGGGCGATTCCGAATCAGGATACAGGTACTCGGTGAATCCTATGATGCGCGGTGCTACACTGACTTCTCAATCCCAGCAGCTGATAGGGGGGCGGTTCTATAGAGTACAAGTGGAGTTTAGTCACTCGCAGCAGTATCATCCCCGTGCCGTGGAGGCTGTGCTGAAGCTGGAGTGGTCTTCGCTACGTTTACCGCAGGAAGTAATCAAGGATTACCTTTACACTCGGGTAGTGCCACCTCGCCTGTCCATAAGTTACCTTTCTCATGAGCATTTTGCGGTGGACATAGCGTCTAATGGGTCACTCGCGTTTGTGGACGATCCTAAGGCATTTTTGACTGACTTGTCTAACGACCTCATCGGCACCAACATGGTACGCACTGTCCGTTCGCCTGGATTCCGGACTTTTGTGATGCAGGTGAATACGGCGTGCGCACTGTTTGTCGCATACGCTCACGAGGTGCTGCCTGTGAGCGCTGTTACCGAAGATGCACTGCGATTTGGTGAGTCTGCGGGATCGTTTGTGCAGTATGTTGATGGTGACGGCAAAGTGACGCCTTTGCGCGTAAAGCGTGCAATATTACAGCGTGGGCACACCTACACCTTCAACGTCGAGGTGCGTGAAACTCCGTTCATCCTGTTCCTGTCGCTACGTGCTGTGAATGAACCTTCTCAAGGAGAGGGTCCATTGAAGGTTGTGTCGGTTCCTGATTCTGAATTTTACCTGAATTGTTCGGAGTCCTCTAGTGTGGGTGATGGTTTCGGCTGTTCTGCAGGATTATCAGGCAAATTGCTCGACCAGAAACACGCCATTTGGCGTCCACAGGAAGGAGCGGGTGCGTGGTTGAAGGTTAATTTCCGACGCCCCGTATTGATCTCTGGTTTCCAACTGAAACAAAGTGATGATCCGTCGCGTTGGGTGCGTAGATTATCTTTGGAATTTGGTGACCATTCTGAGTTTTTTGAGATTCTGCATTCTAATGACCCACGTTCTAACATTTACAACCTTAGCGAGCCCCGTGCGGTTACGGATATATTGGTTCGAGTTGATGATCTTTACACTAGTGCACAATCTACTGCTTTGGGGATAAACTTTTTGGGCCAGCGTCTTGTGGAGGAGTCTCCCGGTCTAAGGCGTATATTTTTGAATTGCCATGATACTTTAGAGGATAACGTTGAGGTACAACCTTTGATGGAGGGTCACTCATATGAGTTGGTTTGCAGTCGACGTTGTTTTGACCCATCCATGACACCGGGGGCTGTCGAGGTGAATGATATCAAGACCCCGCCATGCAGCGCACTTAACATTGATTTATGTCGCGTAGGAGGTGATCATGGTGTTTGCCATGCAGCTGTTACGATATTGCGTAAGCATAATGGCGACCCCGCTTCTGACGGTGGTTTTGGTTTCGTGCTGTCACGTCTAGATCGTGGAATTCGTGACGTACCGTTCAACGTCTCGATTATATTCAAGTCTGCCCCAAACCGTCTGCCACAGCAGAATTTTTTGGTAGATAACGGTTCCCTCAAGGGTCCCATTGATGCGTCATATGTACGTCAGGTTGGGGGCAACCCTCGAATGGGTGAAGTGTCATATGGTATGTCTTGCGTCTCACATTTGTATTGTCTCTGTGTTTTACTAACTTATGTTTTCACTCTAAAGTGTATTTGTGACGCATTTTAACTGAATTTCAGGGTGGTTGCGACCTAACGTGTCTGATGGTTCTGCTCTGGGTGTAGCATTTCCATTACCAGGAGAGTCACAACGCTGTATACAGACACCTGGATGCCAACCTAATTACTGGTCTATTGATCTGCCACGTAATGGTCGTTTCAAGGTTGAGTTGGTTGTAGGCGACGCATCGACGTCCGAGGCTTCCTCGAATACCGACAGGTCGCCAACTTCCCTCAAGTCATCGTCTTCTACTCCCATATTTCAGCGCCTCTGTGTTGAATTGAACGGCGAGGTTCTGCTGGGTTGTGTTGAAGTGGCTCATGGGTCGTTGTACACTTTGGTTAAGGAGGTGGAGGTACGCAACAACCTCTTGAAGGTGACCTCTACGAGCGGCAGCGCCTCATGTGCAAAATACCGCACTCGTCTCCAGTTTATCAAGGTGATGGAACTGTAAAGCGCTATTAATGTCAGTTTTGTGTTTATGTTGTGTGTCGCCCAGCTTGCGTGACATTATTCGGCTTATCGTCCAATTTTACGTTAAATATCAACTCTATTTAAAAAATGCTTTGTTTTGAGAGTCATTAAGGGTGATTCTTGGGTGTCGTACTGGCGCCATTGCGTCTGTCTATGTAGCGTCGTTATTGTTTTACGGATTGTGTCTAATCAAGGCTGCTCTAGGGCACCAATAGCATTGATCCTTGCCTTTAATGGCTGCTATCGAGGACACCAGTACAGGTAACGCCTCGGATAGTCCTGAGCGGCCTGACTGGTTGGTGTACCCGGCGGATTCCTATAACTTCCGCGAAGATTCCGCACCTATAGGGCAGGGATTGCTCTTCAAGAGCTCTGATTCGATTGTGAATAAGAGAATACGTGCTTACAATCAGAACGGTCTACGTGTAACGGTTTACGGTGTCATATTGTGTCACCGCAATGGGTTCCCACACATTGTGTTACTGCAGGACTCTTCAGGCAGTTCTGGTTTGCTTGGTGGCAAGTGCAAGACCTTTGAGAACCCGCGTGAAGTGCTACGGCGCAAAGTAGCGCGGTTTATGTCTACAACTCGCAAGGGTGGACATCAATTGGACTTGCGTGCCAATGCAGACAATGTGTTGGTTGGCGAGTTTATGGGCGAGTTTTGGCGCCAGGACTATGATTCTGATGTATTGCCATATTTACCTCTTCATGTGAACCGTCCTCGCGAGAAGATTCTGATATACCAGGTGGGTGGCTACCATATGACCTTTGTCATCATTACCAGGTTACTTTACGGGAGCATTGTTCGTTTGTTTCTCCTAATGAGCTTCGTATTATTCCGGTCCCTTTGCACGACTTTTATAGTCCGGATCAGGGTGTGGCGATGTCTGCATTGCCTCACCTGCTTGCGCGCTTCAACCTTTCATTCATGCATCACGTTTGATTGTGGTGTTCGCGGCTATTTTTTTTATCCGCAGTCGGAAATGTTCTATAATATCGCTTGACACCGTTCTCCAATGATGGGTACGGTGTGTGTGCCATGGCTGACGACGTTGTTTTTGTCTGTGTGTTTGTGGCAATGTGTCGCGGGGCGTCACGAGACTACTCACGGCATTCGGTGCGTTTGTTTCTTTATATCGTCAATACTTATTCAGGCAACTACATGGTCTCCAGAAGGTCTACACACGTCTGCCTGCTTGCAGCGCTCTTAAGGTAACAGCCACTGTTTACGCTTGCAATCGGTGTAGCCTGAGTCTGTGACTAAGGACACTATATGCCTTTCATCATGCGGGTTGTCGGAAAATGACGCCAGTTTGGTGTGTAACCCACAGGCGGAGAGTAGGTGATTAATATGTTCGCTCATGTGTCTCAGCATGGAAGATTCGTCTCACCGTAGACAAGAAAAGTGGTTTTTCTGTTGCTGATGGTAGGTGTTATTTGAATTTTTGTTGATTCTTACTATGCCTGCCTGTATATGCGGGAGAATGGACGTTAGCTATAGTTAACAGTGTTTGTCCTGGTGTATTTGGTACTCTACAGTGGCTGTATCATCGTTCGGATGCACATGTTACATTTCATTCAGATTGTCAAGACAGCAAGAAGCGTTATAAATGTGTGCCGTACGAGGTAGTAGTTTGGAAAATGTTTGTATAATAAATGCAGAGCACGGAGATCCAATGCTCGGACGCTGCATTTGAGACATATCCTGCTGGTTACAGCTGTTTTACTCAGTGCGGGGAGTTGCGGTGTCCGTCGGACGACTATATGACTCCTTCACCTACGGAGGACTTCAAGGTAGGTGTAGCGTCTTTTCCACAACATTGTTCAGCTTGCTGACTGCAAGAGCAGTTATCGAGTTCGTTGTCGGATCCACGCGCACAATGAAAATCAGCTCATAAACGCGCCAGATTTGACAATGGAGCTAGAGTTAGGAAGACGCCAATATGGCGTGCGGTCTTAACATACGTAAGATGTTTTCTTTTGGTTTTTGGACAACGAGCGCCAGACGGGGCGTTAGCATGCATTATAATAAGAGTCTGGTTACATTTATATGGTATATCTTCAACAAAGGAGCTCAAACTTGTTCCTGCCCCGAGCCGCCCCGGTTGATGCCGCGGATGCGCATGAGTGTGTGGTGTTCTGTATCATCGCAGGGCGGTTGGAGGAACAACGGTGCAACATATTCGCCGATTTTTGGGAATTTCGTTTAAGATTCTCGACCTTCGTGCAGTCTTTTTGACCGTAGCAGTTCATTACAGCTACTCGTTGGAATCTACTTCAACAATGAAGTTCGCCGGTATCGCTTCCGCCTTCGTGGCTTTGAGCTCCAGCATTTTTAGCGGTAAGGGGGCGGATGTGTTATGTTAATATTTATGTAGGTGTCCACGCCTTGTACGGCGAGCGCGCTCACAACCTCGGTAGGCATTTTGTCGGTATGACTGATCATTGCTCAGGAGCGCTTACTGAACTCATGGTTGTGAAGAACAACGATCGTTTTGTGGCTCGTAACTACGGTACTTTCGGTTTGCCCCCAATGATGCCGGCCACGACGAAACCCGACGGAGAGCCCGCTGGTATGCCCTCCGTGGATGAGCCTCTCCCTTATGTCATGGGGGACCTGTAATTCGACGAAAAGTTCCCCTCATGCCATGAGGCGAATGACCTTTACGGATATTTACGCGATCCGTCGTATTGAGAAGGATAAATTTACCGAGATATACTCCTTCGCTGACTACCTGAAGTTTCTTGTGTATTATCCTACACTTTGCATGGTAATAGACCTTGATGGTGAACTTGCCGCGTTCATAATTGGTTAGTACTAAATTAGGCACTTTACGCCTCTTCTATTATATGTCTGAGCTCTGGCTGTTAGGATTCTGATGGCGTATGTGTCTGCTGTCTTACTGTCATCCAGTGAGGCATTGTATGTTTTATTTTAGTGTGTAACTGTATTTCCCGTGAATTTCAATTATATGATTGCGACTAGTGTGGGTTACGCCTCAGGGTGGTAACGCGTTTCGCCGGCGTGGTGGTGTTTCTATATTGTGTGGAGTCCCACATTTCAGTGTTTGTTAAACTTACACATCGGCTTATATTGATTCAGGCATCACAGATATTGATGGTAGTGAGATATATGGTCACGTCTCATCACTTGTCGTCCGTCCCCAATTTAGGCGTCGGAAATTTGCTACGCAGTTGATGGTCGAGTTTGAACGTGTTTGTCGCGAGGAGCTGAATTGTGCTTACATTAACTTTTATGTGAACCCTCAAAACTCTGCTGCTCTTGCGCTTTACGAGACGCTTGGATACCGAGTACACTCTACTTTGCCGAAGTACTACAACGGTATTAGCGACGCTTTGGATATGCGTAAGACGATACGCTCGGATACATTGTGATTGAAGTGATAAGAATGGTGGACGATCAAACAGTGAAATTATCGGCACTTAAGCGTCTCGGTCGTGAGTTCACCTACTACCGTGACGAGCTTGAAGCACTTCGCGCCGCATTGGCTAAAGCCACGGTATGTTTTCATTTGTTGCGATATATTGATTGAAGGACGATTCGGAATCGAAGAAGTTTAAACTAATGGTATCAGAAAATTTGTCTGTCATGCGGTCTACGCGTGATAAGATGGCCGAGTATGCCAGTGAGTTGGCTGAGTCAGGTGTAGAGGTACCTGCCGAGGTGACAGAAGTGTTGACTACCGAGTTGTGATCGTCGATTTTATAGCGGTAGATGGCCCACTGAAGAGACATCATTCTTCCATTGGTTCATTCCGAGAACGTCCTCAATGAGGCATGTGTTGATGACTTGGACTGTGGAGTCGAGGTTGAATGCCTGCTGAATACGGTATTTACGCCGTACTTTGGTCGCACATTGAGGTCCTGCAAAAAAGAAGTCCTGCGTAGCGATTTCTCTGCAGTCGCATACGAGTTGTGCGTGATTCTCGGATCCTGATCCTACACGGCAAGTAGACCCGTTGAGGCAGTACGCTATTGCCGCACTATCCGGTGTAAGGATGTCTTTGCAAAGGGGCAGTTCGCTAATATCGTCTTCCTGCGTAAGGTCCTCTAGTGGCCGTCCGTCAAAGGGCCCCTCGGCATCGGCAACGATCCAGGTGACCGTTGCAACTGAACAACGTGAAATCATGCGTATGAACTAATCATTGAAGTCATTTACTATTTGTTCCCGCAATTATCATTTCATTGAAGTATTTACACACCGTGTAGTTGGCGGTCGGAATGTGAAGTTCTGTCGAACGTTTCTACGTCCATGCCGGTCAATCATTGGCCACCGATTACAATATCTGGTACAATTCACACTTTTAAAACCAATATACTATTTAATATAGATAGACATAACTAACCTTGCCATATTAAGAACCACGGTCGCATTGCGTCGTCGCTCCCGCAGACAGGCGTAAATGATATGTGTATTTATATATTACACTATTAAAAGAGGTAATTACCTCCAGGTGGAGGTGTCATCGCCTCATCACACGGTTCATCTCCCTTCTACTCGTTACACATTCCAGTGTGTAACCACCTGATAGTTTCGTTACTCCGTGTACTTTTAGGTGGTGATGGTTGTGAAATCAGTAGTTACAACCCACTAGGTCGCGTATGTTACGTATGTTATGGCTGATCATGGTGGGCCGTTCGAGACTGAGACCCCAGCCGACCACCGATATCCCAGGAGGCAAACCCATTGGTAGCAGCATTTCCGGCCTGAAGATGCCACTGTTCCCAATCTCTACCCACCTGCAAAGCTATATGTTTTCTTATAGAGCATAAACCTACTTTTTAAGTTCGGGATGGTAACCATATATCTCCATAGATGGCTCCGTATATGGGTTGTATGCGGGTTTATATCGCAGTTTTTCTATGCCAATCGCGGCATAGAATGATGCAAGTACGCCAATGAGATGACCCATACCAAGTCCGAATCCTACCATGACGCCCTCCACTTGGTTAAATTCGCAAAGGTGCGTGGCGTCCATATTTTCGTTTCGGAAGACTCTGTCGATCGAGAAGAACTTACAGGGCAGCCTGTGTTTGTAAGAGTCAAAGTTTTCCGCCATGCGCTTCAGCAAGCGAGCTGTGCAGGCTGTTGTGTGAGTGCGCAGCACTAGTTTTCGTGATTCCTCAATTTTCCAGTTGTACATCCACCCGGTGCTACCATATCGTCGAGCATCTCCATGTGCCTCAGCAACAGCATCAATGTATGCTCTATTGAGTCGTGTTTCGTCGTGTAGCTCAGGTACGCGAGTGAAAAAGGTGTCCTGAGAGTCTCGTGCCGGATGCTGCTGCGGGATGTAAAGAGCATCGAAACACCAGAAACTTGACTCGACATAATTCGCTGTATCCAGTTCTTCGAATCCCATAGATGTAAAAATCTCTCGGAAATGACGCATGGTCCTTGTCAACGGGTGTAGAGCACCCCTAGGAATGCGTTTACCACTGGAGAAGAAGTTGTATGGTTTCATATCCTCTGCTGACCACGTTTTGCGTTCCTGCAAGAGCTCCTGTGTGAGATCCGTGACTTGTTGTACAATCTCACATCGGAATCTATCAGTTTTTCGTACCAGATATGATACCTCTACATGCGATTCCGTTAGTTTACGTTTCTTTAGATCGTCAAGTTCCGAGTTTAGTTTTTTAGCATCTGCAATCAAGGCTGACATAGCTTCTAACATTGTCTTTTCACTATCACCGCAGCGTTCGACTAGTTGCAACAGTTTTTGCGTGATATCGTCGCGTTGTGTCTCGGCGGCCGGTCCAAGTGATAGTTGCTTCCCAGCGCCGATGCGTAAGAGCGACGCTCGCATTGCTTTCTTCAGACCATGTTCTGCATTTGGGATTGTAGCAGTTGCTTGTTCAAGTGTAAGAGGCTGTATGTAATTAAGGTATAACTATGCAACGTCATACCTCCTTGGCCGCTCGGACGGTTTCTACTAGTAGGAATTCTGGTGATCCCTGGGCAGCGTACTGTGATCCCTCCGCTGTTAGCACATATCTACGATTTTTACATTCCTCCAGTGTTACATATCCCTTAGCCATAAGACTCTTTGCTCCGTTCACCGCTTTCGCGTGATCCTTGCCTGGAGCTAGAGTCAGCGTGCTCACAGAGGCTTCCGCTGGCCCACCAGCCGGCAGTGCGGCGTCTATGACTTTCAACAACCACAACAAATCGTCTTCTTTGGTGCACATTGCTGCTATAAGTTGTACATCTCGCTATACGGCTGACGCTCTGCCTTCCGTGGCACACCACAGAAGCGCCACCAAGCTCCATTTCGTCACCATAGGAAGATGCTACTAATAATTCTAAGTTTATATATTACGTATGACACTGTTGTAGTTCGGTTTTGCCCAAACACACCGATTAGTAGCACTGAAGTGCTACAAGTTTGATAGCAGCGTTAAGACGCCAACATCGGTTCATTTCCTCTTAAAAAACATAGATATGAGGGTGTTTCTGAACCCCTGTGAATAGGCGCCATCGCTTGATTGATCCGGCGAGTCGTCGGCCACATTTTTGGAGTTGCGCTCTGGCGATATGGTACTTCGTTTCCCCGTAGCTAGCCTCTGTGTAGTTTTCGGCTCCTTTGTGCTGCGGTATTCATGAGTAATATTCGTCTCTACCTTTCTTGACGCCGCCGTGTAACCAGTGGTATACATGGGTTTGCTGTCTCCGGCACGATTGAGACCATTGGAGTATTGCGGTAACGCCAGATCGTTGAAATCAGACATCCCTAGAGGAGAATCGCACCGTGAAACAGAATCCGCGTGTTCATATATCGAGATTTTCGTGTTTTCACGTAGCCTGTCGAGGGGCATTTGAGCCCCGTTGTCTATAGCGAAAACCTTGTGGTCCACTTCTTGGATACAGGCCCGTTTTACTGCATCACCTACGAACGAACGAGGCGTAGTATATCCACTACTGTTAGAATTGCTCCACCGCTCTCGTTTCATATCATTTTGCACTTGGTACTTGTCAGGCTTCATTACCGTTGGTGCGTTGCCGCTCTGCGGCATCGTCTGTTTGTAAAACGACCGGCCCTGATAAAAGTTATTGACCATCAATGGTATGTCCGGAGGCGGTTCTACTGTTCGTGATTCTGGCTTGTCATTATGGCCATCCGTATCCCTTCCGGGTGACTGTGGAATGAAGTCTGACATATGGTTACTTTCATTCATCATAGAGGAACCCAAATCAAACGAATCGTTTAAGTTTACACTTGAATTTGTATCCATGGAGTAGTTTAAATGGGAGGCAGTGCCTACACCACCATCGATCTCCGAAACATCCATACTGGCTAATGGTTCAGACAGACGACGATCATCGTAATCCTTACCATCCGGTCCACTAATCCCATCTAAATCGGTATGAACACCACGCTTGTGGTTGACCATCATTGCTTTAGCTGCTTGAAATGAAATTCCCATTGGCCCAGGATCATCTGCTCCGTCCGACGGATCCCTTTCTCTGTTTATGCCAGCAGCGACGCGAGCGGCATTGGTACGTTCCGTTACAGCACGTTCGAGTAGTTCCGCATAAATTTCGTCTGAAATTTGGTCCCCGTAATGCACCGCCATATCTCCACTAAGGGCCTTTTGCATTTCCCTTACGGCCTTCGATACGTAATCACCAATGGCAGACGTTTCCATGCCTACGGCAAATCGCTCTACTGCCCCGTTGAGCTCTCTTTCTAGTAGTAATTTCAGGTGGCAACTTTCTTCCATAGTTGGATAGACTGTATTCCTAAGATCCGACACAGTGTTTGATACCGAAACATCGGATTTTACGTTTCGAATTGGATGTTTCTGCCAGAATCGCAATATGTCGGTTGGGTTCGCCACTCTGTCTACAAAATAGGCACCAAATGTTCGTGGATTGACAGAGTCGAATCCACTATGTTCCACGCGCATACGTACTAATGGTATGCGTTTTGCGTTATCAATAGGACCCTTTAGATCAAAAGTTGCATTGTTTGGTAACACAATCTTCGCAACTTCCGTGGAACACAGCGTCGTTACATTCCGGCTCTGCATACTTTGAAGGACGTTTTCTATATTCATGATTAATTTGGCAAATACATCTTTCTCAGGGCTTCCTGCTGGTAGGTCCATCTGCATTAAGCTCAAATCGCTATAGTGTAGTTGGCGTGCGGTTTCCAATGTGATTGGATAGAACTTCACATCATCCATAGATAGTTCCATAATACAGCAATGTTTTGGTGCCATCTCTGCCGCAGCCAGCGATGTTTGTACAGTGGATCCCATCTGTAGGACCTGGAAATTGTGTGTTTCAGATCTGATTGGGAACTTCATGCACTCGTGTTCATGCCCCCAAATAACCAGGTCTAACCAATCTGGTAAGAATTGGTCCGGTATGTAGTCGCAAGCGTTTTTACCACGCCTCGGATACCGATTCTGATGGAAGAGCAGCACCTTGTAGTACTGCTGTGTTGTGTCTTGCGGTGGTACAAAAGTAACTCGTCCTTGTTCGAATACCTTGTATAGGCACTCATCCTTTACCCATCCTAACCCATAAAGTGCCACTTTTACCGGACCTTTGTTCAATAGTATCGGTTGTATTTCTATTTTGTTCATATCCGTTGCGGTTCCGAAGAATGTCACCAATCCTGATACGTCCAATAGATCTATTGGAGATAGTCCATTTACCGTGGTTGGATTGTCATGATTACCATGAATGACAAAGAAAGGCAGTTGTGTCTCATTTGGTGTCGGAGGGTCAAATACCTTCAGCGCCTCTCGTCTCCTCGCCGCGCTTCGTATGGCAAAACTTTTTGGTATTTGGATACCGATGCGATTTCCATTATTCACATCGTCTGCCTTCTTGCAATATCGCCTAATTAAGTCCATTGTACGATATATAACAGCTCTTGATGGGTGCGATTCATCAAAAAGATCACCTGAGTGGAATATTGCGTCTACATTTAGATATTTAGCCAGGAATAACACTTCCTCAAAAGTGTTGAAGGGATCATTACCACGCACGGAATCCGATTCCTTGTGCCCTAAGTGCGTGTCTGTGAATATGATTACTCTAAACATTCCTGCCTCCAACGGGTCGTTGATTGCGTCGGGAACACGTTCATTCTGTCTATGGTGACGCACCAGTTGGTTAAAATTTTCGTTAATTTCCTGTCCCCGGGTTTGCTGTATATTTTTTGTTATGCTGTTTTTAACCTCCTGGAATACATCATAACTGCTGGTTAGTTTTACGTCTCGTTCACAATCCTGTTTTATTTTCTGCACCGGAGTCGAGCACCCGTAGTCTAGACGATCATCTAGTCTATCCGCTGCTGTTAGTAACTCTGCGTCATCTCCTAGCATTACCCCCGGATCTACGCCTGCCGAGATGGGTATTTTTACGTCGCATGTGCTAGTGCCGATGGCACTTGTCAATGTAAGGGATCCTTGCAACTTCATATGAGCATCCGTGTCATCATAACTACCACAAATACTCGCTGATGTCGTGGAAGCTCCATCCTGTGATTGCGTGCTTTCGGTCCTTTCATCCGACCTTTGTTTGTACGACGGTAATATTGACGTCGTCTTAGAAGTTGCTGAATGTGGCGTACTAAGAGAGAGTGGATTGCGCTTTGGCACAACCGACTTTTCCGGTGATATCGCATTCTCTATATTATTCTGCCGCATTACCTTGTTCCATACGGAGGTGAAAGAGGTAAGCCGTGGAGGCATTGTGTCTTCCGGGGCCAATTAGTCCAATATACTTCCTTAATATTACCTATGGCTACATGAACTAACGTTTGAGCCGCCTAATGGCGTCATTAAGCATCGCGAAGAGGCACACATTCGTTGTTGCTTTTAAACCTTCCACTGATTTCATAAATGGCGGGGCAGAATAGTGTTTTTCGTGTTGAATATGACCTACAACAATTAAACACACATAGTGGTGCACGCCGACTATTACATAATGTTGATTTAAACGGCTAACCTTTACGTGTAGCCGCGGTAGACACAGCTGTGCTCAGGGCAGGTGGTGACGACACCATTCCGGCAATAGTGATATCACAGTGTTTGTTTGGCAATAGAAACAGTTTAGTGGCCTTATTTCATCGTTAAAGAGGCTATTTGGCCAAATTTCTTGGCCCCATATGTCACCAAGCCTCCGAGTAATAACTCTGCATAACATTTCAACCTCGAGCCGCTTTTGAGGCACATGTGCAGCACCAGAAGATTTATTAGGTACTTAGGTGTTAAGCCGATGCAAAAGCAACTCGTCGCGTTGGGTTACCTCTGCAGCTTAGTCCGACGACCGGGATTCGCCGACCGGGGTATCCGTCGTCTTTCGACGACCGTCGGCGAATCTGCTGGCAATGAGTTACCCGGAGCGATGAAGAAGATTCATGTGCGCAATCCCATCGTGGAGATTGATGGTGATGAGATGACACGTGTAATGTGGGCGTCGGTGAAAGCGAAGGTATGCGTGTTATGATTGTTTGTTAATATATCGTTCAGTTGATTTTGCCATATGTCGACATACCTCTAGAGTACTTTGATCTCTCACTAACCAACCGGGATGCGACAGATGACCAGGTGTGTTTATGTTTTTTTTTGGCTCATTCCATCTGTAGGTAACTTTTGACGCTGCAGAGGCAATAAAGAAGTTGGGCATCGGTGTAAAATGTGCGACTATAACTCCTGATGAAGCTCGTATGAAGGAGTATGGTCTTAAGAGAATGTACCGTTCTCCTAATGGTACGATCCGTAACCTTTTAGATGGCACTGTCTTCCGTTCCCCGATTTTGACGACAACGGTCCCCGCATACATTCCTGGCTGGAGGAAACCCATAATAATCGGTCGTCATGCATTTGGTGATCAGTACAATGCCACTGATGTGAGGATCCCTAGTGCGGGTACGCTAGAGATGGTGTTCACTCCCGCTGATGGTGGCGCTCCTCAGTCATATAAGATTACTGACTTCAAGGGCCCCGGAGTTGCTCTTTCGATGTTTAACGTGGATGCATCTATTACTGGCTTTGCTCGTGCTTGCTTTAATTATGCATTGGAGGCGAAAATGCCCTTATACATGTCAACTAAGAATACTATCCTCAGGAAATATGATGGACGTTTCAAAGACATTTTCCAGTCTATTTATGAGTCTGATTTCAAAACGAAGTTCGAATCTGCTGGCATATTTTATGAGCACAGGCTTATTGACGATATGGTAGCATATGCGTGCAAGTCCTCTGGCGGTTTCGTGTGGGCTTGCAAGAATTACGATGGTGACGTTCAATCTGACATAGTCTCTCAGGCGTACGGCTCTTTGGCCCTGATGTCATCGGTGCTTTACTCTTCTGACGGTAAGGCGTTTGTGTCTGAGGCTGCCCATGGTACCGTGACTCGTCACTTCCGTGTTCACCAAAGTGGCGGCATAACTTCTACTAACTCCATCGCGACGATCGTAGCTTGGGCTCGTGCACTTGAGAAGCGTGGTATTATGGACGGTAACGATGCGTTGGTCCAGTTCAGTAAGAAGCTGGAGCGCGCTCCTGTCGATGCGGTGGATGCTGGGTTTTATACCAAGGATCTTGCTATTGCCATCAATGGCACATCTTCAACTAACTATCTGGATACTGAAGCGTTTATAGACAAGGTCAAAGAGTATCTCGAGAAGTGAGATTGTTATTTTTTGTTTTTCACATTACTTATTTTCTGCGTTCAGCGTGCTCCCAAAACAACGCTGATATTTGGGCCAGTTCCGTGGTCTTTCCAAATTACAGCTAAGACACCATTTCCATAAAAAAGAAACGCTGGGATATAAGCGATATGATTTTGTACTTTCATTTAATTTTATAAGTGATATCTACATTGTTTACTTATTGCGATGTCCCGACTGCCGGTTTGAGTATGTGGCGGTGCAGTTAACGTCAATTTGGTTTGCCGTAAGTAGCCTCGTAGCGTTTTATGATATCCTCAGGAGCCGTGCTTTCAAGTTCTTTTCTCACGTTGGTCCTACGCACTGCCGTCAACATAAGCATCACCAGGTTGAGTCCGACTATCCAGACGAGTGGTTTGGCCAGGCATACAGGTAGTACAGCTGTTTTGTGTCGAGTTGGGGTTATGCGTGTTCGTTCATGAGTATCTTTTGATTTCCCTGCGTGCAACGTGAGTAATTGGGAATCTCCTGCGTAAGCCTACCTGAGCGCCAAAATGAGGGAATGCGATATGGTGTCACTCCCGCTCCGAATAGCGCATAACTTGTCATTAATATTGCATATCCATATGTTTCATGGTGGTCCATTGTTATGAGCGCTGCTGTAGGCCCGAATAGGCCTATGAGTGTTAGTCCAATTCTGATTGATTGTTCCTTCTAGGTCGTTGAGAACTCACCCAAGGACTGATCTATTAAACCGTAACAGTTGGAATGCGAGTGTGGTTGCTGACATCCATGCCAGTGCTGTGCTACTGAGCTTGAACTGTTGTGTCGCCAGGTTGTCGACTACCTCTGATGGTATTGTCAATAGTGCGAATCCACCAGGCACAAGTAGGAACGATCCTACTCCAGCGAATACTACCTTGCTACTCCTGTATTGATGTTATTTGTCTCGTTAGTTTTGTTTTATTACCTTGATAGTCTTCTGAAATCATCCTCAAGTTCTGCGTATGAAGCTAAGGAGAGTCGATCACGTACCATTCTCCGGAACGCAGCCGACTTTTCAGATATTGGTGCTGCATCTGCTACTACAGTGTTGCTTTGGGTAGTTTTTTTGGCTGAACTGAATGTTCGTCTGATTAAAGCGTGGAATCGCGGCATTGCGATCGCACACTGTGATTTGTTTTTTGATTTGATTTCAGTATATTATCATATTGCGATTAAATTATAATTTGTTTTTTTATTGTACAGGAGTGTTCAACTGTTGCAGCTTGTTCAGTTCTGCTTCCAGGTACTCTAATCGTGCCAGTATGAACTGTTCACGTTCCTTCTGCATATTACAGATATCGTTAAACTTTTTTCGTCTGCATGGCTTGATTTCAGTTGTTTTTGTGCGTACTTTGGCATTTTTTTGCGAGTAGCGTCGCACGTGTCTAGTGGTTGTTTCCATCACTTACCTAAGAGATATAGAGTAGAACATGTAGACAAACATAAGTGACATCAATAGAAGATCTGCTATTAGGTCTGCTCCCAGCTGTAATTTGTTTTTTATGTCGATTTTGTTTGTTTACCTGTATGGCAGCTTCGTCTTCTATTGGTTTGACGATAACCTCTACTTTATTGTCCGTTTTATCGCGGAAAAAGTGGAAGTTGAATAATTTTCCGCTCAGCTTTCTTTTTACGGCTGCTCTATGTCGTGCTCTTCCCAATCCTAGTACCATGCGGTGTGTTCTGGTTCCTTTTAAAACGTTGTCATTTGAACTCACAGATGGTTGCGTGAGGTTGCCGAAGCTACCATTGAAGCGGCATACTTGCTGAGCGACGAGGTCAGTACTTTAACTGTTTCAAAGAAGATCTCCATTTCTTGTTTTATTTGTTAGAATTACAAAGTTGCTGGCGCCGGTAGTCGCTTCTAGGCAACCACAGGGCCAGCCTGCGCCTGAGTCTACACACTTATAGTTTTCACTGTCATTGAGTTAAGTGTTTTCCTCGTCTTCCTTATCGACGAGGCTTTAGATTCCCACTATTGGCTCGGTTTATGGCATTCTATCGCGTCGGCGCCACCCAACATGGGTCTGAATGTATACCTGTTGTGTTTGATCCCGTGGTCATGCCATTGGTTTAATTTTTCATAAAAAATATGACACTCTGCCGTGTGTAACGGCACCGCTGAGCGTTTTCGCTTAATTTTGATACTTAGCAGGTGGTCCATTGTAACATCTACGAGAATGAGTCGTTGCGGGCTTCTTACGGCGGCTTGCCGTAGCCTTCGTTATAGGATGGGCAGATTGTACAATTCATTTTACTACAGTCAGAGCAACAACAAGTATGTGATGTTGTTTGTGTTTCCCAGCGTGATTTGGTATACTCGTTTCCGTGCCGACACCAAGTTAGGATATCGCCTTTATATTTCACCTACTGCCGGCGGACCCATTGACTACACGGACAAGATCGATAGTGCTGCTATGCGTAAGCAGGATGATGACAGTGGAGAGATATCATCATCGTATTTGTTGGATGCCTTGAACTACGTGGACGATACTGTGATGGGTCTGTGGCGTCGTATAACTGGTTCTAGACCTCTTATTGAAGGTTTCAAGAATGGTAAGAAAGTGTACCTTGACGATTCTGCTACTGTTACTGATCTTAAGAACGCTGTTTACGGTCAACGCGCTATCGAGAACAAGGACGTGTTGGTTGGTTGCAAGGGTCGCATAATGCAAGATGACGACAATTTGGCACTTGCTACTCGTGCGTTTTGCCGTCGCGATCCTCGTATCGTTCTTTGGAGGGACTCCTAGACACTGCTCGTCGCCAACTTTTTAGCCATATTAATATCGTAACATTTTTATTTTTTGATATTTGTCCTCTTAGAATTACATGAGATCTTAGCATATTTGTGATCGGTTTTATCTTAAAAAACGTGTAGCACATTATTATCAGCAGGCTGGGCCTACGCACATCCGGTTATCGCCATTTCCACATCATCACCGTTACACACTAAAGCATAACACACCTATCATTATTTTATTTTCCTAATTCTAGTGATATGGTCATTGTATATATATTATCTCTGCCGCAACAATTTGATGATGTGTCTATAAGAGCTAGGCGTAACTTGCGGCCTATGTTCCGCCATGGATCCTTGATTGATCGTTTCCACCCTCATACTAATGTTAAGACAGGTAACTTCGAGTTTTGAAGCTGTATGTCGCCGCGGTTCGCCGTTCTCCGCTTTGGCTGCCGAGGCATCAGCTTCGTGGCACCGTTTCACTCTGTTTACTAGGGAATGGCTTCGATTTACGTCTACATCGCTTAGCAGGCTGTGTCTGTATGACTGCAAGTTGTTACCTTCCCCTAGATTGACAAGTTATTCTCCAACGTTGGATTGTCCCAATGCGGTCTGCCGCTCTAAATTTTCAACCACTGCTACAGATTTCGAGGTAAAGCGCCACATTGCGAGACCTGCTAAACGACAGGTTGTAACCCTAACAGATAGGGCGATTGCAAGGTTACGTGATATCTGCGACGACCGTAAGTTTTTTGTGTCATCACCCATATGTCATCAGCAAATCGCATTGTCAAGTTGTTATTTGTGCTAAAAGGTTGCAACGGTTATTCTTACGAGATGGAGATTGTAGATCGCGATTCACTGGATAGCATGGATGACATAATAAAAGACGCTGAGGGTAACAGCGTGCTGGCCATCGAGAATAAGGCTGCCTTCCATATCTTAGGGTCTCACATTGATTATGCCACATCGGCACTCGAGGAGGGTTTTGTCTTCGATAATCCTAATGTCACATCGAAATGTGGTTGCGGGCAGTCTTTTCGTTTTTAATCGACGATAATTCTGCTGCACCGGTCATGTTGGCAGAAGCCTGTCATTTTCACTGTACATTTATCATCATATTTGACGGCGTCACGGCCTCCCTATGTTTATGTGTCGCATATGACAAAGATCAACCATGTGTTTTGAATGTTAGTAACGTTTTGTCAAGTTGTTTACCAAATCATGAATATGTCATGCTTCCACATGTTACAACGATTTGTTTCATCGTGTTATTGGCGATATGCCATAGCGCTGCAATTATAAGAGCCTCTAGGTAAACTAATGTTGCTTTAGCTATTGAATGTATAGTTGGGCCACGCCAAGGGACTTTGCACTGCACATGGCTGTATATGATATCCTAAATTTAGGGATAGTGTGTTATGCACAAGAATGTCACATTAGCTGCATTTTGAGGTTTGGAAGCGTAGATAGTCGATTAGATCATCTGGTGTATTGAAATTTAGATTTCCTACGTCTTTCGGACACCAAGCATGTTTCCTTAGGCGGCTAGCGTTTGGGCCGACGAAGGCTACCAATACACCACTTACCACTTCTAGGTCTACCTTATCGTTCGGTTGTATACCATCTTTTACTTTTGTGTAGTAGAAGTGGTACACATCCTCTAGTTGTATGAGTTCGTCGTTTAGTGCTCCGAAAGCGTAAATATCCACTATGTGTGGGTCTGTATTTTGTGTGGATATTGTGACGTCAAATATGACCCTAGATACCCCTAATTTAAGTAGAACATCAATTACTCGGGCGCTAAACTCCTTCAAAGCCTCCACTAGCGGCTGAGCGTCTTTCGCTATGAACCCGAAGTTTTCATGTACGAATAGTTGTTCTACGCATACCAACTCATATTCGAGTATGAAACAGCGCAATTGGTGGCGTCCTGCGAAGTAAATCCCTGGGTAAAGGGTCAAATATCCTTCCTTATCCACCACATCATGCCAGTATGTTGAGGATTTCATTAGCAATATGACCTCCCTGCTCATTTTTAAAAATTGTTGCATATATCGCTTACCTTGTAGAGGTACATTCGACGTTACAGTTTGTGACCCACAAAGCATCATCGAAATAGATTCCGTTTACGCTTGGTAGTACTGATTGATACTTTTGGATCATTTGTGTGACGTTGAATACGAATGGTTGTACAGCTGACCAGTCGAATGCCAGGGATTCCGCATCTTCTGATTCTTTGTCTGATGCATAGCTATCAAGATCGCTATCTGACTGAAGCCTTTCATATCCGATTTGTTGTATCTCTGGAGGCAATGCCATGTCGTCCGATTTGAGATATTCCATCAATGGTCCATCGATGAAGTGTCGTGTTCTTGGCATGAGTAAATGACCGAAGTATTTTTTCACGAAATCATAATCTAGTTGTTTTTTATTCGTTCCATGTGGTGAGGCTAGTGGCACTCCGAATTCCACGGTATATGATGCACTAACCCAGTGCCATAGGACGTACAGAATGGCATCTAGGGGTTCGGCCGGTGGTAGCCTTGACGTTCTGGCATTTGCCTCATTGAAACAATAGGGTTGTATTAGTTTTGCGACCTGTGGCTTGCAATTTTCGTCGAACCTCAGCGACCCGTATCCAAGTCCATCTGCATAAGTTGCGAAATGTTCCCACGCTGTGACTCCCGCTGGGCATGGTGGGAACTGCGTCGCTTCTGTAGGTACGATATTGATATATGCATCTTCACTGTTGTATGATATTGTCACTGTATTGTATTATGTTATGATATGTTGATTATTTACTTACCTCTGATTAGAGAAAAGCACATGCCTTCCACTGACTGCATACCATTTCCATCTTGATCATTTGTTCCGGCGAACATGATAAGTCTTACATCTGCTTTAAGATGTTTTGTGACTAGTGGTTCAACTTCGTTGTTTTTGTTTTCCTTTAGGGCATTGGTCAACCGCTTCGTATCTATTGTAACTCCCTTTGACGTCTTAAGTCTTAAAGTTCCACCGATGCTTCTCCATAGAGCGGCGATGAATCTGCTCCTTAGAGGAGACCCTATGCCCAAAGTTTCAGCCATATACCCGTTTACGTCTTTTAAGAGTTGAAGAATTGTGTTCGTATGGCCCCAACAGAAAATGTGCGTATACCCTTTTGTCTTTGGAATATATTGTATGCGGCACTTTGTACAGAATTATGGAGAAATTTCCTTTCTACGGTTTAGAGCCTAAGGAGCGTTTGTCGAGTCTGAAAGGTCATTTTCTTAAGTTTGAGAAAGAATTTACAAAAATAACTGTAAGTCACCTCTTTTTTGCCTATCTTTTAAAAACATGAATTGTAAAGAATTTCGAAGTGGTTGTTTGCATGTTTTTTCAGGTGGATAGCGAGCTAAAGCGTTTCAAGGAGCAGTTAACCGACGCTGCTAGCGTCGAGCTTTCTGGCGGTGATGTTCTTATGAAATGCGGCGATAACCTGTTAATCGAGGTTGATTCTAAACAGCTTAAGAATATACTCCGTGAAGTCAAGGATGTGTGGTAGCCAGACCTCTCTAAAGCCATCTGTGTTACAGCGGACCGTGACCCACCTTCCTATTAATTTTATACACTCAGCTACACTTTTTCATATTAATTGTCTAATAGAGCCACATATAGACACCTTTTGTTAGTAGTTAGATCGGTTATACATTCATAGCGTGCTATAGGACGGTATGTGCCGGGGCGTTGTCTACGCGCAGACGACGCCACGAAATTGCCTCTCAGGGTTCCCGTGGATTCTATGCACTCTCGCAGACCACAAAGCCTTAGAAGTGGCAACCAATGATTATTAACTGCGGTAGTTCAACTCCCATCTTTAAATATTGACCTCATGTTCACTACGTTTGTAGTGAGCAGTATTGTCTGTTCACCTCTCTTCTGATTCAATGACGCCACTGCTGCGATCTCCCCTAGCGTTACTCCTCCCAGGAACCCTAGTAGTTTTGCACTAGCTTTGTTTCGCGCGTTACTGGGAAGGTCATTTTTCTGTCTCAGTACCGACACTGGGCAGTTGAGTAATCTGAATTCCTGTTGTAGTGACGATACGTTATTTGCTAGTACTATGAGTTGGAACAGCCTTATCGATATTGGGGCATATCCTCCGAATATCCATGCATAATCCGCTGCGCCAGTGTCACGGTCTACTAGTAGGTTGAGTTTTTTGCATAGTCTTGACCACCTAAGACCATCTGGTGTATCGTTGATGCGTAATAGTCCCATTTGTTCTACCTTTTGTAGCACTAGTAACTGATCAAATCCATACTGGTCCACAATTGCTCGTTTGATGCTGTTTAGATCCGATGACTTGACACCATCTCGTGTCTGGCTGAGTAGAACCAGTAACCTATATATTTGTTGGACTTCTACGTTCCAGAATATGAGATCGAGAAATAGGGCAACGCATGGATCACAGGGTTTGTTAAATAGTTTAGCTGTGATCGAGGCTAGCTTTGAATCCTCTAGTTTGACGTCTGTAGTAGACTGCAGTATTGAATCTTCTAGCTGATGCAAGAGTTGTCTTGAGTCGCTATTTGCGATTGAAGATAGCCATGACATAAGATTTACATGTACTGATAGTTCTGAATGTTCCTGTTGCAAGCTTTTGAATTTCTTTACGAAAGCGTCCATTTCATCTAGTGTCGTAAGGTCTCCTCGTTCATAGCCCTTGTGTACCTGTAACGCTCGCTGGTGTAGATGTTTTCCCACCTCGCTATAGTTCAAGCATCGTAATTCTCGATATAGCATTGAGTTCAGTGGCAACACAGTACTGTCCACGGTTGGTACTCGATTTTCTGAGTTAGTGTTCTGCGAGAAGGTGGTACGATACTGGTCGAGTATATCTGATGCGGCTCCGGCGGAACCCTCAATGACTCCTGATGGTACACGTACATGCCCGTGTACGACTCCCAGGAGGTTATCGATTAGCCCTTCATATGTGAAATTGAGACACATGGGTGTGACCATGTCAACACGTCTATCGATTAGTACCGCCTCATCTACGATATTTGATTGCCTCATTAGTCGCATGCGATGGTCTATATTTCCAGTATCACGTCCCGTAGCTGTTGTTTGTGTTGTTGAAGTTGAGTTCGAGAACTCTTCTGCTCCTTGAGTTTCACCTTGTGTTCTTTTTTTCAATTCTCGTGTTAGGAACGGCATATCCGACGCTCCGTATGACCTTTGGGTTCCCGTGATGATTAATTCTGCGGCGCAATCCCTCCTTGATTTTAGGAGAATTTCTCCAGAGTATCGTGACAAATGTCCGAGGCATGTTACCCTATGGACTACTCCATCGAATATCCGGCTCTCCAAATGTTCTAAGGCTCGTGCAAAGAACCATGATGCTGCCGGGTCACTGTGGGCATAAAATGCTTCGAATGATTGTGGTAGGAACATGGATAGTGCACATGATTCCACTGGTGCCATGTGTACATTACAGCTGTATAGATGTACAACCCTGTTTCCTGCTTGTTTTGTTATCCCTCTTGATACTGTGAACCCTTTACCCAGAACCCCCTGTAGCATATCAGGGAACATGTCTGATATGTCCGGTAGGCAGATAACGAAACAGTCGTTTCTGTCGTAGCATAGTGCAGTTTTTAACAATGCAGCATCTTCAAACGTTGGTCTTAGCAAATATAGCTCATATGACTGATTAGCGTCCGTTGTTTCTGTTGTTCGTGTACGTCTGCGTGTTGTCTGTGTCTGTATTATCCTTGTTGATGTTATTCCTATCTTTATGAGTTCATTTTCTTTGAATAGATGGTTTAAAAGATCTTGTACATCTCTAGTACAGTTGAGATGTATGGCGTTGCCCTCTGATACGAATTTTTGTATATATTGTGTTCCATCGTGTCTTATTTTTGTATCGAGTACGGTCGTCTTCGGGTTGTTCAAATCTTGTATATCTGCTGTTTCGTCATTTCCACGAGCTGTTGCTGCAGCTGCCCTACTCTGTAGCTGTTCTATTGACCCAACTACATTTGCTAGGGAGTATATGAGCTCAGCCCTTGCGTCGGCGGCAACTTGTTCCACCAACGACATCGAACTTTATAGTTCCCTCTACACACCTTTTACATTTCAGTTTGTTGTAAGTTTAAAAATGTTTTCCAACCCCTAGATTTGTTGTTGAATGTTTGCCCTCTTGATATGATTTTTTGTCTCTGTGTTAATTAATGCGCGTCAGTTGTAAGCATGGAAAAAGAGATCAAGGCATTTGTGGCATTAATACTGAGCCACCTGGGCATTGGTACGTTATATTTCTTTTTCACTAACTGTGGCAGGTCTGTATTTTTTGTGGGCGTTAACTCCTGAGCGTATCATCAAGGCTTATGGCATCACATATTACCCTTCTAAGTGAGTAGTTTTGTGTTTGTGTAATACTTTCTAGGCACTGGGCTGTTGCTATGCCTGCATCTATAATGCTAATAGTATCTGTGACTGCTTTTTATTGGCTTTTGAGTGAGCGATCGATGTTACCTCCGCTGGATTCTCGTGCTTCCTTCGTCGGTAACTAATATTGACTGGCCTTATATTTGTCATTCAGACCCGGTTTCGCACCCTGATCATGCCGAAGAGTCATTGAAAAACAGCACGCTTCACGATATCGCGTTAGCCACTGTCAACAAAAAGTTATACGGTTGAACTTACCTGTCGTTGCATTGCCGACGACATTTCCGTGATAGTGAGCTAATTATGTATTTTGGTATTTTTTCATACCAACAACATGATATTCTGACAAAGTTCAGGTTAAAATGTGATATACCTATATTATGCATTTTTGTGGATACATTCACTATGGTACGATTACTTTCCGGGGTTATATTGGTATATGGACTACTACAAGTAGTTCCAGTGCTACTTCAATCGTTTTTCATTACTTGTTTCACATGTAACAGAATGACATACGAGAGCGGCGACATGACAGTCCCTATGCCACTTTGATCTCCTGAAAAATATCGGCTGGATCTGTCCTTTATAGTTGCGAATTCCGCAACTTTTACATCTTGGTGAGGCATCAGATTACGAATCTGGATCATCTCCCAAGTTCCCATTAAAATCGTAGACAAAGACTTTTCTGGCATGAACAACGAGTTGTACCATATAATTGCCACTGCAAAACAATAATCCAAATGTTTCCATTATAAATATTGGTTTTCTAACCACAGTGCATTGCGACCTTCATTTTATGTTGCAATTTGGCGTAAGGTTTCTGGGAATCTTCGAACTGAAAACATGCTCCTTATGGGTATGGTGTCCGCTTCGTCAATATTTGTGATTACCCCGGCTCCATCGAAATGTTGCATGACATGGTAGTAGAGTATCAACGCAGGTCGTAGTGCGTTTTCATGTCTCAACCCTTTAAACCTTTGTAACCTAATTTCGTTACTCCAGAACAGATATATATCTAGGTTAAATACATGTGCAAGTGTGTCTATATCTTCATATGACCCCCAGCTATATGGGTTTGAAACTTGTGCTAATCTTGAGAATATTTTTTTAGCGATATCTAATAGGTCTCCATTATTCCTTATTTGGTTAAGGAATTTGGATGGTTCCCACCTGATATCACCATAATCTGCTGTTCCCTCTACTCCTGCGTACACTTCTAGTTTGGTAATTAGCTCACTAACATTCCAGAAGGGTAGAGCTGCTTGGTTGTAAGGGTCGACTCCAACAAATCTGACGGCTATAATTTTGCGTAGATCCGCTACGGTGTAAAATGTATCTGTAAAGTTAGTGTCTTCAAGTGAGAGTGATACAGATGCTGGTAGGTCAGTTGTCGTTAGCCCGATCATATCACGAGTCAGTTGATGATCTCTTAGTATCCCAGCAATAGCATTGAATAGACAATTTCCATCAGCTCCATAGTTCTTTCTGCAAATAGTCATATTTCTTGGCATAAGCAGATTATCCCATATTTTATCAACTTGTTTCCAGGAGTTATATCTCGAGCATGGGTGTGGACCATTTTCCCAGTCCTTCCTTTTCACTTGTGGTTGTATAACTGGTTGTTTTTGTTTAAATTTTGCCGCATTGCTTATTGACTTGGCTGTATCGGCAGTTATAGCGGCCTGTCCCTTATCGTCACGGCTCGTGACGCCCGTGTGCAGCGCCTCTAGGTGCCTCCCATATAGACATACTACAGCGGCGCCACAGAACAACGCACGTGTAAATAAAAGCATTATTTATAAGGTGTAATGTCTACCAATTACTGCCGACTAACTGGGTGTTAAGGGCACTAATTGGCCCATAGGCCTCCTATCTGCAGCTCGCACACTGTGGTGCGTCTGTTAGACAGTGCTTCAATTATCTGCTGCTAATATTGCTAAAGGTAATGGCACGTCTTGTGCCATTATTATTGGTCTGGGCACAGCCTTGTCGGTACGCTTTAGATTGCAGCCGTCTACTAGTCCTGCGACTTTGAAGTGTGCCATTCCCTGTGTATATATCACTCCTCTTATTAGTGAAAACTTACCGCATAGCTGGAGAGTACCACAAAATGTATCTCATTGCCCGTATCTATGTGTAGCCTCCCAACCTTGTCATTTGTCTCATCTAGCATTAGCAATCTGAACTGGAACAGGTTTTGCAGCGAGTTGATGTCCAAGTTGCTCCCCATTACATCTTGTTGCCTTTTTTTCAGCTTTTTATGTATTTCTACAGCAATTTCTAGAGCATTTGTATCATTCAGTTCGGCTCTTTTTTCCGTAAAATTAACATCTTGAAATAGATCCAATAGGTTTTCATTATCTCCTGCCGCTTGGTACACCTCTATGAACTCCTTTATAACATCCATGTTTGCTTTGAATTTTTCTGGATCGAAGTTATTAATGGATTCCTGGCTGTCTGAATCTACTCCCAGTATTGAGGCCAATGAGAATTTCATCAGATCTGTGTATGAATAATATTCACCTTCTGGTTGATAAGCTTTGACCATTTCTGCCAGTTGTTTTTCAGTATTTGGTGGTACTAGTTTTTTTGCTTTTTCAACGGTCATTCCTCCCAATCTGAACGCCTCCGAGATAGTACGGAACAGGCACTTTCCATCACCCCTCACTTCATACGTGCCAAACATCATGCCATAGAATCCGAACCTTTGTTGTAATGCTGTTGTTTTGTCAGGTCCTTTCCATCCTTCTGGAAAAATTGGTATCTGATCCTCTTTACATTTTAGTGACGCTTCGATATGAAGTAGATGTGCAAGTGTGTTTCTGTCGATGGTGTACATCTTGCCCAGTTGTTTGGCGTTTGCTTTATGATCCACGGTCCCGAGTTCCATCTTTTGAAAATATTCGTCCACAGACATTGGCTTCCATCGTGGCAAAACTGCCCCTAATGCGACTTGCGCACAAACGAAAGCTATAAGCAACATCGCACGCCGTATGAAACAAAGCTCAATATAGATCCGAAATTTTTTTGGCACTGTGTTACACAAAGATCACTGAAAATTTATAATTTACAGTTTGTTTACTTATGGCTGCGGTCATCTGTCATACAATACGAATATTGTGTCGTTACGTCTACTTGCATCTTTGAAAGCGCTGAAATTTAAGCGCTTACAGCCCCATTATGAAAATTCTTGCTGCGCTCCGCGTAGCTCCTGACTCACCACGACACTTACAATACAATTTCATTTGGCGAGCGTTTGCTGGCTAGCTGTTGTGTTTTGTGAAACATCAATATCATAATGGGCTAATTTTATGATACACTTCCACTGGATTTGTCTGGAGATGTAGCTTCATCTGTGCGTCCGTCATCCGGTACCTCTGTTTCTGCACTGGCGCAGTCGGATCGGGCGATTTCTTCATCCTGCTGTTGTTGTTGCTTCTGCTTTTGTTTTCGTATTCTCATGTAACAGGCGTTGCACACGGATGTGCCTTTGATATATCGCCACTGTGGAGTTGATTTTGCATTGCACATGGCGCAGACATAATTATGTCTGTTCATTTTAGGACGTCCTGAGGACACATGTCTCTTGTTGGTCATTTCTCTTTGTAACCTGGACGTGAGTTCACTATAAAGGATCTCTGAATTGAATCTCTGGGCCCTATGTGATGCGCGTGGATCATGTTGTTGAGGATGCAACATGGATGCCGGTTGCATCCCACCGTTCTCTAGATTCGGCATGTTGCTGTACCAGTTTTTGTATCCCATTTGGTCAGATGGTAAATGGTAGCAAGGCATATGTGATGGTTTGACTGTCCCTTGTATGAAACTCGAGCTTACACTACGACGCGGAGCGTATGGTAAGTAATGTTGTTTACCGTGATAAACAGATTCACTCGACATATTATAACCTACAGAGTATGGCATATTTCGGTCTACGGAATACGTTCCATATAGTGTACCGCCAAGGTGGTAATATGGAGATGACGGTCCATATCGGTATCCGCCATATTGCGGCATATTCCTTGGGTGTGCGGTAGGGCTGCAAGGTCCTGGTGAGTAGGGGGTCTGAGGTATTTGGCATCCATACCAGTAATTTCCATTGATAGTATCCATATTATCTTCTGCATTCGACATTCCTGCTGTTGGCGTCATGACCATTCCTCCTGTCATTCCTCCAGAAATTGATCTGGGCATTGCGACAGGGGTATCGTTGGCACTAATGGCTGCGTTGTAATTATCGGCGCATCTCATATCGTATCCTTCAAGTTCATTTGGCTGGCTACTGCAGTACTCTGGAGAGAAGTCGTAAAGAATGGATCCCGGAATTTGTTCACGTATAGAGCTATCCTCACCATCAGGTACATTCGGAGCTTGAGCAGAATCGTCTGCGTATGATTCTGCATTTTCCATAAGGGTTGAATTGGCTCCCGATTGTCTCACATTGTAATATGTGACATCGCCTTTATCGCCGAAGTCTTCCGATAGAACGAAGGCGTTGTGTGATACGATCCCTTTGTCATAGAGATGTTCCCCCGCGTTTCCATTGTTATTATCGAAATGCGGTGGGCATCCTTGTGTGAAATCTTCTATTCCTGCCATGGATTGTAATTTTTTTGAAGGGTTTCCTCAGGATAACCCTTCGACACAGGTATGGTTGGCGCACCAGTGTAACGCTGTAGGCGTTCCAGTATATCTGCGGCGAAGACATAACCCGCGTATAACGCACGCCTAATGGGCTTCCAAGTTTAATCCCGAGCGCGTTGTCTAATCCACGTTGTTGTACGAGTTAGGACGGGAAGCTCCACTGGGAGCGGCATAGGGCAAGTTACCCCTTTTGTACGATTTAAAAATATCGTCAGTTGTGGAGTTTGAGTGTTTAAGACGCATTCGTAACGTCGGCTAAACCACTCTACATTATTAACCCTTCGTAATGTCTCCTACTGCACGCGTCGCGCTTTCAGAGGGAGACAGACCGTAGACACTGCTTTGCCAGGCTTTGATATCCATAAGTGGCTATCCTTTTGTTGCGCGAAGCCTGACACTTCTTCCGAAACATTTGATATGCACTATTTGGGTGTTTGGAGCTATGCAGCCGAGCTCGACGTGTCCGTGACCGACTTGAGCATTCCTTAATGGAGCCGCCGAGTAGTGCCAACTCTGTGCACTGTGGTCTTTCTTCCTTTAAATTCATTGACAGGCTTAAGGAATCACGTTTTAACGTGAACTATTCACGTCCGATATATAATACAGAATCTTAGATATGCGTACATGGTCGAATCCTACGGTGGCATGAATGCCGGGAGACGTTGGAAACTAGCCTTCGATGCCTTAGGGCAAATGGCTAAAAAAATATTACATAAAAAAATATATCGGGGTTTTTGGCATTCGTCCTTGATCCTAGTGTCACTGCCACCATCTATACACACGGCACCACGTCGAGCTCGCGGTCTTTCCTAAGTCTTGAATTATCCGATATCCATCGACTTCTATATATATTTGCGCGTCCCAGATCGCATTTAAAATCACGAAGGACGCGATCCGAATATGGTATCCAGGGCATCTAAAGACTAGTAGGTTTGAGTAGTCTTAATAAATTTATGGTTTCGGGCACTTCTGTGCTATTTACGCTATCCATTTCTGTATTTAATTGATCTTCAGTGACCACCTTTTTAAGCTGGTGCTTATCGGTGACAGTGGCGTCGGAAAGTCATGCGTCCTCTTACGTTTTGCGGTTTGTGCAAGATTAATTTACATTGACGCTTTGCAGGATGACACATTTACTGACAGCTACATAACAACTATCGGTGTCGACTTTGTACGTTGACAATGTCTGTTGTTTAGAAGACATGCAGCGTTTTAGAACTGTTGAAGTTGGTGGTCGAAGGGTCAAACTGCAGATCGTATGTTGTTTTTTTTGACCTCGTTACCTCGTGCAGTGGGATACTGCGGGGCAGGAGCGCTTCAGGACCATAACCAGTGCTTATTATCGCGGTGCAGATGCGATAATCATAGTTTACGATATCACAGACAAAGTTGGTCATTCCGTGTCACATGCTATGACGGCTCAGCTCTCATTTGGGAACGTTGGCACCTGGCTCTCTGAGGTGGAGAAATTCGCACCAGATGGGATTCAGAAATTGTTAATTGGCAATAAATCTGATCAATCTCAAGCTCGTGATGTTGATCCTAGCGAGGTGCAGGTGAGTGTCGTTGTGGAAGGCTGGTGCCTGAATTTGGCGTTCATTCCGTAATGGTCATTCCACCTCCTATTCTTAACTAACCTGGTTTTTTAGGAGTTCAGCGAACAACACGATATCCCGTATATCGAAATGTCAGCAAAAACGGGACATAATGTGGAAGAAGGTTTCATGTCCCTAGCCGAGAGGCTGGTATCGGATCGAGTAGGAAACCAGGGGGATTCCACCGAGCCTTTATCACGTTCTATTTCACTTAACGAGCGAGTCAAAGGTATGTTGTTTAATCACCATATTATATCATCTATAGGCGTCATTGGCAGCATCTACGGAGCTGATAAAACGTGTTGCTCCTGATGGCGGTAAAAGTACCGCCGAGCTTCACTACACTTCCATTGTATGGTGAACTGGCTTAACACTAAAGTGTCATGTGTCTACGTGATTAAAAAATGGATAGTTGTGAATCTACATGTTGGCACTACCATCTAGGTGTATCGTTTTTCAGCGTTTGCCGTGTAACCACCTGTTCGCTATGAGCATATCTGCAGTCATCCTTTCTCTAGGGTCAATTTTGAGCATACACAACAGAAATTTCGATAGCTCTTGTGCATCTACAGGGTCCATTTTGTACTTTCGTACCATTACACTTTCTAGCGGCCACGGTGTCACATTGTTGATTTCCCTCTCTAGATGTCCGTATCTCGGGCTGCTGTGGACTATGTGGAGTGGTATCGGTCCTAGAAGTTCCACGATGAGTTGCAGATGGTTGATATCTCGTTCCTGTGTTGTGTTTCCATGTGGATCGAATAGGTAATCTCCCGTGATAAGTTCGAAAATGATACACGCGAGTGACCACAAATCTGTTGATTCATCATATCCTACCTTTAAAATTGCTTCTGGCGATCTGTATTGCCTTGTCTGAATTTCGTCAGTGAAGTGTTGGTTAATCCAGCAGGCATTTCCTAGATCGCATATTTTAAATACCGCATCAGGATGATCGAATGTAGCTTGATCTAAGGGTTTAATTTGTATTCTTCCCTGTTGCGTTTTCACAAACACATGTTGTTTGAGTAATGCAGCTATTGCGCTATTTTGGTTAACCTTTTTTGCCACCCATGGATGGTACATGTCGACATTTGCTGGTTTTGCCTTTGTATCACGTAACGGTTGTGCAATTTTGTATGGTATGTGATGATACGGCGCTCTGTAGAGTGTATCTTGGAGTGCCTCGGCTTCATCATAGCTTGTAAGGCTGGTCGGGTCGCTCATACTAGGTTTGATTGTATTTTTAACGTATGGCACGATAGTCTTTCGTGCCTGTACCTTTTCTTCTATCCTTTGGCGTTCAGTAGGCCACGGCGTACATCCCTGTAGCTTAGAACTGACCAGGATATTTTCAGGTTTAAGGTCTGTGTGTATGATCCCACATACTCGATGTAGGTAATCCAATCCTAGTAGTACATGTGCAGTGATTTTTCGAATTATGTGCATGGGCACTCCCTTGAATTTGTAGAACTTGATAAGTGACAGAAGGTTCGGTCCCATGGGTTCGAGTACTACGCATACATGAGTACCGTTTGGCCCCTTCACTCTAAACCAGTTTAGAAATGATACTACCCCTCTGGTTGGATTATATAGACTTCCTAGAGCATTCTTATATGTCTGCTTTGTATGTAGCCATGCGCGAGCTATTGCTTGGTCTCTGACCCTTTTGAGCAGTGACATTTCATCACGTACTGCATCTGCATGGCTCTTGGCGCTTCTCTGGAACTTGATTGCGACAAAGCAATTTGGGTTAGCACGTAGATCGGTTGCGAGCCATACAGTTGAGAAATATCCCCAACCAAGTTTGCAGTCTATACGATACCTTCCATCGTATATATCTCCCTGTTTAACTGGATGGTAACCTCCAGGTTTATATGCGGTCGGGTCCTCACTATCGCTAAGGGTACAATCTACAGTATCACTTGGTGGATCCTTTTCTTCACTTCCACCAGGTCCGTCATAGTCATCGTCATCTGAATGACTATGTATACTATGGGAGGAAGATTGTCCCGATCTTCCTGCTTGATTTTGCACACTGCTATTTGAGTATGATTCATCAGTATGTGTTACCGACTCATATTCAAGATAATCTTCAGTTTCTCCGAAGAAAGGATCTCCGTTACCATCATCTATTTCTTCATAATCTCCTCCATAAAATTCATCGCTAATTGCACATTCTGCTGGATAGAGATTTCCGAAATCCTCTTGTGGTTCATCAAATTTCATGTCATTTTCGCCTGACTCCAGGGTATTAGACATCTTGCTTTCTGGTAGTTGTTTTACATCAACTATCCCATCTACGGTTGTACCTTTTTTCCCATGTGTAAGGTTTAACTGTTCGAGATTATCGATAACATCCTTAATGAATGGCCTGTTTCCTCCCATTTGCGGCTTGTGATGTGTATGTGTTACTTCGTTTCTTTCATCAGAGCTCGATACAATGGTTTTTTGAGTATTACAAAAACCTTCGTGCCATGTTTATAAAATGGTGATGGTCCTTATGGCGCTGTTATAGAAATATTTCGCCTATTTCCCGGCGAGCTAACGCTATGGATTCTGCCCGACGCGTTCCCCTACAAACCTCGCTTGTCTATAGGATTCCATTAATGACAAATTATGCGCAAAAATTCTTTGATACATATAAAGGTATGCGCGTAGCTTCGGCAACGCCGGACCGTGGCGTAGCCCCGAAGACGCGGATAATGAAGGCTCGTGTATCAGGCCACGGCCTGCGTTTATCGCTATGGAGCTTTTACAGCTTCCTTGTGCTAACGTGTGTGCAACACATTGAATCCTTTAAGGTTAAGCCCAAAGACATCAGTTCGTTGCATCCTAGACTAAAACAATCGCAGATGCAACTGGGGTCGGAATATCGTTCTCCTCCCATATATGGATTCTTTAGTAGCGATGCCAAGGAACCCACTGACAGTCTGAAGGAATCTATGGAACAGAAGATCGGTCTTGGTGCTGAAGTGCAAAGTATGGATACAGCCCAAATTACTAGACTCGATAAAGAACTTAACCTGGATTCACCTTCTAAACAAGTTAAAGTACAAGATGAAAAAACATATCCTTTCCAGGCTGAAGTTAGCAGAGTTATGGATATAATTGTAAACTCGTTATATACCGATAAGGACATTTTCCTCAGGGAGTTGGTGTCTAATGCTGCCGATGCTTTAGACAAACGTAGAATACAGGCTGACCCTGATGAGAAAGTACCACGCGAGGCCTTTGGAGGCATCCGTATAACCCCTAATAAGGAGCACAATACCCTAACCATCGAGGACGATGGTATCGGTATGACGAAGGATGAGCTTGTTAATAACCTGGGTACTATAGCCGAATCTGGGACTGCTAAATTCTTAAAACAACTTGAAGGTGCCACTTCTACAGATAAAAATAACTTAATTGGGCAATTCGGTGTTGGATTCTACTCAGCATTTTTGGTTTCTGATAAGGTAGAAGTGTACTCTAGGGCCTATGGTCATGAGGATGGCAGTATCTACCGTTGGAAATCAGACTCCGCTGGTACCTTTAGTGTAGGTCAGGTAGACGATGTTGATCTGCAGAAGTCTTTCATGAAATGTGGAACCCGTATAGTGCTGCATATTAAACCTGAGTGTGATGACTATTTGGAAGATTACAAACTAAAAGAGCTGTTGAGGAAATATTCTGAATTTGTACGTTTCCCAATACAGGTAAGCGTTATATAACAATGTATCTTTTGTTTTTTTAAAATTCAATATCTTCACTATTGCCATTTAAATGATTACAAACTTGTATTATTTGAGGAACCTTGTTGTCTTCTGTTGAACCCACAGAGGAGCCTTGGAAACAATGAGATCAAATACAATATGATAAACTGGCAAAATATATATAACTTCATTATATATGATGTAATATGTATGTAATTGATCATAATGATTTATGTAGGTATGGGTTGAAAAGGTCGAGTACGAGCGTGTTCCTGATGAGTCTACTGCAGTTGAAGGTAAACCTGGAAGGTACAAGACCATTAGTAAGAAGCGTCACGAGTGGGAGCATGTAAACACCCAGATTCCAATATGGCGTCGTGATCAAGCTGATATAAAGCCCGAGGATTATGTATCGTTTTACAAATCAACATTCAAGGCATATGATGATCCGCTGTCGTATATCCACTTTAAGGTGGAGGGCCAGGTAGAGTTCAGCTGTTTGTTATTTGTTCCTGGATCTCTCCCTTGGGAGCTTAGCCGTAACATGTTTGACGACGAGTCGCGTGGTATTAGGTTATATGTGAAGCGTGTATTTATTAATGACAAGTTTTCTGAGGCAGTGCCGAGATGGCTGACCTTCGTGCGTGGTGTCGTTGACAGCGACGAGTTGGCTCTAAACGTCGGTAGGGAGTATTTGCAGCGTTCTAAAGCGCTTACTATAATAAACAAGCGTATCGCTACCAAGGCCATCGATATGTTTAAGAACCTGCAGTCCGCCAACCCGGAACGTTTCAAGAAATTTAGTGACCACTTTGGTAAATACCTAAAGATTGGTGTCGTTGAAGATCGTGATAATCAGCAAGAGCTCGCATCTTTGGTAACATTTTGGTCTACAAAATCAGGTCAGGATAGGGTAACTCTGGATGATTACGTTAAACGTATGAAACCAGACCAGCCTGCTATTTACTACCTGACCGCTGAAAACATTGAGTCCGCTCAAAGCTCCCCTTCATTAGAGAAGTTGAAAGCGTTGGATTACGAAGTATTGTATGCTTTGGAACCTATTGATGAATTCTGTTTCTCGTCATTGACCGCATCTAAGTACAAGAACATCATGATCCTTGATGTAAACAAGAGTGATTTGAAATTGAAGTCATCTGATGATAAAGAGCCAGGTTCTAAACCGGACCCGGTTGAATACGATACCCTTTGTGGTTGGTTAAAGTCCCTTTTGTCAGACGACGTTCATGACGTGAAGGTTAGCAGTCGTCTCGTGGAATCTCCGGCTATTTTGGTCCAAACCGATTTTGGTTTATCTCCAAGTATGCAGCGTTATATGAAACAGCAGGCTACGTCTGCTGGTATGAATGAGACTGAGATGTTTGGTACATCTATGGTTAGCAAGCCGGTGTTGGAGATTAATGTTGAGCATCCTATTATTCAGCACCTAAACGTGATGGTAAAAGCAGATAAATTGAGTGACGTGCCTCGTCAAGTTGCTAAGCAGCTTCTTGACGTTGTATCTATTCAGGGTGGTTACAACGTGAAGGACCCTGCTTTGTTTGCTCGTAGCGTTTTGCAGTTGATGCAGCGTGAGGCTAAGCAATTTTTAGAATCGCAGTCTGCGTCTGCGTCTGCGTCTTGAAAATAGCGTTTAATAGCACATAGTTGGTCCCTCTGTATCATTATATCGCGTGTTAGTTCCGCGCGTTATGTATGTTGTCTGTTATCGGGGGTAATAGTTACACATTATAAGATCTATAAAAACAGTGTCTGTGTTATAATTGGCATTTGATGGTGGCGTTTCGTGGGTACATGTGATCTCGCGCGTTGCGAAAATGGAGGCGTCAGCGTCGCGGCCTCGGTCGTCGCACCGGATGAATGCTCCAGAGCGTCGTCGTGAAGCTGTTACTCGTAAGTCCAAGTACAATAACACAGGTTTAGATGTGGAAGCGTTTGCTCGTCGTACTAAGTTTTTACGTGAGGTATTCCTGGATCCCGAGAGGAGACACTTGCATCAATGGACGGCTACGGAGAAGAAGATTTTGGCGCTCGACTGGTTCCATAACCCATCGTTGTATAGAAAATGGACCCCTGGTGAATCGGAAGATATGGCCAGTCGTTTATATTCCAATCTTGTTTTTAACTATAGCCATCTTGCAATGATAAATGTAGGTTCTACTGTGATCCTCTGTCGTTTAATAAACGAATTTGTGAACATTTCGGGGAACTACCAGCTGTTTTTCATGGTAGTACGTAGTGAGATCGGTGAGCAACAGATGCAAGATATGCTTCGAGTCGGCCTTATTTGGCGCGGCGAGCAGACGTCAGAGACGCTGGCTGGTACCAAGACCCTGGTATACACAGCGCCAAAGAGTGAAGATTTTCAATGCTTATCAGAAGGGATCAGTTTTAACATCCATTCGTTTACAATTGAGGAGTTGCGTATCTACAACGCATGCGAATCATGCCAAGATAGAAAGACTGAGTTACGTACTAGGTTATGTCTACCTGAAGTGCGTTTTAAGTCCCATGTGGCCGGGTTAGAGGTTACGTCAGCAATAGTTGAGAGCCGTCGTAACTATCTGGCCGCGGTACAGAAAGTTGATGGGACTGTCCACATTATCGACATGACCAAAATGCTGCAGGTTACGCTTGATTTGGTACACAAGTGGAAAATATTACACGATAAGTATGTAAAGCGTTGTTCTGATTTCCGTGAGAAATTGGAGTCTTCATGGGACCCGACTAGTAATACCAAGTCCCAGCGGTATAAGTCTGTGACATCTTCAGGGAAACCCATACAATACTGTACAGGATGTCTATTGGGTGACGATGAACTAAAGGCTCTAGATGCTTTGCGTCAACAGGCAACTGAGTTTACCTTACCTTCTCATCCCATTACTTGCAAGGGCCTTGACGTGACGGATACGCCATACAAGGGTGTGCCTATCCGTCGTTTATCTCTGGAGACCACCTTATCCTTTATATACACCTCCATTGAGAATCTGAAGGTGATTGTGCCGATGTACGTGGCAGCACTTGGTGCTACTCGTATTTGTTTATGGCGTATCGGTGATGTGAACGATGCGGGCGTTCGTGAGCCCTTTATGGTGATGGAATTCCCTGAGGGAAGTCGTCCTACTGATGTTACTGCCACGCTGGGTATAGCAAAGGACTACGTCAGTTTGTTGTCTAACAAGTTCCTCCACGAGCCTCAGCTGTATGCAAGTGATGACTCTGGATTTTTACGTATGTGGACACTTGGAGCATCATCTTGCGATGCGTCTGTGAAAATCGATACCCATCCCCTGCTTTCTGTGGATGTCAATATGATGTACCCGAATATGATAGCTATTGGTGTGGAGACAGGTAAAATAAAGTTGTACAATATCTGGAAGCAATGTATGACAGTGGAGGGTCATCCTCCGGAGGTTGATTTCGTGCGCATGACAACTGTGCCGAGTTATCTCCCTCACAATGTCTACGAGTACTTGAGTTGGTATCACCCGGTTGTTAAGGTTAAATGGGTTAACGCCACTATGGTGATGGCTCAATATGCGGAGCCTTTATTTGTGCGTGAGTCTGCAAATGTATCTACGGTTGCTATATGGAACCTCGCTAAGGATATATTTGATCGTAACGATGCGATACTGTGTAATCGTTCTTGGGCTCAGGATATGACGCATACATGGCATTTGGCATCGCGTTTGGTATGTCTACACGGTGGTCATTATGGTAGTTTGGGTGGTGTAATATCGTCAGATTGTCGTTGGTCACCTGAGCATGGTTTGATAGCTATAAGTTCGGATGCTACTGGTCAGTTACATGTTTATAAGCCTGGTATTTGGGCATGGACTGATTACGATGATGCCTTATGTTTAGCCCGTTTCCGTGGTGATGCTGATTTCCATTCTAAAATTTACGAGCGTGTTAGCAAGGAGCATGAGACGTTGATGAAACGTAGTGCTGGTGACGTTATGGCATCATCTGATTTGCGTAAACACCGTGCAAAATTTGCAGAGTTTATGGAAGTTGCCAATCGTGAGTTACGATTAATAGAATCTCAGAAGACGCTAAAGAATGATTTTAGTAGTCTTCCTGTTTGGGCTAAGCACACGCTTAAGCTGAATACTAATTGCGAACGTTTGATGAAGCAGATCCAGAAGAATCTTCGCGATTGCGAACTAATGGAACACAGTACATCGCATAACCCAGTCGAGCGTTGACTGGTTATTATTAGCACCGAAGTTGGGTGTGTGAAATATTCATAAAAATAATGTTCTGTAGAACACTTTTATATAGGCTGTTTAAATAGATATTGAGTTGTATCCCGATGTGTTGGTACTCTAGGGTCGTACTAGGGCTTGGGTCCCCGCGTCTATACTAGTAACGAACAGAGATACCACTAGACATTATATCGCATTTATATAACATATATAAACATGTGACTCTATATTATTAACAATGCCTGCTCAAAACAAGAGGCAGAAAGTGGAAGACGGCGGTCCTAGACCCGCCGCCTCCGGGATACCGGAGGAAGAGGCATCTCAACCGTTTGATTTTATGAGTTTGTGCGAGACTATTGACGTGGTTGCTTCGAGTAGACCGCCTGAAGGTACATCTGCAGCCCCTGCTACAGCATCTGAACCTGTTATAGAGTCTGATAAAGACCCTTGTTCTTACGAGTTCTTAAAGAAGGAATTGGTTAAAAATGCTGTCACTAGATGTACCATAGAGGGCGTACAGTTTGATGTCATGGGCGATGACTTGATATCTAGGATAGCTGAATTGCAGATAACTAAGAGGGAGTTATACGATAATAACAGTAACGAGCCTTTGCCTATGGGTGTTTTAGACTTAAAATTGGGTAAGTACATCAATTTATTGAAACTTTACAGTGTATTTCAGGTTCCAACAGAGCTGGTGGTATCTGTAAAACTTGTGGTAAAGACCTGAAACAATGTGTTGGCCATTGGGGATATATCCAACTGCAAATGCCAGTTTTCCACATAGGATTCTTCAAATACACCATACAGATACTGTATTGTATATGTAAAAAGTGTTCCCACCTTTTGCTGCCGGATCACGTAGTGAAAAAGTTTTTAGAGGCACATAGGCGACGACTGGATGACCCGTTGCTGAGACCACTTCTGTTTAAACAGATTATGCAAGAATGCCGTAAGATCACCAAATGCCCACGTTGTGAAGCAAGACAAGGTGTTATTCGTCGCATAGTGAAACCTGTTATGGACCAGTTTATGAAATTGCGTCATGTGATTAAGTTCAAGGATGGTGGTAAAATGCAGACATTTGAAGAGGACCTTAATCCGTTGGTTGTGAAACAATTATTTGAGGCCATAGATCCAATACATGCTAAAATCCTTAATGTAGTATCGCCAGAAAAACTACTCATCAATAACCTGGCGGTACCACCTAGCTGTATCCGGCCTAGTGTAACCATCGAAGGACAGGGTACTACCGAGGATGATTTGACATGTATATTTTCTGATATTGTCGAGTTAAACAACGGTTGGAAAAACCAAATAAGGAACGGCAGTCAAATAAGCCAGTTCATTTTAAGTTGGCAGTGTCTGCAACTGCAATGTACACGGCTTGTTAATGCCGATGCACCCGCGGTATCACAGCTACTTGTCTCACGTAATATATCCAAACCTGGACGTGGTATATGCCAACGTCTTAAAGGGAAAGAAGGACGGTTCAGGGGCAACCTAAGTGGGAAGCGTGTGGACTTTTCTGCAAGAACGGTTATATCACCAGATCCAAACGTAGGTGTCGATGAAGTAGTTGTACCAGAATGGATCGCTACAAAGTTGACGTTCCCCGAAGAAGTTACTGCATCTAATATCGGTATAATGAAGAAGGCAGTTTTAAATGGCGTGTCGATATGGCCTGGTGCAACGTATGTGAAGAAACGAAACGGTGGTAAATGTAGCCTACAATATGCCAATCCGAAATACATGAGTGACAATCTGGCGATAGGAGATGTGGTATTACGCCATCTGTGGAACGGGGACGTAGTGCTGTTCAATCGCCAACCATCGTTACATCGAATGAGTATCATGGCACATAGGGTACGAGTGATGCCAGGATCAACATTCCGTTTCAACGAGTGTGTTTGCCAACCTTACAATGCTGATTTCGATGGTGATGAAATGAATCTACATCTGCCTCAGACCTACGAAGCGAAAGCGGAAGCGCTACACCTTATGAGTGTTCTGCATAATCTTACAACACCAAGGAACGGTGAACCGTTAATAGCAGCTGTCCAGGATTTCCTGTGTGCAAGTTATCTACTCACCTCCAAGGATAGGTTCCTTACAAGAGCTGACTTCTGCCAAGCATGCTGCCACTTTACAGATGCTGGGTGCCAAATAGATCTCCCTCCACCAGCGATTATATATCCAGTAACTTTATGGACTGGTAAACAGGTATTCAATGCACTACTTCGTCCTAACCGTGGTTGCAAAGTTGTTGTCAACTTTGAGTGCAGGGAACGGGAGTTCCAGGACCCGCCTGCAGGGCTGAATAACTGTATGTGTCCTAAGGATGGATATGTTGTATTCCACAATAGTGAGTTGGTATGCGGTGCACTTGGCAAAAAATCACTCGGAGCCTCTAAAAGTGGTCTGTTTTACCAATTACTGACCAGAAACAACCGTTACATAGCAGCAGAGTGTATGTTAAGGGTTTCGAAATTGACAAGTCGTTGGCTAGCAAGTTTCGGTATGACTATAGGTCTAGATGATGTACGTCCAGGTCAGGAACTGTTACGTCAAAAGGAAGAGCTTTTAGAGAAGGGTTATGCCAAAGTTTCAGAAGCTATAAATAGTTTTAGTACACTCCAAGCGCTTCCAGGTTGTACCCGTGAAGAGACTTTGGAGCTACAGGTAAAATGTATCCTTGATGAGCTTCGAAATGAAGCTGGTAAGGCGTGTAATTCAAATTTAAGAGCTGATAATAAACCTCTGATAATGTTCAATTCAGGTGCTAAAGGAGCGTTGATCAACATCGCACAAATGGTTGCTCTAGTCGGTCAACAAAACGTTTCGGGTCAGAGGATAGAGAACGGTTTTATAGGTCGTACACTTCCACATTTTGATATAGGTTGTATGGATGCTAAGAGTCGTGGTTTTGTAGCTAATTCGTTTTTTTCCGGGCTTGGTCCTGAGGAATTCTTTTTCCATACAATGTCAGGTCGTGAGGGGCTCATCGACACTGCCGTGAAGACTAGTGAAACTGGTTATATGCAACGTCGTTTGATGAAGGCGCTAGAAGTATTATCGGTATGTTATGACCATACGGTACGTACAACAGATGGTCATGTTGTCCAGTTCCTTTATGGTGACGATGGTCTGGGCGGTGCTTCTTTGCACATGGACACTGGCGCACTTGACGAGACGCTTAGACATATCCGCAGTATCACACCACACATATCACAGTCCTGCGAGAGTTATGTAGGTAAACTTGAAATCTTGCCTATGGATGTAGCCCAAAGCGGTATGGAGATAGTACAAGAGATTTTAGATGACCAATCGCTTTTGAAACTTCTGCCCAGACAACTACAGAAGAAGCTGGATACATTCCAGCATTGGGAGCATACCTCGATAACTGTTCGTCGTGTGGTTGATGACGCGATATCGGAACGCGTGCTTAACAGTTTGAAAGCTTTTGTTGCAGTGTACAAGAGGCTGGGTGTACTGGAGCGAAATCTACCACTGTTCCCGGATGAGATTATAAGTTGGGCAGAGTTCCTCACCGTACTTATGAAGGAAGTATTGCCCACAGCGCTACAAGACCATTTTGAACTGTCACATGAGGGCTCTGATGATATAGAGTTGCGCCAGAGGCACGACTACAATTCATCCATAGTGTCAACATTGAAAAAATGGACCAGTGGGATGGATATGCAAGTTAGTTATGACGAGCTTTGCAAAATGTTCTATACTAGTGGCAAGACTGCTGTGCAGTATCGTCTTGATATGATAAAATGCCAGCATCGTATATCTGTGCGTCAGATATTTGAATTTGTACGGTGTTGCTGGAAAGATTATCAGCGTGCTATTTGCGTACCCGGGGAAGCTATAGGAGCCCTTGGTGCACAATCTATCGGTGAACCCGGCACTCAGATGACCTTGAAAACCTTCCACTTTGCCGGTGTAGCTTCTATGAACGTAACACTTGGTGTTCCCAGGATTAAGGAGATCATCAATGCATCTAGTGTCATCCAGACGCCAATTATGGAGGTACCTTTGGTGAACAATAAGGATTTCACTAATGCGTTAATGGTTAAGAGCCGTATTGAAAAAACAACCTTGGGGCAAGTTTGCAGTAACATAAAGGAGATCTTCGGTCCAACGGGGGCGTTTTTGAAGATAACGCTGAACTCTAATTTGATCGAGAAACTGCTGTTACCCATCGATGCCGAAAAGGTTCGTGATATTATTATGGAGAACAGTGTGATTAACAAATTTAAATTAGGGAAGCAGTGTGTCCAGGTTGTTGGCAAATGGCAATTGACAATTGAACTTGCTGCTAACCAGCAGCAATTATTCCAGCAGCATGCGTTAATTGTCACTTTATTACAGATTATGGTTGCTGGTGGTAGGAGTATCAAGCGTGCTGTCATTAAGAAAGAGACGGATTCTGATGGTTTCCGCTACCAATTGGCGGTTGAGGGGTATGGTTTGCAGGAGGTAATCGGTGCTGCGGGTGTTGCTTCTACCGGTGTCAAGAGTAACCACGTTTTAGAGGTTGCTAGGGTACTAGGTATAGAGGCAGCCCGTAGCGTGATAATTAGTGAGATCCAGAAATGTATGGATGCTTACTCTATAGATATAGATCAGCGTTATATGAAGCTATTAGGTGATGTTATGACATTCCGTGGCGAGGTGATTGGTATAAACCGTTTCGGTATCCAGAAGATGCGTTCTTCAACATTGATGCTCGCATCTTTTGAAGAGACTAATGAACACCTCTTTGAGGCCGCAGTCCATAGGCTGCATGACCCTATCAAAGGGGTTAGTGAGTGTATCATCATGGGTAAACAGGTACCACTAGGTACCGGCGCCTTTGACGTCCTCCTGGCAAAAGACTGCGTGGCCGCCTGAACCGGCTGTTGATACACATCATCGATGGCTGAACAGCTTATGGTTACCTAACAGAATGTAAAGGTTGAATCTTAACTCAACTAATGTTATTTGTTATTTTATACGATATTCATGATATTGAGCTACCGGTAGCTGCCAGTTTACAAATTTCACACCCGCAAACAACTCTTGTTGTGAATATATACGAACAGATAGTTGCAATATCATGTATAGGACTTGCCAAATGAGCTTGTTAGAGATGTTAGTAATGGAGTGTGTGTGTACCCCACCATGTCTTTAATGTCTGGACATGCAAGTTTGAACCAACAAAACGGCCTCTATCGGTTCTTACAGTAACTATATAGATGGGATCACGATTAAAACGCGTTAGATAGGACTTTATGGGCATAAGTTATCTCGATGGATGGTGTCTAGTTCTTGTATCTATGATCTGAACAAAATTATATAATTCATCTAAATATAAGACGGGAATAATAATGTGTAGCATTTAACAGTTGATCTGGCGGTGTACGAAGTTGTGTACAGCAGCCATCCGGGACCAATATTGCGAGAGATCATTGGAATTAACCCCATGTGTCTGACGGTCTCCGAGAATAGGGAAGAGAACGATTCTGAGTCACGACTACAGAATCAACTACCATCGTGTAACTGCACTTATATAGGCGGTAACACGATTGGGCACAAGCCTTTTACATCTCACCGAAAATATTTCATAGCTCACTCTCAACTAAATTATGTCACGTTCTAGGTCGTATCAAGGTGCTCTTATGACGACTACGTCCATCGCAGTGTTATTTGCAGCGCTGTTAAGTGAAGATTGTGGAGTTTCAGGGTTCTACTTTAGGTATTTTGTACACTTGGATGATGACCCTGGCGGTACCGATGTTGCGAGGCGAAAAACACCCGCAAATGAGAAAGACCCGGACCTTCCCCATGGCAGTGTATCACTAGTGGAATCTGCTGAACTCCTTATAAATAATCTATTTGTCTGGTTTAGTAATTTCAAAAGAGTTGATGAAAATGGAAAGCCACTCAAACCTACGGACCCACCAAGATCGTATAAGGTATTCAAATTCATAGATACCACAGATGTTAAATATGGACGTGGAATCAACATACTAAACATCTCATTCATCAGTATAGCATGCATATTAATGATATATATCCTTGCCAAGGCTGAACCGCATAGTGGCTCCGGTGCTGCAGCTGCAGCCAAATAATAATCTTAAAGGATAAACTAGTTTATAAATAAACGGATCAACAACCTATGCTATATTCGATTTTAATCTGTGGATGATTGTTAAAGTTTCGGATTTAGTCTATATTTATAATCATGGAATATCTCTTAGAGGCCTGTTTCAATATATACCTTTTGTCGAGTCCCGAGGTATATCATTCTGTGGTGGCTGAGAGTAACGTTGGTCAATCTGTGCGCGTGAGTAAGACCGCAAGCAAGCTCGAATATTGGCAAAGGACCATCTTCGTTTGACGCACAAACTATTCTGAGCTTGTCATTTAAATGACCTGTCGCTTTGTTGTTAGTATGATCTATTGTCATAGTACAACGTTTGTAGTTGTCAAATGCGGTCACGTAACCAAAGGATAACTGTTTATCCACGTGACGCGCATTTGGACGAACCTTATGTAAAGTATCGCAAACATACAACACAGTCTCATATATTTATCACTAGAGGACTTCATACACAGGTTCTACCCATGTCGGAAATCATGTACACTATGACAATAGTTCGAAGCCGTAAAGCTACCAACATATGAATTTTGTTTAATCCTCTTTATCTGTAGTTTACATATTTAACACTATTTCACTATAGCGACAATTAATTAGTCTGTTTTCTTTGGCTCCGTGACGTCACTCAACGGCAGCTTTCTAGTAGCTAGATTGAATACTAAGCTAAAAAGTAGCCCTATGATAACGCCAACGGCCGCCATCACGTTAAATGCCATTGTGTTATCGGGTAGAATTATGTGTGAAAAGAATGGGCCCGTGTAGTGTATTTTGCCCTTCAAATTTGTTAAGTTATCAAAAGTAGGATGCGAACTCTCAATAAGCATACCTGAATGGATCAATTGCCCTCGATGCATGGAGTAATCGATCTCCTCAAACGTCAGTTTATTCTTATGCAAGTCGACACGACACTCTAGCCGTGAATTCGAAGGCAACTTAACAGAAAATCCAAAACCTATCCAATATTCAGTGTGATCATATACCATCAGCGGCGCAGCAAGGTCTTCATCCAAGTCGATATTTATATCTCTAGTCGTTGTTTGCGAGCTGACATATTCCAAAAGACGTTCACGGTGAACTAAACGCTTGAAACAGTCGCTACCAACACAGGAATATGTGACAATACGTGATTGGTCTACTCCATCCGAAGTGTCTTCGTGCGATATCGTGAAAATAAGAGTAGATATTTGAGGAAGCATCCAATATGGTAACGGCTGAACCAATTTGACATACTTATCTGAATTCTCCGGGTTATCGATCAACACAGAAAGTGACGACTCTACACGCCTCTGCACTGAAAGGCTACTGCTTTCCAGTTCTGATACTCGGAAACTCAACCTTGGGGTGCAAGGGTATGCTATATTATCTCCAGATAATGCAAACAACTTCATAAAAGCACTTTCTATAAGGGAATGACTTTCCAGATCGAGAAAATCGAATACTAGACGATCATTTCCTTCGAAAGAACCGCGAAGTTGTTCCGGTACTATAAATTCGACAGTACTTGTTGTGGCATCCAGCAATTTTTTAGGAACCTTGCGTTCACGATAGATACTCCATATACCTTTTTTAAGCCAGTTGCGATTTACAACTAACTGGAACTGAGCCGTAAACTTAAGTTTTGATGCCTCCATAAACATACGCGACCTAACGCCCTTATAAGGTGAACGTGACCATACACGTTCGTCGTTTATCAGTGACAACAAACCAGCTTGAGCTAATGACGGCATCATAACACGCCATTTGTAAAGGTTATCAACACAAAATATATCTTCAGAATACGATGCCGCAAGGCTCCTCTCCTTTGGCTGGGAAGGTGTTGGCTCCTCCAACGTAGCAATACGGTTCACATCAAAAACAAAGACGTCACGTGATGCGAGATAGTGAAATTGTGACCCTGTGATACCCCAGAGGCTTGTTGCAAGCGTCTCAAAAAAGTCGTAGGCCTCAAGCTGTGTATACTTAGGTAACCATGTTGCCCATAGACTCTCGCCATGATTGAAAATATCAAAATTAGAACATCCCCAAGTATCATGCCAATCGCCCATATGTTGTGTAGCCTCGAATTTCTCTACATGTGTTTTCCAAAAAAGTTTAGCAAGATCTGGAGCCATCACGTCCATCATTATACCAGGGTATGCCATATGCTCTTCAGAACGCACATGCCGTGGAGTGATGATATCAACATCCAATACGAATAAGAAGCTGCCATCTTGTAACGGCTGTAACGTTAACTTCTCATTTACAGTATCAGATTCATAACACTGACACTTGGCTAAAATCAATAACCATGCCAGCAAAAATTGCAACTTAGACATCGCATAGCCTTAAAATATATCATATCCACAAATTATTGAGAATTGTCATAAGTTTGGGTGATGTGTAGGGAAGATATGGCGTATAGCAGCGTCTATGTGGACGCGAATACCCGTGTGGAATATGGCGGTATATAGATAATATTCTTCATAGATATCCTAAAAAATGAAATAGAATATTATAACAGATAGTTAAGCCATGCGATGGTTTCCACTCTGCTTTAGAATAAGCCTTGTCTATTGGTTGTTATCGGCGGTAGAAGGCTACAAGATACGTTTTGGTAGAGAACGGAGTCGTATCCTTAAATTGAGGAAACGCAAAAGTGCCTTTGTAGATCGTCTAAATTTAATAACTAAGACAAGAGGAATAGGCGTATTCACACTTCAAGCTACTGCAGAAGATAATCAACCAAACACACAAACACAAACGCAATCTTCTACAACAGAATCCTTTGAAGAATTTTTACCCAAAAAGAGTAGGTTATGAATCAACAATGTCTAGTATTATTGAAAAAAGCCAGTAGATCAGGCTCACTTACATCGATTCCATGTCAATGTCTATTCCATTAACATATCATAGTACAGAGAAAAAGCGTCAACCGAAAAATCCGGTGGTAGAACAGGATCTCGAACGTTTTGAGCCACTATTTAGGAACATTCCTGCTTTAAGATATGTAAAGAAAGAGGTTACACGTGACGAAAGACCCGGAGCACTCAACCCTCTAGGGTATGCAGCACATTACGTACCGGATGGTGATTGGCAATTCCATCCTAGTTTAATAAGGGTTCGTGGGAAGTATTTTTCCAAGTTATATGAAAAGGAGCTAAGTGATCCTTTTAAAATGCACGAATATGACACGGGATCTTCTCAAGTACAGATTGCAGCATTAACCGCAAAATTGGATTATCTGTCATTACATTTCAAAAATAATAGGAAGGATATCCAAGCTAGGTTACAAATTATTAAACTTGGGAATCGAAGACGAAGGCTTTTGGGATACCTATACAGAACAAACAGACCAGCATTCGATCTGTTGATGAAAACATTCAACATCGATTTTGAAGACGCACCATTCTCATGTAAAAAACTTTGGTCAAAGTATGTACATATGCATCATAGAAAAACAAAGAGGTACACTTCTGCTAAGGAACAACGTTTAGCAACCAAACAACGGATTATATCCACAGCCAACGAAGAAGTGTTCTGATATTCTCAAAACCATCAATACATACTTACCAATAAATTGGTGACATTGTCAATAAACATTGGAAGAAAATGAATTGGTTCAAATGGTTCGCCATACACGCCCTATTGGCAGGCATATGCGCTGATGGAATAAGAACAGCAACAAAACTGGGATGGAGATTGCCGCTATGTACCGTGGTATCACCTCAAAAGAGCCGGACAGAGGAAAATGTAGTACAAAATAGCACCTTCCTAATGCTACCAGAGAAACCCAGTCGAATAGATCAAATTACAAATCGTAAACTGCAAATTGGTGATCATTCATGTAGTTACATCGAGAGCGGGAATTTTGACTACGATGCTGTTAATGAGGGGGCCAAGACAAACCAGGGTAATATAATCCATGCTATTCGTAATGACTATAAAATTGGACATAGCGAGTTAACAAGAGAAACTGTGTTCGACAAAAGAAAGAATCATAGCGATCTTGTTGAATTGGCAAAAAAGGTACTTCAGTCAGATGGCGTAATTGTACCTGTTGAATACGAACTGCTTATCTCCAAAGGCAAACAAGCTTATCCGTTACAACTACTAGACGTAGTCTCATTTATACTTCGGGAAATTGGTGACACCAGGTTCAATGTCCATTTCATTGTATATAATAAAGATGAAGTACGGTATAATGATGAATTCTACCGTAGACAGGAGAAGGAGATCGAAGAGGTGTTGATTAAAATGTTCAAAAAGGATACAGATTTTATAGATGTAAGTGTTACTTTTACATCAAAATCTGTACCTTACGAATATATACCAGACGCCTCTAAATGGATTGCCAACCGAATAGCACTGCGACTAGATTGCCCAAAGGAACTGCAACAGGAATCTATAAAGAAGACTCATGCTGTTAAGAAATTAACAACACTACAACATTATATGAAAACATCTGCCAACGATGTTGGAAGTAATCTCAAGGGACTGGACTTTGCAAGGGATCCAGTACAGGTAAACCAGCTGATCAATATCGCGAATGCGGTAGAAACGAAGTAAGCTTAAAACTCTAGATTTATACATCATTTTGTAGGCTAAACAAATGGATGCAGGACAATGCTATCGCTCTAACAGATATTACCAAAGATTTTAAATCGCATGTTGACTTGATGATAGACACCATTCTACATGAGTTTGATTCGCATGTCGCTGTCATATCTAAAGGAAACAACGTTTATAGCAAGAAAATACGGCAAAATATGGTTGAATCTATTCAGGGGAAGTTGATGATCATGATGGATAGTGTAGTTTTGAAATTACAAGATAAGACGATCCAAGAATTTCAAAATGAACTTCAGACACTACCCGTTGACGATGATCTAGATTTAAATCTACAAGCTGCTATTGATAAATATGACAGACAGTACTGTGCGCTAGTTGATAAGTGCACATTTAACAACCTAAAGGGCAACCATCTGTATGAGTTGAAGGCACAAATGCATCGAAGGGACATGATCGAGAATATGAAGGATGTGGCAAACCATGTTTTGGAATATGCTATTATTAAAGGTCTGTTTCGTGCAAAGTTCTCTATAGTGGATGGTATACCATATATACCGTCCAACTGCGTGACTCGGTTCATCACCAAATGGATATCTAGGCTAAAGATTCCGTTGCATATAACACTAAGTTATCTCAGTCCTACAGCGTTTGGGTTTTCCAACTTATTCAGGGGCCGGATTCCACTAAAGCCTGGGTTACTACGGTACTTCACAGGTGATAAAGAGCACAAGACCTTCTCTGACAACGAGGAGACCCGTATGCAAGCCAAATCTATGGTTTATGACGGGGATTAACTTTGGTTAAATCTAATAACATAGCATATAGTACCGTGTATTACACACAATTTTTCAAAATGCGGTACTTGTATATCGTCATGACATACCTTATGTAGTATAATAACCATAGTTCTATCAACCACTATGAATATTTAAATCACTTGATAATCCGAGGCACCTGTGTATACACTAGGTGGGTATAGGTTTCCCCTACCACAATGGAGCGATGGGCCCACCGACCAATACAATTCACTTACCATGATTACTGTATAATTTAATTATAATGGGTTGGCACTTGCAGAGGTATATAGCGAAGGCGGGTAGAGCAGTGAACCCGGTGGTATGGCACCGTGCGTGGAAGCAGAGCGAAGGCAAGCAATTCAACGACGTTGCGTCGAAGCTGGCCCGTGATTTCAACAACGAAGTCGCTCAAGTAGCACGGGTATCGCAATACAGGTATTGGTGGTGGGCCAACCCTCTAGGAGCTGGACTTGTATGTTACGGCATATACAAATTCTGGTATATGTCATACATGGCACACAAGCAACGAACAGGTAAGCAATTATGACATTAGATACATACTGCGTAGTAGCACAAGTTGTAGCTGGAGCATATGGACAAGGTGGACAATGGCTTAACCCAGTACCAAAGTAAAAACAATATCATATCATGACGGATGAACTATGTGTTTCAATAGGTTTAGGTCTATTTCGTTGGATAATTGATTTACAACTGTAACTGCACGCCGACTAGATCATGACGTGGTATTATTAACTTGCGGATTGAAGCGCTGCTTCTTAAATCCAGAAACTGCCAAATTACGCATACGGTTTAACGCCGCAGCTACCTCGAAAATTCGAGGCATGGAACAATCACCCTGTGGGTAATGATGTTTAATAGCAAATACATACCACTGGAAAAGGTCGAAATCCGTTAATGTCATCTAATCCATTATAGCCGACAGCTGAAAGTAGTTAAACAAAGACAAAGAAACTTACCAATGTCAGCGCTGCTCCACCTGCAGTAGAATAGCTCCAATAGTTCACGTAGGGTCCTGAATTGTAGTTTAAGCACGTATTATACGCAACCTACTTATTGTGGACAGCAGTACGATTCTCACGGAAAAGTGTCTCTAGTTGGATGAGAATGTTAGTAATCGCACTTGTTTGACCAGGTTCAACCAGCTGTTCGACAAGACTCAAGTCAATATTGTCGGTGCCATATTGTATAGAACCCATTCCACGTTGGCGCACTTTTTGTTGTGGGCGCTTAAACGTATCTGCGAGCAGGGTCACTTGTCCATTGTACCACATACCTGGAGAAACTACTCGATTGTTCACTGAAAGTGTTTCGAAAAGGTCGTTACCAGCAACCGCTGCTCGAATAGGCTAAAGAGTTTGAGAAGTAGGGAATAAACAACTTACCTCAGTCAAATCGACCTGGTGATTGCGTACCACCTCTCGAGCCGCATCAGTTTTGTCATAACACTTGTACTGGTTCATCTGAATTACCGTGTCAGCCTGGTCCATGAAGAGCCCGCATGACCCTGATACCAGGATAGTGGATACACCCAATTTCTTGTAAAATGCTTGTACAAGTAACAGAAATGTAGTTATAGGCTCCGAACCCGTAGATACCAATGCGTCCATCATATGGTCTCGGTACATGAAGTTTGTGGCAGATATATCCTCATCGATAAGGAGGAGATCAGAACCCATTTCTATAGACTCCATTATCACAGCTGCCTGGGATGTAGACCCTGATGCATCAGATGTACTAAACGAAGTACAATCTTTGCCACTAGGCAGCTTCCCAATGAACGTTGAAATATCAACGCTGCTAACGCTGCGACCATCTTCTGCCCGTACCTTTACCGCATTTGGAGATGTCACAACAAATTCACGACCATCACCTGGTATCTTGTTGTAACACCCAGCCTAATTACAACATGACAACTAAGTGCACAGGATAATCTACCTGCAGTGCCTCGAGTAACGTAGTTTTACCGTGGTAACCACCTCCAACTATTAAACTTACACCACGTTGCAATCCCATACCACTGATACGACCACCGTTGGGTAGAGTTACAGATACACACAGACTATCTGGAGATTCGAATGGTTGTACCTCGCTTCCCAGAAGGGGTTTATCACTAACACCACTCTCTCTTGGCAAAATAGCTCCATCCGCAACAAAGGCAACCAAGCCTAGATTATCCAGCTGTGATCGTAAGACTACATGAATTTATATATCGTGATCAATATAACTCACATTCCTGATCTTCTACACTATGGATATGAGCATAGAACGACTTTTGGTTATACGATGTGAAATCCATGGCTGTACGTATTAGCTCAGGCAAGATTTCAGTGAACATTTGTGCAGCAGCCCGACCGTTAATCCGTCTACCATGACTTGGCATATGTGCGAATAGTCTCACTTCTAGATGTTCGTCTGTCAGAACCACAGTTTTACGTGGAAGGACGTATTGACTTGGCGCGGTTACCATGAAATTACTGCGATTCAATCCGTACCTAGCCTGCTTATCTAAACGTTGTAATTCCGCACATATCTTCCGTGTTATAGCATCACACGCAGCTACATTACGCAGCTTGGGAACAATGACATCCGATGGAAAACTACCAAACTATCTCAAGAAACTGCATAGTACTTACTTGTGTATCGATTTTGGCATGCGTATACGACAGTTGGATGGTGGTGCGAAGGGATCAGATTGGATGCTGAAAAGTAATATATAGATTTGGTAATGACCTACCGATCAAAAACGATGGTAACGGGGATGTCCCTTAAAGTCCATTGTCCTTCTAGTGATTTATATGATCCGTAAGGCCCACCTGCAACAATTGACCATGTTTACGACCCTTACATACCGTCTTTCCCTCTAAGGTATGATCCAAGGTTACCGGTGTGATTTCGCATCTCTTCAGGTGGCCATTGTGCTACTTCATCATCCTCGAAATATGTTTCAGCGAATTTGTACTCTGGATTGCAACCCCCAACATCTTCATTGCCTGGTACGTTCCCAAAGTTATGCTTGCTCTCACGTTCAAGGCGACGACCCCAACGCCGAGAAGCATTAGGACCCAGACCCTTCTTACGATCCATCGCGTAATCTGCCAGAGAAAACAATCGATTGCTATCACATCGGGGTTCTGTGTCACTTATACCACTATTAGTACGAACGTGCACAAATCCAGGTGTTGACCATCTATTGAACAACGTTCTATATTTGGTATTACCAACGTTGGCAGCTATAGTTTGTCCAGCGTACCCCGTGCACAATAATATGATAAACCGCCAAAAAGAGTACAGATATGTTCGTGACATATAGTATTTGGTTCTTAACTACTATGTCCAATCACATAACCTCGGGTATAAGTTGTTATATTGTAACATATGGAATCCATTAAACATATATGCCAACATTCATAATAGCTATATAGCTTTATTAAATAACCACAGTGGTGTTTAGATAGGCTATTGATTGGGTCTAAATAAGTATATGGGTTGGACCGAACTCGTCGGTATCTATGAACAGGTGTTCGACACCATTAATCTATATGGAATTAAAACGACCTAGAGTTACACATGTGATTTAAATATCATTATATACCCTTTGTTATATCACGTGGTATAGTGGAAGGCTATGAGAAGGCTGAACCTAGCTAGACGCCAATACACATTCCATCAAGTGCGAATAAAGGTTGATTGGTAGATTAATTGTGATACAAGATTTAGTTGCTAAATATACGAAATGATGAGTCAATGATATTCAAGCGTTATGTAGAGAGTATATCGTAAGCCCTGCTGTAGAAGGCTCATCACGGGTGCAGTGCCATGCGATCCTAATGCAAAACACCACGGAATAATCGGTTTAACAAACAGATTTATGGATCCAACGTAATGATAGTCATTGTTGTTCCCATAAAACCTCGTCTGTAAAGTAAATAGCAAGATATTACACAGCGGCCTTGCGCAGAATAGATACATTGGAAAGGAAGAGTACATTAGTATTGGCAACTAGCAAAGATCAAGAAGTCAATATGGCGGAAGTGAAGAAAAAGGAAAACGAAGAATGTAATAAGGATGGAGAGAAGGGAGCACAGATGTCACAAACGAATGCTAAAAAGGCATCCGACGTGACTGCCTATGTAGCTGCTATGGTCGCATTGTGCCTATATGTGCCTGACCAAATCACATCAACAGCATCCAAGCATCTGACAGTATCGCTAGATATACCAGCAAAAAATACCGGTATCTATATGACAAAGCTTTACGCCACAAAAACACTGGTCAACTTCACAGGATCATTACTCATGTTGATCGTGAATATGTTTACGCCAGCGAACAGATGGATCAGCTCAATATCATTTTTGGTATTGGCTATAACAAGGATTATACTCTTGGCGGTATACTTTCTCCCTCAGTCTGCCATATACTTCTATTTCGTATTCATTGTTCAGGCTTTTATAAGAGGACTGTTTGAAAATAACTTCTACCCGGCTGCAGCAGAACACATGAGTGTAATATCACTATGTTACAAAGGATCGAGAGTCTTCGTTTGGACGGCGCAGGTTATTATGGATATTGTAATAAAGGATAAAGCTACATGGATGATTTCATTCCACCTTGTACTAATGACAATCGCGACTATCGCTGGTATGATAGGATGGTTTTGGTGTATATTTGTTTTGTCTTTACAGAACGAGGTTTCAACGGCTGACAGCTCAAGTTCGCAAAGTAGTGGTAGTGCTAGTACCTCTGGATCTAACACGGCTGCCAGAGATGAAACAATGTGGGCGGTAATGAAACGTGTATATTCACCGTTCCTAATGTGTATGTTTGGTTGGCCACAAAAGAATTTCTATAGTCCTGGTATTGTACCCTACGCTTTGGTAGATCGGAGCCTATGCCATCCCATCAATATCATACTCATGTTCTTCAGCTTCTGTGTAACATTCACCATACATATTATCAAGACAAAATGTGTTAGTATCAGTAATCCCTGGGGAGCACCACCTACAGGATGGCATCTTGCATGGTTGTTTATGATACCAACACTCTGTTGTGTGCCCGTAATATATTCGGCTATGCACTATCCGCTTGGAGTAATACACAAAGCACTGCACAACAACCGAGTAACAGTCACAACTCTCGCCGTTATCCTTGTTGGCAGCACTACAGTACTAGACAACATGGGTTATATCGGAGTATCGGCTTGTTCCAAGGACAAATGCGGTAAACGTAGCAAAAGCGCGATGAAAATTATAGCTATGACATCTTTCACCGCACAATTCATAACATCGTTCACCTACAGGATGAGTACCGGGTACTTAATCTTCTGGAGGCAGCACGTAGATGAACTGTCTAACAGGGCTCCTACGTCAAAAATGTATTGGTTCAATCGATTAATGTTCTGGGCGGTAAATTCAATCAAGCATGCGGGTTATGATTTTGTTAATGAATTTAAAGGAAACATCAGGGATGTAGTAGTTCATGATGTAGACAATGTCTTAACCAGCGGCTGAGAACATAAGTGAAAGATGCCATATATTTGTCAAAAAACTCTGTATTTTACTAACATTTTTTACAAAAGTGCCACATTGCAGATGCGCTGTCAGCTCTTAAAGTCCAATTTTATTCGTTGTCGTCAAATTTTCAATTGTTTTCTTTGGATAAATTTTCATTGTTTTAATTGAGCCGCTTAGACATTCCTGCGATACTCTTTATATATCTTTGAAATGAGAAATGGAGATTAACGATTCAGTTTAAAACGCAAAAATCAACGAAAATGCGATCCAAGACGCCATCGGTCTCGAAACGGGGATTGATACTAGCTAGAAATCACACAGTTAGGAATGGATTTTGTTGGAAGATTTGTAAATACCCAACTTCTTACAGGGATATATTCGAGATGGCATTTTTAATTACCCCGAAATAAATGGTAGCATATAGTACCGTGTATTACACACAATTTTTCAAAATGCGGTACTTGTATATCGTCATGACATACCTTATGTAGTATAATAACCATAGTTCAGCGTAGTAGCACAAGTTGTAGCTGGAGCATATGGACAAGGTGGACAATGGCTTAACCCAGTACCAAAGTAAAAACAATATCATATCATGACGGATGATCACATTGACTCTGAGGAGGAGCTACTCCTGCAGCAGGCCCTTAATGACATATCATTCTGTAACTTCAGGGGTCAAGAGGGCCAGAGACTTTGCGGAGTCGAAGTCAGAGTAGTTGGGCATGACTGCAAGTTTTGTAAGAAGCGGTTCTGCATACGACACCTTTTGCCAGAAGTACATGGCTGCAACCCCAAACCTCCTAAACTCAACAAACATGGCAGAACTAAGAAAAAGCATTAAAATTGTTATAAAATTCTATACCGCGACTTTTAGCACTACGGCGACGATACTTCACGCCGCCTATACTTTCTATTCCCAATCTGTCGATGGTGTTACGTGTCGTGTTTTCATCGCGATCAACATGGGACACGGTATCCGAGGTGGACTCGACCCGTGATATGCTATTGCGTGGTTTATTGTGAGATCCCTCTTCTCCACTAACTACCAGGCTCTGCCTTTTGCCGAAGCTGCGCTTGCGAGATAGTAGGCGATTCACAGGTCGATGCGATATATATGCACGGTAGAGTTCCGATGCAAGTGCTTGATTTCCAGGTTCCACAAAGTTAGTTATTAGCGAAGGCTTCCCTTTCACACGATGCACAAAGGTAGCTGCATCCCGTGGGAAACTAAAATTGATAATATGATCAGCCGGGATATTTATACCACGAGTAATTAGGTCAGTGCATACCAATATCGCGATCTCTTCCGAGCGATACGTATCCAACATCGCCAAACGGGTTGCCAGACTAGAACGGCTATGAAACGATAGCACCGGCCAATCTCTATCACGAAGCAGAGTACTAACCTCACGCACCCCCGCCAAATTGTCTACGAATATCATAGTTTTGGGAAATGGATTATCGATGAGGGTCTCCATAAGCTGCCTTAACTTAGACTCGAATGCACTTTCCACCGATAGAAAACGCATCTTACATGATGCAAGATAATGGTTCAACGATGTTGAAACAACCGAGCTTGTTGTGAACCGTTCATACAACATAGACCCTGCCGTTTGCATCCCACCGTAATTCAACGTAGATGCTACATGAATGAACTGACACGGTGGTAGAGCTCTAGGTCGTGGTCTCCTACGTTGTAGCAAAGGATGATACGTACGTGGTCTAGGACGAAGCATCGAACATAATTCCATCATGGCGCTGCGACTAGCGTTGTTCTCAAAAAGAGTGTCGGCCTCATCGAACACGACGCAAGCTGGAACCACACCCTGCCGATGAGAGGACAGTAGATCATTTAGGAACATTTTCGGCGTAGTAACAACAATGTCACAGCTCCCGTACCTGAAAAAAGATATGACAACCACAAAAATAACATACTGGATAACTGGGTGAGTCATCACTGGGCGCCTCATGAACTCGATGCTACGGGGCAGTAAACCGTCCACCGCATATGTTTCTGGAGGGACTGACAAAGCCGCGGCAGTTCGCACACGCATTACTCTGCCATGTTGAGGACCCATATTCACGGGCACAGTTTCCACAGTGCTCTCTGAAACATTGACTGTGGGAATCCTTTGGACCATCTCCCGTTCGTCCTCCAGGCTCAGGTGGATCTTCTGTGGCCCAGACGCCAAATAATGTAGCGTATGTGGTGTTGGGTAAAACGGTTGATCGTCGTATACCATACTCGGATTAGGACTCTCGGCATCCGTGGTTGGAGGGGGTATTCGATGTACCTGCGCCAGCGTCTGTACTGAGAGCCTCCCTAAGGGGTCGATGGCTGATATCTCCGATATAACTTGGGATACCAGATCCTTATTAGGCACTACTATTACGCAGCATCTTACAGATCCGAGTGGATTGGTGAGCAATGCTCTAAATATTGAATTCCGAGAGCGGCGTCCCCAAAGGCTTCGTGAAATCAATGGTAACCCTTTAGATAGACGTTTAAGATGTCTAGGGTCAACTTTATACAAAGTGTCCACTAGTTTCTCTGTGGTACTATGCGATTCCAGTGCCTTAGTCGCTGACGATGCAAGTTCGGCAGAGTCTTGACACAAGTCAGACATCGACCGCGGTAGCAGGGCATGTGGAACACGCCTACTGTAACCCAATGCATTACGCCGGATGGTATCCTCGCCCCTTCGAGACGCTAAATCACCACTACGCAACTGAAGATCTTCCAGCAGATCATGGATGTTGTAAATGTTATTAACGATCGGTAGCAGATAGGCAAGTGTCTTTCCTGAGCCTGCGGGTTGTTGAACTATAATTAATATATTATAGCTTACCTATAGGGGCATGGATAGTCACGTCTTTACCACTCAGTATCGACATAAATGACGATTCTTGTACGTCATTCAATTGCGATATACCACGCGATCTCAACAGGGCGAGCCTTAGCAATGGGTGTAGCTTCACCCGTGATCTGGGCTCAGCCACCCTTATTGTCACTTCATTAGTTTCCTTTACCGAGTCACGGTTAACAGCGGACCCTAAAGCTGCTCGCCGCCGCCTAAAACCCTCGATTAGTGGTCGGCTGCCAAAGCTGGTAGAAGAAAGTCGACCATAGACTGACAATGGAACCCTAGGGGCCATCTATATGGTTATCATTAACTTACTAAATATCCATGATCATAATATTGTTCATTTTGGCATTGCTGTGCATACACTCCAAGGCATGGAAGGCAGTTAGTGGACCATAACAAGATAAAAACCCTCACACATTACTCTGTAACTCCATATATAAGCAATTTAATGGAAACTCTTAAAAATGGTTTGGTGAAAACCGCAAAGGTGGTGACTGAAACACCGCTCTTGACATAGACAACCAGATTACAATCGTGTCGGATAGCATTCAATGGACGAATGAATAGCGGAATGCAACCTTTCCATTATATCTGTAAAGCCTGTAAAAAGAGCATAACACATAGGTTTGCGGTCAACCTTGTCGTGGAGAAGGTGTTACAAAATACAGATGGAGGGACCGGTACAACCTCCAAGGAAATAGTTGACGGTCAAAAAAAGGTCGAAAATGATCAACAAAAAGAGCTTCAGAGCACTAGGCTACATCAGCAGCTTTACGGACCAGCGACTACTTGGCTGGGCAAGCAGCGTGAATCGGCATTAAACAACAATTTCAAGAGGATGACAAGCATGTTGAACAGGGGCGGATTACAGTGCCCATACTGTAAAGCCCGGGGTTCATGGCTGTGGAACTGCTGCGCAGGAGAGCGGTGACTTTCCACCCCTTTTCCACGATGTAGACACGGAAGAAGGAAAACTATACACACTTCAAACTTCTAAACGTTCACGATGGCGGATCTCATGCACATCGTTGACAAGCTCCGTGAGGCTGCCGTGCAGGCGAAACGTGAATGTAACGGCCAAATAGAACAGACCCTCACCAGAATGTCCAAGTGAGTGATATCAATTGGCACACATAGTGAGGCAGGAAAATCAAGGATGACATAACAACCCAAAGGTTAGTGCACCCAAACACTTATCTAACATCTACAGAGATAAACAATTGCAACTACGGAAACAAATAATCGAACATGAGGAGAAGGACCACCTGACTCAGAAGAAACAGGTAACAAGTGTCAGGCAACATCTACATAAAATTTAGTTGGAAGACAACATTAAACAGTTCGAGCGTCTAAAACGTTCTCTAATAGAGCTATTGGAGACGCATAAAGCCAAACAAAAGGTGGGAAGATAAAAGTGCATTACAAAAACAAACCTGTGCGAGCTGTGTTCTGTCTTAGTATATTTCAACACTTGTAAAATGATACGTTTATCAGTGTATATCTGTATATATGTTCTGTGTAAACTATGTGGCCAATTAGGCACTTGGGCAAACCCTCAAACAATATTATTGACATTATCACAGGAATTCGATGAGAGGATAGGAAAGCTCATGGCCAAGCATAATCGAATGAAAGTCAAAAGGGGTGAGTTTTAATATTTTTTAATGGATAACTGCGTTAGATAAAGCGGCGACAACTGAAATGGCTGAACTTTGCACCAAACTAGAGAAAAAACTAGCACAGGTAAGGGCTATTGCACCGCTAGATAAGTTGCCACAGAAAATGAATCACTGCAAATGTTTAATGCTACGAGATGATGAGACGCTAGTGAAAATACATCACATGCTCACGGGTTATGACTCATAGCCATATACAGAACTGTGTTTTTAACTAATTTTTTTGACATTTTCCAATAAAACGATTAAGGAACGTTCATGGGACACAGGCACTGTTGGCAGTATTAGTTCTTTCATTGCACCCCTTCTACACTGCTATGATAAACTGAGGCAAGAATCGTTTAAATCGTGGTGATATTTACTATTTAGTATAGAGGTGTTATATCAAATTGTATCAAAGTGCTTATATGTTGGGACACTGTAACATCTGAAGTCCGGACGAACTGTGTACAGCACCATCATTAATCTATATAAATCCCTACAAAACGACTATGTTATTGCCTTGTAAAGTCAAAGAGTTGCTATGCAGGGTTAGTATAGAGCATGTATGTAACCTGAGTATGTAGACAATGGCATTAATCAACACGAGGCAATAACGACCCAAAGTTACATCTAGAATGTTATATCTGCTGTTCTGCTACATTTTATTGTGCCATGGTTCGGGAAGGTCAAATGACTCCAGGCACTACTACACATTTACCTTAGTGTAGCTACGGCGTGATTGGTGGAACTAATTGTTACGTAAATTAGTTTATAAATTACATACATAACCGCAAAACATATTCAAGCATTATTCATTGAGCACATCGGATTTTATCACGTAGAAGTCTTGCCCTGGAATGTTAACTTGACGTGATTTGTGGTTAAGTTCGATAGTAAAGTGAAAGTTCAGTTAAAAACCTGTTAAACAAACAAAATATATGGATTCAACTTGATGAAAGTCAATGTTGTTTACATAAGACGTTGAATGTGCGTCACCGCATAAGTCGTCTGCCACGGGGCGGAAGGTATATCTTTGTGGACAACGGGCTGGCAACATGGCAGAAACGAAACGTAAAGATGCGAGCGCTGTTCCTGCGGGAAAGACTAACGAAACTGAATGTGAGAATGGTGAAAAGAAGGATAAGAAAGCAGCAGGCGTGACTGCCTATGTAGCTGCTATGGTCGCATTGTGCCTATATGTGCCTGACCAAATCACATCAACAGCATCCAAGCATCTGACAGTATCGCTGTCTTCGTTTGGACGGCGCAGGTTATTATGGATATTGTAATAAAGGATAAAGCTACATGGATGATTGCATTCCACCTTGTACTAATGACAATCGCGTCTATCGCTGGTATGATAGGATGGATTTGGTCTGTATTGATAGTACCACTAAAGAAACCAGTATGTGTATCTACAAGTGCTGGAGATTCTGGAAAATCAAAAAAACCTCAACCTAGAGCAAATAGCTATGATACTACCAACAGCAAGGAAGATACAATGTGGGCGGTAATCAAACGTGTATATTCACCGTTCCTAATGTGTATGTGCGGCTGGCCGCAAAAGAATTTTTATAGTCCTGGTATTATCCCCTATGCACTTGTGGATAGGAGTTTGTGCCACCCTATAAATATCATACTAATGTTTTTCAGCTTCTGTGTCACGTTCACGGTTTACTTTGTCAAGAAGTATTCCCCGAGTATTAGTAGACCTTGGGGGAGACCACCTAAAGGATGCCACCTTGTGTGGTTATTTATGTTACCAATGCTTTGCTGTATGCCAATAGTCTATGTAGCTATGCACTATCCCCTGGGCATTTTGCACAGGGCTTTACGGAATAACCGTATAACTGTAACAATACTAGCGATAATTGTCAATGGCAGTACCACCGTGTTAGATAACATGGGTTATATCGGGGTATCGGCGTGTTCTAAAGACAGCAAGGGTAACCGTGGACCAAATGCGATGCGAGTTATCGCTATGACATCTTTCACCGCACAATTCATAACATCGTTCACCTACAGGATGAGTACCGGGTACTTGCTGGTCTGGAGGAAATATGTAGATGATATATGTAACACAGCACCCACTGAGGACATGGATTGGTTCAGTCGTTTTATATTCTGGGCCACTACTTCGAACATATATGCGGGTTATGACTTTGTTAATGAATTTAAAGGTAACATCAAGGATGTGGTTGCTCACGATGTCGAAATCGACTAAAAAATGTGATAACTGTAGTTCAGATGACTATTTTTAAAAGTCCGATAATCGCTAATTTGTTAATATATGCACATCACAAAATGTGATGGTACACACATCTATATAATTATATATATAGGAGGCATAGTTACCTGTTGCCATGTGTGTTGGGGTTGTGTATGAGCGTCCCTCCTGCGGTGGCAAAACGCTCTTCTAGTGGTACACCTTAACACTTTATAAAAATTCTAATCTGAATCATACAAAGATGAAGGTATTTCAAGGATTATTTTTTGTTATCGCCCTGGGTTTCCGGGTTTCTGCCTGGATGTTCGAAGATAAAGAGGGAAATGCCGAAGAGGAACAGATAGATGGCCTTAACCGTGAACAAGTGGATGCACGTATGGCGAAATTATTTTCTTTTATCGACGACAATAAGGATGGCGAGCTCACTATGGAAGAGTTCGAAAGGTTTAACAGCCGTAACTTGCAACGCGTACAGAATATGCAATTAGACCAGGAAATGCAAATGATTGACAAAAATAAGGATGGGTTTATAGATTTTGAAGAGATGACTATCAGTTTTCCACCTGAGGAAGGTGCACCTGAAAATTTTATGGATGGACTCAGCCGAAGGTTCAAGGTAGCAGACAAGGACTCCAACGGTAAACTTGACAAATCAGAAATGCACGCTTTACTTAACCCAGCACATGACGAGGCTATGCTTGAATTAGAAATCAGGGACATAATGCTGACCCATGACAAGAATGGTGATGGTCTTATTTCGGTCGAGGAGTATGGGTCTTCCAAAAATGAGGAAGAGCGTGAGGAAGATTATTTGGACGCCGAGTTTAAACCATTTGATTTGAATGGTGATGGTTTCTTATCTAAGCAAGAATTAATAACCGCGTTTAAAGAGGAGGCCAATGAGGGTCTTGACACCGACTTGGAGGACGTTCACGCCATCGTCGGCGAGGGCCCTGTGGACTACGATACATGGATGAAGCATGCATTGGAACTTTCCACTAGCTCCATCACCGATCACGGTGAGGTTTTGAGACACCCCGGCGATTACGATATCGACTTCGGGGAGGATGTCCGCGATCGCAAGGCACAGAACGGCAGCAGCGAGTTTGCCAACTCTGAACTATGAGGATAGCTGTACAAACCTACACTTGAATTATCTAGTTCTAATTTCTGCATAGGTGTATGCACTCATCCTTGACTATATATAGTGTCCACAAATTGTTGAATATATATAGCTTAACGCAAAAAAGTTAATCTCAGTGTGCGCGAGCAAGCCTCTGAGCGCGATCCTCTATGATCGTTTTCTTGATACCACGTTCCTTGGGTAGTGATACGTAGTTGTTAGTGCCCACACCGATGACGAATACGTTAGAGCAACGGGTAGAGAAACTGTTTCCGACCTCGTCACGTACGTGTATCAGGTCGAAGCTTCCTGGGTGTCTTTCCTTGTGTACGATTGTACCGACACGACCTTGGTTGTGTCCACCAGTGATCATGACTAGGTTTCCAACCTCGAATTTGAAGAACTCCAAGACCTTACCGGTCTCAAGGTCGATACGTAGTGAGTCTCCTGGTTTAACTTCTGGGTGTACAAAACGTATGGTACGTCCATCATGTGTCACAGCCATTCCAACTTCCTTAGGTCCCAAAAAGGTTTTGATTACCCTGCACAATTTGTAGGAGGCCTCCTCTGGTGTGATTTTGTGAGGTACAAAACGTCCCTTGGTGTCGTATAGGAGACGGAAATGTTCGTTTGTTCGTTCAAGTGATACTACATCCATGAACCCTATTGGGTATGTGATGTCAGTACGAACTTTTCCATCAATACGTACTACCTTCTGCATCACAATAAGTTTCACTTCATCGTATGTCAAAGCGTATTTGAGTCTGTTACGTAGAAGTAGCATCAAGGGTAGGCACTCTGTTGACTTGTGTGGTCCAGGTGATGGCTTCGGCGCATAACGACCGCTTAATTTATCCAACATCCAATGCGAAGGCGCATTGTTACGCTTCATATGCTTCTTTATTCCGCGACCCTACAAGACAAGTGAGTGAGAAAGATAATAGGCCGCCATGTATACACATTGGTTAATGCTGGGTGGCCACCTTATCAAGAAATTATCACAGCGGTATATGGTCATGGTCTCTTGATATGGCGGCGAAAAACCGTTATACTGTGGTGCTTGACTTACCATTTTGAACTTTCAACGGCGCTACTCAAATAACATTTGTTGGTAAGACGCCAGAGAGAAAACGGCGATAAACTAGGTGGGTAATATATTGTTGAGTGAATTCCCTTAGGTCAGCTTCGATCCTCCTCGGCTGCCTGATGGGGAGCTGTTGGGCCAATCTTGGAGGTGGCCTTTTCCCGTTTGATTGCCACAACTTAACTTTACCGGTATAATATAACACACATGTGAATATTGAATATATTATTCCTATGGTATTGCTATGTTTGAGTTTACATGGCCGGTACAGAGTGGAAGGATGGTATCGAGGCTAATCGCTTGTACCTTTGAATATATTGAACGACGACGTTAATTTATAACCGTATAGTTTCATATTGTATATGTATTATCTGCTATTAGTGCTAGGTGCGCGACGCCCACGCGACATCGGCCATCGGCACGTGTGTCCACACGGTGGAGAGTATATTAATAATCGTTGTAGGATTTAGCAATTTTACAGCATTAAAGACCGGCAATTTCCTATTGGATATGCCCACTGTGTATATATGTCGAACTGGTATATGGGTGTATAAGATCGATGACGTTGCGTAGGTGACTACAGATATCCCATTTTGTAATCTCTAGCAACTGAGTTGGACGATACTGTAATTCACTTGATAACCTCTCGTGAAATTATTGAGATAATATTTTACTTTATTGGCGCGTTAGACGCTCTCACCTGGAGATGTCATTTTAGAGCGCGCGGCTCCCTGCCGTAGCCTTATTTTGCAACAGATATAACCATTCAAATATTGTATATCTATATATAATGCGCAATGGATGACGCAGATTCTTTTGCCTCTGATGCCGAGGTCCCACCTGAGAAGATAGAGAGAATCCACAAGAACGTGCTTAATGCTGAATTAGAAAAGGAGGTCGAAAATGCATTTGAGTTGTTTGATAGTGATGGAAATGGTGAATTGAGTTTATTTGAATGCCAAGCAGCATTCCGGGCGTTAAGGCTGAATGCTAGCCGCAGCACCGTAAGTCAGCATAACTCATTGGTAATTGGCATAATGTCTCAGGTGAAGACCATGTTCGCAGAACTAAACAAGGGCGAAGATGACACTCTTACGTTGTCTGATTTCAAAACATTGGTGCTCCAGGTTATCCACAAACGTTACAATGCAGGGGAGGCTGCAAAGATATTCGCGTTACTAGAAGATGGCACTGGTAATATAAAGTAAAAATGATTCAATATAGTAACAGGCAAAATCACAATACATAGTCTGAGGGCCATCGTTGCTGAAATGGGTAAGAGCAATGGTCTGCGTCAATTGACGACACCTGCAGAAATGTCCGTTGATGATGACGAGATCAATCTAATGGTTACCGAGGCGTCTAATGGCAAAGACTATGTAACCTATGAAGAATTCAAAAAGGTACTGAAGTTGGCATGGCGTGGAGGCCCTATGGACGATTATTTTGAAGATTAGTACCTAGAGTATGTGACTCAGGTACACATGGTTCAGATATTCCACACCGATACTACCACAGTGAGTCGGTTCGTTAACGGGGTAAAAACGTGCGGTAAAATCCCGCGTTACCACCAGGGACCTATAACTAGACATGATGCGTCATGAGCCCTATTTGACCCCGAAATTGCTGAGCGATATTGGGGGCGGGGTGACGTAGTTAAGGGGTAAGGCGCAAGTAGATGAAGATACGAAATCTATCACCGTTTTCAATTGTAGAAAAACGAAAATGATTGTCGAATCAATGCACACCGAATACTTTGTACCTTATAACTATATTCATAATAATCGGCGCGCTATTTGCGACGATCATAATAAATAGCATTGGTGCATAACTGTCTGAATGCTTGTTTGTTTATTTGTACAAACAGCTTCAGCCTGCATATTAAAGTCGAAAAGGGATCGGTTAAGGAGCACACTGCCTCAAGCATATACATGCCCGTGCATTCTGTATGTGAATATACTCGCATATCACAAACAAAACTTGAAAAGTGTGTCAGAAATATTGCGACCCTTAAAGTATTTTTTTGCTGGAACAAAGTCCCATAAATATCACCTCAAGGCATCAATAAGAGGCGTCGCACTCTCGAGTGAATGTGTGAGTATACTCTGCTGTAGCATCTTGACAGCGGGTAAAACTATTTCGCTCGACACCAGCTACGTACAAGGCTGCAGCATTAAATGTTTACCCGCCAGTGGAGACCTGCACCTGGATGCAACGTCGCGCTAAGCACTGTCGCGACCACATGCTACATAAATTTGCTCTGGCGGCAATTGGAGGCTTAAGGAGACTAGGGTAGACCTCCGTCATTGCGGAAAGGTCTATGAGGTGTTAAGTGCTGTGTTACAAACCTCAAGAAACGGTTATTCTGAGGGATCAAGGATCTCCTGGCCCAGCAGCTGCCGCTATTGCATCAAGAATGCCGGCCAGGTAATTTCAAATACAACACGAGAGATATATTAACATCCATATATAAGGTATGTCTTTCCCTGATGTGCATACATTGTACTTTACGGTTCGGTCAATATAGTCGGCTGCCACTACAGGCAGCATTGCCATCATTTTGATGAGAGAATAGGTCAATACGGAGTACTCTGTACACCTAGCGCACCTATATTGGCATTATATTGGTCACCTGTCGTGTATATTGTGACTTCTGGAACCAAATACTCATGTACTGATCTCTCTTGGCATCCCTTGAGTTCACATTATCCTGTCTTCGGCACCTTTTCCATGCTTATATGTGCTGTGAATTGTATCGTTTGAATAGTGTCTAATTGATTTTCAGGTATACTACACTGATATTTCACAATGCAGCAAAAAACTACTGTGGAAACTTGCAAACCACCGTTGAAGGATGCATGTTCGGCACCTAACAGGCCTGAGGCCACAAGCCGTTCATCTACCCTTGACAGCGAATCTTTCTATAATACCTGTTTTATGGGTGATTTGTACCCGCCAGGTATGAAAAGAATTAAAAGGCTCTCGGCAGGTAGCAAACTATCAACATACTATTATATAGGCTCGGAGCTCCGTGTATGTGCTGATTGCAACAAAAAAAGCACCTCGAGGCCAGTTCTAAGAGATATTATTGATCGTCGCACTGGCGAACCCAAAGTACTTAAAATTATATCAAAATCAAGGCTACCACCGGCTCCCGATGGTCTTGCAAATTGGAGGATGCTTTGTGAGAAGCTCCTGAATTTCAAACCATCACCAAACATTATGCGCGTCGAGCAGGTGTGGGAATCAGAATCATCATTTTATATAGTTACGGAAAAGCTCGTTGGAGGAGAGCTCTTTGAGTTTCTGCTAAAGGAAAAGGTCATCCCGGAGGATATTTGCAAGTACATTATGAAGCAAATCTTCCAGGCAGTAGAGTTGCTGCATAGCAAGTCAATGTTACACCGAGATATTAAACCAGAAAACATCATGTTCCGAAACCCTACTAACTCAGCATTACCGGTGTCTGAGCGATACGAGCTTGTGCTAATTGACTTCGACACTTGCAAGATGACTGACGCGCCTAATTCGGAGAACTCCGAGATTGTTAACGGCAAAAGGAGGCTCGTAGGCACCTATGGATACTTGGCCCCTGAGATCCTCAGGGGTGATGAATACACAACCGCGTCTGACATGTGGTCGATAGGCATTGTCTTATACATCCTCATGACAGGTGTACCTCCAGTTTCCATGGACAAAATGTACGATGCGAAATCAAGTCACGCCGTACTTACAGCAGCAGAGACTAATGGTATCGATTTCAACATGCCACCGCTCATTGAATTCCCATTGGCGAGGGATTTGTGCAGGCGCCTGTTGAGTTTCGATCGTCACAAGCGTATTGCGAGTGCCACGGACGCATTAGCACATCCGTGGTTAGTAGGACTCACAAGCATCTTTGACAGGAAGCTTAAACTGAAGAACTATTCTGTTGGGGATTCGCAAGATAAGCGTCAGGGACCTTCTGACAACAATTCTGGTGGTTACATACGCAACCTGTTTAAACGTGACATGCCTAAGGAATGTAACCGTGATAATGGTACGTCCGGTGACAAGGGTAGCGAAGCTCGCAAGGTTCCGTTACACCGTGGTTCCGGTGATAAGGAAGAACATGAAGAACGGGCTAAGAAACGTGCGTGTAAAATCGGGCGAATGCCTCAGCGGCAGTGCCGCGTCTCGCCAAGAGACGCCAAATTCATCAGCCCCTCTACTGGTGTGGTTCGCTGTTGAACGTACAAAGCACATTAGGAAGGCAGCGAAACCGATAAAGTGACAACACTCAAAAGCACGCAACACTAACCAGTGCTCCTTTAACGCAGTTCAATCACATTACCAATTTTGTATGTATAATATACATTGAGTCGTAATAGAATTCATGTTGGCACGACCACCCTTCACGAACTACAGAAGTCTAACAACCACAAATAAATATATATGGAAACGTAATTAAGTGAATATGAAAATTAAGAGATCATGTTCGGTTTCAAGTGAAACCTAATTTTGTTTAATAGGCGAGTGATGATTTGAGAGATTTTCGAGATGACTTCAAACTATGTTTTCATGGAGTCTAACCACCGAAACCGTAAAGAGTACGGCCCTGTCTCTTGAGGGAGTAGACGATGTCCATAGCAGTCACAGTCTTCCTGCGGGCGTGCTCAGTGTAGGTAACAGAGTCCCTGATAACGTTCTCAAGGAAAACCTTAAGAACGCCACGGACCTCTTCGTAGATCAAACCAGAGATACGTTTGACACCACCCCTACGAGCAAGACGACGGATGGCAGGCTTGGTAATACCTTGAATGTTGTCACGCAAAACCTTGCGATGACGCTTGGCACCACCTTTACCCAAACCTTTACCACCTTTTCCGCGACCAGACATTTTCGATAAGTTTTAAAACGAGTCAGAAATCTGAGACACAGAAACTTACAGAAAAGTGTGACTGATCGCACACGGCCTAGCTGAACGCCACATATACAACTGGGGATGCACCAATATATTTACACATCCCCACATCGATTAGGGCACCTTTGGAGACGTTCGGTCGTTAATTAGAGCGGAAAATCGCAGCAGTGGGAAATTTCGCGCTGCAGATATGAACAAAGCACTCCACACACATAACCTGACAATTACACCTTTAAAATAACACGCTGTCTAACAAGTCATTAATGGTCGCTATTGAGGGCACACGAGTTAGTCTGTAGACTCAGAAATACGATTCAACAACTCCAAAAAATCTGGGCGCTGCCAGAGCCGGCCGACCATAATACCGTCAACATGAGGTTGACGTATATATTCGATAGCATTTGATTGGTCAACCGATCCTCCATATATAAATCGTGTGTGTCGGAGGTTGCAGCGTGCGTTGCGTTTTATCCAATCTATGGTCTCGTTTACCTCTTCTGCGGCAACAGGACGGTCAGTACCGACTGAACTTCCTGGTTCATATGCCACAACTATACGATCGTCGGCATTAGATACGTTAGCATATATATCCTAGCAAATAGTTTTACATTTCCCCAGATGCCTACCTCAAGTTGTCGTGTGACAAATGCAGGGTCGTGTTCGTTATTTTCACCTGTAAATGGATATATAAAGCATAGGTCGGCACAACTTACCTACGCAAACTATTACCCTTAGTCCCTCAGATAGTGCCGCTTTAAGTTTGCGGTTGATCAACTGTCTACTTTCATCCTGGATGGGATACAATTGGTCCATGGATAAACTTACTATGCCTAGATGGGCGCCATCACGGCGCTCTGAATGACCAACTATGGTCCATCCTACCCCTAGATCCTAATAACATATGACGGCGTAATTACAAGGAACCTACTTTCAGAAGTCCAGCGGTGACGTCGCCTGTAAAAGGACCATATCCTAACGGAGCGGCGCTAACGTCCTGACTACATACTATGCAAGAGCTTCCGGCAGCGGTATATGCCGCTACCATATCTTGTAGATATACCGAGCATGGCGCCGTCAGCAGCTGTATCGAATAGAAGAGTCTACCATCAAGACATACCTCTACATTAGGCAATTTACGACTCTTAGCAAACCGCTGGATATGTTCCCTTGCCACAGAAGGGGTCGGATAACATTTCCAGTTGCAGACCACAAGTGTAGGATCGCCAGGTACAGATGACCCTGACAGATGTGTACTACTTGATAAAATGGCTTTATTACGTCGATCCAGAAGGTTTGTAGATGTTCTAAATCGACTCTGAGCGTGTCTATTGTAAAAAAGTGGTCGGCTAACCCCTAAGAAGGACGTATTACGGACTTGTGATAGACGCCACGGGACCGTGTTCATCAACGTATAACATAGAGATTCATGTAAACCTAAAATTGACACTAACGATAGTGATACCGAAATAAAGGGCGTCAAGCCCCTTCCGACGGCCATGCGACAATAGACAATGGCCACGGTCGTGGAGTACAGTCCCAAGCGTCACTCTGAAAGAACCCTATCGACACATGACAACCGAGTATAGTATACTTACATATCTATAAAACTTGAAATAGATATATCACGTTTAGATGTTCCGTCTAAATGGACATTTAAGCAGGCCTCAATCTCAGAAGGGTCTACCATTAGACGGCGACCTGCACACTGTGATGATAACCAAACACAAATCATACCCATCTTAATTAGTAGTGCTTCCAATTCATTCCGGCTAACAGCATCTTGTCCAGGAAAATGGGCATCAAAAGCTTGTACCAGACGCTCGCGGATGGCAGTGTCAGAATAGAAAGATGCGCCTAGAGCTAACACATCCTCCAACACAAACGTACCACGAATATCTTCCTCTGATAAACATGTCAAATGTGCAAAGCTATTACTCACCCATTTGGAGGTAACTCAGCTCGCGGCGACTCAGATTAATACCAATGCTAGAGAGTAACCTCTTAAGCTCACTAAAACTTAGACTACCCTTTCTACGAGTGTCAAATAATCTAAATGCATACTCCAGCTCTTGTCTCTGCATGTCTTTTAAAAGGCGAAGTATCTACGCCTACCCTGGCCTTGGAGAGCTCTGCGCCAGAAGCGCTCATCTCGAAATACGATGGAGCAGACGTGAAACATAATCAGCTTGTGATGACTGTAGAAGTTGTATATGGTCGATGTGTTGGTGACCGACCTCTGTTTTAAGCCGACGCCATTCCCAATATCTCACGACTCCCACACTGTAACCCAAGGACTCGATGCACCTAAAATGGTATCAGAAAAGGTAAGAAATGATGCTAATAGAGACTTGAAAGAGCAATACCTACCGTTTCTTTACTGTTAAGTTGCTCATATTACTAGCAAACTCAACCAAGATGACAAGTTTACGTTCTTGATCCACGAACGGTACCGTAAATGGACCGACTTTCTGAGACTCAGCAAAGTTGTTAGATGCACCTTGTAATATCTTTCGGACCTCTTGGAAGGTTGGAGTGTTCTTAGTAAGTTCACTTTCCGTATTCTCTGCCAAAAAATGACGTCGGCATAGTAGTAGATGCACCTACCGAAGTTAGACAAAGCATCACGCCACCGAGCACCCAAGTCAAATTGTACTGGTGCAGACTCAACCTCAAAGGAATCAACTGCCTCCTTCAAAAGCAATGCATATCTCCTGGGACACTATGTCACGTTACAAAGAAGAATAGTTACCTTGTAAGGGACGGATGGTGGTTTGACACTGCCTCTAGGACACGTGGCAACTGCTCGCCGTAACGTCGCAGGTAAGCACTGGAGTACACATAATCGATACAACCGGATAAATCCCATCCATTCTTATATTCAAGACCATCTAAAAGGCGCTCTAATGCAGTGCGATCCTCACGTTCAGAAAGGCATCCTGCTGCCAGCAGCTGTAACCGTAGATGGTTAGGCAGAGATTCTATTTTTGGTTCTACTACCGTGAAAATACGGGAATAGTTTGCTGGAGTCAAAAATTTCAGCTGACTGAGACGATATGTTGCCTCAGATAACTGTTCAGCGCTAAACTGATCCAGGTTATCCATAATGAGTGTTGATAATCGTCGTAACAAAAAACCTTTCAAAAGCCTGACATAACGCTATTGAGAATAATATAAAAATACCAACCCTGTTTTAGCAAGTGCCCGAAGAGTATACATGACATCACTTGCGGTGAACCTATCTGTGAGTTCGCATAGTTTTTCACATAGCAAGGCGTAATAGATTTTGTCACGTGATCCTCTCTTGTATGCGGTTTGAAGCGCTAAATTTAGGGCATCTGGAGTTGCAGAATCGATCTCAGCGGTTAACTTCTGTTTGGAATACTCAAATATAGCGTCAGAATCCACACCAGTAGCAGACGTCGCATAGGCAACCTGTGACAGCTCGCGCAACTGACCACCTGTATCCACAATTGTCGAAGCGATTTTAGACAGCACAGAACGGCCGAGATCGGCATTGGTAGATTTACCACTACCAGCAGATTGAACTATTGCTGCAATTCTTAAGGCAAAGTTGCCCATATATGACGAATTGAGGCTGGGTAATCTGCTTTCTACCTGAGAGAGCATATCGGCAAAACGGGCATCTGCCAATGCACTTCGACGTTCAGATGGCCCGCTTGCAAGGAACTTCAGTGCCTCGTATAGTTCATGTGTTTCTAGGGAGGAACCTGTCGATAGAAGGCCGAAACAATCATCCGCGCTACGAAAAACCTTTCGCGTCAAGGCGCGATCGGACAAACGCGCTAGCGATAACCTTAAAAAAGAATACATTTTAAGTAATATATGAGCTTAGTAACTAATCTTTGCTGCCAACTATTAAGAAAGGTTACATCGAGCGTGCGGTAGCTCTAGCCTTCCAACTTCCGGAGGATGCAGCTACGTAGGTGCTGCCAATACACAATGCAAACAGATATAAACCACTGCCAAGTTGTTGTAACGGCACTGCTGCGAAGAAGATAGCTGAAAAATGTGACGTGTGTAACGACGATACCTACTAGGGTCAATGCCAACCAGGCCGTTACCAAGTATACCACCGTATACAAGTAAATCGTTTACATAAGAGATTCCTGCAGCCTTTTAACACTATCCTTATGGATATGTACCTGAGAGTATGATGTATAACGAAGAACAGGCAAACACCAAGTCCTGAGCGAAAAAAGTAGGAACCACTTTTATCAGTGCTGTAAGGATTGCCTAACAACATATAAAGATATAAATGCGATATACTTACCCCAGACACAGCAATGATGTACAGCGAGTATATTAGAGGCATACAAGCCATGAACCATAGTGGCATGTGAACGTTGCCTATTACGTTGCGTACAATGGAAGTTGCAGCTCGATATGAAACGTTAGCCATGACGCAGCAGAAACACAAAATTTCGAACATCTGAAACACAGTTGAATTAAATAACAAGACGAAATATACCCATCCGATAGGCTCCTTGCGTATATCTGGTAACAGGTCAATAATATATGGGAAGTATACCTACCCCGCGGGAAAAGGCGCATTATACGTAACGGGTGCAGAGCAGCACTAATGAAGGTATTAAACGTCATCTAGACGAAACATACCCGTATGCAGAGTAGGCTGCTGCAAGACAGCATGCTGAATGTATTAGTCCTGCACCAAACAAAGGTCGCAAGATGTTAAATACAATGAAGTACACAAAAAACCCATTAACCACGGGGATATGCTGCCGCGCTAGTGGCCTTCCGCCATGTAACCTGTGATAAAATGAAATTTGACACTATAGAAACCAACAGTTTACAAGCTAATGGAACTGCCACGAGAAACAAGAGTAGAGTTGGCAGAAAACTAGTGTACAGTTGGTAATGTGTATATCGCGTAGTAATGCTGAATATATTCATTAACATAATCTAAAAGGGAATCCTACCTCCCTGGAGGGCCTGGTGTTGGCGATTTGATCGGTATCCTAGTTGCAACATCTGTAATATTATTATATCTATGAATGAATATGAAACAACGAGTGCGATTATACAAATTGTTTGAGTGAATTGAAACAAATGTGGAAGAAGCAGATGAACTTACCTGGTCCTGATTCCAATTGTTGTTCTAGAGCCAGCTGGCGCTCATGGGTGAATCGCATTACAGCGTCCTGTGGTTTTAAATAGCCATTTCATGAGAATCAATGTGACCCACGAGATCAGATCTCAGTTTCTCAAGCTCAACTGGTGGGTCTGAAAGAATGACGACATTGAAAGGGCGACTGAATATATGTCAACAAGTAAGGCCAGTCCAGATGTGACATACGGTGCAGCATTGACGGAGTTGGTCATTGCCGAAGCCTCTGCTATAGGGTCTGCTTCTGGCGATGCGGTGATAACATCATCAGGGCCTCTGAAGTCAATGTTGTCATGGAAGGTAAATGTTGACACACAATTGAAGTGATTCCAGAGTAGATTCAGGCGATGAGGACATTGGCCAGACACTTGACCATCCTAATGGTACATATTATTGGTTTATATATCGCCGCCTACCGGCTTGATGCCGAGAAGCCGCGCCACTCGCTCGAGATGCCCTTGAGATGTGCAGCGCTAAGAGCGCCAGCCGCCAATATGGCGACATCAGCGAGATTCCACCGATAAGAATATTATGTGTATGTTACTATTTATTAAATATAGTAAGAATGATGGCAGGCGAGTGTTATTATACAACACACCTACACTCAGCACAGACGCAATAGTCCTAGTGACATAGATGTTCCAGAGCCCTTGGGTATTGTGTCGAGGTCACAAGCGTAAGCGATAGTATAACTATCTGGGCAAAACTGTACATGAGATACCGCCCCTGGCATGCGAATCTGTAAGTATATCTCGCAAGGATCAGTACCAGCCACTGTCAAGTAATATTCCTCTGTAGGGGCTCCATCTGACCCTCCTGCGTCATCTGTGCCCACGAAAATGGTATCCTTCGTGCCCCAGGCGAGAAGTGTACCATCGAAGGAAAAGCTAACACTGCTTACTTTACCCTCAAGGCCTGGAAATGTACCCACACATGTGTAATCATCTTCACAGCTAATCAGATGCACTGTGTGATCGCTTCCTCCAGTAGCCAGTAGTCCACGGTCTCTGTTATATGCAGCAGCAAGAACGATGTGCGAATGAATCTGCTCTGACGACCTCAGAGAGAAATCCGACGCTAGTATATCTATGCATCCGTCAACTTTCTGTACTACCAAAGCATCTGTAGTGTAAATTAATCCATACACTTCTGACTGAAGGGCCACAACCGATGATGAAGGAAGCTCGCAGTCCTTCGGGTCGCTTACATCAACTCGTTGCAAATGGTCGCCACGGTCAACGACGGCTATTACGCTGCCATCAGTAGACCACGCACCAGAGTACCATGCATCCTCCACTCCGCTCCATATGGTGGCTTTAAGTATTGGCGGCAGCCCTGCAGTAGCTGCCAGTGAGAATATCTTCACGCATGGCCGTAGATTCTCAGTGCCTTCCATTACAAGCAAGGCGAAGATATCCGCCTTAATAGGGTGCGTCAACACACGGAGGCACTTCACACTAAGTGTTACATGTGGCGATAATGTGCTAGAATCCAATACGGTCAAACCTTCGCGCGACGCTAAGAACAGTCGTGAACCATTGCAGTTGTAGCATAAGTCTTTCACTTTAGATTTCAGACGAAGGGAATCTAACGGTATAACTTGTGGTTTTATAGTCCTCGGCATATCTGCAGGGGTCTTCTTTTGCGAAGTATCCGAAAATAGCCGTTGGTTCGCCAGGTGAGTCGCCAGTACTCGCCGCGTCAAGCACTGGTCCGCTGATAGCGGAGGCGCAGTATCTGCGACTGCAATCTGCATTAGGCGATTACTCATCCTTAAAAACGAATGATTCCTAGGTTATCGGCGCTGGAGTGCGCACACCATCGAGTCGAGTTGTACGAGCTATGTGCAGCCCTTCTAGCACAAAAAATGAATCCTGGGTCCGCAAAACCGCGGTTCAAAATTAAAAAATGGTCCGCGGTGGCAGTATGGTCCTGGAATATCGCAGTAGACAACTGTGCAATCTGTAGGAACCACATCATGGATCTATGCATCGAATGCCAGGTAGGTGACAAAAGTAACACAGATACGTTTCATATACGTATGTAGACAACTGGTATGGAGGATTCACCACGCAATGACGAACAATGTTCAGTAGCTTGGGGTGTTTGCAGCCATGCTTTCCACCTACACTGCATCTCAAGGTGGCTCAAGACAAGGCATGTATGCCCACTAGATAATACTCAGTGGGACTTCGCTACAAAAGAACCTAATTAAGACTTATGACAACTTAATATCAGTTTTTGAACATCTTGTGGATAGTGCGCTGAATAATTACCATCAATGCATCACGCTGCTCGATCGCAAATGCGAATCCAGACTGCGTACCACGAGTTGGGACTATCTCCGTTGCTACATAAGCAACAGACTCATCACTAGATGGGAAAATACCCTTAAATGTTCCTTGTTTCAACTCTAGAGCTATCCGGTCTTCCAATGAAGGGTTGAAAACCACACTATAGAATAGGTAGCCCCAAAATGGAAACAAGGAAACCACCAGAGCCAATAGAATTACAGCATAATATATGACAGATGAATGTAACGTCTCGAATGTTCCATAAAATACGTGTGCTTCGGGAATGAAGGCGAATGCTGGAACCAAACTCACAATAACCCAAAACAGCAATAGAGTAAATGTTTCTGCCCATAAAAAGAAATGATTCGGCCAAAACCAACTCTTTGTAATGAGACACACTATTGCATTCACCGCAAGGATGTGATGGACGTACATTGTTTGAGAAAACAGGTTAAATCCGAAGTTCTGTGGTGTACCATCAACATAACTGAACACAGTCGCATCGGTAAGCTTCAAAATTATTAAGGTCTCGAATATTGATAACCATAGTGCCGCAAGTATAAAACCCCAAAAATTTAATGGATCATATACACCTCGACCTTCAACCAAACGAGTGTGTATACGCTCACAAAACCGGTAGGATCGAAAAGGTCGAATTAAGCCTCGTAATATATTGTTAACCGGTTTCGAATTCCATGTATGGTACAATACGGGATAGCGAGTAAGCAGCGAATGTGGCACAGAACGATCCAAAATTACGTAAAACATCAAAGGTATTGATGTAAAACATAAATTGGTAATTTGCTTGCTCCACGTGTTGAAGACGCTGACTCCACTGAATCCAGTATAAAAATTATATATGACGTTAACGAAACTATAGCTGAAGTTTCGGAATATACAAAAATAAAGTAAAAATGAATTCTTTCGAAATGCTTCACGACCGTGTACAAATAGCAGTTGACGTAGAAATCGGAACTCCCCAATGGTAAAATCAGCCGATTGACATGCTTGGTGCCCCTCTCTACCATCGATACCAACACCAACATTAGCTGCAAGGATCATATCCACGTCATTGGCTCCATCACCAATCGCTAGCGAGGTACTATGTGCATTGAACTTAGTATTGTCCCGGGTGAGTAGAAACTTCTGCTTATGGGTCACTCGGCAAGCTATTACCACACTAGCATACTGGGCAAGGCGGAAGAAGCGTTGTTTGAGTACATCGCTTTTGTATATAGTTTGCAAAACATCACCAGTTATGGTAACGGAAAATTTAGCATATTCTGGAGCAGACTCTACTGAGTCAGATTTCTGAGGTGATGCGCTTGGGGCTGCAAGAACTGATGTGTTAGCATCCCTATGTATACCTAGATCTGAATATGTACTACGTCGCTTTGATGCCCCCAGACAATTCAGCAAATGGCTATCAAGGTCACGTGATACCACGGCTGGGTCGGGATCACTAAGTATCGCGTTACAGGTATTGTCGTTTAACATGTTGGTGGATCGGCCTATACTCAGTGCTGTTTCCAATTTATCTCCAGTTAATACCCATATAACGATTCCAGCCTCCTTCAAGTCACGTATTACATCACCAACCTCTTCCTGTAGCAAATCCTCAATACCAGAACATCCAACAAGTTTCATGTCGCATTCTAACTCCTTCACTATTTCAGATACCGCTTCATCACGGCCTTCTCCTAGAATCAATGCCTCGTTGTATGCAGTGTGCCACGATTCATACTCTTCAACATTCAGACTCCTCACAGCAAACACCAATGTACGAAGACCAACTGTAGCGAATTTATGCAACTGCTCTGTTATCACATCTTTTTTCATGATTTGTTCATCTCTTAAGATACGAAACAATGCAGAATCTGCTCCCTTGCAGAGAGTAAGCAATTGGCCACAGGAATCCTCTATCACAACACTCATACATTTTCGGCTTGAGTCAAATCCAATTGCCTCACGAATTACGAAACGCAAAGCTGGTACTAAACCTTCTTCACGCGCCTCCTCCCACAGGGAATAGTCTTCAGGCGTCAATATGTTTTTTTGTGCTTCAGGTGTGACTAGGTAGAGGTCTATTTCCGTTATTGTACGGCGGTTAGAAAAGACGCATCCCAATTTAGCGACGCCAGACACCAGCGCCAGTTCATCTGGCGATGCAGCATCGTATTGTATAGGTACGAATTCTACCGCGAGCACGCGTGGGACTCCGTTAACTGTCTTCAGTACACGATCTTCTCTTCTCTCAACAGTTTCTGTATTTTTACGTATCACTACACTGTGGCAGAGGCTAGCTACCAGTACAAATTCTCTTAGCGTTTCACGTAAACCTGGGTCGCTGGAACTGTACATATTCCAAAAATGTTCAGCCCAGTTGGAGTACTTGATATCACCTAATTCCCCGAACCCCAAAGCTTTCAGTGTCATGACATTTTGCGTCAAAGTACCGGTTTTGTCAGTATAAATATGGGTAATATGCGCCATATCTTCTATCAACTGATCACTGCGTGAGACTGCGTGTTTACCGTCTGATACCATAGTTGGGTTCCAGTTGATCTGTTTCGATTCTGCCATACGTACAATTTCCCATAGAATAATCAAGTCCACAGGTATCATCGCTGCAAGTAGCAAGAGCATGCTGCCCAATGTCACGAAAAAGGTTCTCCATCCGGACTCCTTAATCAATACGTGTAAGTACCCATGTCGGCTGGATGTGGTCAATAGCCAGTATACGCTTAGCAGCGCCGAAACGAAAACACATGCTACGAGTAGCATCAACACCATAGATAAATCGGCTTGATATATAGCTTCTAGCATCGAGCTCTTTCGTTTGGAGTATCCAATCGACCCTTTGAGTAGACGGGTCTCGTTACCAACGTATACTGCAACACAGTACGCCCACTCCGTATTGACCATTGATGTTCCACGCAGCAGCAGTTGATCATACTGCAGATTGACTTTGTTTATGGTCGCATCCACACCAGATAATGATGAGCGCAATTCACCCCCTCTTACTGATGACAGACGTTGCAAACGACTAACCCTCTGAGATTGCAAGTGTTCCAGATCATCATAGCTGTAATAAGCTACTCCCGAGAACGAGCTGAGATTGTCTGTTGAAGGTTCACAAACAATTTTTATTTGTGTTTTGGCTGCATCCTCGTCATTTTTGAAAAGTGCAGCGAGTTCGGGTATCACGTGTTTATACTTGACATTTGACTCACCATCAGCATTTTTCGTTTCGATATTACAAACTCCATTCTTGTCGCAACAGTTTAGTAACACTAGGTCCGATGGAAAGTATTCGTAGGCATGCACTTTAACAACATCACCCACACGTATGTCACGTTGTTTCATTTTTACAAGGTGTCCATCTCTAAAAACATGTACTAATCGTCCATTTTCTTTTTCATCGTTTCTCCAACGTGCCAAATCTGATGCTAATTCTCTGCCCAGACCTACCATGATAACGAATACCACTGGTATTAGGTATGTTGGAAGCCCATTAGAGTCTGATACATCCTCGATGAGTTGTAGCATTGACACTCCTAAAAAGATTAAGTTTCCCACCCTTGTGATTTGGAAGAATAGTACCCTTGGTAAAAAGGATAACAATGAGTATTTCGTTGTCTTTATGAAGTTTGAACGTCTCGAACCTCTTAGAAAGGCCAACCTTTTAGCTTCATCCGCCGCCGCTTCATCCGACAATTTCGATTCTTCGTCTGATCTTGTAAAAATACTTAAAAAATACTCTTTCAATCGTCTCAATTGCTTGCTCATAAAGGTGTCATCGATAGGTACGTAAAAGGGCTCGTAGACAGTGCCGCGATATTCAGAATAGTTGGTTACTAGATACACCCTTCCTTCATACTTTGGCGTTTCATCGCGTCGAAACCATCGACGTAGCCAACACCACATCTTGGTCCGACCCTTCTACGGGTTTCTGTTCCGACGACCATCCGTGCTTGGAGCTCGGATTCCGATCTCTCAATAGATTGTCAACTCAACACATAAATAATACATCAACAGAGTACGCTAAACAACTTATGAAAAGTCTATTTTTCAACTACAGCGGTCACAGATTGATTCGAAAAATTTGCTTTAAGGAGCAAATATGTTGTTTTTCTCGGACCATGTATAATGAAAAGAGACAGGTCACATTGACCAAGCTGTGACTTCATATTTATCCAATCAAGGCTATATCTATGGTACTTTAGGTGTCGAAATGCGCGAGGCGATCCCCCATGCATTAATTAGAAAACCGTGGCACCTGGTATGCGGTGTACTGCAGAGAAAAGGTTGCAGCGACTAGCGGTCGCTCATCTATGAACATAGGTGAGAATCGATTACAATTATTATTACATCGTCAGAAATATATTATTATTATTTATATAATTTGCTGTAACGTCGCGACAGGCTCTTTATCACGAGTCTACACACGAGGCGCATGTGCAGGGCAACCGCAGTCACGCCGGTACGTCGGTTACCTATCTGATGATGTATGTTAGCTACATTTGCTCTATAATTTTTTATGAATCAACCTTCTTGATAATGTCATTATGAAATGGCAGCGGATACCAGCCCCTCGAGTTGCAACGGGCTTGATTGGAAGGCGGGGCACATAAATTTAACCTAGTCACCATATATTATAGTTACACCAAAAATATGCTATATATAACGCGGAAAATATTCTGCGTAGGAGCGTTGCTCGCGCTCCGGCTCTTCGATAGACAGGGCCTTCATGTCCAGGCGAGCAGTGATTTCAACATCGTCGACGTCCTCTGTTAGTTAAATTGCTAAATTGAATAGTTTACTGTGCAGCACTTAATTGGTTGGAGGAATTCACGGCTAGCAGGGAGAAATCAACCGATATTGAATTTGAGGCGTTCGATGCCGAACCTAAAAAGGAAACCACAGGTAAATGAAACTATTTTGTGTACCAATTTGATATATAGATGCCGAAAAGTCCAAGCGACAGACAGTTGTGTTATTTGGAGGTGATATTTCCGCGTTCCTGCCACCAGGGTTTAGACGTCAGTACTGCTACTTCCTTATTTTCTGTATATGCATTTTTATCTACGCATTTCTAGGGAAGAGTCGAAATGATGGTATTATGCAACATATTCTAGAATTACAAAAGCCGTTATTGGAGGAGGCCTTCGCCTATGTTGCTGACCAACCAAAATGCTTCGAAAGATTGAGATGGCACAAATACCGTACCTATGCATCGGGGCGTACGAGCTGCGTGTCATTAACGATGAACTTTGACCTTGTAAAGAGACAATGTGTCTGGCATGAATTGTTATTGACGCCCCTATTATCACTAGAGGATGTCATGACTGTTGAGGTCACCATGCCCAAAATGGTAGGTAGACGATTGTGTATGTCGAAAAAATGCTACAGGAACCCATCGCACTTGCAATAACTCGCAAGCTTACCAACAAGTCATTTATTAAGGATAATATGGAGATTGCAAACACAATGTACGTATACAATACTGCCGATATTCCCAGTACTCATCGCGCTTACATTAACAGTACGGAGAAGTGCGCTACTAAATATGCCGAATATATCATTGCTGCCTGCCAGGATTTCATGCCGCAGCTCATCGCATTATACATAGTAGATGAAATACCGGACGTCAACGGTTACGTCCCTGAGAACAAAATGACATTCAAGGTATCTATAAACAACGACCCCAAGTTGGCTGCCACTGTACTAGAGACCATCATTCAGCTAGTTGACTACACGAAAAACTACAGCGTGTTGCCGAAAACTAAGGAGCTCATATTGAAAACTCGTAAAGCTATGGTTGCTACGATTTACAAAGATGAAATTAAGAAACAGCAGGAAGAAGCCAGGGAAGAGGCTCGGGAGGAAGATCCTGCAGCTAGGGAAGAGAGGCTGAAGAAATTGGAAAAGAAGTCTATGTCCCGACCAAAACGGCGGGTTAAGATTATAAGATGAACTGGTTTACTAATAATTATGAGAGAAAAACATGCATTACATGCGCCGGAGGTTACGGGTGTAGACGTCCCAGAGGGGCTTAAGGTAAGTATTACGGATGAAGTAAACGAATACGCGTAGCAAAACATAGAGCACCTTAAGCAACTGCACGAGAAGGGGTGTACGATAAACGCCAACATAGAGCAGTCCGTGGAATTCAAAAACCCATATCTATTAGAGGCAAGTTTGATTCCACAGGCCTCCATTTTGTAGAAGGTCATGAAAGTCTTCAATATCAAGGAATATTCATCAAACTACAGTAAACACATCTATGATCCGGATTACTATGAGGCGCTAGTCAATCAACCTGACCCGGATGATGATCTAGTAAATGAAATTCAGCCAGACGAAAGTCCAACCAAGGAAAATGAGCCAAAACAGGGAAGAACGCGTCGGGGCCGCTCGGGGTGGTCTCCGGAAACAGAAGGCAGAACATAATAATCTTATATATACACACATGATACACTTTACGCAAATGCCATCTTGGACGTTTTAAGGTCATGAATTGGACGAAGTACGCCACGTCTAGCATCGCTATAATGGCATAGATTCGAAAAGACCGCTGACGATAGGGGTTCCGTAGCTTAGTTGGTTAGAGCGTGTGGCTGTTAACCACAAGGTCGTAGGTTCGACCCCTACCGGGACCGTGCCTTTTTAAAACTAAACAACAAATATCAGCTGCATTAGTTTCTCATATGTGTTATAAACGGTTTGGAATGATATACTTAGTTTTGTTAACCATAAAATTTGTTGATCCGTTCCATGTCCGCATTTGGTCGTTGGCGGCAATGAGTTATATGAGATAAACCTCGAGTTCTGTTTTGTTTGGCTAATTTAACTATTGCTATGAACTGTAGATGGTTGACTTTATGTATCTATGATAATTTGTTTTTTTCACAAAATTAACTTTTGTTTTTCACATCACTGTAAGTGATTACGATCTATTCACGTTGTTGATGTTGAAAGATGGCTCTGGTTCATGACTTTAGAAATTGTACATGCTGTAAGTCAAAACCCAGCTCACCTACAGCAATATGACGGCGATTTCTAGGTTAAAACTAACCAGAAAACAACAGAACGATGTCAGAATGTGTGCTGTTAGTGCTTCCATTTGGTCAAGCACATAATCTGGCAATTTCATAAACGCCAGGTACAATTGCCCGGCTAACGATTGAACAACTAGGAAACTGATGAATCCAACTATCCCTCGAACTGGGATGAGTCCGAGAATTATCCCGGTCAGTAGCGACACTAGGCACTTGACCTTCCACAGCGTTGTGGAATGGCGTATCTGTTAAGATTTGTGAATTAGATTTATATAAACAGACCTTGATACACCCTGATTGCGACGATGAGGCCTTCTGTGGTTTATTAGTGACAGCCATTTTGAATTAAGCTGTCGTTGTTATCAATTCTGAGCACACCGCGGCGCCAGACAAAGAGCGAGTGCAATGCCCGCCAATAAGACTACGTTAATTTATACAATTTATAATTTACTGATAATTGATCAGTAAATTCTTTAAATATTGGCGCATTATAAGTATCGCGTGGTCCTAGTCGTCGAGGGACACCCGCACACCAAGAGGGCACATCTCAGTATAGCGTTAATCAGGGGTACGCCGACATCAACGTGATACGTAGACGTATGTGAGGGGTTGTGACAACGTTAAACTAGCTGTCGATACTGAGGCGTCTCGTACACCCGCGTTAGTAACAGAATCTCCCCGCACTGACAGTATCGAGTTGTTTAAATTGTTATATATTACAGGTAAATGGCATAAATCAATAGCAAATCAGTGTCTTAGCGTGATGGCGAGTTTGTGTAGGTAGACGTTTCTCAGGTTAGAAGTCAGTAGTATGGCTTCCCACGTTACGTCTCTGACTCATAGCGGCCCGCACGTAATCCGCCTAAAAAAGGGGTTTGTTCCCGCAACAATGTCCCCAATATCCTTCACAAACTATCTTGAACTCCTTTCCGGTGTAATCTGTGAATTACCGCAAAGATTCATATCCATTATACCCCACGGTATTCTACCGTAAAGCATCTTCAAAAAATCTATAACAACGCGAATTCCTATCAGGTTACAAACAACAGCTTAACATCGTCAGACACGAGACTAGTCTTACTTTAACGCCAGAACGTCGATAGCTTCTGCAAAGTGAATTATTTTTCAAGATAGAAGTACTCTATATCATCATAATGGAGACTGTTGTACTACCCGGAAATTCACACTTCGGCACCATGGGCTGGCTTAACCAACACATTAAGAAAGTGATGGGAGCCGGCATAATTATGGGATTTGCATTTGTGGCTCTATTACTTGCGTATGTTGGCTACCTATCGTATTTCACTACTGACAAGGCCATCTTCAATTTGGCCTTTATGGTTGGTTCTTTTGCAACAGCAACCGCTATTAGCAATATCATTGGCACTGTTGGTTTATTTACCGAATCCGAAGCTACGAATACCATCTTCAAATGGAACAACATGTTCATAACTGTCATTTCCAGTATACTTTCAGGGATTCATTTTGCCAAGGCCACGCATGCTGGTAGACAAATACCGCAAAATACTAGCATGTCGAGTATATTTTTCATGACTGGAATTGGCTGTGTGTTTATGGCTGCCCTTTATGCAGGGTTGACCTTCATGGCATTCAAATACGGTCGACTACTGAAACGGACTATATACACCACTGATTTCAAACTGAACGACACGGTTCACACGAACTGCGATGACCTGAATAGAACCCAGTGCATGGAACCCCCAAAACCGGGTACTGAGGTGTGAACTTGAGAGAAGAGATTGCTCGTTGCAATTCGTAAGGGCACGTAATCTACGGCAAGATTTGGCAATATCCATATTGCGATATTGCCGTAATTCCACTACATCTATACCGTATGTAACGGTTATTTCATATATTTGAAACGCTGCCGCAATCGCACCGCGAACAGATTTATCAATGTTATTACGAGCTCTTAGAATGACTATTAATTTAGATATGTTGATCACTAGTATTGCTTCATTGAAGTCTCTGGTTGCCATATCACTGGGTGTGTTTCCGGTGTTGCATCTGGATCTTGTATCCATATCTTAACGGTTTTGTCGCATTCTGCTGTGATAAGCCGGCTCTCACTCATATCAAAAGCACAAGCAAAAATCCCATTTTCACTTTCTAGAGAGCCCTTTTGAACAATGCTTTCCAGTGTCTGGAACTTGTAACCGCTTTCCCAGTCCCAGAAATGCAATTGTCCGTTATTTGACCCTGCCACTAGTAGCGATGACTCCCCGTCATCTTTTATTGCTGCACAGTTCAATATGGAGTTGTGTCCACCTAGATTTCGGTAGAACTGTCCCTCAGGGCATTTCCATACCTTCACATTGTCAGCACCAGCGCTACAAAAAGTATACTGGCTGGGATGTATAGCGAGAGCTCTTACACTTTTTTTGTGGTTTGTGAGTGTTGCCAAAGTTTTTCCCGCTGCAAGATCCCATAGACGCACAGTTTTGTCCTGTGAACCAGATATTACTTGCGGTTCGGCATTTTGCGATACCAGGCTCATGACTGTGCCACTGTGTCCGGATAATACATGTACAGCTTCTTTCGTGCGAATATCCCAGACTCTAACGACTGCGTCACGTCCTCCGCTAAACAGTATGTCCAGTCCTGGGTGGAGTGCTAATGAATATACACCCGATAGGTGTCCGTGATAGCTGCGTATAACTTTATTTTGTTCAATATCCCAGCACTTTACAGTGTTATCCTCTCCGCAACTGAATAGGTATGCGTGACGGTCTGAAATTTTAATATCTCTCACTGCGTTGATGTGTCCCGTTAAAGACAACTTTAACTGGCACGTTGCAAGGTCCCAAATCTTGATGAGCCGATCAGAACTCCCCGTGGCAAACCATTGATTGGAGACATCTACAGCTACGCAGTGTACCCACCCCTGGTGTCCAACTATCATGCGATACATTTTCCATGGTGGATGCCATTTCGGTTGTTGTCTGCGAATCGATCCTGTTTTCGGTTGTATATCTAGAGGTGCGATAGCGTGTCCTGCAGCAACAGTCTCACGCAAGTAAGGTGCGATAGTATCGGATACATCATTTGACCCTTGTACTACGACACTAATAGCACCGCTTTCATGTCGTTTTGCATTATCATCGTTGCCCAATGCTAATAATGGTCGTTTTCTGACGATACCCAGATGCACTTCGTCTGCTACTGTGGCATCTAGGAATGGTAGTTTCTTGCGAGTTTGTTGTGAGCTTGCCAAATCGGCGTGCAACTCATCAACTACTTCTGCAACTTGCGACTTAGCTTTGCGTATATTGATCGTTGGAACCTGAGTTTCTGTTGATTCCGAGTCCGATCGCGCGTTTTGTGTTGGTCTTTGAGGCGCTTTTGGTTGGTAGTTCAATATCGGAGCATACTCTGCTAGAATCTTGTAGGAAAGGCGTTTCCTTGTAAATTCGTCGACAGGATTGAAAGGTGGTGTTGCGAATTCTCCAGCAAATAGATTTAACGACTTATATATGTTCTTACGTAGTAGTTGGCTATAGCGCCCTTGTCGCGCGGCGACACCGTCGCCCATCGTCGTATTAAAGCGCGTCAATTAATTTTAACTGTAGCAGATAATATATCCCTATAATGATAACAGTCTTTTGGTGGGTAACGTGTATTGGAAGTATAGTTCCGAGCTGGGTGTTGTAATTCACGAGCTGAAGAGGCGCGCACCATTAAAGGCATATCTCTACGTAACACCGAAAAAAAGGTGATATCAACATCTCCGGTGGCTGTAGCGCCTGGTGTTGAGGACGAGTCCAGGAAGCAAACCCCGCAGAAGGCCACACCTGGGATATTGAAGACATTTTAACAATGGGCCATTCGTTGCCGCGGTGTTAAAGCAGTTGTTTGGCCATCTGCCTGGATAGATGTTACAGGCAATGCTGTGGGCTGACGTGTAACACATGGCGCATGAATACGAGATTGCAACCCATAGCGCCATGAAGGGCCATGTAAACGGATATCCCACTGCGATGGACGTTGATGATGTAACTATGCAGTCACACCATGGCATGGACGGTGTATCTCGTGGCCCGGGTACGCATGAGCTTGTCGAGAAGTCGAGGTCATTCGTTGCTGACCTCGAGGGATGTTCTCATGATGAGCGTATTGTGAAGGTTTGCTCTGGATTTCACATCATTAAGAAATATATCATATCGCAATTCATCGACGATGATGTGCGACTTCGTCTGTTGCAGTGCTTGGATACTAACGTGAGATGGGAGTTACCAAAAGGCACCATAGCTGTAGGTTGCTGATGTAAATACCATTCATCATGATACACAGCTCGAGATTGTTGATTTATGTTTTCACACCATTGTTAAACGTTGCGATGCTGCTCAAATAGCGGTTTGCGAACGTATTTTACGAAGCCTTTTGATGCTTCCTTTGGAAATTAAGACATTAATGTCATTTGCTGAGCTGCTGGAGTTATTCTCGCATCTACTTGAAGGCAGTTCTGTCGATAGCGGTGAGTTTCTGGTGCTGTCTGGAATACATCACTTTTTTACAGATGGTGGACTTCGGCGAATTCGTTCGCTGTCGTTGATTTTTGATCTCTTGCTCCGTAGGTGTGAGCATGTGAGATTCTTCACATCCCTACTGCCCGCTATGGAATCATTTTTTGCTAACAGGGGAATGGTGAACGACGAGTTCAATCACGAGGTCATCAATATCGCCTGCCGTATACTCAAAGGATGTTCCAATGTGAGAATAATGAATCTGCAGAATATATCAGTTTTCACTAAAAACATCTTCGACCAAATGGTTGAACTATTGAAACGTTCAGATTCCTACGAGAAGCGTGCAAGCCTTATGTGTTGCATGGGCATGCTTGCTGGCAGTGGTCATAACAAGGAGCTTTTGGAAGAGATTACTAGTAGCGACATTCTCATTCGGGCGAATGAGGGTTGGGAGCATGAAGCTATGTTAGGTGTTTCTGTGATATCTGTATTCGTCGATAGTCTGCAACAGTTGAGTGATGAGGATTTCACAGGTGTGGCGGAGAATTGCCTGCGGTTGCATAATTTGTACTCGAGCACTGACGATTATGATGTTCGAGAGATGCTTATAACGCTCCTATACGCATATACATCCAAGCTGAAGCGTGTATATGATAGCCTTAATGGAGGTGATCTATCTACGTTTCAGCATATCGTTACGGTGCTCTTCCACAAGACCGCTTACGAGTTACAGTCACTTGCTGCTACTAAGGATATGTTGCGTGATTATGACTTCGTCACTTTTGCGAGGAAGGTCTTGCCTGTACTTGTAAGGACACTGTCGAATTGTATCAACGTTATTCGCGTGCCGTCTAGTGTGGACAAGGTGAAATGTAGGACACCGCGCCAAGATTCGATCGAACTATCATCGGATCGTGACGGTGATGTTTCATGTAATCTGAGCGCATCGATGGTGAACGTCGAGGAGGAGAGGCTAATAATAGCTCCTATAGACGAGGAAGTGGAATTGTCCCTTCCGTCTAGTAAACGTCACCTTACACATCATGAGCTTGTGGATATCTGCAAGTGTATATGTTGCATCTATGATATTGGAGCCACTTCAACTATTCTCTTAGGGGATATTGGCAGGGTGGGCTCAACGGATGGTTTATTTCAGCTTTGGGAGATTAAGGCCTTTATCAAACTTGCTCTAAGTATGATTGTGGGTGTCCTGAGTCAAAGTGAGCTCAAGCAGTGGGTTAAACTTATGATTCCTGTGTTGTTTGTGGTTGGCATGCGTAACAAATTCATCATCAGTGTGTTTGATTGTTTCAGTAAGGAATATTCGGAGACCTTCGCACCTCACATGTTAATTTTCGTTCTCCACATACTCAAAAGTCAGAGTATTTTGATGGAGTACGTTAAGAATGTGTCTACTTACAGCGAGGGTGTGCTCGGGCTGTTCACTTTGAGTGAATGGGAGAGTTGTGCCGGGAGGTTGAGTGAGGAGAGCGCTGATACTATCTTGGATGTTTCTCGCGAACTATCTGACTGTATATTTAAAGGATACTTGGAGGGTACAGAGTCTCTTATGGCATGTCACAATGAGTTGGTTTACCTGATAACGGCGGTATCTAAGTTATGTGTCACTAAATCTGACCCATACTTACCAGTTGCAACTTCTCTTTTGAAGCATCTAAACAAACGTGAGGAGCACACGGCTGCTATGATGATACTGCGTATCCCGCTAGATAATATCGTGAGCAAAGTTTTTAAGGGTGGTTCCGACGTACATCGCGATTGGTTGGAGCTGATGATGGCAGCTGTATCACGAGGTCCATTTACAGCTGAAATCGTTTCTATGTGCGTAACACCTGCTTTATGCATCCTTCGAGATTTCCAGTGGGAGCTCGTTCCGGCTGCGCTGGATTTGTTAGCATCATGGGTGGAATTCTTGCCACCCGAGGACGTCTACAACCTGCTCTCACCAGTTATTTTGTACAGGACTACTACTGTGAAGCCTCACTTTATGAAGTGCCTTGTGAAATACCTGCAGGATGCAACATTACCTTGTTTCAAGCAGAATGCTCATATCGTCATGAACATGTTTTCAAAAATGGGTTCAGTGACCTCTAAATATTCAAGGAACTTCCCTGTGAAGCATGACATTCCGCATGAGATTTGTCTACCGTTCAGCCATTATGCTTTTGACGTTGAGCTTGAGGACGATGAATCTTCGTCGGATGAGCAGATGTCAGATTTTGACGATGACAACGCATCGTCACCATCATCACCTGAGGCTGAATCTGATGATGAGGGTGAAGGTGAGGGTGATGGTGAAGGTGAGGGTGAAGGTGAGGGTGATGGTGAAGGTGAGGGTGATGGTGAAGGTGAGGGTGAAGGTGAGGGTGATGGTGAAGGTGATGATGAGGGTGAAGGTGACGCAGAGGCAGATCTTGAAGAAACTTCTGGAGTAGTGGATGAATCTGTGGAGGATGGTGTTACGTATATTGAATTTGTGGACTCTATATTTGAGGATAGCGACGATGACGCGGATGAATCTGGTAACGAATCTGAAAGCGAGGATGCCGACATCTTTGGTATTGGTATCCCTGTGATTGAAGGTCTGAATAGTGTCATTCGTCAAATGTCGCATGCTGACATTAGTTTTGCTGAGTTCGAGGGTTCTGCAATATTCGTTCTGAATGCGGTAACGCCTATCATGGATTTCTCAGTTTCACTTTCTAAATGTGAAGCGGAGCTTTCAGCTGTGGATAAGCAGTACCTCACTAAAGCGGATGCCACAACAAAATTTTACACGCAGGAGACCACCAAGGAGTTCATCTTCGTACTTATGGAGGCATTGGTTAAGGTTACAGCAGTAGGTAGGCGTGAGTTTTCGGATTGGCAATCATTTTCCGACCTCGAGAACCTTATGTTCACTCTGCGTATGTACATAGTGCTAGTGTCGAAAACCCATCTGGAAACTGGTGTGGATGTGAGTGTCGACCCAGTTGTGGTATTAGAGGGTATCGCTGCTCGACTTTTGGTAACAAAAGAGCGTCCAGTGTACAATTTTGGGTTACCTTATGACTACATTGATCCGATGGAGGTAGATGTAGCATCAGATTTTTTGAAGGATATTTTCGCTGAGTCTATTAAGTTGAATTGTCCGAATTTGTGCACATCTATAATCACAATGCTTTGCCTCGGTTGTAATTCGCACGATACATGCCTTAAACTCGGCTCTTGTATGGCCTTAGGCAAGATTTGTGAGGATCAGCCAGTGTTTGTGAAGCCCATGGTCCTGGATATAGCTAATTCTGTGGCCCAGCTTTGCGATGGGAAGTCCATGGATGGTGCCATCATGAGGAATACACTTGAGTCACTGCTACGTGCTGATGACGGAGTTATTATCCAATGGGCTATTTCATTGTTGGAGCATCCGCTATGGCACCTTCGAACTGCAGGTCAAATGTGCTTAAGTGCTGCTCAAAACAATTCAGATAGCCAAGCTATGTTGCAAGGATTATTTGCTGTATCTCGTAATTTGCAGACCCCTGATGTGCAGATATTCCTGGCAACCATGAAGAATGGTGACTTGTCGCTATTGGATCTTGCTCTGAGTAATATCGAGCCATATTTGCAATCACTTACTGACTGCGGTGATTCAGATGATCCGTTTAAGTCTCAGGCTGCAGCTTATATCGACATTTTGGGTCATCTGTTAGTTAACGAGGAGTATGCTGACTTGGCTGTTGAGATGGAGGATACCTTTAATCTCGTTGTTGTGTGGTTTCTGAAACTGATGATCGTTGGCTGTATGGACATAGCTGAAAAGGCTCAATCCTTCCTTTATAGCGCTAAGAACGTAACTGTTGGCACCAAGACACTCACAATGGCTCTAGAGGAGTATGTCTTCCAGCTCCAAACAATATTCAACGAAAATCTGCTTGAGAGGATACTCGATGTGGTTAAACATTACACGGACATTGTGGATGACTCACTTACCGAATCGTTATTCAATGTTGTGAAGGCTGTGGTAGAGGGTAACTTGAATTCTTCCGTGATTGACGAGTACCAAAATGCTCATTTTATTGACTACTTGGTATTCATCGCTAATTTGGGTGCCCGAAGATCATGTACCGAGGTCATCTTCAACCAATGGTTCACTACTGTCGACAGTCTTCAGAAAGGTGTGATAATACCAGGTTCAGTTGCATATGGTATCTGGCAGATTATATCGTACGACGGTGTGATCTACAACGTATTGAGTAACATAATGCGTCAGGAATATCTGAGTTTGCTTTACTTTGTGCAGAGCAAGGCTGATGTTGATTACATTATCTGGAATGCTGTGAAGTCACTAGAATCTGAGAATGACTTAGAACGTGTGTCCTACGTAACTCTTCTTCACTGGCTGAGTAACGTTAACTTGCATCATACTACCCATTCTAAGCATCTGAACAAATTGGTTGACGTATTGCTGAAGATCTCTTTTGAGTCTACTATTGAGCTTGATGACCTTCTGACTCCACCATTTAACGATGACTTCGACTATGTTGTTAGTTGGAAGCTTGCTCACGTTAGTGCAGACGTGTTGTTTAAACTGAAGCCTATTTCTGTACTGTTGGAAAAGGTTACAAACAGGCCTACTCGCAATGATCAACAGGACGATACAATTAACCTTGACAAGCTCCTAGCACCATCTTATCTGGAGCAATACAGTATGAAGAGGTTCGGTTGCATTTGCAATCCTATCATTGGCGGCACTATGTTTGAGATGCGTAATTACCAGCTGAAACATCTGTTGCCAGTGATTTCCAAGGATATTGGTTCCAGATCGATGTTAGATGATATCGTAGATTTCTGTTGGCAATCATCTGTGGATGGTGATTCTTTAGGCAAGCTGTTATCGATATGTTGTTTGTCCAGATTGGTTGAGTTGAACAACACACCATCTGTTGGTGCGGCATCCGTGTTGAAGCGTTTTGTCGATGTGCTAACTAGTATCGAGGTAACGGTTTTCCTTCGTACCCATTACACCATATCACTGAATTCGGTTGCTATGGGTAGTTCGGATCCCTCCACTCTTATCGAGGTTTTAAGGGATTGTTCTGAAAAGCTCATAAAGTCGTTATCTGGCACTGTTACGACACCGGAACCTGTTACCGTGGTCAAAGGTACTAATATGCCTACAAGTGACAACGTGGCACTTTGGAAATGGATTGTTATTTCCAGGATGAATGAGCTCGGGGACCAGCCGTCATTGTTGGTACCCCTAATCTCGTTGTTTATATTATACCTCTACGAGGACACCATGATGTTTGGCGATATCCTTTCGGGGGTGGTTCGTTTTATCTACGAGGACATGGCTATAACCGGTTGTAATATGTTACAAGGTGGTGCATTGGATGCTTTTTTCGGGTCCTTGGCTGTGATTGATAAAAACGGGTTGTACATGGACATTCCAAAGATCCAAGAACGTTGTTTCGACGTAATATCGGCATCTGTTGTTTCTAGCAATTTCTGCGACTCAGACTTAACGGTATATCTGGGTGTGATGACAAGTCTCTTTATCAAGTTGCCACGTTACGATATATTTAGCCGCAGTCTGCGTAAATTGTACAGCTGCCAGCAGGATAACTGGATATGTGGGTCCTCCACTAGATTGTATACATCGGATATATCTCTTCATTGTCTAAAATCTGACAAGGGTGTGCCTAGTGGTAGAAAGCGTTGGGCCTCATATACCAATACCGCGCTTGATGCGAGTATTAAAGATTACAATGCTAAACTTGTTACCCAATGGCGTAATTCAGTATCCGCGGTGATGCTCCGTATCCTCGACAACTCTTTGGACCATGTAGTACCAGACTCAGAGGGCGTTTCACATATTATGGAGCTATACGATACATTGTGGTATACAAGTTGCGATAAGATTGGTTCTATTATGCAATCTTCATTATTTAAGTTGTGTAGTTTGTTCAAATCACAATTCCTGTCATCTAAAAACTCGGAAAACGTTAATGATGTTACGGTTATGCCAACGAATAGAAATTTGCCTGGTGTGAGTACTATGGGCTATTCCGACCCATTTGCGAAATGGCTAATCCGTAGAATAGTTACGGGTTTCCGAGGCATCATTAGCGAGGTATCACGTAAACAGGACAATAAGAAGGTATCTGGTAAGAGTCAAGATATGGCCGATGTATATTCTGCTGATAGTTCTATGTCAACGGTTAAAGGTGATGCATCCCTTCAACACTGGTCTTCTGACGTTCCCGGTGTGATTGATCTGAATGTTGAAAATGGTTTCTTCACTGCGGTTAGGTCCATGTTAACCTTGCTGAGCGCACTAAAGAGTAGTGCTACACTTTTCCAGCAAGTGATGACTGCAGTGTTACCATCATTTGTGGAATCATTGCATTTTGTGTTATTCCATCCTGATGACATGGAGCTTCTTGGCGAAGGCTATCTCATCTCATTTTCGCATAGCTTTGAGCCTCAACATTTAACAGGTAGCTCGATATCTCTTGAGGATTTAGATGGCCATTGTAACATGTTACTGGATCGTATCATAAGTATTTGTATTTGGGCAATTCCTATCCTGGACAAAGTTGTGAAGGAACAGGTTTATGACATTGTAGAGAAGTTTACACTGTCACTGTCTCATCCCTACTGTAACGCTGTTTTGAATACTGCGATTGAGATGGCCGGTACTACGGACCTTAACGATATCTGTTTGGATGTTCTGGGTGATGCTGGTGTACCTGATGTTCCTATGGTCTCTGAGGCAGCGGAGGTCCCCGAGGTCCCCGAGGTACCCGTTGAGGTTGACTTAACTGAGGATTCGGAAACTAAAATGGTTAAGAAAGGGGATAGTCCTTTCAGATCACTGTATAAGAACCACAAACGTCAGCGAATAGATACTGTTCATATAGAACCTTCTGATACTGATGATCAAAATGATATCTTATCTTCTGCTAGGCGACAATTTTGTCACTTCACCACACCTTCTTTGTCCAATGTGAAATTTGGAGATTATAAGATGTGGCTTAAAGGTACATCTAAGACATATCCAAAGCAGCTTTTAGAGACAGGTGGCTTTACGAATGTCGAATCATTTTTCGAACCTTTGGCCGTTTGCGAGAGGAAGAACGTGTTCAGTCATGTTGACTTCACTATGTTGTTAGGTAGCATAAAGTTGTTGTATGTAGAGCATAATGAGAAGGATATATTAGATTTGGAGATTGCCTATAGGATTCGTAACCTTTCACATCATGACGAATTATCGGAGTGTTATATAGAGCTGATGTTAGACTGTTTAGACCGCCCTAGCTGCGAATCCTTATCCGTGCGAAATCAGTTGCTAGCTTATATGGCATCTCTGTCTATCAACAACCATGCATTTATGAACGTATTTGAGCAGTTGTCTATCCCTGCAGATTTGTATTCTATATTAATGCACACTTTGACATCTGATGTAAGTCATAACAGGGACATGGAGTTCTACCTACCGTTATATCTCGATATGATCTTCACCTTATCATTGGATGATTGGGAGTTATCATTTTCCGATAATTACCCCGTGCTTCCGCCTTTGGTTCCGAGGAACACTCACCCGGATGTATGTCAAATCGATTTGATCTGTAATGACAACTACACATCTACGTTTAAGAAGACAGTTATGTTACTGCGCGATTTTCGTAAGATGTGTGGCGTTCCAGAACCTGTTGAGTTACTGCCCGAGGACAATGAGCCTTGTGAATTCGAACTTTCTTCGGATATCGTGGATGGTCTGGAAGAGGTATGTCAGATTATGCATGACTACCATATTGTCTATTTCGATCGTATTGCAACATCTTCATATTTCAAAGCTTGTCTTCGTTTAATGTGGCATTCCGATCGTGAGTTTGCTACTCAAATCTGGATGGCCGTGTTACCTCAAATCTATGGTAAATTTACGTCATTCCAGCATGAATCTTTAGGTGGTGCTATATGTGGTTATTTATGTCGTGAGGAGCATTTGTTTAACCATGGTGTTATGTCTAAACCTATTTTGAAAGGTCTCGTAAAATGTTACCCGCCTATAAACCTGTCTCCAGAGGTATTGAAGTACATCGCTGTTAAGCTGGGTTACTGGGATATCGCGTTGTATCATTTGGAGAAGCAATTGTTGTCCCAGCCGCTTGATATCACTCGTATGGCTACAGTGCTTTCGGACCTGTATGATCGTCTAAACATGGATGATATGACCATCGGTGCCTATCGTACCTGGGTGATAACTCAAGAGACTCGTCTTGCTGTCTGTTTCCTACAGCATGCTAAATGGCGTCAGGCTCAACGTGAATTTAACTCGATTATGGATTCTTTAGCTCTAACTGGTCAGACAGCTGAGGCCGTGTCAAGTTTCGACGAATCCAAGATTTGGTACAATGGTTGGGCGAAAGCTACTAAGCAATTGGGTGAATGGGATATAATTCGTGATGTGTCCTTTGCAGCTGGTGATCGAAGTTTGTTTATGCAATCTAGTAGTGTTCTTCAAGATTGGGGACATGTTTTGCCAGAGGATGGCCTTGATAATGTGACCAGGATATTTGCTTTGGACGACGCTGAGTATACAATAAACCGTGTATATAAGCAACTTCAAACTGATTTATTTTCCGTAAGCGACACTGGTCAGGACGTTACTTCGAGGTCCATAATAGAGATTGCGCGTAAACCTGCGAGGTTGATTAAGCGTGGCGAGGATGCGATACGGGATACGTGGTTACTATTCCCCCAGGAGCTGTGTGATGCTCATCAAGGTCCTTTACGTCTTCACCAGCGTTATTTGGAGATTAAAGAGGGTATGGATTATGTCACAGAGATAACTCAGTGTTTGGACAAGGGAAAGATACCTAGTTCGTCATCGCTAATATCTAAATGGCGTAGACGTTTACCTGCATCAAGTGATATCCCTTCTGTATGGTATGATATGTTATCATGGAGGACGTTTTTATTTTCCCGTGTTCGTTCAATATTATCTAACAGTGAGGCGGTTTGTAAAGATATCAAGTTGGTTTCAATATTGAACTTACAGGATCTTCAGTGGACCCTTACTAAATTTGCAACTGTTACTCGTAAATCTCATCATTTACCCTTGGTATCTGCGGTATTAGTGAACAAGGCTTTTAATTTCCACAAAAGTATCTTGGACCACAGCAACTTTGTGACGGAAGACTGCCTTTTCATAATGATTGAGCGTATGAAGCAGTATCTGTCGCTCCCATTGAATGTGATTGACATGTTAAAGGGTGTTATTAACATCGACCTTGATCTTATCCCCGGTTCAGGTTGTGAATCTCTGAAATCTCACATTATAAGGCTCGTTGCGGATTCTATTAACCGTAAATCTAATTATGAGATGACTAAGCGTCATGTATATAGTGATCTTGAGGTATCAACAAATTTGATGTTAGAAGCTCTAAAGTTGGAGCCTACGATTGCTAAAAACTGGTTATTATGGGCTAAGTATAATGACAAGCGTATCGACCATGCTGGTGTTTTACAATGGAAACCTAACGAGGGTATACCATTCCCGTTAGAATTTTATGAATCTGCTATTATGGGTTACCTCACCGCAGTGTCGATACGTCCTCATAACCATTGGCTGCTTATAGGTCGCGTGTTCACCTTGATGCATGAACTTAAGATATCATGTCAGATTGGTGGAGTTTTAGAAACGTTTAAGAAGTATAGTGAGCGTGTTCCTGCATCTGTATGGTTCCTGTGGTTACCTCAGCTGATATCAGGTTTAAGTCGTATCGATGATGTCGCTATGCAGCATGTTTTACAGTATCTTATGTCTCGTTTACCTCAACAGGTATTCTATTCGTTACGTTGTGAATACTTTGCTCAAAACGCCAACGGCGAGGGTGAGACATTGAACGAAGTGATGCAGCCTGGAACAATGAAACGTTTATTGAGTCGTTTGATAGCATCTAACCCTAATGTTGGTACAATTCTCGAATCATTCGCGGCTACAGTAACACATTTGGGTCGCCCTGACTTCCTTGATGAGATTTTATCTGCGACCGAGACCGTGTTCGAAGAATGCTTGGATCTACCCTTCAACGAGATTATCCCGCCACAAATGTTCAACTGTCTTGTTATGAAGATGCCACATCGTTCTTCTATGATGCCGGAATGGGACGCATCACCGCGTGTATCGGAGATGATGAAGGAATTTGATAAAGACTTTAGTGAGGCTAGTCCATCCCTAAACTGTGGTGAGACTATGAACCTATTGCTTAAGTGGATGGTTAAGTTGAACGACGCATCTAAAACGTGTGAGGCTGATTCTTTGAAGCAGCGTATGACCAATATGAAGGTGAACCAATTCTGTCAGCATCTTCAGATGTTGAATGTTGAGTTACAGTTACCTACATTACAACCGAGTGCTAGTTTGTTATATCCTAAGCAGCGGCAATGTCTTGGTGAATGTTTGAATATAGTTTCAATTCTTCAGGATGTTAAGAAGCGTAAACGTGGGCGTCACATCGTCAAGTCGATATCTCTTCTTGCTCAAAACGGTCAGGTATATGTTTATACTGTCCAACCTCTCACGTTATTACGTCAAAAATCAGATCAGCATGTTAGTCAGATGATGAAGTTGCTTAACCATTATGCTGTGAAGTATAACGAGATGCTTCGTCGTCATGTGACTCTTCCATCTGTTAACGTAGTCTCTTTGGACCCGTATTTATGCCTTTATGAGGAGGCTACTGAGGATGAGACCTTTTCTCATGTATTATCGCAAACAGTTTCTTATGAGAATTTGGTTGTTGAACGTCCTGATTACAAGAATTTGATGCGTACGCATCCCACTATGCATCACGAGACGAACACATTGTTGTTAGTTTTGCACAAGATGATGATGGAGACGGGTGTGACTCATCAATTGGTCCAGCGTTGGCATAAGTTTAACCCTGAATGCACGGAGAACTTAACATTTATTCGTGTCTACCAGCTATTCAAAGACAAGCAGTATCCTTGGTTCACGGCTTGGTACAAGAAGATCCATCAGGATGTGCTTATGGAGGCTTATAGTGAGATTTGCGCTTTGATTCCTGACAACATTTTCGTTAACTATGCTATGAAGAAGTACAGCACTTACCAAGACTTCATGGATCTTCGTCGTGTGTTCACTACAAACTATGCCATTCAGGCATTGTTAGGTCTGATGTTTGTCACTCCCTACGCCACTCCTTGTAAGCTGAGTGTGAATTTCAACACTGGTGAGGTTAAGCAGCTAGACTTTCGGTTGAACTATTCTCGTGAGATATTTGTGGAGTACACTAAGCTTCGAGTCTTCAGGTTTACACGGAATATAAAGAACATGATCGGTCCAGTTTGTCGTATGGGTATTATGCCTGCAGTGATGTATTCGTTATGTTCTACTATCCATACCTATAAGGTTGATATTCAGGGTGCTTTGGGAGCTATTCTGAGTGACGACTATAGTTTGTTGCAATCTGCATCGAGTACTACTATGTACAAGCCCGATCATCAGGGTAACCAGGTTACTGGTCAATGTTCGAGTAACGGTTCAATGCCATCTACTCCTGGCATGCCTCCACACCGTGAGCTTAACCATGTGGATGAGTACCTTGGTCGTGTTCTTAACTACTGTTCTTATCTGCGTTCTCCAACGGACCAGGATCAGTGTACGATGCCCATAACTAACATTATAACGTGCATTATTGATGCATCAGCTGACTCCAGCACGTTGGGCAAGCTAAAGACCAGTTACCAGCCCTGGTTTTAGTTTGTTCTGTATGAGACCTTTATTGAATCTACTTACTGCATTAGCTTATTACTATTGGTTGATTTGATGTGAATGTGACATTGCCCCTTGTAGGACACCTGAGAGCAGTGAGTCTATACGGCACCTCGGATGGTAATAATTCTACCAGTGTGAAGTTGATGACACGTTGTGTTTCGAATAGGTATCGTGCCGATGCTGACGGTGTTCTCCCATTTTTAGATAGACCTCCGTTTAGATCACTGTACAACACAAGGTCATAGTTTCCAGTTTGTTCTGCTGATTTATCATTATCGTTAACTCTCCTAAACCTCGAGCTTGGACCGCCGCAGTGAGTGCATGATGTGCTGAGGCAGTACGTATTGTCGTTGTAGTTGAAGTTACATTCGATATTTTTTTGCGAAGGGTACGTTGCGGCGTGTGCCGACGCTAGCAGTACGAAGAAGTCGCTGAAAATGATAGGTGGTATTTCTATCCTTATAGCGAGCAGTGTTGGTATTTTCACCTGAATATGTATTGGTTCATGCATATCTACCCGCTGCGTGTACATTTCTTTGTTATCTTGAGAGCCATATTGTGGATATGGCATTGGTTGCACGATGCATTTTTTTGCTGAGTATACTACTATTCTGAAATGTGCGCGATCTGAGGGTCTGAACGTCGATGGTATGAGCACATATTGTCCTCCTTTAAACATCCTATGTATAGAACAGCATTGTAGTTTATAATCATTGGAGCTGATAACTTGATCACTTTTGAGCGTCCTTATGGTTGCTATTCTTCCTGAGAATATTCTGAGATTGACAGATACATTTCCTGACGTTTCTAGCAGTATAACCGCTTCTCCCAGGTCCTCGAATAGAAGTCTATAGTGTGGATTGATGAAATAGTTCCATATATTGTTTGGGCTTCCTCCGGCATTAGCATCCGTCCATTTTCCGTGTATAATAGTGCTATGCCAGTGAGGTTTAACAAGACAGGGCATAGAAGTGAGTTGTACCGGTCTTGAGCTCATTGCACGTATAGTTAATGGTGCATCTTCTGTTAATTTTTTTGCGTAGCTTGATACTAGCACTAGTACCCCTGTGTCATCTCCTGATACGTAAGTTTGTATAGGTTTACCGTTGAGCTTGTGTTTTGTTGTTGTTTGTGATGCCGATGTTCTTTTCAATAGTAGTTTAACCAATATGCATTCTCCATTACTGTATATGCCTTGTACATCCGGTAGCGTAGGGCATACAACAACATCTTTTCTTGAGAAGACATGCATGGCGAGGTATTTATGTGGATCATCAGAATGTTGTCTATGTTGAATCAGTAGTAGCCATACAGTGGCTGAGTTATGATTTTGGAAGGATACGGATAGATTGAATTGTGGATTGAATAGTGACAGGTGCATATCATCTTGTACCATTGATTTGATAAACCTATAATCTGGTTTCCATATTTGATGCATTGTGATTTTATTTTTGAATATATTTGGTTTCCACGATATATATAAATGTGAGAACCAGCTGAGTACATCATTCCATTCTATCCAGAACAATCCATTATCCTGTGTTGGATTTGGGTTATAATGTAATATTTGTTTCATTTCTTTTGTCCATGAATCTTGATCTCTTGGTGAGAATTTTTTTGTCCATGATACCGTTCCCCATGGATTTTTGAGATACATCATCCTTGCTCTTGGTTTATTAGCTATTAGCACATCTTTGATATCCAGTACACTGTAAGCGTGGTTACTTACAATTCCTGACGATGCCGATATGCCTTCTATACTATCTTTATCTGATATTCCTGCATCTTCAATATCGCTTGTTCCTAGAGCTACAACGCAGGATCCTGCACAGAATCCTGCATATAATACATCCCACATGTCATTCCATTTTTCTGGTAAGACTTCGTGTTCATAGTTATTAACATTTTTGCAAGCAGTCTGTGGCAGTGAAATGATATCCGGTATCCATCCAGTTAGGTGGTAAGTGTCGATTCCTGGATTTGTTCCTCTTACATTATACCTTCCTCCATTTAATTTGACAAACGCCTTTTCTAGTATTGTCACCCAGCATTCATCTTTATCTGTTGAGTGTGCGCATAATAGTCTTCCATCACTTCTTACGGGTACCCAATCATCTACTAGTACACATCTCGGTGCTCCATTGAAGTTCAATTTTACGGCAATAGCTATTTGTGGATTTTCCGTCTCTGATGCCAGTTCTCCGAACGGTAGTGTTAATCCGAATTTTGAGTATCCTGCATCCCCTCTTTTCACCCATTTGATAATATTGGTTAACATCGGTGTCGAATGTTTCCATTCATAATCAGCGATTGCTGCTAGAGCCGCTAGGAATGAGCAATCTGCAACAAATCCTTGTTTAATTTTATTACTGTTAGGTTTACCATTAAAGAATTTGATATTTTGTCCTTCTTTAAATAACCTTATCCATCCTCCTAACCTTTTCTTTTGTTTATGTGTGAGTTCTGGTTTTCCTTTCGTATCTTCCCAGATTGTTGTATTGATTGGTCCCTGATATGTTTTGATTAGATACCATGGTGGAGCTACAAACTCCCTTAATATTGAGCTATGCAATACTACTGGATCAAGTGATTGATTTATATCCTGTGTTGTCTTTTCGTTATCATTAGATTCATTTCCAGAATTTGGTGATTGTACTGCCCGTTGTATTTTTCTGGTTATACGGGCGAAGCATGAAATTCTTTCTTTTGCCATTTCGTATATATTGTTATATCCATTGGCAATATGTTTTGCTTTTTTCTGTATATTTTTGTATTTTTGTTATGACTAGGTGTGTAGTCCTGTTTAGCTAGCCATACACACTTGTTAAATTGTATTTTGTAGAACTATGGTCCCGTGGTTGTGTTAATGTGGTCCCCGAATGTTTTTGTGCTTGTTATTTTCAACAAGTGGTTTGATCCTGTGTAGTACACATGTACCGTTTATTGTTAATTGTAAAGAATCCTGTAGCGTTGTGTAATTTTTACACAGTAATATTTAGACTTTGCGTGGTATGATTTTACACACCAGTTATATGTCTCTATACAATTATTGAATAAGTGAGTATCATGGGGATGTTACCCGCATGACGGTGTTGTGTGTCGATTAGGTTGTGTAATCCCCGCACCATACCCCCGCGTTGTAATGATGTATTGAGTTGTGTCATTGTCTGTTAACTATGGCTGATTTGGGCGTTGTTAAAGATTGCGTTCCAAATCTTGACACTGTCAAGTCTGAATTACCGTCTGTTAAGTCGTTCCGTGAGAAGATCTCCGTCCACAGTCATATTAAGGGTCTTGGTGTGAATCCTTCCATTTTCAACGTGGACACATCGCTAATAACAACTCCTGGGGATGTAACTGATAAGACATGGCAGTCTTATATAGATTGTTTCGATATTGGCTGTGGATTGGTTGGCCAATACCGTGCTCGTGAGGCAGCTCAGCTTGCTGTTGATATGATAAAGTGTAAGAAGATGGCAGGTATGTATCTGCTATTTGAAATTATATAATTTATATCATTACTGTATCATCTTCTACTGTTGGTTTCTCTAATGGTATTATAGGAAGGGCCCTTTTGCTTGCGGGCCCTAGTGGAAGTGGCAAGACCGCTCTTGCCATGGCCATAGCTCGAGAGTTGAACACATCGGCGCCTTTTACTGTCCTTTCTAGTACCGAAGTTTTCAGTAGCGAGGTTAAGAAGACTGAGGTTTTGAACGAGGCATTTCGGAAGTCAATCCATATAATCTTGAAGGAGGAGAAACAGGTGTACGAGGGTGAAGTGACCGAGTTGGTTGCTGAGGAGACTGAGAATCCTAGTGGCGGTTTTGGTACTTGATGTTATTTATTTTTCTTATGTGTTTACAGCAAAATGCATCAGTGCCGTGATCATTACCCTTAAAACTGTCAAGGGTACCAAGACATTGAGACTGGCGCCACAGATCCATGACCAACTTGTTAAAGAGAAGGTCACTATAGGAGATGTGATTTATATTGATGCCACGACAGGTGTGTTGATATACAAATTGTTTTATATGAATCTCAGGTCAAGTGCGACGTTGCGGTCGCTGTGACAACTACGCTACTGAATTTGACCTTGAGGTTGAGGAATACGTCCCGCTTCCAAAAGGGGAGGTGTATAAGCATAAGCAATGCGTCCAGGAATTATCGCTGAACGACCTTGATATGGCCAATGCTCAGCCAACGGTGGGTCATTGCATCATTGATTTTCAATTTCGTTATAGGGTGGTAGCGATGTGTTATCTATGATGAACCAATATCTTCGTCCTAAGAAGACTGAGATTACTGAGAAATTGAGGTTAGAGGTTAACAAGGCTGTTAATCGTTATACCGACATGGGTGTTGCTGAGGTTGTTCCTGGTGTGCTTTATATCGACGAGGTCCACATGTTCGATATCGAGTGTTTCACTTACTTGACAAAAATGTTGGAATCTCCATTGTCTCCAGTAGTGATATTATCTACAAATCGTGGTGTAGGTTCGTGCTGACAATTTGCTTGCATGCCTTAGGTCTGTACCGTCCGGGGTACTGAGTCCATCGAGCCACACGGTATCCCTGTTGATTTGCTCGACAGGTTGATGATCATCAAAACCCTTCCTTACACCATTGAGGAGGTTCGTCGTTACTACATTATTTCCACATTATACATCCACAGATGGTCCAAGTGTTGCGTATACGGGCGAAGGCTGAGAACGTGCCACTGAGTGACGATGCTCTTCTTCGTTTAGGTGAAATCGGTGCTAATACTAGTCTGCGCTATTGTATGCAACTACTCGCTCCCGCCAATATTTTAAGAGAGCTCGAACAGTCTGTCGTCCTCGAGAGGCGGTTCATCGACGACGCCGATTCGCTATTCATGGACTGTAAGGTCTCAGCACAAAGGATAGCGAGACAAGCTCACATGTTCGTATCTTAATTGTCATACCTATCATTAAATGTGAAATTCGGGTCCGCTGTTTAGACTCAATACATCTAAATGTATTGTGGAAAACCTTTTGTAAGACTATACAATATATGTTGTTTCTCTTATAATTATTATTAAATATGTATAAAATTAAAATTGCAGAAGGTTGCTATAGATAGTACCATAATTTTTCATGGTTTAAAATAATCTATCTTTCTAGGCGTCATCTTCTGCGATAAGAAAACGAGCGGTGTCACATTATGGCTTCTAGCCAATCTCCAATGCGACCTAATATGTAATATATCGAGAGGGATAGTTAGAACATAGAATAGGTAGGCGATAGCGACCAGCCAGAAGGTGATAAGATAGTAGAGGAAGTCGCGACGCAAGGCGTAAAGAAGATTATTAATGGCTTTAAAGAGGTTCGCGAAAAGATCGTTTTGAGGATCCGCTGGTTTATGTAATCTATGTAGTTCATAGTAGAAGTTGTTACAGTTACGTTTACAGTACCCATTGTACCACATCTGGTTGATAGATTTACCGTAATATACCCCAGTTAGTGAAACATAATAGAAAAATAAAAATCCATATTTGTAGAAGAGAGGAAGAGCTCCTGCACATTTAACGATAGAGTCACAGGAGCATTGCTTCCCTTCATTATAGCAATCGTTGAGCGTTTTGCATGCTCCTGTGCAACCGGAATCTATGCATTTTATCATTCTGAAGCTTCAAGCAACTCCGCCAGACCCTTTTTCAACTCCTCAGCAAGATAGACTATTCTGGAGATATAGGAGCTAACAAAATCCGTAGAAACATTGCAGTATATACCCCAAGAATAAAATCCTAGATATTTACCGCACGTATTACCGTTGGCTTTGCCATACCTATCGGCATTGGAACAAGGACTGTTGTATATGCTGTTCAGGGAGACGTAGCCTTGATTATGACCGTAAATAGTCTTTCCTTCGTTTGGTTTATCACCTACATACTTACCAGTAAGTCTTATAACTGCTTTAGTTAATTCATTACCATATTCTCCGGATGACACTTTAGCTACCTCTGTTTCCAAAGCCTTACTTATCTCGATTTCAGTTACAATAGTACGATTCGTAAGTGTGTTACTAAGCATATTTCCTAAAGTTACAAAAAATCCAAACAGATCGCCTACGGTACGGGGCGTGCGTAAGCTGAAACATATTAGGCAGAGAATTATATTATATATACTTGCGTGCGTGATTTTTTCATCAGTGTATATAGATAACATCCGTAATAGGTAAATTCCATAACGTTTGGTGTGTAGGTGTGATGCGAAACCCATGGTAATTGTAAACAATTGATTTAAGGATAGATGATTTATATGCTCATCATATGGCAACGTAAGCGTTTCTTTAGGGCATTCGCATTTAAAACCTGGTAGTTCGTCACATAGGAATGCTTGGAGGGGAGAACGTGTCCTACTTTCCCCGCATTTTGCCAAGTGACCGTCCCAAAGTTTGCATTTGTCAGGATCATTGTGACTTGATGGATCATGAGGCGTATTGCTTTCACACAACCACGATTTAATATCTTCACCCCGCCACGCCTGTACCGTATTTACACCATGCCCATCCACATGCCCTACCGAAACATGCGGAAGATCGGTTATTCAGAATATATAGCTGGAAGTAGAGACCACATACTATATCCCATAACATACTAAACCATTCACGTATATTCCCCGGGAAGATGAAATTGAAGTGGGCATTGTATAAATGTCATGAAGGAATACCTTACCAACGGACTTTGTGTCTTTACCTCGCAATTCACCTTCAATTATCAAGAGAACGAACCCAGCACTACAACAAGGTGGAAGCAAATAATTACAGGCTTCTTCGAGTTTCAGAGTAATGGCTGAAGTTTTGATAAAACTGTCTTTTCCAGCTATTTCCTTTAACGTATTACTGTCGATTTTACTGTACACTGGTGAATATGGTAGAGCCATCAACCAATATAACATTTCACGAATACTCGTTGGCTTGCGACAATGTGTAAGTGAGTTATTCTTATATTGTATTCGTTGCATATAGTAATTCGTAAAGTTGTAAAGTAGAACCAATGATGTTTTTCCACTTCCAGTAAGCAATTCATTAACGTATTCAGCATAATGACCTGCAATACTGTTAACATTTAAAATAAATTTCAACAATTGCGGGACGTCAGTTGCAGTCTTCTTTTCATTCAATTGCGTAGATTCAAAACCCATTGCGACCATGTATACACCAAGGCGATGGTTATCATTCGTGATTTCTTGAGGATTTTCGACTTTGGAACCATCTGAGCTCCATTTGCCTGCCCACCTAGCTAGGGTCAGGCATTTGCTTCCAAATCTCTTTGCCACTTTGACCACCCACATCCACCCTGACCACCTGTTCATTTAGGGCACTTTTATTACATTACCAGCAAAGATAGCTCAGCGAGGCGAAGAATAGAGGTATACAGCCTAAGTAGATCTTGGCATAAATGATTTTATTCGTTTCATTCCAGATGGATTGAACTTTATAGGCGGAATAGTAAGGTTTTGGCGGTTGGGTGCTCCACGTAAGAGCAGAAGCACTGCAGACATTCTGTTGAACGGTCTTTTCGTTGCTGAAAGTCGATAATATCTTGGTAATATCCGGGAATAGCGTCTATGATTTTGCCATGGATTGAAGAAGCACTGGGAACCGAACATTTCATAGATGGGATATAGAAAAGGGTGTCAAAATGATGTGTTAAGGTGATATTGATGGCGCAATGGTCCTTAGGCAGAGGTGATGTCTGTTCACATGCATGATGTTCCATGAGGTGGTACCTACTGATATCCTGGATTAGTACGGGATATGGTAGCCTTTTTGGTGTTTTATGACCATGCTAGTTTCAACGTCCTAGGTTGAAATGAAATGTGTGGAGACGCTGGTATACAGTGGATGAACATCTTTCCATCGTTTTTGTCATCCTAGCCTGTGATCCCGGACGTCGGTGGAGCAACAATAACCAGGCAAGATAGAGATTTGCCATGGCGGCAGAAAGTACCACAATAAACAGCCGGCGTCGCCATATTCAATCATTCTAACCCCTTTGATTAGATCCTTATCATATCCTGTATCATACAATTTATCATGCTCTATGCAGAATATGCACATTTTTCAAGATATAACGTTTCATCATAACATGTAAACAGACACATCATGATTATATGAATAGATACCACGTTTTTTTATTGAAATTACCCATTGTCCATTGAAATATAGGTATGAAATGATATGTCATTGGCCAGTTCGAGATGTCGATATTCAACTAGTCCTAAGAAAAGTGATTAAAATGTAATAGATATTACTCACCCTGTAATTTCTGTCATTTCACTTTGTATCTGCATAGCCAATCTTGCGAACTTTGTATTCATACCAAGTTCACCCTGATGGTTTGTGATTGCTCTATCTATTTGTATCGATGTGTATCCGAACTTGTCTTGTACCTTAGCTGCGATGATAGCTTGTACTGTTAGACTTGCAGCATTGGTATTCAATTCAGGTTGTGCAGTTAAAGGTTGTTGTGTAGTTTGTAGATTCTGCAATTCAGCCAACATGAACTCGTATACAGCCACTACATCATCCGCTGGTATATCAGTTTCATCTTCTTCAACGTCTCCTTGTGGTAAATTGATCATCCTCATGATATGAGCTCTGACAGCAGGGTCATTTTGATATCTTTCAACTAGGTAGTCTAGGTCGAAAAGTGTGAGTCCCTTTGTCTTCAAAGGGTCAATAGGTACCTCGTTAACGATTCTTTGATATAGTTCTTCCATGGTTTCTTTAAAATCGTTTTCAATTAATTCTTTCACTAAAGTCTTGATTAATGTCTTTGCCTTTTCTTGGCTGACTGCGATTTTAGCAAGTAGATCAAGTACATCTGCTCTTGACAATTTTTCAACAATTGAACTTGCAGAGTTCATAACACCAGCACCGTATTCTTTCTTGTACAAATCGCAATCATCTTCAGGTTCTTCGTCCTTGACAAGGTAATAGACAAGCCACGCTACAGCGACGGCCGCACCTATAAACAATGTCCCCTCATATTAGATACATATAACTTACCGGTCATAACCATTGCTTTTGTGTAATTGTATCCCATTTTAATAGATATATGGCCTTGAAAAATAATATTCCGTGAAAGAAATTGGCTAAAGGTGTACCTCGGGTTACTTTGATCTGCAATACCTTGCTATGTGCCTTGGGGATATAGAGAATGTTGATTGTATAAATATTGGTTAAAATATTCCTATAGTGACTGTCATATAAAGCTAGCTACTGATATTCATCTAGATTCCTGTGTTGATTAAGTAGTTTTTAGAGCGGCTATTTTGACTTCCGCTGGTATATATAGAGGACACAGTCATTTATAATAGCTGTACTTTTTTCAATGGCAGTATTTCTATAATCGAGGCGAATCGATAACACCGGTCAGACCCACACTCGATGGGGGAGAAACGGTCTTCCGCCCTTTAGAGAGAAGTGCTAATTGGTGTTGTATCAGTGTCTCTATTTTTTTAAACAATTCATGTTAATACCGGTGTGTATATCCGAAATGTTACCATTAACCCATTTGTCTCGGGGTTCTCCGTTTCCATAGGTGCCAATTTACCACAATGTCTAAGAAGATTCAATACAAGAGACAATCCATTTCAATACACAATCCCATCGTTCTATTATATATCCATACTATAAATGTGTAAAGTCAATTATAATGTAGTAATATGTTACATTATAAAATGTTTATAATGTAACATGTTTGCTCACATTGGCTATTAACAATCTGTCAATATTTTTCGTTTTAAAAGATAGTTACCCTCTTTGATACACTGATATATCTGTGTATGTTAGCACTATGAGAATTGATATAGATTGTTTATTTAGAAAGTTCTTTTTTCATGGTCGACCCTAATAATGCTGGTGTTTCTGCTACAATGATCCCTGCGTCTTGCAGTGCCTGTATTTTGCCCTGGGCGGTACCGGTATTACCACTGATGATAGCTCCAGCGTGGCCCATCCTCCTACCGGGAGGGGCACATGTACCAGCGATAAGGGCCACAATAGGCTTATCAGTAGGGTTCTCCTTGATCCATGCGGCCGCATCCTCCTCAGCACTTCCACCAATCTCGCCAATTAACATTATACCTGTAAGTTGTATTTGATCCATAGCTGAAACGTACCTTTAGTTTGTGGATCGTCAATAAACTTCTTCAAAACATCAATAAAGGTTATACCACCAAAGGGGTCGCCACCGATACCGACACAGACAGATTGACCTAGGCCGTTACTAGTGGTCTGTGTCACAGCTTCATAGGTCAGCGTGCCGCTCCTACTGACGATACCTATAGAGCCCTTCTTGTGGATATGGCCGGGCATGATACCGATTTTACATTCACCAGGTTTAATAATACCCGGGCAATTAGGACCGATCAGTTTAGACTTACAGGTAGGGTCACTTAACATAGCTTTTACCTTGATCATCTCATGCTGAGGGATACCCTCAGTGATACATATGATCAGCGGCATCTCGGCCTCAATAGCCTCGATGATGGACCCGGCTGCACTTGGAGGTGGCACGAATATCACCGTCGCATCAGCACCCGTTTCTTTCATAGCCTCAGAGACATTGGAAAATACAGGTAGAGTATGCTTCCCTTCAGAACAATGCCAATATGTACCAGATTTACGAGGGTTCACACCACCAACAAACTGGGTTCCACAATAGTTAAGGCATCCTTCCGCGTGTAAAGAACCCTAATGAATCATATTTACAACATTTATATATTGGTTCAGACATTTTACAGAAGCTCGGATATTGCATTGCAATATAGCTCAAATTAGCATGGCTAATGGCCAATCATCACTTTTTTATATACATACCTGTTTACCGGTAAGGCCTTGGCATATTACTCGGGTATTCTTGTCAACGTACACCTTGGCTGATGATGAGAAGCCACGCGCTAGTGACAGCGCCGGCACCTATACAGAATGTGTAATCGACAATGTCGCCATACCCTCATGCTACATACACGACCAATACCGTGAACCATCATTTTCAACAACTTACCAAAATTGTGATAAGTGGCACCAAGGTACAGACACTGCCACATAGCGCGGCGGAGCCCCGCGCTATATTACGTGTAAATGAATTTTAGGGAAAATAATATCTTATATTATATAAATAACACTTCTAATATAGAAGGTGTAATTAGTTCTCGGCAACTTCCTTAAAAAAAGGATGAGCCATAGCACCGCGAGGTGTGATCCTCATCGTGTGATCATATACAAGCATTCTGTCGATGAGATCAATAACCTCTGGGACACAGAGATGCTGGTTATCATGGTGAATAAACTTCAACCATGGTTTACGTGGGTAACTACCCAATATCTTCTCGTATACCGGGGCCACTTTGAGCCCGTATTTCATAAAATAGGCACGCAAATCTTCCGTACCTAAAACCATAGCGATCTTCACAAGCTGGTCATAGTTATCGTGACCATAAAAAAAAGGCTCCTTTTTAAATATTATACCAGCTAACATACAACCGATACTCCAAATATCAAGACTGTAATCATAAAGCTTCATATCAACTAACAACTCGGGACCCTTGTAATAACGACTGGCAACACGTACATTATACGCTTGCTCAGGATGATAAAATTCAGCTAAACCCCAATCTATCAATTTTAAAATACGCTTCTCATGGTCGATCATGACATTATGCGGCTTAACATCACGATGCATTATACCCTGGCTATGGCAGTAGTCCACTGCCTTGAGCAGTTGGTACATGTAATACTTGATATCCAGTAGGCTCAGCGTAGGATACAATGTTTTGAAATCGGTATTATTCACGTATTCGAATATAAGTGATGGAGTACGACTCTGAGGGTCCCTAACAACATCTAATAATTGGATAATATTTGGACCGCCACTCAAATTCTGAAGTATCTTTATCTCACGCTTTATCTTCTTCTTTTTCAATGGTTTCAGTATCTTTATCACACAACGCTGTTGTGTTACAGTGTTAGTACCCTCAAACACCTCGCTGTACTTGCCACGGCCGATCTTACGAACAATTTCATAATTTGTAGGAAAACTCCATGTTATAGTTATGTTCTCATAATCCCAATACTCAGGGCCACGCTTGCTGTTCACATCCGCGTAATACTTGGGCAAAATGATAGGCAAGTCAACGTTTGGGTACGTACCCCGGCTACTTACGCGCTTATCGCTATCAACGTCCATAGTTGAACCTACTTCGTAGCAACTATCGCACTCCTCAAAAGAAGGTATTGGGACACTAGAACATCTACGTGAACATATAGATGGGCGACGCAACAATCGCACGCTCAACCACGATAAACACCCAAACTCATCAACGCGAAACGGACCAACTGACACACCCCTGTGCAACGACGAACATAAAAAATTTGATGTTAGACATAGTCGCCATAATTTAGGCGATAATCTCATCACAATCCTAGTACCAAAAACACATTATATACACACTAATAAAACAGAATCAAGAAAGAGAGCCACGAGACCCCACACTATAACTATCAAGTTTATAACCGAAGTAAATCGAGTTATAACTCGTCACTGTAGCCACTGTCATCAGCTTGCTCAGATGAACCGTACAACTTGCTAATGATAGGGTTACAGATAGACTCAACCTCACGTTGTTTCTCTGTGTTCTCTTGAGCATCAGCGTTAGGATGTTGCAACATCCACGTTTCAGCTTCATTAATTGCACGCAATATTATCTCCTTGTCATCCTCCTCGATCTTCTGACCCAACTTGTCCTTGTCTTGAACAGTACGCTTCATAGAATCAAGGTACACCTCTAGAGCCTGCTTGCTCTGAACCTTCTCAAATATCTCCTTGTCCTTCTCAGCATTAGCCTCAGCGTCCTTTATCATTCGCTCAATCTCTTCAGGAGATAAACGACCCTTGTCAGGGGTAATCACAATGTTACGCTTGTTACCACTGCCTTTCTCTTCAGCAGACACACTCAAAATACCGTTGGTGTCCACGTCAAAAGTTACCTCAATCTGAGGAACACCACGAGGGGCAGGAGGGATACCCGTCAAATCAAATTTACCGAGATGAGTGTTGTCCTTAGTCATAGTACGCTGACCCTGGTACACCTGGATGGTCACGGTGGACTGGTTGTCCGAGGAAGTAGAGAAGATTTGAGACTTGTGAGCAGGCAACAAAGAGTTCCTCTCAATAATCACGGACATAACACCACCAACTGTCTCGATACCCAAAGACAAAGGACACACATCTAACAATAACACATCGTGAGTAGATTCACCAGATAACACACCACCCTGCATAGCAGCACCGTAAGCAACAGCTTCATCAGGGTTAATACCATAATCAGGCTCCTTGCCGAAAAACTCTTCTATCATCTTACGAATCTTAGGGATACGAGTAGAACCACCAATCAGAACCACCTTCTGAATCTCAGTCTTTGACATCTGGATGGTCTTCAGCACATCCTTCACAGTGTCCAGAGTCTTCACGAACAGGTCCTCGTTCAAACTTTCAAATTTAGCACGAGTCAAAGTCTCATTAAAGTCCTTGCCATCTATCAAATCCTCAATCTCAATAGTAGTCTCGGTAGTAGAAGATAACGTACGCTTGGCCGCCTCAACCTCCTTACGCAGTTTCTGAACAGCCTGCTTGTCCTTCATAATATCGATACCGTGTTTCTTCTTGAAAATCTTTATGAAATGGTCCATAACACGACGGTCAAAATCTTCACCACCAAGGTGGGTATCACCAGCTGTGCCGATAACCTCGAAAACACCAGAGTCCAACATTAACACCGAGACATCGAAAGTACCACCACCAAGATCGTAGACGAGGATATTGGACTCGGTGGTAGCACGGTCGATACCGTAGGCAATGGCAGCGGCGGTGGGTTCGTTGATGATACGTACAACCTCAAGTCCAGCGATGGCACCAGCGTCCTTAGTAGATTGACGTTGAGCATCATTGAAATATGCTGGTACAGTGATAATGGCCTTGTGCACCTCTTTACCGAGATAATTCTCAGCAATCTGTTTCATCTTCTTAAGGACCATAGCACTGATCTCTTCAGGAGCGTACTCTTTAGTTTGGGCACCTTTAATCTGAATGTAAGGGCGACCATTTTTATTAACAATAGTGTATGGGAGTAATTTCATGTCATTTTGCACCTCTTTATCATTGAACTTCCTACCGATCAGCCTCTTTACATCAAAAATCGTGTTGGTGAAGTTAATTGTGGCGTCACTTTTCGCAGCCTCACCCACCTTGTGACCATCATCAGTGAAAGATACGTAAGATGGCGTGATACGATTACCCATCTCGTTAGTGATGATCTCAACACGACCGTTCTTGTAGATACCCACACAGGAATAGGTAGTACCCAAGTCGATACCGATAATAGGGCCCTCGACTGAACAACATTAAAAATACATAGATCATGACTTACCCTTTCCAGAACCACTATCAGCCAATGCGATGCCGTGGTTTATCAGCGATAACGCTGATAAAAAGGTGACCGCCAAGGTCGCCAAGATATTGCCGAACATTTTCAAGAAATTTGGGCCAAAAAGGTACCAAGTATCCTATTACAAATGTAACCCAGTATATAATGATATATACACCCCTAATGAGCGATAGCAACAACTCAAGGTATATTGGACACACACTACTTACAAGGCCACTAATATTTTTAGCGACGCTATGAGGTAGCCTATTACATAAATTAAGCGCACTCGTGACCGTGCTTTTTGGACACGGATGTACTGTAACTGACTCAGACACTCACCAATGTACAGATCAATTGGAACCACACTACCCCCATCACACAAAGTGCGCTACAAGTCAATATATATCACAATATATAGACTCAACCGTGGCACCGAACTTTTATCAACACTATCATCACACAAAATATTGACAAATATTATTACAAAAACAAATCGTCCACTCACGTCACCAATATACACATATACCGTTCGAAATACACAACGACGCTGAACCTACCAAGACAAAGATATGGCGACACTCAATATCAACCAAAACGCCACACACCAAGGACACTATGAACTATAACCAACTTAACAAGGTTAATCACGATGTCTCACGAATATTATCGACAAATATATTTCATTATTCACACATTACGAACAAACGACACGATAGATACGACTGATGTCATTGAACCAAGTTACACGGAGCACTTTAAAAAGTAATGCTCCAAACTGTTTTATCGACAAAAAGTAGGACAACGCAGTACCCTAAATGTCCTCCTTCCGGACACATGATTCATATTCCTTGAATAACTTGCTACACTGGAGAACCTTCTCGAAGTCCCTAGATATAAAAGGGTCGATAACTTGACTAGAAGATGAAACAGTCGCAGTTATCACACTCTCAAACTTGTTCAAACATTTAGCCAAATTCAACTCAAAATCACGACAAGGAACTTCGCCACCATGGTCCAAATCAAAATCAGTCTTCCTATAAGTAGCCTGGTTCGATAGAGCAAAATCTTGCAAAAAGTCACTAGATAGCGTTATACGGTGCCCGTCCATGGTCATCAATAATCGTATATGACAACCAATCTAGGCAAAATGTCCCGCTGGTAGTAATATTGGCACTACATTCAGTCGATCAAAAATTGATTATAGCCACTTTTACGGCTCACACGACGTAAGATAACGCCCTGACTGCTCTCCAAACGTTGAACAGACTCTGATAAACGGTCTAACCGCTCACATACGGATTCCAATGATGCTAAAATGCTACTTAAAGGGGATCGAACTGTTGTAGATATAGATGTAAGAACATCCACATTGGATTCCTGACCACTCAAAGCAACACCCTCATCAACAATAGCGATATCGTCCTTCTGAACACCAACATCGTACAACTCCTTAACACTTATCGCGCCCTTAGGTTCACACACCGCAGAATCAACCAAACACTCATCGACACCGTTAACAACAGGGTCCTATTAGCAATTAGACAATAAGGAAGCATATTCATACCTGATTATCTACACTGGGTTCCTCGATCTTAGGGTTAGAGTTTATCTCAGATGAGGCTAACAAAATTTATACACAATGTTAAATAGGACCTACTAAAAACACGTTTACCATACGGACACTTCAGTGTGCACGAAGGGGGGAGAGTTGCCTCAACCTGAGAATCCTCATCAAGCGACGCTGCAGGACGCTTAGCACCTGTAAGATATTAATAACACTGATATCAATGGGTTAATAGTGTTAAAAATAATATCATATTATAGAAAATAACAGTTACCTGGCGATGACACGTTAGTCTCCTTGACATCCATTGTTTAGGTTATTAACAGCTATAAACATTCAACAAGACAACTTTTAATACTAACAATTTTTATTGCCCAATGGTTACAACAACTGTAATTGATTATTATATACTTGTTGTGCAAGCGTCTCACCTGCTTTATGGAAAATTCCTCGTTCGACGACAAAAACCCTGCGGGGACAGATAAAGACTGCACATTCTGCAGAGTCACAGGAACAATATTCTTCACGGGACTCGCAATATACGCATTTGCTTGTGCAAAAAAATACAAAAATAAACCAATCGATAAATACTTCGCTAACATACTGGGAACTACTGCAATAGGCATGGGTAAGATATATATATATATATAAACACAAAGACGCTATATACAACTTACAGCAGTGTATAGAGGATATGGGTTCAGAAAAAACAAATAAAAATAAAAAAAAACGAATATGACTACAGTAAGTACTATATTCGTTTTTGATCTAGACCAAAAACCCACTGCACAAAATCCAACAGATGAAGAGATACAGGTAAATAACATTGAGATAGTCAAGATATTTTATAGGATGCCAAACTTCTGTATTATTACCCCGAACATCGGGAAATTGAAGAAAGAAGGGCACATTTTGGACTCATAGAAGGATTAATTGCACTACTGGGCTCTTTCACAAAGGACAATGTGGAGTTCCTAAGGACAAAATTAAACACCACAACGATACTGAAATGGCATAAAGATATATATCTCGTAGTCGTAAGTCTAATTTATCTCAACACAACATTCCACAGTGCTTCAATAATAATGATAAAAATAACAATGAAATGGCAGAATACAGTCAATACTGGAAACATCTAATCACCAAGGTCGTGCTACAGAACACGAAAAAGATATTCGAAATACTATACGGACCAATCGAGGCATTAATTCGACAAAAAAATAATACAACAGACACATCAACTATGGAACAACTCAGAACAGCTTTGGACAACTTTCTACCAACTTACCTCAACAAAGCCACGGAAGAAGTATTCAACATATTAAAAGGTAACCAAAAACAATGGCCATAAAATATAACTTTACAGATTGGAACGCATCATATAAAGCACACGCAAGTGTTATCAGCACTATAGATGCACAAGTAAGGCAATTTATGGAAATAATATAAGATGCAGAATATGGTCGCTGACCTAAAGATGGAATTTAGAGAAGTAAAGGAATGTCTGTTCATACATAAAAAAGAAGTATTACATACATCGTAAGTTAACAATCAAAGGAATTAAACATTTATAATAGATTAAGATTAGATGATATGCTACTACTGTACACTTTTCTTATAAAACATGAGGGAAGGGTATGTTACCACCAAAATCATATTAATCTACATCAGGTATTTAAGGATCCTGAAATGAGGATGAAAAAACAACAAAATATAACTGATGATATATATATTGTCGAGTCAGAAGCAGCAACGCCATTCGGACCACAGATACAAATGAATGGGCAAAGGTACCATCTAGCCGTAGTATGTTACGGAGAACTCACACTAGTACTACTCATCAAAACTGAAAATCTCATACTCACATTGAGCAATATCAAGGAGTATCTCACTGGCATACCCACGGGACTAAAAACATTATTGAGATCACTATCGCAATCGGCAAGTACATCAAAACTAAGGACTGTGTCACTCAATCTGGCAACAAAAACTATAAGAAGGTATGGAAAGATAAACAGAAAGTAACAATACACAGTGTCGGATATGACCATATCGATGAAAAGGCGTTGAGAGAACTATATATCACAAGAGGGATACATCACATTATAGAAGCTAATGCAGGACAACTTAAACGAATACATGTAAAGTCAGCAAGCGGTTGGATTAACGCGCAAGTGTCAAATGCAAGAGAAATGTACCTGATACTACCATCAGATAGACTGGGATTAAACGATGTGTCAAACACTTTCGACGATTTCTTGAAGAGCTATCTAGGAGGAATATACTTCATTTAAACATTCAGAATGCTAGTGTCAAAGTCTAAGTGGACCACGTGAATTGGGGCCACACGGTATGCAACCTTTGTTTGGTAGATCACCGTAGCCAGGGTCACCTGAGTACCAAACTCAAAAAATTCACCGTTACCGACCTGAAACACATTTAAATGGAACTATATATATTTATATATATATATATATATATATATATATATAAACTAACCTCATAGATACATTTAGAGTTGTGACGTGTAAATGCACTTGGGTCACTAGAATCCGGAAACATCACATCCAACTGGTCACCCACAGTAGTACTGTAGTCAAAGTCCTCGATATAGTCAGTCACGCCACGCTCGTCATAAATAAAAAGACATGACGTATGGAGACAACCGTTATCATGGTAGAATACCACTCTCTGCGTCTTTGGGATCTCATAAAAATCCTTTCGAAATTTTATACCTAAAAACAGTGTAATAACACGGAACTGAACATACCGTTGGATTTAAGCAATTGGAGAACACCTTTTAGCACGTTTAATTCCTCTAACTTGGCCTTCTTAGCTTGCTTCTTAATTTCGCACAATTTCTTATCGCGAGCACGCAATTTGTCAACACAACGCTTGTACACATTAACAAAGTCAGCACTGCCGCACTCCAACACACTCAACAGATCCCTATCAGTACCGGGGTCCTCACTTTTCACATGGTCATAGTAGGCCAGACAAAACGATAGAGCCTTCCTGTAAAGCTCAAGCTCACAAGATGCAACAGCAGCACGGTAGTACCTAAACTATATTTTAGGTGAAATATAGCAACATACGCCTTCACATTCGAAGCATCCCTTTTAATACTCTGATTACAATCGTCGATACACTTGACAAAGTTACCTAGACACACTGTCGGTAGACATTGTATAAAACTTACGCAGTTTAAGATGAACCAATGCCCGGTTAAGGTACAGTTGGGCATTCAGTTTAGTGTTATTGCACTCAGCATCGATGCCCTTAGTATAACTGGATATGGCAGCCTCGTAAAAATAAGGCCCCTGTTGCACATAACCGTTACCGACTTCCTAACGAAAATGTCGAAGTGTATATGGAACTGTACCTTATACTTCTCAGCGATAGATTCACGAGTCTCACCCTCTGCTAAAAGCTGATGCAATGCCTCAAGGTCCTCGTTACCAGATGGGTCATCTAGCGAAAACATAAAGGAAATCACGCACATAACCCACGAGGCAACTCCTCCATAAACAATGGATGGTCCACATCGCTGTACTGCTTGGTAAATTTACGAAGAAAATCTGGGTCTATATAATAATCATCGTCATCCATTGTAAAACATTTAAAAGAGGTCTATAACTCGTCGCGAGATACACCAGCTACCAGCTTAGGCAAGTGTGTAAAAGAACGACGCAATGTTATAGCGCCAGAAATTACGTCGTTAATAAAACGCTCAACGACTTCAATAGAAGAAACTTCTTCCAAAATCTATTGAGTAAAATTAAAAAAAATATGGACATAACAACCCACCTCAAATCTACCACGCTTACCACGATAGGCCAATAATTTTGCACAGCTCTGGTAAAATAAACATGTTGTAGATATGCCAAAAGATTCAACAAATGAAACCTAAAGAAATACATATGGTGAATATATAAACTAAAAAAACATACCTGCTCTTTAGCATCTAGGTACCTAACCTTAATAGGGTCATTGCTATACCTTTTAGCAATCTTATAAAGAGATTCGTGGATAGACTCTTCTGAACCCTTACCAAACCGAATAAACAAAAAACAATATTGATTGTCACGATCGCTACATTCACCTTTGGACATGCGACGGGCAGTCAATTTTGTATAAACACCACCGCTAACATTACCACCGTGACCACGAGTTGACTCAAAAACAGCAAGGTTCAACTTCAGTATCACGTCATTGTAATCCATAGCACCAAGGTTTATAGTAGTACCTACAGAAGATGATAAAAATAAAGCAAGAAAAAAATAACACACCTCGAAGACTAGCAGGGTCATCAACAATTATAAGAACACCAGTTTGAGTTAAACCAGATGGACCAAATTTACCAACAATCGCAGTATTACTACCACGAACAAAACCAAATGATACTTTACCATGCAGGTCCTTAGCAAGAGCCTTCAGCTTAATAAGATAAGCACCTTTACGGATTATCGCAACAACCTTCAACACAGCACTATCCTCATTTAAAAACGATGACAGACCCTTTGAGTCAACGAGCTCCACATACAGAGATGGTAAATGCTTGCTAACAAAAGACTCCAACTGATCACTAAAGTTACGCTTTTGGTAGTACACAGGAGTTTGAGGGCTACTGAACACAATGATCTGAGGAACCTTCTCAATATTGTGCTGGATACAGAGGTTATTGTAACGGTTACAGTTAACCGCATAAGTACGAATTGCACCCTTAAATTTTGTAGCAAACTCAACAAAAGCATGCTTTGCTTCACGACAATGAGGACATGTATCCATATAAAAAAAATACATGTTCATAGCCCGCAAATTTAAAAGACTAACCTTAAAACCATTTACATCAACATCATCAACTATAGTACCCTCAAACATACGAACCGTTCCGCCACCTTTATGACCTATAGACAATATGTCACGCAATACTAGACACTTACCATGATATGATTGATGACCACCGCCATGCTGACGACGGTTACCAAACCCAAATTGCTCAAAAAACCCATCAAACATACCATCACTCATGTCTATGGTAAAACCAGAACCATTACCATGATGCGACCAACCACCCTGATGAAAAAAGTCATGTGTCTGATAACCCTGACTTGGACCACTACTACCATTCACACCGGATTCACCATATAAATCATATTGCTGACGTTTATCAGCATCTTTCAAAACCTCGTAAGCTGTATTTATCGCCTTGAACTCATCCTCTCGACCAGGCGCAACATCAGGGTGTAATTTACGAGCCTTACTGCGATATGCCTTCGATATCTCTGCCTCACTAGCTGTACGAGGAACACCTAATAAACTATAGTAATCCTTACCATACACAAAACTGTAATCACTAATGAACCAAACTGTTACAGCGAAGATTCCTATAATACGACGTAAACGCGTCATTACAATACCTATTTCCATAGTAAACAATTATAAGTATCATGTTACTTGAGTTTTTATAAAATTAGTAATGTATTCTGCGGTGAATCGCAGTACACACTGCATAAAATCCAATGTGTTCGTGATGCAGTAACTAGGTGTGGGCTAAACATTACAAACCCATGCGATGTGTTCATTCAGGAATGAAACTAGCATCAATATTACCTTGCGATGCTGATTCTATACAAAAATGAAATTTAATCAACAAATATAATATACCTGTTATCAGAAGATCCTCCTCTGGTTGCGATAACACCTTGTTCCAAATTATCAAATCGCCACGCATAAGACCACGACGAACTATCTGACGAATCACAAAACCGTTCATCTTCAAAAATTGAAGATAAGCAGTGTTCAAATTGTTAGTGTACACACGAATCTCAGTATAACCAAAACCAATGGCAAAATTCTCTAAATGGTTCAACAATTGACTACCAACCTTCATATTACGACACTTCTTGCTAACCACTAAACGAACCATTTGAGCAATAGTAGACTTATTTCGATACGGAGCTATACCGATACAACCAAGGATCTCATTCTCCTTACAGTTGGTAGGAGTCAACACGTCCTTCAACTTCATAGCAGCCTCTACCTGGGTAGGATACTTTTTCATACCAATAGAACCATCACCTTCACGAGAAGGACTACTTTCACTATCAGGGTTAGAATGAGAAGAATCAACACCGCCCTCACTACGAGCACTCGTAGCAGACTCACGGTCATCATCCCTCGGTTCTTCATTGGGACCAACAGTTAACGCTGGTGGCTTCGAATCAAATACATTACCAATATCGCCACTCTCAGAAAAATAACCAACCCAAAAATTTGAACCTTTAGTACTACGATATGTAATATACACAGCATCAAGATCAGGACAACTATAACGAATGTGACGCTCTATCTCAAAACGAGCACGCACATATAAGTATACCAAAAAACAAATACAAAAGTAGACAAGACTACGTAAAGGTAATAAAAATGATATTATAGCGATTATAGCAATAAGATCATGCACATGTTGAACTATCCAATACATAATAGCAGGGAAAGTTTGTGATCGAAAATGATCAAATAAAAGCTTGCGAACATATTTCTCATCATCCTCATCAATCTCACGGATACGTAAAAACGAATTGTTGATTTTACGCTGGGAAACGGTACGACGAAGGTTACGAGGAGCAGGAGACGACCCACCCTTATCACTTTTACGCCATTTACCCAAAAACTTCCACATATTTTAAACAAATAAGGAAGCAGATTTCCAACAAATCTATAACCCAAAGTTAACAGAAGATACCGCACAAACGAAACAGGACACCACAGATACAATTTTATTAATAAACCCCGCAAACAATAACACCACCACGAACACACAATTATATTTCACATAAAATAACATAAAGTAAACGGAATCACGACACTATACCGCAACGTCGTTATTAATGTGACTATTAAATCTGCAATAATCTGAATGTCATCTTAAAAATTTAACAGTATTATAAGGTGAACACTAGTAGTTTCATGGTTTTCAGACAATAGCAAGCCGCAGCAGCCGTGTGTGCGCAATTATTGACAGTGCAATACCAAGACCAGACACGCTAGGTGTAACTAGAAAGAATCATGGGTGGGAAATAGGAAGACAATGGAAAAAAGAATGTTACACAAGGAGAATATCACGTTAACACACATTAATCAATTATTTTAATGACGCTACAATAAAATTCGCCCAATTTTCGTGCTGCTGCCTGCGACACCACACATACCTAGGAAGATCACCTGCTATAGCAGCAGCATACACATACTCATTCAATATCTTCTACCGAATAAACAAAACATTTTTCAAAAATGTACACGCTAGTATTCGTAAGACATGGTGTGTTGTGACAACAATAGTTAAACAATAATTTACAGGCGAAAGCACATGGAATAAAGAAAATCGGTTCTGTGGATGGGTTGACAAACCATTGACCGAAAATGGAAAAAACGAAGCTAAGGAAGGCGCACTAGCACTTAAAGAAACAGGAATATCATTCGGTACAGTATTCACCTCAGTGTTGGATCGCGCCATTAAAACAGCCGATATAATATTGGAAGTACTAGGACAAGCTAATGTACCAAGGATCACTTCATGGAGGTTAAATGAAAGACACTACGGTGCCCTTCAAGGATTGGACAAAGTGGCCACAGTGGAAAAATACGGACTAGAAAAAGTTAACCTATGGAGAAGGTCATTCAACATACCACCACCACCTTGTGAAGAAACAAGTGAATGGTATGTAGGAAATGATCCCATGTATGCAGAAATACCACGAAATGAAATACCCAACGGAGAAAGTATTGAACAATGCATCAAAAGGGTTAAACCATGCTGGGAAAATGAAATTGTACCGAAAATGAAACAAGGACAACCCATTCTAGTAGTTTGTAAGTCATACATATAATGATAGTTACATAAACGTCCTTTCCCAAATCATACACATATATACACATTTCGATGTCGTTTTGTAACAATGGATATCAAAATACATATTATAATATACATTACACAATGTTTCGACCAACATCGAATGCATATTCATCGAATTGTATACCGGATCACATCTTACACAGCTCACGGTAACGCACTGCGCTCACTCATGAAGATTATTGAAAACATCTCCGATGAAGAAATTGTCAAACTCAATCTACCAAACGGAGTACCACTGGTATACAAGTTCTCTTGTGACATGAAGATTGTGGAAAAGAAGTTCCTTCTATCAGATGAAGAACTTAAGGTAAGCTAATGTGTTGGATTCCTAATCTGTTATAGGCAAGGATGGACAAAGTAGCAAACCAGCTTCTTAAAAAAAATTAAAAATATTTACACATTCAGAATTAAACAACTTGCCTAATCATTTTCAACAACAACATGACAATTTACACAACTGTAGTGCTAACAAGTCGACATGGCGCATCACATACAATTTATACAAAAATGGCAAAAGATATGTATCTAATGTCCTGTATGGTTATATCGACATGGGCCTCAGTAGTATTGGTCATAATAGGCAGGATTATAGCCAGCAAGGACGACCTCATCGCGATACCCTCAAACGTAAAAAGGACCAAAGAAGTCGCATCATATATCACAGCATTGGTAAGATAATATTATTATAATCATAGTTTTGTAGGTACATGTCATAACGGCAGCCGTTTGTGCCATTATCAAATATCGCAAACCCAAAGTGGATTTAAAACAAACAGATCACTCCAAATCTAACATTGCAAATTAAATTACATACATCTCCATGATCTACATAACTCTATAAATGTTTTCATTGTACGAATGTAAGCCTCAGAATTGTCAATTTGGATGTTGTTGTGACCAGCACCAGAAACCCACCAAGTACGCAAATAATCCTCAGGAGTCTTTACTAAATCAATACAACTATCACGAAAACTAAATGGTGCAGATACAAAAGTACCAGGATCAACAGAACAACTCGATAACAAATCACGGTGACGACACTCAACTATAGACGCCAACTCAATCGCATGGTCTATAGGGATCACACCATCCGATGTACCATGGATTATCAATGTAGGATACAAATCCTTAGCTTTCAAAAACTCAACGTTCACAAATGCATCAAAACGAGGAGTCTTAGAAAGATTACGCAATTGTAACCTAATAGCAGAAGCTAATGGAGCATCCAATATTAAACCACCAATAGGATATTTATCCGGCATACTAGCAAGGTAACATGACGGCGCAGAACCTAAAGAATTACCATACAAAATTATATTCTCAGGAGATACATCAAGCTCGTTACGCACATAATCATACACGTACTCAATATCCCTATACATGTTCTTCTCACCAACTTTACCCTCAGATAAACCGTAACCACTGTAATCATAAGCAAATACATCCACATCAAGACACCTGCAAAGGTTCACGTAACACGTAAACATATAACCAAGGTCAGTGCTGTTACCATGACTGAAGATAATTAACAAACGAGGAACACAAACTGATACAGAACTATCAGTATGACGCAAATATATCGATGAGATACGCTTACCACGCTTACCAGATAAAAATGTGTGATCACACACAAGACCATGTGCAGATAAAGCCTTGTTCACAGAAACAGACGGCCATAATTTATGGTCCAATAAAAACGTACCGTCACTAGCTAATAAATAACCACGCTTACTAGGTGGCTTAAATGCTAAAGTGTTTATAACAGTGTCACGAAGATGGCTGAATATAATGTTAAAATATATATATACACACTCAACACCTACCACGCATAGAGACAACCATATAAACAAAGAAGCCTGCATTTGCGAACATTTTTTTTCCTCAAATCACAACGATGATCATCAGACGACGCCATAGCAAAATATAATATACAATAATCACCCAGACACACGACACAACAAGTGTGCAATACAACAAACGCATATTAACAAAAAGTTAGTTAAGCACCATCTGATAACGGAGGAGTACCTTCGTCATGTAATGAACCGAAAGGAAATACCACTGTATCTGTTAATGCAAACGATTGACCATTCACATCCTCAGATAACACATCACCAACCTCGTTCTTGTTCAACTGCCATAAACGCTTTAAAAGCTTAAACTCCTGCTTAGAATCTATTATCGAACGAAGAGCCATGGCAAATGATGTGTGAAAAGCCTCGTAAAGGTTCTTCTGCAATACAGTAAAGTGATGAAAAGCCTCCTCAAAACGACATAATAATGTCAACTGATAACGGTCACCCATATTACGAGTTGAATGCTCAACATGAGCATAGATAGCAGCAGTCCAATGACGGTCCAAAGTTTCAAGAGCTTCAACCAAATTAAAGGAATCTATCAAATCCTCTACACGATAAAACATTACACGGTTCTGCTTCATACAATCCTGCCACCAAACAACCCAAGACATATGAACACTGCAAAATTTTATGTCCAAATTCACATCAGACAATACACCCTCAGCCATCTGACCTAAACCAAACACCTCACAAAGACGCTTACCCTGAACACTAGAGTTAAACAACTGCTTCAAAAACACAGGACCGCTACGATGCTGTAACGTCTCACCAAATGAAGAACATACACCACACGTTAACTCAGATAAGACACTCTTACGTTCATCCAACTTAGTACTATTCGGAAGGATATAAGCATCCGTAGACGTCAGTAAACCAATCTCCTCAGCTATCATACCAAGCAAAGCATCGTTAAAACTACCGTCGTACTTCATAGAAGCATACACCAATTGAATATAACGCTTACGGAACTCAGTAGCAAGCGCCTTCGCACCGTTGTAACCAAATTTCTGAGTATTGAAACCAACAATACAGTAACCATCAGAAATAGCACAACTTGATACAGAACTATCTTTATTAAAAGGATGATCAGAATATTCAAAAGAACAAGGAGAAAATTTCTTGCACAGCAAGGATATCACCTCCTTACCACTTTTAAATTTTACACAACATGGCTGCTTTAAACATGATGAAGGAGCACAAGTTATGCAAGGATAACATTCTAACACACAAGTCCAACTATCAAGAGACTTGTGGAAACTAACCCATTGCATAGGAACCTGAGGGATCACATCCGCCAAACGCTTGTCCTCAGTTAACTGAAGCAAAGGCTCAATCAAATCAACACAACCTTTGTTTATAGCATTAGAAACATAGATCTTCAATGTGTAAACACACTCCTCCAAATACTTTATAGAAAGGTTAAAGTAATCCTTCAACTCAGGATACTGAGTCAACAAGTTACGCAACGTCTGACCATGACCAACATCAGCATTAACACTCTTGTCCTTATCAACACCAGGAAATAATGGACGAAGCTCACTAGCAAACAAATTGTGCTGCAATAAATGCTGCTCCTTCACACCACCACCACAGACAACACGACTACTACCGTCAGAACCACCAAGCAAATCAAAACGCTTCTCGTCACATAACACTAGCTTACGCTTACGAGATGCAATGTAAGATTGCTCAACAGTTACTGGACACTCGTACAATCCAACACCCTTCTTCAGAAATAAAGCATCATCAAACATGTCACAACCATCATCAGACTCCTCAACCAAATCGGGATAACTAACTGTTGATACATTCAAATCACGTAACAACGTCTCAAACCAACCCAAAGCCAAAATATAAGCACACATCAAACCACGCTTCAAAGCAGAAAAACTTTTACGGTACATCTCACCCTGGTGACATTTACAAACAGTCCAGTGCATAGAACGGCTATCCAACTGAATCTCAGATGGAATAGTACAAATCATAATATTATACTCCGCTGCCTTAGTAAATGCACGCCATAAACCCAACCTTGATACATAAAAATGACGCCAATACGCACACAGACGATTACGACGTTGCAAATATCCAACACTTATGTAACCGTAATCCAAGTTGTAACGAACGTTACCCAAAGCATCGAGACGCTCTAACGTACGCTCAACATAAGGCTTTATACTTATATCAGATGTGTCAATCGAACACACGTCTATCAATCGCCACCAACAGTATCTCCAACTCCTATAAGATGGCACGCTCTTCCATTTCTCTAATACTTCATTTGTTAACGAGTCTACATTAAAGTCATTCGCACGAGGTAATATTGCAGTAAACAGATCATCAACACCACCACGGACGATTGACGCACGCAGCAACTTATGTTTCAGCTCAACAGGCATTATATCGCTATCAAAAGAACCTTCCACATCCCGAGCATAACAATGCAACACGCCACATTCCAGATTCTTAGAATGGGACACAGTAATAGCTGTGCGTGCGATATTAGGATGCAATGTCTGCTTCTTAGGATGTAAAGAGTTGACAAACTCATGCATATCAGTAATCTCTTCCTCGTCATCGCCCTCAGTAACATCACAAGCCTCACCAACAACGTAACCAACGGTAGTTACATCAGACTCAGTTGTACGATAAGAAGATGGGTCACAGACACCTTCAACTGCGCTCTTAACAACTCTCTGAGTACGGAAAAGTTTACGCTGACAACGACACCAACAGATACGACCGCAACTCAGACACACCACAGATCTCTTGAAACCCTCAATAGCCGTTACTTGAACACCGTATTCATAAGGACGCGTGAAGTTATGTATTATACCACGCTCCTTGTAAAAACTAACGATGGCAGGAATGTCACGAGCATGCTCACTTTTCTTGATGTTATCAATAAAAGCAAAACAGTCACCGATTATGTCCTTCACTATATCATTCTCCTGAACTATAGTAGTACGGCGGTAAGTACCCCAATACGATGAATGACGCATGAAATCCATAGCACACTTGTCACTACAAAAACAACTGCTGATCTCATCAAGCTGCTGCAGCACCTCCTCTACACGCTTGTTGTTAGAATACTCACGATTCACATCAGCATTGTTCTGCTTACCACTGTCTATCTGGTACTCTTGTGTAAGCAGCTGCAACCATATGTTGCTACTGCTCCAACGGTCAACACCAGAACTCTCAAAACCATCCCATAACGTAGATAACAAACGGGCATAGTTCTGACTAGAAATCAGATTTAGATGAATGTTGAACTTGTGACAGTAAAATCGCTGCAAACCAAAACGACGGTGCTTCCAACGAGGATAACACTGACCCAGACAAACTATAAGCTCATCTAATAATTCCATACGCCGGTATACACTGTATTCCAGCAATGAACGACGACGTTTACCACCGCCACCACCTAAACGACGTTTGTTCAACGCACTCCGAGGGTTACGACCAAGGTTCCATGCAGCTGCATTTTGTAATTGCAATTTAGCAACCGCTCGACGGGTCAAACTACTCGCAATAGATGTATCCGTTGAAAGAACCTCGTCAAATAACAGTTGGTCAACAACGTCGCCAACGTGCACTAGTGAGCCATCCAAATTAACATGATGCTTCTTACGCTTATCAACGCCCGCATTCTTATTGATCCTCTTAACGGTGCCGAAGTGACGTTTCGAAGCTTTTTTGCGCTCCGAAGGAGAGCATTGACCCCTCATCGTATTTCTTGTTCAGACGAAAGATCAATTGTCCTTGCGCAGGCAATTACTCGTACATCAACGCTCATTATTAACCCAAAAGATTATGATATCTCAAAGGATATAGCTATTTTGCAAATTGTGGGTAGCTTTCTCCCACCGTTGCTCGCTATAAAAAACGATGATGCAACAATAGATAAAGGAAGCCACGATAGCAGAGAAGCTAACAGAAGCACTTAAATTCAAAATAACAATCCTAACCTTCAATATAACTTCCTTGCAATACTAAAATTTTTATCACATTTAATAAGATGATGTGCAGAAACAGATTGACAAAACGCCACTTTAGTACGGATTGCTGCTCTTTTTCGACGCTGGAATTTTCTCCTGCTGCCAGACATGCAATCAGCATATATCTCCCAAATTTGCAATATAAACAGGCAACGCTTTATTACGACAATTTTATTCAACTGTAATCACACGCTACTGTCTCTATTTCAAAATAAATTCTATACTGGTCACGCCATGCCGCAACCAAATCGTCAGGCACATACCTCTATCTGGATTCCTGACATATATATAGCTAGTCAGCAATTTAGCCACACACTCAAATAAATTTTAAGAATATAAACAGTATATACCACCAAAGCAATACAGATAACATTTCAGCAGCCATGTCGAAGCGCTGACACTCTCGGGCCAGCACCGACATACAAACCAAAATAACTTATAATCACATATACACACAATAAATGTTCAAATTTAAGAGCGAAGCACATCGCACTATGTTTCTACGCATGGTTGCATTGCAGATACGTTGCAACCTGCTCAGAAGATTCGGTGGAGTACGACAACAAGAGTGTAGACTATTACGAACAAAATCAGCACGACAACTATTATTACACTGGGCAGAGGATATAGTCGACAGATTACCAAACGAGGCACCCGCACAGGCGGCTTTTGTAGCAAGAGAGTCATACAAAGTACCACAAAATGTTTTGCGTCAGGACAATGTACAAGTAAGTTGACATTCAACTCAACAGATATACACATCAAATACAGACTATACTTAGAAATGATGTCAGTATACGCTGGCTAGTGGCACGTCTAGAAGATGGATCTGCCCTAGTACCAAAACCGTACTTTCCATCACTACTCAGATATAACATGATGCAATTCCCATTCGCACCATATGATATAGATAAAGCAAGACATCTATATGGACTTCTCAAATTCCCATTCTATCAACTCACAGCAGATGTTAACAGGTCGCCAGCAGAAAAATTTAAAGGACTCAAACAACCACTCATGCCTAATGAATGCAAAGTACCTGGTAAACACAATATCGCATCAGAAGCTATATATCAAGATGGAGGAACACTAGCAACAAAAGACTATATATATGCACCAAGCGAATTAGAAACCGGACTCTCCGGAAAAGTCATATAAACGATATGAACATACTGGTTCATCAATGTCAAAAATAGACTCAATTGCAGAAACAACTTTAGATATAATCTCATATCACATTGTTATAAATATATAAAATTTTTTGAAACATTAAACAACGCTCTTAACCATCAAAGACTATCGGAGTCACGAGTAGTCAATCTTGCAATCGCACGCCTAGCCTTCAGACTGTTCAGTTTCCACCAAGTACCGAGAATATCGAAAGTGCAACCTGAACCCTCGCCCCTACGTGACCGACGGTATTGCTTATACTCTAACAGCGCTATTGCTTTCCCCCAAGTAGCACGCTCAGAAGACAATAAACCAACTAGTGGGTCCAGACATTCAATGTCACCACCCTTGAAACACTTAGTGTAAAGCTCAAGAGCAACAGTACGTTGACCCTCATTCTCTGCGATAAATCCCAATAAACGTAACGAACGCACATCACCTTGCATAAAGTTCTGAACTAATGCACTACGAACCATGCTAGTTGCATTATCCAGCTTCTTTACACCATTAACATCAACGTAAAGTTGACCCATGTTCAACTGCGCCGCTTGTACACCAACAAACGCTGCTAGTGCATTGTAAAGGAAACTGACCACATAATCCTTACGGATATATGAATAAAAAGCATCCCTCATAGTTGCCACGCAAAACGGCTCTTCAGATAGTACCTTGTAAATCAAGGCAGGACGCAACAAGTTCTGCTTCGCACCTATACCGCTACTCAACATCTCAGCCTCACGTAGCAGCGCGTGAGTTAGGCCGTAATCTGCAGCAGCACTGTACATAGCAAGAGCCTTTTGCAAATCCTTGTGAACAGCGCTACCGAGCACCGTATTCTCGCGTTTTGAAAGGATCTCGCCCATAAAGTACATAGCTTCAGGAACCTCATGCTTAGCAGCCTGAGTGAAATATTTCATCGCAAGATCCACGTTACGCTTCACAGGATTACCTTCCTCAGGATTATCCATACCACGGTAATATATATAACCTAAATATTTAGCAGCTTCGTGGTCACCCTGCTCAGCAGCACATGTAAGGTGCTCAACAGCCTTCTCAGCGTTTTGACGCACGCCGATACCGTGCATATAACATAACCCGAGATCTCGGGTTGCTGGAACAATGCCCTTATCACTGGCATGTTGATAAAGTTCTGCAACCCTACCGTCAGCTGACGGGTCATCCTCAAGAAGTTTACCCATCTCGTACATAGCCAATCCATCACCTACCGACGCCTTTGATTCCCAGTAACGAAGAGCTTCCCTCCTTTGCGATTGTTCTGTCTGCACAGTATCTGATAGCGATAATTTAAATGCCTGAGTCGACCTTTGCGTTAGCCTCAGGTCATCCATTGGAGTCATATATGTTAAAGCTTCATTTCGACGACCTTTCAAACGATATACCTTTTTATACAGGGATGTAGCCAGACCAACATCCTTGACGCAACCTATACCATATAACTTCCTGTAGGCTAAGGCAAGTATCGCCGGCACATAGTTGAGAGCAGCAGCACGCAAAAGATAAGCAGCTGCCTTCTTATGATCCGGCGATGAAACTGGTTCATTACCCATGCTGTAAACAAAACTAGCATAGAACAATGAAGCTGCGTGATCACGCTCAGCGGACTTTGTAAATAAAGCCTTGGCCGCTACAACATCACGCTTACGCCAAAAATAATACGAATCATAGCCTGAAATGATATCAAAACATATTATAACAACGAATACTTACCAAATAAATAGATCTTACCCATCTCAAACCAACATTGCAACGTCACAGCATCCTCAGGACCATCAGACAGCTGCGCTTTGTAAAATACATTAATATACACCTACCTCCGTAAAAAGAGGTAACGCAGCTGCAGGGTTACCCTCATCTGGTCGAGAGCCATATCTATACAAATATGTTACAGTCTCACATATAATGTGCATACCTCACTGCCATAGCCTCATTCAAACGATGCAGCCGGGTATTGTCTGAATAATGAGTCTTCCATAAAATTGTAAAGCTTACCTATAGACCAAGGTTTAGAAGAAACCTTACTAACCTGGGATAGACATATAGACAGCACCGCGGCCATGAAAGACCGAAAGGCAGCTCCGGAAAGCCGCATTGCGACAATCTAACCGGTGGGAACCTTCACAGCTACTATAGTATATAACGTTACCATGCTAGTGCCAATAATTTTTTTAATATTTCAATGTGAACAATTGGAATGTGTCCCACAAATGTTGCGCGATAGGCACTGCGTGTGTTAACCTCAAACCTTCTTCCCAACCATCTGCTCAAGAAGCTGGGTCGCTCTAGCACGGTTTCGTGCGTCATCTATCGTAATTGTAGGCGCAGGTGCCCCTTCTTCTGCAGAAACATTACGGTCACCTAATGAAACCTTGGCAAATGATAAACAGACTACCTACCTTCGTTGGAATTCGGCACACCGTTGTTGAAGAATTTGCTAAATTGAGAACTTTTAAGAGAATTGGGAGTCTCCTCATCAATAAAAGTAAAATTCGACACCTCCTGTGTAGACATGTTCATCACATCATCAGTAGACCTCGGGGAACCAAGCTTCTTCAGATGGAGCTCCCGCACCATCTGACTCAAACTCTTGTTTGATGCGGCACTCGGCGTGTTATCGTTACTCGCTACGGCATTTGCATTCTCACCACGGATGTTACCCAAAGAAAAAATACCTTCTGTAGGCTTAGGAGTAAGCCATCTGTTACTTGTACTGGAACCTGAGCGAGCCTTCAAATTTTGCTTAATAAGCTGCTGTTGAGCCTCGGAAAGAGTAGCTTTGCCTCCAGGACCAGATTGAAAAACACCCTTATGATGTCTATGACCACCCTGATGCATACCATGCCTTGGGAACTGAGAAACACCAATTCTGTAATATTATCACAACAAAAATATACACGCACCTTTGATCGTGTTTTAAACCCTTCATACCTTGCTTAGCCATAGATTCACCAGATTCAAGAGGCTCGTCATAACCAGCCACGTCTAGAGGTAGCAACTGTGGTTCAAACGGTATAAGCTTGCCGTGATTAGGGTCATCAGTATTAACACCACTGAATATACATTGTAACAATCATAGATTGACACTTACCCAGCCCTATTACCAGACCTCTCTGACCTGGGAGTCTTGATAGCCTTCCTTGGACTACGCTGCTTGAAACGAAATATATTGCACACTGTATTTGCACAAGCGGCAAGCGCCAACAATTCGCGGTGAGGAATTTGATAGTATACCGATGTCTCAAACGATTCCGGTTCCTGCTCAGTAGACATGCTCTGCCCTTCCTCACTGGACTTATCAAGGCGAATATCATCGCAAAGTATACGGGGCACAGAGCTACACTGTCTAGAGGTATCTAATTCCATCCTATATTGATCCAGTCCTTTAGAGATGTTAGCACGGGCAGCTTCCATAGCTTCTTTCCAACCCGAAAATACGACACCTTGGTCGTCCTCTGACGAGGACGACTGCAACTTTTCCGATGGAGAATCAGTTCCAGACACACCAGTCATCTCTACAAACTGAAGAATTATATTACTCTTCGCTGAATACGTTCTAGTTGCCGATGTGGCCGTGTTTGCGGCTCAAGAAGATGTGTTTCGAACACTGTGTTCAAAGTCCTCGTTTTAAGAACCGTAATAAGGGCTACGCCGTCTCAGTGACACAGTATAGCATTGCGTGCAAAATTATTGGAACCTGATGTGTGTTACGTATGACTCAGCGTTTACGCCCGGGTGAACGTTCCACGAAAGTGTCACCTGTAGGGTTGTGGTTTAAGCCACAGATAACACACGAATAAGATCAAAATTGTGTCAAGACGTTCACAGATGAGTCGGAGCGAATATGGCACTTCATTGCGTGATTGTCAACGTAAATTAAGCGTTCCTTCTATAGCTACGCGTGCCCTGTGTGGTCTTCTTATGTGACATTACAACCAGATATTGAATCGTCCAAGATTCTTATATAATTAACATTTTAATTTCCACGCGGAGATTCAACGGTCTGCTTATTTCGGTGACATCATGTGTCAGTATTGCCAAGCAGTAACGCCAGGTTCGGCCGCTGGAATCTGAAGGATTTCCAAAATACTTGACTCTATAATAACTATTTATTAACAAATTTTATATAATACAACACATTGGAGGTGTATAATGTCCAGTGTGGTACCCCGTCGGACCTTGTTGGCAGGCTCTACACTGTGGGAAATTGCAGAGTAAAAGTTACACATAATAGTATAAAGAAACAATAATCACAAAAATAATGGAGCCGTCCGGCGGCGATGCCGTACTGTCGTGCTCCATAGAGGAAACGAACGCAATAAGGATCAAACTTGGTTTGAAACCTCTAGCCGTGCGGGATTCTACCTCTGACGCCGCTGATACTACCATACAGACACAGGCAAAGCTATCCCATGAAGAAGATGAAAATGACGAAGCCAATGAGGCACGACGTAGGCTTATCGAGGGTGGCGGAGTAGCCGACCTATTAGCTCGAGGAGAGTGCCTTTCTCCAGAAACGCATGGAACTGACGCCGATCTAGGAGATGGCGGCTATCGCTCACTAGATGTCAACGAATGGTCTAAGCGCATGTCTGCTCTACATGGACGGAAACGTTTGGGAGTACTTAACTACAGTGACGACGAAGAGGAAGATGTACCATTACCCAAGGTAGTACCGGCAGCAGCTAAATCAATTGATGCACCGAAATTGAAGGTATTACATAAAGTTGATGAATTGCCCTTGGAATCCGGCAAGGAAGTAGTACTAACATTGGCTGATGTAGGAGTCTTGGAAGCCGAAGCAGCAGGCGTTGCAGAGGTTAACTTTTTAGAACAACCGGACTTAGCAAAACGGAAATCAAACAAGGCAATTGGACAATATTCTATTAATGCGGAATATAACCCATACGAAGATGAAGAACACGATGATGGGTTACCTGCACATGCGAAACGCGATATTTTACACAAATATGACAAAGCTGTGGAAGAGTACCAAGGCGCCACACTATCAAATCTAGCTGGAAAGAAACATGGGTTCTACCTAAATGTCGAAGAAAACGGTGAAACTGATGTTAAAAGACCGAGCACTTATTTGACACAACCAACAGAAGAAAGCTTTGACTTCGGGGGGTTAAAACGGAAAAAGAATCTTCTCAAAAATCGAGAAAAAACAGTTAATTGGAATAAAATATTTGATCCCAAAACTATTGCAAGCAATGCAAATAGCACCGTACAAACCGATTACACAGAAGAGGAATCAGCGCCGTCACAAATCGTCAAAAGAAGTACCCTCGATCTAGATGACGTAGAGGAATGTAATCATTTGTACAACCAACTGGCAAAACATCGCAGTAGGATACTAGCCAATATCAAGGAGGAACCAGTGCAACAAACAGTAGCAACTGTACGGACGAGCGTAATCGACACTGGGATACCACAAGCTGAAGCGGATGGTGTTCACATAGACGCAACATCGGAACTTATCAAGGCAGTAAAGCCTATGCATGATTCGCCTATTGTCGAAAAGTCTACAGCACGTGAAACGGAACGCACGAAAAATATCACAGCATCGTCAACATCAGATGATGAATTTGCCAACATGGAATTCCCCGATGGCGGTGTTGATAATAACACACCAATGACAATGGGGATAGCTGGAGCACTGGCGTATCTAAAGGATAAAGGTGATTTAATCGAAAAGAAACGTGATCTTGATGATATCGGGAAGGATATCACAATTCAATACATTGACGAGTATGGGCGACAAATGACACCGAAAGAAGCGTTTAGACAGTTGTCATGGAAGTTTCACGGGAAAACACCAGGACTTAACAAACGTGAACGTACTATCAAACGAATTGAAAGAGGTGAGTTTTTATTAGTAAGTATATACTCTTGATTTCAGAACGGCAGTCGAAACAAAACCCACTAGAAGGACTGCCCACAATGAAAGCACTTCTTACGCATCAAGCAGAGTCGAAATCGTCACATCTGGTTCTCAGTGGAAATACTCCTGGCGCATAAAATCTTCACTTGGGCCGTGACATGCGCTGTTGTGCTTGGTTCCTGAGATCAGCGACATAAGCTTTTAACTTAGTATCGTAAACCTCAACGGCAGTAATTTGGTTCATTAAACCGGTTTGAAGCGCCTTGGCAGCGTGAGCAGACAATGCAGCCTCGTGTTGACCTTCAAGGTTCTGTTTAATCTGCCGGATCGCAAACAATAGCTTCACTCGCTTCTGCTCCTCGGGTAAAAGTGTCCTATAGTACAGCTGAAGTATTTCCATGATACTGATTTGGAAGTTGCGCATCTTTTTAATCGTTAACATATCGTATTCAACTGAAAGTGCATGCTTATGGACGACACGTGCAACCTACGTGGAACTGTCTGTGAAATCTTCTCAGTTTGACAGAGCTTAGTGTTCAAAATGAACATGCGCCTACTTGCGTTCTCGTCGTTTAGCGGTGTTCTCAGATGCGCCAAAATGTCAAATTTCTGCATATCTGCGACCCATTGCTGATTGTCACGCATCGCATCCAGCGGAGTGCGCATCTTAAATGCGATTTTTTTCTGCTGCTCCTTAGGGTCGCTACGCGGCTCCTCTAACGTATTGCTCCTGCTCAGTATTTCACCAGGCATGTTCAATGACCGTATCATACACATCTCATCGCCTTTATCGTCACTGTCAGACTCCTTTCCAGTGAGGTCATGACATATGGCATCTGCGATCTTCTGCTTACGCTCCCTCTCCGCTGCATACAGGTGATCAATGTCTCATTGGTAGTGTAGTTACCTCGTTCCTCCATGGCTCTAAGGTCGACCGTGCTATCGCCCATGGTGTCATAGTAGTGGCACGTCTCAATAATTTTTGCAGCATGTACATTGAAACGGTCAAACAGCGCTGGTTGCATGTCAGGAGGCGCACTCGTACCAAAACGTTTAGATACCCCTTGCTCCCGCTTCCGACGTTTACGAAGGTCATCCAATGTTATCAAGTCGCTGTAAGGGTCCACCTTCTTCAATATGGTAGTAACAGAGGGTAACGAGGTGGCCGTCGGCTTAATCGGCACTCCCTTGATGTCATCGTAAAGAATTTGATTCTCGGGAGGTTTCTCACCGATCATGTGATAGAAATATCTCGATTGCAATATTCGTTTCCAAAAGTTTTCCTCTGGGTACTGCTTGTCAACCACAAACCTTTTATGCAGTGCACGTATGGTGTCGTCCTCTGCTAAAATAGACTTAGCCAATTCGGGGTTGTACCTGTATATACGTTGTCCATTGACAAATTCGTTTATCGGTGGCATTGCAATGAAACCATCCAGGTGAGATGGTGCTTCTGGCTGTTCCAGCGCTGCGATAAGGTCGATGTTATGGTGACTCCAGAAGTCATCTGGAGATACAACTCCCTCTTCCACACCATCTTCAGAACCGACCAATTGATGGTATAGATGAGCTATATCTTGATTGACTTCCAAAAGACGTTTCTGGTTTTTGTACTTAGTCTCCTTAACATCAGGAACTGGCACTACTGGTGCCTCGCTCTCCTCAGCTCTAGGCGGCGGCTGTTGTGGCTGCGGTTCCGGGGACACCGGAGCTACCTTTGGAACCTTCGTAACCGCAGTTTCAGATGATACAAGACCACAAAATTGATCGAGGCAATCCCTATCTGATCCGAAATCGACTACAATTACCGCCTTCTCCAGGGCATCGGAATACGAGTCATCTGCACAATCTACTCAAGTTATCCGTGTTATCATACCTGCTGTTAATTTTAACGGACCTTCTGTGAATGTTAGTCTCACTTTCGCAGTCTTCTTTGATTTTTCAGAACGTATCCACGTAGCAAAAGACCACTTAAAAGCGCTCGGACCAGTATGAAAAAACAGGAAGCTATCCTGTACATAACAGCTTCCTGATACACCGTTAAATACGGCATTAAGCTCTGATCTATCTGTCATGTGTATTACGCTATTGCGATATATATTAACTGTCGGCAAGTGTGTGCGCCTGCCACTAGAAGCGCTCATTGAAGTCAAACTTCTTCCTAGGTGTAAACGAATTGTGAAGGATAGTAGGCATACTTGATGTTTTATCATCATTACCGCTGCTAAATATAGAACCTTCACGCTTGCCGGTCATATAGCCACTCTTGTTTTTGCTGCCAGCCTGAGACATGTTGTCTTAAGGATATGTCAAAATTACCTTTTGTTGGAACTTTCGCCAACTATTAGCACGTTGAGTAGCCTCAGATTCGATTCGTTCTGCCTTCTGTTGCTTCTTAAGAGTCTGAACCAGCTTCTTTTTCCTCAGTTTCTCCTTCTCGTTGTCGCTCTTCTTGATGATGAGGTTCTCAGGAATCTTGTAACCCGCAGGAGTCACAATTTCTCGAACCTCCTTGGCTTTCGCATCATAACGCATCTTTAAACGGACCCAGTCACGTGGGACTTCCTCCGATATGTTGTAATCTTTGTACGTTATGACATATCCAGATTCTGTCTCCCTGTTAACTACAGCATCGTACCACCGTCTGTGTTGAATGTAAACAGTATATAAACCTTAACATACCCGTCTTCAGAGTACAGAACCTGTACCAACGCCCCGGACTTGCATTCCTCAGTTGGTGGAGGGTCTACCAGCTTGAGGTCCTTCGCAGCTAAACTGCACTGTTCACCAGAGCCCACTAGCTCTATAATCACCTGATCGGTGGGCATATCACCCATTAACTGAATGATTTGGCCATATTTTGTTTTACCGTTGTACAGTACTACACATATGCGGCCTACACCGTATTGATGGACTGGGTGACCATTAATAAACCTACCCAAAAACTTGGAATTGCCACCGTAATCAGATGTTGCATCAGACGCGGCAGGAGGAGCAAATATGTCGTCGGAAGGTGCAGAAGTCTGTCCATTCTGTCGCTTGTACTTGATCAGATCCTGTGTCAACTGTATGACCTCCTTCAGATCGGATTCCAAAACTTTCAACTCCTCATTGTCTGGATCTTGTTGTAATGCCTCTTGAACTAGTTGGATCTTCTCCTCATAGTCCGCGATTTTGGCCTGCGTGATATATGTGTAGCGCCGTTAATGTGTGCCCTCAGAGGAGGTATGTACGTCACTAATAGGTGTACTACAACTCACTTGCAACTCTTCATAAGATTCTGCTTTATCCATTATTAATTAGTGATAAAGTAAGACTATTTATGTTTTGTGACCATATTTTTGAGTGGAATCCTGACTAACACATCGTCAGAATCGTCGAAATTTTTTGAGTTTAACGCTGGTGTGTTCAGTCTTCTATACACCCGGTTGATGCCTTACCTCACCCAAAGCTGCAAGCAGCGCTGCCGAGTAACTTTCACGCTGCTGGGGGGCTATTTTAGCAGCACACCACATCACGTGTAACCTCATAAAGTGTGTCACTTCACTTTCTTAGTCAAGTACTCTCATTGCAAAAATGTCGATCATCAAATCTCTTCACGCTCGCGAAATTTTGGGTTTGTCATATCATTAAATTTGTATCATCTTACAGATTCACGTGGGAATCCCACCGTAGAGGTAGACCTCAAAACGGCCGATGGTGTGTTCAGAGCTGCCTGCCCCTCAGGCGCCTCTACCGGTATTTACGAGGCCTTGGAACTCCGCGATGGTGATAAATCACGTTTTCTTGGTAAAGGTGTCTTGAAGGCTGTAGAAAATGTGAACAAAACCATCGCCGGCGGTATTGTCGGAAAAGACGTACTCCACCAAAAGGAATTGGACGATCTTATGGTTAAAAACCTTGATGGAAGTGTTAACGAATGGGGATACTGCAAATCCAAGCTAGGTGCCAACGCTATCTTGGTTGTTTCCATGGCCGCTGCACGCGCTGCTGCTGAACACAAAATTGTTCCTCTCTACCAACACCTAGCTGAGTTGGCTGGAAAACGCACTGACAAATACGTACTCCCTGTACCATGCCTTAACGTCATTAACGGTGGATCACACGCTGGAAACAGCTTGGCCATGCAGGAGTTCATGATCCTACCCGTTGGTGCACCTACCTTCAGGGAGGCCATCCGCATGGGTTGTGAAGTATACCACAACCTCAAGAAGGTTATTAATACCAAGTACGGTCAGGATGCAACCAACGTCGGTGACGAGGGTGGTTTTGCCCCTAACATCAAATCTGCCGAAGAAGCCCTAGACCTCTTGGTTGAATCTATCAAGAAGGCCGGATTTGATGGTCAGGTTAAGATTGCTATGGACGTTGCTGCTTCGGAGTTCTACGTTAAGGAAAGCGCCTCCTACAACCTTGGATTCAAGTGTGAGACTCCTTGCATGAAAACCGCCGCTGAAATGGTTGCCTACTACAAGGATCTATGCCACAAGTACCCTATTGTCTCAATTGAAGACCCCTTCGACCAGGACGACTGGGAAGCTTACAAGATGCTCACTGCCGAAGTTGGAGCTACGGTTCAGATTGTAGGTGATGATCTTCTTGTCACCAACCCCAAGCGTATCCAAACCGCCTTGGACAGACAGGCCTGCAACGCACTCTTATTGAAGGTCAACCAAATTGGTTCAGTCACAGAAGCTATCGATGCTTGCCTTCTTAGCCACGCCCACAAATGGGGTGTTATGGTCTCACACAGGTCCGGTGAAACTGAGGACACATTCATTGCCGACCTCGTCGTAGCTCTTGGAACTGGACAAATCAAGACCGGAGCACCATGCCGTAGTGAACGCAATGCTAAGTACAACCAATTGATCCGTATTGAGGAAGAACTTGGACCAAGGGCCTCCTACGCCGGAGCGGCTTTCCGCACTTGTGGTCACTAAATCTTTCTTATGCCATTCTTGCATCGGAAGACAACTTAGTCACCGATCTTCGATTCAGTTACTTCTTACTTAATTAGTCTCATCTGACTATTTGTGGTGTCTACATTGCACATTTATGAACGGACTAGTTGCGCTAACTTTGTAATCGGAGCGAGAACGAGAGGCGATCTGTAGTTGTCGTTCTTAAGCGCTTTGACTTCAGTCTGTGATATGGTTTTGGGGTGGAGCTGTGACTCCGTCTCTTGGACCAGGTCACTATGTGCGTCCATGAACTATAAAGATTTTTATATTGGGAAAGTAGTTTCTTTAGACGCTACTTTTAGTATAATTGTCATAGCACATCTTTATTCCACGATAGTTGGCATCGCTACATATATGTGACACCCGATGCAATAAGTCTCATTTAGGAGTTCACACATGAGTGTCACGGTACTTGGAATTATAAGCCTTCTTTAATGTTGTATAGCCATTATTTGGCTTTTATATGCATTGTTTTTGTATGTACAATTTGACCATGCAATGTATTTGCCTCTTTCAAATTTTATTTTCAGATTATGTAGACGATATCACTTATCGCAGAATGAAGAGCCATTTTACATGCTGAAACTCGTTCATATTTGCAACGCACTTTATTCATTTGCAACATCAGTGATTCTAATGTGTCAGGTACTGCCTCAATGTTCATGCGATCATACTTCATGTATTTGCAATATTCCGCTTGCGGTTTCTATATCAATACGCGGTATATATGAAAATATGTTAGATTTAGTTTTTTAAAATTTAACAGTCTTTAGCACGGCATTGTGTCGTGCTTGTGCTCGTGAAATAGGTTCAGATGAGCTCGAGTACTTCCGATAAGGAGAGGTTAGTTGTAAGCGACAAGTGCGCTTGTGGAAGCGAAAATTGTTGGATTACTCAATTGAGTCACCTTGACCGAGAAGTTTTGCCTGATATAAGGGTTGCGCGTTGCGGACGTTGTGAACCCTGTTTGATGAAATATAACATTATTTTGCATGGGACGTCAACCCCTGAAAATTCCAGCGACGTAAAGAGAGAGACTACTAAAACGAAAGAAGTTTCTATGGGATCTGAAGATATCAAAGTTGAGACTCCTATCTCGAGTTCTAACAGTATCGATAGCCAGATTGTAGCGTTGTGTGATTACGTACCTACCAGTACAACCCAAAACACCGAGAAGGGAAACCGATCTTCTACTGATAGGTTGTGGGCTAAGGAAGTTAGCAAAACTGGTTCAGCTACAAGTGACATTGCAAATAGCCCATTGTTTGGATTTGATCAATTGAATAGTTTGGGGGTGGATAGAGTAGACACTGTCGATGGCCTGAGTAACCACCCCACGGAATATATTGAAAAGGACAAGTCAAAAACAGTTGAACCTGCTGCTGTCAAATTACCGGTAACTCGAGCAGCCGAATCTGCCGTGAGAAGTGAAGGTATTGAGGTTAAGCTAAGACCATTTACAGTGACCACGGTCGATCTTGATAGCGGTACTGTGACAGTTGCCGAAACTACAAAAGTTGAAATGAGGACGGCTGCGCAAGACATCTCTGGATGTAATACGCTACAGGGAAGCATGGATGGTGTACCTGATAATACCCCGCATTCGAGCCAATTAGAAGAACATGCTACCCCCCGGCGGAAGATGACAGTTCGTACGAAGATCTATGGGCCACGAAACACCCTTAAAAACAATCTATGCTGTCCATCAAACAACACTCTAGGTACAAGCAAGAATACAGCACGGTCTACGGGATACTCATATAACATCAAAGTTTCCACCCGTAATTCACCACTACGTTGTCGACTTCCGGATTCTCCTAGGGCCAAGGTTGACACTGGGCTTTCTCGTGGTTCCAGTTACTCGGGTTCCAAAAGCATAACCTCGAAAACTAAACAACGGTCGAGAGAAAGTATGAGTAGCGGTTCCGTTGATGGGTCTTCGTCTAAATCGGGCTTTCAACCACCCCGACGTAGCCGACTGTCAAATCAACAATTGTACCGATCATCAAATTCTAAGGGATCTAATGCATCAGAAGAAAGGCCTCCATGGTATCCGATGCGGTCTACGAACCGTTGGGATCACTATGAAGTTCAGGAGACACCCGTTGTTACTGGAGGTGGTCAACGTACGAAAGGCTCAAAGACGAAGTCAAAATCATCCCCCAAAGTTCGAACTGTCAATGTGCCACCACTTATCATTGAACCTGTTTACGACATTAGTGGATTGGCGAACCAAACACGAAAGAGCGGCAAGAAGAAAGGTAGACAGAGCGGACAACGATTAGATGGAAAAACTAGCGAGCAATTGGGTGGTTTAGAATTAGGAAACCCTGTGTACTGTTCATTCCGCGGTATTGTCCTACCACGAAGTATCCAACGCGATCCCGCAACTACACGCCGAGTGGTTACGTTGGGGAGCGGCAAAGCCAACACGTATGCGTGTTGTACGGATGAGAGATGCGAGGAACAACATTTCCAGTACGACAGCGACGATACATGCTATGTGTCGGAGGATTGTGATTATTGTGGCTGTGTAGACGTATCACCATGTAGTTGTGGAAGTGGAACTTTGGGAGGGGCGGAGTGTGGTCATGAACTGCAAAACGACCATCTGAATTTCCCTCAACATACTGTACAATGCATAGATCCCCGATCTATGTGTTATGAGTGCACATGTTCACCTAACTGCAAAAGTGTGGTAGAGTGCGAGGTGGACACATACGGAAACTCCCACAGCATCACAACCCATGTTTGTGAATACTGCAGCACGCAACCTGACGGCACAGTTTGTCCTACATCTACGTTCTACAGTTCATTGACACCTCCACGCACTGGCTATAGACGTGCAACTCCTGCAACCACAGATGCTCGCCCCTATGTCGTTTACCGTTCTGGGAGACAGGGGGCGATCTACAACGGTTATTAGAACACATTCCCTGATCCTTCAAACCACAACAGCATCCAGCAACCGGTTTCACCAGGATATATTGCCGTACATAATTTTTATATTGTAATTGCGGTGACATCTCAGGTGACCGTAGCCCCTAGGACGCCATCCAGCATTTTCAAGTTACATTTTGACTTATGAGTATTTGTTTCGTTAATATTTCACCATTTAAACAGTACCAGGCTTTTAATTTCGGTGTTTTGCGTTATGTTTCACATTCTGTATCCGGCACGCCGCGTTGTCTAAGTGGAGGTGACACATCTGCAGCCACACGTCGACCTACAATAATCACTATAATTATATATCAAAATTGATAAAAAATAGTTGATGTGTAGACTTTTTGCGTTTAGCGCCCTTTCGGCCTTCGTAACCGAGGCGCAGGAAGATGCCGGTTGACATTTTAGAGTGTTGTTTGGAATTTTTGGCGTCACAAATTGAGCCAGTTAGATACGATTGCATATTATCTACAGTTGTGTCGGAGTATAATTTGCCCGACCTTGAAAAAGCTGAAAAGGTATCAAGTTTATAGACACCCTTCATAAATTACAGGTGAAACTGTGGAAACAGCTCTCCGCAGATCCTGATTTGTTACTATTTCACCCGGAAGATGAGAATCCTACGGCTGCAGAATCGCAAAACGAACCTGCGGAGCCGAACCCGGACTCCAACTCTAGCCCTAGAACTGACAAGGAACCAACTGAAGATCCGTCATCGTCCGCTGAAAATGACGAAGAGAAGGAACCTGAGCCGGAATTGTCCGAAGATGAATACTTGGAAAAGGCGTACAAGACACGTCTGTTGTGTTCTAATTCATTGCGATTGAAAAAATTTAATCTGACGATTTACGACAGTGTGGTCAAGAGCAAGGATCGGTTCCGTATTCTCGTCGCAGTAGCTTCTCGCAGATATGAAGGTATGTATATGTTGGCTTACTTACTGTCAATATATTTCAGGATACTGGCAGCATGATCTAGTAAGGGATTTGGGCATTTCGCCCCGTGATATTTTCAGTCACATGTTGAACATGACAAAGCTGTCACTAATGTGCCGAGTTTCAGTACCACAAGATTGTGTATCTAAACAGCTGTTAAAAGACAAAATTAATGAGATGCGAATGCAACGCAGGAGCGGTGGCCCTAAAACCGGTGGGGAAGGGCTCCCAAGGAATTCCGGCCACATGGCTACTCTCTGGTTCTTCTCGAGATATTTTATTCTAGAACGATTACCGAAATGGATACAAGAGGTGTGTTTCAATCGTCCAACAGAAGCGACGAGGGAACGTATGATGCGTATTTTGGAAGAGAGCTCGAACCGCATAATACTGGAATCTGATTGGAAAAGTGCCTACTGTTCGATATTGCTAGAAAATGCTCCAGGTGCTCACCTCAATGTAGATAGCCGTGCAATGGCTACAAGCTTCGCCGCGTTCCGTCGTAGGCTTGAAAACAAGCATAAGGTCAGCCGTGTATTCGCATGGTGTCCACAGACTAACCGCTATGAGCGCTGTATAATACCATATTCAGGAGCCGCCGAGTTATTAAATCGTCCCGAAAACCCTTCAAAAAATATAAGCACGGTGCGTGTTGTAGATCTGGATTCACGTGGTCTTGCTGATCTCTCTTCTACAGCTGGTGATGATGCTTCATGCAAAACACCACGTGTGGTATATCAATGCCCCTATCAGATGCGTGGACATACGCTTCAAGAATGTGTATACTACCTTGTACGGTGTCATCCAGGTGGAATTGCTATAAATGACCTGAACAATTACCTCCATATACCGTACAAGCTCTTATCAAAGATTATGTCTGGGTTCGACTCTAGTCATACATTTTCTAAGCAGCCACATCGTGATGGAAAACTTCGTATGCATCTATACTCCATTCCAGCTGCCAGTGAAGATTCACCGGTTCCCGTACCCACCACCGACGGGGCAAATGCCACGGATCCAACTGCTGCAGTACAGCCTTTGAGTTCCAGTATCGGAGGCGTTACTGCAAGTTTATATTCGACAGATAGCCAATCGTCATCAATTAAGGATCGTGCTCCGGGAGTTGGCGGACGGAGCAGTGGACCTTCTCAACCCACTGCTGTGGACGGCACCAATGATGCCGAGTACCTTCCAACACCAAGGGGCTCTTTATCGGCTACTTCCCACTCTCCAGATGAGTCTCTCAGTTTGCCTTATAGCGAGTGGATCAAGAAACAGCAGGCCATTTATTACAAGCCCAGCATTTACGAGGAACGCTTCAAGTTGTTATTTGGTTTTGACTTTTGTCTACCCAACGCGCTAAATACACCGATATTCCGTATGCGCATGTTGCTGCTGATTGAATACATTGAGAATTTTCGAGCTGCGTCATGCAATACGATTGCTGTTATGTACGGCGATATGAACGCTATATCTGGCAAGAGGGTTGACCGCAAGACGGTCATTAGGGTGGCTGATTTTGTTATGACATGCCGTGATAACATTGGTCTAATTAGAAGCCAGGAATTAGAGGGGGTGAAATTAGCGGTAACGGTGATATATGACCGCCATAAAATGAGTGCCTTAGACGCCTACCATCTGGTAAGCATTGAGCTGAACCGTAAACGACAGATAATGTGCTCTCATGTGGCCACCTTGAAAACGAGGATAAACAAGTCGTTCAAGGGCCCTGGTGATACTTCAGGGCTGATGGATGTGGCTTGCTCCCAGGACGAGGGTGATTTTATGGGACCTTTGAACATGGAGTCCGCAACATTGTTGAAGGGCATAGCGGTAACCAAAAAGGAAACATCAGAAACAGCACCTGATACTCCATTCCCTTTCAGCCAACGAGTGCTGTCTGATAATGGATATATATTCCCAATGATGACACGTGTGAGATGTTTGCATTATTACTTGTTAGATTTCTGTTCGCGTGACCGTCGTTACTCTGCTCTAGATATGCTCAATAACATGCCTATGGATATTTATCTTCAGGTCATCGGTTGTGGTTATAGGGTGCGAAGTATTTGTGATTTATTAGAAGGTACTGTCTTGCCAGTTCACCTAGAAGATCGGGTGTTGAATGCGTTTTACCAACCCCGCGGTAGAAGGTCCCCGGTAAACCGAATGCATCGTATGTTGAACATACTGGCTGCATTAGGCTTGGTAAAGTCCCACCGTACACCATTAGACCCTGATGATGATGGTGACGATGCTTCGATAAAAGAGTGTGTGATAGAATGGGAACTAACTACGTCCGTGACTCTGCATAGTTTTAGTGATCCTTCGTCAATCGTTGGTCGTTATGACTTACCCTCAGGTTCTAATCGTTTCTGGCAGGCTTTGCAAACAGAAACTGATGCATATCTTTCTAGGGGTCATGCTAAGATACCAGATTTCATGCCTGTACGAGAGATATTTTCAAAGAAAAACTGGAAGCGATCGGTATATGTTGGTAATTTTCGTAGGGGTCAACTTGAAAGCTGTCTTAGCAGCTGGCTCCAGCTGACATCTTATGGAGTGGATTATCGCAACATTCTGAAGTTACTGTACATGCCATCCTACTTGGTTGAACTCATTTCTCAACGGCATAACGTATCCTGCGAGCATCTTTTCAACTACATCATCCACCGCGTGAAATCGAATAGTAATACTTCACCCCGTCTTATCGTGGGTCATTCAGTGATATCATACGTCAAGGGTCTGACCTGGGATCGCGAGTTTTTGTGGTTAGCTAAGTATGTATTGGCTGAACGTCTATGCAATGCGATATTCTATGATCGTCTTGCTTCTTTGACCATTACGACCCCGGATGGTCCTATTACTTGGGGAGCTCTTCGTACAAAACTGCTGGATGCCGATGAGAAGCGTGGTAATCTCGTAAAACGTCGTAAGGTGGATGAAGTTGAAGTACCTGCCACTGTAACGATTTCTGAAATACCCACACCATACGGCGGCATAGGTTCCCGCGTGATATCACTTACCGGTGACGAAGACGAGACTGATGATATATCGCGTGATGACACACCGTCGAATGTTGTAAGCCAGGATACAGTAGTTCCACGTAGTACCTCTACGCGCCATGATTCTGCAGCGTCTGTGGGCATGGGTAAGCGACAACGTTTGATGTTACGCATGGGTACAAAACGCCATTCGTTTCGTAGAGAGCCCGATTCTACATCTTTGTCGCAAGCATCGAATGACGATTCAGATTCCTCGCAGTCTTTTGGTCATATATGGAGTGTCCTTTCATTATTGTTCGACAGACATTTCAGCCCTACGGCGTGTCATTATATCTTCGACCACATCTTGAACAAGTCAACCTTAAGTATTCGGCATATACGTCGGTTACGTCAGATGACATCTGTGGATATAATGCACAGTGCGATGAAATGCCACATTCCAACTTATCGCGTGTTGACAAACAAACACATTGCATTTGACCACATGGAGTATTGTATGAAGAGTATGTTATTTACTCCGCTGGTTTGCATGCGTCCTTGGTTTTTGGATACAATGTCTGAGTTCCTTCGAGGTCGTTTTGTCTTGCGTCAATGGTCTGACAACGGTTGGGTGGTACGTACGAAGCAGACATCTAACATGTACACCTTGTTTAGGCTGAGTACCTATGCAAAGGTGAAGTTGTTTGGAAAGTTCAGCGACTTGGAGTTTACGGCCAATGTGTTGTTGTCCCACCTACGTATATCTGATGGTGCGTTGGACTCTGTTTTAGAAATATCCGATGACCCTCCTTCTTACGACGTAGAAGTGACGACGAATAATTCATTGGATGTAGATGGCACCAGTAGGAAACGTGGTCTTCCGTCTGATTTTTTAGCAACAATGGACACTTCCGACAGTTTAGGTGCTTCTCTATGCGTAGCCCCTGCGTCATTTATACGCACTTCTGAGGAACTGACTATGCATGATGTATATGCCTTGATGAACCATTTTGTGAGTGGCCGTGTGTCTTTCAAACCAGTTTGGACGCATGAAGAGCAGATTTCATTACGCCATGTCAAGCGTGCTAAAACATCACACGACCGTCTGAACGACGGTGGGATATCACGTCATATTGGTGAGTTGACACCGAACACGCCTTCGGTATCTTATGTAACTGTTGGTTTATCTATTCCCGATGGATTTTTGCCCATGTCTCGTCCCTCTAGTGGATCAAGCGATATAAATAATTGGTCGACTGACCAGATAGTAACACGTGAACTTGTTTGTGGAAGTCGTTTTTCTGATGCTTTGAACCCTGTCGGTTGCCCATCATCGTGCCTGGCCAATAAGGTGGATACGAACTACCCATTATCTAACGTGGAGTATATATCTGACCGTGAACATGGATGGTGGTCTAATCGTCAGTACGTTTCGGTGCCTGTTGAATCAAGGCATTTCAGCGTGTCGAACTTATCGAATAGCTCTGAATCCAGTTCCGAAACTACTGCGGATACTGACTTCATTGCTGCAATGGGTTTGCCGCCCTTGTCCTGCGTTCCAGACAGTGCCCATCTTAGTTCCTTAGAATCCACATCTGGACGTGAATATTTGCGTAGAGTGTTTGTTCGTGCTATAAGTTCGCTATTTGGAGCGCTATTGCCTGAATTGGAATCACGTCTAGATGAGTTCGAGGACCTTTTATACGAGTTGGTTTGTCTGGTTAGGTCTTCTGGCAGTGGCGGAATAAAGGAGTCTTTTTTATATTCGAAGTTCTGTCATATATATAGTTCTGAATCCATGACGGTTTCTTTACCATCGCCGTTCATGTATATTGCGATTTCTAAGGCTGTTTTCGAGGTATTAATAGTGAGTGCTGATGTTTTGCGTTTGGTAAGTCGCATATCTTGCAAAGAGGACTTTTTATGTGTTTATTGGGAGATAAGCGGCGTGATTCATGTTACACCAGAGCCCGTTATCGGAGTTCGTTTGCAAAGTAAATTCGCTAAAAGTTTGGCTGCCGGTACTATTTCTACAGGAGTTCCAGAGTACATTCCTGAGTTATTTTGGTTCCTTTACGAGTATCACATGGATCCATCATTGGCTAATGAACCTTTAGAAGCTACTTTAGGTCGTTTAGCATCTTTGTTTGAAGAGGAAGACGATCGTAACCGTTTCAAGTTACACCGTCTGAAGTCTCCCCTTTGTGCGTTTGTGTCGCTTGATGGTCACCTAAACCGTTGTGTATTAGCATTTCTTATGTTGAGGATAGCTTGGTTACTGAAGAGCGTCCCCGGACAGACTGTTGAAGAGGTATGTGTGTGCATGTGTGTTTAACTCGTTTTTAGGTGTGGGAGAAGCTTGTTCTTTTTGACCTCTGTGAGGTCCGATTGGTGCTACGTGGTATGGTAAATTTGGGCATCTGCCGGCATACATTACTCGCAACATCTTTGCGTTGCGATTCGGATTGCAGTGGTCTTCTTGGAGATTCGTCACCGCTAACGTATTTCGTACTAGAGGATCATCTGTGGTTACCGAAATTTAGATCGGTTCTTCTTCCATATTTACCCCGTTGAATTTGATCGGTATATTTCAGATAATGGCTCCGACTACGGCGTTAGCGCTGGGCGATAAGTACAACAAGCCGGAAGGTGACTGGATTGTAATAGCTTCGGAATCCGTAATCCGGGCATTTGTATTACGTCAACATCTCAACATAAACAATGTTTTGATGATACGTTCTGGTTTTCCTGAGGATTTGGATAAATCCCAATTCTCTGAGGTTGGAGATTATGTGAGATCAACTGCCGACGGTAAGGCTCGAATAGTCGCTGAGCGCATATTTCGTGCCACTACATTTGAGGAGAAGCGTGACGTGCTAGATGCTCTTTCCAACCCTTTTGGGACCATTCCCGAAGATTTCGATATTCGAAAAATCCAACTGGTCATCGGTGCTGATACTGTTTGCCACTGTGGCGGCAATATTTTCGAGAAACCTGCTAACGAGACTGAGGCGCTTTACCAGTTGAAATCATATCAGAAATATGACCCTGAGTGCGTTACTGGTGTTTCTGCGTATTCTAGGGAAACCGGTTGTGAGAAGCCTGTTTTTTCGTTTTATGATCGTACCACTTTAAGGTTCCAGAAATTGACTGACGAGGACCTTGAAGCATATGTTGCTATTGGTGAATATGTTGGTACTGCCGGTTCTTGCAGGGTGACGGGTTATGCGGAGTCTATGGTTGAGAGGATCGAAGGCTGCTACACCACCATCATTGGGATGCCTGCACAGAAGCTATCGTGGCACATATGCCAGATGGTTACCGGTGGATCATTTTGAATTGTCAACGTTAAGTCACGCGATGTATACTCTTTAAAATTCCCATGGCAATATGGGATTACACGGATACCAGAGTACTAACTAACTGTTAATTTTTAAAACAACTCTACATGTTCTAGGCACGCATATTGACCAAATATAGATTGTTCATTTCGTCATCTTCAGCTGGGCCATCGAATGATCGTTGCATGTCTCATACCATCTTTTTTTGTTACCACGTTAGTGCTGCTTCGTAAAACACAGAGATATTTATTACGAATGGCTTAAAACTACCATTCGGTCATCTATAGTGACTCATATCAGGTATTCGTGGCTCATATTAATGTTAATGGATCTACCTTCTGAATGGCATATTGTCATTCATAGTCTGTCTACTTGTTGGTATTAAGTTTTGTACACATTGTGATTTCTCTACAATAAATCGAAATAATAACTGCAGTTATTAGCCTAATGATGTATCATGTGTTGTAGTAATAGCAATTCCAACTATTTTCTATACGGGCCGATCCTGGGTGGCGCGTTGGTCTAGAGGCGATTCCACTTACACACATTGACCATTCCTGATTCAAATTGATAATGGGTAGAAGTTTGTATTAATTATTTCCCGTTTTAGGAGTGGCCATGGACGCGTCCGCGTCGCGGTTCGCCGATCCTTTAAAGGACTATGGTTTTGATCCATCCAGTCTCTCGCGTGCGACCTTGCCTATAGAGACGGAGCTTGATGAAGCATCGCGTGAGATACTGAATACGCTTTCTGGCCTATCAGGAGGCCTAAATCTCTTCCCATCTGTTTCGTTTGATATAGAGTCTACCCCGGGAACAGCTCTTTCACGACGACTGGATTGGCTAAGTGATTTTTCTCCAGGCAACGCTAAGGATTCAGATCCAGATGTACACGATGATGTGCATCCCGACGATTTATTTGATGGTAAGATTTCCTATATCACCTTATGATATATTTCTAGGCGCCGATCTCCAGAGCAGGCTGACCTTTTACATGTTCGGAGGGCATTCAACACAACCTGCTGCCGAAGAATCATATGCAAGTTGGGATCTTCCGGACAGTCATCCAGTACGTCCGTCACTTCGAAAACCGAATGATGATAACTACTGCTGGAATTCAAATTGGTATGAACGATTACAATGGGCATATCGTTCTGCATTGCCACGTACTAAACGTCGTGGTTCTATGTATATATTGGGGAGTGATGAGGAACATGAGGTATTGCTAGAGTTGGGACGTTTCAGCCGAGCATCATGTCGAGGTGCTACTACCTTGCTGATGTATTTACTGCAATACGGCCTTGAAACTCCCCCATCAGGTTATATTGAAGTTACTGAACGGAGTTCACCAAAAGTAGATCAGTTCTATCACAGGAAGTTTCCCGACGATCGGCAGTTCATCCACGATGGGATAGTATACACTCTTGTAATTGGTAGGAAGGGTGTTGAATCTGCCCTGTCATATACAATGGCGAAGAAAATGTATTCAAATGATCAGAAAGGTAAACAGGCGTTATGTGAGGCCCTTTATAGCCGTGGTTCTTACGGTAAATTTGCGATACCAGTACAATGTATTGTGGATTACCTGGGTATAAGGGTAGTGGCGGAACCTTTGGTGCCACTTGCTACTTCTTCACCTATAGATTTGGTTTCTGAACTCATTCGTGACTGCAGGGCACCTAGCGGTGAAGCGGCCATCGATATTTCGTCAGCATTGTTCGCACATCCTGAATTGTTCGAATCTTTAAAAGGGATATCTTCCTACTTACATCTCTGTTCATGGCCTATACCATTTGAAGCATCTGATGTCTCTGGGTTTTTGTGTTCCATTTCTGGTACTCCTACCGGTTTAATATCTGAAGGTGCATGTGCTAGTGTACAACGCTGTGATGGGTATTTACATATTAGGCAGACACAAGAGGTGCTACCACCAATCCTCGATAATAAATCTGAGGTAGATCCGCTCTTTTCTTCAAGGTTTCGCCCTGAATTCTGCTTTTCATATAATGGAAATTTGCGTTGTACTGTAAGGTCAGCTTCTGTATATGGAGATCGGAGGGAGGATGACCAGTTTGTAGATGCTTTTAATCACCTGCAAGTGCTATTAGAGGATTGTGTTGGTCGTTGTAACGAGTTGTTTGATTCCTGGGACTTGCGTGAGGTATTCCATTCGTTTGGTGTGAACATGCGTTATTTGGGTATGGCATATGAACGTGCTGTATATGCTGGTTTAAAGAGCCTGCTAGCGGCCGACATGGTAGCCCGTGCTGTGAAACATCTGTGGGATGTTCAGTTACAGGAATTTTTTGCGAATTCTAACCTTGGTTTAGAGTGGATTATGAGGTGAGTTTTGTTATATTGCTTTATCAACTATATTCAGACGTCTTTTGCGTATGGTGAATGATGCATTTGGTTTGTTTTCTGAATCTGCAGATTTTTGGTCGCAATGTATCATCCCTGAAGTGGCGAAGCATTTCAACCTGATAAATGTGGATGGCATGTCCTACCGTCTGTTGCCACATTTGTTGTTGAAAGGTGCGCTCGAATTGCATCTTGGAATTTTGCTACCACCGCCACTTGACGGGATGAAGTATCGATCACCATTGATGTTTTCGGATTTTATGCGTATAGAGGTGTCACAGATCCTTAGTCGTGACAGCGTTCCTAATAGCGATATATTTTATGATGAAGGTCTGTCTACTCCTAGATCCGATACTTTGTCTGCCCCGCCAATTTCACATAGACCTTATGGCAATTTGTTGGACGCATTGTTTCCCAAGGTTGCTGTAGTTCGTCCACAATTTGAGCTGCCAATTATCCAGGCTGCCACTAAACTTTACAAGAAGGATGATCTTCCTCTTGCTGCTAAATTGGTATTTTCCGCTAGTACATGGCGCATGGGTTCCTGTCGGCAGTTGGAGTGCCGTTTAGTTGGTGTAGGTTACCCCTGCGACCCTGCTTGTGTCTACAGCTCACACATGTCATGTGTCAACTACCAACAGCGTATGACTGGTTTGAACCTGCTATGTCTTTCCGAATGTCTTTCTCAGTTGGACAGTTTGAAGAGGGCAAAGTTATTGGTTCTAATGGGTTACGAATATATGCGTCACCGATATTATAAAGAGGCGTTGCAGTGTGCGGAGTTTGTCCTCAAATATGCACCTCCACTATGTAGGAAGCGTCTGGAAGCACGTCTTTTGGCCCTTCAATGCCACTGTTTGACTGGTGCAACGTCTCGAAGCTCTGAGGTCTATGAGTCGTTGAATAGGGGTATATCTGCATTAGAGGGTTGTGTTGGTCTATTATCTCTTCAATCTCTAGTATTCATGGCACTGGAAGCCTGGTTGCGTCGTGATTTCGATACATGCGCATCATTTGCATCTCTTGCTCGTGATACTACTCTAAGTATCTCTGGTATAATCGCTTATGAGTGGCTGCCACTAGCAGTTGTATCGTTATTAAGTCATTGTGAAAGATCGCTTGGTCGTGGTGTTGATGCTATAAAGACGCAGCGTGAGGCCGTTCGTCTATGCAACGTTTCACATTTGCCTCGTTTTACGTTATGCAATCAAACCTGGCTTTTCGTGGAGTACCTGCTGCGTAACGATTCTTACGAGGAAGGTTGTTCGTTATCTATGGAGCTTGTTCCTAAACTTGAATCTGAGTTTGGTTCGTTATCTGTCGAATGTTTGCGTGGACTTTATGTTTCCGCATGGGCTAACCATCAAGTTGGCTGCGGTCACCTGTTACACCCAATGTTATACCTCTGTAGTTCAGATCGAGTACGTGAGGCTCATGTAAGTTGTATATCTATAACATTATTTACATGTTATTTCAGACCCGAACGGCGGGTATTCAAGGTTCATTGCTTTTGGAGGAATTTGTGATAGCTGATATCTGTTCTATGCGTTTAAAACATCGTTCCGATGCTTTGGACCTTTACAAGTCGTTATATGAGCGTTTATGTGTTTTATTATTGCAATCTCGTCGTGATATCGCTTCTTACGTTCGTGGAGTTTACCCTTCCACTGCAACGGACCCTATTGAGAAGTTGCCTCGATTGAACCAGGGTATCGTAACGGCAGTTTTACCTGATTTTAACCTTGAGGAAGATGCATTGTTGAGCACTATGGTTGCTAACTCCGAACGTTACCATGAGAAACTGCTCTTGGTAATTCGCAATTTGTTGACATTGAAGTTACTATCGTTATCCAGTGCATCGTCGATGTCTGTGGCACGTCGTCTGTACAACGCTTACGTGAGCCAGGTTTCTGACGGTTATATATTCAAATTATGTGTGGGTGGTGAAGAGGTTCAAGCTATTGCTTCTGTCATTCCATCCTACGGCAATACTGGTAATTCGCGCATGGCGTCTGTTTATGGGAGCCGAGTTGAACGACAACCAGAGCGGTTCAGCGCATCGGTGTCAATTCGTCAGAACAGTGTTCCACATCGTGGTCACGAGCTCCGTTCTATCGAAGAGCTCCTTCTGAAGGCTCCGAATTTAACTGTCGGCGCCATCTGTGAGATTTGTCGAACTAATCTCTTGGATAGTTCGGATACTCCATCAGAATGGTTTGTTTTTATATGTTTGGTTAAATTTCGGTTACAGGTTTGACCGTTTGTTTGAGTTGGATGCGTCAGCTGGCAGTGGTGTTGAGAATTCCTTCACACTGTTTCTGGATGTGCTTAGAAACTTGCTAACTCCGAGCAAGCGTCTAGTGATACTGGGCCACGTGGCGAGTATTAGTGGCGCTGAGGTTGACACAACTACGACATTCACGGACCTCCGCCAAGCGCTGGAGTTCGCAATTGTCCGTTAATAGGATTGGCGACGGCGTTGTTACTGCTGGAGGATCGATATGTCCTATTTTTTTACTAGTACGTATTGACATACGTTCACAAAGTTTTCTAATGTTCAAATAGTACTCTCTTTTATGGTTTTTTATCTCCTATAGACATTATTTATATCCGGGAAATCATTCACAGTGTTCCGCGTTTTGTCTGTGATGGCCTAAGGGGGGGTTAAAACGACGTCTTTTGACGCTGTGATTGGAGAATCTAACCGATATGTTACTCAACTAGATTTATATTTTAATGTTTAAAGATAATATTTTGTTTTCTATGACTGTATATGTGTTAATTTGTACAATTAGTGATTGTCATTCACTTGTTAGTCGTTAAAGTCCGTATAACGGATCCAAACGGGGACTATATCGACTTATTTATACTTTCAATATTACGATATGGTTATGTTGTACTTGTATGGTTACTATATTATCGCAATGGTCTACTTCATATCGGATGTGTACGTAGGATGATCACGTACAACTTCGGCCGAGTAATTGATTCGTATGTTTCGGCCGTATTCCCAACATCAGATCAATTCGATCCAGTTGATGATGATATAGACGGGGAAAATCTTGAAGAGGAGCGCCCTGAGGTGCCTAGAAAGGACGGCCTTCTTCAGTGTCTGCAACTGTCTCTACTCATCGCCGCTCTTATTGCTCTAAGTACATATGTTTTGCATGTACGTTCTTCCTACCTGTCTACGGTATTGCTGAGATCAGTATTGAAGGAGCAAGTTAGTATAAATGACGGAGGCTATGTGAAATTTTTGGATTCCATCGCTGTTTTACGTAAGAAGGACCCTGTTGAAGGAAAAAATGTCAATATCTATGATTTAGATTTGGGAGAGGATATTTTACGTTATGGCGATATCCGTAGTCGAGCTGATGTGGCGTTGTGGATGCAGTTTGGGTTGATCCCATCATTGTTCAATGGCCTTAGTAGCTACAACAAACTCATTGGAAACACAGTTCGTCTATCTTTCATATATGCTGATGATGGTGATGTTAAGCCGCCACCTGTTAAGAAGCAGGCACCTTCTAAGCCTAAGGCTGTTGAACCACGTCTATCCGGTGTTTCACCTATGGGTTTCGTGGTTGATGATGGCGATGAGGATCGTGGCGAGGAAGCAGACACCGATCTGGTCGATGATGATTACGATACCGATATTGTGAAGGGAGTTGCATTGGTGCCTCCCCAAGACACACAGCAGGTTGGTGGCGGTGATACGGGTCAGCTTGGTGGAAATGTTGGCAAAGATAAGAACGACACTACGAAATCAGCATTCATAACCAAATTGCCATACGCGACAGATGGAACGTTCCATACAGATTCGGTCCTTGGTGGGAGGTTCATGTATATTGCTGGTGCGACTTTAGAGGAGGCGATGTCAGCTCTGAACATGGGTACCGAATATTCTCGCGATCCGCCATACTTCCCGCTATACTCGATAATGTCAGACACTAGCACTACTTCGGTGACTCTGGAGGCCTTCACGAATAACCCTAACGACTACACGGTCACATATGTAAAAGTGTCGTTTAGTTTTGTGTATAATGCTGAGGGTGGTATTGACCTTTTGAAGATGTCAAAGGCATCTTCCATTTCGACACCACGTGACAGTTTAACAAGAAGGATCCAATTGTTTATTTTTGGATTTGTGTTATTGTTAAGTGTAGTACATATGGTACACAGTTTCCAGATCCATCGTAACTTTCGTGTCTACTCGTTGAAGGTCATGTATGTGATTGACGCACTTGGTAAGCTGTGCTTACTGGTATGCCTAATATCATTTGCTGCCCGGCTTTATATGGGTCATGGTTCAGGTCCATATATCCAGGCTGCTACTACTGCAGGTGGTGATTATAGTTCTGTTGTTACCTTGGGTCGTAACGGGCGTCTTTTAGATTCTGATCTTTTGGAAGTGGTCTTCAACAACTTAAGGAATACCGTGTTACAAGGTTACATGAGTACTGGCCTTGTCCAAGTCATGACCTTTAGTACGATATCGTTTCTATTTATATTGTTTTGTGGTATTCTGTTTGGTGGTGGTAAGGTTGGCAAAGTGCTAAGTTTCTGGGCATTTCATTCATTATTTCAATTCGGTTTGGCCGTATTCGGTGTATTGTTTGCACTGTGCATGATTGCACTAGTGAACGCTTACGTTGTGAACTACATTGGTAAGGATGATGCAAGTCTTCGCTACAACTTTGCGATTCTGTCTAATATTTTAGCCGGTGTGGTAAACAATCGTGTAAGTTCCTATTACCGAAACCATGGATGGATGCATACGCTGTCGATCCTATTTCTGTTGGCTGTATTTACCTACTTTGGTATGATAGTTTTGTTGACAATGATGCTCACGGCTAACCCTGAATCTTGTATTGAAAGTTTCGATGGCTACCCTTTGAGTGGACATTATGACGACTCACGTTGGTTAAAGATAAAGCTTGCTATAGAGCGGATATTTGGTTACATGTCACTGCGCAATCGTCGATTCTTTTTGCGTCAGCTCGTTATTTCCAGAAATCGAGCGAATGTTGCAACAGCTACAGATTCTAGAGGATCTAAAGCCCCTACGGAGGGTGTCACAAGTTCTGCGAATAGCTCAGTAACAGGTACCAACAACCCTGCTGCAGGCAATAAGAGCCCGTCCAACAGCGGCAGTATGTCATTGGAATCGAATTCCACCACTAGCGGTGTTCCATCACGGGCCCTAGGAAAGAGCCAGGCATCAAATGTGGCACCTCATAGGTTGACCATTGGTTCGGAATTGCTGCGTTCTTCGGGTGGTGTACCTAGGAGGTCTGGTGTAATGTATGCTAACTTTACAATTCTTCCCTCCCGTAACAGAAAGGATCGCAGGTGGCTTCGTATCCTATCATATTGGCTCATAATTGTGGGTGTGATAGTTTTTATGTATAAGGACCGCCAATATCATGTTGTGCGTAAACTGTTGCAACAAACTTTGACGGATCGTATAAAAACTAGCACGGCGCGATTACCATGTATCTATGAGGAGTCCGTGGCCCCGAAAGATGACCCTTCAGCGTCAGCAGCACCTGTTGCTGGAAGTGACAAAGGAGCAGAACCTCCCCCCGGGTCGGCACCTTCAGCTCCACCACCATCCTCTGTCGCAGGTAAACCTCTTTCTTCTGGTCTATTGGAGAATGCGGACAACTCAGTGATCCCTCGTGTTCCGGAAGAAAAGAAGGATGTTCCTAAAGGTCCAGGAAAAGGGGAGAAAGAACCTGCCAAACCATCAGTTTCTGTTGTATCACATCCGTCGCACCGTAAAATGGAGTTTGTAAGGGCGGATATTGTGAAAGCGATCATCCCACACATACAATTTGCGCCAAGAAGTTTACTGACACGGCAGGAGGTATTTCAATGGTTAACTGAAGGTGGTCTCAACACATTGTTTACTCGTGAACCTTTCGACAATGATATGTTCCTATCTACTATGAAGGATCCTCGTTACATGTCATTGCAAGGACGTTTTTTTGCGGTCCCAGCGGATAATCCCTTATTCTTGGAGATAAAGCTGAGATCTCCTGATGGGTTCCACTGTCCTCTATTTGAGAATATGGAGCACGATGTTGGCACGAATACTGCTCGTAGTGTTGTACTTTCAACCGACTCATCTATGGGTCTTCGGGAACTGTTTGGTCATTCTGCTAGGGATTTTCCTGATGTTGTTGAGAGTGTGATTTTACATTTTTTGATCGTCGATTCTAGTAAGCAATCTAAGTTGTATACGGCTACAATTCCTTTTGAGATCCGCAAATCTGGGAAGGTGGTGTCTCGTATGAAGCTACGGAGTGTTATAGGTATTCACCTGTCCTCTAGTTACCGGAATATAGTGTTTATATCGGTATCTGTGATATCATTTGTGTTACTTATCTTATTTTCATGGTGGTTTGCTGTGGATTGCCGTAAGTTCTTACGTAATTACCGCTACCATCATAGGCTTACTGGTCGTCGACCATTTTGGCATTGTATGATGGTCTACTTTGTGAACGACTATATAAGGTTTGTTGATCTTTTGGTGCTACTTTTGATCTGTTTGACGTGTATATTTTACATATTTATACACGAGAACACAAGTGTTGTGTATAGTAGAGTGACTTTACTTTCAAGCTTGCATGCTAGGTTAGAGGTCCATTCTGCATTACGCAATATTCGTTTATTACATAAGTCTTTATGGGTAGTTTTGGGTCTAATGGCATTTTTGATCATTTTGGCTGAGATACGTATGCTACAGGCTGTCATGCAGATGTTCTTTATGTGTCTCGTGTGTGCTTTTACATTATATCTTTTGGCTTTTGTAGCATTGTTTTTGGTAGCATCGACCTTTCTCTTCGTATTGCTGATATTCGCTGCTGAGCTTTACGACGACCTATCTAAGGATGAAGGGTTCCTTATGGGAGGGATGCGTCTTTTAATAGGAGAATCTCGTATTCCATCTCACCTGTTCGAGAGCAAACCTATGGTCATGTTGATGTACCCGTTATCTATGATCTTTAAAATGTTCATTATGAACGTGTTATTTGTCTATTTGTGGTCGATTTGGCCCAAGGGTGCCAATAACATTGAAGAAGAGGATATAAGCGAGGTGTACAAGCGTGACACGGTGGATGGTTACGAGTTGCCTGGCGGTTCATCTAATTTAACTGAAGTTGCATATGACCAGCTGGATTTAATCCCCGATGACCTTAAGGAATATTGTGCTGATGAGGCTATCAAGTTCAACCAGATGTTCCGGGAGTATGACGAACAGTTCACCTCATCGGGTATGAAAAGCCTGGAGTATGTGGAATGGCTACACGAGAAGCTTGCTCGAGATATGCATGAGTTACGGATGTCCTGCGAATCACTGCAACTGCAGTTAGAAGTTGCCAAGAAGAGTCGTGAGATAATGGAACGTCAAGAAGACCGCACATTGGAATCTACGATATCTTTACTCGAGATAACGTTGTCTGACAAACAAGATGAGCTTGCCAGCGTATACGAAGAATACAAATCTTATGTTGAGGAATGACGAGTTAGATGGGAGAAACCCGAGCTAGTTCCTAAGTTCAGTTGATTGTATCACATATTAGGTCAACTACCTTTCGGGGTAGTATAGAAGACCTTGTTAAGAAGGGTATGATATTTTTAAAGGGCAGCTGCTCCTGACGTCTCGGGAGGTTATCGGCTGCATCGTCTACTTATTGTATAATATAAATTAGTAGGTGTAATAATAATTATTATAAGTTTTATATGTTATATGGCGGCGAGGTGTGGCGGAATTAGCTGCCCTTGTGTCTGTAATGATGGGCCTGAGGTACTATGAATGTGCACGGTCTTTGCCATCTGTGTGCGTTCGTTGGTTACGGTGTCGCAAAGCCTAGGTCATATCGCAATCATGAATCCGTTAGCGCAGCGAATGGGATTGGATTCCACTTGCCTAGGCCACCGTCAGGGTTCAACTTAGGGAGTGACCTTCCGCAAGATGTACGGCAGTTTGGAGTTAAAAAAGGACCGCCACTGTTCCAAATGCCAGATTGCGGTCCTGAAGGTGTAGTGAGCTACGCGGGTATATACAAGACTCTTGATAATCTGCCGAGGCGAACACTGGAGTATGCAGACATCGATGAATTGACTCGCACAGGGGTCCTTCCGGAGATTGGACGTATGCTTAGGGAAACAGATGTAGAGAGTTTATCTAGACTACAACTTGCGCTGTTCGATGAGCTTGCTTACGGCAGTAATGCATTGTTCCATTCTGAGACATCCACGGGCAAAACGTTCTCGATGTTGTTGTACGCCACTTTGCGATATTATTACGGTGTATCACCTTCGTGGTTATGCTCACAAAAGGTGCAAGAGCTTTTTGACCGCTCTAGAGCGTCTCCCGCTGGCGCTGTAGGAGTTTTTGCGCCTCCTTCATCACCGACACTAAATCGGGTGATGGTCTTGTGTCCGACCAAGGAGTTGGCTTTGCAATGTGCAAAACAACTGATACAGTTCGCTGGCGGTGACACCAATTGTGTACGTCTTATAATCGATGACCAGGCACTGTTACCTGAGGATATAGGTCCACAACATGTATTTGTTGTAGGTGCGGCGAACCAGCTGAACCTATACTTGTTGACTAAGAGTAAGCGTTATATCCGTGGTATAATGCAACATGTGGGCATGGTAATATTGGATGAGGTAGACCGTCTGGTTAAGGTAGCAAACCAGTACGCCACAACACGTCGTAAAATGATGTACCGTAAAAATCCTACGGCAGCATTTCAGATATGCCAGGTATGATTGATCCATATGGGCTTGTAATGTTGTTTACAGGCCTTACTTTCATTATCTCCTAATAGGTTACAACTTGTGGGTGCTTCAGCATCCATATCACGTAACCATATAAGGTTCATGGATGCTACAATACAATCGTATCGTAAATCACGTTGCCCTCTAGCTGTCATACGGAACAATGACGACCGTACAGCATCGAACCGTTACGTATCAGTTCCGGATGAGGTTGAGCATTTTTTCGCTGCATCTAATACGGACAGCCTTGGTAACAAGGTTGGCAAGGTGGTAACTATTTTGCGTACAAGACCAAGTGATCGTGTATTATTTTTTGTGAGTTCTAAGCATTCTCTACTTTCTTTTACACATTACCTCGAACGCTGTGGGTTCCAGGTTAGTCCGACGACACCTATCTTATATATCGGCTCAGTGCAAGGTGCTACATCATGAGTTTGGGATACGTGATAACGTGTCTAAAAGGTTTAGTGGCGAGGTCGTAAAGGGTGTATACGATCGACGTGAATCGACTGAGGTTATGGATAAGTACGACGGGGTGCGCAGTGAACTAGACAGTGAAACTGGTGAGTATATTACGTTGTTAAGATTATGACCATTAGCAGATGGTTGCATGTATGCTGCTTCTATGGATTCAGCACGTGGTCTGCATTTCTCAGCGGTATGTTAGACACTTCACCTATTATCCATTTCCACAGCTTGATACGGTATACATGATAGGTATCCCTCGCAACGTTGACGAGTATGTTCACATATCAGGTGAGTTGCATGGCGACAATAGTCAATAAAACGTCCAGGTCGAGTAGGCCGCTGTGGACGTAAGGGCCGCTGTATTCTTGTGGACACCATTGCCAATGTGAGGTATGTCTGAAACTGTAGCTGACAGATCACGTGTGGTACAGGAAAGCTTTGACGTGGCAGACCAGCATCAATTGTACAATATTACCTCTATCCGATACGGATGCTAAGGCTCTCTCTGAGTTTAAGGGTTATATTCCCAAGGTCCAGGAAACAACTCGAAACCAACCTAGAGGGACCGCAATAACAACACACTAAGTCATATAATGGGCTGTGTAAATAATTGTGACTATATATTGTAGTTAGAGAGGTCTCACCTTGGTGGTGGCGTTTGGAGGAATCCGGGTGGGGCGGGAGGCGTCACCCTGGTAGATTGGCCTTTTGTGTCAATACTTGACGTTGTATACCTTTTCCGCCGCTGGTTTTTGATACCTAACGGTATTTTCTAATACACCGGGTCCATTTTCTGCACAGGTACGTATTTAATCTGATATACAATACAGAGGTGTGGTTGTGTACTTATCGCCAGCGTAACTACTCCCACCGTGTTATAGCCCAGGTCTTCTCACCAACTTCAAAATTGACTACGCCTCATTGGGATGCCATAAAATCACGTCCTATCGGGGTTCTGGTTATCTATGTTCACTAAGGCCGCGGTTTGCGTGTGGGTGTCTTGTGCTGTCGCGTTTATATTCACGATTTGTATATATTATATCTATCTACTAGTGTATTTCATTGGGGGTCTCATTCTTTTTTGCAGATATATTCGAAAATGTCGTCCGTTCCTATGTCGCAGCTCACGCCCGAGCAGCGTGACGAGCTGCTGTGCATCTACTCATCGCTCATCCTATACGACGAGGGTATCGAGATCAGCGCCGATAACATCACCAAGCTTATCAAGGCTGTTAATGTCAATGTACAGCCTTTCAGGCCTATGCTCTTCGCCAGGGCTCTAGAGGGCAAGAACATCGGCGAACTCTTTGCTGGTGTAGGCTCCTCAGCAGCCGCGGCCCCTGTAGCTGCAGCTGGAGCTGCTGCCGCTGGTGGTGAAGCCAAGGAAGAGGCCAAGAAGCCTGAACCCGAACCAGAGGAGGAAGAGGATGACATGGGTTTCTCACTTTTCGACTAAGTGTAAGCTATCTAGTCGATTAAAAAATATGAATTTAATCTCTACGTTCATATTGTCATACTAATGTATAATTTGTGCCCAGGGTGTTGTCGCGTGGTCTCGTAGTGGCCAGCGCATGATTATTTATGTTTCCAGCTGTTACCCGGTGTAAATTAGACGTATTGAAATTTTATGAGCAATATATCTCTGAGACGTTTCCGTTTTCTACACATCTACTTAAAACCTTTGTAAATATATTCTTGCAAAAAGGTAGTGCCATAAGTAGGTAAATTGGTTCATTAACCAGTTTTTGTGGGTTACATATCACTCTATAGACCCAGTTAGAGGTATTATATATCGCAATATCGATCGACATAATGGTAGTTGATCCAAGTTGGGACGATATACCAGACGACTTCGTGCTCCCAGCCGGGAACGCAAAACGCGGCGCCAAACTATTCAAGAAACATTGTCAACAGTGCCATTCTATGCGCCCAGATAATCGGCAGACTTCAGGTAGGCCTTTTTACAATCACACTTAACATACATTTGTATAAGCAACACATATTAATTATATATGTAGGTTTTGCTACAGTAGGACCGACACTATTCAATGTGTACTGCCGGACGGCAGGCGCTAAGGGGCATGACAGTGTCACTGGTATCACAGCTACACTACAGAATGCGGGTATAGTATGGACCGATGCGAATTTGATGAGGTAGGCCACTGTCATTCCATTCCATCACATTCTGCTAGGTATATGAAGAACCCAGAACGTTTTGTAAGCTCAGTAGTGGGTATGAACTTTTCAGGGTTACCTAATTTCCAAGATCGTGTTGATATAGTACACTTTCTCAGAGACCTAACACCAGATGGTGCTGTGGGCAAGCGAATCATGGAGGAATGCAAACGAAAATAAATGCAAAATATGATATCAATAGGGCTAATATATTATGTAGTACTACATAAAAATATTAGGGTGAGGTTGTCGCATCGACAATAGGTAGCCATCACATTACGGCGCAACCATAGGGAAGTTTAATCACCGGATTATTATTGTCGTCACGTAAAATGATCTCGATATTGTCATACTGGTATTCATCCCAGTGTCCACTGTGTACCATAGTATGTTCTTTTAAGCGATAATCTGCAGACTCCTCAGATCTCACCTCAGTGTCCTCACTGCGCCAAGCACGCAGTGACTGGAAATATGACTTAAGGGCAGTAGAGCTACTTGTATCATCAGAACGTCTGGATAGATATTCGCTCAACATGCCTAAGCGATTTTTCAAGTAATTGGCAGCGCTTTGACCATTCTGTTCTGGTGTATCCTCTGCATCATCGGTTGCCGTATTCTCTGAAGCGGCATCCACTTGCTTGTCAGACTGCCGACGGAAAGACTTTATAGCTTGGAAGAACCGAAGGCGACCATTGCTAAAGGACATCTCACCAATGAAATCACGTAGCGATTTGTGACGTGTTTGGGAATCGACTTCTTCCTCAAATACACAATGGTATGGACCATATTTTGATATAACTTGTTGTGACACTTTACTAACAATCTCACATCTCAGACTGTCGCCAACGTCTAATGCAGCATTTTCAACGGGTTGCGCGAATTCCGCACCACGGCCCGTGTTCTTACCTTCAATGAACAACGCAAAACAATCTACAAACTTATCATGGCGTGGAACAAAGGGGTTACTAAAGTTGAATCCTGCTTTGGGGATTGTGAAGTTAGCTATAAAAGCAACAAAACGATCTGCTGCGCCAGTACGACCTAACAGGCTATCCATAGTCGAATTGAATCGTTGAGATATGCTAGGTGATCGTCTATCTGAAGTAGTGGCAGCTGGTTCGTTGGCTAGTGTATGTGTGACATTCCAGTTACTGTACATGAGGCCTTTGAATCCATCAAACATTGAAGACAGCTTATTGTAAAGCACTGTTGTGTAGGTGTTAGCTTCAGGTTCTTCAGATTGTTGATTTTCTCCATCATCTGAGGAATCTATATTCTTTGTTTTGTACCATCCTTTGAAGTAGACACTGGATTTTGAAGTATCAGAATCTTGACTAGGGACGACAGATGCATTGTCTGCAATATTTCGGGATGGATCTGTTTCTGTGCATTTCCACAGAGCAGATAATGCGTCCTTACGTAGCAATCCATAGCTCTTTACATTATCTTTGCCTTTTTTAGACAAACGATTAGAGCCACCAACATGGTCACCTAAACCGTCACTGTCGGAGTTAGCCTGACGTGTCATTTTAATGTCACAGATAGAGATCCTTTTTGATCTTCTACATGGGTTATCTAAAAGGTTACATTTCACAAGGACAATGGGAGAATATCTGGAATATACGATATTATCTTCATCCCTCAGTTTGTGCCAAACGGTTTATAACAATAGGAAACTAGTTCCACTATAATTAACTTAATATTATACTTTACAGTCAGGATACAACAATGTTTTATATTAATGTGTCAGTGATTTGCACTGACTCGCGCTTCATGGCGTATTGGAGGTGCCACTATATAGGCAGCCACAAAAGATTTAGTGTCTACAGGACATAGTCACGGGATAACATAAACTATAGTGTGAGTATATTTCACTAGAGCTATTTATCACATAGAAGCCCCCTGGTGAATATAATAGTAGACTTGGGGTAGAGTCACTGACGCTAGCGTTATGAATTTTAGGCAATATGCTCCAACACCGAACAAATCCCAATCAAACACCTCTTTGAGGAGTTCACAGTTCCTCATTTAACATGGAATTATATAGAAAAAGGTGGTAAGCAAACAGGGATTGACCTCCCCGTAATACAAGGACACAGCCATCACTCCTGTCTCAATAAAGCAAGAGCATAACACCTATAAATCACGGTAACACATAAATAGTTGTCTTGAACAACGAAGCTCTCGGAATAATGGCTCTGGAATATTGTTACCCCAACATACCGAGGCCACTCTCGATCCATACACAAGAGCTTTGTTTTAGTAACCAAGTCAATTCTATTCTGGGTCAACAAAATGGATAACACATCATGCGGTACTATTTACAAGGTCTCCGGTCCACGTAAGTTAACAACAAGCACGTCTAAATTGGATGAGATGCACATGCCAATGTTAAACCAACTCGTATAATCTATCCTATATAACCTAACCATATTTCAGTCGTCATTGCCGAGAATATGCCAGGGACCAAAATGTACGAACTAGTACATGTAGGAAGCAAGAACATTTGTGGAGAGATCATTAGAATCGATGGAAACTCGGTATTCATACAAGTATACGAGGATACCTGTAAGTCATTCTTATATAAAACAGTGTTCATATTACATAAATGTCTCGAAGGAGGGCGGGAGGGATAGGTGGTGGTCAGTTTTCACCCAGTATATCCCTCGGACCTACCTAGTGGAAGGAGATTGCCAGTGTGTGCGGTTGCATTGTCTATATTAAGGTGACGTTAGCTCAAAAATGGAGGTCATCACGACTTCTACGAGATGACAGTACCATTACCTACACGTTCACCACTAGTCCAACCTTCACGTCTATCAATTCTACTTTGCGTGGTCTAGTACAAATTTTTACCAAAGTATACTTAGTATGCGTTAAATACTTTGTAAATGACTTTTATAGCGGGACTACGTGTTGGAGACCCTGTCACGAACACTGGTATGCCCTTGTCCGTGGAACTAGGACCGGGAATACTGGACAATGTATTCGATGGTACACAACGCCCGTTAAACAAAATTTACGAAAAGTATCAAGAATACGCCGTACCTATAGGTGTCAATATGCCAGCGCTAGATCGCACAAAGCTATGGGATTACACGCCAAACCCTAATATAACATTAGGATCAATGGTAACCGGAGGTGATATATTCGGATCTGTTATGGAAAACGATATTTTCATGAAACACCAAATTATGGTACCACCAAATATTAGCGGAAAGGTGACATTCGCAGCACCAGCGGGAAAATATAATATAGAAGAACCACTACTCAAGATATCGTACCTTGGAGAAGAAAAAATATGCAAAATGTATCAAGTATGGCCAGTAAGACAACCAAGACCAGTTGTTAAAAAAATACCCTCGAATAAACCACTTCTTACTGGACAACGTGTGCTAGATGCATTCTTCCCTGCAGTCATGGGAGGAACTTGTGCCGTACCCGGTGCTTTCGGTTGTGGTAAGACTTGTATTTCACACGTAAGTTCCATATACCATCGAAAATAAATTCAACAATAGGCTTTGGCAAAATATGGTAACACCGATGTTACCGTATATGTAGGATGTGGTGAACGTGGGAACGAAATTGCAGAGGTACTTAAAGAGTTCCCAGAACTCAAAACACAGGTTAATGGAAAAGAAGTAAGCATTATGAAGAGAACTTGTCTAGTGGCGAACACTTCTAACATGCCTGTCGCTGCTAGGGAAGCAAGTATATACACGGGTATCACACTATGTGAATACTTTAGGGATATGGGTTACCACGCTTGTATGATGGCGGACTCTACCAGCCGTTGGGCTGAAGCTTTGCGTGAAATTTCGGGGAGGCTCGCAGAAATGCCTGCCGATTCAGGTTACCCGGCATACCTAGCATCCCGTCTATCTGCCTTCTACGAACGTGCCGGGAGTGCCGAATGCATCGGTGTGCCATCGAGAGAAGGTTCCGTCACCATTGTAGGAGCTGTGTCTCCACCCGGTGGTGACTTCTCGTGCCCTGTTACAGCTGCTACAATGTCAATTGTTCAAGTTTTCTGGGGGCTGGACAAAAAACTAGCTCAACGGAAACATTTCCCATCAGTCAACTGGACCACTTCATTCTCCAAATACGAGAAACAACTGGAATCATTCTTTGAGGAAAACTGCCCTGATTTCATGCCATGCGTCAAGGTACTCAAGAATGTGTTGCACAAAGAAGGTGAATTGCTTGAAATCGTACAGTTGGTTGGACGTGACTCCCTTTCCGAGGATCAGAAAGTTACACTGGAAGTAGCCAAGATCATTCGCGAAGATTTCTTACAACAAAACTCATTCACAGATTACGACTACAAGTGCCCACTGTACAAGACAGCAGGGATGTTGAACTGTATTGTCACCTTTTACAACGAGTGCCTTAAAGCCATTGCAGAATCAGGTAAACGTGGGAACAAGCTAGGTTGGGGTACAATCTACAACACCATGCGTGCAACTATTAATAAAATAACGGGACTCAAGTTCATGGATCCACAACTTCCGGAATCTGAATTTGAGGAAGCGTTCAAGACTATCATTGATGAAGTGACAGTTGGTATGCGTCAACTTGTCGACGTATGAGTTTGGTTAATTCCATTTGCGCTCATTTAACTTATCACAATAAATTTATATTTACTGCACTAACACTGCAGATATTGGACGGTAGTGCTGGGATCCAGCCACCCGTAAATTACAAGTACTCAAATGTGAAAATATTAAACCTATGTCTAGTGTGTACCGTCATAGTAGGGTATGTGTCTCTCTACTTCCTAGGTTGCGATTGTTTAGGTAGGAATATATCGTTATAAGTTGGAACCTCGCGAGGCTCCCATGAATAGTTCGCCGTGAGATTTGCTGAGCATGTGACTCAGTTTACGGGAAGATAACCGAGACAGATGTGCCTCGGTTTCACGCAGATTGTTTTGGAGACGCTGTTTTATAAGCATCTGATGCGCAGGCATCAGCTGATTGGATCGGTGAAGTATACGCATGCCATCTGCACCGTAAAATGTCTCATCACTATCATTGGAAAGCGTCATGTCGGATACATCTCGGTTAGGCTTCGGAGGGGGAGGAGGAGGCATATACCTGTTGTCCCGATAATTACTCTCAGCTAACCTATCCGATGCCACTCGATTGTGTTGCAATAGGGTCCCAGTACCGTCAGAACGGGAATGCTTATACTGGGTGTCACCAACTGGGTTACGTACAGCAGCATCTGCCTGCGAACGGTATCTCCGCCAATCGTTTACATTATCCACGCCAGGACGACCATACCCATCACGTTCATCGTTAGCGCTGCCTCCATATCTGGATTTAGGGTTACGGGTATCCATCCATTCGTACAGCTTCGGCGGTGCAATAGCAATATGCGACAGCTCCCCGGAGTCTGTTGGAGATCCTATATGTGAGTCTTCACTCAATGTTCCTCCGCTGTGCCTGTCAGAACGTGTATCGCCCAGGTAGCTGGCCAATGGCGGGGGCGTTACGGTACCTAAGGTGCTCTGATTAACATTATCGTTCGCTTTAACACCATTTAAAGAGCCCAATGTCCACGCCTGTGCTGTGTAATATTGAGGTTGACTGCCTAGAGTGGGTGGGTCCGAGGTACTCACATCCACCTGATGTGCTGTAGAAGTTCCATTGCCATACGGCTCGATACTTGCAAAATCCATATCCATGGAATGTGGCAGTGCCACTGTCTCTAGACGCATAGGTATAGCAACATCAGCGTGAAGTCCTTCCCGTACCCTACTTGTTTCAACGCCGCTGTCAGGATATTCGGCACTGCCATCCATACCATCACTATGACTATAGATGTCGAGTTGTGGTGGTTGTATAGTATCCTTTGAGGCTAAAAGGTCCGATGTTACATCTTGTCGCCGGCTTATCACTGGGTACTGTGGCTTACTGTCACCGAAGTAGTGTGTTTCGTCGAAGTCGGTGTTGTAATGATTGGCTTCAAATCCAGCATCAGTGGATCGAACGTCTAATACGCCCGTAATCACCTTTCGCAAACCTATTGAATCGTTTGAAGAGTTTTTTACGGCAGCACGCTCCACACATGGGATTTTAGTATCAACTATATCACCTGTTCCATCCAACAGATCTTCCATGTAGTGACGGCATGAGAAAACGACATCACTATATTGCAAGAAGTCATCTTCAAGCATAGGTAGATACTACAACATGTTATGAGCCAGATACAACTAGTTACCTTCTTAAGATCGTCGAAACCAGAATGCATCATGCGGCCACGTCTAACTGGAGCGAATGGTGTATTCTCTTCAAAGTAATTTGCGTAGATGAAGTATAGGACCCTGAAGGAATCCACTGGACCGTAAGTATTGCCGACATTGTCCTAGAAACCCTTACACATTGTAAAAATGTGACATACCCGGTAATACCATCCCAGCATACCTCGTATCGCCTCGGCGCGCTTGACACAGCACACCTCCTCAGCCATGATGTCAAGCGTTCAATATAATGACACGAGGATATGAAATGCCAGTGTGTGTGGTACAATCATGGCATCAAGTGGGCGCCCACTCCATAGACAAAGGGGTCGACCTTACCCAGGGAATAACTGGCTTGTAACGACCATCAAATTGATGTGTAAGCTTAAACAGAATTATTTTTTAATTATAATTCTAGCTGTGTAATTAAAGACAGCAGATATGTGTAAGCAACTACAGCCGAGGCGACGATGGCAGCGTCACATCAACCGCGGGGGTGGTTACGACGTCACTCCATAATACAGATGCCTAAAGAATGTAATAATATAAAATATAAGTTTTTTAAAAATTATACTGATAAATCCCCAAAGCCCATACAAAAAAAAATAATGTTGTAATCGCAGAAAGGGCTCATAAACCTATCTCAGGTCTTCAGATGACCGACATATTTGTAATAATAGAGTATGGAGCAATCATCTAAGATGGGAAGAGGGACTAATATCGAGTATTTCACCTCAACCAATGAGTTACTGGAACGAATACTCGCGGTAGACTTCCATAGAGATCTACCAAAGGAGGTATCAGGCACCCTAACAGATGTACAGAAACGGATACGATGGCATAGACCGTTGGAACAACTACCGACACATATTACAGATGTATTGACATATCACCGAAGCTTCTTCCCACTATACATGATTGAATGTCTACAAATGTTGGCAAGTAACAAGTACATGAACATGGGATATCCCATGAGAGTGTGGAAGGGATCACATCATATATACAGTTGTTTTGTCGATCTTACGTTACATGGTACCACGGGGTTCCCATTTATACCCGGAGACCTGGTACTCCTATACGTCGGAACACCTGGACATGACTTGGTACCGCAGTCAGTTACCCCCGCAGTTCGTGAAACAATACGAATAGATGAGTCGGAAGAGGATAGACCCTCGGTAGCTGTACCTGAAGATCACCCGATCTATGAAGATACATTGAAACATGCAATCGGTTACGTAGGAGCTGTAAGCAGACACCAATGTGCGGTGGAACTGCTTGTTCGCCCTCCGAGTTTCGCTAATATGGAAACCTTTGATATAAGAAGTGTCGAACGATTGGAAGCGATACAACAACTTATTGATCAACCTCCACATTCACGACCTGGGACTGTTGGATTTGAAAGAATAGATAATAGCGGAGAAGCATGGTATGTAGCTAAACTCTGCTCATTTGCAACATCGTTGAGGGAGTTTCGCGCACTATGCTCGATGTCTTCACTACCACTAGTGGACAAACTTCTTCAAGTATATGAAGATCCAGTAACAGTACAAACTGAAGAGTCTGATGATAAACACAAATACTTAGATGGAATTGATATACCAGTTAAACTAAGACTGATCTTGGAAGCGTCATATAATGCAGCACAATTGAGGTCCATTCGAAATACTCTAAAAAGTGATGGGATTACACTCATTCAAGGTCCACCTGGGACAGGAAAAACCACAACTATTATTGGACTTATTAGTGCAATATTAGAACACGATTCGTTCCCAGGAGACGATATTGATACAGATAAAATCTGTGATTCCGATATGGATGATTATGTCGCACGAAAACCATGGCTAATATCGTCGCAATACTACGGAGAACCTATGGACATCACTTTCGATGAACTAAACGAAACAGATGTACATATGGATGATGGAGTATATAGATACGATTCCTATGCATGTATGAAACCGAACCAGACATCGTCGTCTCAAACAATCACAGTGCCAACGATGCGTGACAGTAAAAGACGTATTCTCATATGTGCACCTTCTAATGCAGCAATAGATGAAATTGTACGCAGACTGGTAAGACCAGTAACTGGAGGCATTTTTAATGCACAAGGAGAACGATACAACCCATCGGTTACACGTATAGGTCCGAATTTCCATGACGACCTTACAATGTATAGTCTAAAAAATAAAGTTGACCGTTTGGGAGAATTGAAATACGGATCATTCTACAGCAGATCAAAAGGTCATTTAAGACATCGGCTAATTAGAGAAACTTTGGATGAAAGCGATATCATATGTTCTACACTATCGGCATGCGGATCAAATGAACTCTTCGCACACCGTAATATGTTCGATACGCTCATTATCGATGAGGCTACCCAAGCTGTCGAACTCTCAACACTTATCGCACTCAGTTTAGGATGTAAGAGAGTCATCCTGGTTGGAGACCCGTGCCAGCTTTCAGCTACCGTTTGCTCGAATGTTGCCGTGTCGCTCAAATATGATCGGTCTCTTTTCCAAAGGCTACAGATGTGTGGGTATCCTGTAAATCTACTCAATATACAGTATCGCATGGACCCTAGTATCAGCAGGTTCCCATCCATGTATTTCTACAGGAACCAATTGAAAGATGCACCGAATGTATACCACCGCCAAAGAGAGGATTGGAGGGAATTCCCCCTATTACGTCCAGCTGTATTCTACGCTATAGATTCGTTACAGGCGAAAAATGAAACCTCGTACATGAATGAGACGGAAGCGGAATTAGTATGCCAACTACTTGAACTCATACTAGAGGTACTCTCTGCTGAGCCAGGGTTCCAGCTATCGTCGTTAGAACAACGTATAGCTGTGATAACCACATACTCTGCTCAGGTGGTGCTCTTGAAGGAAACTATTGCACGCCGACACCCACAGCTAGTAGTACAATCTCTGGAAAAGGATGATGGCAAGGTTCCAGGGCAGCATGCGCCGAAACTGCTTATTGATGTTAGCTCTGTAGATGGTTTCCAGGGTATGGAAAAGGAAATTGTGATATTCAGTGCTGTGCGTACAAGCTATGTAGATGGGCGCAGCGTAACCAAGAAGAGCTTGCAACAGGTAACACCAAGCAATGTTCTCACGATAGATGGAGAGCCGCATGATCCTGAGAAGGCAGCAAAGTTTGCCCGTGTAGTTGATGATTATTTGAAAGGGGTACGGAGTGGAGATATGGCCGCCGATATACGTGATGTTGTCGATGTCTCCTTTATTGCAGATAGACGTCGTATCAACGTGGCAATAACACGTGCGTGTCGTAACCTCTTCATTGTCGGTATGTATTCTTTACGTATCCATTATGTTTTTTCAGGCAACCCGCGGTTTTTACTCGGACATATGCATTGGCAGTCGCTATACCGACACTATGCGCAATGTGGTTCAATTTTCCTATGCAAATTGGGCCGTAGCACTTTGAAGCGGGATTATTTGAAGTCATGGGCACGGCAATATCTTTTCAAGGATGAGGCAAGTCAACAGCTGTATTATCTCATTTCTTTGCAGAATGCACTAGCACGGTTCAGGGCAAACCCATCACTGAGCGCATTTGTGGAGAACCTGATGTCCGCAAATGTCGCTTTGTAGGCGCGCTATGCGTCCAACACCCATTTAATAAATTATGCATAATACCAGCGCAACATGAAACACTTTAGCTAATCTTAGGTTCAATTGGTGAGGCTAAAGTCAAGATACCATTTATACCTAAGCATTAGATATGTTTCCGATGCGTAAAACACCGTGAATAAGTGACAGCATTTTGGCGCCTATGCCATTAGTAACTTCTACAATACCCAACTACATTACGCTGACTGTGAAGCGAAAATTGTATTCTCCATTACGAAAAGCTCTACCTTGCTACCGTCAGCCTTTGTTACCCGTAACTCATCCAGGTTAACCGGTGAAGTTTCACACGTAGTGAAGCCAAGCTTCGCATATACCTCGGCGCCCTTCTCATCGGCCACAGCAAACATCTTGTAAATACGTGCTTCATTGGCCTTCTTCACGGTGTGTTGGAAAAGGTGTTTTGAAAGATTTATACCGCGGTAACTTGGCAGGACCACCATGGCCAAGATGACCACTGCGTAGGGCTCTGGTTTTGGTCGACCTGTACCCTTACCAAACCCTTTTTTAGTTGAATGCGGCCACTCATACTTAACTAAGTCGCACAAAATCAAAGCGACGGCATAGTTGAAAGTGTAAACTGCAAATATATATATATAAATCAATGAGATAGAGATGTAGAATAACATCCCGAATTGGGATAAAAATAATGAAAAATTACTGAGTTTTGACACTCAGGATACATAGATTTACTTATGAAAAAACGTACGCATTGCGGAGTACTTCGTATACTTGAAAAACTGTTTGACATCTGGAAATATCGCATTCCCTTCTAGGTAGCCATTAAACTTGTATGCCGTTGAGTTCAACAACAATATCCACGCTTGGCGAATCGTATGAATCGTCATGTCGTGGATATGGCAGAAGCGCCTGCTGATAGGACTTAACACCGGCTTACTTTGTTCTTGATCCTCATAAGAGCGGCTACCAGGAGCTGAGATATGTAGCTTCTCAGCTAAATGTTGCGATATAGCTTCCACAGGTGCCATACTGCAACTCTTGGTGTAGAATATTGACCTAAATTGCCAGAGTAGCTTCAGAGCCCTAATGACGCTGATGCGATATGATGGAAATGAGTAACATGGAGAAGGCTAGTTCGTATCACTCTGATACGAATGATATTTATAATAAGCAATGATGTGTATATGTACAGGCTATGCCGCCCGTTGTTGCTACGATTATTGCGCGCCCGACCTGGTAGATGATCTATGGTAAATCTCTGGGATTACAAGCTGTTAACCGCTACTAAGTAGAACGCATAATTCGTAAGTGGAAGGTGTTATAGTAGCTAGCGACGCTAGCTACGTAAACTCTTCACTTAGCAGAGATCGACACTTTATGTCCACCGTTGCAGTTATTGACACGTTTCGTTCCAACTCTTACGGAGAAGAAAGGCTTAAACTTCGAATTTAATGTGAGGTGCGTCACGTTTACTGTCATACGAGGTTACATATTGCCGATAGGCATGCTACATCTATGAGCTAAACCATGTGAAATATCTGGTGAAAAATTGCACGTTGTGTCATTCGCACTATATCTCTGCTTTTTATATAAGATAAGTATAGTGGATAGTGACTGTCTATAGATTTTATGCAGTGTCCACATAGGTTTCATCACATCATATTCTTTATAGGTATACCGTGCCACCGAACACACCGCATAGCCTCGTTATTTGACGAAATAGATCTCCGGTGTACGAGAAAAGGAAATGAATAGTGTCTATATTTTAAGAACAAAATGGATCGCACAGCAGATTTTAAGAGACGGGTCATCCACTTTATGAGGGTGTCACCGCCAATACCAACAGAAGACCGTACAACAACGTCAGAACACTATGCCGTCGATCGTTTCTCGCTAATATCGGCAAATGTTTTCTCGCAGTTACAAACTCTCAGCAAACTAGTAGAACCATATACTGTGGTAATTCCAACAGGGGCTTCGAGGGACCTAGTAGGAGGTGAAGTTGATATTCCCCTTGCAGCTAATCCAATCTGTTTCATACAAAATAAACGAAGATTGTTTGAACAGACAGATATCAAGGATATAGTAAATGATATACGTGTAGCTGGGGACCTCGTTAAACAAATGTCTAACAGTATCGAAGAGGAATTGAAACGATCGAAAAACAAAACAATTTCTAGACAACTTCAAGAACACCGTATAGGTGTAATCGCATGTTTACAACATAAACTCAAAACAGTACAGACCGATGTGGAAGAATATGAAAGATATAGGTTAAAAGTAGAAACGAACCTAAATGTAGCTCTAAGAGTCATGACAGAAAATCGTGTCAAGGAATATCGCATGGATCAATCGCAACATGACAATGCAGAAAAACATATCATCTCCGAAGATTATCTCAACTTATTCGTTAAGGATAACGGAGGGGTCAATACAGCTAGAAAAACTGATGCTATCTCAAGATCAAACTGTGGCATTTTATCGCCTGCGGCATCACCGCAAATAGGAGCTACAGATGCATCCGCAATCATCTCAGCAAGGTCACGACAGATGGCAATGCTACCGGATTCACGATTTGCGGCACAGTTAGATTATATGGACGCGCCAAGCGAACAGGATCTACAGATGTTGGAAATGCAACATAAGGCGTTGGTACAACGAGTCAACGAATCAGTACAGGCAGCTGAAATTAGCACTATAGATGGCGTACAGCGAAGACTATCGGAAATTTCATCCATGTTCGAACAGTTTAGTGGCACTCTAGCTGTACAGCTAGATATGTTTGAGTGTATCAATGCCAACGTTATGGAATCGCTCTCTAACATTGAGACCACAGAAAACTCATTAAAGAAAACAGATAATGAAGGCATGTCGTTCCTACAGCTGATGATGTGCTACTCGTTCGTTGGAACTGCAATATTCCTGCTACTCGTGGACTATCTCAAGAGTGGCAGAGGTAGCTATATGTTCTAAAAACCAAAATATTATTTTAATACTGCAGTGTTAGCCACAGTAGGGTTGTATTTTTGGTAGTGGTGCCTTCATATTTTCATTGCGCAACAGACGGATATTGTACACGGTTGCTCTGGCATGACTGTCATAAGGTCTCAACCTTAGACAGGGTACTTTAGATATGGACATTTTGTCCCAACACGGTGTTTGCATCATCTAGTTTACTTCATATTTCGAAAGGTTGTACTTGTCGGCGTGCCTCTCAATGTGCTCTATAAACGATTCACGCTGCTCCTCAAGTAACGGGTGAGGTTTATCATAGACGTCATCGAAGATACCAGAAACCAAGTCGCAATGTTTCACCTGCTCAACCTCACGGATCTTCTTAAGCATATAACTACGGGCCTCCTTAGTCAATGCGTCGTCCTTCTCCTGGTCCCATAGTCCCTTGTTTTCCAGGTACTTACGTACACGGCCGATACCGTTGTTGCCGCCAGCAGTCCATACCTCAAACTCACCAGCACCACGGTACTGAGATGATTCATCAGATGTACTGTGATGACCAAGACGGTAAGTCATATATTCGATGCAAATTGGTGTAGATTTTGTCACACAATGTTCGCGTGCGTGCTTAGTTGCAATGTAGGACGCAAAGAGATCGTTGCCATCAACACTGAAACAATATATATGGGAAGATCACGAAAACCAACCGAATAGTGGGCATACCGTAAGCTACGCCACGGATAGCAATGCCATCACCATAGTACTGATCACGAACAGGTGTAGATATAGCATATCCATTGTTGCGGCAAGCGAAGATTGTTTGTGCTTGACGTACTGCCGCCATGTTCATAGCAGCATGAAAGTCACCTTCAGATGCGGCACCTTCTCCGAAGAAACCAACGGCACACGCAGGAGTCTTTGCAAGCTTTAGTGCGTAACCAGCACCAGCTGCATGTGGAAGCTGAGAGGTAAGCGGCGTACAGATGGCATGGATATTGCACGCCTTCTTGGAGTAGGAGATAGGCATCTGACGACCCTTGCATTCATCGCCTTTGTTTGCAAAAAGCTGGTTCAGAGCGTCGTCGACAGTAAAACCCTTGCAAAATAAAACACCGAGCTCACTGTAACAATTTGTAATCGAATTTATCTCACCTACCGGTATTGGCCAAAGATGTGATCCTCAGGTTTCAGGGCAAGACCACATCCCACCTGCATAGCCTCCTCACCCTGATTCTGGATGTAGAAAGAGATACGGCCTATAATGTTAAATTACAAAGCAATCTTTATGACCTACCTTGACGTTGGATGTTGTACCATAGGTTATCCCAGATGGAGAGACGAACCATCATTTTGTAATGCTCTACAACCTCCTCATCGTTAGGAAATGGATTTTTCCAGTCTCCTAACAGATTGCCCTCCGTATCAAGAACCTGGAAGATAGGAATAACTTGAGAATCCTCAATCAGTTCAAGCTTGTTGGTGAATTCAGTATAACGTAATCCCTGAATATAAGGCTTGAAGTCCGCAGGGTTCTCAAAGAATCGAGGGTTTTCAGGACGCTTAGCAGTCTTGCTGAATCCGCGACGCGAACAGTATGAGCGGAGAGTCGGCGGCACAGCACAAAGCCGTGTTACGGCAGTAGCAAAAGGCATTAAATTACGAGTCATTGTTAATGAATCGCCGTGAATTGTAGGTCAATGCCGTGTGTATGGTCTGAGGCGGCGCTCCTATTAGAAGCATCCGTAAAGGGGATATGCCGATCCCCTTGAATTATTATAGGTATATAGCGAATGTAACTCAATAGTGTACAACGGTAAGTGTACATGTATCTGTACCTTTACGCTAATAAGGCGGTTAATCTAGACCTGCGCACCCGCCACCTATATGCTTAAAGAGAGGGGCCGACAAAGCTCCCATCTGGATCTGTCGACCATATTAGTCGCAAATTGTGACCATTAATGTAGCAACAGTTTTGTATATGTACTAAACCCCCTGAAGTTATAAGTAACCGGGCGGCTGATGACACTGTAGTTAACTGATGTACTGTAGAAGTATTGGCGCAATCTTGTCGCCAAAATGGTCACTAACACCATACAAAGGAGCCAAAGGAAGCCCACGTTACGTGTTGAGGCTTCAGAATAGAAATAATGCATCTGTGAGGCATGTTTTCAGAACATGCCTCCCCAGCCAGGACAATAGAACTGGATGGGTACCATTACAAAACCTCTACGCTAAGAATGACAATATAACCGATCTAGTAGGAGGTAATAACGATGCTGAGGAGGATCTCAAACAAAGTCCTAGAGTAATAAATACACCCAATCAGCTGTTGTATGTAGCCCGCCAGGGGTTACGCTTCCAGATTTTTGACACTGTTCTATGGAATGACCTATACGAATGTGCACTAGAACTCAGTGGAGATTTTCAACCGAGGCAATGGGTACAGCTGGTGCATATATTCAAACGCATCAAAGTCAAACACCGTGGACTACTCGACCTGGCGACAAGAGAACTGCTCTATCACCTTGATCGATTGTCGCTGGAAGACCTCAGCAAGCTTGCATTGAGCTTTGCATGGCATGGATATTGCCATAGCGATATGTTTAGCAGAATCGCAGAGGTAGTCACAACGAGATTACGGAGGGAAAAGATGCATGAAGTACCTGATGTAGCCAAGATTGACGATGCAGATGCGACAGACCCAGGTAGTACCGGGAAGGAGCCACAAAAAAACAGTGCGCTATCAAAAATCACATCGTATACTCATCTACTAGGTGCATTTTCCAAGTGCGAAGTTGCCCATAAAGAGCTATTTGAAGCAGTAGCTGCAGACCTAGTAGATCAAATCAGGTCAAAGGAAATGCTTATCCCTCCAGGATTTTTGTCGAAGATTTTCGCGTCTTACGCGAGGTAAATGTTGATTTTCGGTAATTCATGATCGATGCAGGTTTGGTTACAGACATGTTACGCTGTTTGATGCACTGTCGAAGGAAATGGTCACCGCCAAAATCCCTACAGAGCAATTGGCAAGTATACAAAAAATGATGAAAGCACTAGACTATGAAAACGATATTATGCTCAACATATTTGCCTATAGACTGGGTAACGCCGTACAAGGCTCAGAAAATCAATGACCACGGGACACTTTGGTCTTCATTCCTTCACAGCGGTCATTAGACGCTCTGTAATGTCACCTGAAAATTTATTAATTGCGATGTTAGGGGGAAAGTACCCAAATAATGTGCATTGTGGTTGAGATTGTCAAAAATGTCACCCTGCAGAATGGCGATACCACTAGCTTCATCGTAGTGATCGGTTCCTAAAATCTCTTTCATCTTACGCAACTGCCTGAATAAAGATGAAGAGATGCTAGGTATAATATGCAGATAAAGCTTTGGGTCTAATACCTACCTTTCTGACAGACCCAACTCATTCATGTTGAACGAAACAGTCACTTTTGTCGGCTTCGGGTTATCCGCAGGCGATGCCTCTGCTAACCATTCAACTTTGTAGCGTAATACATGAGGAAAGTTGTGGCGAGACTGGTCTGTAGAAGGTGTGTTCGCTGCCAATAATCACAACTAACCAAATGTGGTAGGTAAATCCGCTTCGTGCTGTAATCTCGTAAGCGGAGTTACAAACGCATCAGGGGCACTTTTACGAGGATTATCATGTGTTAGTCCTAATGCTTTCGCAGTCTGTAGCTCTTTGATAATCTGTATTTTTTGACCTACGCGATATTGCAGCATCCTTGCGAAGTGTTTCCGCGTCACAACACCTTGCTGAACGCTTCTAACATTCTTACGGATGGTCTGTGCGATAGAATGTGTGGTTTCCGGAACTCCCACACGGTCGTGTAAGCGAATGACGTCGCTGCATTATTTTATAACGTTTTCACGTAGCATGTACATGACCTAGCACAATGCACGTCACATTTCAGACATACCTAGTGGCACATTCAATCTGTTCCGCTGTTTTGGGGATCTTTTCAACCTTTCGTCGCTTCTTCTTTCCCATGCGTTGCATCAATGCATAGCCAGGTGAAGAGGATAAACCCAAGGATTCTGCACTCCCCGCGGCAAGATTCCGAAGATGTGCACAACTGCGAAGCAGAGCAGACATCGTTAATCGTGTTAAAGGTAATTCAACTATGCTAGTGGATAATTCAAAAGGTTTGATGCACCGTCGCTCTGTTAGCACACATTTTTTCCAGGACTGGCCATAGTGTCAACCTAAAATCGTTATAAATCCGAACATCAACTCGTATATGCTACTTTACATACACTTTGTGAGCCTTCATCACCTTAGAAAAGTAACTGGTATCGATAGCGGGATACGGCGACGCACTCCTTGGGGCACCTCAAGAGGATCTACACATTGGTCAAAATTGAATATTGTTTAACTATTATATCTGTTGTTGTTATTGTGAAATTCGAGGTGTAATGTATTACGCCATTATAGAAATTGATAACCTGTCAAAAACACTAAACGAGGCGCCACCACCGGGTAAAACCAGACAATGCTGGAAGATTGAGGCGCACATTCGAACCAAGAGAGGTAAACAGAGCATGCAGGTTGCCAGCAAGCTTATTAAACGGACATAGTCGGCTGAGTTATATGAGCCTAAAATAGAGAATCCCGTTGTGCATTTTTATAGTTGCTTATTGAGTTAAGGCGGCTAAATGTTTCCTTGAACTACGTCTGGAGCTCCAAACCGCTCGCCATAGAAGGCATAATCGATATTAATGTCCATTTAATCATGAAGCCAAGGGTAGCACAGATATATGTAGGCAAAGGGCCTCCAACCCGTCATGTGCAACTACTACCCAAAAATACAGAAGATCATGTTGAACCAAAATCGAGCACTACAAACCCTATCGCAATCCAAGAAAAGTCGGAAAAAAGGGTTGGAATAAATAAAGAGAATATTGTTGTCGGTTATGGGCCCCCGACACCACCCACCACCCAGGGCAAGGTAAAACCAAAAATTCCACCCAGCAATATTATAGTCGGGAAGGGTAGTCCATTAAAATTAAAGCAGAATGAGGCGCAATTGGCTTCCAAAACGTCACGCAGTCGTAGTGCTATACAGACGGATTGGACACTTACAGCAAGGAGATTATCGAAAGAGATGATATCGGAGATAACACGAGATTTAATATCATCAGACTCATTATCATCATATCTACATCACGATGATGATACATCAGTATCATCTACGAAGTTATCTTCTGCCAAATCAAGCCTGTATACATCGAGGGCCAGCAGTGTCGAGGTTGATGGCATTAAATCTCACGGGTCGGTACAACGTAAACCGACATTGGATGCGCAAAAGACGATGCCAATGGAGGTTGACAAAGGTTTACAAGATGAAAGCAGCGTGCAAAGAATAGTGTCAGCTGCATCTCGTGGTGAAACATCTGAGGTGGTTGATATAACCGACGTGGGTTTGGAACACTCGGGCGACTATGTTCCCCGGGAACCTACGGATATATCCAGTGCCCAAACAGTCTCTGCAACGACTACAGTAGATAAACAAGAAGTTGGAAGTAGCTATGCATCGGCGAGCGATAATCAGACGTTAGAGTCAAAATCTACGTTACAGGGAACAACCGACGTCGACCCCGTGAGCAATGTCAACAAGATGGATGCGTTCAGACGTGTCGCCAACAAATTCAAGATGATATCACATATGCTGTTCGCACGAGAAGAAGAGATGTTGCCATTGGATGCCTATGGGTACGCCGTGCGCCGCAGCACATCGAATGCCAGCGATCGTTCGTTATTACTTTCGCCACGTAATTCGGGTAGTATGAATAGCGATCTGTGCGGATCCTCAGATTCCAACGCAGATGAAAGATTGGCCGGCATGACGGATACTAAGATAGGACGTAGAGCAGGATTGCGCCTGGATGCTATTACAAAGAAGTACAACAGGCTGAGCGAAGCCCTGGATCAACTGGGTGTACGCCAAACCAGAACCATATCGGAACCTCCATTCACACAACACAAGCCAACTGTGTCAGGGCTGTGGTCAAAGCCAGGTGGTACGGCGACACTAAGGTAGGCTTTTAGGGAGACATGCCAACTGGTTCGGTAGGAATGATGCGGAAAACATCGAAGAGAACTTTCCCGCACTGTACAGTGTAAGTTATAGTGATTCTATGACTAATATGTTCTAGGTGTTCAAGAGGTGTAAGCCAGGTACCACACAGGGTATGCTCTAAGTGGGCCGCGCTAGACTTGCTTCTTAATAGCGTATTAAAAACAAATTATATGCATGTGTTTTAACGATTCAATGGTCACATGAAATTCGCACACTTTAATAAATGACATACAACACATTGTAGATGGAGCGCGTCGACGCTTACGTTCCATCTGACCTGAGGGCGCTATGACACATATGCGCCCTCTAAATTGGACCTAGAGTAATATGAATGAGTTCTTTGAGAAGCGGGGGTTGGTTTGGGAAGAGTGGCGCCTTGCGCTTACATTCGATAACCTGCTGTGCGCAGCTGCCTTCAGCGGGCTGTTGGCTGCAGTTATATCGTTGGCCATCCAGATAGTATTCACTGTCTCATTGGTTGGACTGCGGGACATGGGTTCGAAGGTCAACTGGGTCCCAGCAGTTGACGCGGCTATGCAGGTGTTTATACACATTTTCATGAGGATGAAACAGATGCGCAGGTAAGAATATAAAGTACAAAGTATATACAAACTATTTCAGGCTCAATCAACTGAGGAGCAACTGCGTATATGTGGTTTTTGCAGTCTATAAACTACTATTCAGGGTTAGACGCAATGTCATCTGACTGAAAACGGATATTACTCCGACACTGCCGAAGCAGCGAATATCGCAATGTTTAACATGTTACAGCAAATACATTTGCTGGATAATTTTCGCTTAATATAGGTGATCGAGCTAGTTTTGCGTACACACCATACCGTGCCACGGCAATGAATACTGCTGCCGGTAATCTCCATACATTAATTTAGTAGCATGTAATCATTGAATTCATGGATTTCACAGCTTGATATAGAGGGGATAGTCTCGAAGAGACTTGCTGTGTATGCCGTTATTTAACACAACATCCCCGAAAATGGAGGATACAGCGCCTATCGCCGATACGGAAGTCTACCTGGCTCCACTTTCACCTAATGTAACCAAGGAGCATATAAGGGAGATAATGAGTAATTTCGGGGAACTGCTTTCCGTTGAAGTTTCAGCTCTAGAAGAGGTAAGGATATTCGGTTATGTTTAGCATTCTGTAGCCTATGAGTGATATGAAGGTTGCCAAAATCGCATACGAAACATCTGACAGTGCTACTTCTGCGGTTAAACATATGGACAAGGTACGCTCAATATATATTGTCAACTTCACGGCATGCAGGGGGAGATCGACGGACTCAAGGTCCGTGTCTCCAAGAAACAGCTTCCGGTGGAAGAATTGCCAAGGATTAAGTGATTGAAATACAAGATATTGGCACGCTTATGGCGCCAAATGTAGTCTAGATCTACCAATATTCAACTGTTACGTCTATGTCGTAACCGATCTAGCCCAAACTTATGTGCCTTCCACGTGGCGTGAAGCCACCCTGTTGAAGCCGCAGAATAACAGTTATGTTAACACCGTTAATGCTGCAGATTGTTTCAAGTCCTCAATTAATTTGAAAAGCGCCGCGACGTGCTATATACAAAATCGTGTGCCTAACTACAACTGCAATCATCTAATATTACATCGATGCCCTGAGGCTAAAGTACCCATTATAGCACGTAAACGTTAATACAATGAACTATACGTGATATTTATTAATCCCCCTTGACTTTGGATAACCCCTGGACACGCCGGGTAAACCAGCGACCCAGGAGGGTATCGGGGAAAGGCGTAAACCGAAGGTCTTTATCAACTACGGAGTCGGTGTAAACATGCCCACATGAGCCATTTTTCGGCTGCATCGATCGTTTTTTGTGGTCGTGAACGTTCTCATAGATTTCAACGAAGTCGCAGTGCCGCAGACGACGTGTCGGATTGAATGTACGGGCTGCAGCAACAACAGCAAGGTAATTCGCCAGAATGCGCACTACTAATAGCGATTTACTCCTGTCATCAAAGAAACGACGCATTGATATTGAAGCATCTAACGAAACCCACCCGTCCATATCACGTAAGTAGGTGTTCGCAGTAAAGGCAGCCAGACGTTTGAACGCTACATGCAACGCGCTACAGTCGGCGAAACGTTCAGCGACAATGCGCACTGATACCACGAGGTAAACAGCCAGGCAACACCAAAACTCAAAGGCGAAATTCTCCAGTAACACCACGTTACGGCGTACAGTATCACCTAGATGGAAGGGTAATCCCAGCTTTTCGGCAAGCTGCCATATAACTGAGAAAAAGGAAGATACGTGTGATATTGGTATTACAAACAACTCGGTGAAAGTCTTGCAATTGGTACAGCCGCGCAGAGGAGGGTCATACAAATCGCGGCTCATATCGACCGTTACTACGGTTGATTTTGCCAGAGAAGAAAATAATAGGCCATATAAACTACCGGCACTGATACAGCCAAAAAAACGAGATAACATCTCTCGTGTGTTTATGAGCCGGTAATGCCAGTAGAGTACGTGGCTGAAAGCGTCACCATCGAACCCCTGAGTAATTAAACTAGACCATGAAAATGATACGCAGATTGTCAGGAAGCCTTCTATGATAAGTCGTTGAGCGAAGTGGAGGTGTAGAGACCCCGAAGCCTCCAATCGATCAAGAAGTCGATCAAACAATTCGAATATCGAACAGGCATAAACAAAATATATAAAGATATTAACGGTATAACCAACATAAAACAACAGCGGTATCAGCAGACGCTGGCCGCCATAGGGCTCCGAGTCCGCCGCTTCATCCTCTCCAGATTCTGTAACCGTTTCCGAGGCAGATGCGCGGAGTTCCATGTCACCAGCTCTACTGTGCTAGCTAAGCTAGCTAAAATTTTTGATGGAGTGTTCGTTATATAAATATAACGGGGTAATAGGGCAGCCCTATCAACCATCTAGGGCAAGAAATGGCTAGTCTGGCCTTCTAAGTCAGTTGGGCGGGCGTTCACTTATAGTTTCAACAGTGAGAATTATTCTTACGTTCAACATACAACGACGACCAAAATTCCAAGCTTTTTATCAATACACATCGGATAGAAATTTGCCAACACACATGATTCTATACGAAAATCGCGAGCAACGGCCTCAAAAAATTGAACAAAAAAAAATACAACCTAGGCGCTGATCAGGTGTATATTTATAAAGGAACTATCACGTTTGTACCGATTCGAAGTTGTGGATTCCACACAAGACAAACGTGAGACACATGTGAATGTTGACGCAAATTTTTTCGAGCTGGTACTCAGGCGCATGCTCAAAGCAGAGCGAGACTACTATATATTAATATATAGAGAGAGTCCATTCTTTTATATTCAGAGCGAAAAAAATTGGAGCTGCAAATTTTTATGCGCATTCAATCAATTATTGATCTGAGATCGAGGATGCTATGAATTCAATGATATAAATATTGTTTAGCGTCTTGTCAAAATGGGATCACAGGTATCTGTTCCAACCGAGAAGGTTGATGATTTCACCACTCTAGGTATCCACGAACGCCTGAGAGCAATATTGGAACAACGGGGAATCAATACACCGTCACGCCATCAACATGCCGCTATTAAAACTATGATTAATCGACAAGATATCATATTGCAATCTAAGTCTGGTACAGGAAAAACTTTGAGCTTTTGCGTAGCCGTGATCCACATGCTGCTTGGACGCTCTCCGAGCATCGACACCACGGATCAAATGTCCCAGAATACGGGAAAAGAAGAAAAGCAACAAACGGGTAATAGGATAGAAGCCAACCTAAACACAGGAAAGGGGGTGTTGGATGGAAAAAATCTGTCTGGATGCAATGACCAGGATATCAACCCAAAAGAAGATAATCCAAATGCACCGAACGGTAAAATCTATGAGCAATCAACGGTAGAAGAAGATGACACTGAAGAATGGGAAACAATAGGCAATGAAGAAAAAACGTTTGGAGAAGTAATAATTGTTGCGCCTACACGAGAACTGGCTGGCCAAATCTACCGAACGTTATCTGACCTCTCTGGTGACTTTCCAGAGGTAAAGGTCTCACTACACATTGGAGGTGGTAATATATCTGCGGGGATAACGGAATTGATCGACATGGCGCCACAAATAATAGTTGCAACGCCAGGACGTCTACTAACGAACTTGAAACGGATTAAAATCTTTCCAAAACTACCGAGTATGAAGAAACAAACAGTCTATTGGAACACAAAGATGTTGATATTTGACGAAGCAGATATGCTTATAGATGAGCATTTCCTGGATCAAACTAAGAACATTTGCATGAGAGTTGTAAATCCGTTCGTACAGGTTGTTGCCACATCAGCGACATTCATAAAGGTGCAATTTAAACTCTTCGAAGAAATGGTAGCTGAACGGGATGTTCAATTTACCAAACGGTTGATGCCGTATCTTGCGAATGACATGGACGATATGTATGGGATCCTGAAATGCGCCTTTGGTCTACACGTACACAAATCTATTTGTAGATTAGTCTACAGTAGGGATATTCAGAATGAGTTTATTAAGACGAAAAAACTGGAAGGAAGTTGTGTGGTTTCAAAAATCCGAGGTCTTGAAGAAAATACTGAATACGAAAACGTGGAATGTGTAATAAGTACATACGATCGTGTTGGTTATCAGGGTCAGGAATACCCTGTGCATTCGCGTTTCAGGCCAGTTGTTGATTTCTTGAAATCTTATGCCAGGAGTATGGTGAAAATCATTGTTTCCGCAAGCCACGTCAACCGTGTGGAATTGCCGACAAAAGGCGTCATATGCTTTACCGAAAACGATTGCCTTCAAGACTTACAAAGTGTGAAAAGTGCTATTAAAGACGGAAGGACTGATTTGATAGAACAATCTGACACTCCAGTACTGAAGAATGTCGTCTTTTGCTATGCAGAAGTACCAGAGGCACCGAATATTGTGAAACAGGTATCCGTGAAGCTACACCTAATAGTACATTTACTACGGCGGTTGCAGTACCGTAAATGTATAATCTTCTCCAACCAAAGTCATACGCGTATGCTTGTGTCAAACACCTTGCAACGTCTAGGGATGGCTTGCAACGTCATTAGCTCGCGGCAATCTTCTGGATCACGACAACGTACAGTCGCAAGTGCTCGTCAAATGCATGAAAATATCATCATCGCTGCTGATGTTATTAGCCGTGGAATACACATTGATGACGTTGACCTCATAATAAACATGGATCTTCCAGGAACGAAAGAAGGATTTTTGCATAGGTCAGGTAGAACTGGCCGATTTGGAAAAGCTGGAATGTGCGTATCTATATGTACGAAACCAGAAATGGAAACACTCAGATATTTAGAATATGCACTCAATTTCAAATGCGGACATATCGAAGATGTATTGGATATGGACAAATGTGATGAATGTAGCTCAGTAAAACGCGAGTATTATTTGGACGTATTAAAAATCAACCACATAACCGAATCACTGCAACAACAAACAGTTGGCACCGAAAATGGTGTGGATTGTCATGCGTCAACTTCTCCTCAAACAAAGGAGCAAACTGAGGATACAAAAAATGCAGCTAAAATACCAATAGAACCCAAAAGTTGGGCATACATTGAAGCGAACCCACCAAGACAAGGTTACAATCAATTAACACGGGATCCCATAATTGCGTCAATACACTGCAGCCTGTTCCCAGGCCTTATGGAGTGCATAATCCCGGCGTTCGCTGTAATGGCAGAAGATGAGGTGTATCTGGAGGGTGTAGAGCCTTGTGGCATAAGCGGCCCTGGGTATGGATCAGTTGAAGCTCCGACATCGGAAAATACCTTCCGTTTGAGGTTCCTCGAATACGAAACCGCCAGAGTAGTGATCCATGTTCCCTATGAGCTCTATAATAGTATTGCAAAGTGTGAAAGGGGTGAGGAATTCACGGAGACTCTCCATCATATGGTTGCTGTCCAACATGGCGGATCCGTAATTTCCATGTTGGACCCTGTACATCGTATTTTCAAACCAATTGAAGGCACTCTTATAATAAGTATCGTCGGACGGAGGGATGCTCTGCATCTTCTCAGCGGCTTGATGACTACGCTAAATGTCGAGTTTTTGGTACACAGTGCAGAAAAAACGGATACACACGTTGTGCCGCTGCAATACATAGAGAGCTACCTCGCGGCTTATCCAGGGAAACGCTTCTACACGAAAGCCCAGTCATTGTTAGTGGAGCTTTTCGGCGGTCGGTATGATGAAGAATGTAGAGAAGGGTTGTATTTGTACTTGGACGCGATAATAAAGCTTTTCATCACTGGCACAGGTACGTTCGTGCCGCCAGCGTTCACTCTGGCCTACCAAATGGTTACTGATGACCTATATGCGATCAGCAGAGATGTGTTAGGGGTGGAAGAGGTCGTAAACCGACGCCTACGCACCCTTACTCTGAAACACCCTTGTGAAGTGAGCGAATACGTCACGTTCTATTGAAACAATTAGCCTATAATGTCAGTCCATAACAATTTTTATATATCAATATATTACGTGGTATTATTAATTAGTATGCCACGAGTGACGATTTGCAGTTTGCAACGATAGCTAACTATTGCGATGTTGGTCCCAATTTGATTGATAGGGATCACTGAGGTAAGCTACATAATGATGCTCTAGAGAGCATTGTCAAGCTACATTTCTAACTCGTTTCGACGCAGTCAACAAATTCCTTATCTTCTGCCTGAGCGGGGGCGGTTGAAGAATCTGTCGTAGCGACTGGGGAAACAGAGACTGCCTTTACATCCTGACCAAATGTAGTTGGCGACACAGCTTGGTCAGCCGGTACGGCATCCGCTGCTTCGGTCTTTATCGGTGCATCGGCTGCTTGGTTGGTAGGTGTGGCGCAGGCAATCTTTGGAGTTGCGCTTGGCATTTCTGTAGGCATATGACTTCACTGGAAAAAAAATGTGACATACTGTTTGCGGTATTCTCAGGTGTAGTTAGAGGGTTCTTCGCGCCACTAGCTTTTTCTTGCAAGTACTGGATCTGAGCAAAATTAGAATTATATATAACAGGTATCCACCTGGCGTGATAATTCCGATGCTTCCGCCAATAACCGATATGTCTCATTCTGTACACTGTCAGCATAAAAAGTGAAAGTTTACAAACCTGGAAATAAGACTGACAGCATATGTATCGGCACGTTGTTTCCTTATCGCGGATGGTGTGGTCCCAAACTAAAGCAGATTGTGGATCGCAGAAAGTAATTGCACTCACAGTATTCTTGATACTTGTGTGGTGGTAGAATGTCTGTTGCGCTGCACAAAAGCTGTTTGTAGAACCACGAAGAGGGTTCGTTGAAGATAATCTCGTCAAACGTCTCGTTCGTGGCAGTGGTAGGGTTCGACACACTGCTATCCGAAGGGTTCAACTAGATTGAGAAATATAAAATGATGAACGTCGTAACTAACCACTAAGAGGTGCTGCAGTTGCACCGGTTCAATCGACTCGTCCACGAAGTAAATTTTAACACCAATGTAAAATTCACCCCAACCGACTTCTGTCACTTCGTATGGCATCGTGGTCAACACTGCATCATTATTGAACGGCATTTGATAAGAATTACCTCGACGCGGGTTGATAAAGGATGGATCTAGATCGAACTGGACCTTCTTAATATAGTGAGTCATGTTCTCGTTTGTAGGAGACCGTAGTAAACAGGTCCATCGATGGGTCATCGATCCATAGCGTTTCTTTTCCTGAAAAAGGTGTCAGAATAGTGACTAAAACGTAGCAACAAATAGATAATAACGAAGTCCACAAATGTCCCTCCGTAGACAGTAATAGAAATGTAATTCGTGCATATATACGACACAACGAGCTCTACAGTGGTTCTCATGTCACCAAATGTAGCAGGAACAAACACATTTGTTCCATTTGAAGGACGTATACCCAGTGTTACACCTACCAAGGGAGATAACGGGAAGGCATACGTGCCTACCGCGATTTGCTTCCCAACCTTGACGTTTACACGCTTCATATTATTGACGAACATAATTGTGTAGGCTCAATGGGCGCCAGAGGGTCACGACTTCACGCCGAGCTCCGCGCGACGCAAGGGAGGAACGCGCACGGTATATTCCGCACACTATGAATCACTCCCTGTAGAACGATAATCGCATTAGTCAACAGTTTGCTCAAGCTCAGATTCGCCGATTAGTGGCACCAATCGCTGACTCTACGGTGGAACATCCCGGGCGGTCTGATGCGGTTCTGGAAGGGAAGTCATTACTTTGGTGATGCCTCACAGCGTCAGTATGTGACTATAGACAACTACTTGGTTGCTGTACAGAGCACCATGGACCTTTTATGACCCTATAAACGGGCTGAAGATGTGAATACCTCACGTAAAAAATGATACGTCCTCCGCTCTACTGCCTGGCGTTCCTTGGTGGTCTATCTCCGTGGGATGGTCAACTAAATGCATATAACGCACAAAATCGGATCAAAGATCTCCTAAATTCGAGTGTTCCTCAGCACAACCATTCCAGTGTAGCTCTATATTATGTAAAAGATGGGAACTATTCAGATGAGCACGGGTTTCCTGATACTCTGCCAGGATTCCAAGATACTACTCTGGTTACTATCCATGATAAGCGACGTAACTATTGTAAATGTGCTGCCATAGCATCTCCGAATTCGGTCTTTCGTGAACCGTTGCCGGGAGAGGCAATCACTCTACCTAACCCATCGGCCGCAACAGGGGAGTACCTGTTGGATAGGGACCTTTTTACCAAAGTTGCAGAGCTGCGGACATTTATAGAGGACTTCGAGGTGAGCAGGGGCAAACGTTCACAACTGCGGCGCTTGGAACGTGAAATGAACAAAGAGGGTGCCGAAATTGTGCAGCTTACGGCGGAGGAAGCAGCACAAATAGAGGAACGTAAAGATGAATACACGGACGAATCTGATGACGAGCCAATTACCCCTATAGACATAAATGAAAAAACGCTGGAACCGATTTATGACCATCTCTACGAGGAGAACATGCTGGAAGAAGTCTTGGGTAAGGCATTCAGCGTCTATCGCAAGGACCGGGATTACGCCTCCGTCCAGAGGCTGGAAGATATCGCAGGGGAAATGGCGCCAGTTGCTGAAAAGGTGCGCAAAGGACGCTCTGAAGAGATAATTGTGCGTCTGATAAATTGCTACCTGGTATGTTTCTACAGTGGTCATACAAAATTTTTAGGATGATAAAGAGGACATAAATGACGTCCTAGAAGAGTTGCAGAAAAAGAAGCAGTTGAATAAGTACCTAATGCAGCGCCTCGATGAACTTATTAAACTCGCTGCACAGAAGTTCCGCGTGAGCGACAAACACCCGGCGGTATCGGAACATTTTCTGACCACTCTCAAAGATAGAGTGGCCGCTCAAATGATCACCTCAGCCAGAGGAACGGACCGCTGGGTCAAGATATTAGCGGACTGTTTCAGGTATGATAACTGTGTGGACTACGAAGCTGTATTGAAGAAGCATCTCCGCAAAATTGAAGACATCGAAGATTTTCGTGACTGGCTTTTGGATGGTATCAGTTATTGCCGTAAGTCACCATGTGTGACACACACTTTTTATATTATTTTAGGTAAAAAAGGAAGGATGGAAAACCAGCTTGAAGCCATGGAAAATATAGAGTCTATTGTGGTGTCGTTGCATCCCGTATGGACACCAACGGACGATCACGTAGAGACTGAAGCAAAGGCGTACGACCACCCTCTGATGATAGAAGATGTGCTCTCAGAACAGTGAACTGTTGCGTCGTCTAAGTGGGGGATGCAGGCGGCACGAAAATTTTCGACGTTGTAGGAGCGAAACCGTCGTTTTTGAGCCCTGCTCATTTCAGAATTTGGTTAATCTGGCTTTATGTGTAATAGTTTTATGTTAACGGGTTACTTTATGATCCGCACAACGATAAGCACATATTGCCAAAAGTCGCAGGCGCGCGTTGGGACGGGCTATTTATTTTAGTGTATATGATGCACAATAACAATAGGTACATTTATACTCATTAAATATTTTTGAGAGTTAAAAGGGAGGTGTCCGAGCACACAATTTGAAGAACGACATCGACGTGTCACGTTGAATAGAGCCGTAACCGTTAGGAGAGTTTTTTACATCTACGGTGAATGCGGCATGTCGATTTTTTAAATTTATTTTGATATTTCTTCCAAGTAACTTTTGATCGCGCATATTTGTTGCGGTCTGCCTATTTCAGCGGAAACGCAAAGCAAGAGGTCCAAGTCAACGGTAAATAACGAGCAGCGAAAACTCGCCAGTATGTCGTCATAGGTGAAGCACAAGATATATATTGACGAGGGATTATATTATGTTTTAAAGTTAGCGACGACCACAAGCCAAGACGGCCGCCCAGTACTACGGGGAGTAGTCACTTACTTCTCAACTTCACCGTTGTCGGAAACGACAGATATCAAGGATGGGGATCTTCAGATCTGTTACCATGTCCCATGGGACGTTGGTTATTCCGCAAGAACGAGCACGTGACTGCATCGACTCATTGTGTCGACACACAAACGTACAGTTCGTTGATATGAACGAACGTCGTATGGAACGACCCTACAAGAAGTACATACAACGTATTCTTAACATGGAACGTATGATCAGAGTTTTAAATGAAGAAGTTACAGCACTGCCTGGCACCATAGTAGTCAAGAACAAGATTGATGACTTTCTCCAATATGACAAAGTATACCGCCTAGATCAAGTTGAAGAGTCACTTATCAAGCTCTATGAGCAGTTTGAAAAGTTCAAACAAAATGATCTCATGCTCAAGTCTGAACTGGACGAAGTTCTCAACGAATACAGTGTCATGGTGGCAGCATTGAAACAGCTGAACGCAAACAAGCAAACGTCATACATCTCCGTGGACACATCGGCACAGAAGGTATCAGGTACGGATGCATCGGCAGAATCAAACGCACAATTGTTGTCAGAAAGCGATGGCAACGGCGAAGTTGTGGACACAGAAATGGTGAACATACAATCAAGCGGTGATAACGAGGCAACTAGCTCAACCCTTGCATTCTCCAACATTGCAGGAGTTATAAGAGCTGAAGATAAAGATGCTTTTGCTAGGGCAATTTTCAGGGCTATGCGTGGTAATGTATACACGTTTTTTCAGGACAGCCAAGTGGTCAAAGACACAATGCTTTCAAGAGGGCTCATTAGCGAAGAGGAAGCGGTAACTCGCAGCAAGGATGAGAAGATTGTATTCGTAATTTACTGCCAATCTTCTAGCAGCAGCTCGACTTTCCAAAAACTTCAAAAACTATGCAATGGCTTCCAGGCTAAAATATTCGAATGGTCGAAGTCACACGGTCATATCAGCCAGCGAATGAAGGAGCTCGAGGAAATCATACGTGACAAGCAAAAGGCCCTCAGTGCTTTCAAAAAGTATTTCAGACAAGAAATAGCATGTTTGTTGGAATGCCCACGGCCAGATGGAAACAGTGTTATTGAGGAATGGACACTGTTCTGCAAGAAGGAGAAGTACATATACTACATTTTGAATCATTTTGAGGGTAGTGATATCACGCTGCGTGCTGACTGCTGGTTCCCGGAGGATGAGGAAGAAACTATCAGGTCTTGTCTATTGGCAGAGAAGTCGGAAGGTCGCGTAAGCGCCCTCTTGCTAGTTGACCATCAATTCAAGGAAAAACGATATTTCGAGGACCCAGCCATGATGCCTCCTACCTATAACAAGTGCGGGGTGTTTACCCAGACCTTTCAGAATGTTGTAGATACCTATGGAGTACCGCGCTATAAGGAAATGAACCCAGCGCCATTCACCATCATCACGTTCCCATTCCTGTTTGGTATTATGTTTGGTGACATAGGTCATGGTATCTGTGTGGTTCTTTTTGCTCTGTTTTTGGTTTGGCGTTACCCCAAACTGAAGGCGCAGTACTCTGATGAAATTGCCCTCATGGTACTCAACGGACGCTACATGATCCTTCTTATGGGCCTCATGGCAACTTACACTGGATTCATTTATAACGACTTCCTTTCGCTGCCAAACAACCTCTTTGGTTCATGTTGGGAACGAAACACCAATCATGGCTCTAGTGCATCTTCAGGTGAAGGCTCTCACGTTGAGACGCTGGTGCGTGCAAAAGGCCAATTCCCAGTGTCATTTGGTCTCGACGTGGCATGGATACATGCACTGAACGAGCAGCCTATGTTGCATTCGTTCAAGATGAAGTTTTCTATCGTGGTTGGATTTTTGCAAATGCTTATGGGTGTATGTCTGAAGGGACTCAACGCAATCTACTTCCGCCAACACCTGGACTTCCTTTTTGAATTCATCCCACAGCTGGTGCTCTTGTGCTCGTTTGTCGGATACACCACCTTCCTCATCTTCTACAAGTGGCTGACGCCGATGACACCAGGCTATGCGAAACCGTCTATTATTCTCACGTTGATTGATATGTGTCTGCTTAAGGACGTAGCACGTGAAGATATTATGTACCCGGGTCAGCCGGCTGTTCAGCGTGCGCTGCTTGTCATCATGGTGCTTTGTATCCCAATGATGCTTCTACCCAAGCCGATTTTCCTTTGCTTGAGACAAAGAAGAAGGCTTGCAGTCGGTGGATCTGCATCCAAGAGAGAGCACGAGATGGTCTATCGGGGATACGATGACGTCGAGTCTCAGAGTTCTCCCAATACAGATGTCATAGACACTGGCGAAAATAATAGCGAGACCTCGCCTTTCAAGCGCGTTAGCATGAATAGTACGAATGAAGATGGTGAATTTGCAGTAACAATCCACAACGATGGAACAATCACGGAGGATCACAGTGGTGGTCACAGTGTTGGTGATATCTTCATCCACCAGCTGATAGAGACCATAGAATTTACCCTAGGTGTCATCAGCAATACGGCTTCGTATCTGCGACTGTGGGCGTTGTCGTTGTCGCACCAGCAATTGTCTGCCGTGTTCTTCAACCAAACGGTCTTCAAGACGCTCTCTGGGGAGGCTGGCGTAGTGAGTACCGTGATATCGTTATTCATCACTTCTACCTTTTTCGCGCTCATTACCTTCTCGGTAATGCTCTGTATGGACTCCCTCGAGTGTTACCTGCACGCCCTGAGGCTGCAGTGGGTCGAGTTCCAGAACAAGTTTTACAAGGCCGATGGCAAACCTTTCAAGCCTTTCAACGTGAAGCTTCTACTTGAAAACCCTGAGTAGAATCTGTTGTACAACCGCCAATGAGCGTCTGTTGAGAAATGGTGGTGTGTATACTACTACTGCCATCTTGGAAGGGTCGTGAATCATGACCTGTGGGATAAACACCCATGCGTAGCGGTTGAAACGTTGTACGGTCTATGCTTCATCAATGTAATGAAACTCGAGGAGAATCTCCTCTGGGTGGGGTTTACCCCATAACTGGCATGAAACATGCCTAGGGGCTACGCCACCCAGCTAACACTTTAAAAACTTTTGAAAATAATTAAGTTTTAACTATTGTTGGCCTAGTTCGATGCATGGTCATGTGGAATCGTTGCGCGCTGGTTAATATGAGACAGAAGGGCTGTTGAAAAATATGAGGCCTGGTTTTCGACATTCTCTCATCATATTGATTCTCAGATTCCTATTATGGCTGTGTTCAACCTGTGATAGGCCAAATAACTTATTATATAATTTTATATTTATTTTATATTTCATTCGGTATCCCTACCAACTCGTCTACATTTTTTGTTCACCAGCAGTAGTCGTAATAGGCAACACGCAGTTATTATGAGCGTCCCGTGGTAAAGTGGACCATCTAATAACCGTAGCATATTGTACTGCAACACAGACGTGACCCGGGTAAGGCAAAATCCCATATTCTTAAATAGGCTTGTACTTCCTTACTAGGACTATATGAAAAAATCATTAGTGTTTGCGGAAAATATGTGTCCTTCCTGTTTTATTTTCGTTTACGTGCTACAACCTTTATACAAATGAAGCATTTCTAACGAATTATTTCGTTTTAAAAAATGTTCAATCACCCCTTTCCCATCTAAACCCTGCGAAAGTTCATCTCAGGGGGGAGTAGATGAACTACATGTGACAACACAAATTTTCAATATATTATCACGAACACGATAACTAATCAGATTCTACAATAATATAGTGTATAACAGTAATAGTTATCAAAGCAATAATGGAAGTGAATGGTATACGGGGCTGGGTCAGATCTAGTAGGACAAAAAGATTGTCTATTTTTGTTGATCGAAGCCGTAACGTCAGAGCGACAACCAGATCAGCGTGTTTGATACTGTAGAACGTCAGGGGATCTTCACAACCCTCGATGTCACCTACCTGATTCAAAACGTAATCTACAGTAGACTTGGCCGCTTTTGGCTAGTCATCTTTCTATTCTACTCTATGCTGTTAGTATTAAACAAAACTCATGAAAACCATAATAAAGCGAACTAACATGAAAAATGTTATACTGCATTATATATTAGACTAGATCAATGTCAGTTACTTCATTTGTGTCATGTTGAAAAAATAGCATACTTCGCTAGGTGCCACCCTCCGTTAGAACTAGACAAATGCCTGTATATAATGTGAGTATGCCAACCTCCAATGTCTAGTAAGTCCAAAGGTAGTAATGAAGCACACGTGCTGATAACCATTTAGAAATTTGATGGGTACACGATAAATTGCCTGAATACGGCGGCGTTTGTGTTACCTAAATCTACAAAAACATTATTTCTTAGTTTGTTGCTTTTTGTATTCAAGTAAATCTATGGGTTTAGAGCGAATAGCCTCTGATCGCTCCGCGGCTACCTTCAATACATCTAGCATTTCGTCCTTTGTCATTCTATCGATATCAGCACTTTGCATACTTTCAGGCAGAAGGTTGAAATTCTTATAGATTAGCTTCTTCAAATCCTTGGTGGATACCATGGATTGCCCCTTGATATATTTATCGAAGTCCGCTTCTTTGACACTCTTATATGCGTCAGAAATGGCCACGTTTGACAGGTCCAACTTGTCCCTACAGGCGTCAAATATAGCACGCCAAATACCACCCAGATCCGCTCCACCAAACTTTGAATAGGCGATAGGGAAAGGGCTTTCCACCTTGTAAACTTGGCGGAAAAGCAACATCTGCCCGGGTACCTGAGGTTGCGCCACCTTGTCCATCTTTGTGCATACCATTAGAAAGGGGACCCCTAGCGACTTTAACATTTCGAAAACTCCCATGTCAGATTGCTGTGGTTCCACGCTGCCGTCAACGAGGAACATGATTAGCTTGAGTTCGTTTCTCCTCTGTAGATAGGCTCTAAGAGCGCTATTCATCGCCTTTATTGTCTCCCGATTCTTTACTTTGACGAATCCGTATCCCGGAAGGTCTGCTATGGCGAGAACATCACGGCCCTTCAGGTCGACTGCTTTGAAAATGTTAATGCATTTGGTGTAACCCGGTGTTTTCGATACAAAAGCAATATCGCAACTCTTCTTACGTGTTTTCATGTATGTCATCATTGTGTTAATGAACGACGACTTTCCCACGTTACTGCGACCTACGAGGCAAATTTCAGGCAATGATAACGAGGGTAGTGTCGAAGTATGGATGTAGCTTCCGATAAACTCTAGGGTAGAAAGTTGAGAAAGCGATGTTGTCCTCCGGATGACGGGCGACGCTCCAGCATATAGATCGGCTGCTGTATCCAGAGGTATTCCCAAGCGCACAGGTTTCACTGTAGCTTTTCCCAAAGGATTTTTCCCCGTACATTTTTCTAACGGTCTCAAAAAATGCGTATATGGGTTTTCTTGAACGACATATTTCGACACTATTTTGTACGCACGTTTATGTTCAGTTACACGCCTTTTCTTGGCTGTGTCGACGTCTCTTTCAGATCTCACGACATTCCGCCTCTGTTTCACCAACCGCTTCTCTTCCGAACGCCTGTATCTCTTCAACGCTTTCCTTACTTGTCGAACTTCAAAATCATTAGCTACTGCGAATTGTTCCTTTATCCTGTCAGCTACTTTACGTCCAGGCCCGGAGTATGTGATCTTCGGTGACGCCATCAAAGCAACGAGGCGGTGTCGAACTCCACCGCTGCGGTACCTTGAGCTCATCATAAAGCATTCAATTTGCGATAGGTAGACACGGATAATTATAAGTAAATATACCGTATGCAGTATTCCCATTTTCCTCGGTTATTGCCGTTGGTGATGATCATACATGGGTTCCTCGGCAAATAGGAACGGATCACGTTCTTTTGGCGGTTCTTGTAATGTTACTGGGTATTTTTGACCTGGTTTAGGGACGAATGTAGGATAATGTATATGTATGCCTCTATTTTTGCGTGCTGAGATTCCGAGTGCATCCCGAATTTTAATCACACTGCCTATGTCTCCCGGCACCGCTCCCTTGAGAAATATGAGATTTCTATAAGATTCTATCCTGAAAACTCTGCAATTTGTAACTCGTGGGTCCGGGCCGCTATGTCCGCCCATTTTCGTGCCTCGCCAGACGATATGCGCTGATTTACCCTGCGCTATTGATCCCGGTGCGCTGTGTGCCTTACACTCCGTCCCGTGACTTGCGTTTTGCCCGCCAAAATGCCACCTGCGCATGGCTCCCTGGAACCCTTTGGGTTGGGACCAGCCAGAGACGAATACCCACTGTCCAGGTGTGAAGTGTCTTACACTCATATAATGTCCTACAGGTAGTAGGCAATCACTAGAGCACTTGAATTCTGCGATATGATCCTTGGATCCAACACCTGCCTTAATGAACCGTCCTACGTTTTGTTTAGACTGACGGTTAATGTTACGGTAGCCCAGTCCCAGCTGAACCGCTTCGTATCCGTGATGAGCTATAGTTCTCTTTTCTAACACTACACATCGGTCTACGTGGCATACAGTAACCATATGACGTTCTCCCCAGTCGTCCCAAAGTGACATGCAACCGATTTTATAAGCCAGTACTCCACACCTGCAGGTATATCAGAATCCAGGCAGAGCTTTTACAGTAGATATAATACACAGATATCTAGATCTACCTACCTTCTACTGCTCCATATAGGGCATTGATTCCTTATTGCTAAGTTATGTACTTGATCTTCGGTGAAGGTTTCATACTCTGGCACTTGTAGAGCCTCTTTTTTTGTCAGTGCGAATTTTTTCTTTTGTTGCATACGTTCGAGTCTCTTGACCCATCTGCTTGCGTATGGTTTGCAGAAGGATCGTACTTTATGTTCTGTAACCGAAGATTCCACCCCGAAGTTTCTCCTCGCTAATAGAGCAAAGGTACCGAGCGGCCTTAAGCAGCTACCCATTGTCCGCGATTCCGACCTTAGACATTGTGAAATGTCTAACTCTTTGTTATTTCGTCACATAAAGATGAAAAGTATCATTTTTTATTATGATATTTGTCGTGGGTCGCCCTAACGACGATTCAACAGTAACACTACCCTCTAGTTGCTCATGGATGTGTAACCTAGATTTTACGTCATCTTATATTTTTTGTAATATTTAATACAACGGTTTTCACAATATATTAGTAATGTACAGGCTCATCCAGGTCGGAGAAGTCCGCTGGGTCATCCTCTTTGTACACACCGTTATCAGATTCCCACCTTACGTCAGCCTGTGTGAGTAATATCTTCATAACATGAGTTTTACCCACCGTTTTTGGATACGCATACAATGTCGAGTGTTCCGGTATCTTCCATCGTCGCTTTAGCATATGTAGTCTGACCATTAGTTTCTTGGCGTTTCGCATTCGATCGCATTCGAAGAATGCACCAACTTCGTGTTTCGTACCATCCGATGCGGGTATATGTATGACCTTGACTGATTTTGGAAAAAACTTAAGGCTGTTCGCCAAATGTGTGAGTTCCTGTTCATCCACGTCCGGGTGCCAGCCAATAGTGAATACCTGTTTAATTTTCATGTGATAACAGCAGATGGGATATGTAGCATCATGTTACACAGTATAGTAACGTGATTGTGACCTACATGGTACTTGCTTTTCTTTGTTATGAAGTCAAGTTCCGGGTTCGATAGGAAAAGGGAGGACCTTGCAGCGTAGACGAATGACGCACCCATCAATGATCCATATTGGTACCTCTTGGGTATAGCTACTTCCTATATATTGTGAATGCTCGATAGTTGTGATTTTGGGTTACCTGTAGATTTGCGATGATTCTGTTTGCATCTTTGATGCTATCGCAGAGTACCCATGCAGTTGAGTCCTGTTCACCGTTGCTTTTGAAGCGGAACATTATATTGCACGGATGCTGATGATAATTCATATATTATCGTTTGATATTGGTGACCTACAACTTTGACAGATGTGTGTTTGTCGATAACTTCTGCCATTTCCAAGCGTCCGTATGTCTTGTTCATCCCAGATATTGTGACAATGCGATGTATATTTGTTGGTTCTGCGAACCTTCTTAGATCTTCCGATAAAGTGAGATATCGTTCACATCTATGTTTTTTTACTATTGGTTGTGCTTTTACCTACTGTTCTACGTAGCACTTGACATCATGTTCATCACAAATGTATGCTCTTGCATCTGGTGGTAGGGAATCCAGAAGTGTTTTTTGTACACCTTTGGTGATAAAAGATACGGTTGTGCTTTCATTATATTGCGATGAAGTTTGAGAATCCGCAGTTTGTCCCTGCTTCGAAGTATGGTCATTCGTTTGAGTATCCTCTTGGTCATTGAAATCGAAATTTGGCATCATGACACTCTTTACTAGCACCATTACTCTTCCGCATGGTATTCCGAATCTATTCCTCATGATATGAACGTCATCCTGCGTTATTTTGATCCCCTGCAACCGTTGAAGCTCTATTATATTTGACCAACACATTTAGAGAAGGTGTCTATAACATGATTTTGTGTATCTAGCAGCTTTGGTGAGAGGTTTTCGATAAGTACGGCCTTCTGCCTTAACAGTTCCAGCCTATGTACGCATTATCTTCAAGTTGAGATGACTTACGGAATCTCTTCTGGGTAATGCCTACGCATAACAGCGAAAGCACGTCGATGTGTAGCTCTCCACATCATCTTTGTTAAATTTGGTTGAGTAAAATGAGATTTTGTTGCGGTGGAAGGATGAGGGGCGTTGCCTGTGACCTCATTCTTTTACTCACAAGTTCATCATTATGATAAAATTTATAACTATTTAATCTAATTTCTATTATAATTCACTCTATGAATAGAGTGCCAGGGCTACGGTGGCTTCTTCGGCGATTCGTTCTGTGTTTACAATGTGCGAGTCATATAAAGCATTTACTTGAAAAAACATAATGTTTACAGTCATCGTTATGCATATATTTCGCATCATGACTCTGTTTTTGTTATGCGGCTAAAACTCATTGAATCAGTGACCTGGTTGCTTCAGATATTTGGTCGATAAGTCACACATTCTAGGCCCTGTGTTTATTTCTTTTGCAATATGACAGGGAAGGCACAGAGTACTATTTCAGTATGGAGTCCGCCGTTATTGTGGATGGCCGAACATAAATGGTAAGATCGATACTCTTGAGTACAGCAGCGGCGTCGTAACAGAAGGTGCAAACTAATAAACTTGCTGCACACATCCAGAGTATCCGATATAACATGGAAACTTACGGACCGGAATGATTCTAATTTTTTGTATTATAGTCAATGTTATAATGACGACGCTCTGTGGCACTGAAGCTGCATCATGATTCATTAATCACACAGGGGAAGCGATAAAGGTCACCATTTAGCCTCATATATTACAAAAACGATTCGCCTTTAGATATAGTATATTATTAAACCTTTAATGTAATCGTCGCCGCATTGTAGCCCCAAGCCAGTGTGGCGTGGTAAGTTTCATGCCGAAATATAGCTTCAATATAGATTTATGTGTGAGAAAAATATCCATGAAAGCATTGGCGAAAAATTGTCGCCGATGAGCTGTTTGCTAGCTTAGAAGCGGTGGTGTAGGCCTTTGACCGCGGAATCTCGCATCAGCTCGCTGCAGTAATATCGGCACCGTACGGGCAGCTAGAGCCTGATTCTTCATCTTTACGACTAGGTCTTAACAAGATGTTCGGCAATACGAATAGAGGAACAAATTACTGGGCTAGCTCCACGCAACCAAGTTCCAACATGCCAGGTTCATTTAACACGTTGGGGTCTTCGGTAACAGGTGGACAAGCTACAGGATCAACATTTGGTGGTTTCGGGGGTGCTAATACTATGGGTAACACCGGTTTTATGAGCCAGACTCCGACAACTACTTTCGGGGTATCGCAAAATACATCACTGTTTGGGCAGCAGGCCCAGCAGAATACAGCTACCGGATTTGGGGGCATGAATACTACTGGAGGCATGTTTGACCAGAATAAACAAGGTTTTATGGGTTCATCTACTGGTTTATTTGGTCAAAACAACCAGAGTAACACCATGTTCGGCTCTGGCATGAACACTGGAGCCAGTAATACGTTCAACAGCGGTATGAACACAGGCTCAACCTTGTTCGGTAGCAACACTAATACTGGAGGTTTGTGGTCGAGTGGTACCAATACGGGTTTCGGTACACAGATCCAAGGTAGCGAGGTTGCGACCCCCAAACATTTTGACGGAGCATCGATCACGCATATTGCCTACGAAAAACCAGACACATGCAAAGATGAATACCGATGGGAGTACTACAAGAAAGTGACACCACAGGGTGCTGCAAGCGCGATGCAACCAGCCACGTCCGCCACGGGAGGACTGTTTGGCAGCACCCAACCTACGACTACTACGGGCGGGTTATTTGGTTCTACACAGGCCGCAACTCCTACCGGAGGATTATTTGGTAGCACGCAACCGGCTACATCCACGGGCGGTCCTTTTGGAAGTACCCAACCTGCCACCACTGGTGGCTTATTTGGATCTAGTACCACTGGTACTACCGGAGGTGGTCTGTTTGGCAGCACTCAGCCCACTACGGGAACTTCCACAGGTGGTTTGTTTGGTGCCACTACCCAATCTGCAACCCCTACCGGAGGGTTGTTTGGGAGTACTCAGACCGGTGGTCTTTTTGGAGCTACGCAACCCGCCACCACCGGTGGCTTATTTGGGTCAACGACCACTGGTACCACGGGAGGCGGGCTCTTTGGCACTACGCAGCCTGCAACAGGAACCACTGGTATTTTGGGTACCACCCAACCGTCTACTTCTACTACAGGGCTTTTCGGCAGTACTAATACCGCAGGAGCTACGGGTACCACTGGATTGTTTGGCTCCAGTAGTACCTCTACGTTTGGAGGGACAAACAAGAGTCTTTTTGGCAATTTATCTACAGGATCGACAACCACTGGTACTACAACAACGGGTACAGGTCTCTTCGGTACATCCAATATGTACGGTTCTTCTTCAACGATGGGTACAGGCGCAAGTACAGGCACAACAAGCCTGTTCCGCCCTGCTACTACCGGAACTACTGGAACAGGTCTTTTCGGCAGTGGTTCCACCACTACTACTAGCACGGTGCCCAACTTGTTCGGTACCACCTCCACTACCTCTGCTACAGCTACTACCCCTTCATTAGGGTTATTTGGATCTACCACTGGTACGGGTACCGGCAATTTATTTGGAACTACTACAACTCCTGCTACCTCTGGATCTTTACTTTCTTTCGGCACTGGTGGTACCCAGACCTTCGGTTCTACTACTTCTGGAGCACAGCTGCCTCAGACGTGTAACATGCGTTTGGGTCCACTTACTTTGAGCTGGAATGTGAATACTCCATCACCTGGTGTGCAGAGTTTTTGGTCTAATGAGTCCGCACTGCCCCAAGAAGCAAAGCAATATCTTGTTAAGCTTTCCAACTCACAGAATAATGCAGCACAAGGCCAAACCACGGCTGATGTTCGTCAGGCTGGGACTTCCGTCGCATCAGGTTCTTCAGACCCTGGTATTGGTGGTTTGGAGGACACACAGGATCGTTTTGGTTTGCGTCAAGTTTTGAAGGATCTTGGTGTGCAGATTCCTCGTTACAAATTGCATCCTGATATAAAGGATGAATATATGGTTTCGTGTGATGTAGACTCTGAGGTACGTGTCAAGACGAGTCTGTCTGCTGAGTTGAAGGTTCAACGTGATTTGTGCGGTAATTATGCCAAGGTTCCGAAGTTGTATCACTCAGACAATTTGCACACATCCACTCCCGAATCATCTGCCGTTTCCGATGATACCTTTTTATCGCTGCACAACGGAGGTGCGAAGGAGTTTGAGGCGTTGCGTCATGAGGCGCGCGGATGCAATCTCCGTAAGCCTCAGGACCCTTCCAATTCGCAGACGGATGATCTTCCATATCTTCCTAGCAATCGTTCTTCGTTGTTGTTTGAGAAGCCGAGTAACACGAGTAGCATCCAGGGCAACTTATTAACAGTTCATGATGATCCCCAGGCTTCAAGTTCACTCCATTGCCGTGCATTTGATGAAGTTTACAAAAGCGAGTCAGGTTCTGGTGAAGCAAGTCAGATGGCAAGTCGTCCAAGTTATGACGCTGGTACTACTGAAGACTCTGTGTGTTTAGATAATCCTGCACCGTCTGAATCTGTATCTTTATGTCCTATTTTTAAATTAGCTGACGATACTCCTGGTCATCCTCCTATTTTAACTAAAGAGGGATATACTACTCGTCCAACAATGTCATCTCTGCGTCAGATGTCTGACAAGCAGTTATCTAACGTGATGGACTTTCAGGTAATTCGTCAAGGTTTTGGTGATATTTTATGGCCGGGTTACACGGATGTGCGTCATTTGAATTTGGATAAGATCGTTGATATAGCACATCGCAAGGTTACCCTGTATGGTAGTACTTCTCGTGTTCATCCTGTTGGTGAGGGTTTGAACAAGAATGCGATTATTACTTTATATAACTGTGCGCCTGCTGGTTATGTGGATGGTAAATCTATAACTGAAACAGTGGATCAGCTTGAGAAACTGAAGGATCATACAACATCGCTTGGTTGCAAGTTCCTTTCTGCCAATTTTAAAACTGGTCAATGGGTGTTTGAGGCACCTTGTTTTGTGAAGAATACGTCTGGTGACGTTTCTGAGCGTAAGTCTCTTTCTTTTACTACTTAGCGCGAATAGAGCGCGGACCGAACTGTAATGTTCATTTATAATTATGTATAATTTGTAAGTTTGTAGTTACAGAGTTCATATATCCGACGGAATTGTCATAGTAACTGTCTAGTTACCTTTATGTGACCATTGCGGTCTGCACATCTAGGCAACGTGGTCGTTACGGTGTGTTTTTGGCCAACGGTCACATAACCGTTCGCACATATGTTCCAATTCAGCTTCTATGGCGCTTTGGTGTTATTATAAGTACCTATGGTGGTTTATTGTGTATCGGTCTGTGTGACGTGAAGGTCGCTTGGCAGTATGCCTGACGCCATCGTGGTCTTATGGGGAGTTGAGAGTATTTACCATTATAGCCGTATAGAGCTTGCCACTGCTGCTACTAACCCTTATCTCCTAATTTGGGCATAGTTCCTGTTGTTATTTAGCTTCTTAATATCCATCGGTAAGTGCTCGTCCCACATTATTAGCTGCGTTATCCTCGCTATCTCATACACCCATTTTAATTTACACAGGTTCAAAATGATTAACGACGACGGAAAGCTTGTTGACCTTTACATTCCACGCAAGTGCTCTGCCACTTCGCGTTTGTTGCCTGCTCGTGATCACGGGTCGATCCAGATCAACATCGGCTTGGTAGGTTTATCTGGACGTATATATAATATTTCTTCAGACCGACGAGAACGGTGCTTACAACAACCAGAACGTGTCATTCGCTCTTAGCCGTACCCTAAGGTTGGGAGGTGATGCTGACGAGGCTATGAACCGCCTGTTCAAAGAGCACGGTCTACTCTAAAGAACTTCATTGTGCGAACACTTAATTTAAGTTTATAAGTTCGTTGTATGTTATGTTTGTGTGTTATAGCTAGAACCTGCATGACGTTAGATGGTTATTTGCCACGGGGTGGTAGTACTGCTAGGCTACGAATACTTACCCGCATTGGACGAGCCACTTCTTGATCTTCTTTACATGGAGCCCATGTACCTCTAGGCTACCTATCCTTTCACGTACTGGTGACTCGCATAGAATGCGTAATTGCTGCTTCATAGCCTGGACCGATTGCTCGTCTATAATGTCAGAACTTACATCAACATCTCCATATATTCGTCTAACGACAGTATATACCAACGTGCCGTGAGCCCTAATCTTCACGTATACTGCGAGGTTTCCTGACGGAGTACGAGTCACCTAATTAATTTTCAGTTTAATTATAAAATATATAATGGAGTACATCTTTCCTGGAGTAATTCTGTTACCATAAAAAGTTCCAAATCATTTGGCATATATTTTCATAATTCTACGGAAGTTTTAAATTGACACATACCTTGAACGGTAGATTATCTGCTACGCCACTTGTTGTCTTCGCGAAGCTCGACTGTACGACGGAGCGGGTCTGTATAGCGAAGAGATTTGGGCATACCAGCCTCTGGAATGTACTTTTAAACATCTCCTGAAGGAGAAGGTCGCTTTTACTCTCAATATCTTGTGGTTCGATAGCTACATAGGGTGCTACACACTACAACGTCAGGAAGGTGTAACGTGCCAACTACAAATTACAAAAGCTATACATTACTGTTTAACATCGTGTTCTACTTCGAGATAGGCTCCGCAGACACACGTAGGAAAGCTATTGCGTCAGCGTACTTTGCGGCTGACATTTCCTCCATACGTGGTATTAGTGTCGCGGCAACCAAGGCGTGGTACTCGTTGATCCATTCGATCTCCTGATCACTCAACATTGATGTATCCATAAGGTCTTTGCAATATGGCACCATTGTGAGGTCAGCGAACGTTAGGAATTTAGTGTGATCCTTGGAGAACTCTCCATCGATCGGTTTGACGTATACCACGTTCTCTATACGGATACCATAGTGTCCTTCCTTATAGTAGCCGGGCTCGTTAGAGAGTACCATACCCGGTTCTAGGTATACCACTTCTACGTTACCCATGCGTGGTTTCATCAGCGTGGATATTGACATAGGACCTTCGTGTACGTTGAGGTAGGCACCCACACCATGTCCAGTGCCGTGGTAGTAGTTCCGTCCTGAGTTCCAGAGATATTGACGTGCAAGCACGTCAAGTGTCGCTCCAGAGGTTTGTTCAGGAAATATAGCATGCCTCAGTGCCAGGTGTCCTTTTAGAACCCGGGTGTAGGCTTCCTTTTCCTCCGCAGAAGGGTTCCCGAAGTGTATGGTTCTGGTAACATCGGTTGTACCCCCGGGGTATTGACCTCCTGAGTCTAATAGGTACATTTCCGGTACGATTTTTGACTTATTGTCCTCCGTTGCACGATAGTGTACTATAGCGCAGTTTGAACCTATGGATGATATCGGATGGAACGATATACCTCGGTTCTCCGGCATCTCGGCGCGACATTGCGTGCTGATATCGCCTAGTATCTTCTCATCTGATTCAAATAGTGTACCTCCCTTCTTCATGCTCTGCATGTCATTAAGATTGATGGTTTCCCAGTCCCACCTCTACTATAGCAAAGAACGAGCTTAGTGCTATACCATCCAATATGTGAGCCTCTTTTAACCCATCAAGTTCCACACTGTTCTTGACAGCCTACCGACAGTTATAATGTAACATGAGAAATACTCTACCTTCATCATACAGGCGGGGGTATCCTTCTGTATCAGTGCCCTTGGCATGTGTTCTGTTGCTTCGGATAGGAATGAATTGCATACAGCTACGGATGCTGATGGTGAAACCCAGAGTTTGAAGACCTCTTCAGGGCCTTTGTGAGATATTCCATTAGTGATATCACGCAGGTACCCGGGGAGCTCATTATAACCCTTAAGCGTCACTCCCGATGAACCGAGAGAGGCCTTTACCTCTTCCGTGACCTTCCTCTCATCGATAAATAGCCTGTAAGAAGGTGTAAGAGTATTGAAGTGCCACTTACAGCGCTTTGTCCTTGGTCACTACTAGGTATGCATAGAACAAGGGTGAGACATCTGAGTCACTCCCCCTTAGGTTCAGCACGTATGCTACTTCGTCCAAAAGTGAGAATACAACAGCATTTGCATTTTCATTCTCCATTTCAGAACGTATCTTGGCCAATTTGTCTATAGTGGGCATCCCTGTGTATCTTTCTGGGTGTAAAAATATCGGATCAAGTGGTAGTTGTGGTCTATTTTTCCATAATTTATATATCGGATTTTGGTATAGTTCAACAAACTCGACATTTTCGAGTGTCTTTTTATAATGTTCCAAAGTATTGTGAGGTGTTGTATGGGCATCAATTCCTACACGTTTTAGCTGTTTATCTTTCAGGAACGTTGTAACATCTGGAACATCCTTTTTTCCATAACGCATGAGTTCCCACGGCGCCTCTAGCTGTTTTGCAGCCTGTATATAGTACCTAGAGTAGATATGTAACCATGGTATTATTTAATTACCTTGAATCTGTCCATAGCCATGCACCTTGTTCCGTAACTACTGCCTTGCCCCAACTACCTGAGAACTTCGATATGAACTCCAGGGCACCAAATGCTTCATGTGGTATCTCCGTAGCATGTGGATCATCATGATCAACAATGAAGGCATCTAGTTTCTGCGATACTAGGTCATCCACAAGCGCTCGGATAGTGGTCGCCATTTGTGTCGGTTCAAAATCGGCTACACATTATATTTGAGACGAGATTAACAACACACATTGTTGGTTAGTTGTCGATATATGCCTTGAACTGTATGTCAGACCTTGCGTTCTTCTCTTAATATCTCGGGATTGTGTGATATCCCTCTGGAAGGCTAATATCGGTAGGGCGCTATAGCCTTTGTCCAAATGGCTCTCTTTTAGGGGTAGTACAGCTGGGACAGAAGATTATATATCACTATTGAGTAACGTACTGTTATATTGTCGTTTGTAAGTGCCAGGGTGTAGTCGAAGTGTCGCATAGTATCCACGTTTGGCGTAGCGCGAAGTACACCGCTGCGTTAACGGATTAACAAGACAGAGCCAGAGTATAGCCCTTGAAGCGCACCTAAACATGCCCTTATATATGGTTAAATTGCCCAAAATGTACCCTAATTACCATTCGACGATCTTGCGCGTCGCCAGCCTTCTCCTAGGCTAGGCTATGGGGTCGGGCCATATCCGTGTAAATACTTACTATAGCTATAAAACGGCTTTTGGGATACCGCGCGCTATAACTTTGAGGCTAAGAGTCGCAAGAACTGCCTGCGGAGGTATGTTTTGCATCAAAAACAACCGTGTTGTACATAGTTCACTGATGGGCTCTTACACTTTTCATGGAAGATTCTTATTGACCATGTTTTTCCCTGTTCTTTGCTGCTAAAATTTTATTCATATTAGTTCTTGTTGTTGCTTAATTAGTTGCGTGGGTTAACGTGGTCTGTCTGTTATTTGCTGAGATTGGCGTCGATGAAGTTTGCAATTAAAAATCGCCAGATTTCACATTGCACTCATTCTATGGAACACTTTAGCTACCAAGTAAATGGTGGCTATCATTCTTCATCTGCAGGATTTCGCTGAATGAGTGTCTATGTTTCGGTCACTTTTTATGACATTGCATAGGTGTGTATGTATATTCGTACCATGTTAATCTGTGATGTTATAGCCGAACGTTTCTACTGTGATGCAATTTCATTCAGGTCCTGACTATAGTGGCTGTTGCATAGTTCAGCAAGGTGTTATTACACCATGGCTAGCAACGTGCAGTCTAAGTTTTGGGGTGAGGATTCGGATGAATCATATTCCGATTCCTCTGGTTACTCCAGCGAAGGAAGTGAACGCGATGCTTCCAAGCGCCCTGGCGCCTCTGCTGCTTGGGTAGCCAGTGACAGCTCTAGCGATGATGATGAAAATCGCGTCGTGCGTTCTGCAAGGGCCAAAGCCCTGGAAACGATTCAGAACATCATGAAGACAATGGAACACCACAAAACTATCCAAGATTACTCGGAGCTGCTCAAGGACTATGATACCTTAGCGAGATTGGTAGAAAAGCAATACTCCAAAAGTAGAATCCCCAAGTTGATTGTGCAAATAGTACTAGAGTTACAACAGTTTATTGAGGAGAAGCAGAAAGATAAGGATGGTCTTAAAAAAATGTCTAAAGCACGTTCTATCTCCTTTAATACATTACGATCAAGGCTCAGAAAGTTCAATGAGCAACATTCTGACGTCTTGGAGGAGTACAATAGCAACCCAGATGCCTACGTAGATATCCTCAAGGAATCTTCGGACGAAGACTCCGATTCCGACGATGAGGATGAAACTGCAAGCGAGAGTGATGATGACGGGGAAGTATCTGACGAGAGTGATGACGAATCTGATTCTGAAGAGGATGATGAGGTAAGTGAAGAAAGTGGGTTGGAAGATGAAGAAAAGGCTGGAGAAAGTGATGAGGGATCGGACTACTCTGACTGGTCTGATTCCGATGTCTCTAGTCTCTCCGAAAACGATACATCTGACAAACATAAATCTGCTTTGGCTAAATGGGGAGTAAAGAAGAGTGATTCTGCCCCCAAGGCTGCCAAGCCGAAAACATCGGCCAAGAAGCCTAAAACCAAAATAGTGAAGAAGAAAGATGAACGTCAACCTCTTACAACTACTATGGGCGTTATGCCTACGGTAGCCAAGGTGGCAGATGTAGTCATGGCTGCACTTAACAAGGCTGATTTCGGTGCTGAAGACAACCCTTTCGGCTTGTCAACTCCCGAAATCAAAGCTGTTATGGATGAAGTCTTTTTCTCAGCTGAGAATGTGAAGGCATACGTGAAGTCAATTGTAGAGCGTCGTGGTAAACGTGGTGGTAACACAGCGGAGACTATCCGTCACCTGAAAGCTTTACCTTACATCGCCAAAGGGATTTCACACTCACTTTACATTTATGTGGTGGAAACTTTGCTGCACATCCAATTTGACAGCTATTCGAACGCATATGGCGCTATGATCCCGAGACAATGGATAGACTCTTACCGTATAGTATCTCACTTGGTTGACGAGCTCAAGAGCCACCCCCAGGCGTTATTGTCATCTGAGACTGTGGAGTCCGATGATCCCAATCTCCAAGAATCAAATAGTGAGAAGGACGTTAACGCTCAAGGGTTGTCACGAGAGGTTCGTCTAGACCGATCGATGACCATTCTAGAGTCGGTCTTGCGTAAGCTGAACGACGAGCTGTACAAGGGTTTGTTGTACATTGACGTTGGTAGCGATGACTACAACACTATGCTTGTTTACAACGTAAACATGCTCTACTTGCTCCACAAAACGTTGTTATATTGCACTAGTAAGGGTAGTGAGAGCATGAAACACGCTGCTAGCATCGCAATTCTTATGCTGGAGCACTTGCATTACAAGGACGATACAGTTTCTGGCAAGATCTGGGAGTTAGTCAGGCAAAAGGTGACCGACAAGAGCCAGCTCATGCACTACTTCCCCAACGAAACTAAGAAAGCATCTGATGTTGTTGAGGAGTTAGCTTACTTTGTTTTTGAGCATGGTGCTGCACGTGAAAAGATCAGGGCCTGTCTACACCTTGCTTTCAACAAAGCACTCCATGGACTGTATTACGAAGCTAAGGACTTGCTTCTAACACCCAATATCCATGAACTGGCTATGGAGACCAATATTTCTACACAGATTTTGCTTAATCGCAACATTGCTCAATTGGGTATATGTGCGTTCCGCAAGGGTCTTATCAGCGAGGCACATTCATATCTCATGGACCTCTGTGCCCAAAACAGACACAAGGAACTGCTGGCTCAAGGCCTATCGATGATGAAGAACCACGAGAAACCACCAGAACAGGAGCGTGCTGAAAAGCGAAGGTTGCTGCCATACCACATGCACCTGAACATCGAGCTTATCGAGTGCATTAACAACATATGTGCTTGTTTGTTGGAATCTGCGAATTTGGCAAAATCGACGATTAATAACCGTGAGGTGATTTCTCGTCAATTCCGTCGTATGTACGAGATGCATGAGAAGCAGATCTTTGTTGGACCTCCGGAGAACAATCGCGATGTGGTAATGTGCACGTTTAAACTTCTTCAAACTGGAAATTGGAAGGAATGCTATGAGCAACTGGCAAGTCTTACTATATGGAATCGCCTGCCTGACAAGGATGATGTCCTTGCCATTCTCAAGGAGCGCATCAAAGTGGAGGCTTTCAATACTTATATCTTCAAATATGTCGCTGTGTACGACTCGTTCTCTGTAGACCAGCTGTCGGATATGTTCGATCTCGATCCCAACATGATCCACTCGTTGCTGAGCAAGATGATAATTTCGGGTGAGATTCACGCCACATGGGACGACAGCAGTAAATGTTGCCTCATAAACCACACTGAGCCTACCGATTTGCAGAAGCTTGCTATTAAGCTTGCTGAGAACCTGACGACTGCCGTTGAGCAGAACGAGATGACATTGAACATGAAGAACCCGAAGTTCGCTCTTTCTCAGGATCGCAGGTTCCAAACCCGTGACAGCAAGTTCATGTACGGTGGCCGCCGTGATGATCGGCACAACGCCGCTACGAGCTTTAACCGTCACCGTCGCCCTATGCAGGGTAACCGTATGCACCGCTAAAATGCAATTATTACTCACTGGTAATTGTGCCATCAATATTTCTCTTATGTCACAATGTACCTATTGGGGGCACTTAACACAAGCTACATGCTCCCATTGCATCATGACAGATTATTTGTCCAAAAGTTCACAAACGCAGGCGTTCTAGTTCCGCTATGGCCCGCTCTAGTTGTGTTATTTCTAGATCCAGTTCTTGTATCTTTGTCGCATTCAGCTGTCGTACGTTTTCTGGCACCTTGGACTCGTAGTCAGGCGCCTCTACCTTCTTCTTATAGCCCTGCAGCGACTGTCGTGACTTGAGCAACTTGGCTGTAAGTTTATCGGTGGTCTTGGTTAGATCCATGGTCTGGTCCACTTGCAAATATGCTATAAAGGTTAGTGACACATCTTGTACGCATTGTGACAATTCTGGTGATCCAGGCGCTACAACCATGACGCTCTGGAATTTGGCCAGTGTAGCTGCATGGGTGGACAAGGTGTTGAGCAGATCGTAATATCGCTCTTCCGAGGCTACAATAAACCCTGTCTTGGGAACATTAGGAGCTATACCCAATGTGGCTGACAATGAACGCAGACTGTGAACGGCTGACTTCAATAGTTCCATCTCCTCATTAACTCCATGGCTATCCCAGGACGGTCGTATCGTAGGGAACTCGGCGATGGTGATTGAGTCGCTAGTGCGTAGGTGTGGCGGTAAATGTTGGTATAGTTCTTCTGTAATAAACGGCATAATGGGATGAAGCAGACGCAGACCAACACTGAAACTGCAACTCAATGCGTATACCGCACCCTCGATAACGGCTCCTTTGTCCGATACAGTTTCCTTGAATGACGGTAGACGTGGTTTTATAAGCTCGAGGTAAACGTCACATAGTTGGTATAGCCAGAAATCATAGGCTGCTTGTACAGCATCACCGAACTGGTAGTTTTCAAATGCTGTTGTAACCTGCAAATATTATGTAGGGAACTATTTTATGATACAAACTAACCTTGGCTATATATTCATTCAATTTTGTTAGGATCCAGTGATCTTCCCACTGAAGCGTTTGGGGTTCAGAGTGGATATCTATATTGATATCCTTTATTTTCGGCATGGCAAATTTCAGCGCATTCCAAATCTTGTTACCAAAGTGTTTAGAACAGATTATCTTGTTCACATCGAGAAGGATGGCTCGGTTCTGTCTAGTTAAAGAGAGCAATCCTAGACGGAGAGCGTCGGCACCGCATGCCGGTATGCCTTGAGGGAACTGTTGCTTCTGCAACACTATAGCCTTTTTAATTTCACCTTGCGGTAGACTAGAGTTGTGCAATTTCTCGATGAGGCTGTCTAGAGTGGCTCCTTCGATGACCTCTAATGGGTCTAGCACGTTACCCTTACTTTTACTCATTTTTTCTCCACGAGCGTCACGCACTAATGGGTGTAGGTATACTGTGGAGAAGGGGAGCTTTCCAACTAGGTGTAGGGACATCATGACCATACGTGCTACCCAGAAGAAAATAATGTCATTACCTGTCTCTAGTAGTGTCGTTGGGAAGAATTTTAGGAAGTCAGGATGTTGTTCATCAGGCCATCCCAACGTAGAAAGGGGGAACAGCCCTGAAGAAAACCATGTATCCAAAACATCTTCATCCTGTTTAAGGTCAAAGTTCGAGATGTTAGGAAACTGCTTTTTAGTACGTTCCTTAGCTTCGGTCATATCATGCGCAATGACCCAGGGCTCTTCTCCATTCAACTCTTCAGAAACTACCCTGTACGCCGGAATACGATGTCCCCACCATAATTGACGTGAAATACACCAATCATGGATGTTTCCCAACCACATTTCCCAAACGGAGACGTATGATGAGGGTATGAGCGTGAGATCACCTGCTCGTACATGTTCCATAGCTCGTGCCGCAAGGTTTTTGCAATTGACATACCATTGTGGAATGATCATATATTCCACAATATCACCAGTACGTGAGCAGCGTGGTATTGACATAGGTTTAGAGTTTGGTATTTTGTCCTCAAGCACACCTAGTTCCTTCAACCTCTTTTCAATCAGTTTACGACATTCAAATCTATGCATGCCTGCAAACTCTCCACCATTTTTATTGATCTTTCCGTCATCTGTGAATATATTTATGAATGGTAAGTTATGACGTTTGGCGATATCATGGTCATTTTTGTCATGCGATGGTGTTAGCTTCACTGCACCGGTACCGTACTCTGGGTCTACATGTTCATCGGCTACCACAACGAGCTTTCGATCTGCTATAAAAGGGTGTACAAGTTCACATCCCACCAGATCACGATACCTAGCGTCGTTAGGATGTACCGCGACAGCAACATCACCAAGCATAGTTTCTATCCTGGTTGTTGCTACTGATATATATTTCCCTGATTCTTCACCTTTCACTTCATACTTGAATACCCATAACCATCCAACCTCTACACTCTTTTCATATCCTGGCACCTTTATAGTGATGGGAGCATTCACTTCAAAGGTATCCACTTCTATGTCTGAAAGCGCTGTGGAGAGGTGTGGGCACCATGACACTAGTCTAGTTGCACGGTATATAAGTCCGTCATCATACATCCGTACAAAAGCTTCAATAACAGCCTTGGATCGTACAGCATCCATAGTAAAGGCATCACGTGTCCAATCGAGTGATGCACCTAATCTCCCTAGTTGTGTCTTAATATTGTTACCATATTTGTCATTCCATTCAAAAACACGTTTCAAAAACTCCTCGCGGGTTAAATCATGACGGGTCTTGTTTTCGGTCTGCATTAACATACGCTCTACTACTGTTTGGGTAGCAATGCCTGCGTGATCGGTTCCAGGTATCCATAGAGAAGTGTCCCCTTTCATGCGATGCCATCTTGCTAGACAATCTTGTATAGATACCGTCAAAGCATGCCCGATATGTAGCTTTCCTGTTACGTTTGGGGGTGGTAACACTGCGATCCAACGTCCTTTAGGTTCTGAGTCAGGTGAGCTTGAAGGAGTGAAAAAGCCACTGCTTTGCCACCATTCATACCATCCTTCCTCTACTGCCTTTGGATCATAAGCATTCTGTAGTTCTCCAACATTCTTTTTAGCAACCATTTTGCAATCCTTTCTAAAACAGCGACTTAAAAGCCGGCTGGAAAGACGAAAAGGCATCAATGGTCGACACTCAGCTGCTAAACGCTAACTATTGCAAAAGAATAGGTACCAATAAGGGTATCCTTGCTTTTAACAGAGCGATGTTCCTACTTGAACCCTGTGTAGCCTTGATACTGTGGCAACTATCTGAAAATGCCGGCTAAAACTTCAAGGATCTTATGAAACCATAAGCTGTTAATATACAGCAATATGAGATTGGCAGTTTAAATGTCAAGTGTTTTCTGGATATCGTGTGTCGCGCGTAGTTCCGTGGTGTACGATAGCCTCGCAACTATATATCTCAAAATCTCTCCGGATCCATTTAATAGCCTTCATTGTACTATATGTCGAAACATTTCGGCAAGACATTGGCATATTAATGTGCACATTGCTGACAACAACTAAAGGAATCCTAAGGGAACCACTGAAGATGGCTGAAGAGGTGGAATCATGACCATAACGAGATAGACATGAATATACACCACTGATACTGCAATAGAGTTGGCATTTATCGGTTTGAAATGCGCACCGCAGATGTAACATTTTCGATCGAGTTATGGGCTGCTTGCCGCAAAAAGGAACATATTACTAGAGCGCAACATAGAGAGGAAGATTACACATATCTTCTCGGAGGCGCTTGTTGTGCGTCACTGATATGTTAGCACTGGCAAATTTGTGGTCGCGGCTAATATTTGTAGGCTATGCTCTGATACTATTACTGGCAGGGCAATGGGACCTCTTTACACCTCAAGGGACTCGGCTGGCGGAGGCCATCAGTATCACGAAAACATGTGATCATTCATTGGGAAGCAATATATCGTCAGGGTTATGCAATGACGGAGCTGCTTTTGACCGTTGCGTTACGGCGCATTATCCAAACAGCCGGATACAACGCCAGGGAACCCTGGCATATGCTATGCCAACTGTACCTTTAAGCCTCAGTAAACTGCGCTGCGGTGAGATCGTAGTAGGAGTTCCTGAACGCCGAAATGAAGATGGAACCGTGGAGGTCGATGTTGGTGCCGAGTCCCCGCTTCTCGTGGCCGGTGATTCGTTATCGTTCCTGAACAACGAGGAGCGTAAAAGATTTGAGAGCATATTGGAATCCTTCGGACAACCAAAGGCAACAGATACCAAGTCGGTAGAAGAGATGATTACTGATACTCTTATTAGGGCAAGAGAGGTACCAGAACGCAAACGGATGACACATAAGCGACCAAGGTTGATCTATCCTGACGACTGCAAGAAGGATAAAGGATCAACGCACGTGCTAAGTTATGACCTTGGTGTTGGTGGTGAAATCAAGCCAAAACAAATAAATACACCAAGGATAGCAGGACGGAAGCAACCTCACTGCTGGTTCAGGGATGACCAGATGGAGTTTATCATTACAGATTTGGATATATACGGCGGCAAGGTACTAGGAGAAGTATGGTCACCAAGCATTGTGGAGAGGAAACGACAGGCATATATGGCGATGGCAGTTGAGGCGGTTAAACCTACGTCTTCAATAACTGCCTATACTGCCAAAATCAAGGAACGTAACGGAGACTTGCTAACGATACAACTGGTCGATAAGCACCTGCAAGGGTTGAATGCATATGCACTAGCCATGCCTAAAGACAGGGCTGGTGATCGTATTATGGTATACTTGGCTGGCAGTGACCCTGGATTGCAGCAAGTATATTTCACCAGAACAGCAGTGGTTAACGAGCAACTTAGAGAAGAGAACCTCAAGATGCTTTATGATGAGATAATGTACTATTATGTGAAGACTGGCAAATGGTTTCGTGCGCACTTCGAAGAAGATACGGATGATTCCATACGGTTACGTGTCGCTGGAAAGTCAACACCTGATGGCCAATACATTGCCCAAATATTTTTAAGCCAGATGCCATACTTTAGCCCAGAAGGAGTGCTAAATGAAACTTTCAAACGACTCAATATGCCCAACGATTACTTCTGCTACCACGATATGATGATAAATGTTGGAAAGCTAAACTATGGATTCAACTATGACAGCTGCATGTTTGTACGCGTACACGAATACAAGACACCCACCTCATCCCGTGGCGAGCGCATTGCCAAGGGAAATAAGGCAGTAGATTGCTTAGAGCTGACCACATTGAACATCTGCAAGCCCAAAGGTATGCTAGAGGATGGGTTCAAGAGGCTTGCTGAACAGACTGTTGAAGATATGAAGGATATGAAGCTATATTCATCATATCCTGCGATGGTAATTGGACAAGACGATGGGTATCTTTATCTGGCAATAAACCACCTCCGCAAGCAGAATTTTACAATCGCTGACGATTATTTAGTGGGTATTATGAAGATAGTACCCAAATCCAAAACATTGCCACCCGGTACTTTCGTGAATGCACGAATTTCAGGTATCTCGCAGAATAATGTAAATATGCACTACTTGGAGACTCAGTCGGAGATCGGCAGCCACGATAGTTTCAAGTATACCGCCTTCACATATTGGCTGAATCATACGAATGATGGTAAACCAAAGTTCGGTCTTAGCAGGTTCGATCAACAGAAAACCTTAAACTTGATATGGATGGATGGTTTGTGTATCCCACCACCTGGATCTCCACAATATGATAAATTCTTCGCACTACAACCTTTGGTCACGGATGCATCGTTGGTCCATACCGTTGAGGAGTCTTTTGCACCTTTGGAAGCCGAGGACCCCAGAGCACGATTGCTGGATGCTGATGACCAATTTTTGGCGCCGGAAAATGTGACGGATTATTTCCTTACGACACTGCAGAAGAGACGCGCCGAGGCCGAAGAACCTCGTCAGGTACCTATAGATATGAAGAACTTTGGAAGCTATACCATTCGGTATGATGAAAACCCGGATGCTCCTATCGCCGCACCATGCTATTATATCTATAACAGAGAGATAAGGCTAGCATTGATAGAGGAGCAGTTGAACAGCGGTGCTTTATGGAAGTTTAAGAGAACCATGGAGCTTGCACGTATGCGTACAGAGGGTGAGGTGAAGTCATTTTTTTACGATAGCAAAGGACGTTCGTTATATGAGCTGTTAGAAAAGATGCGTGACCCTATCTACCGTCGTAATGTGAAGCCAAAAGAGGCATTATTTTTTGAACGCAATGTGAAGTTGCTTCTTTCGGGTATACAAGATTTCTACCTGGAAGCTATATACGATTCCACTGACCGTGAGAAGCTGATTTTTGCGTCCCTTATTCCACGGTCTGGCGACGTAGGCGACTTTGTACAGATGGACGAACTGGAACAGTATGATAATTATTTGCGAAACGATTTTGTCATGGATACTGAAGCTCGTGAGTGTTTGCAACGTATACTTCGGATTTTATCTCACCCAAATAATTCACTAATGGCACATATGCGCCATCGTCATAGGACCATCGATGATGAAGTGTTCTACGCCTACCGTAAAATGCTACACTATGAAACATGGGTAGACTACAAGTTCCCGGAGGCTGAGTTGGCTGAAGACGACACGTCTGAAAGTATTGATTCACCGATGCCTCCTGTATCTGAACTTGTTAGTGAGCCCGATGAATTGTCGCCAACGCTTTTGAAACATGGTTTGTCGCAAATCAAGGGGCTCTATACTCAACTGTTAAGAATGGCACGAACACCAGCTCCTGAGCAACTTGAGAAATCTATGGTTCACATGAAACAGAATCTTCCCCTAAGGGCGGACGATGCCATAGATTCACATGAGATTGACAAATTGGTAGACCAACTGGCATCTCATGAAGCTGCCAAGGAGCAAGATGCACCTGCTACGCCTCGGCAAAACTTACGTATCACTTCTAAGGAGTGGCGTAAGCTTAACTCAATCCATCAAAAGTTCAATCCAGAAGAATTAAAGCAGTATTTGCGCGACATTAAAGCATACAAGCCGGTACATGGTGTCAGGCTACCGATTGTATAGACATGAAGATTGCTGCAAATTTCAGCCTGCGCTCAAAAAACTTCGCGCAACTAATATATTTCTACTCATATAAAGTCCATATGCATAGATTTGAATATATAAAACAGTCAACAAATGACAGATAAAGTAATGGAGGAGCTGGCCTCCATTGCCGCCGGGGGCCTCTCTCCCGAGGAGGCTCGGTAGGTGACTGTGATGTGCAAATATATGTGCTAGACGTGTGAGGGAACAACAATCACAAAGGTTATCGGAGAAGATTGAGCGCCGCAGGGCATATGTTTGTTTATTTTCAATTTATCAGCTACGTTGGTCAGGTAAAGAAGACTATGAAGACGCTGCGGCATTACAAGGTCGTGATAGCCGCTCGCCTTGAGAAGCGTCAGGCACAAATGCTGGAATGGAAGAATGAAGTAGATATGGTGATGGCTGACTATCGTGCCGATTGCCGTAAGCTTGCTGAGGAGGATGCGAAGGAGTTACATGAATTTTACCTTTGGGCAAAAGATGAAATAGTTAAGTGCGCGAAGACAGCAGCAGAACGTGCACCTGTCGAAGATAATTCAGCTATCCTTAGAGCGATAAACACCATGCTAAAAAATTGCTAGGTGAAAATTACATTATAATGTTTCATGTTTTAACACCCCCTAGCTTCAGCAACGATACCAGTACACCTCCGTTGTTAAAATTTAATTCAGATTCCCATTCGAAGCGTGAACGCCGTCTCAAGCTGTCTGTTGCCACTACATATACATTTTGCAGGATTGAACTAGGCGCTTTTGCTAGGAAAATTTCAAGCCTCTTTTGGGCATGCATATACTGCTTGTGCTTTTGCTTATTGCCATAATAGAGGTTTGTCAATATAAGTGTGCTTTTGCAATCCACCTCCACGTCCTCTAATGGCATGTTTGAAAATTCCAAGGAAATATCACCCTCAGTAACCGATACAAGTGACCCGCCCTTTGCATCTGGCGGATCATTTCTCCGTTCTGCGTGTGTCATTGTTTTGCGATATTGCTGCAAGCAAGATACAGCGTCATCCACATGTCCATCAAAGATGTCCGTTCCCAAGAGGCGTAATGGGCGACCAACATAGCCATCGTTAGCATACGACTCCATGGCACCCTCGTAAGCATCTCGTGAGTTAAGTGGGAAGTTGCTTAGCGGATATATATGACCCCTATGCCTTAGTCTATGACCATTGAGAAGTGAATAGAGCTCCAATAACAACGTTCCGTTGTGGCACAACGGGTCCCATATGGTGTTGATGTTATTCTCTGTGAGCTGTTTGACCAAATCGATCCTTAGTGCGATAGCTGATACTGCCGATGGCCGTATACGTGAGTCTAATGTGGAAGTCGATGTCCACGGGCGTTCCCACAGGTCACCCGAAGCGTTGGCCAAAACCTCGCACATATCGGCATCCAAGTTGACCATTAGGGTAGGACAAAGTGGCAGATGACCTTTGCGCTTAAGAATCACTGGCAGGTCGTCGCCTTGGAGTTGTACTGATTTGTGTCGGTGAGCTTTGATGACCTCATGGACCATCTTCTTGATCATCCCCGTATGGTACAACTCCGAGTCCTTGGCATTTACACGCACATACGGTAGCGGCAGTGTTGCGGAGAATGGTATGAAGCCACGCCATTCTGCATTGTTCAGAGTACGTATGAATGTACGAGCATGCCGTACAGGGAAAGGCTCACATATGTTCATCCATAACTGATCTGCGAGTCGACTCTCTAGCATAAGCTTCCATAGATGGTATAGATTGGCTTGTGCATCTATGTAACATGGTCCACCAGCCACTATTGTACATTCTCTTGAGACCCTGGAGATCTCAGTTACCAACAACTTCTCTAAACCGGCTCCTGTCAGCAGCTTGAAGCGGTGTATACACGCACTGCTTGTTATTAGGTTGTCAAAGGGTCCCATCGACGTGTAATCCAGTCATCAGCTGCACAGCAGCCTGAAAGGTACGATCGTTCAATCTAGGCCATTTTCATCATTGGATGAGACATGAACATCTATGTAATACTTACACATGATTTGGTTTTACACATTATGGTAAGGAAGGCAAAAAGGTCACATACTGGTTGTCTAAGGGTCGAGCTATGTTATAAGGTGTGCGGTGGAATAGTCAAGATTCTACCACTGTAATATAATTTTTTACACTATAGTAGTGATGAATGTGTTTTAGAATTTACTTGTGTATTGCTATTTAGAGCATAGTTTGTCGAACTGTTGTTAATACGCTCAAGAGCTCCGGGTAGAGGAAAGCAATCGAGTAGCGTTGGAATGGAATATGAGTTGAATGCGACGCAAACCCTCCTTTTAAAGAAGATTTTTATCCTTTTCCGTCATATATCAGCCAACGTACAGATAATAGCCAGTAGCAACGGATTGAACCTTCACGCTCTCAATGGCTCCAATTCGGCGTGGTTGCACATACAGCTAGGGAAGGATTTCTTCCGTCGGATAGACACCGGTGGTCTAACGGCATCTCAACCATCACCACCATATTCCGAAATACCCAAGTTCTGGTTACTTTCTACAAAGAATCTATGCCAAGCGCTCACAATAGTCTCGCCTTTGGGTCCCAGGAACCAGGGGTATAGCGCAGTATTCCTCAAGGACGGTGGGCATGGCGATGATAACACTCTAAGGACAACAGTAGCATTGGAAAAATTAATTATCAGAGAGGAACCAGATCATGGCAACTTGCTGTCATTTGTGATGTGCTGTGCCGAAGAGCACATAGAAAGATCAGCAATCATATGTTACGAGGACCGTAAAGTGTCAGTACCTGATGATATTAACTGGTTGAATTGGCATTACCTAAGGATACAACCTACTGTACTATACAAAAGTATTAACCCATATTGGTCACCATTCGACGACATAGCGATAACGTACGACACGAAAAAGGATCAAGTTTCCTTTTCTGTAGTTAAAAGTGCCATATCAACTGGCTCTCGTAGGCGAAAAAAGGCTAACAAACGTGCTGGTATAACTGGAAAAATAACAATTAATGGTAGCCATTTTATGCAACTTAAGTTTGACGAGAAAATAAAACCACCAAAAGACGTTACTGTGTCATTGAAAGAGCTGATATCGTTATCGTCATTTTGTGAATCTGTAAAAAGTCCCTTGTCATTTGTGGTACGCAACCCAGGGGATCCGGTAATAGTTGTTTTTGGAGAGGCGGTCGATATAGCTGATAACACAATAGGTGAGATTAGCATACACCAAATTATCTCCGACGCTGCAACCCGCAAAAACGGAGACCCTTACGATAACCTGTTGCTGACGTCACCAAATAAAGCCTGGAGTGGCTCCCTATGGCTGAGCTCTATACAACAAACTGCTGATGCCCCGGAAGAACCTCAAGAGGTAGCAGAACCCGAAGAAATTACTATAGAGGAGTCTGAAGAATATAGTTCGAGGACTGTATTACAATCGGAATCTGTACAGGAAGGTTCTGGTGACACTGTCCCTAGGGTGATACATGAGACTTACGAAGAAGACGACACCGTGGACATTGTCGATGGACCTTCACAATTTGGTAATTTGACAAGGAAACAACGTGATCTTATATATAAAACACTCGCACTGGACTTCATGCCACGCCCTAGTTATACATTCAATACGGCTAATAACGGCACTGTAACTGACACACCGCATGAAGACACGCCATTCTATCGTTCTCATGAAAATCCGTTCACTGTGCCTTCTAGAGAACTTAACAGAGGTGAGAGAACTTACGATCAAATTTCTGGGATATGGTGAATTTAAGTGGTGAAGCGGTGCCTCAATTTCACCGGCGCACTCGCAATACTTTGTCTATAAAACTTTTGTTTTTGTGTCTTTGGTGGTCGCTAATCAACAATGGAACCGACGCCTGGCGTTTAGGGCAACCTTTTACGCTGAAATATGCATCATTTAATTACGGCAGGTCCCCCATGGGATTATCTCGTATTTACGCTCAGGTAGACAATATTGATGAACAATCGAATGAAAGCGATGTTGTAGACGATCTTGTGCTTCCTAATAAATACTACAAACGTAGCAAATACTCCAAAGTGGGATTTAAGCATGGGCTATTGAAGAAACTGGAAACACAGGAAGAACGTCTGGCTAGGACATTTAACATCTTTGCACCAATGCCAAAAGAGGAAATGTGCGCGCCGGGTAAGGATGGGCCCGATCTAGAGCTGTTATCAAATGTTGGCAAATATATTAAACACCATGCAACAAAAGAGAAGTTGAAAGCGGAGAAATCGCGTGAAGGTCCTAAAACTAGGGAAGCGTTGAAGAAAACGCCTCCACCAGCGAAAATCTCACCTGTTGTGAGGTGTCCTAATGCGATTCTAATAGACAGAAGCATATTGTTCTCTACGGCATTGGATGAATACATTGTTGTTGGCAAGATACTTTCTCCTCATGGTCTTCGAGGTCATGTTAAGGTCAGGTCACTATGTAGTAACCCTGAGTTAAGGTTGTGCGAGCCGGGTTATCGATTTTTGAAAGTACCGTTCCGTGACGAGAAGGTACTTCCCATAAAAATCGAATATGGGAGGTTGTTTGACGGTGAGAAAACGTATCGTTTGAAGTTGGAGGGTGTGGATACTAGGGACCAGGCAATGCGTTTGAACGGTACTTATATTTCTGTTTCGATCAGAGACGTCCCGCCGTTGGAAGAGGACTGCTATTATTCACGTGATCTGCTTGATTTGAATGTGTATCTATTTAACGATGATAGTAAGACATGTTTAGGTAAGGTGGTTGATTTTTGGCATCGTGAAGACTTGGTGAGCAACCCGAAGTTAGCTAATCTTACCGAGGATCTTATCGAGGTGGAGATGGATATTAAGTTATCTCTTAGAACACTGTTATCACTGACAAAGCGTTCGAAACAGTCGGCGGATGATGAAACATCGGAAAGTACAAAAAGTAAAGGAGTATCACTGGTAACTGACCATGACCTGGATAACGCCGATGAAGTGATCGATGCGGAAGAGGCGTTGATGAACTCTAGCATGATGGGCGTTCAGTATGTGAAATATTACACATGTAGTATCTGTAAGAGAGAGTTCACAAACTATAGCTTAGCTCTGGAACACGATAGGGCTCATGAGGCTAATGCGGTACCTGCTGCCGCTCCACTACCCACGGAGATTGGTACTGTGGGTAGCAGCAAGGGAGACAAGGTATATACACTTGATGAATATTACGAGAAGGGTATAAAACACCCAGTTCGGCGGTTCTATATCCCTCTGATAAAGGAGGAGACTATAAAGTTCGTAGATGTACCTAACAAGAGTATCTATGTTGAAGCGTATACTATCTTGATAGGAGAGGACGGTAACCAAATCTCAGTTTAGTTTAACCGTTCCATCTGAAGTGGTCGAATATATTGAGGTACAATGAATTTTGCGCGTCTTCTCCGAATCTGAAATCCCATTTGAGCGATAGTTGTAGCCAAATGCGATGTGTAATGTGATGTGTCGCATTTGCTGTGTACTCTGTCCTGCGATACTCAACGAGCCCTGAGTGTTTGGTGATGCACTGGGAAATAGTGCCTAGTGTCACTTTCAGCATCATCGCCACGTATTCAGCAGTGACCATTGAGGGTGGTACTCCCCACTCTTGTGAGTTTGGATCTTGTACCACTAGTCTTCTGCAATATTCCACAATGAAGTCGTTCAAGGTGATGACCTTGGTAACCGCTTTGTTATCACAATCGAGTGCTTTCGATGCTGCGCATGTATGAGCCATCGGTTTCTGATGGTCACAATAAACGATATAATGTGGTTTGATATAATCGAATGATACATATGTATGCGCTGACATAGCTTCTTCCGTGATTGGGAATATATTCTTGTTCATGCGTAGCTGTGTCTGTATGGGCGAGTAGTTACTTCTGCTAATAGGCTGAAGTGTCACGAGTCCAGTAAAGAACAATTCAACCATTTGTCGCCCTATGATGTTGTTACAAGATATAGTTTCAGAGGGTAACTCACAGTAGTTCAGATTATTGCGTACAGGCCCACTATGTAGCATGAGGTTGTATGCCGTCTTTCTTGTATAAGTATCGACCGCGTCATTTGACAGCTTCGACGTCTGTGCAAATGTCAATAGCGATTTTATATCAAGATACGAGAATATATTCGACAATATAGCGTGGTGGTCGAACACGTTATCCTTTTCATCTTTCGTGAATAGCATAAGTTGTAGCGGCGATGGTGGCACGGGTGGCGGATCACCTATAACGCAATTATATATAATAGAATTCATATTGCAAACGTACTGCATAATCGGAACAGTTGTTCCCGGAGTATGTCACTATCTACGTTCCTCAGCTCCTCATCTATCGTAAATATTTCCTCGATGATTTCTTCCAACAGCGCGTTACCGTCCACAACCGGTGTCTTTCGCGATGTAACACTACTTTTAGGCGGTGGAGGAGGAACATCAATAAGTCGCTTTGCATTAATAAGTCGACGCAGCAACGGCCGCCTTTGATCGAGTATGTCCCAGAGGATAGCGTGTACCACCTCCACGAATTCCTCATAATCATAGCCTTCATCCTCACCGACAGGGTTTGTTGCGATATTAGAGTCCTTGGACTCAGACCTCGATGCCGCTTGCTGGGCTACCTCGGCCATGATGTGTACACATATATCATCTATACATCAACTAGTGTGTAGGATATATATCTATATAAAACAGCATCAATATCATACCGAAAGCTCTTTATCATTTTACATTTAATTTCGTCATGTTATGATTCGCGCAGCGGGTCCCTTTGGTGACCTCAGGATTATGTCAACCGATTTTCGTATCAAACTCCATCGTTATCTATCATACGTTGATTATCAAAGTAAAAAATCAAAGCTGATTAAACGTAGATGTGCTCCCTGATTTGGGCAACGCTACTAAACACAAAAACAAAACCTTTAATACAAAACCTAGGCACACATATGCTGTTAAATTGGACAAGTTGAATGCATGTGCTTATTAATGGTGATGTCTAGTCATAATATTGTTATAAATGTGACTAGGTAGTAGGATATACTAAGAGATGTCCAGTGGCCATCAACGTTTACATTATAAAAGTCATCTGATTACACGATATTAACGTAGGAATAAGCAAATAAATATGATTAGTACCTATAAATGCCATAAAGGGGCGCATAAGCAATTAAACCGTTCCCTTGGCAGTATCTAGAAGACAACGTGTAAGAAATTGGAATGAAATCATGGAATACCACAGCGACCACTCAACACTGATTGAAATTGATAAAATGTTTCACGGTTTAAAATAAAATATCCCTGATGTTGACGAATTATGGGATAATAGCGCAAAGGGAGTTGTATCACGTTGCCTCAACTCCTTCCACTGTGACCTAATGTGCAGTATGTCAAGTGGTATTGATATTCAGTAAGCTAAATACATCAAGACGATTAGCCAAAAGGTGATGACGTAGTATAGGAAAGGTTTGCGGATGGCTAGGAGGAAGTCATGTATGGCCTTGATGAGTTCTGTGAACAGAGCGTTCCCCTTGACGACCCTTGTTACCTGTTCCAAGAACATTTTACAATCACGCTTTTCGGTACCTTTCAACGCTGCAGCATTACAATATGTAAATCCATATTTATAAAAGAGCGGCAATACCCCGACACATGAAACAATACTTTCACATTTACAGCTGCCGCCATGGTTACCATTTTGTCGGTTTCCTGCTTATATAGTTTGCGGAATGAAAATAAAGTTTGTCTTGGTGAGTCATTCCGAAAGACAGTTAACGAAGGGAGGTGTCATCATCGATGGAGATAATCACTGAAGCCCTAATGCTGATTTAAGGCCCTAAATGTCAATATATGTGGTAGTAATACGGTGAACTGCTGCGATTGTACGTCGAAGCTTCCAAAGCTGTTCGCCGGTTCGGGTCGGAACCTTCCAGGTAGCCTCCAGATCATTTTTCCCATATGTGGGGAATTCCCACAAGATTCTTCGTTTTGCCAGCCTTCCTGAAGATGTCTGAAGCGATCGATGTGGTCGGGGCGGTCCCACGGGTCGTCAGTGGCTGTAGAGTGGGTCCATGCAGAAGGTGAGTAGCACCTGTAATGAGCTATGTGACATCAATTGTTGCGATACACTAGACAGCTTAGTATCTCTAATAATTGTTTGAAGTTACTATTTATCATATAACTTAATTCTAGGTCACTGTTTCATTATCCCAGCTGGACCACGTGTTATGTCTTGGTCATGACTCCAGATACTCTAGACAACTAGTAATGGTAGTATATACCGCTCATCTACGATTTGTAATCTAAACTGAAAACTCATTGAACACAGCGAAAACCATATAACGACTGTTCGACTGTCAATAAGTCAGTAAATAGATCGAAATGCCACGTAAAAGATTAAGCTCATACGTTAATATATTTTTTATCAACATGAAAAAGTATTATGAATTTTCTATTTAAGAACATTATTTTCTGTTAGCACAGCGTCATTAGTGTGCTTGAGAGGTTCTTGAGTTTGGTTGCGTCTAAATCGCATAAATCATCAAATAAATGGCCAAACAGCTCATCTGTTTGGTGTTTCATATACACTGGTTGTGTGAGCACGTCTAAAATATCGGTGTCCACATACTGCTGTAACGTTTTAACTAGAAGTTCCGAACAATTGCTTATTTCAGCGTCGGTTTCATCTACTAGTAGCCACGCATGTTCATCTTCTACCTCTTGATTATGTACGGCCAGTTTCCGTATCACGCTGTATATGGCGAGTGTAACTATACTAGGTCTGAATTTATGGAAGCTGTCGTCTACATAAGCAATCCTTGCCAGTATAGCAGCCAGATTTTGATACAGATTATGTTCCGACGGTGATTGGGAATATTGAAAATCTGTAGTCGATAGTATCAGATCCTGTACCATATGGCAGGGGAAGGGTGTTGTGAGTTTATAGTCCAAAACGAAATAAATATCAAACATAAACGACATGATGATGGAAAGTGACATCGATCTATTTTCTCGAATAAATTTAGCCGCGTCCCTTGTTTTCGTGAACGCATGGCTAATACTTTCCCATGTGACTAATAGAGCTTTAACTGATGTATTTGACAATCCGTTGTACCGATCTGCTATGAAGAAGCAAGCCGCGGCAACAAAATTGTATACGATAGATAGTTTTATTTTTGAGCCAAAACGATACTCTCCCGCTGCATCATCGCTATTTTCCTCATAACAAGAGTCTGCATCCGCGCTATTGTCATCACTGAATGGATTCTGTTGCATGGTCGACTTTCTTGAAACGAATGCATCATCCGATAGATATTTGAAGCACAACTTGATAAGATTATCGTGTTTATATTTTTCCTTTAGCCCTTTTGTAACACTTGAGGCATCCAATGACGCGACGTCGGCAGCGCTCAGGCTGTTCGCCAGTGATCCCTGTTTAGAGCTCAGCCCACTCGACGGCCCATCTATATGTGCTGTGGTGATTGACACAAGTCTATCCATGGATGATTTGTGTTTTACCATATATCTATCGAGGAGATTCACTGCGAGTGGTATGATTCCTTTCTGTATCTCATTGATTCTGGTTTCCCTGCTGGTTGATATGATGCATACAACTAGTGGTATCCTGCATTCCGCGAATTCTTCGCAATCTGGGAGGCTGAGGTACTCGCCATGATGCACGGAATCTGCAATGTGACAATCTGCGAAGAACCCTGACCTCGCATACCTAGTATATATAGACCTATCTATGCCCCAGTCGTCCGCTTCCATATAAACATCATCTGATGTTATAGCATTGAACAAGTGCCAGAAAGGTCTCGGTTGTTCGAACCTATAGCTGGCGATTGTTGTTGCTGATAATTGTGCTGGTTCTATATTTTCATCATCCCTGGGCCCATACAATAGTGCTTCTAGGTTGATGCCTTCGTTAATATCTCCTAATGATATTGTAGGTCTGTTCTTTAGATCAACGGAATCTGCATATATAACGTCATCATATAGGCCTTTTCTGTGGTGTACAGTTTCTATGCCTGTTTCGCTATCTGCATGAGAGCGTACTGAGTGAAACTGATGTCTGGGAGTATTTGCGCAGCTATCCGTTTCTGCTTGACAGTTATTTGTATGAGTGATGTCACGTACTTTGTCTTGTAGCTCTGTGGAACGCCATGTTCTTAAAGATTCTTTTATTGTTAGGGGGCATTCTGCTGTGTTCCTTCGTACAATGCTTTGTTCAAGAATTTCTTTTTCCATGAGTGTTTCTGTCACCTTTGGATTTCCCGTGTTATAGCTCATCGGTTCAGTGGTTGTGGAGTGTTGCCGTTGCCTCATTCTATTTTATGATACACACATCAACAGCGGTCAGTGTGACGTCGTTTCCAAATATCCTATATATGTCCTTATCAATTTATTTTCAGTGTAATTAAGTAACACATGAGAGTTTTTCTTGTATAAGTTTTGTAGACAAGGATTATATACGACTTGAGTGGCTGGGCTTCGTGAGTGCGTTGGTTGTCATCGGACACACACAGCTACTCACTTTGTTATTTTTGCGTGTATATATTCGCTTTGGTTGTCAGCCTTGTGTATCCTGTGTTTGTATGCGTGTGGCGATTGATCCTATTGACAACGACCATTCATCCGTGGGCGTTACGCATGGAATCATACGACAACCACATAGCACATGACATTGAGTTGTCGTTTTCTGTCTTCTAGGTGTCATTCCTGCCGTGTGTAAATTTATGGTACTTTGAATATAAATATGTAATGTTTTATGAACTTTTATTCATTACGCCATCCTTGGCTAGCATCTTAGCTGCCTGTCTACCTAGCCATGTGGCCCCCTGAGTTCCATAAGATACGGGTCGCGTTTGTTCCATAATTTTTTATAAAATAGAACTGATAATATCTAGTGTGGGCTGCGATAATAATTTCTTCACACATTTCACTCTGTGACATGTCAGCTATTTCTCGCTGCCGTGTCCGCCTGACGTGAAGAAATCCATAATTTCTCGAATCCGCTATTTTTTCTCCGGGTTTCAACAACGGGTTTCACTATAATATCTACACTCTTTTTCAACCGCTTTCAGCAAAAAATTTTACTGATGACCGTATATCCATTTTTACCTATCCTCATAAGTGAATTTCGCAAGCTCCGACATATTCATCCTGCCCCTTTCAAATTATATACCGTAATATTTTTAATGTACATATATGCATATTTTTTCAATGGCAGTTTACCACTTTCCAATATCCACTCTCGTTCTATGGAATAATTCATGATACATTAACGAACCCTTCGTTCGCCGAGTGGACTATAGAAATTAAAAATAAATAATGTACAATATTCTTCGAAGAAGTTTTATATAATGTGCTAACAATCCGATAAACTTCCATGATTCCAACGGATCACGGCACACCGCACCCAACCCACCCTATATATACACATCTATTCATTTGTGATCACAATTAATTTGGTTGACGTTTTGGTTTATTGCCATGTGGTCCTGCCATCGACAAAATTTCCCCATTCATCGTTTCCAGTTGCCATGACCTTCCAGTCGGAACCTGGGCGTGCACCAGGCATCTGGCTCCAGTCACCTTCTACGTTAGGAGGCATGGGTGGACGAAGGGCGGACATGGGTTCCTCACGTTTCTGTTCTTCAGCCTTCATTTCCAACTGCTCGGCATCCCTCCAGAAGAAGGTGTCTACCATAATGTCCCATGGCATATGCCTCTGGATTTGGTTACGAAGGTAGAGTACCTCACGTGCCAAGAGCCAGTACATGAGTGCAATGGACTTCTTTCCCTTGTTGTTGCATGGGATAGCAATGTCAACAAACTGCAGAGGGGAATCAGTGTCACAAAGGGCGATGACCGGGAGGCTGACGTAGGAGGATTCCTTGAGTGCCTGAGCGTCCGTCCTAGGATCGGTAGCGATCATAAGTCTTGGTTCAATGAACTTTTGGGTGATCTGGTTGGTAAGTGTACCAGGTACCCAGCTACCAGCGATCGGTTGTGATCCAACGTAGTGTGAGAACTTCAGGATCGCCCTGCTACCGTATGGCCTTGCTGATACCACTACGACTTCAGCGGGGTTAGTAACGGCAACAATGGCCCTGGCTGCCAATTTGACTTTCTTGAGGGTCCAGGAAAGGTCAATCAAATGTACACCCTCCTGTGTTCTTGTGAAGACATATTTTCTCATCTTGTTCTCGACATTCTTGGTTCCGATGTGGACCTAGGCATGTTTTAGTCATGTTAAAGAAGTTCACAAATTACACCATGTAGAAACACCCACAGCATAAAACCTTGCGGTTATGATACGTAACACCCCTGGCCTACGTAGGACAGCTGGGCCGAAAAAGGTCACGGACGAAAGCGCCCAGCGTCGTTGTCAACTGGCCTTCAAGCGTTAGCCGCCAATTCATGGCAGATTATTCATGTAAATCAACACATAGTTGATATCAATAGGTATATGAATGCTTACCTTGCAGGTCAACATCATTCTGATGCTGTCTTCATCGGGGGTGAGTTCCGCTTGAGTGGTATTTTGAACCATTTTGACTACCAAAAGGCTAATTCCTGGTTAATCAATTGTTTGATGTCTAGGTGTACCGTTATAGGTCTATTTTGGGTTGGTACGTTTCGATTTTGTATCGCGAAACCTCACCCAACTACTTTATGACCCAGATTGACAATGGTTAGGTCACTTCAGCTTCAATTTTCCTATTGTAGCTGAACCGTATATATGTCTATAATCCTATTACGGCACCGTTAATATGAAGTTGTGATTTAGGTCGTTGTTTTAGGGGTTCCCAGGGCACGCTACGCCAGTCGCCCCACCAGGCATTGGTGTTGCCATCTCTAGGCCAATTGCTACACAGTAGACTTAAGACATGTATTTTATCGGCGCAATGTGTATAAGATGTGTAATTAGGTTATTCGAGTAGTTAAATAACGCTTTTGCGTTTGTGCATTTACCGGGTAAATTTCATCCGGAGCACATTGCGCTTTCGGTTTAGCTCTTTTAGCAGTGCAACTGCCCAAATAGCTCCAATTGAAGAGTGGAATCGGCCGTTAGTCCGGTCTTTGATTGCGCTATAGCATATTCGCTGCGACCTAGAAGGGACATATTATTTATTTCACCTTCTATTTTTTTTGTTTTCATTTTAATTGTTGGCTTATTATCGCCAATCGTTTGCGTCTCCAACTGTTTGCTTCGACGCATTAATATCATCTTCGCTTTTGCGAAACTCATAGTCCTGAGCAATGTCTTGCCGTATGCCCAGCACGGGGGTCGTCATGATTATCTGCCATTATATAACTTATGGAATGTTGCTAACATACCGTCTGAGCTTTCACCGTCGTATTGTCGGCGTTTGTTGTATATGCAGCAGCATTTGCTGTTTTTCCTTTGTAGACCCTCGTTATCTATTGTACCCTCTTGCCAGGTTACCCTCCTGGTATCTGGTACCCTGAGAATACGAAGGTTGGCCTCTAGGACTACCGGTGTCCGCTGTTCACGTGCCGATGTCACTGTCGGCGTAATGACCATAGTGGTTGTCTGTGGTCTCTCCATAGTTCCTGATTTGACGTATGAAGTAACGGCCTCTTTTGTCACTTCAATAGGAATATTAAAATGATTGTGATAAGTCTCACTATGTTTTCTTGAGACCAATTAATAGCAGACAGGTGACGCTGCTGGGACGCGTCAATCAATACTGCTAGGAACTAATATCAAATACTCCTTCGCTGCGATTCGCACCGTCATCCTTCGCCTTACGTAATTCCGATATGGCTTTGTAATGCGACTATGACTATCTAGCGTCTAGTTGATTGTGTATGATTCGCAGCGTGATATGAAATAAACAACGTCGGGGCAGTGTCCTCGCGGTGTCACGAATGTTTAAATTTGAAAATAATTTGAAAATGTATTTGTAGATTTATTATTGTGGCAACAAGTGATCCCCCGCCACCTGCATCTCACATCACATGGGCTCGCGTGGAGGGTCTGTAAATCCATAGTATATAGAAAGTTTGTTTCTACATAATTATTGCGGTAATAACCTATATATATTTGGTTAACCGCACATATTGCTCACCGCTGTCGCTGTATTGCAGTCGACACGGTGGTCGCCTTTAATCTCTGTAAGGTCTAATTAACATCGACCATGGCGAGTTCTGGATTATTTCGTGCATCACGCAAATTGCACAACGGAAAACATCTGTTTCTTGGTATGTATCGATGTTCATAGCAATGTGTTTTGGACCTATCGTGACTTTTCTGTTGATCTGTGTGGATTGGTGTAGCACCTGGCATATTACACATTTTGCATGGATATTTCACTTCCAGTGGCTAATATACCTCATAAGTGTGTGTATTATCCATTGTCAATTGTGTATTTTTGGTAATGTATTTCAATTTGTTATCCAAACTAATTTTCAATTTTAGGTAACTATCGTGACTTTGGTCTATGGGAATTCGTAGCACCGCCTCGTCTACAACATGTAATCGTGCCTGTTGAGAAGGAGGTCGGCGTGCGCAGCGCATTGTCACCTGAGTGTGGATCCGTCTTCATGCATATGAAGGACCCACTTGCTCACCTTAATGGTGACCTGCCATCTAAACCTTTAGTAACTGCGGATGACCTCACCCCTGAAGGTAAATATCTGAGGGGTTCGGGGTTACATGGACCTGAGAGGACCGATGTTACAAGACTTGTATTATACAACAGGCTGAAGGCCCGCCAATTACAACGTATAGTACCTAACCATCATGAAGCTGAAGAAGACCACAAATTGGTCTGGTGTTCAATTTGGTTCACCATTTCGTCTACCATCGCATTACACTACATGTACAAGTACGGTCTAGATTACAGTACCGTACACGAGCATTACCCCTGGACTCCAGCACGCACCGATGGAACACGTGGTCCGGGTCATATGTACTGGTTGTTCTATTGATCATCATTAAAACTATAATGAATCTTGTATAATGTATCTCCGTTACATAAAAAAAGATACTGGTGTTGGTCTCCTGACCTTGCCATTATCATCATATTATCAGTATATTTTGGCTGCACATTGCCAATTATTAAAATGTCGCAATTGACTGCAAGGCTAAAAAAGCAGAAGGATGATGAATTGAGTAAAGAGAAGGTATGTTGAGTCGCGAAGATGCCTTCATTGAGCTCCCTTCGGTGGTTTCAGCCAACCGATCTCGTTCACTCTCGTTCTCAACCTTCTATAGGAACGTCTAGAGACAGCACGTATATATGCGGAATATGTGCGTGATTTCGAGGGCCCAGGAGCATCTGCAGCTGCTGGTGGTGGAGTACGCTTTGTGAAGAGTGGAGAAACTGCCGTTGAACCAACAGAAACGTTTATAAAAAACCTTACAGTGGCTGGTGTATTCGATACCAAGGTATATACGGTCACCAATAACAGTTGTAACGTTACTGTTCAGGATGGAGAAGGTCAATCTGATACTCCGATAGACGAGCATAGCGCTGAATACTTGAGATTTGTGGCACCTGTCCCTGCGTCCACGCATAAACGGCATCCAACCACTGGCAAGACACGAGAAATTGATGCTTTTATACAGGGTACTTTGGTTTTAGATATCATATGACCATTTTGTAGAGTTGAAGGAGAAGCAGCAGCGTCAAGAAGAGAAAAAGGCGTTACGACGACGGTTACAGTCATCTGGTGGTACCTCTAGGACCCAAGATGCTGGTAGAAGTGCTGGTGATAGGGTCGTTGTCGGCCGTTCCTCAGTTCCCACAAAGACCCTTTACGTTGCTAACCTCCCATCGGGTGTATGTTACCACTTAATTACATTGCATGAATTATAGGTTAACGAGCGTAATTTAGAGCATATTTTCGTCAATTTCGGTCGTATCGAGAGGATAAGTAGATTTCATGGTGACGGCTCGATTTGTGGCCTTGTGACTTTTGAGAGTTCGACCGATGCACTATGTGCTAAGGAGACGTTGGATGGTTCCGATATATTGGGACGTCGTTGTAAAATAAGTTGGGGGAATGACGCAACTACGGCATCAGCAACTGAAAGACACGATCAATCGCATATTGGACATCCCCAAGGAGATGTCACACAGAGTTGGAAATTACCACCTATCCTAGCCGACCCCGTAAGTTGTGTCTAAGTATCATCATATGGCCGTAGCGTGGAGTGACTGTTCAGGTTCCTCATCCACCTGCGAGACGTGCGGTGATAGACCTAATGGCACGTTATGTAGCAGAGGTATGTCTCTATATGTACGTTATATTTTCTTTATTTGTATTTTCAGGGTGGTAGCGATTTCGAGGCTATGATAATGGAAAATGAGTCGCCTGATGGCTTATTCAGGTTCCTATTTGACCATACTTCCAGCGATCACGTTTACTACCGTTGGAAGGTGTACTCGCTGCTTCAGGGTGACGTGGAGGATACTTGGCGCACGGAGCCTTTCCATATGATGGAGGGTGGTTTATTATGGCATCCTCCTGCAGTATCCGGTCTGTCAAATGCTCCTCTTAACCCTAAAGGTGTCCCGGGCGTTGAGAGCGTATCGCAAAATGGTCGTGTGCCTTTACAAGATTTTGATTTGGAACGTTTACAGCAGCTTTTACGTGACGCTTGTACGACCCGTGGTTATATCGCGGAGGCTATGATGTTCATTATAAACCATGGCGAATCTGCTTACCAGGTGACTGATTGTCTAATAGACTCTATCATTGAAGATACGCCGACGGTCGATAAGAAGGTATGTCCCATATTATCGTTAAGATATATTGATTTCAGATAAGTCGTCTTTACATTTTAAGTGATGTTTTGTATAACACATCTGCCTCCCACCAGTTTGCTTGGATATACCGTAATAGTTTTGAGAAGCGTATCCCTGAGGTATTTGCGAACTTTCGGGAGTTCATGAAACGCTCGAGGAGCAAGATAGCTGTACAGGAGTTACTGAACTGTGTTAGGCGTACGCTTCCAGCATGGCACCAGTGGAATGCGTATCCACCGGAATACCTCTATGGTTTGGAATGTGCGCTTTGGGGTGTTGAAAGCACATCATTTGCTCCGTTGCCATATTTCAACGAGCATCGTGAATATGTAGATTCTGCTTATGATGGTGACGAGATTGAGTATTTTGAGGTCCTGTGCAAGTTTCCGTATAAGTGGCGTCAATCTGCATATGTAAGTGTTTTTGTTTGCATCCTGAGTATATGATGGTTCAGCGTTACCTTATGATGCGTTTAAAGCAATTGAGACAGTTATGTTTGACACGTGGTCTCCTGGTTGTACCTTTTAGTCGTAGCGCGTTGGTAACTAGGCTAATAATTTACGACATGTATGTTGAGTCCAAGGAGGAGGAGCCGCCGCTACAGGAGGATCAGTACGAATGTCAGGTTGCTCCTTCATGTTCTCCCCCCAGTACAGGAGTTTCAGTGATCAATGATGTCACACCACCCAACCTACAGCCTATTTGTGCAGATGTGGTTTATGATGAATGTAGCGACATGGAATCGGTTACCGAAGAGTTGGTTGAGTCTGCTCCGTCACCGGTACAGGTGTCGTCTGTGGAGCCACCTGTACCTTTGGATGGCTTACAACCACCAGATCAAGATGTGTCATCACCCCTGCAGGCCACCGCCGGGGGTGATGACGACGATATCGAAGATATGTTTGCCGCCGAAAACTAGCGCCACAATATAAATAGACTATATAATGTATATGCAAGTAAAAAGTGTTATAGTTCAATGAACATATGTTCTTTTCAAGCAGCGTTAAGTGCGACGGTCATTCCACATCTACCGCAGTAAGTGCGGTCGTGGTGTGAGGCCATGAATACTCCGCGTCCACAAGTGTTTGCGGGACATTCTTTAAGTAGCCTGACTACCTTGTCACCTTCTACTTTGTAGTATTTGAGTACAGATAGCTTGACTTTCTTCTTCTTGTGTTTGATTTTCTTTGGTGTGGTATGTTGTTTCTTCTTACGTTTTTTACCACCACCACATACATCGATGTGCTGTACAAGTTCGATAGTGGTTCCTTCTGTGATGAGTTCGTTGACTAGCACATCGTCTTCGGCCTCATGGAGTCCGGCCCATAGCGATTGGGCACATTGTTCGAGTGCGTATAGTTTGGCAATTCTGTCCTTTACATCGGCTACGGTTTCATTGTTGTCGATGTCTAACACAGCGGTGTTGCCGTTGAAGAGTTTGATGAAAACCTGAGTGACCTCCATGTTGGGTAGAGTCCGATAGCTCAATATGGGTTCAGCTTTATTATTTTAAGCAGACCCAAACATGAGCTTATTGTAATATTTTTATGCTGAGGTGTCGTGTGTTCTCTTTTCCAAGGCCTCGTGGAGCCCTGGTCGTGTGGTGGTTATTATGGGTGGGGAAGGGTACACCGGAGATGGTACGTAATTTCACAGTGTTCCTATTTTCAACGCCAAATGTTTGAAATTATAAACATTTATGATATTTCTAGGGCGAATACAAGTAGAAGGTAGATGACGTTGATTCTCTGGTATCCCACCTTGCCAGTACGCCTCCACACTAATACAGAGGGCCACATCGATGGCTCTCATCGTATATCGCATCCTCATTCTAATGTTTATTTTATGGCACAAAATGAGTCCATTTTATAGACTGTAGCTGCCGGTGTGCTCCAGGTATTGCTTCACCGGCGCTCCAATTACCTAATACTAACACTGATTACTAAATCCAAATGTATACTGTCACCTACTCACTCTCTGAATCTTAACCGCAAATTTTGATAAGTATGTGTTATGCACAGCGCTTGCTATAGCTCGTGGTATGTACCACGACACAGTGTCGGTACTTTACCCGCTTCCATTTATTCTGTATCCCGGGCTGGCGTCTATTTATATTATTCTTGATTAATATATGTCATGTGTGCAATATTTAATAGATAGGTGTATTCATATTCCGTTTAGACGTATTGCATCGTTTATTTAAGGCACTGTATAGACAAATTGTGGCCATTATGTCACCAATATCGGCATTATAACAGTATATGTAGCCGATTGGTTATTTTAGCTTTGGCGAAAGGTCCAATTACTTTCTCTCGTCCCTTTGCTGTTATTACCTAGGCACGATGACAGACTACTGGGTCTCGACGAAGAAGCATTACTGTGAAGTATGCCGCTGTTGGATCACGGGTTCTGCTCTGGTTTGTCATGAATCGTGATGTTTAATCTGAGTTGTAGAATATCAAGAATCATGAATCAAGTGCTCGTCATATTTCCGAGCTTCGCAAAAAATTGATTGAATCGCATCGACGTCAGGTGGCTAAGAAGGAACAGGATGACTTTGAAGCTGAAGAAATTGCCAGATTAAATAGTGTGACAATTGATGGTCCGGCAATTAATGAAACCAGTACAAGTAGTAGTTTGCCGAGCAGTTCTCTGTTCAGACATAACCGTGTATTGAACCCGCCAGTTGACAAGGAGAGGGAACAACAACGTTTAATGGCAGCTTTATCCAGGGCGTTGTCTGGGCAACCACAAGATGATCCCGAAACTAATCGGAATACAAGTTAGTTGTATTTTGTGCAATGTCATGACAGTTTCAGCATGGATGGCATTTATTGATCAAGAAGACGGTACTTTGACGTACTACAACAATGTAACTGGTGTGAAGACAAAAGTTCGTCCACGAGATTTTGATGGCGTTCTGCCAACGACCTCAAGCTCTCTTACATCAAGTAGGTTCAGCTATAATCCATACATAGTTGACAGATTGGGCACTAAAATATGATCCTACAAAGCAGGCTAAGTATTACCAGAATCTTGCAACTGGAGAGATAAGGTGGATAGATCAGCCTAGTTCAGGAACGACATCAAGACATTCTGAAAATGATCGTAAACTTCCTTTATCAACACTTGCTATCAAGACGGAACATGTTTCATCGGAGCAATCAAGTTCCAAGTCACCATCGCAAATACGTATCAAGTTGGAACCTAAAGATGATGATTCGGTGTCTGTACCTGTTCAGGTTAAACGTGAGCCTGAGGATGAGCCCAGTGTACCGCATACTGAATCTCGGCGTGAAGAGCCACCTAAACAGTATGCAGCACCTGAGATTGGCGAATGGGAGGTTGTTAAACCGGAAGACAGTGTATTTTCGCATTCCATAGTTTCAATTGAACCTTACCTTGAACCTCCCGCGGCCCCTGTTCGTGAACCTGATATATTTGACGTAATCAGGGAGGCTACCTATGAGACCCCGTTATTGAATGTGGACGATATGCAGTTACAGGAGAAGCAGGTTTTCTTTAAGCATAAGAATGTGAGTTTTCTGGCATATAGACCCCCCCCATTCATAGTTATTGCAGTTAGAAGGAACTGACCCTGCCGATGCTCCGGTACAGTTCGCTAAACGCAAGTTACCAAAGAAGAAATGATGCTGCTGTGCCGATTCATCTGACAAATGTTTCACCATTCGTACTTGTATGGCTTCAATTACATATCGCGAATGTAGTATTTTAGACCTGTATAGGTTAACATCTCCAGATAGTGTATGGATCACTGTGTGTTATCTATATTGTTCCGGTTTACCGGTATATACACCTTTTTAAATATCCGGAATGTATATTTGGTAAATATAATAGTGTCAAATGTGATATGTGTTCCGTGTAGTCGGTGATTTGCCGTGGCATGATTTGGGGTCTACACATTACCTCACGTCGAGGTTTATAACCAAGATTCCATGGTTAACCATTTGTACTCAGCCAATATTACCTAATGGACGTTGTTGAGGTGAAACCTGCCGGTGCTTTACAGGCTGTGAGAAGGCGACCCTTGGAGCGGCGTCCGTTATACGTTCACGAGGGAGTAATAGCACGTCTTGAAACCTATGAGCGTAAGAGAGAGTCTTTACGAGGTTAGTGATAGTTTCTAATGCGGAATACTACCATTTCATATGACACTTACTATTCCATCACATCTTCATGTTACTTTTTAGTTGTAACATTGAATCGATAGTTTTGATTATATTTCTCAGGATCAGGACTGCAATATGTACTTCGTAATCTGAATCAACATTGTAAACAGCTAAGTCCAGAACGGTTACTGGAAGCTCTTCGAATACTAAGTGAAAACCAACTTTTCGATCGGCGGACTTTGTACAATCTGTACGAAACCATCGCGCTAAACGTGCTCTATTTCACACCACAGCAACACCGTGTACTCTTACAGTGTATAGGTAAATGTTTGGCATACACGGTTCAAGGTACAAAGCTGCCTAGATCTAAAGAATGTGAATTTATAGTATCACAGCTCAACCTTGTATTAGACCGTAAAACAGAACAGAGTGCCGTGTCTAATGGTTCAGAATTGTTTGATCCATGTAAAGAAGGGTTGAACTCTGTAACAACACTGGCGGTCACTTCAGCTCCAACAAGTGATATTGACGTTGCTACGATATCCATTGGAGATTTTGATGGAGGGCCAGTTCCACTCTCTGAATTAAATAGGCTGAGTTATGATATAGTACGTAAAATATCGGCTATTTACAACGACACTGGGCAGCCGTATCGCCGCGGAGTTATCTCTGATTTGGTTGATATACTGTGTCTGAATCTCAGAATACTTTTGAAGCTATTCCCTGCTATGGATATTCCAAAAGTGCACATATTGGAATGTACGAAGGCCATATGTAACCAGTTTGACCTTCTATATGTTGGCCGTTTCGAAAGTTCTCAAGTTCTAATTGAAGAGCTGCTGTCATATGGCAATATTGTGGCTGATGCTATTTCAATTCTACTCTTGAACACATTTCCAAAACTGATACATAGTACATATATGCCACGTGGTCTAACTTCGGATGTGACATCAGTTTCAAATTATCTTAAATTGGACCTGCTTCGTGATTTGAAGAAAGTAGAGTCAGCGTACATCGCAGGTGATACGCTCTTATTTAACATGATGTCTGACAGTTTCTACAGTTTTGTGAAACAATCTCCGAAGAAGGATGAATATACGTTAAGTTTAGAAACTCAACAGTTCATTATAGATATGAAGCAGCTCTGGTGCCAATTGGATCGGTTCTGCAATTTTGTCGTGTCATTAAACCATGGTTGCAAGGATGACCTCTTAAGGCTTTTGTCATTACATGCTGCCTTGAAAAAGGTTCTTGGCCTGTTTGACAACCATGGCCAATTGGTGAAGGGAGAACAGCGTTATTGCCCCAACGACCTTTATTCTAGTTCATTGGACACAATGGGTTGTATCCAAGATATAAGTGCTAAATCAGTATGCTACTTTCTGGGTATACTGTCGGAAAATCGCGTGACCACTTGCAACCAGATTGACCAACGTATCGGTGATACTCTGCGTCAATGTTTCTACAAGATTCAGAACAACTGCAAACCTTTGACCACTGCAGATATACTCTATGTAGGTTTTTTCACGTTCCAGTGCTTATTATGTTCTAGGTACTGGAAAGTTGCTATTACAGGTTTGGATATCTACACCATTACGCTGCACGTGTGATGTTGAATACGGCAATGTCACGCCATGTTGTTACCCATATGGATACAGTATTGGCGGCCAACATGCATCTGTTGTGTCTCACTATCCCTTATAACATGGTTACATATGTTGACCCCAAGAGTTTTCTACGTGTTACGTCTTACGTGGAGAGTATTGGGATCGGTGACGAGCATTTTGGCAGTAGCGTATCAAAAGTTCCCAATAGATATTATGGATGTGCTGTGGAGCCCACAGCAAGGCCACGTCAACATGACCACTTTCCCTTGGCACATTTTGATAGGCGTATGTACCGTAACAGATGCCTCTGCAGCAGCTACAATTACAGTTTATCCAAGGTTCAGCAGCCGTTACGCAAAGCCGTAACTGGCAACACTGCCAGTAGCAAAGTATGTGCGACATACCTTTACAGGATCTGGGAGGTACTGCATCCAGATCGCCTTAGAAAGGTCATGTCACTCGTCCATTAGTCTAAGAGGTTATGTATAAGTTATTGGGCAGATGAAGGTCATGACTACGGTGAATAGTATCGTAGATGTTGTACGACATGGGTCATGTGTCTTTTAACAATTGGTGCAGTCATAGAGATTAATATCAGTATATTTGGCATTGAATTCACTGTATTGTACCGATTAATATCATGATATATATCTTGCAGTAGTTAGCGATTATATTTTCTACTACACATCCATAGCTGCAACCTGCGATGCATCTTGTGAGGTGTTGCCCTCCCTGCACGTCTCCGTTGATTTGAATTTTCCCGTTTTATTCTATATTTCACCGCGTGAATAGCGTCACGCGACGCGGTGTTTACATGGGACCCGGTCCCAGCCATTAGTTGAGTAATAGAGTAGCCCTGGCGCGCGGCATATGTCGCCTTTTGGGCTTGAGATGTCAATACTCATTGCGGAGTTACACCTTTAGGTACATATCGCCATATCTGGTCTATAGTTCTTGAAAATGGCGTTCAATCCACCGGACTATTTGTCAATACCCGGAGGTAGGTATATGCAAAAAATATGATTAAAAATATATGTAGGAGATGGCTCCGTTCCTGCAAGCCAATCCATGCGCAACCCCTTACTAAGACCACTTGAAGGTAGCGAACTTGGTGCTACATTTTTGAAACATCAAGAGGTATCTTCATTCTTAAAAGGTGCGCAACCAGGACGTATGGTTGGTGAGGTACTTGGGATGTGTCCTGCAAAGGAGATACGCCAAAAGTTGGAAATGAACACTGCTAGTGATCTAGAACGTGCATCAAGTTCTAAGATTAACCCACGGTTAGCATTAAAAAGCTTTCAAAGATCAGATGCAAGTAAAGTATTCAAACCAGAAGAAACAAGACCAGCAGTATGGTGCCGTCGTACAATATTCAATATTTTGTGCTACTATGTAGATGCAGACCTTATACGGAAGCCATACCTAATGTCGAAGAACTTCTCATACCTTGATGTCTACAATTTCTTGAGGGACCGGCTTCGTAGCATATGGCAGGATTTGACGGTACAACATTGCGCTAAACATCGGGCATATATCGAGTGCTTCGAGATAAGTATCCGGTTCCTAATCTACTCGAATGAAGTGTTATGTGAAAATGAGGAATATGACATTGCGCAGAATCGGGGGCTGATGAATACATGCCTCGACAAACTAATGGAAGGATATGAAGCTGTACATAAATATAAGACTTTGAGGCAATCTAAACGTCATACGGCATTGTGTTCCGATAAATATCCGAACTATAACGAAGTTATGGATGTTTTGGTATACAGTTCACCTCATGAACCAGAGTTTTGGGGATACAGACTCTTGATGCATATTCCACAGTTACTTTTACCGGGTGGTTCTGCAACATTCTGTGATATTAGACAGCGTATGCCACCGGAGTTGCGCGAAAATGCGTTGGTGCGATTTGCTATCGAGGTTTGCCATTCGGCAGCAGCAGGTAATTTATACCGTTATTTCACACTCATGAGAGCTGAAGAGTGCCCGGCATTATATGCTGCACTTATGAATAGGTTTGCTATATGTTTACGTGTCCAATTTCTAGAGACCTTGGTTACACGTAAAATAGCAAAACGACATGTTAATCCATTGGATATCGATACTTTTAATGCCCTGTTTGGATTTGAAGGCGAACCTCCATCAAATGCTGAAAAGATGCTTACAAAGTATGATATAACTGTATATTCAACGGATGATAAAAAGTTTCTGGATCTAGAAACTGTTAATGCAAATCAATTAGGATACGATAGAGCGTTACTACAGAAACTTACAAACAAATTCCAAACAAGTAGTAGTATTGTTCGTGGTAAACTTGATAGTTTCGAATCACGACAGCTCGTTTTTGACCCGGATTTTGAATATCCAGCTGGAACAGGCCCTGACACATGTGGTACGCCGTTTGTTCCCGAGGAGCCGGTGGAAAAGGCACCTGTAACTACAACATCACCAAATATTGCTGGATTTGGTATGGGCACGTTCCAAGGTTTCAAGCCGTTACCAATACCCGGTGGGAATAATATGGCTATCCCTGCAACTGGGTTCATGTCCAAAGTGACGCCTTCAGGGTTCGAGGCGCCGGTATTTGGTACATCTGGGTTTGCTTTCGGGTCCGCCTCAACCAATACCGAATCTAAACCGTTCACTTTGTTTGGCTTCTCTACACCGGTTACTGAAGTTAAACCTGCGACAACGGATACCACGCCGCAAAAAACATTCGGTAACATATTCGGTACCGCTTCTAGTATCACTAATGTAAACCCATTTGCCGCGGTTTCCACGGTTGATGGAAAATCACCAGTCAAACCGTTCAGTTTTGGGCCAATTTTCGGTACAGTGGCAAAAGATAGCAACCCTTTTGCTTTCACCCCGCCATCGGGGTCTTCGGGTTTCGATGTTAACCCTTTCGGTGCTGTTTCGACGTCACCGGATGTTGCTGTGAAACAAAGCGTTGCTACGTTGTCAACAAACGAAGATGGAGATACTCCAAAACCATTTTCCTTTTTGCAATCAAAACCCATTGGGAGCGAGGGTATCATGCCACTATTTTCACCACCCGTACAAGAGGCTGCCACAAAGCAGCCTCCATTGCCATTATTCTCCATACCGAAGAATGATGATATAGCGAAACCGGCGGATGATAGAGTCCAACCATCGGAGAACATCGACTCGGTGGAACCTATTTCTAAAAGTCGTGTTCCAACAGTGAGTGAAACAGAGAAAACGGAACCGCCGCTGTTTCCATCAGTTGCTCTAGATACTAATGATGATCAATCCACCCCTGTTGTATCAAGCAGTGGTACCACAGGGTTGTTTGGTGTGCCTAAGGTTACATTCGGTATCCCGGAGAGTAAGTCAGGGCACAAGGATAAGCCAGAGACGTTATCGGCGGTGTCTAAGCCCTTGCCTGCACCGAAGCCAACGACCACTGCTAAAAAGTTAGTGGTTTCGATAACACAACCGGTTGTTGAAAGTGTGATGAAACGATACCAACGATATAAGTCACTGAAGCATGTTAAGGTGAAGAAACCTAAAGTGAGCCGTGATATCAACGTAGCACGTATATCTGGTACTTCACAGTTGCCTTCTGGGTACCGTGTACTATCCAATTTCCGTGCTATAGTTGCTTCTATAATCAAGAGTGTTTTAGGCGGTGGGAAAGTATCGTCCTCTCAGGACGAACGGCCATTAAACAGCTGTGTATCAAATCCGCATACCAAGCGTCGATGTCGTCGTAGTATAATGTCACCTACTTCCGATGCCGATGAGAGTTTGAAGGGTAGCGAAAATGTTGAGATGTTATCTGCGGTACCAAGGGTTCAATTCCAAAACTATACGAGTGAATTAAGTTTACGGGATGTTAGTACGCATCGAGGATTAGATGTTATTTATCTTAACCGTCGTGGTAGTCAACGTTTTTTGATGAAGAGATATGTTGATCATTTGTTGGATCGTGGCATCATGCGTATAATCACACCTTGCTATACATGTGTCTCGTGTTGCGAGGGTAGCGATACCGATCTGTTTAAAATACTAAATTCCCTTGGTTACACCTCTGTTAAAGTGACCCTTAGGCTCTGTAGAGTTCTGGGTTTTGTCATACGCCGGACAGCTAGAATGACCAAGGCAGTTGCTACGTACATCGGTAAGAGGTTAAGGGATAAGGATGATTATTCCATTGTGGCCAGTGCTACCGATGCTCTTGGCGATTTGAGCTACATGGATGTGTATCGGGTAACCGATGGTGCATTCAAGGAGCTTGCAAGTTCCACAAGGGCACAGGCTTTGGCAACTGGGAGGTACATTGCCAGTGTCTATGACGGTTCCTCCAGGTTACTGAACAGGATAACAGATTTTGTTAACCGTTCTAAGGAAGATAGCAGTTACCCGTTAGAATCACTTTTGCGGATGACAATAGAACATATCGGTGACCTTAGCAAGGGTACACATGCGGCATTAGTGGAAACGGTAAATAACAGTAATAAGGTCCATGATAGAGATATTTGGGCTGCTGGTATACTATGGCATGTATCTTTTTTCAACCCTCTGGCGCTACGTAGCGAGTTGGTAGCTTCCGGTTATAATGGCGACAATGATACATTTGCGGAGGATCTCATCAGCCGGTATATTGCGGACTACCAAGTATCGGATTATGCTCTAAGATTGAAGGAGGATGTGTTACATATGGCTGGTTTTGACATGGCGGCAGATAGGCTTTTACCTGGTATAGTTGGGTATAAGCGTAGTATGGTCCACTGCTGTAGCGCAAAAGCAATCGAGACTCGAACCAAGAAAGGTGATGTCAAGTGTTCAAGTTTACCTGTGGCTGTACTGGCATCTGTTAGTGTAAATGATGATTCTGGTGACTCTCAGCGTTTATGTCATGAATACAGAGGGAGTAGATCTTCATCTATGCCTAGTGATAGATGTGGGTACCGTTTTTATCGGAATGTATACGCCATAGGTGATGACGATTTGCGTTGTAACAATACGGTATCGATTGCTTTATACGCATTATCGAAGCCAGTGTATATAGGGCGATCTGATTTCTTCCGTGATATGTTCACTCGTGAGATGGTACCTGATATGTCCATGCAACGTGTCGAACTTTGTAGCATAGATTGCTATGGCATAATCTCTACATTGATGCATTCTAGCGGCCCTGAATTGGGAGGACACTATCAAACATGTCTCGTGTGCTACCGTCTATCGGTATCACAACTGGATCTCCTGATGTTGTATGAATACTTCAACACGAGTTTGCCAAATACTGTGAGCATATGTGGCTGTGCTGATAAGAATCATGACCTTTGCGCTACAAGGGTACGCCAAACTATCTCTTCGGTGTCAGAGTTGATGCTAACTGAGGTTATAAACTATGCTTCTAAGCTAAAGGCAACCATTGATGCTAGTTTGCTGCGATCCCGAGTTGTATTTTCGTGTGTTGGTTTTGAATTACACCAAGACGAATGTGATGATTTCGCTATGGAAAACGATACGAGTGACAATAGGTCGTCCAAGGCCGATGTCTGCCAAGGTCCACAATTGATCCCACGTATGTTATATTCTGAGGGTTTCTCAGAAGGTATGTTTGACGCTGCAGAGACTACTCTCCGTTCTCAAGGCTGTTTCGTGTTACAGAAGCCTTTTGAGATACCAGATATACATGATTTTTTAGTAAATGAGATGCGTAGATCAACTGCGGTTGCGGATCAGGTCCCAGTGTGTCCTAAAGTTATACTACGTGATTCTTTGGACGAGCTGATATCCCGTGTCGAATTGAATTTTGGACGTAGTCACTGGGATATATTTAATGTATCCGGGGTTGTTCAGGATGTATCTGTAATGGAAGATTTCGGGTTAGACACTAGGTCGCTATGTGAATATTCCAAGGACTCCTTTTTGACGTTGCTACAATTATTTAAGGCAGCGTCTGAACATTCAGATGATACATCATGTGAGAGCATACTGGCGTCACGTGTCCTATCTGCTGTTATAATACGCCGGTATTATGTACCTTACATCATCGGACTCCTTATGTCTACGACATATGGTCACTAGGATGGTTTACCTTCGCGAAATGTAGTCACAACCTCCGATTTATAAGTCGAACAACTCTGTTAGCATTAATATTTGTGTGCACGAGTATCTATACATATGATTGTGATTATGTTAGGATTTCCAAAGAGGACATGCCATCTCTCTTGGGTAAACCCTAGTGGAATCCCTATTATCATAGGGTAGTAGCTCGATATTGTGTGTCTTTTGTACAAACAATTACCTTGTTAAGTCTGAGTACGAGGTATACTGGGCTTGGTGTGATCGGTATTTTAGTGAAGTTGCTCCATAGAATGTGACGTATATACCGAGTATATTAAAAATAAGTGATATAAATTATTGTATTCTATAGAATATTGCCTCTAAGGTGCTCATAAAGTATTGTATTAACCCAATTCGTGGGTTAGGGTTGTGTTCGCGACCTTCGTGTTCTAGACAGAGGATCACGATAGTTTTTGAAACCAATTTTTTCAACTACTCGATTTATATATTTTGTTTTAACTGTGGTTATTTCACGATGGTTAGACGAACGGGCGTGAACCCACCTACACAAAGGCCTGCTGAGAACGATTCGTTGGAAGAAGTAAGATCGAGCGGTTATATTTGACATCCTACAGGTGAAACGTATGCGAAGCAATCTCAGCTTGAAGCTTTTGCGATCGATAGACGACAGAGTCAAGAGTATTCTGTACCAGACACCTTTCGTTACAGCATATGAACTTAAAGGAGCAGATCAGTATGTGTTTAATAAGTTGTAATAATGACTTTTAGATGGGTACGACAAGATATAGAAGGGTTCCTGTATTTACTGGAACGTGATGATGAACCTCTCAAGTGCCTGATACTGGTTAATAGGAAGACTGAGAGACATCTCGTCGAGTATATAACTCCACAGTTCCAAATAGCACGTGATGGGAACTTCGTATTCTATCGCGCTATGAATATAGTAACCGTGGGTGTTTATAATTTTATGAATAAATTTATGTGCAGGAGTCTATGCAGAACATCCGTGGGCTTTGGTTTTACGATGATAAGGAATGTTTGAAAACTTTCGAAGAGATATACGCTGTGACAATAAATAAGGAGCCTTTGTCAGGTTTCAACAGTGAAGACAAACCTGTCATATTGCCGTCGCCAACTACTGAAGTACAACCAACACCAATCACAGCTGTAGCACCTCCACACTCGTCACCACGTATGTCGACAAAGGTATCTTTGTAAGCTGTATGACGCATATCATGTCTAGAAGGATGTTAAAATGATGCCAAATATGTATGACTTGGAGCAAAAGGACGGATTTCTACATTCGGGGCTAAATGGACATCAACGAATGAACTACGGCGAACCTATGGCGCCAACGCCATCGGTACCGTCGATGCCTATGCCATCATCTAATCCGCTCTATCCATACTCAATGCCAATTGCTGCTGGACATAATACGCAACATCATCCGCCGACCACTGCGGTGCCGCTTCCCAAGAGCAACCCAATGACGGCATACCCATTACAGGAAACTGCCCCGCAGATGCTCAATAACGAGTCAAACCTTTGGTCGAACAGGATGAGATCGTTGTTTAACGGTAGTGACCCTTCACATTCCGAGTATCCACAGTTCCCTGTTGGATTCCCACCGTCACACTACCAGCCGCCACCAGCAGTACCACGCAATGATAACGGGATCATGATCACGTACGACATGTTCTGTTCAGCATTTTCGGAAACTGTGCAGAGCGAAGAATTTTTAAGATTGATGTGGAGGCGTCTCTCTATAAAATCATGGAGAAACTTTGGTTAATCAATATATGAATTGCATAATATTATTTATAAATTAGGAAGATGCGATCGGTACCTTCGGCCATACTTAGAAAGCTGCAAAATCGTATCGCACGAGCAGTGTCATCCGACGGCGGAAGACAAGGTAGGTAATGAGGGTTGTATCGTTTATGTACACCTTTTACAACGATTCACGCTGTATACATCGACGTGGTGTAACCTATGAGCCGTAAATAATCAACATTTATGCGCAGTGATTGTCGTAGGGCCGGAAGGTCGAGGAAAGACGACATTGATAAAGGATGTCATCAACCATGGCCATAGACAGAGCTTTAGAAACGTTGCATATTCATACTATGACTTCCAAAGGAACGCTAATCATAATTTCCAGGTATGATCCTATTTCTATCAAATAAAAAGTATATATATAGGTCATGGTGACACAGTGGTCATCAGAACTAATATCGCATCATCCAATGCTCAATCACACTTCAAAAACCGATTGTTTGGAAGTATTCAATGTCCTCAATGACCAGATACCACAGCTGCAAATGCATATTAAGACCTTCCTGCGCAGATTACGTAAGTTACTGCGACATGGGTATATAACCTTGCAGTAACATTGAAGTACCTGGATAGAACACTTGCAGCCCACATAACATCAATATTGAAGTCTGATAATGAGGTTGGAACCATGCTATCTTATTTAACCTCCTATAGGTATCACCAGAGCTATGGTATGACACCTGCTTATTATTGCTTAAACATGCTCCGGGCACTATGGGAATACATGACACCAGCAGTGTGGGCAATATAGAGCCCTTCTTTTATGGTTTATATGCCGTTGGCATTATCGCAGAAAAAACTGAAATTGAAGCAAAAGGTGAACATAATTCAAGCTCAAGGCTGACCGGCATTTGGGTATGTAATACTTTTGATTAACCTTATAAATATCCAGGCAACCAAGTATGTACTTAGACCATGGCATATAATATCCAGATTACGACAAAATAATTGGATACTATGTTTGGACAGTCTACATGAACTTATCAGGTCACCTTTTTTAAATGACCGTGGAGGTAACTTTATTTGGCAAATGGTTGAAGAAATACAAGCGAACAACATGTCAGCTGTGCTGATTTCCGATGAATGTACTGCGACTATACCATTCATAGACCAAAAATTGGCTAACAACATCGATGATGTATATATGAGACCGCGTGGTAATGTATCCGCCGAAAAAGTGGACCCGTCAGCCCTGGTTTTCCTCGATGTACCTGAAATAGAACCTACAGTAGCACGTGGAGCACTGAAAGAAGGCATATCTAATTCTGAGAATATTGCACGTGCGTTACTTAAGGTAAGCGGTGGGAATTTACGACTGATAAATTCCCTGATAAACTCATATCGGGATCTCGAAAGTTCACTTGACCTACCGGCAGTACACCAGATACTTGCAGGGTCCAACAGCCCTGTAGATGACGAATATTTCCCACTAAATGGTAGTTTAGAGGATCAGGTACAATATCTCAAAGACGAACGCTGCAGGATGTTTGTAAGGAACGTTCATAATGCTGCGTTGAAGAACGAAGTTGGTAAATTTGAGAACATGATGAACCGTTTTTTGAGTCTTCCGGCTATGGAGAGCGCACGTCATCGTTTGGGTGACAACATCCATTTCTTGGTAACGGTATACGAAACTGTGCGTTACCTTCTAAGCAAGCCACTCTTACAACTACACCCCGAAGTCAATATAGAGAACAAGATAATACTATCGCTATTGGCATCTGGTATAATGCATTTGAATGTGGAAAGTCGTACCATGGAGTTCAAAGATGCACTAACACGATTGTTAATTGAGGCGTTTATCGACAACGAGTATGGTAGGCCACGATAGTTGTACCATTTCATAACCATACAGAGTCTCTCCCGTGGATTGAGCAGGTGCAGTACAAAGCAAACTATCTACTGAACCAACGCGCCATTTACAAGGAGACTGATCGATTACTATTGTAACAGAAGGCAAGAGATAACATTGGGAAATAACCGATGTAATAATGTCAAAACATGGTTGTTTCATCATCAGTTTTCCTCGATAAGCGCCGCTTTGAACGCTTATCCGTATTTAATGTAGTACCACCGCTACGTTTCACCCCGCTTGCGCAGTCTCCATGACGAGACCATTTTGGTGCGATGTCGATTTCATCCCTAGGGTATATCAATTCAGCGATCCACCACTCGATATATAGCAACGTGACAACTAGAATTAGGCTGGCCCCTATTAATGTAAATAAACACGTATCGTGCAACTTACGGAATATCGATTTTGTTTCCCAATAGTGGTATATGAGTTCGAAAGGGCTAATTGACGGTTGACACAATACCTTGTCGTAGATTTCAAGGACTTGTTCGGCCACTTTACGCCAAGAGTACATATTCGCAATCCTATCATGGAACCCCTGTCGATCGATAGTTGGCAACCTCTCTATAGCATCTTCTATGCGATTGGCAACGCTTTCTGCCGAATAGTTTGCGAGCAGTACCATGTCTCGTGGCAATATTTCGTAGACACCTCCTACATTAGTGGATACGCAAAGCAGCCCAGACGAAACCGCTTCGAGTATCGCGATACAAAAAGATTCGCTCTTTGAGGTGTTAAGGAAAATGTCACCTCTGATTAGCACATCATTGACCTTGTATGTAGGTACCGCACCCAGTAGAGTAACCCTTTTGTGTAGATATAGTTTGTCGATGCGCTCTGCGATGTTGGAGTATAGCGGTCCGTCACCACCAATAATGAAGTTTACATTTTCATACCTTTTGCATACGAGGGGTATCACATCATTTAACAAATGGGCGCCTTTCTTCTCAGTGAGACGACTAATTACCACTATGACGATCTTGCCGTCATTTCTATCAGTCAATCGAGGCTTGAAAGATTCAGATTCCTGTTGACAGGTTATTTTATGTGTTAGATTAACTGACTATGGCATTCCCGATTACAGATATCTTGGTTGGGTCCATTTGGGTGCGCAATACAAGGTTCTCCTTGTGGGTGTTTGAAACGCATATGGTATGATCGATGATACTTGATTGCGATCTCAAGTACTGCAGAATATGATGGCTGGTAACTTTAACTTACATTGGTCAGAGTTATCGGGCCGATATCCACAAAACTAAAGAGACTATGGTCTGTGAATACCGACTTCAAACCCAGCATATATGCTGTGTGGGCGAACTCGCTGCCGTAACGTGACGAAGTCTGATATTATATTAATGATGCCCAGAATCATCTCATAACGCCGTTAAAGTGCAAATATACATACCTGATGGAAATGCACGATATCCACTTGTTCTCTAATGAGTATATTTCGTGCAAGTAAGAAGGTTGTTATGAACACTGGTAATCCACATGGCTTCACTAAATATACCGTAGGTATATGGTAAACCTTCATGCCGTTAGACATGTACCTCACTCCACGACGTTCTCCAAAGTGCCTTGTCACAACGACCACGCAGTGTCCTAGGTGTCATTAAACAATCAATATTAATGGTATTACCCATTTCAATAAGCTTTGTAGACAAAGCGCATATGTGTGTTTCGATACCGCCAACATCTGGATAGAAAAATTCAGATACCATCAGTATTGTTAGTCTTCTTTTACGACGATGTTTTAGATCCACGATAGGCTCTAATGGCTCCGGATTATCCGATGGCTTGCACATGCCTTCACTTACAGGCGCTTCGCTCCCATTCCGGTGGGAATAGGTCAATGCGTTCGACATAATCGAGCCTACTGTGTGTATATATATAGCGTCACAATATGGTTTTACAGGTTCGAAGCGAAGCGACACGCTCTCATATCAGCTATATAACTCCGTGATAGGGTAGGTTATAGCCAACTCTAAACGAACCACTGCACACATTTTAACTATATAACATAAATATTAAGTATAAAAGCTTTTATTGTCAGAATGGCAATTCCGATGTCTCCAACAGTTACTGTAACATGAGTATGTGGTCATAGCCTCATCCTGTGTAGAACGCTTTAATTCTTACACATTTCGTTGAAATATAGGAAAACAGACGATTGTATGCTTTTCAATATTATAATATCAAGCTTTAGCCATCCCAATCAGATGTAAGTAACATATCATCCGAGGGTTTGCCTCCATCCTCCGGATTCCGCCGAAAAATTGCATTATTATCTGAGAGTGTATGTATTTGGATACTATTGGTTATTCAATAACATACCCGGGTGTACAACAAATAGCTCACCACGCTCATTTAAGGCGTAAATATCACGCCGACCACGTAGAGCAGTAAAATCGGTAACATACTTCTGCCTAGGAACGGTGGAATCCATAGTTGATGGGACACTTTCGTCAACTAACATCTCATGGTTCTCCCATCGCATCCCAATTATACTACCAAGGGTACCCCGGCTACTGTCAATAACAGCCAGCTTATCACCGGCATTAAACAACAACCAATTCCCTGCATCCCTGGCCATTAGATACATGCGCTGTGCATAACTCGGAGGCTCGCCGGTATGATAAGGTTGTGTAAGCGCAGCAATATCGAAATGGCGGATGTAGCGATAGTTTCGACCATCGTACTTCTCCACATGACCCTTGTGACCTGTGAACATTCAGATAAATCGACCATGTAACCCACGTGCTACGAATAATGTGTTACCATCCAAAGTGCAATCGAAAGCTGTAGGCATACCATGACTTTTGTTCTCTAAAGCTTTTCTTTCAGATAATGTCATGGGACGCCGAGCAGGGCTTCGGCCCACACTCGCAGCTCTTTCGCCCGGCTGTTCATAAATATACCCTCATTAAATATGGCACTCACCAAAGTTCCGATATCCTCAAGGGTAGAATTTGCACGATATCGTTTGTAAGCGGCAACGTATTTCGCCAATAACTTACTACCAGCACGAGATTTAGGGTCCCTCTTAGGAACACGGCCTACAGACTGGCGTGAAGATACGGAATCACCAGCTCCACTACTATCTGACATCAATATGTCAGTCACTGATATTGTAGACTTGTTTCGTCTTGATTTTGGTGGCGGTCTGTCTAGCTGTAATGTAGGTACAGTAAACATCTTCGGGTCGAATAGGGGATTAGAAGCAGCAGGAGTAGACTGTTTTTTGCCTAATAGAGTATGGAAATTCGATTGAATAGTAACTAACGCGCAGATAAAGACGATTTTGCGGCGGAGGTAGAATTTGGTCTACTGGGACCACTGCTACTTGACTCCTGCATCACGTACGACCAGATATCCTCCTCATTTTCAAAATCCTGAGAATGCAAAAAGGGAATCTCAGTGGCAGACTTAGAGCCATCGCCATAAGATATGTGGCAACCATTTACTACCGACCATGGAGCAATTTCAGCTTTGGATCCCAGTAGAGCCACTGGACGGTTATAACGGCGTAGGTCCCATATACAAACGGTGGTATCCTCATATCCAGCCACGACCAAATGCTCATTATGAGGTGTACAATACAACGCCGTAACCTCGCCACGGGTCGAATTATTGGGATAGTTGAATGTTGCAGATGACCTCATATCACAGGTAGATATCGATCCACACGCAAGTCCTACAACGATGACCGGATTCGTCCCTTTAGTTTGGCCCACTGCAATATGTTTCACAGCGGAAAGCCGAACATTGAAAGTGTATGCTATGTCGACGATATTCAGGTCCCACACCTATGCCATATGTGCACTACGTAGGGAATGCGTACATTGATCATTGAGTCTCCTGCCGATAGGAAAATGTGATCATCCGCAGGGTACCATGCGATAGCGTTACAATGGTTCTTGTAACCAAATGGTTTTGTCAGTAGCGTATCACAAGGTGCCGGAGAAGACCTTGATGTTGAACTAGTGCTGCACGAGCACTGTCCGACCTCGTCATTGTGACCTTTTAAAATATAACATATATTCATGTATACTTACGCCTCACACAACGATCGTTATAAAGGTCAGAAGCTATATTCACGATGCAGAAACATGTTCTATTCGCACAAAGCAAATGTTCCCTGAGCCACCATGGGTTACAGCAACAACATTTAACAAAAGAGATGATCGACAACACTGGGAGTTGGGCACTAATTATACACGTAATATCATATAAGTAGCTTATATGGCTATTAAATTATACCACTTTTCTATTTGCTATAAACTCGTACATGCATCACGTACCCCGAACTGTTGATATCGATTCTGTTCTCATTTCGGCATGGCAGATGGAACAATCCATAAGCGTTGCATACCCTGAGGTTACTTGTGCATCTCTGTAGCATGATAAGTTGGTTATATAGAGAATCGCTTGCAGTTTTGATAGCCAAATATTACTGGATGGATTCTGGTCCTATTGGCCGTTAAAACCGCTCCTAACAACTGAATATCGTTGCTTAGGTGCGGAGTACTGGTCCATAGTCGCCAATAATGGCCTAGAGAACTGCATGAACAGATCCTGCACGTACCTCCTCTAAGTAGTCCTGACGGAACTTACGCCGTCGGTCAGTAAGCATTACTAGTTCCTAGTGTGTGTATAGAAATTATGTTCTTTTACAAAGTGTTATCAAGTCACATGGCGCGCTGTGCCTTTTCATATAAAGTATCTACTACAGTCGTCATCTGTCTAATGGTCGTGTTTATGTCCTCGTAGTACGTTTCATGGTCCTCCTCATCGTAAATCTCTAAATGCGCATTACCTTGGTCAATGGTCCCCCGCAACTTCCCGTCCAGGATCATCTCTGCCAACTTCTTCTCTACCTTTGCCTGAGGTAAAGATAACTTCGTAGCAACGAAAGAGATCTCCACAACACTGTAAGGCTTCAATATGTGGCTAATATTGCGCTCCAGAAGCGCGTCATACAGCTTGTGGATCTCTTGCTGCAAAATTGGGTCCATCAGGATTACCTGACGGTACTCCTCTAGCAGTTTTTCGAATTCTACAAGCGAACTCTTCTTGTAGCACTCACTGATTCGTTGTATCATTTGTATCTCCAGATGGTTTGTGAACCTTTGTTTGTTTTTGGCAGATAATATCGGGATCAGCTCATCGTTGCGTCCCGTGATGACCACTGCCAAGAGTAGGTACTTCAGCGCCTGTACGAGCTTACGCTCATCGTCCCGGGCCAAAGTGTTGACATCTATTGGATCGTTACCGTCTTCAAAGGGTGACTTCTCCATAGGGCCGATCCCGTGGTCTGGAAGGTTGGGCTCCAACATCGAAGAGAACTGCATATAGTGTTGCCCACAAAAATCAACAGTGTGTGAGATAGATGATTGGCTCTTGTACTCCGAGAGGTTGTAGAATGTAAAGAATACTGCTGAGATGTCCGAAATGGTGGCATGACAGCTATATCTCTCAGGATCTCCAACAATCAATGGCACCGCTGCATTGGAGACTAGGGTAGGCTCCTGAGTATCCAGCTGTAGTAGTTCAAGCATCTTCGATTTACTCTTATTCCTTGCGAGGTTGGGAAACAAGACACTGTGTGTACCTCCCACTGCCATATGGAAACCCTCATATGCCTCAAAGAAATATGTGTAGGCAGTTCTGTAATCCGATTCACAGAGATAAAGAAGTCCACTAAGGAGATCGATCTCTGCGGTGACATATGTCGGTGTGTTTATATTGGTAGCAACATTTTTAGCGTTGCTTAGTGCGATTTTCGTACGCACGAGGTTGCGTACGAGTATGTATGCCTTTGCCTGTACTAGATGGGTATCCAACAGCAAAGGTTTATCTTCCAGGCTCTTGACTTCCTGTTGAAGTTTATCAAGTGCAGCTATTGCTGCACTGTAATTACGTCGCAGGAGTAGCAGAACTGCTATCTTGAGGTCTAGCCTTAGACCAAGGAAGGTACGTTTCAATCTTACGCACCAACCACGGTATATAGCAAATACCTTATATAGTACATCAAGATCCTTGACCACCTGCGATAAACGCTCAAGTACATTACGTACCATCTTAGCTGTCTTTGCTTGTGGTAAAATAGCAAAGAACGGCTCATTTCGAACCAACGCACCTAACATCGCATCGGTCTGTCCGGTTTCAATGAGATGATAGACAATCACGTATAGAACATTTTCACATATATAAATAACACGTTCGTCCGTTAGTACATGTAGATGGCTATTGCTAGTAGCTCCATCTTCGATATGTCCTTGATGTGTGCCAAGAATATATTCATTAAGTGCCATATAGCCCCTTAATAACTCCTCTGGATATGTACAACAACCTATACGTGCTCCTGGTAAACATTTTGGAGCACGTTCAGCGTCGATGGCCTCGCGTTGTTCGTTCAACGCGACGAAACGCGACGTTATCTCATCGACATCCGCCATTCCGATTGTATATGGTTAGTTCGAATCGGGATGATTGTTTAGTAGTGTAGGAGTCAAGTCACCTGGGTAATAGAGAGACAGAAGGCAACACCTTGACCCCATCTCAATGTGTACGGCTATCCATTTTACAAAGGCGTTATTATTAAAATACAGTGACTAATAACAACATATAGGGCGTTATATATGACCCAAGGTGTCGTAAATCAGGTATATTTTACCGTCGATTTACTACCATGTCAATGAAAAGCAGGGCACATCCCTCGCTACCAAATGTCATCCAAACGGTATATGACGACACACTAGGATTAACAGAAGCTTACTTTTCCTTCTTTACCGTTACATCCCATGTTGGCATCTGTATGATGTGAACGGTATCTGTACTAAAGCTTACCAGAGTATTGAGAGCTATGTTTTCTGGCAAATGTGGCGGCGCTCCAGTAGGGAAGAAGCCCATATTTCCGGCTCTAAAACATCGTTATAATGACTGGATGTGGTAACCTACTCGCTAGAACGCAGTGCAGCAAGAAAACCACGGCTCTGCTTAGATGGTGGTAACGAGATAGTCTTCACACCAAGACGGACACTGTTGGCGTAGCGTTGCATCTCTTTAATGTCCTAAATATGGATAACCATCTAGTTTGTATTGAACTCACCTGTAGAAATGACGAACGAGCAACACCACGTGAGATGTATTGTTGACATGCCAATTGAGCGTCCTCCTCGCTTACACGAACGCTTAATTTTGGTAAAGTGGAACCATGCTTGCCGCTATCCTGAAGTAATCGCATTTTTTCTTTTGATATACGATTTTCACTTTGTTCCTGGGCATCCTTTAATAACCCGAGAGATTCACCTATATACAGTTCAGTCAAAGGGTGACAAATTATAGATATTTCATAAACACATATAAGTACTATCCATCTAGATGAGCATTTTTGCACATAATAAGGTAAATTATTAAACACGTCATAACACTGTTATATTATATGAAATTGAAACTAAGAGACTCATAATATGTAACTCAGGTTAACATAAAACTTACGCTGCAAAATATCAACTAAAAGATGAGTAGTGCGGCTATCGTAATTTGTTACGCCCATCTCCTCTAACATATCCTCCACCAAGCAAGATAAGTACGACCCATCCTTCCGCAATAGCTCCGCCTCCGGTGCCTTCTCTGTAAGCACAGTTTTAGTAGCCGCCATGGTTACGATAGATGTATTGACCGTGATCTAGCCTATTAAACAAGATACGAAGGTCGTTGTCGACCGTTCTGGAACGAAGCGCCTATAGGCGTGATACCGTGCCGCGATACTACAACCTTTTTTTATGAAAATGTATATGGGTTTGCAATTTTAGAATCAGTTAGTTTGTGGCAATATGGATAACAATGGTTCCTAAATATCTGTGCCAGAACACTAACGATTCAGTGATGGCAGCACCGCGCAGAAGACGCGCTGGCCAGCGTATCATCCAAATATGAGAATATACAGCAGCAAGAAATTTGGTGTCTGGGGGCAAGGAAAACAGGGGGTTTCCACACGCTGCTATAACGTGATACTGCCTCACGCGGGCACATATCCCGAATTATTTGCACATTAAAATTTATCTAAAAATTATCACAAGCCACATATATAAACTAAACGATTTAAATAAACAAGAATATATAACCATTAAGTATTAGAAACGTACAACCACGTTAGACAAGGTAACGCGTGCAAGGACCACCGAGAGAACAACGTGATAGTTCACACCTTACAGATTATGGCATAAGAATATTCCAAGGTGACAAGATATAGGACATATAGAAGATCAAAGTGTGGATATAATAACGCCATAAATAACATGGATACTTACGGACCGGAGGCATGGTACGGGGGATTACCCAGAATCACACGTGCCTTGCTTACCATCATGTTCCTTCTAACAGTATTAACGACATTCAGGATAATATCGCCACAAACTCTAATTCTAGACTGGCAGCTTATAAGGAAGAATTATGAAATACATCGGATAATATTAGGATGTCTATACGTAGGACAGTTCTCATTCAAGTGGGCTATACAAGCCTATATGTTCGCGCAATTTTCATCGATGCTAGAGAGAAACCCCGTATTCTCGATGTCAATAGGGTCATACCTATACTTCATTCTCATAGAGATGCTAATACTCTCAGTTATCAGCATGGGCATATTCTGGCCATCAGGGTTCCCAATGCTTAATGATGCACTGCTGTTTGCTATCATATACTACTGGTCCAAGAGAGATATGTGGAATACTGTCTCAATATACATGTTCACTGTTAAGGCGTACCAGTTACCTTTCGTCATGCTATTCATTAACTTCATCATGGGAGCACCCATGGTAGTCAATCTTATCGGACTGATAGGTGGCCACGCGTACTATTTTATAAGGGAGGTGTTACCGACAAGGGGGTTCTACAACATATTTGGAAGGTGCCCACAATGCCTGGACTACCTAGCAGATAAAATTGATTCAGTATTCAACTTTAGCTATTTGAACTGGTATGACGGTACGAGGTCAACGCCATATACATCGTCGAATAGACCAACGAGACCGAATACAGGCTTTGTGGGACGTGGTATACGACTAGGTGGAACTTAAGTCGTGACCTGTGGATGCAGATTTTTAAAAGAGGACCGATGTCCATAAAACAAGAGGACACTAACAGAACCTGATTAATGTCTGTGTCAAACCAAGAGCTATCTCAACGGTTATCAGAAAAATGATAACCTTCTCCAAACGTGAAGAATGCATATGACGCACATACTCTGAGTGAGAGTCAAGTGAATCCAGCTGCCAAGAGATACGTTGGTTTAGCTTCTCAATACGTCGAGGCATCTCAAATGCAGCCTGTGTAGAAATGAATATCGAACGTAGATGTTCGTCATCCCATAAAGTATTGGGTATCTCGAGAAGATCTTGCTCTAAATTGAGGCTATAACGTAACCCGTGAACGTATGCCTGGAACTCAAAGAGGCGTTGTGTCAAGCGGTCGAGATTGCGCCGAGATATATTCCGACGAAGACGCTCAAGTTCACCGTTACTCAATACAAATTTGCGTCCGAGCTCATATTCTATATGGTTCAACTGCACTGCTGACATGAGAGCCATTGACACTGCAACCTGCGCAATAATTGTGCTGTGGAGATTATACGAGGACGAACCTGGTCCTCAATTGTCCTATCCAATGACTGGTCAAGCACCCCTTTTGGGACCCAGCTACGACCATCTTTGCCCATGTTGATGCATTCGCTGAACTCGTCCACCACACACAGAGGATGTCTCAGCGGTCTGTGAAAAAATGTCACAAAGAAATGCGCAACGTACGTTACGGTGTGCTTATTAAGGACTTTTCTGTACTGACGGAATGTAGATATCGCTGAATGCCAAAGTACTACTGAACCGTTCTGCAGTATTATGAAGCAATAACCACAAAAGTTGATAACAGTCACTTTAATGATAGTCCCTAATATAACACGATCCACGCTCACCTTGTTGATCAAAACTAGACCCTCTTCATGCCCAAGGTTAGGGCATGATTCCACCATAGCTATCCCATCTGCGTTACATGTAACAGTCAGCAGTGGTAGGCAACCGCTCAATACGGAGCGAGATGTTAGACTTACCTTGCATTGCTACCTTTGCCCCCAATGTGCCCAAAGTATCCTTTACTCCTGCGATATGTAACGATGATGCCACCAAATGGGCTTCAACCTGACGGACACCGGCATCGGTCTATGTAGAGTTATAGGTGTAGTATATATATCGACATACCATCACCGAAGGTGAGTACGAATGGAATCCCCGTCCAAAAGCCACATTGGTCAATATTAATTGCGATAGTTTCGTGCAAGAAGCGCCATTAACACCAGCTGTATGACAAACATACACCAGTGACCATGGTGAAAAAACATACCGACAAAACTGTAGAAAGGGTAATTCTCTTTTTTTAAAATTGAAGCATATGAATAGTACCTCCTCAAAAACGCTGATGTGTAGATACTTGACGCCTCTGCGCCCAGAGTCAACGACTTTAACGCCAGGAACCGCATCGAGCTAGGATGCGATCAATTACCGTGACGAAAATGCCGGTACTCTACCATGAAAACTATAAATAATTGTATAACATAGATATGTGTAAAACATTATCGCATAATAATATTTAATGGAGACCTTCGGGACCTTGCAGCACCAAACCCTAGCAACAACATCACACAATAAGTATAGGTGCCCTAAAAAGTAAAGTTAACCATATTATTCAATCAGTGATTTAATGCTGCGAACTCTAACGAATAGACCATCTTGTATGACCCTTGAGGTGTACGATTTCAACATTGGAGAGAGCCTAGACGAAAGAAATCCAGATATTTTTAATAGATATTCCACATTAATATGCCACGTGTCATATGTAAAAAAATTGTTGAATGACGCTTGATGGTCCATAGAGGTGGCTCATAGAGCTCCACGTAACCATTTTGTGAATAAAACTCTTTGCAAGATGACCAGTATAGGTTCACGATATACCCTGTATCACCCTTTTTTCTGATGATGCAGAGTCAAAACCCAGGTACACAAGCTGATCCACCCCTATGGATATAAAGGATTAGCCCACTCAATCGTATTTTTTCTTCGTGCAAAAAACTTATAAAGCACCCACATTTTTGGTGCGAAACAGGTGAAGACTATAATATCACCTTCCAATATGGCTCTGATGCCATTTACAAACAAAGCCGAGATAGTTGCAATAGATTGTAACAATGGTGTGTCAACAGCATAGATGACACACGATAAGGAATAACCCCTATAAGAGTATTAAGGTGAGGTGTAGGACGACTTTATCCGTAACAACTAGCATAATACTTCCTGACGAACTAAAAAAACAATGAATAGTCCATAATCTCAACAGGCTGAATAAATAAAAACCGAATTTAATACGGTTTCGACCTGTATGACCGTGCTATATTGTTCTGACTGTTTGGTTGATTGCCAAAATAAGTTGGACGCTGAGGTACATACCGCGAAGGATCACTAGGAGGCGGTTGAAGGCCAGACTGCTGAGCATAATAAGCATAGTGAGTCTGCATTGCATAGTGCTGATACAACATCTGCTGCTGCAACAGCTGTGGGTCATAACCAGCAACAGGGAGAGGGCCACCTACAGGCATCTTGTGCGAGGGGCCATGTGGCGGGAAATTAGGTGGTCCCATGTGCATTCGAGCTTTAGCCATATCGCCCTGCTTGTAACCATGTGGCCCTAATGACTTATATTGGGATTCATAACGGTGGTGTGCTTGTTTCATACGGCTCTCAGCAGCACGAACATCTACCTTGGAGCCATAAACAAAATGACTGGGTGATTCCAGAACTTTCTCAGTGGAACCATCCGAAGAAAAGATGATAAAACCAAAACCCCGGGAACTACCATCGATCTGACGCATAATAGTCACACGATCAATAGCACCAAAACGACTAAAGTAATCCTCTAACATCTGTTCACTTAGGCCCTTGGATATACCACCAACGAATATCTTACGCTTCATTGTCGAATTGGGGTCGTTCTGCATATGGCGCACATCCACACGTTTACCGTTCAAACTGTGGTCATCAGTAAAGACAGTATGAGTATTCTCCTGAGGGGCCACTGTCACAAAACCGAATCCCCTGCTACGACCGGTGGCAGCATCACGCATCACCTGCACCGAGAGGATGTTGCCATATTTAGAAAAATGGTCTGTGAGAACCCCTGTAAACAAAGTGAATCAAATAATAAGGTGAAAACTAGTATTGCTAAACGGTCATGTAACACACCTTCGTCAACAGTAGGATGTAATCCTCCAACAAAAAACTTCAACTTTTCCTGTGAATTGCCACTCTCTGAATATCATATTAGTATCTTATATTTCGTGGGTTCAGTTAAAGATGTGGTTAAAAACATACCTCTAGGAGGCGATCTCCGTTTACTTCTTTGCCCTTCTTCATTAGAGTCATCGACTTGTTCCGGGCTCTTCTCTTCATTAGGTTCATTGGAATTATCCTGTTCTTCTTCAGTAACAGCGGATTCCGGGGCATCAGCCGATACAGGTGCCTCGGCATCAGACGAAGGCGCCAGCGGCGGAGCGCACACCGGTTCCTCCGTAGTCCCCTCTTCAACGGAATTCGACATTAAATGTAAATTTTAATACTATGTAGCGCAGCGTTCCGCAAAGGAAACACTGCAACTGCCACTTGGGAGTACAACAAATTACCAGGATTACCCTACACAATACGCGACATAACCAACCTCATGTAAACTATTAATGAAATTTACATGCGAAAAACATAGTATTAATGAAAGTAAGGGTACGACTGCCTTTTGTCTTACCTTTATGTGGAGAGCAAACGATACCCAACACATTCGTTATTCACATAATTATGCATCCGCAGGCTTTACTTCGGGAGCACTAAGTTCAGGTGCAACAGGTACACATTGAGCCTTGTAGAGCAACAACACTGCGATGTGGAAGTCACTGCGACCACCGCAGAGGTCAAAACTTCCCCAACGATATTCTGTTACCGTATCGTCGTCAAACATTAGCCAACCGTCACCAGACGGCTTCGCATCCTCAGACTCATCAGTATCACCTGTTGATGCTATATAAGCAATGTGCGTAGATAAACACACCTTCCCTCTGGTCCTTGGTCCAGCAAACATAGTGACCGCCATCGGCACTGCGACCCTGATGGGTGACCACAGCCTCCAACTCGTATCTTCCAGTAGCATATTTACCAGGGTACATCTCGTAACCCTTGAAAGGACCGCCATCCTGGCTTTCCTTTAAATCGAAATCTTTACGCATAACAATGGCATTAGCAGCGTTCAATAATGGCTTCACTTCCTGTGATAGCATTAATATGACCAATTGGATATGGCGTGGCAACGCAACCAACGTGTAATATGAAATTTTTATGGAACATATAATTTAAGATGCTTAGGTGAAATAATTATAGAATAACCAACCTCGGTACATATGGGTGTTATGTCCAGCTCGCGCTCAAAGTTCACACGACGGCATACCTTAGCTTTAACTGCATTGGTCTTGGAAACTTCGCTTTCCTGCTTCCATTCGAATCTTACGAGATGGACAATGAGGTACTTGGGCAACTCCGATATCCTAGATACCTTCTCATGTAAAACGTCACAACCAGCATCGGCATTGAATTTCATCAACTCCTCATTTAAAGATAACATTATACCGTCCATTAATGTGCCTACAGAGGTCAATTGCGTGCCCATATAACAGTTCAACTTGATATTGCGCTCTTGCAAAACGCCGCCAACCGGTGTAGACGATTGCCCTTCTGGAGGATCTTTGCGACGTATAGTAGTGGACAAAGTGTAACCAAAAACGTTATCGGTAATCTTGGCATCACCTAAACCGTTTATACAATTAAGAATACAGCTTAGACACTCCTCAGCATCCTGTTGAAGATGTAACCCTGTGGATTCATCAGTTCTACTGAACAAAGGGTTAACTTTACGAAGTAATTGGATCTGTGCCATAGGTATATAACGAGATAATGTGTTTGGAAGATTATGACGCATCTCAACAAGAGAACGAGCAAACTTGTATTGATCCTGTTTTGAATCTACCGTTTCACGCGCCGATAACAGGTCAATACTGTCCCATAGATCCCTTACAGGTAATAAGAATTGGAATACTGCATTAAAGTAGCATGTATTACCCAAATTCACAAGCCCTATAGGAATACGACGTGTTTTTACGGATTTAAAAATCTCAGAACGTTCTTCTGCAGATATAAACTCATAAAAACGTACTGGTTCATCACGTTCTACTAATTTCTCAGCTGTACCTATCATCATAATCTTGGCTCCATTGCAAAGTGCAGTTTTACGTAAGTCGACACTATCGGAAAGTAGTCCTTTGTACATTAATTTTTGACGATCAGGTGGCACACCGGTTAGAGAGAACATCTGTGCTTTAAACAATTCCAAAGGTGCGTCTAAGTTCAACTCTAGGTCATTGAACTGTTTACCCATCCATTTAACCTGCACGCGGATAGTTGAACCCGAGTCGCCCATTGTGAACCTTTATACTGCACAGAATGCTAAAATAAGGGCTATAAAATGGCCAAGGATGGCAAAAACGATAGAGTATAAGAATACACCGCGCTTGGGCGAACTGTACTTTACCGCCAGGACACAACCATAGGCAGTATACTTACCTAGCAGGTAGACTGAGATTACACACTGGCGATAGCTAAAAGTTTGTAATTAATTCTAATACGTTTTGCTTCAAAATAAGGCATCAAACTTGCAAAAAAATGTATCTACCGAACGAGGTAGGTATTGTCTAGCTAACTCGCTACAATGGCGTAGCAAAGTTTAACGATATAGACGCTATTAAATGAGGTACAGATCAACAAGATCAAGGATCAGCGTAGAAGGAAGCGAATGGGCATTGATGATGACTCGGAATTCAATGTCAATGATGACACTAGCTACGACGACAATGGTGGAGATGTTGAAAAATCGGAAGTGACCGAGCAAAACAATGAAAAGGTATCTATACAAGCTAGATTCGTGATATTTTATACCATATAATTGACAATGATACATAAGGTACAGAAAGATGAACAGCATGACCTTGGGAAAGACGAAATTCCAATAGAACCTTTCAATATGCGTCAAGAAATGGCAGAAGGAGCATTCGATACAGATGGGACTTACCTTGAACGTGACCGTAAAATGACATCTACAAATCGATCTCTTAACCGTGATGAAGGTGATGACCCATGGATACTCTCACTCGAGGAACAGGAAGCACTTGCTGATAAGGTAAGCATACACAAGCGGCATACATATCACTACCACAGGGTGACTACAGTTCATTCTATAAGAAGAGGCCACGTAGAGCTGATGATAGTAAACCTGATCTGGTACAGCAGCTAGAGGGTACACCTACAGTTGATGTCATTAAGCGACTTATCAAGCTACTGGAACCTGGCGAGACCCCTGTCGATGCTTTAAAATTGCCTAATAAACGTAAAAACAAGCCGACATTGCCAGGGTTCAGAAAAAAAACTCAAGATGAACCAACATCGACGGATAATGTGAAGACAAATGAGGAGGGAGATGAACCGAAAGAGGTACCAGAAAACAAGGAAGAGAAGACTGTACTGTCGAAAATGGATATCTCAGATTTAACTCACGTACTAACAGTCACTTGGCAAAATGTTTATTATATGACAAAAGAAGAGATACGTGGCTCATTAGCCAATGCCATGAAACGATGGAAACGCGGGACAGCGGATGCGGAGATAGGAAAAAAGTATCAATTTAGATGGGTACGAGGAAGTGGAGATGTTCATGGTCCCAACTCTGAGCAAGAAATATTTAACTGGATCGCTTTTGATTACATATCAGACGCGAACCCAATTGAAATGCGTGAAGTTGGTAAAGATGGCAAGCCTTTGAAGGAAGAATGGGTTAATTATAAGGATACAGAACTATACAACTTCTTGAACCCAGGATATCAGAAGGCCAGTGCAGTGGAACAGGGTACAAAACAGCAAGAAAATGAAGAAAATGAGGAGACGAATAAAGATGCCGAGGGTGGCAGTACTGACGATGACGATGTTGACGACGGCACTTTTTCGAAGAAGCAGCGCAAAAATGAACTCATAGGTATCAAGCCGAAGAAAAGCATGCCTGATGAAGATTCACAAGGTTCTGATGACGAACCCGATGTAGAGTGAGAACAGACATTTAGAATAATATCGCATTACACCGATGTTAATGTCAGTATTTCACATCCAGATGAAGTAACAAGTACCGTGTGTTCGAACTGGGCACAACGCCCACCATCACATGTTGCAATTGTCCAACCATCTTCCCATGTATATATTTCTGGGTCTCCCTCACATATTATGGGCTCAATCGTAAACACGTGCCCCTCTTCCATGGTCCCTTGTGTAGAGCTGGGGTGCTGGAATTGTATCATCGGTGGCATATGCATCAATTCTCCGATGAAATGTCCTCCAAACTCACGCACAACGCCGTATCCAAATGATGCAGCGTGTTGAGTGATTATACCGGCCAATCGTGAAAATTCCACACCAGGAGCAACTGCCGATATGGCTTCATCGACGCACTCCTGTAAAAGCCATTTCAATGTGCAATTAAGATAACTATACCTTAGCTACACGAACCAATGTTATCGCTGACTCGTCAGATTCCGAAGTATCGCCAACCAATACCGTCCCTGCGCAGTCCCCAAATACACCATCGTAAAACACTGTGCAATCATATGACACAATGTCTCCATGTTTAAATGGTCGCGTATCAGGGATACCATGGCATGCCACCTCGTTCACCGAGATACAAATCGCTTTGGGGAAACCGTGGAAACCAACTCCAGCTGGGTATGCTCCTGTAGAAATTATATATTCATGTCCAATTCGATCTATATCTTCGGCTGTTATCCCTTCTTTTGTCGATTTCATGCACTTATGCAGGCAGTTTGCGGCGATACGCCCAGCAACGCGCATCGCCTTGATTTGCTTCGTAGACTTAACTTCTGCGTAGGCACATTGGCGTCCATAGTATGCACGAAGTTCGGCATCGTTTCTGGCAGTGGCATATGGCGGTCTTTTTATATGTGCCGGTATATTGTGGGCCCTGAGTACTTCGTATTCCCCTGTGTCTCAATGTGAATGTGATGGTTTGCTAGGTATTAAGTGCTTAGTGAGTAAGTAATCTATGATATGGCTTACCGTACCGAAGCGTCGGTTGAAACTTTTGTCTCTTAGAAGGGGAAAAGAACGATCCTAGGGATGTACGCTCAAGGATGAGTTTCGGTGACAGGAATGATTGTCCTCTTAGTATCCGAGAGAACGTCATCCCGGGGGAGAGAGAGATATTGCGATTAAGTATTGGAGTTGTTTAACAACTGTTTCCTAATTATACCCCGATTTAAAACCAATTATAGCCCCCATGACACCGGCGCGAGCGTAGAGTAGGCAATACCGGCTGCATATAAAATATATACATGATACTAGGTTATATTAAAACTCCATAATAAGGAGCCATGGTCACAAGGCCACACCTCCGCCTCGATGCGGAGCAATTTGACATGTTGGAGTAAGTGTGTTAAAGGCATACAGTCTACACATCTTAATATTCGAACGATACACATCGCCCATATATATATACACACATGTGTTCATAAATTGTACAGAAACCATTTTAATCTGGTCGATGGTAACGGAGATGGACGTATCACCAAGGATGAAGTAGGTTACTGCTAACAATGATGATATATCGTGTTAGTTCCGCCTATTATTCAGATCATTGGGTCAAACTGCCACTAATAGGCGTTTGGAGGGTATAGTCGAAGGTGAGTTGAATGGATTGATTTTGTTATACATCCTTTTTGTAGAAGCGTTCAAGGAAGCAGCGCCAGAGGGTATGTGTGCCTAATCCTATGAAATATACTGTCCAGGCCTGGATTGCGAGGAGTTTATGAATACATTCATGCAGACATTCACGTGCCCGCCGAGCGAGCGGGCAGTCCGGGAAGCACTCATGCTCTTCGACAAGGCTAACAGGGGTAAGTGCAACACATTGCCATGACCAACCTAATGCCATCTAAAGGCTACATCGATACGCAAGAATTTGTAAGACTGCTCACTACACGGGGAGAGAAACTCGAACAGAGGGAGATCGACTACCTCTTCGAGTTACTCAACATACCACCAAACACAAAAGAAATAGACTACACAAGATTCGCAGAAGAAGTATATCGCATGCTCCCAATATTATCGCGCGAAAATATCTGAACGCGTATTAACGCGAAAATGCCTAAGCTTTCACATCAGACTCTGTGTACTTAGACTTGTTAGATGCTTGACTCTTGCGTTCCAAGATGCGGTGACGGTCCTTGTCCATGCGCAACTTGGTTATGATTACGTTGCTTGGGTGAATGCCAACTTGAACGCTTTCACCGGTAGCCTTGTCAGTTGTGATACGTTCAATGTAGATTTTCCACTTCTTACGGTAAACCTGGGTTACCTTTCCCTCGCGATCATGGAAGTGACCCCGTACAACCATCACAGAGTCATCTTTACGTATGGGCATAGAGCGCACCTTGTATTTTTGGCGCAGCTCCTTTGACAAAGGGGCGCTCATGATGATACGCCTCTTGCCAGAGGAAGCTGTGAAGTGTGCCTTGCGCGACTTCCTCCTGCTGGAAGACACAGCTGCATAAAGATGAAAGGGGAAGACGTATGTCATCGAACTAGGTGTTAAAAGATACTTACTTTTTCTGAACATCATCTCGACGATAGTGGGATATCCGAAACCTGCTAAATATATATAATAGTTTATACATTTTTTAAATTAAAACATAACAATACACTACTGCGACGAAACAATCGGTCGGCTGATGCCATGAAATCAAGCAACGGGACCCATCGGCCATCGCAGTAACGGACATTAGGTGACAAACGTCTCGAACCAATGACTCACCTGGCGATACGCGGTAGAATGGTTGGAGTTCTAGTGCTCCTAATGATACGGCTTAACGATGTGTGCTACAACCGCCAATGGACACGGTCGACGGCGTCGACAGAGGTATGGGGTGGGCTACCTAGTGAAGGGGCGGTCAATCACATAGCCCCTAATGACTTAAATAATAATTGGATGGCTATAACCGCGTGCTGTATGTGTGTTTCTTGAAGTGAAACTTAGTGTATAAGTAGCGGGATTTAAGCATCGGCGGCCACTGCGAACGTTGCCGGCGCCCTTGGACCTAAGACAACTCACAGCACATAAACACCGATAATACGCATATAATAGAATAGGTAGTACCAAATAAGAGCTTCGGTATGAAAAGATTGCAAATGTGGCAGCAGCTTAGGATCAATTTCAATAACCTAGAACGCGATACTAAGTATACAGCGCGATTACTTGCCATTTCCATTTATAATCACAAATATTGAGATAACTCTCAGTGCTGTGTAACCATCTGAGATCGATTGAAGCAACCAATGGTTATATTGACGCCGTGGGATCTTCAGTGGAGTTTCAGGCCAGACTAGCACTGAAATCGTCGAGGCACACCTAATATATACAAATACAGTAGATTTTAGTGATGAAAAATTTGTATTAATGTGTACTTCTTCGACAAAATTGGTGACAAGAGTGGGGTTCGAACCCACGCCATTACTGACAACGGCCTTAACGTTGCGCCTTAGACCACTCGGCCATCTTGTCTCTTGACAAACTGTGTTTTAATTGGTCATTATCCGCTTATTGGCATAACACGGGCCCTAGCTTAAGGTGTAAAACACACAGCTACGGGGAAAATACATATATGGAGAGCTGCCGCACTCCTCGGCCATAGAAGGACGATGTGTGTCACGTTATAACGGTAAAACTGGTGACAAGAGTGGGGTTCGAACCCACGCCATTACTGACAGCGGCCTAAACGCTGCGCCTTAGACCACTCGGCCATCTTGTCTCGCGTGGAGCTCCATTTCTTCGGTCATATTTGTATAATCCCTGCCATCCTAGCAAACATCCATACACACTACTAGACATTATACGAAAAGTGATCACTTATCGGAAGCAGTTATCGCAGCAGCAGTATGAACAGCTGAAATGTGAAATTCTAATATGGCGAATCGAAGCGATATCGTCGAGCAACAGCCAATGAAGGCAGTTGTCTACTACAACTGCCTTCTCGACACCGCTAGCGGGGAATGGATGGCTCCAAGTACGGCAGAATGTTTCAAAGGTAAACGTAGGAGAGGAATTCTGCCTTACAAGTGTATAATACGCAAACATAAACGAGGTAAGTGACCCTTGTATCACTTTACCTAAATTTCGTGTTGAACCAGCCTTGATTTTTTGTAAAAAAGTATACACAATGGTTGATAATGTGTATTTAACTTTGTATATTTTCGGAAGGTTGTGGCTACGTACGGTGTTGCTTGATTTTACCGTGAACTGTGGTTGTCGTGGCTTGTAGAAACTGCTCGTTTTTGCAATTCGCATTTTATACCGGTATTACACAAATTAAGCTATACTTATGGTGATTATATATTTAATACATCATAGCTCAGCGTTAACGGGGTGTTACAAATGTAAGGGTCCCATAGCAACGAGCGCACTGGTAATCGGCTTGCCCATAAAGGACGTTAGAGGACCTTACGGTTACATCTCCATGTGGATACATTTGAGGTGTGGTATCACGGTACTCGACAGACTCATAGCACTATCGGATGGAGAAGCATCTGCCGGAGGCACTGTGCAATGTGGGCAGGACACTAATGTCCTGTTTCACACGTCATTTTTCAACCAGATGAAAATAGCCATATTGGATATTGGATTTGAAAGGCTGAAGAATACAGGAATGGCGATAACTGGCGATATCACGCCGACAACACATTATGCCTCAAGCCTCGAAGAAACAGTAGGCAGTGGGAAAGGGAAAAAGGGGAAGAAAGGCAAGGCTAAATCTGCCGATACCAAACAACGAAAAATGGTTGAAGCTGTAATAACCAATGAGAAATATAACATCATAGTAGATATGCTCAAGTGTCATGCCCACGGGTGTGAGGATCTAGGTGTATCACATAAACGGATAATACATGACATAGTGACGACGATCGAACTAGAAGACCAGGATGAAAAACAGTTTATATTCTGTGATGTATTGAAAATAAAAGAAGCATCTATGCAAATAGAACCAATAAAACAACCAAGAGGAATGCTAGTACCATTGCTACCTTTCCAAAAGGTAAGACTTAATAAATATATTTAGACATAACAATGTAGGACGGAGTAGCATGGATGATCCAACAGGAAAAAGGACCGATAAGGGGAGGCATTTTAGCGGATGAAATGGGAATGGGCAAAACAATACAAATGATAGGTCTTTTAGTAATGGCGAAAAGGGATGCAATAAATTCGGGAAAATGTAATACTGAACAAAATGTAAAGCAGGAAATGGGTAGCGTAACATACGGTGGAGGATGTAACAATAAAATACAAGATACACCCGTGACGTACAAGCCGGAAAATGCACCCAACGTAAATAAAAAGAAATCATCAAAAAAAGATAAATGTAGTCAACAAAAAATAAGTATGCTAAATAAAAAGGGGGGTACACTCATAATATCCCCGTTAGCAGCACTGTTACAGTGGTACAACGAAATAAAGTCAAAGGTTGAAGAGGGATGCCTTTCGGTACTACTATATCACGGACCGTAAGTCACACGGCTTTCAGACCACAAATATTTTGTACAGGCATAGGAAGGATTTGGTACATGTACTTGATGAGTACGATATAGTTCTAACAACATATTCAATAGTTGAAATGGAGTTCCGCAAGGTACAAAACAAAAGTAAAGTGACATGTCAGGTATGTTACGAAAAAGACAATATTTGTAATTGTTATGCAGTACTGTGGTAGGATGTATATGCACAAAACGTTGATATTACACCAAAAATATTTCTGCGGCCCCTTCGCACAACGTACTATGAAACAAGCACTAAGTGAACGGAAACGTGATACACCAGCAGTCTTGCTCAAAATTCATGCGAGACTGTTTCCAGAGATACAGCAGGCATTGGGAGAAATCAACAGTCAAAATGAAAGCGAAGGTAGACATGTAAATGATGAAATAGAAGATAGAAGCAATGTGGTAGGCTTACCATTCACTAGTTTACATATGGAAACAGAAACGACAGAGAGTTGAAATACAACAACCGGAACAGGCTATAGCGGAATATTATGGAAACAAACGTCTGAAAATCGTAAGTTACAAAATATTCTCATTGTTGAGTCAAAATCTATCAGGAGATACTTGAAGCATTCACCACTTTCGGACTTAAGGAAGAAGATGTGGAAATGGCAATGGATAACCTAGCTTATGGTGTCAATGTGTTCATGAAAAGTCTCCAGGATCTTGCTCAACGATCGAAAAATGCTGAATTGAGAAGATTAGATATGCTGGCAGAGTTTGCAGGGACACATGGTATAAATATGGCCCTACTGAAGTCCACGACAGCTGCAGAAATCAAAGATACTCTCAACTGTTTTGGACTTAAAGGATATGGGAACAAGGCAGAATGTGTCAATAAAATTATAGTCTTTATCAACAAGTTAACGCAATTTGGTAAAAATCTTGTCCTGGCTCATGAAGATGAAGAATCTGGAAATTCGAGTGTATCAAAGGATAATGTAATCGATGAAGACGACGATGGTAGTGATGATGGTGACAATGACGATATTGATGACGAGGATTCGGATTATGAAGATGAAAGCGAGGAGGAGGAGGAGGAGGAGGAGGAGGAGGAGGAGGAAGAGGATGAACTGTCAGACGATAGCATACTAAACGTAAAAGAGAGATTAGATATTAAATTTGAGGACACAGGACACATGTCGGTGCCTGGCTCGCATAATATGGTAGGTAAATTAAAATGGCGTACACAGGGTAGTGACGAAATCGGTGGAGAATACGATACAGCGCAGTATGATTGGGTGAAACAAGAGTCTGGAGATAGTCACAGTGTTAAAACAGAACCAAGTTCTACCGGTTCGGTTACCTATAAACCGCCGGAAAGGCAGGAAAAATATACCTTAACAGCTGTTAAGAAAACGACGGAAGAAGTTACAACTGAAAAGGAAAAAATATATGAGGGGAGCGTATTGCATGAAATTGTGTGGAACAGAATAGTGGTTGACGAGGCTCACAGGATAAAGACCAAAGCAAACTCCACATCTCAGGTAGGTCTAATATCTAAATCTAGTGGATAAACGCATATATAGGCCATCATCGCATTGAGGTCGTCAGGTTCCAGATGGTGCCTTACAGGAACACCGCTACAAAACCGGGTTGGTGACGTATTCAGCCTTATCAGCTTCCTCAAAATGTACCCATATGCATATACATTCTGCAATAAACCAGGGTGTAAATGCGAAGCAACTGAAATATCGTCGCAAGATGGAAAGTACTGTGATTACTGCTCTCATACAAGGTTGACACATTATTCATATTTCAACAAACGCATACTCAACCCGATACTGAACTTCGGATATAACGATGAGGGCCAGGTGTCAATGAAAGTGCTTCACAATGAGATACTGGCAAAGAGTATGCTAAGAAGAACAAAGGCACAAAAGGCGGCGGACGTAAAACTACCACCAATGCACGTCACTATCAGACGTGATACGCTTTCAGATTTTGAACGTGACTTTTATGAGGCCATATACAAGCAGTCTGCTGTTAAATTTGTATGTTTAATAGATTACTAAACAAAAGTCATTACTTGCAGGATACCTACGCCAAATCAGGAACACTGCTGCACAACTATGCTCACATATTCGATCTTTTGACAAGACTCAGACAGGCAGTGGACCATCCTTACCTCATATTATACGGGCCTTCGTCTATTGTAAATAAGGCGCAGAATGCTCCGGATCCTGAGACCAGGGCAGAACTCCAAGCGGCCATTAGCGAGACCTTGCCGGCAGCCGGCAGTGAACAGACATGTGGATTGTGTTTTGAGGTACTAGAAGATACGGATGCCTTCCTTACGTCTAATTGTAATCACAACTTCCACCAGCCATGCCTTACAGCTTATGTAGAGAGCAGACCTACGGACGTCATTGACGATGAGAACAAGGGGGTCACGTGTCCCACGTGCTACGCACCATTGACAATTAAAATGCAACGGCCCGAAGAAGGTGGAAACGAACTTTCAAGACGCACTAGGCAGGTTGGCAGGAAACGTAGAAATAGCGTACTTCAACATATCAAACTCAGTGAGTTCAAGTCAAGCACAAAGATAGAGGCGCTATTCGATGAAGTATCGGAAATACTTACTAGCACGACGGACAAATGTATCGTCTTCTCACAGTACTGCTCCATGTTAGAACTTATCGCATACCGGCTCAAGACGGCCAATATCCAATGCGCAGTGCTGGTAGGATCGACATCGCTTGAAGCAAGACGAAACATGCTAATAGAGTTCAACAACAGCCCTAAATTAAGGGTAATGCTTATCAGTCTGAACGCTGGTGGTGAAGGTCTCAATCTTCAAATAGCCAATAGGATATTCTTGATGGACCCATGGTGGAACCCAGCCTCTGAGCTACAGGCTATACAACGTGCTCACAGAATAGGGCAAACAAAACCGGTATACGCGGTGAGGTTTATATGCAAGGACACTATAGAGGAACGCATCATCGAGCTGCAGGAAAAGAAAATGATGCTGTTCGACGCAACTATATGCTCGTCAACAGAATCAATGGCAAAGCTGACATCAAATGATCTCTCATTCCTTTTCAGCCGATAACATAGGCAACGTAAATGTAGTGTTTTATGATAAAACATATACAAAACGCCGAAATCAAATTAACAGTGCTGCGACAAAAAAAATAATGTCAAGGGCAGTGATAACTAATATAGCGGGGTTTTATTTCCCGAAACGGGCACTGGCTTGTGTCTTTGCCTGAGCTCTAGCCTCCATCGCGGCGATGGCGGCTTTTACACTATTTAAGCCTTGTGACGCCGGTTTAGCTTCATTTTGTGAACTAGAACGTGACGCCGGGATCGAATCAACAGATGGTTCAGATTTAGGTAGCGTAGCAGTACGTACAGGAGTTGAGATACCGTGCGAAACCTTCAGCTGACCTATCAGACCTTCTACCTGGGCCTTAAGGGACTCCAATGATGATATCATATCCGCTTCATCAAACGTCGGCTGAAAACGTATGCTAATGCCGTTAACGGAGCCGATGATGTCAATGAAAGCACGGCCGGTAGGTGTCGATTCCCAGTCAACCGATGGAGACGCAACAGACGGGGTGGCTGGTGTCTTGGTCGCAGCGGCGGGTACCTGGGCAGATGCCGATGTGGAAGCTTCATTCGAGGGGGCACCCATACTCTTTTGCGGGGTTCCCAAATCACAACCGTGCCACTCACTGGCCACCGTACGGCGCCGTGGCTGAATACCTCCGTAGATCTCGTCCATTGCAGCTTCACTGTTGCGCCTTAGTACAACCACGGAGATTGGGTTGATTTCCTTGCAGGTGCTGTTGTACAGCATACGACCCAATTCGCACTTGGACTTGTCGCACGCACTACTGGGGATAAAGCAGAAGGACTTAATGGTGCCGGTGCATTTAATCTCTCCGGCACGGTTAAGATCGCCTTCCAGATATTGGAAGATGCGCACCGTCAAATCACCCTTACCAACGACCGTTAATAGACCGGTAGCACTGTCCCAATGAGGGATAAGCGGGCCAGGAGCTGAATCAATATCTTTCGATACTAGCGGCTGAGCAGTGTTTCGGGCGTCCCAGATACGGATCTGGCGGGTCTGGTTGCCCACATAACCCGTGGTTGCCAAGTGATCGGAACCATAAGCACCTCCCAACCATTGCACGCTAGTCGCCTTGTTGGAATCGTGAGCCTTGAAGGTACTGGTAACCTTGCCATCACGTGGATCAGCAAAAAGCACGCAAGCTTCCTTGGTAGCTACCAACATTGTCTCGCCATCGTACGACCAGTTGCAGTATGAATATTGTCCATCGATTGAAATGCATGAAACAGAAGCCTCGTGCTGAACATCCCACACACGTACTGTGTTGTCCATGGAGCCTGACATAAGTACGTAGTCTGTAGCGCTGTTCCACATAACATTGGTAGTCTTCTTGGTGTGACCCGACAAGTTACACAATGCGCTGTTTTCGCTAGAAATACGCCACACTCTCACACTGCAATCTGAAGATAGATGATCAACGGATAACGACAAACATCACGCACCATCGGAAGCAGACGCCAATAGGTTGTAATCGAAGTCATTGAAGCTCATATCTTGCAGAGAACCGGCATGGCCTGGAACATATTGGTGACAAAACAATTTTATAACACTTACCTTTCAAATCAACACGGTTAAGACCACTGTTGCGTCCCAACTTATCCATATTGATCAAAGAAATTAAACCACCACCTCCAACTTCCCAGGGAAATGCAATATGAGTTGTGCTTGCAGCCATACCAGCAGAAAATGCTGTAGGTTTGGGATTGATCTTCAGGTCACAGTAAACCTGCTTGAAAGGTTCACCTAAAATGGTATGAGATAACTTGAGAGGCGAGGGACAGATACAAACGATGGAAAGGTGGTCATATGCCTACATGATCAACAAAATGAAATTGGAGTCGATATACGGGGAAATGGAACCAGATGACGCGAGGATTCCATGGCTGCCGGCAGTCAGGAAACAACAACCAACAATATCGATATGGTCAACAAACAAAGTGTGTTAACTAATTAAAGGTACTTACCAAAAACGTTCTTCAGCCGAACTGTTGCCATCTTGAAAAATATTTGGTCGGAGAGTGTAAAAATAAAACGGAATAATTCAACAATCAAGTAACGGTTAAAGTAAGGTAAAAATTCAAATATCTCACAACTTTGTGTGCATGTTGAGTGCTGATTTCAGCCGACCTGATGCCTCGGAAGTATAGGCTAATAAAAACTTAAGGTGCACGAACGCGAGCCGTCGAATCCTTCCAATACTGTTGGGCGCAGATCACCGATGTGCCAGCCGAGAAAATAACCAGTAGCATTCGGATGTTTAAAATAATAATAACACATCTGAGGCAGCCAAAAAATAGCCATAACGCTATTACAACTCAACAGCTAGCCGTATGTCGGAAATGCAACCGTAGTTAACACACTAACTACATAATTTCAATTCGTAATGATCCATTCAGTATTTCTAAACGTAATAACATCGGTGGCATGAAGAGCCCGCGAGAAACAACGCGACTCCTCAACAAAGCAACATCCACGTCGCGTGGAGTCATATACACATTGCTATGGTCGTTGCTGTTGGCGGCCGAAATGTAGGCTTTATATGTCATAATTAGCAGTTGTGTGATACTAGCACCGAAATATAGCGCTATGTGCAAAGAAACTACACGGCTGAACGGTGTAGGCGTGTCGCATAAAATCTTAGCATACTATACATATATGCACAGTTTTGGAAACAGTAATACACCGCGATATACTTGCGATGTTTTAAGTAAACATAAAGTGATAGAGAACCGTGGAAGGTAGGCACACAGAACCAGGGACGACACGCGAGTCACAAACCAAGTGAAAGAGTAGACTACTACCATAAAATAATGGAATTATGACACTTATGTCGTTCGAAAATCGAAATATTAACCTACGATCATCTTGTCAAGATGACCTCGACGAAGAAAATGTCAGAGCGCCACGACGTCCTAGTGGGGTGGAAGATGCCGTCACCATAGTGCCCCTGGAGGCGATCCTAACTGGATATACAGAGATCATACGAAGAATAGAGAGGAATAGAATGTTATAGGGGTCTTAATATTAGGAGATAGCCATATAGCACTGTACACCTTGATATCACAAGGTGGAAGGATGCGCGCAGCTGGCGCAAAAAAAGACTCTGATAATGCAGGCAAAAGAAGCACGACAGTAGGGACGCTCTAATGTAGTAATATAGTCACACGTGGAGAAACAACCGTCGACTGGGAATCGTCCAGGACGCACATACGTCTTGTTTCATAGGAATGTAATATAGATGCTCAAAGATAGCATAAGTACATAATTGTCTTAATCATGGCGCCGAAAGGTATTCTAAAGCAATGCGTCATGCTCATCGTTTGTCAAACGCTGCTAACTTCAGCCGTTGCCACGTTTTCAGATCAAACAGATGACACAACTATTGAAGAAACATCAGCTGCTCAAGGAATTGTTCTAGACCTCACAGAAGGAAAACTAGATCAAAGATTAGAAGCATGCAACAGGACTGCGGGAATGACGCGCTATTTTGTCAAACCGGGAATTAATGGAAGAATTAACGCTGTACAAATCAACGGACACACAATACATATGCCCACGCAACCACTACTCAAGGAATTATTATGCTCAGCACCTTTCGACAATAAATTCACATTGAAATACGATGATGAAACAACAGATGTATTCACAGTCACTGCAGATGGCATAGAAGGAGGAAACAGAGAAGATTATCTCATAACCAGCGTAACACAAACAAACGATGATGAACACGTGACAAAGGAAGAAACAAAAAGGTTGCATGGACCAGCAAAAATGATAGAGTCGCCAAAGGCATATGAAACTCCAAAGGTTCATGAAACTAATATTGCAAACAGCGGGAAAACACAGGCTCGCAGCTACGCTAACGCCAACAAAACTCCAAACGAACCTAGACAAACCACAAGGATGTACCTCACGCACGAACCTGCAAGTAATATTACTAGCACTTCGCTGAAAAACAAGGAAGAGACTGCAGAAAAAGAAGGAATACCGGACATAGATAAGGAACTAGAGGCATCAGAATCAGAAAGTGATGATAAACGGTTCGCAAACGGTGACAAATTGCAACAATCATTAAGAACACCTCACCAAATAAGCATGAGATCAAGCAACTCAAGGATAAACGAAATTTCACGTCTGGATACGCACAGGACGCGTGCTAATGACTTTAATAGGGGTGCCAGACCATCTTTCAGAGCGCATGAAGCCATGACAAAAGAACGCGGTTTTAAACCGACCACCCAAGATGAAATTGCATTCGTAGACGGAGATGATGACGACGAAGACCTGGATGATGAAGTTGAAACGAAATATCCTCATCTATATGTCAAATGGCCTGAAGAAAAACGTTTAGAAGAAAAACATATGGAAGAGAAACGTTTAGAAGAAAAACGGTTGGAAGAGAAACCTACAGAGTCAGAACATGCAGTTGAAGCACACATTGAAGAAAAACCTACAGAATCAGAACATGCAGTTGAAGCACCCATTGAAGAAAAACCTACAGAGTCAGAACATGCAATTGAAGCACCCATTGAAGAAAAACCTACAGAGTCAGAACATGCAATTGAAGCACACATGGAAGAAAAACCTACAGAATCAGAACATGTAGAAGAAGTACCTCCTAGGGAGATTACCCTTGTGGTAGATTCGAGCAATCCCGACGTATTAGAGGATACAGTGGAAGATATTGTATGTTACAAGGGAACTAACGGGGCTATCATCGGCAATGTTGACATTGAAGGGAAAGTGAGGCACGTTGGTGGAACGGATGCCAAAGATACAGTGGTCTGTGTATCCACAGACGGCGCCAACTACGACATAGCCGTCGGTAACCTAGACAAAGATGGAAACTGGCACTACTCCTATTACAAAAAAAACGATGGCATGGGGATATTGATAGATGTCACAATCAAGATGCTATTCAGAAATGTCCAGTTCGAAGAGCTATTCAAAACTTCCAGAGATCCAGTGATTACAACTGATGAGCCCCTGTTCATGAAAAGCTTCTCATTCAATGGGAGAAGAAATGCCTCGCTCAAACAACTGGAAGTTAACGGAACCCGCTTCTTATTGGAATCCGTCTCCAATGGGTACTATAAAAATGCAAAGGAAGTAACACTCACAGACAGAGGAGCATGTATGCGTTGTAGGAATGGGATGGCTCTCACCTCCATTTATTCCTACATGCTAAACGGCCAGGCACATATGATTGTGTCACTAAGAGATGGGGATGTAGTACAACACAACAAATACACCGCAGCTGAAAACCAACCTAGTGTCTACCAAATTGTACCTTACACATCGAAAGACCACCAAAACATTGTCATTTCTCTAAACTGCTTTGACCTTAACCCCAGAGCCAAGGTGGCAATTGTAAGCGCAGAGAATATTGGTGTAGAAGGCATTTTGTATGGTCTTAATGTCAAAAAATTCGGTGATGTCAGCCTTGTCAAGGTGCCTAAAAGGGGTGTAGACACCATATTGTTGATTGGAACCAACGAGGTGCTCCTTAGAGCTGACGCAAATCATACTCTAACTATATTGGTTCATGGTGAAGGGGTCTCCGCAGACATCTCTTCGGAAAAGGGTAGCATAATCTCGCGTACAATAGTGACGCCAAATGTCAAGGACGGCAGAATTCACGACATCCTTCACCTATAAACGCGCAGGGCAATAGCCCAGCGCTTGTGTTTTGTCTCGCTACTGTAACATTAGGGCGCTAATTTGTGTTTATGTATATATGTTATTCGTGTGTGCATATTTTACGCGTGATGTCTCCATACGTCCGTGGAAGGACCCAGCGGGGTCCCGCACACCTGGACAACTGGTTAGACACTCACCCACGTCTTACCCGGGGTAGCCCTAAAAGGTGTTATCAATACTATAATATCGCAAAAATGAAGAATCAAAATATATCGGATTCTATCTCGGATGACGACCAAGATATCAGCATAGAACTTCAGGTTAGTCGAGTAAACAAAGGGGTCCACTTAAATGATACAATATGCCGTGAAAAGTACACGTCTACAAACAATAAACATGTCTTAGGATGGTTTTTTTGATCTACTTGTCGATAGCGATGCCGACAAGACACCTCGCCGAGAAGATAACGCGAAGGCGTCTAAAAGACCACGTGGGATCGTAGAGGATAATGCCTCACAACGTGGCAAGGATAAAGCAAGTGAGACTAAAGAAGAAGAAACTAGTATAGATGGTAAACGTGCCGGGCAGGACCCTAAGCAGCGGAGACCCAGGAACCGTAACCTGGAAGGAACCGTGGGTACACAAGATAAAACTGCTGTCAACCTACAAAAAACAGATATAGATACAACAATTGCTCTAAAGGAGGAAAGAAAAAACAAAAGTGACCTTTGCAAACATCTAACGTCTGATGCAAGTTGGTCCGACTACGGATTATCACGATCGCTTATCAAGGTAACGTTATTCTATAGACAATTGGCATATTGCTCAAAGGCGGTATTCGATATGGGCTACGAAGCTCCAAGTATCATACAGAGCAAGGTCATTCCAGTAGCACTTGAAGGGAAAGATCTGCTCGCCACCGCGGAAACGGGCTCGGGGAAAAGTGCAGCTTTCCTCGTACCCACGTTGCAGAGGCTGATAAATGCGGGAGTTATTAGACAAAAGGACGCACCTTATATACCAGGGCGTGCACAAAGGGTAGGGACCAAGGCGCTTATACTTCTACCGACACGTGAACTTGCCGCGCAATGCTACGACGTATTCCTAGCACTCACACAATACCTCAACCAAAATGGAGTACTACTCACAGGAGGGGTACCCGTAAAGGAGCAGGAAGCTAAACTGAGAAGGATGCCATATATTGTCTTTGCCACACCAGGAAAAGTTCTAGATATCATGCTCAACTCAAATTCAATACACATGGATGCAATCGAAATCGTAGTACTAGATGAAGCAGACAGGTTATTGGATCTAGGGTTCAAGGACGAACTAGCACAAATACTAAAACTCTGTAACAAGGAAAGACAAACCATGTTATTCAGTGCAACCCTTACAGAGGCAACCAAAGACATAGTACCGGTCGCCCTCGTAAACCCTATATATATCAAGGCAGCAGCACGAATAACAGTAGCAAAAACACTCAAGTGTGAAATGATACAACTGCCCAACGATGAATTAAGGGAAGCTGCAGCACTATACCTATGTTCCAAAAGGTACAGCAGCCGTACTATACTATTTTTCCAGGTAAGCAAAAGATATACTGGTAATCATGTAATTAAGACGAAACGAGCCGCCCATAGGGCGACACTTGTCTTTCAACTTGCTGGACTGAAGTGTGGAGAACTCCACGGTGACCTATCGCAGTCGAAGCGCTTTGAACAAGTAGAAAAGTAAGCATAGGATTGCTATTTAAACAACATTTACAGGTTCAAAAATGGAGAAGTGGACTTCCTAATGGCCAGCGAACTAGCCTCCAGGGGATTGGATATACCAGGAGTAATGGCAGTCATTAATGTCCACCTACCTACCGATACTGTTAGGTAAGCAACAAATGAAAATGGACTATCCGTACCATAGGTTTGTACACCGAGTAGGAAGGACCGCAAGAATGGGTGAAAAAGGTACAGCCATCACCTTCTATGTTGAAAAGGAACGTTCTGCGGCCAAGAGCATGATCAAGAGTATCACGGAAAAAGGATCAAGTCTCGAGAAACAAAAAATCAAACTCTCAACGGCAGCATTGAAAAACTACAAACAAAAAATTGATGAAATGGAACAAAAGATTAAAGAGGTGCTCGCCGGAGAACAAGTCGAGAAGGAGATGCGTAGGTGTGAAAACGTCATCAAACGAGGAAGTGACCCGCAAAAAGAAGGTATGTAACAAAAGAAAACAATTAATCAATTTTTTGTAGAAGAACGAGTCTGGTTTAGATCAAAAAAGGAGAAGAAGGCTGCATCCAAAAACGAGTTCATACAGACCAAAATAAAGGCAGGGTGTGACTCAGAAAGCATCAAAACTAATGACACACAAATGCAACTTCAAAAGAAGAAGAGTAGCACAAATGCAAAGAAACCGGTAAAAAAGATGCTTATGACAAAAACGGATGCGCGGAACAAAAACGCGAGTGGCGGACGGAACATGAAGTCCAAAAAGAGGTCACAACGGAGTCACACATAAAAGCGAATAATTGTAAAAACGCAAACCCACGGCCCTCATGAAATGCAAGTTCATCCAGCCCCGCGGGTCGTGACAGCCCAAGGTAGTGTGGTTGACTGTCCATTGTGAGGGTGATTAGATCACTCCCGCTCTTCCCTGCTGTCACTTGTTCAGTCGCCGATCTTTCGGCAGTCGCAAAAAAAATACATGTTTTATTTGCGAAGCTTACGCCATAGGCGACGCGTACCTGGCGCTGCGACGGCACGCAAGACGGCAGACGGCGACCTGCTGACAAAAGACGCACATAGTAGGAGCACATAAAACGATTGTTTAGAAGCAAATACGTTATGTGCAGCGTCAGCAACGGGATGTATGGTCTAGGCAGAGAATCTGGGACAAAGAACACTCCTAAGACCGTTACATTCTACACGTGATGAGCGCTACGGATTCCGAAGCAGCGTCATGCGAAATCAGGAAACATCATGCAACGGCTAAGCGCTGCAAACTGTGACCGCATAGAATGAAGGACAATACCAGTTTCGCGGCGAACAGCTTCCAAAAGGTTGCTGCGCCGCAAAGGCGTACCTCCTTTGGTGCGACAGACGCTCTTACAGGGTCATACGCTCAACAGGCATTCGACCCGAGTTCGAGCTCGAGGGAAATGCGAAAGATCATGTACTACGAGAACATGTTCTCCAAAATGGATAGCCAGGACAAGATGAAAAAGACCTCTGGCGGATCTAATTCAACCGTAGGGTCGTCCGATCACCGTGCGAAAGATGACGGAGATGATACGGCAAAGTCAGCTGCTAAAATTCCGAGACAAAATAATAATAATAACAGGAAATCAGCGACCGGATCAAATACATCGGATGTGGAAAACAGAAATCAAAGAACAGATCGAACGCATAAACCAGAAACAGATGCGTCCGATGCGCACAGAATACAGATGGAAAATGCAATGATGCATAAACCAATAATACCCAAAAGAGACACAATCGCTATTAAAATTAAAACACAAAATCTCAACTCATTTACCCATGGAGAAGCAGCAGGAAAGGCGTACGGCACTTCACATGAAGCGTTTATTAACGGAGTTGAAGACAACAGCGCACGAGCGACATCATCACTTATACGTAACGTTACGGATATCTCAGGAACGAAAATATCGAAGATGTTGGGAATTGATCAAATTGCCAGTACACCTTCGGGACTATCGGCTTCACAACGGCAATGGATAGTACCCAGCTTCGCTGTAAACCAACCGGAACCAACGTTAAAACAAAGTGACGAAACATTAACGCACGTCACTCAGGATAGTGACACTACACGGGCATCCGATAGTCCCTATGCGTTTACGGAAACACAAACACATGAACAACGGACAGAAGATTTGCATATGACTACAGGAACACAACTCAAAGATAGTGCACATGCAAATACAAGCCCACAAAACACATACTCGGTTACAACTACGCAGACCAGAAATGACCTATTGGATACAGATAAAATTCCACGTAAACAAGAGAAACGAGTGTCCAGATTTCAACCGCGAGAGTTCATACCAGATGATAACCCAATAAAAACAAATGAACCAATCAAAGAAGAACCACATGTGGATGCCTATACCCAAAGGGAAGACCCCCAACCAGCCTTGGAACCCGAAAGTGGACAAGAATCACAAGGCGTAGAGGTGGAATGTGAACCAAATATTGCAGAGGAAACGCCTTTTCAGGACTCTGGAGTAGAATCACACCATGGATACGAGGACATGGATATTGTCGTTAACGAACAAGATATGGACGTCGTAACAAATGATGACATTATGGACTACGACCCTGTGATAAAGGAAGAAGAGGACGAAGAGTATATCCCAGAGATGTCCATACAATCGTTAGAGGGGACCTCTAGCAAAAAAAGTTCAAAGAGGAAGTCGAAAAGTAAAAAAGCAGCGGCCCTGGCCACACCAACAATAAGCACGCCAACTAGCGACGTCAACTCAGCATTCGACCCACTCACTCCGGACGCCGTAGTAGATGACACGCAGGCCGAAACTACGCATTTGGTAAGGTCTACAAGGAGTCGAACAGGTGGCAGGAACGGCGGGAGGAACAAGAAAAAAGATATTAGTTTCACGAACGATCAAGATGACATGCAGCCGATAGCTAAGGCTTCAAAGAGCTCAATGAGGTCATCCTCTCGATCGATACCGAACAACTCCAGGAAAAATGTGTCAGATACCACTGGAACAAAATCGCAATACAATGTGTCAGGGCAGTCAACTTGCAACGACACGCCCGAAAGACAGCTGAAAAAGGCCTTCGCAGACTCAAGAATCATAAGTGTCTCCGAGGCTGAAAAAATTATTGATCTGTACCAACAACATAACGCAGAATTAGAAAGGCTCAAACGCATAATATTATCTGGAGATCTGTCGGAATTCGGTAAGGCCGCCATAGAAGAGGCCGCAACGCGAATACCAAAATTAACATGTACAATAGACCCAAGGTTCGTCATGGCACAACCAATGGGCTTGACAATACAGACGAAACAAGAACAACCACCACAAAATCCAATTGAGCTCTCACTTAAGTACAGGTTATTGACAAGGCTCATGGATAACAAATGACTGGTGCACCTTAATTTACGTAACATAATAGTTCGTTGCACGTTTTACCCTCTGATCAATGTGAAAGTGTTCGTATGTCACATACCTCGACTATCGAAGAAAACACGGGTTTCATGCGCTGACGACCGGCTCGGAGCGCTGAGAGCACTGCCTCATCGTCCAACATCAACGTATTATAACGCCTGCAAATGCTTAAACGAACATTCATAGTAGAACTTACTCCCGAATTGGAGCCAGATGCTGTGACATGGCCTCATGAAGACGTTGTTTTAAAACGCTGAACTGCATATCATCGTTGCTGCTAGATGGCGGCTCTCCCGAAAAGAAGCTTAACAATCGAATCAAATTAGCAACTTCAGGTGACGAGGCATCTGTACAGTTATTCACAGGAGGAAGTTCCACAACACACCGTTAGTGCTCGACGTCTTCGCAGCTCGTAGCTTCTCGAAGATCTCAGAGTCGCTGTCCGTCAGGTTAACGCGCGAGGACGCTTTAGAGCTTGATTTTGACATTTTCTCGCTGCCGTCCAGCGACAGAACCCTGGAGTTGATGCCATACTAAAAAACGCAGAACCCACTTGAACCCACTGCTTTGGTACACCTCAGGAACGCAAACAACGGTTGAAGCAGCACGGCGATTCAACTTATCCGCTACTTCACGCACCACACAAATGTGGCAAGACTGATCTGCGCCTGCGATGATAGTATCGCTGCCGCTGCAAAGTACATCCGCCGCCATCTGGACTTGTTATGAGCCAAAGAAAGAGTGCGGAATTTTTATTGCATGGAAACACACTAACCAGTAAAGGGTACAGGCACTGTGCCACCGAATCCTTCTCTTGTGCCAAATCACGACGCTCAAAATTCGCCAGTTTGCGCAAACGACCTGAACGAATGATACTGATGCGTAAAGCGAAACCTGACCAACCCAATGAAATGACTGTGCCTATTATCCAATGCAACTCCAATATCTCTGGAAAGTCGCTTTGCAGAATGACATTGGTCACTGAGGGGTCTATTCCACAGGCCAGTAGGGTGGCAACAGTACGTCTTGTCCGGTCACTAAGTTCCAGATTGGGCTCCCGACCTACGCAATATGTCATACGTGATAGGCTCCATACCCGTGGTTGCGTGCAAATCGGCAATCAGAAAAGTAAGCTCGCCTCCCGCATTCTGATATTGAACCGCGGGCTGGATGCATCCAATATAGTTTCCGACGTGCAGACCACCACTTGGCTGAAAGCTATTAAGTCTACTTATTAAACAAAAACTGTATCAATACACATATATAGGCATGTATAAGAGACGTGTCATGAAACGCTTCCGTACCTGTATACCTGCGATCGCTCCACTCAGCGCTGCTCGGCGCGGCGGGATGATCCGCCACGGAGTTGGGACGAATCCCGCATAACTGTGAGATTTAACGCCAACTGCGACGCATTCGCTTGTGATGGCGAACAGAAATGGTAACAATGATAAGGCAATCCGACGCAACGGCCATAACACATGCCACAATGACATGCGCCTGTACTTGCCGATCATAAGAGCGCCTACGGCGAAATCACTTGTATGTTGACTCCACCTCAGATAAAACTGAGTCACTGTATCTTTAGCACGCCTGTAAGGTCACACAGGTGACTTGAAATGATAATAGATGGATCTTGAAAATACTATTCTACAGTGTAACCGCGTGACGTGACTGAAGATAGAAAAAAAAACAAGATAGGCACGATTCAACACCTCAAGTTAATGAATCAGCTACATATAAGTAGACTAGGGCGGGATAAGAATATATCTAAGGTACGTTCGATGACTCTTGCCACGACTAGACACATACACAAGGGGGTGAGAAAGCGAGCGTAATTGGCGATCGCCACAGTAGTACTAAAGCCAATATAATTAAATTGAAATTGAGACGAAATATGACAAATGTGAGGTTATAAAAGCCGTGCAATACCTGATGAAAACGGCCACAGGTGTGTCAACAATATCAAACTATTTATACATTCAACAAAAGAACACAAAACTAGAATATAAGGTTTAAATACAGTCAAATGGAGAGTTTTGGATGCCAAGGGAGTAAGAAGGAGCTACAAAGCACGAGATCAACGCCCAGTGTGACGTTGAGAGGCCACGAACGCAGAGGCGGGTCTGAAGGCGCGCGAAGTTTCTCGCATTGTAGGCAAAACGACTTGAAATCAAACGGTGTATATGGTATAATGCCACAGAAGCATGGCGGCAACTCCAACGCACCGCTCATGTTTGTTAACATCAATGACAGAAACGAGGTATTTGCGGTACCGCAGGAATATCCTTACAGACACGCTACCGAAAATCATGACGACTCGTTTGCTGACATGGTCTATCCCCTTTTACCAAAAGCGGTGAAGACTATGCACAGGACGCTACTCCCTTTATGCCCGGCATCGAATGAGCAAGACCACAGCAGCATCACACAAAGTCTCGATTCACAGCTGACCAGACATGTAGAAAGTGCTATAGGCAACTCGGTATCCTATATGGAACTACCGGCAAAATACAAAGATACTTTATCCTCACCGGTAAGGTGCAGATACATAAGAACACACAGATACGCAGGAAGGGGCAAGACACCGACGACACCTATTGTTTGCTAAACAGTGGAAGAGAAATGCCATGAATGAATGTCTATTTAACTACTACCTTACAAGATTCAAAGGGGACGGAAATGTGCCGCTCAAGCAGCATGTCAGAGACATTATCGCAGGGGATGAGTCGGCCAAAAGGTTACTCGAAAAAACACCCAGCATGAAAGGCGGAAGTATAAAAAATGATACAGCATGTGCGTTTGATAGGGACATGGTTAGGGACTGGATCAAAGCAGGACCAAACTATTCAAAAACACTAAGCGACGCCTTAGGAAAGTATCACGATTTCCTCCATAAGAAGCTAAAAGCCAACTCTGAGATTAAACGAAAGGTGGCAGCCACCTCAAGGTATTTCTTTGAAATACTCGCTGAGGCCAAAGAATGTGAACGCAAAATGCATGAACGAGAACTGGTAACCGAGGAAAGGCTATACGGCAGAAAGGACTTCATAGCAGAAATCGAAAAGGAAAACCAAATGAACCGCAACAGATGCAAAAGATTATACGCAATGTACCTTCAGTGCCAAAAAAGGTGCTCAGAATTGGCAAGAAATGCTCGCGTAAACCCTAATGAAACACGAGTTGGCGAGCAGCAAGGCGCAGCATTGTACGCCCATGAAATGGTAAACGACCAACAGAGGCCTGGGGCATCAGGTGACATAGTTGAGGCTACAGCTGCAAATATTGTGGAAGTAGCGCAACCAAACTATGACATGCACGATTGCGTTACCACAGCGGCAGCAGCAGGACCTGCAACTCAAGAACAGGACGACAGTGATCTGCCCGTAACACAGTCAACTCAGGACGGTTTGGAGAACCGCGATGCTGATGAGCCTAGGATGGGGACGCAGATGGAAAATGGTGAGTGCAGCGCGGATCAGCGCAGCCATGGCGTCAGGGAATCCTCTCCGTCTGTTGCGGTGACACCTTCGCGAGATGACACATATGTTCCTCGTGTAACTAAGGAAACTTCGAATAATAACCGAATGGCCTCATCAAATTCATGGGATCAAGTAGTCTACCTGCAGCATAGGCCATTAGATGCTTCTTCCGGCATCACACTTAAAAGAAACAGATCACAGGATGAAACAATGACACCAACGCGGAGAATTCGGGATTCGCAACCTTCAAGTGCAGCAAACAACAGCCGACAGGTGGCTTCCCCGGTCGCGACACTAGGTGTCATGCAAGCCGGATCCACTACGCCATCATATCAAAGGAACACGCATAGTCCCAGGGGATCTGAGATACAACTATCTAATAGACTCAGCTCTGTTGGTGGTGTAAACAGGTGGATATATAGCAAAATGGAGGAAAGAGGTGAACTTGACGGTTACAGGAGCCTTCTCAACGAACTCAACACGCTACTGTTCTCCAAAGGCGGTACAGTCCTGGGATATCACACACTACCACAGGCTCTCGACTGGCTAGATGAGACGGATGCGAACAGGACAATTTTACCGCCCAGCCAAGATACATTCAGGGACGGCACACTCTACACTACATGCTCCTTCGCAGAAATCAAGCTCTTGAAAGTCTTGCAGGGTGGTATATGCGCCCTGCGATCTAGGGTTCGAAGCAGAGATTTTGATTGCGCTGTTCTCAGACAGATATTAGATGCCAACAGCGAACTAGTCGAATTGAAGAAGAAGCTGGACAACGGGAGATGTGCACTATACAAAAAACTCAAGAGAGACTGGGCAGAACGTAACTCAAAATGGGCAGGATTCCCGCCGCTAAAACGAGGCTACAGGTTGCTTAACATGTTAGGAAAGGGTGGATTCGCCGAAGTATGGGAAGTACTGGATCCAATCACACTCACTGTGCAAGCTGCTAAGCTGCACATCCTATCTAGTGACATGAACCATATTGAACGCGGAAATGTAGTAATGAGGGTCAAAAACGAAATAGACATCCACAAAACGTGCAGGACACACAAGAATATAGTGAACATGAAGGCATGCTTCGAAATGGGAGATAACATGCTCGCTACTATTCTCGAGCTCTGTGACGACGGGGACCTCGACCACTATATAAAGCTACACGCTCCGGTTCCGGAGAAACTCGCCCTCACATGGACTTATCAGATTCTGGAGGGATTACATTACATGAAGACACTGCCAGAAGGCAGGGTACATCATTGCGATTTAAAGCCGGGTAATATACTAAAACATAAAGGAAACATCAAGCTTGCCGACTTCGGGCTCTCAAAGGTAAACGTGAATAATCACAAAAGATACAAGAACGATGCAGATGGTACCTCATGAGTCAACCAGAGAGCTTTGGGGTGGCGGGGGTACGATATGTTACCAGCCTCCGGAATGCCTTATCGCCAACGTAAGAAACAAACAAGTCATCCTTACGGACAAAATCGACATATGGGCTGTTGGATGCATACTATACGAAATGCTATACAACAGTAGGCCTTTTGGGTTCGGTGGTGGCAAAAAATCACTGTCAGGTAGGTACATATATGCAATAGACAACACACTGCATTAGAGAGAATGTACCACGCCATCCTTGGTGGTGTGAAGTTTCCTGCAAATGATGCCGTTTCCGAAGAGTGCAAGGTAAGACATAAACTCTGCGCATAAAAGCGTTGTAGGAACTAATCCGTAGATTCCTTTCGTTCGACCCTCAAATGCGACCCTCCATAGAGGAGGCTATGAAAGCCAGCGTGTTCCACACAGAGCTTGCAGAGCTCACATAAATATGGTTTCAAATACCGAAAACTTGGTTTAATGGTACTTCCAAAGTCTTGTGTGTTGGAGGTGCGTATGCATATTTCTCTAAATCGTCCGCAGTGGGAGCTTCCGTACCACCGTGTTCACCATTACGCGAATGAGGTGTGGCAAACATACGCCACATCATTCGCTCACAACTCAAATTGAGTCTACGGCGACGGTTAGCTTTGTAAATTCGATGTCCCAGCCTGCTATACCATGCAAGGTAGCCGCGGTAAAGGCTCAAGCAGCGCTCCAAATCATGATTGGGATCCTTAGCTGGTGCCGAGTCGATATCTCCCGGTAGTTTAAACACCGTATTTATCGAGTCCCTGATCTCTGATGCTGTCAACACAGTTTTGTTTGCAGCTTGGGTCCGGTGCACGGCCGTTGTGATCAGAAGCTTACAATAAGATTCAAACGTATACGCCAGGCAACGTTCAACACTGCGGCACCAAGTCAAAGGTTCCGACTCTATAAGAGCAGGTGTATCCCCGGTATCACTAGAAACAGCTGAGGTTCCCGTATCCTCACTCGAAGCCTCGAGCTGCTGAAGGTGCCTATGCACATACTCCTTCCAAATCTTGCCGGCCATCCTCTCTACAGCATCATGTAGTAGCTGAAACTGGAAGATTCGGCTGATGTGCCAGGCACAAGCAGCCTTAACCAATAGAGGAGAAAGACCCCTAAGACTTTGAGGTGGTCACCAAGGGAATCGGCGACAATGCCGTCCCAGTTTTAGCGCTTCCTGCGCCAGCCAAACTAAAGGCAACGTGTAATATGTGCAACTCACTCGAAAGTAGGGAAGACGATTACTCTACCGGGGCTAGGGCACGCCAAATGCCACACTCGCAGCACAACAGATGCCTGTCACACATCACTAAAAAATTAATATAATACAAATTAATGTCAAATTTAACGACTCAAAACACGTGTTTGAGTGGTAAATAACAATGTAGAGCGGAGTTTAAGCTGCCGATAGGCTGCAATCGCAATCAGCGTGTAGATATGGAGCGCGCTGTGAGGAATTTCATTATTATCATTTCCATGGACATCCTTGTCTTCGTCACGAGCGTCATAATTTGGTGCAGAAAGCGCACGAAGATTATCGACATCATCCGCAACGGATTTCAGGGATTGCACATGGTAAATCACAAAAAACGCAAAGATGACCAGCAAAACCAAGACGGAAGCAACACAATCCATCAGGTTAAGTACATGAGCTCCTACGATGGAGGAAGTGAAGGTGAGTGTGCTTTATTTCATATATAAAACGGTTGGTATCAACCGAACTTATAGCAGACTAATGATAACTGACGTACTCTCAGGTACTGATATCGATGACGAAGGTGAAAAATCGGATATTGGCACCGATGGGAGATATGGAGACGATGCGTCAACTACTTCGGCCCTTTATGTGGCCCCGGAAAAGTCGCGGAAAGATGCGGATGTGCGCAGGGCGACGGCGATGCGAGGAAACAAAACGTGGTGGTATCACTTGATATACAGTAAAGACGGTCGAATCAGGAATAATGAGGCTGTGCTATACCTTAAGTTCATACGCAGCACGTGTATCATGTTACTCATCTGCTCCTTTGTAGCACTCGTATCGAACATTATCATCTTCACGCATCTTGCACTCAACAATAAACCGCAGTTTTTATTCACATACTCTATCGAAGATATGCGCAGCTGCAAGCTAACTGTTTGGACCCTGTATGCCACCACGTGGATATACTCCATCATAGTTTATGTCCACATCTTCAAGTTTAGACGAAAAGTCAACAGAGGAAAACAAATTACGGTCATGTTGCGGCCACAGCTGCATACTATAATGATATGTGGATTCGATAAAAACATTACAGATCCAACAAAGTTCTACCGACATTTCGAGCAGTACTTCCCTGAACATGTCCTCTCCGTGCACATAGTTTTCAATCACAGCAAACGTATGCAACTCGAGGAGGAGCTGACTGCGACAAAGGCACAGCTATGTTTATGCAGGGATATGTCATTGCTAGTGAATAAGAATCGTAAGGGTAAACCCGAAACACCAAGGGCAGACACAGAGGCCAAGGAACCACAACCACCGCCCAGCAAACCACGCAGATCGCAATCTTGCGGGGGCATAACGCCCCCCGATAACTTGAATGTCACATCTGATGAGGACAAGCAATATCGGGCCACTGTTTCATCGAGTAATCTGATCTCGCAACCGAAAGAGGCTAAACGGGAGCCTACCAGGTCAACTGTGACTCTGAGAAAAGGTTTCATGCGAGGGGTAACCCGAATATTAGTAGGCAAAGAAGCTGAAGTGCAAAGACAACAAGATTATGAACACGAAGAAGATTTTGGAGAACGCTTTGTTGATCTGTTGGGAAGAGTCAAAGAACTCAAGGCGCGGATAGAAGAAGAAGTTAACCGTGAGCATGTAACGTCTGCAAGGGTCTGCTTCGTTTCGTTTGCGGACTCAAATATCGTAATGCACATTCTGAGGGATAGAAATATACTGGAAGCTATCCCAGAATGGAGGATACGGCCTGCGCCGCACCCAAGGGATATCATTTGGCGAAATTTGCATCTCCCAAGATATTCAATCATAATCAGGATGCTTGCCTGCAATTTACTGCTCGTAGTGTTCTACGTGATCATTACGTGGATACTATCGCATCTAAACCTTCTACAGACTGTCAAAAGCAAGGAGGCGGCCGAAGGTACGGCAACACAAGTAAAAAATAAGTATTTACAGGTGCATCGGGGGCTACTTTCAATATCAATGACCTTACTCAACGCTCATTTTGGAGCGCTATGATGCCACCGCTGATCATGGCAATTCTCAACACATGTGTCCATCCGTCCTTAATCAACTTCTTCTCCAGGCAGATAGGTGGGTAAACCTGATATATAGACGAATTTTATGCAGGGTTCTGGACGCACTCGACCTACCAGAGGTATCTATTATTTGGACACGTATTCTACTTGGTCATCAACACTATCTTAATACCGCTGATAGCCTCAATGATCGCCTTCTGGGTATGTCACCAACGAATGAAACTAAATGAGTGTAGAAAATATTTAACGGAGCATTTGATTCGCTGTCTGTGGATCTCGGAACTGTCCTGGTGAATACTACTTGGAGATTCTCAACCATTTACGTATTCAACGCCATCTTCCTTGGGTCTAGTAATCAGCTTTTACAACTATCGCAACTCTCAAGTAAGCCAAACTTTTAAATATTATTATACCGTTCAGTGAGGTCTATTTGTATATATTTCTTCAAATTTGACCTCGGAATCACCAACTTCGATTTCGGGTATTGGTATGCCTTCCATCTCTCGATTCTGACGTTGGTGATGCTCTTCAGGTAGGAGATAATAATATGCGAAACAATAGTTTGCAGCTTGTTTGTACCCTATTTGCCAATACTGGGGACGCTGTATTTCGCAATAAGATACTGTGTCGACAGACACAACATTGCGTACGACGTCCTCCAACTGCCGCTGGACTCCACCGGGAAAATAGGTGCATCGGCTGTAAAATCTATGTTAATATGCATATCTCTCACACAATTCGCTATGTCAGGAGTATTCCTGAACTGTCAAGAGGTCCTTCCACCGGTATGTATAACACTACTCTACATCGCCTCAGTGGTAGGTCAGATACGATGCTGAGTAAAACATAATTAGGCTACGTGGCTGCTGATGTACGAGTCGAATGCGGACTTTGTAGTCGCTTGTATGGAATCAATGCACAACCTAGAATTGAAACCACTCACCAAATCGATGATGGACACCATCAAGATGTGTTATATGCACCCTTGCGATGCTAAGGACCTCATCAACGGCAAAAAGACTCAAGTATATTTACAATAACATTGCTGATAATGTATATATATCATCATATGGCGCTGTGCATCTATAGGAGTATTATATAAACTCGTCAAACGGAGCGGCAAAACTGCGTCAGCCGGGAGTCGAACCCGGGTCATCTGCTTGGAAGGCAGATATCATAACCGTTAGACTACTGACGCTCCTGCTATGGAAGTTAATGTTTGATTGGTACCACAATTATGTTAATTTATCACGAACTACAATTAATGACATTGGTGATTATGCAATAATCGCAAGTGCCACTGTCAGTCTGTACAACTTCCACAAACTGTGAGTCTTACAAGTGACGGTGCTGTAAGAGTTACGCTACAAGGGCGGCGATTCTCGTGCCGTAGGAAACGCAGAAATACCGAAGTGTTACAAATGGGCTAGTAGTTTTACATATAACCCGAGTCTTCGTAGACGGCTTTAATTTTAACGCATCCCGGGTAACAAAATGCCGCAGACGCATTTATTAGCGTTTCATTGCTCTGAACAAACTGCGACGCATAGGGGATAAAACAAAAAACTACTAACAGCAGGGGCACCAGTAGTGCTTAAATCTTCAATAGCAGCAGCATGAATACGACCTAAAAACAATATATTAGAGAGAAGGGCGTACTTAACATCAATATGTAACGATGTATGCAACGAAGACGTGTTTTAACGTACCTCCGAAGTGATGAGCCATCTGTCCCATACATATCACGAGGTTGTCCACAGTAAAGGTCCAGTAATCCGGGGTCTGTGTGTAATGCTGCAGGTGACCAATTAGGTAGTGACGGGAAAGATAACCTCGATACTTCCTCAGCAAACGATGGTACTGCTGCAACAACTCAACGCAAGGAAACAAAAAATCGCACGATCATGAGTATGAAACAATAACACAGGAAAATTAAGAAACTAACGCTGCAAGCTTCCTGCATTATCGCATCAGCGCTGCGTTTGCTGATGTATGAACCTTCAAGCATCTGCCTCAAAGTTTCGCGCAGAGATTCTATCGCGTGACTTCGCTCCAAAAGGCGGTCGAGCTTAATATAGCTTTTAGGTTCGGTCATATTTAACACATTTCAACAATTTTCTGTTTAAAAAATGTAAAAAATATTAGAGATGTAAAAATTTGGAGGCGAATCAAACCGCACGACACGGGTGTAACGGAGTTACACACTAACGATACATTTCATTGCTAATTTTCTGCAACTCTGCCTGGAGCTGAGATATGATGCGCTCGTCTTCATCTAGTTTCCGTTGTCTAGACCGCTCGAGCTCCGCCAGATCAGAGCGAAGTTGTGCAGTGTGCCTCTGCAACTCGTTAGAACATTCCTCACGTTTGCTCTGAAAATGATCTGCAGATCACATGACTGACACACTAACTTGTAATACGGCTTCACGTTGACTCTTCAACGCAGACTTCAGGTCGCAAATCTTTACGCTTTGCTTTTCCTTGTATTCATCCATATGGCGCTGACTTCAATATCAGAATAGTCAAAACACTGAAAAGTAACAAACCTGTTGTAACTCTGAGAACCTAAGCTGCCGTTCGTTCTGTTCTCTAAAACCATGGTAACGAACTGGAGGCTACCTACGCGGCGTATTTCGCCTTCAATTCTCCGAGGAGAATACGGGATTGGGTGATACCCTGAACGCATATCTAGCGGATGAAAGTGACTTGCCTTGTTCAGTTCCTCTAGCTCTTTGCTCAACTGTTGAGATCGTGATGTCTCTCTGTCCACAGCGGTTGCCAGTGATGACCTGGATCCTTCTAATTCGTTCACAGCGGTTTGAGCCCGAGTGAGTTCCTCCTGCAAACCAGTATATTAGATGTATTCTACGTATAGTTAACTAACCTGTACTGTCTCGTTTTTATTTTGCCATTCCGACATTTTAGCTTCAATAGAAGAACGCTGAAGGTAAAATTGTGCTAATAATCAAATTCGTCTAACCTCGGCATCAAGCTCCGAAACCTCTAGCTCCACTGTAGTAATGCCAAGAAATGTCTGTTCCGCGCTTTCAAGGCGCTTTAACCAGTCGTTTGCTCGCTTACGAAGCGCTGGAAGCTGCTGTTCCAGCTCACCTCGAAGAGTGGAATATTTTTCTAACTCCGTCGAATCCGTATCCAAATCTTTCGATATGGACTCCAAAGACCGTTTTAATGAATCTAGATGATCCTTACATTCTTCCTGTCGGATTTTAAAGGTGATAAGGTCCATCTTACCAGTGCCATTTGTAGTTCATGAGCTTCCGACGTAACCACTCCTCGCAAAGAATCCAAACGATCCTCTTCTTGCTCGAGGGATGCAATGTTTTGAAGGTACTTCTTATTTGATTCGTGAGATTCCATGATATGACCATCCAATTCTGTCAGCTTGTTCTGGCACGAAGATAGAACTGATGCCAGATCGTCGAACCTGACGTGACTGTTACGGATTGGACATAAACCAACACGTACTCTTTAAATATAGATGAACGATCAAATTCTCGATCATTTAAGAGATCGTCCAACCTTTTTTTTTCTTTTTCCAAAGCAGACAACCTATCGCCACATGCCGACAGTTCAGCCCTGGCTGCTTCCAGAAGGGAACGAGCGGACAATATCTCGGCATCCTTTTCTTCCTGTAAGTTTTTGTATGCCACAAAACGAACGTATTCCAACCGTTTTAGCGTTCAAGTCACTTAATGCGGTCTTATGGTGCAAACACCGACTTTCCAGTTTACCCTGAAGAGCGTAAAATGCTATGATGCCCGTATTACCTGAAGCCGAGTTAATCTACCACTTATCCTTTTGAATCCTTTTTTGACAGTTGAGGCCATCTATGGAAAAATATAGTGTAAAACTACGCTACAAGCATACCACCTCGGCCTCGTGCATCTTGAGTAGCCCTATGTTATACTGACATTGGTGTTTCTTGAGGTTTTCTAGTATGTCCTCTAGTTTTGACTGCGATGTACGCATCTCTGGGGCTTATAAGCAGTGTAATTGGGAGAAACAAACCTGACAGTTTCACATCCAGCACTTCCGACTTAGAAGACAGCGAACCCTCCAGTGCGGTGCTGCGCACTCCCAATGTTTCTAACTCATCAGAAATTGAATTTATATGAGATTTATGCTCGTCGTAAATCAAAAGATGCTGGGCAACTTCTTTACTGAGAAAAGATGAATACTATGTTAACAATAAATACCGTAGATCTTTCATCTCCTTCCTCAGGAGTCGATATAGTGCGTATAATGTATTGAAATGTGACATCGCTGAACAAGTATGAGCGGTGGATATGGTAGTATAACACGTAAACGATATAGCCACAGGATATAATCCACATGAAGACATTATGTGTGGCAGCCTCACACCTACCCCCAGAGAGCCGTTGTTTGCTACTCTCTATTTCGTCTAGGCATCGATCCATATCCTCGAAGAGATGTTCCAATGTTGTCATTTTGTTGAAATAGACGTCTTGATGTTTCGCTGGTAATTATGAAAAGAGCGTGTACTTTCTAGGGTTTTATTCACTGTGAAGACCTAGAAATATTTGATAACAAATACGTTGTGATGCATATAAGGCCTGAATTGAAGCAAGACACACTTATTTACAGTTAACAACTCATAGCGAATTTATGTGTAAAATATAACTACACACAAGGCTAAAGTAAGCACGAAATATTCTAATGTAGACACCGGGGCCTCCAGAGCTCTATGTGATAATTAGTTCGTACTATTTATTGTAAGAGCAGTACACAACGTTTAAACTCAATGGGGAAAGTCGGGGAACGCTTTTGAGAGCACAGGAAGAGAGGAATATTCTTCGAGGAATTTTCCCCGACAGACCCAATTTTCGGCAGCAACCTGGTTCGTCATCGGAATAGGCTATGAAAGCAAACCACGCATACCATTGTTACATTACCGAGTAGTAGTAGCGTATAGAGTGATTTGGAGAACGAAAAAAGTTACACAGTCCTCAAAAGGGTAGGGATGAAAAAACGTCCCAGAAGGTATGCAGTGATGCTTATCGCTACATCAGGAGCTACATTCACCGTATAAAACACAAACCCCTCCTTATGAAGCCTTAAGAGAGCATTAATATCTGTTTCACAGTAGTTTCTCAAAAATATTGTCAACGGGACCCTGTCTAAAGTGGGACAGGGGCAATATGCTACACTAGCCCAGACGGTCACGCCAAAACTCTATCTCTTGCTTCTTGAAGTAGCGCTTGTCATCTTCATCCACGATTAGGAGGTTAATATAGTGCTTAACAGTCAGCTTGTTTTGGACGTTTTTGTAGGTGGGGCATAGGTCAAGACCGTTGAGATAGATGCGGACGGGTATACACTCACCCTTAACGGGAGACCCATCCATCACCTCAAACGTGGTCAGAGTTTGCGTCTCGTTCACTATAGTACGTCCTAGGTAAGAGTCGAAAAATTGCGGGTGTCACTCACCTAGTGTGATGGTCTCCACCCTCTGAATTGCTACTTCCATGTATTTGATGGTCAACGCCACCAATAAAAAGTATACCTAATACAATGTCATTCACCAAACTATCAAACAACCTTTCCTAGTATCACGTCACGTAAATGATAGGTCGACTTGTTGTACTCAAATTCAATATGCAGAGCGTCCTCGATCCCAACTTCCATTTTAATGGTGTTATTGATTTGAGGCGGTACTCCCACTTTCTGTACCGCAAACATAGCATCCTTACATATGTTGCTAAGAAAAATGTGCCACCAAAGAGAGCAAAACACACCCGCCGTAAGCTTTGACGATGGTGATACGCACAAAATAGTACAAACGAATGTTCACACCCCAGTAAGATTCGTTCTCTATGCCCACCAACGGGAACTTCCAGTTGTAGCGCTTACTCTCAATTACGCTCCCTGCACGTCACTGTAAGTATCACAAAAAAAACGCACCAGAGGCCTCGATGTCACGTGACATCGTGAAGAAGTTATAGGTTCCAGTCTTATTATAGAGGGTGTCTACAAAGAACATCAGCGGCAAATGTAAGCGATTAACGTACCACTCTGACCGATCAGCTCAACTTTGATGCCCTGGTGATCAAACTGCTTCCCCGGCTTTAGGCTGATAAAAGCCGTACCGCTGATTTCTTCCCCGTCCTAGTAACTACATAAGGAGACTAAATACTATGTACACACCGAGAATACGGGGCATTTGTCCGTCTTTTGCTGCGGATCGACGAACACGAGCGGCCGCGTAGGCTCCGAGGTTATTTCCACGTCCAGAGTACATGGTTGACCAAAAAACATCGAAAACTGCATCAATATGTAAAATAGAATCAAAGAAGAAGGTGTATTCGAGCGGAAAATACACCCCTAACGACGTACCATCTTGAAACAATTCTCGGAGGACGGAGACACTAGTGCGATGCGATGAACGTAATAAGGGTCAGAAGTGACCCAATGGAGCTGCCTTCAAACTTAAAGCAACATTGAAATTAAACGCGCTGACGCCGTCGGTAGGTTGTGAACAATTTGTGCGGACCACGAAGATACACACTCCCATCGCGGAATCAAATGCGCCACCTAAAATTAACGCGACGCCCACACATTCAGAAGGTGGCATACAACACATAGTACTAACGTTAAATATACGGGAAATTTGATGACATACATGGCCTGTAACCAGGCGACACATGCCAACATACTGACGTTATAGAGGTGTGACCAAACAGAGGTCGCACCTAAGTAAGGGTGTCGTGACATAACACTGCTCCGCGAAAGCGTCCACAGCTTCCGACTGTCCAACTTCCCCGAGTTCCTTGAGAACATGGGAGTAGACCTTCATCGACCGACACTCCATCAGGTAATCGGTGGATGCGGTACCAGTGAAACCTCTGCGTAGCAGGGGCTCAAATACCTGAGCAGATTCTTCCAAACGGCCAAGGCCTGCCAGTATTCGACCTTCCAGAAGACTTAGCTTGCGGCTGTTATGTCGACACGATGCAGCGCGCACGTCGAACAGCAAGTCACGTAGTTGGTCTGTGCCACAGTTATAAGAACGCACATACAAACGTAAAAATGCCACCTCTGCGCGCATATCAGCGGCCATCAACGAACCGTCACCGAAGTGTCGCTCCACATCACCGCAATGGTATCCTTTTGAAAACGGACCACGATAACACTTTTCGCTGGCAGCAGCGGAACCCTGTCCGTCACTACAGCCTGGGCGATACGCCTTTAGGTAACACCCAAGAAGAGGGAACAACAAATCCGCAACTAAAGCATGAGAGCTTTGCGATAACACCTCTAAACAGGTTATCCAACCATACACCTCTTCCTCGAAATAGGTGCTGTCGGACGCACCGCATCTTGTTACCGATCCCGAACGTGAATCAGCAACAGTATCTAGAGAAAACATCAGACACAAAGCACGGAGGAAAGGAATGGAAGAAATAAGAAGCTTCCGTGAAACAGCACGAAATACTAGAGCCTTTATGATTAAGCACATTTTATTACCCTGCTTCATCCACTCCTCCGGTATCGCTACGCTGCCAGACTGAGATCCAAAATCCACACTTGCCCTAAGCACCATTATCAATTCCCCTATATCGATGCGTGAAGAATATGTTGGCCTTCTTGCATTTTCCCACGGGAAAGTGTCGACGGTGTCATCTGCAGTTCTACATATTAGCTGTAACGCACCAGCGTACGCATATACACTTCCGAAACGCGTGGCAGTGACCAACGTTTCCAAACACTCTGACAAATCCCCTCCTACAGATTTGCCTAGGTGAGACGAGAGCTCTAATTCGTTCCCAGCCAGACTGGGAAACACTGGGTCATATGGCACAGGTACTGCTCTGATATCTGTATCACAGCGACTATCTCCGTCCTTCCTATGACCAGTATTGCGAGTGAGGTACTCCTGCCAGACACCAATGGTCACGTTCACAGGCGCGCAGCTCCGCACTCGAGAGCTCAATACCACAGCCATGGTAAGCCAGGCGGCCAAACACGAGTCGTAACACTCTATACTCCTGCTGCAACACATGTATGCGAACTCATAGTCGTGAGCAAGCACAGCACAATGGGCCAAATATACCCATGCCTTATAGCAAAGCGGATCCAGTGACAACGATTGCAAAATGCACTGCACAGCCATCGAAACTCGGCTACCGCCATAGCTGGTATCAACATCATCAGGAGAGCACGGTGGATGGTCGAAGTTATCGCCTCCCACTGTCTCAGTGTGGGTGTCAACACATTCCAACACACGCAACGGACCCAATACGGGGTCACTTACTTGTATCCAATGTTTACCAATTTCAGATATTGGCACCGACGAAGGATTAACCTGCAGGTATCCCAGCTTGATATAAGCGGCTCCCATGAGCAGCAGCGAGATGGCAGATGTATCGTGACCACCCACCAAAGTCGTGTCATCATGTTTGTATTCTCTCTTGGTTTGGGTTAGGACATTTTGCGTCGATAGCAGGCCTTCCACTTCACCAGTTCCAGATGCAACGTTAGTATCCTCCGAAAGCTGTTCAATGGCAAGCTGAGGTTCCATAACCAATTCGATGAGGAGCTTAGCTGACAAGTGAGATCTGAACCTCGATTCTATATGCGTAAGTCGCATAACGTCGGTGTATATCTCAATATTCCCATAGAAAAACGGTGTGCTGTATCCGCTGGTAACTCCCTGGAGCTGCTTCAGCAATGACAGGGAAAGATTCCACCTGCCTTGCAACACCTGAAGCAAGGCCAAGTGAAGCACCAAATAGTCGTACTGTCGCTCGTGAAAAAAAGTCGCCAACTGAACAAGCATGGTGGACTCTACTAGCTCATGAAGTAACGTGAAGCCGTTGACAATTTGCTGTATACCCTCTGGTTCATCATCCGAGGTGTAGACTTCATTGACGTATTCAAGAATTTTACTGTCACGTGAACACTGGTTTACAGTTTCGGTTCTCAATTTACCCTCCGACGACACTTCTCCGATGTCACTGGCGCAACACGAAGTCGCCGGCATGTAAATATTGCCCTCTGGGAACTCCACGGGCACATTTTGAGTGTTAATCCAGACTCCAGAGGTAAATATGAAATGAGATATCCATTTTATCAACGATATCATGCGGCCTAAGTGGCAGAAACAACATGTATCACTTATTGCTTCAGACAACGGTGTTGCACTGTGCTCGTCCAACTCATCAGCACAACTCGTTTTATCATTGACATAATCTGGATCTGTGTGAGAAAACCCATTTGACAGTTTATTTTGTCCACATACAATCGTACATGTGGAACAAAATTGCACTGTACGTGGATAATATTTGTTAGGATGACCACTAGCCATAGATAAGGTTGCCTGCGACCGATCAGTTATCTCCGAGAAGCTCGGTTTCTTACGCCAAGAATTCATAAACCGGCGTTTAAACCTAGCCCTCCTCATTTGGTAACTTATTCTGCGCAGCTTGTTGTGTTTCGTTACGATACCGGGGTTTCTAACATTGCAAGCATATTGGCAGGCCAAGATTCGGCCCAAACCACGAAAGATACTGTTATCATCTCCAGTAGCTGTTATATACGATGCACGTGCCTGGCTGTTAAATGTGGTTCGTATCATTTTTTGGAAATTCAGCATTCGGTTTGTTTCGACGCTTTTCCTGACAGGTACCCATGGCAAAACCTGGCGAAGGAACAATTTACCCTTCTTTCTCAACGTGTCCTTGTAGTTCAAGTAGTCCAATGATTGCCTAAAATGCAATACCGTATATTCACGGTCAACCGAGATGCAAAATGCCACCAAAGCCAGTACAACCATCCGATCATATCCACTTGTAGACGATTGCGTCGCAAAATTTGGCACTTTGGCGACTAATGGTTTAGCGAAGTACGTGTAGTTGCCTATAGATATGTTATTAGGCTTCTTAAACCTGTTGTGACAGACCAAGAAGTGGCACAACGGACTGAAGTCAATGGTCACCTCCAGTGAATGATCACCCACAAGGACGTCCTCTATATGAATAGAATCAACACAACCATCGTCCTCCTTTGAATTTAACCAATCCAAATCATTACAAGCAATCTCAAGACTAATTGCCAAGGGTTTTTTATTAGCCCTGGATGAGCACGGGGCTAAAGAACGGGTGTCGATATCAGGAGCATTGTAAGTAATCAGTCTGTCGACATCGTACATCACCATATATTCAAGCTGGTCCCTAGTGCTACCAAGATATCTAGCCATACCGGATAAGTCCGAATTGTCCTTTAGTGTCACTAGCATCCAATTCCATGTCTTCCTTACCCAGATATTTTCCACATCGGACATCACACAGGTCGTTTTCTGGTTGGCTCGATGATGCGACCATGCATAATCCATAATAAACGACATAGAATTCAAATCCTGTACCTGTTCCTTGCTACTGCCGCATGCAAAGCTGGATTTGCGCTCCGAAGGATTTTTTGCAGTTTGGTTAAAGTACATTGATCCCGAAACAATAATGCGTGCAGCCATGTATACCATAAAGAATAACGATGAGTACAAGTCGTGATCGATGTCCACAGAAATTTGTGCCAACATGAGCCACGCTTCTAGAGCGTATAGACGGTAACAGCTGTTTGTCGAGAGAAGATAATCGAAAACCCTCTTATACTTTAAGTTGCACCAGTTATAGGCGAGTCGCTTATCGGCACTACCGGCTCTTCTGCGTGAATTCTTCGTTCGACGTACCGGTGATGCAATATCAATAGCACCTTGTTTAATAAGGAGGGCATCTTCAGCGCCGTGAGGAAGTATAGATGATTTAGCACGTCGGTATATCCTTGATCGTAGTTGCAAAGGCAGATATGGCAACGTTTCAAGGACGTTGTGAAGTGATGACTCACGAAACCAAAGCATAACAACTCGCGACCAGGTCTCCAGCTGAAGCTCTTCTCTGAACATTTTTACAACGCTTGTGACAATTGCACTATCATCATTTGACGGTACTATGTCGTTCAAGTAGATTCCACGTCGAGTTAATATGTTTTTGATTAGGTGTGCTCTGAACCATGTACAGTTTCTCGAAGCGGATCCTTCGAGATCACGCACGACGTTGCTCAGGTCTACACGTAGGAGATACAAGACCACTCCAAGTTGTAGCAATACATCGCAGGCAACTTCCCACCCATCAGAACGAATTATTGCGTCCAATAGTGCCAAATGCAGAACATTGTAGAGGTCGTACGAGAGCAGTAGGCGGTCAAGATCGCTATTGTTCGAATAGTCACATTGGTACACCCTCACAGATTTCGTGAAAACGAGTGTACGCAAAAATGCTACATCTTTAACCAGCCGCTGTACCACGGTGGTCTCTTCCGCAATTCGGACAGAGCGCCAACTTTGCTCGGTACCTCGTCTGTTGGTATCGACGAGTACTGCAGAGGCACGCCGAACATAGTAACCGCTACTAAGCTCATCCAACAAGCTAATCTTTTGTTCTGCAAACCGACTAAGTTCGTAGAATGCGCCTTTGGTGTAGAATTCCTCTAAGCGCTGATTCGTAGCCTGCTGTAACCTACGTAGTTCAGATAGACAAGTATAATCCGGAACCATCGGCGCGCCAACAGGCGCTTCCGGCCACGAAGAAGCCATATTACAGACATGCTGCTGCCGAGCATCCCGCAGCAGCGGTTAGCAGAGGCAGATTATCCTATACCTTTGACGCGTGCCTTGACAAAAAATCGCGGAAAGGGGCATATAGCCTGCAAACTACAAATTTACAGGGATATTAGTTAAACCATTATAAAAAACTTGAGATGTGTATACTTTAAGATAATCACAGTAAGCTGTTGAAGGTCAACCCACCACATCTACCGCAGCTAATTCTGGTACTTGTGTGAAAAAACACGAGATATAGCATCATTTTGTTGGATGTTCATCTTTGAGAGACACAGCAGCTTGCAGACTGTTGTGTCTAACAGTGGATATGGCGTGATCTTTTACTGTGACGTGTTAAACACACGTAAAAAACGGCTACAGTAAAAACGAATGCCAAATTCCTGTTCATCAAGAATCGTTCCTACTTTAAAGTAGTATGAGTAAATATCACGGTTTGGATGAGCCTATAGTTTATAAAGCAATCATTGGGGTTTCATGGCAACAGCGGCAGAATGTATACAAATCATAGATGGAATCGAAGTGAGATTCCCTTACGAACCTTATCAAAGCCAAAAGGTTTACATGGAAACCGTCATTAAGGCGGTGAAAAACGGAAAGAATGCATTATTAGAGTCCCCTACCGGTACTGGAAAGACCCTATCGCTCATATGTTCTACCTTGGCATGTATTTGGCACACACGATTCAAGGATGGAAGCATTTTTAAACCTCAGGAGACCGTGCCTACCTCTTTGGATGGCATCCTTAGCACGATATCGGAACTCAGGAATTCCAGTAATCCTAGTTCTAAAGGGGGAAAGGGCAAAGGGCCTCAGAGGATGAACATAATATATGCCTCACGAACACACAGTCAGCTAAAACAGGTTATCAAGGAAGCGAAAAAAACGTCATATTCACATGAGTTCGCGGCCAAGGGTCTAACCACAGTGGTACTGGGTTCACGCGACCAGCTATGCATACATCCCGGACGCAGGAATGCCACCGGTGAAGCCCTTAATACATTCTGCAGGAAGATGGTCCAGACTAAAGGTTGTATATACTACAATGGAATGAAGAAGGGGCAAGCTGGGCAAAAAATACAGTTTTATGAATTCATGGACATAGAGGACCTTGTGCTCCTCGGTAAGTCCAGAAGATGCTGCCCGTTTTACGCTAGCAGGGATGCTCATGAGATCGCAGATGTGACATTATTACCTTACAACTACCTGTTATCACCTATGTCTCGAGATGCGTTGGAGATAAGGCTTAAGAACTCTGTGCTCATAATAGACGAGGCACACAATGTCGAGAGTCTCGCAGAGGGTGCAGCGGCATTTACCGTCAGACAGGTTGACGTGGCACGATACCTTATGGCACTTAGGAGGTTTGTCGAGGCACACAAAAAGGTCAGTGAATCTCAACAGTTAGGAGTACTTAAGGATGAGGTATCTATTGACTTTTCGTCTTTAGCAAAGTGTGCTGTGATGTTCAAAAACTTAGACAAATTCCTCACAAACATACCTATTGGAAGTTACACGAGTGTAAATGAACGCACAGAAATGTTCGCGGTCGAATCATGGCAGGTTACCACCATTAGTAGGGAACACGCCGTATTCCGTGGTAGAGACATATTAGATCTCCTCATGCGCAACATAGGACTCCACGCACTGCGTGAACTTAACGTGGATGAGGTGATAAAGCATTGTATCGACATTCTGTCCGCGAATGTAGATGATGTTGCCTACGCGTATCAACAGTGCTACGAAAGCGCCAAAATCCTGCAAGAGGACGTGCAGGCACTAAATTCGATGTTACTCTTTCTGCACCACATCTTCTCTAAGGAACTTCTCGAATGCCCGGAGTACTTTCACGTCTTCGTGACTCACGACCAAAAGTTCAGCGACCAACGCCAGCAAGGTGTAGTTAGCAGCGGTACTAGCGACCCACCAGCCACTGGTGGAGGGTGGAAAAGTAAGGTGGCATTTAAGGACATTTCTACATCCACCAGCGAGCCAGTGGCAGGAAGTGGTCCATTGCCGAAGGTAATGGTATTCGAGTGCCTGCAGGCGACACCATCGTTCCTTCGATTGAAGAACGAAGGAGTCCGTTCAATAATACTTACATCAGGTACCCTGTCTCCGCTGAGAGATTTAGAAAGGAGTATAGGTGGCAATAAACTTTCATTTGAGTACAAGTTGTCTAATGAGCATATTATCTCGACCTCAAATGTTTTCCCGAGGGTAATCACTGGAGGGGAAAAGGATGCGCATATTCTATCGTCTGATTACAAGACTCGATCTACACCTGCATACATTAAGGCTCTCGGAGAGGCGCTGCTTGTTTTTTCTCGTTGCGTACCAGCTGGCATACTAGTTTTCTTCGGGTCGTACCCGGTAATGGAGGACACAATAACAGCGTGGAAGCGTGCTGGCATATACGCCCAGATTGAGCGAGAAAAGGCACTTTTCGTCGAGTCTAGGTCAGCGTCACACGTTTATGGCGCCGACTCGCATGACAGATATGGTGGATTAAGTGGGAGTGACGCGACGCAGGCGCAACTCAAAGAGTACAACACTCTGGTAGCAAAGGGCAGAGGATGCATGTTCATTGGTGTCTGTCGTGGAAAGATTGCAGAAGGTATAGATTTTAGCGACGACGCCTGTAGAGGTGTTTTCGTTTGCGGCGTGCCATACCCAAATCCGTATGACGAGAGCATAGCACTGAAAATGGATTACCTTCGAAAACAAGGTGGTAGCGGAAGAAAGGACGAGGCTGTTACGCAATGGTATACGTCTCAGGCGATACGCGCGGTCAACCAAGCTATAGGTAGAGTAATTAGGCACATCAACGATTACGGCGCAATAGTGTTAGCAGACCGCAGGTTTGCCTCCCCCAATTTGTTGAAGGGTGTCAGTAGTTGGGTGACAAGAAACATGGAAACCAAAGATTCTATGATGTCATGCACAACAGATATCATGAATTTCTTCAAACGGTTTTCCAAAGTACGGGAACAGGCAGCACTGCCTGCCGAACCTCCCATCAAAGTGCCACAGGGCCTTTTTAGCTCCTTCACTGAGGATATATCGCCATTGCCGCGTAAATCTGGAAGTTCAGAAACACAAAACCGGACACTTACGTTTAAAAGCCGCAAAATAGTTTCGCAGGACTCCGGAATCGCTTCGTCAATTAGGGCTGGATCAACCGTTACGGCGTGTGCTACCGGTCACACCTCTAGTCAAAATAGTTCGAGGCCTTCATCTCAAAAGGAGTCAGACAGCACCTTTTCTGTCTGGGACGTGGTTGAGGATTGGAACAACAAGGACACAATATCACTAACAGACCACAAGAAACCTTACTATAAACATTAATTTGCAAAGTGATATACTTAAGATCCTCTGCTCTAATCGTCGCTTCCAGAATCGCTGGAATACTCAGAATCCGTATACTCGGAGGACAACTCTTCGCCTTCACTTTCGGAATACTCGTCCTCGCTTTCTTGTTCTTCCTCCTCGTCGTCACCTGAATCAGTACGGTGATTCTCATCGAGAGCACGCATTGGCATGAAAATACTGTCCAAGTTGGTGTTAACATCTGTAACAGTCACCGCTCCATCCTCCTTGTTACTAACGTCGGAGGCTAGCTCACTCATCACTTGTTGGAAGTCGCTGGGAGCTTTGGCTTTCTCTTCCGCCGCGCGGACGCGTTGCTCCCATTTTTTAATCTCTCCTCGAATGTAGTTTTCGATCCGAGCAAGGCTGGGATTTTTTGCGCGTATCTCCGCGAGATTTTCTTGTTTGTAACTTTCTTCGATGGCCTGTTTGTCAAGTAGTGGTAGAGGGGATATTCCGCCTTCGTATTTCCCCTTTGTGCTCCTGACACGTCGTATTTTCCCAAAAAGGTATCTCGTGTACAGAATAGCACAGAGACAGATAAGCACTGAAAAAAATCCAGATCCGAATGCGACTATATACACTGGTAGACGTGTTTCGTCGGCCATGAAAAAGTTGTTGATATGTTTCAAATTGTCAAAGGTGTCATCGTGTTGCGACAAGTTGGTGCTTCGCATCGCCTCCATTTGATTATCCCGTGAATTTCCGGAACCACCATGACTCGTTGTTGAATGCCGGTGCAAGCCATTGGGAGAATCAAATGACAATCCGCTTGGATATATTTTGCTCGACAGTGGTAGAGTTGATCCGTCTAATGTCAACAACTTGCCGTGTTGAAGATAACTGACACCGTCCGTCTTCTTCAGCTCCCACGGGAGCGCAAACCTTATAGCACGTTGTCCATAATCATCATCGTCATCATTTCGGCGGTGATTACGTATGACTTGGCGTGATGTTTCTTCTGTTATCGGGTATGGAGTAACAGCGTTAGAGCCCACTTCAACGTAGCTTGTTGACCGATTATTTTCGGTATTTATGGGTCTAACTATGGCGTTATACGAGACGGAAGACGGTTTGTGGACTCCCACATTGTTCCGTTGGTGAATTGATGCATGTCCTATCTGTCCATCGTTTTTTATAGGCCCTTTCAGGAGAACGGTCATACCGAAATCTCCACGGCGTAAATTGTATTGTTGATCTTTCTCGGCGGCGCTATCACCCGAAACATCACTTACATCCTTCTGGCGATCCATAATGTGAGCATGCCTGCAACAATCGCTCGCCGCTGTGCTAGGGGCCAGCGGTTGGTCGACAATGCGAAAGCAACACAAGACCTTCGGCCCGCCGAGCAGGCGATTTACGATAGTACCACATACATCTATGTGGTCATTACCTTTCTAATTCGTCTCCGTAACCTTCACCTCTCGCGGAAGGCTTGCTTGCTGCGCATTCGAATTACTGAGGAAAGTCATGAACACATAAGCCTCAAACAACAGGAATGTAGAAGTTTGGCGGCAGAATATAGCTTAAAAGCACGATGTGTAGCATTCACCTTGGAATTTTGCCGCAACAACTCGGGACAGTGTAAGCCAGATCTCGGCTCTACTCTCCCCTCCAGTTTTCGGTATTCAAAAAACGGACGATATTTTACAGCGACATAAACAACGATTCTAGGGTACTAACAGTAGAAGATACGGTGGGTCCACGTTTCATTGAAGCATGGCAGAATCACAACATCGCCTTTGTGCAACGTCGTGCATACACAGTGGATTCACCGCATTACATGTCTGAGGGGCATCTACAAAAGAGGCCATATTTACAATATTAGCGAAAATCTCCGGGAGCCAAGATTGAAAATAGGTCCGATACCACCTTCACCGCCGGCAACGGCGATGCCGCGCCGTGGCGGCCCCGGGTAACCGAACTGCGATCTATTAAGCACTATAGACGTTATAAAAGTGTAATAATGATATTTTTTCGCCGTGATCTTCAATGGATATAAGAGCCACCCACTATGGTGTAGGGCCTACATACAGCAGATTCTCTGATACTAGAGATTCCCGCCGTCTACATCACTAAATACTAGCTCATTATAGTAACGAAAATTAGGCAACGAAGGTCAATGGTTACCGACTTCTGCGCGTTCACAGCAGTTCACCAGCGATAATCTTGCCAGGGTTATCGCTGTCAAGGTTGGCACATCAATTTCGGAAATGCACATGGAGTACCTTGTCGAACCTATGTGAGCGCGCAGAGTCAGTGTCACGCGTTGTTGCCTCCTCTGTCTCCTGTAGTTTTTGGCAGGACCTGCTGCTGCGGATGTGCGACTACGGCAAGCTGGTTGACGTTAATCGGAGGCCTCTGTGCTGCAACGGCATGGATAGCCTGCTGTGATTGCCTTGGAGATGTGTAGAACTTCGGAGTCACCTGCCGGCCGTATGGCACGACGTTCAGCGGAATGCCTCCTATCTGGTAAGTGGGATACGTTACTGGTGCTCCCTGAGGTAACAGTACAGTAGCCATTCCTGCCGATGGTATCATGGAATGTTGTGGTCGCATAGCCACAACACCGGTTATATGGTGTAACTGGCTGAGGTCTCCTATAAGGGTGCGGTAGCTCATGTCGCTGACATTACTCCACGCCTCGTCGAAAACCTGGTCTGTTATCGGCCATTCACGTTTTGTATACATGGAGACATCCAGCTTGGGGTATTCCACCTGTAAAATTATAATGGTTAACCTAAGCAAAGTTACCATTGGTGAGAACGCAAGGAACTTTGCGCGGCTGTTTGCCGTGTTAGTCGTTTGCGCAGCAGGATCTTTGCCCTTCGATTGAGCTAGGCCGTCAGCGGATCCAGATTGCTCGCTTGTGTTCACCTAATCGTGTTATATAGCAACACATTTACAACCTACCTTGGGTGCCGGTTGCGACGGTTTAACTGGAGACCTGACTGAAGCTTGAGGTGACGTGGTTGCACGCGCAGAAGACTGCAGTGATGAGCTCGGAGTGAAACTCGATGCGTTTGGGTTGAACGCGAACGCCTTTTTGGAGGGTGTCGTGGTTGCGCTGTTTTTAGTATCCTGTGTCATAGGCCTGTCAACATCCTTTTCAGATGCGTTCATTGACTTTTCTGCCATCCTTTCTTCGTCACCATTATGTTCCGCACGTCGGTCTTCACCATGTGCGTTTCGATGTTTGTTATTATCAGATTTAGTTCCTGAAGCTTCTGATCGTGCAGCATTGTAAGACTGATTTACTATAGCATCGTTATCCGTACCTGAAGATTTCATATGTGACGAATTCCCATTCCCGTTTGCCATGATGTCCTTGTATGACATTGCCCTATTTGAACCCTGGTGCCTTGTGTTATGCGACCCTGATGCATTTTCCACGGCTGCGGAACGTGATTTTGCCTTGGCGTTGGTCATACGTTTATCGTCACGTCGCGCGTCACGCATATTCCTAGCCAAAACCTTCTTAACTGCCGCCTCTGCAGCTGGGTTCTCCCCAGCATCTTCATCCTGTTCAAGGTAAGTCTCCAACTGTGAGTAACCTCCACTTCCACGTGGTCCTGCAATTTCTGATGCGAGTTTTGCTGCTTGGTCTTGAATTTGCTGTGAGACCTCGTCAAGGTTGAGTTTGGTTGTGTATAGATTTTCGTCATATGTAGTTTCCAAACCGAATTCTTTCCTGTTATATTCAAATTGGTCCCACTCTGCTTTTCGTTGGTTTCCAAGTGAACATAATTGTGAATCATCAACTGGTTCCTCTGGTGTCCATTCAACGAGTTTGTCATTTTGACGTTGTCCTTTTGACTTTGATATTTCGTTGTCTGTCTTGAACCTTGATGCTCCATGTCGTTTTCTGAGTGTGACGGATTCTCCTGATGTCGCTCTTGAGGGTGACACGCCTGAGTTTTTGCCCTCCCCGCTGTTTCCCCCGGTAGGCGGTACACCATGAGCGACGACGTAATTATAATCCGTTCCTGGAACTACTATAGGGTTACCAGGATGTCCTTCATCATTCTGAATTATAATGAATGAATGATCATTATATGTTTACCTTGCTTTGTACGAAGCGCCCATTGCGCAGCGCAACGTCGACCATCTTTGAATTGTTCCGGTTCACAATATCGAATGAGTGAAACCTCCCCTTCATATATCGTCCGTTCGTCATACTTACTAGCACGTCTTTACCCTACGTAACGGTCATAAAGTCAATGGTTCTTACATACAATAATTTTTGACATAGCATAGGCTAGACGTTCTTCGCTCACTCGTGCTAGTGCCACTGCGCGTTTTTCGGATTTGTACCCATCACCTCTGCTTCCCCCGCTCGCGTTTCGCAGCATTATGAATTACACCGACGCACAATGGAGAATCGGCTATCTTACTGCAAGATGGCCACGTTATTTTAACAGCAAAAAGACACCTCGTATTGTTACGATTCTCTTTATTGATGTATCGGCAATCCACCAGTGTCAAAAATCGTTGTGAGCCTATCGGCGGCGCCGTCGCGTTACGACGGTGGGGGGGAGCGGAAAAACGCTAGTTTCGCCTTTTCGGAAAGAAACGTGCCTTTGGAACAATGCGGGCCAAGCGATCATGGCGGAATCCATGGGTTCATTGAATTCCGTTGTACACCTAGCAGCTCGAGTTGTGAGCGTTGTGCCGCTTGGAAGGGATACCTCAAGAAATGTTTTCTTAAAGCCACAAAAAGAGCTAGATACCCTGGTATAGACCATTTACTATGCTTCTCTGAAGTTTTTGTGGCCTAATATTTGAGTTTGAATGATACCACTTTGGCGGTCTAATTCCGCTTATTTGTTGAAAAGCTATGTTTATATCCGTGTTGGCTGTGCCCCCAGCTAACATCCCTTGGTGGAAAATTGCCGCTGGGACCGTTTACTGCCAACTCCGGCGTCATTTCGCTACGGAACCGCAGCGCATATACCAGCATACGCTCCGCAGATCTACTACAGATCTTGACAAATATCCGCCACGTGACCTGCAATCTGCAAAGCAAAGCGAATCCGCTTTTGTTGTTCCGAGGCGTGGCAACGTTCCATATTACGGAGCAAACACAACGCGGCAACCTGTACCACTAAGCGTATGTGACACTTACGATTCGTTATTACCACGCAGGCGACTACCGTCACGTGGGATTCACCTAAACCCGCGGATAATGCGACCGTTGTACGAGTTGCACTAGTAGGTCTTCCTAACGCGGGTAAAAGTTCCCTAATGAATGCGTTGCTAAATGTACCAATCGCAGCAGTATCGCCCAAGGTGAATACCACCCGGGAGGATATAAAGGGTGTTATCTGTGACGGAAACTGCCAAATGATCTTCACAGACTGCCCTGGTATCCTAGAATCTCATCGTAGACGGAGGTTCTGTGCACCTCTCGTTGACACCGCATGGCGGGTGTACCGTGAAGCGGATGTCTGTCTATTCGTTATCGACGCGGTGAAACGTCCACGTGCCGATCTGTTCAGGGTGATAAGGCTACTCGCGGGTTCGACACCTTCCGATTCTAGTGCACATCCATTGCCTTTGGGCGATGACGGCCGGGTGTACGACTCAACACAAGGCGTTGCTGATGATGTGTATGAGTTAGAGGACGGAGATATCTCCGATGACGGCACTGCAGACTATTCCTCTGATACCGACTACGGGTTGGCTGTATCGTCTGAACCTAGAAAGCCAGTGGCCCTTGTGTTGAACAAAATAGACTTGGTTCAGCATAAGAAATGGGTGAGGGCACGTACCCGTGAAATGAAAAACCATGGTACATTTTCCGAGATATTTTACACCAGTGCTAAGCATGGGTTGGGTTGCGAGCACATATTTGGATTTTTGAAGAGCGTTGCAAAACCTGGTCCGTGGGTCTACCCACCTGACATGGTTACTACAATGTCCAAGGTCCAGGTCGTCGAGCAGTCTGTGCGTACCTATCTGTATTGCTGGTTTAACAGAGAGCTACCATACCAAGTTAACCAAAAAGTGATTGGATGGACAACTGCGGAGAATGGCGCGCTCATAATTGAAATGGTATGACCACACTTATGATTATAAATGTTCCTCAGGAGCTATACGTTCGCAACGACAAGGCGGCCAAAATCATTTGCGGCATCGAGGGCCGTATCGTCAAACAAATGCAGAAAAACGTCTCCTATAGGTTAAGTAGAATGTGGAGCGAGCCGGTATTTGTGTATATACACGTGAAGGTGAAAGCGGCCTTCTTATAACGTGTTCACTCGTTTGCGATATAGTGATCAATTTCTGGCCTGCAATTGTCTTATAGTTGCATACTATAATGCAGTGCCGATGTACAACACTTATTGAGCGCAGACATAACTCTATACTAATCAATGCATATACTACTGTACTGCCCAATCTGTGCGATGCTCTAAAATGGCTTAGTGACACCGCCAGTTAACTGTTTTTCAGAGTACCTACCACGTAAATGCCGCATGGTGAAACTCGTGCTTTGGTATGAGATCGATAAAGTCGACCTGAATTTGTTTTATACTACAGTCTAGCGTTTAACCAACTAATGTAAGTATATACTTGGTAAGTAGATCTAGCTGTTGCGATTGCATCATAGTTGAATCCTTCCCATAGAAGTATCTGTTCGGCAACGTTGTTCCTTTCTATGTCATGGCAACTAACATGATTAGCATCTTCTTCAAGACAGTAGTATCAGCTTTTTGTATATATTCGTCAAGCGACTCGTCTAGTGCTAGGCAGAACCCTAATGTCTTGTGTTGCATTTCTTCTAGGTTTGATTTGAACTGTAGTTCGTGTATCTACGTAGCAGGTTAGGTAGCAGTGTGGTACTCTATACCTCTTGTGCGCAGAGTATATTTCTCATATGAACCCATAAGTATTCCCATAGAAGCATTTTCTCTGTATCCATTCCCTAACGTTTTGTTACTACGTATAGGTGTACCTACTTCGCTGTGCATCCTGCGATGTAGTATCCAGAAGTGGACGATACCTAGCAATAGCTTTGCTGTATCGTCGTCTGCTTCGAACCCAAAGGCTGTGTGTTGTCATCTAGTGTGCTTCACAACCTACTTTTCATGTGCCGCGGGCACTCGCCTCGACACAGCGCCGGAACAGCAAATGGATGAACCTTCTTGAAGGGATTCATAAACACATGGCTATAATAGGTGTTAAAGTTGCGCTATACGGCCTACCGAAGCCTTGAAAATAGAGAAACGCGGTCGGCCGGCACCGGTAGCAAGTAGCGTTGTACCGGTATCCGCGGGAATCGGCCGGCAGAATGCCGGATTCGTGCCACGAACATCACATGTATATAACGAATATTATAACTGTCCCAAGACGCATCGACGTCCAGCAATCTACATCTGGCACAGCGTGGTGATCATCGCGCGCTGCTCCTGAACCTGAAGTGCGCTTGGCAATACACGGTTCTGTATACACAACTGGAACAAGTGTAGGTACTTCTCGATTTCTTCTGACTGGTTAGCTGTGATGATCATTTGCAGGTGATCAGATATCTTGTTGTAGCAGTGGATGTATAGTTCCCCTGGCATGTGGTTGTTTTCTAGGATGCTTGGTAGGCAGTTGTTGCATAGGTCCGACAGTATATAATTGAGCGCCACCTTGGACACGTTGAGCCGGTTGAAGTCCTTTGTTTTCTTCGATCCATCAGATCCACCGTAGTAATCCGAGTGCTTGTCAACGCCGCTATCATCTGCACAGCAATGGGAAGGGCCTAACACGGACATACCATATGCACCCCTGGATTTCACAGTTACATCCTTGCTAGAGTACTGCGGGCGTTCATATGACTTACCCTGCAGACTCTTTCCGGCGGTTTTCCGGCAATCAATTGCAAGCATCCTCGCTTCCTCGAAGCCGAATCGGCCAACGGAAAAGTACCTGTCCATTCTCTTGCGATTTTGATACCACGTGGCGACCCAGTATTGATGATTGGCATCGTAACGAACACCCATGACTTTGGGTAGCAATTTCGCTCTACGTACTAATTCGTTTGCCTCATCTTTGTTTTTGCGTCCTTTGGATATGACACGGCGAGCAGCTTCACTGGCCGCGGCATCCTGATCTATTTTCAGTGGCATATTATGTGTCGGCATGATGTCATGTTGGTTAACGTCCACTAAGTTTGACCGCATGTGAGACCCTGAACAATGTCAACACACGGCCAGCGGCCACGCACCTTCTGCGGACTGCAGTGAATTTTCGTCGACAACGCCGGGGTATGATCCGACCATTGTATTCGATAGGTCGTATCCTTGGGTTCCGTAACCCTGTATAATTTTTTTTACTTATTATTAAAGGATAAAGTGGAATGAAATGGTTTACTACAGAGTCGCGCAGAAAAAAGGATGTATAACATCATCCATATTTATTAACAGATGTTTCATGTATTAATATTAACATCTGAACACCGCAACTGCATAGAAATGAATAGACGTGTCTGGAACGTTAGACTAGCCATGCGGGGCCCGTGGACCCCCTTAGAGCCAGTCTGAGCCCTACACATCTGTTCTAAAGTTGGCTTAAAACATTTCATTTCGTTTGCACTACCATTCCACAATGTTACCCATATGATGTAAGGAATGTAGGATGCGCAAAACATACCATGTGTGACTCATGAGAAACGTCTCCATTATAATGTAGACCTTCCTGAGACATTCCCATATAAGGTGATCCAGCCCAGGCTTGTTCCTGGAAGCTGCTGTGATGAGAGTTGGCTTCTGTTCCCTGGTATCCGGTATTACCGTTCTCGTAGAGCTGCTGGGCATTTGCCTCCGGCATACCGTACTCGACAGAATCATGCGATTTAGCGTGATCCATGTGATTAATTGTCACATCTGACCCTGATACGACCTGCTGTTCTCCAGCATAGGCGTAATTATCTGCGCTTTCCATCATTGGATTGGTTGCGGCTTCAACCACTGAATCTGGTGTAGTGTATGGAGTTTCTACCTGGGTGGGTTCCTCCATGTTGGTAACCTATGGAGAGGAGCTTTGCTACCGCGTATGGCCAGGATGCCTGGCAAACGAATCCAGCCGTGAGAAGGCTTCGGTTGGGTTGACGTTGCGATAGCCCACGCCTGATAACGTAGGGTAGTTGTGCGCAGTTGGGTGACAATAAACGTTCCAAACGTTAATTCAATGTTGAAAAACACCAAACTAACTACGCAACAATTTTCCTTTTCTCCGCCACCGACAGGTTGGATCTTGCGCGTTCGTCCTGGTTTCTAAGCAGAATACCGCGAGTAGAACAGCTAATACTGATGAGCCAGGGATGGAAAATACGTGTATAAGTTTTGATAGAACACAGCAGCTATCTGAAAATATTCAGCTTGCGCGTCACGGTGCATAGACAGACTGCTGCGCGATTTTAGTCGTATCGTGCTTTTTGCAGAACAAAAAGTGGTTGGCAAACTGTTATTTAATTCATTTACATGCTCTACGGTTGTTTACAGCCGTCAGTGCGCATGAAATAGCGTTTTCATCAGCGGCGGTTTGCTGACTTTTAGCTGCGACACCGCCCCATACAACTCTACGTCGGCCCCATCGTGTACCACTAAAGTCTCGGCCATGTAACGGGTGCTGGCTGCCTTTTGGTGCCGGGCGCTGCTTACACATTTCCAGTAGTATGCTTGTATAGTCAATGGAACGACAGTGTGGTGTCACAAGGTACCAGCCTTCCATAGCCTTGGTTGGTGCCTAAAAACATTACTCTATGATATTGGTACCTTCTTGGCCGTCACACGGCTAATAGACAATTATTACATGATAACAAATTAAATTTGAGATGTTGTGAAACTACTAGTTCGTCCCATGTGTAGATCCATTATACTGGATCACCACTGGTAAAGAACACTGTCTCAGCGACGAGCTCACGTGTGCATAGTCACGGTCTATTGCGTCCATCACCTGGTTTTTCGCGTCGGCGCCGACGAAAAGCAGGTGCGAAAGGAGCGATGTAGATGTGATACCGTTTGACAGAGCTTCCAGGTTGCGAACAGCTCCAGCACCGAATCGGCCCATTAGCGCGTTCGTAAGGCAGTTGCGCACCCCTAGAGCGTCCAGGCGCCGGAAGTCCACATCGTGGAACCAAGGGTGTGAGAGCGCTTCTAGAGCACTTAGCCTCTTATGAGGGTTGTATTGCAATAGTGATAGCAGAAGATCTAGTCCTAGATCATCCATTCGTCCCCGCAGCACAGCACGTAGACGTTCTTTTTTATCGGCGACCTGCACATTGTACAGACTCCCGTTGAACGGATAATGTTCAGAATGTGAGCAGTTTCTCCATTCTTCCTCGGTTGGTCTACCGAGTGTAGTTACTATACGAGTTAACACTTGGAAATCAGAGTTGCCATGAAACAGCGGCTGTCCAGTCGCCATTTCGGCGATGATACAAGCAGCGCTCCAATTATCGGCATTGATTCCATAATTATGTTTCTGAACTATAGTGAACTTTATGTAATTAGATACCTACGTGTGCCGTCGTCGATCCTATGGGTGTATCGGCATCGGCAGGTGGTATGAGCATGGGACCCAGTATGACTTCGATAGGTCTGTAGAACAACGTACATGCCGTTGGGGTGATTGTGCCATCCAGATTTCGGAACTCGCGGCCCATCCCCCAGTCTCCAATCTTAAGCACCGTTCGTCGTTCATTGTCAGCCAACATGATGTTGTTGGGTTTTAGGTCCCGATGTTCAATCTGATAGTGCATGATAATATTTCTTTCTATACAATATTTACCTTTGATGTGTGGAGATATGCCAATCCATTGAGCAACTGAAAGGCATACCACTTGACTTCATCAAGCGTATAACCAGATTTGGATTTACTGTATGTACGCCATATAGCACGACCTAGGTCACCCCCTGGATAATATGGTCTACTTTAGGGCAGAAAATGCTTACCTTTACAATATTCATATAGAGCGAACATGAATATTTGTGATTTTTTGAAAGGGTAGAACTGTAGGTCCTTACGTCCAGCAACATCAGTACCGCTTGATTTCAGCGCATCACCCAACTGGCTATTTAGTGCATCTACAATATCAGGATGCGATCCTGTATGTTATTTCCGCATATACATGTTGGTTTACTCACCCACGTATACGTCCACCAGTTTCACGATATTGGGATGGTCGTTGCAACTCTGCAATAATTGACTAAAACCCATGCAACTTTGACGTTACCTTCATGATGCTGAGTTCACGTAGAGTGCCTGAGGTGAATCCTTCTTCCATTATATGTATAATATCATCTTTGAAATATTTGACGGCATAGTCAGGAACTGTCGATACATGCACGTCCTGAGAGGCCTCTCCGGTTTTTGAACGATCTGTTTGACCACAGCAAAGTCCAATAGAGCTTGCTGTAACGCCACTTGTATCATCTACTCCGGTACATGATGTTTCGGAGGACGCTGTGCTCCGCGCACTTCCTTCAACATTTCGTCGTTTGCCCTGTGCCTTAGCGTCACATAATGTCGTGGTCACATCGGCTCCATCGTCTACCCTGTAGCCCCTAAAGACATCTCCGTAGGCTCCACAGCCTAACTTTTCTCCGATACGCACATATGCGTTTATTCCTGGGAATCGTATGCAGGCACCGGAGAGGTTGCATTTGAAATCCGAATATCGGAACGTGTTGCGATTAACAACCATAGTCTATAAATGCTAATTGGTTCTCTATATGCGTAGCTCCAGTGTGTGATCTGTAATCGCGCAGTAACGCGAATGTGTACGACGTCGGCGACCCCATCCCACGTGATGTCTGAGGGTTGTGTGTTCAGACTGTCCGTGACACTGCACACTCGTGAGTGAGCCGGTGAGTCGAAGATTATCATACAAAATAATGTGAATAAAAAAATTATACTTCTAATCTCTATCGTCTGAACATTGCCTGCCCGAAACACGCGTGTTAGACAGATGTTCCTTCACTAGCGACCGGCCACCGAATAACCGGCATCAATTATTAATTCAAGTCATTTGCGCTTTATATGCAGTGATATGCTCATCGAAGTGTGACAAAGGGTCCAAATTGAGGACTTAAATACTCTTCGTTGTTTACTCTTTGGCGTCGGTATGGAGCATGTTCGGGATTCCTGAACATCATCGTCTCTATTTGTTCCGATCTTACCGTTGTCGATATCGTATACTCTGTCACATTTTGGGCACGTTAGCGTCCCCTTAACAACGTGGAACTGCGTAGTTGTCACTTCTATTGCAAGGAACAAAGATGCTAGAACACTGTCTAGCACAAGTACACGACACGAACATATGTGGTATTCCACGACACGAACATATGTGGTATTCCACGACACGATGGTATTGCCGTGGGTTCAATTATATTTGATTTTAAAGGAATAACTAACCTCAAGTATACAGCGATGAACCTGTGAGATGAACGTGTCTGACTCCAGATCAGCATCACTATAGCTATCGGGCAGTTCCAATCCAACCTGTACACCATTTTGCCCACAATATCGTAATAGTTGTGTAAATCAAATCAATGTAAAACGTACCGAGCGCGCAGCCTCTACCAGTACTCCATAGTCCATGCGTTGTAGCATCTTACGTATGAATTCCGGGTTCAGTTCTTGTTGCTCGACCTTGCTTGTGTCTTCTCCCAATGCTACCTCTATACGAAGCGGATAACCGCCCTGGCAACGTGGCGTATTGCTGCAAGACGTGAGTCCTGCTAAACACACAAGTGTAGCGACGGAACGCCAATGAATAGTGTAGATACCTACCACATCAACAGGTTATGTGTAATTAGCCGCATCTCGATGATAAAAGTTATTAGATACCGATAAAATTTGGCTCTTATGTCCCCGTTTGCTAGCGTAGAACGCGAGTATAAAAAAGTATATATATTAGTGATTGTTTTAATAATGGAATCGTTAGCTGCTATTTTTACAACTTCGAATAAAATCAACGTCCATGCTTGTTATCCATTTTTGACGATAGTGATGTTTTGAATGACGTGGGTCGTTTGGCATAATCCTGCACATATTGTTAGCTTCCACAGGCACAACACACCTTGCCCACAGCCAATGCCCTTTCGCTTTCTCTTCGTTTAAATTCGCGCAATAGAGCATCTTTTGAATTCTTGAATTCCTTAGGGCTCTCACTGGCTTTTGATCTGCTGCTCCCCCGAAAATCAGACTCACGATGACGCTTAGAATCCGATTGTCCAATCTTAGTAAGAGATACATAGCCTATGTCAACGCTCTCCTTCTCTCCATCGCTCATTATCAGTGTCACTGTAGGATAGTCCATTGCAACGCTCTCGATTTTACCCTCGACCCATTCACCGCTGTAAAGCGTTAGAAATCAAAACTTTATCCAAATTGTCATGAAATCACAGGGTTTAGATGAACATTTAGCTTAGAAACGCAGAGAAACATATACATTTTGATGGCCGTCATTTTGCAAATACCTTGGGCATGAAATGTACAGTGTCAATGGGTAATCGAAATAACAGTATATAATATAGATATAAACTTACTGAATAAATGCATATGCAGTTTTGTCTGGTACAAAGTCGTCTATATTTTCTAGGTTTCTAACTCTCCGTCGTCGATGTTCGCTCATGCTGCATAAATGAGGGCCATATCGATTTTTGAATCGTACTGGTAGTCGTGGTAGTACTGTAGAATGTGATATAAAAAGGTAGACGTTTATACTAACCGGTATTGAAGTACTTGTCTGCTACCAATAGTCGTTCGCAGAATTCTCCTATTGTCGTTTTTCGAGTTGGATTAACGCTCACAACAAACGATTCATCATCCATCAAGTAAGGTTCGAACCAGACCCATAGCTATTATAGCCATGATTCGTTAAACTTTGTAATGTCATACCTGGTCTGACGGCAGTACGAATCTTAGATATAAGAACCCGCAACAACGTGGATATGGTGATTTAGTACAATCTACTAGATCTTCCATTTGTTTTTCAGTTAGTCGTAATGTAAACAGTTTGTGTAGACAGCAGAATAATGTTGATGGTGCCCGTGTAGCTGTGCTGCAATATGGTTCTGCATGGTCTGCATACTGTGCCAGTTCGCTAATCACATCGAGATGTGAAGTCATTGTTCTGATATTGTCATTTGTTTAATATCTTTAGAAACTTACGACAAAGATTTGTAATAATCTGAATTTAATATGTTGGTCAATAGCACGGTGTTCAGGTTGTAAGTGCTCGAATTGGTCATTGGTAGCTGATCAGGTTTCTCTACGGGTTCTTGATTGTTGATCTGTGATGTTAAACGGCTCAATTCGTGCACTGCTGACTTATACTTTCTACAGAATTTGCAGTTTAGATCAGGTTTTTCTGTATGTTATATGACATACCTATTGCTTAAACTCACTATGCATATGGCAGCGCTGTACGCTCTCTAACTGTTTTTCCGTCGATAAAGCAATGTTTTGAGATAATAAATGTGGCTGAGTTCCTATTGATTGCGATATGGGACCCATCGTTGGTACCGATGTTGCTAGCATTGGTGTTACGGAGGAATCTCCTATGGTATGAGCTGCCGCCACCCCGGATATCGATGTATCGCCATAATCTGCACAATCATATGGTTAACCCCCTGCAAAAACGTACTGTATGCAGTATATGTACCATATCCATAATATGCAGGGTAACCAGTTCCCGTTGTAAAGGCAGTTTGGGTGGTATTCGGGTTTTGCGTGTAATTTGATTGAATATACTCCGAATTATTATAAGAGGCTTGACCAACAACGCTATTCCCTCCCGTAGACTCAACACCTTCCTTAGAGCCGTCCATCTCCGCGAGGCGACTAATGGCAGAGTACCGGGGACAATGGAGCTTCTGTGCCCTACTGGCACAAACTAAATTTGAACTAATGAAATAGGAATGATACAATAGTTGTTAGTGACCCTATAAGAGTAGATGTATATCTCGATGGTTCCACCCCAACTAGAGGTTCAACCTATGTCGATATACCATTATCAAACTCTATAACCTTATGCCGGCAAATTATTGTGTAATGTTGACTTATGACCGTGATTATGTGTAGAACTGGATGAGTAAAATTATTGCCTCTGGAAGTGTTTGCGGAATAGGATTCCGGTGTCATACGGCCATAATCTAACGCTTTTAGAACTAAAAATAACACAATATTGATAGATCATATGAAATTCTGACCTTCAGTCCTTTCACATAACTTGCTTAAGGGTGTGTATGTGGCAGCGAAGCTCCTGATGATATGGAAAGACACACCATAATCGTATCAAACGTAGCAGTCAGATCATCGATAGTCACTACTAAGTTGGTGAAATTTGACTCAGCTGTGCCCTTCCACGGGTGCGCACACAGATGACACCCTGGTCACTAACACCCTAGCTTATGATCGTGTGTATTTGAGGATCGAGTTACACATTACGAGCAAATTTGTTGTCAAAGTTCTAGCTATATGTATCGATGCTATTTTGAGTGAGTTGTGTATGTCTAGGGCTGGTAACACTGTGTCCGAGATCTGGGATCTTGGACCCTGGCGCGACTTTGTACAAGGGAGGTACCAAGCCCCTGTATTAACCTATAAACCACAGTAGAATGGTTATATATGTAAATTTAACAGGATGGTGACTACGTCTGACGAGAAAAGCCAAGGCGTGCAAGACGTAGTACCGGATGCCGCCTTGGGTAAAAAGAATCTACACAACCTCGACTTCAACGCTCAAGCAGCTCTTATTTTGGATCAATATGCTGCTATTGTAGCGGATATGAGAGAATGTGACCAAGTGAAACATGATAAATCAGCACATCCAATCGCACATATAAAGCTAACATCTAGGATTGAAGTAAGGATCCAACAGGTCAGAAGCGACCTTGATATCCTCAACACTATATATGAGCGCATTAAGGCCAGCAAACGACATCGTAAGAAGTATACAGATGAAGATTTACGTAAATTTGAGGATACTTTACGTAACCTTGAAGAACAATGTGATATGTACGACTCTGGGAGGTACAAGAGATCGACCACCGTTCGTCGTCGTATCAATTTGGATTTGAGTGCCCCGGAGGGCAGTGCCACTGGTACGTGATCGATCATTAAACCAATATATATGTATATTCTTAGTAACTGAAGAGGAACAGATGAAGGCCCAAGAATCAATTCATCGATGGCGTCAGCGTGACGAAGAGTTCGATCAGCAACTACAAGAGATTGGTGAGGCTGTAGAGCGCATAGGTAATGTTACCTTACTGTAAAATATCATCCTTTTTAGGTGATGTCGCAGTAGCCATTGGTGAAAAAGCCAATGAACAGGCTAAGAAAGCCATCAACACAATGGAGCAAGTGCAGAATACCACATCGGATATATCTGTTGTATCTCAGAAAATCAAAACTCTGCTACGCACACGGTTGTCTATAGAGTTCGCGTTCCGTATCGGTCTGATCCTTACGTTTTTAACAGTGTTATGCGTGTTCGTATACGCCTTGCTGAAGTTTTTGAAATCGTGAGGTACCGACGTGACACTATTATCGCTAATATGTCTTCTTTAAACACTGCAAATGTGGTATATGGTCTACTAGTATATATTTTTTTCACCGTGACACCTAAGGCTCAAGGAGAACTCAAGAATTATATAACACATTTGTTGTTAGCATGTTCATGTGGCTTTCTTTTTCTTTACGCGATACTGGCCGATAACCACTGCATGGTCTCTGTGGTACGGTTCTAGCGTTAGCTGCTCCCTAGGTTTGCAGTTTTCCTTGCGCAGCTTGTCAACCTCAGCGGCAAAGACCGCTTCTGGCTTAGCTGTTGAGTCCACACAATTCGCCTTAATAGCGATGATAAACCAGCCACCAGGTTTCAAAAAATGGTATGCATTTATAGCGACGATACGTGCCTGGTCTGGTTGTGCTACATCCGCAAAGATGACGTCGACCATTCCAACTAGCATGCGGTAACGTAGCGGTTGGCGTGCATCCTCGACTATTGGAACAATATTGGGGCGTCGTTTAGCCTGAAATGAATATATGACATAAACTACAATTTCCTACCATATTGGTAAGATCACGAGCTGACCTATGTGAGAACTCTACGGCATATACCATGCCTGTTGGTCCTACCATGTCTGATACATGGGAAACCGTCGTTCCATTAGCGGCGCCTGTATAATCGAGTGATTTTAAGGAAGCAAGACCACATACCAAGGTAAAGGACCTTAGAGCCAATTTCTATTGGCATATTGGCAACACCGCCGATAATAGTCGCACCGAGTTTCGATCTAAAAGGATTCCATATTCGATATTCTGTTGGTTCAGCTTCTTCGTTCTGATAGGACTATAGAGAAGATATAATTTTGAAACACACCACCATTTGTATACGTTTTTCTCCATATATAGATTCTCCGGGTACCATGTTACGTGTAACCAAAGCATCAGATTTTCCTTTAGCAATATATACACCCGAAAATCGGTGTGGAACGATCATAACCTTGTTAGCAGAGCCAGCGCCTAGACCGCGTTTACCGGCACCTCCGCCACCACGACCGCCCTTGAACCCACGACCTATTGTAGATATACACACATCATTTATATAGTCTACTTACCGCGAGCTGGTCTTTGTGAACCACGGCCGCCGCCGCCACCCCGGGCGGGCTTGAAGCCGCGTTTACCTGTAAAGTGTTAGAACGTGAAAAAGGGTATGTGTTAACGCTAATTATTCAATGGTAATAAAACCCACCAAGCATCTTCTACGAAGTCTTTATACGGAATATAACAAGGCTAAACCTTCAAGCAAGGATATGATACCTTGCCCTTGGGCAAGCTGTGGTGCTCGCGTCGTCGTAATGGAAAATAGAATAAAGTTTGTTAATGACTATATTACACATGGGTGTTGCGTACACACATCACGCCATTACTACGGCGAGGGGTCACGCTAGGACGCGGCTGTGGTTCCTTGAAGAACACGGAAGCTCTTCAGGTACTCACCGCTTGCCAATGACGTAATACCATGAGAAGTCGATCCGTTGAACGACGTCTGACTACCCAATACCTCAATCTCTACCTCTCCTCCACGGTTGTCCAAACGACCGGAGTGTATTGCCGCCTGGCATATCGAAGAGATGGGATTGTATATGTCTAGTACAACATGATAATAGAAAACAGTAATCAACATACCTGACCCGAAAACATGTGCTGGACGTTCGTCTAGACACCCGGGAGGGCATCTAAGTAGCATACGTGTTCCTGGGTGCATCTTCATTACGAATAGCCCATTGTCTACGAACATGGTGAAACAAGTAACTTATAATACCCACCTAAACATGACAGTGACATCACCCTAGGGGCGCGGCGTACAGAAAATGAACGCATATGAGGCTGGTTCCACTTGCTGCTCACCACACCTGCAAATTACATATATATTCGCAACTTGCTAAACGTACCGTAATGACCCATACAGTGATCGTAGCTTTCACGACCGTGAAGTATAGTGACAATTGCTTCACCTCCCTCTAGAGGGATCGCTCCAGAGTGTACTGCTGCTTTGCATATCGACGAATCCGGGGTGTAGACTTTGCTACCCTTAAGCACCAACATTGGATCCGTACAACTGCGACTGCAGCTAATCAGAAACTCATCGCCAGTTGCACCATTGAAACGCTCATCCTCTAGCGTATCATGACATCCCATATGAATCGCAGGATTGGTGGGACCACCGTGAACTGATCGTTCACTTTCACGTGCAGGCGAACGCATTTTGACACACTTGCTAAGACACAAATTGCCTTCAACGGTCATACGGGTTGTTGAATGACGTGAATGGATACGGTTTCCATCTAGTGACTGAAGTAATCGATTATGATGCTGAACCTGGTTTGGAGACATCACGTAATCGAAGACCTCTAGTGATAAGATTTGGCCAATGAAAAAATCAGAATCCGTTTCCGATGATTTACCCAAAATCAAATCACCCTGAATGCTCATTAACATATATACAACAAAACATACCTGGAAGCTAAAATCAAAGTCAGTAGGACGACTTGCGATAAGAACACCATCAGCAAAGAAACCCAGGTCACGTGTAGGGCTATAATAGACTATGGATAAAGTGGTACGTCTCCCAAGTTTGGGGAAAAATGACGTTTTAAAAAGTTCTGGACGACAGTTTTCTTCCAAAATCACTTCACCCATGTTATCAATTACACAAGTCAGACCTCCACAGCCTTGAAACGAAAACAAAGTGCTCCATTTACCAACCAGCTCGGTAGGTGTCATCTGTACTATAAAAGTGAAGTCACGCAGTGTCTTCAGTTTATCCGCATTGGGGAAATTACTTAGGCTCACAAAGTCAAGAGCTGATCCATTAAATCCCTTCCAACCTAACTCGGGGAACCACCTTACTTTGGGTGGTGTTGGAGTTGCATCGGCAGATGTCAAAGGTTTCAGATCCATACTAGGCGCAATTTCACGCTTGGGTTTCAACTGCATCGAGAGGATATGTTTAGTGGCACGCGAGACCAAAAATGCTCCAGCTTGGAATTCTGATGCAAGTTTATGAGCCCCTAAACTAGTGACACCATTCATTACTGATCCATAAAATGAAGGTTGTGTAATAGCACGTATGACAACAATTTCACCTCCAGAATCATCAATAACACCTGCATGTACAGCCGCTTTGCAAATAGCTGAGTCATCAGTGTAAATGAAGGTTCCCTTCAACGGAGCTGGATCACCCTTACAACCTGAAGGACAGAAGGCAATCATGTAGTCCCCTAGGTTCATCTGTAACTCCAGATGCGACGACATGGTATCGTAGCATGTCAGGTTTACTGTACGCGGTAACTTTTTCATAACTGGTGTAAATGGCGCCACACGACGTTTGTGTCTGAACTCGCTAGGGTCACCGTTGCCAGCACAGGAAAGTACCACGTCTTGCTCATGGGTGCAATAAATATCCTCCGCAGACTCGTGAGGACACTGACCTAACATACGCTCTACACCGTTACATCGGAAATCGACGGCTGAGATCTTCTGGGTGATTGGTGCGCACAGGTTAACTCCATGTACGTCAGAACAATCTTGTCCTACCATGCCTCCATTGTGTAGACCTGTATAACCCATTTCTTGGCATGCGATCTTAGCAGCTGCTTTGTTCCACGATTCGTTGCAAATTGAACCGAACCCTTGGTTGTAAAATTCAAGGCGACCGGTACCAGTGCTAGTTGGCGCACCAGAAGCATCAAGTAAACGCAAAGTACCGAAACCAATACCATCATGTGTTGTAGAGTTCGTACACTTGACAATCACATCATCCTTATGTGACATACAGTCTACAGTAGCTTCCTCAATGATACAGTTTGAGATATCTTCCTCTGTACCTAGGCACATCAATCCAGCATATGAAACAGGATATCCTCTTGGAACACATAAATTCTGGTCGTTGACATTTGAACAGTTTTCTAGAATATGTATCCCACGTTTGAATCCAAGTTTTCGGCATACCAGATTAGCTGCGGCTTCGTTAAATGCGCCAAACTTCCCCTTGTTACAAACTGTTCCCCATTTACCGTTCTTTAAAACTTCCAAACGCCCGAAAGATGAGAGCTTACCAAATGCATCTACTAGCCTTACATTCGAATCTATATTGTCGATACTGTGATTCAAGAACGTATAAAATGAATAGTAGGGCTTCTCAGGTGATGGTTCATACCCCTCGGATTCCATATGGTTTTCCGGGTTAATGGAGCCGAAGTACTGCTTCAAGGGTCCCACTATCGAAACTACAACTTCACCACCAGAGGGGCTCAATACCCCGTCGAACATGGCAGCGGCGCATATGGATGACGATGAATGGTGCAGTGATGATCCCACTACATGAGCAATGGCCGAGGTCTGGCAGTTCATGGGACACCTAACAGTGACATTGAATGGTTTTCTAACTGACCTGCGACATTATGTGTAATCATATGTTAACACTTACTTCGAATAGATATCTATAGCGCGTGTATGGCACTGTATATCCATTGGTGTAGTTTCATTAAAATTGGTGACGCTGGTACCCTCTGCCGAGGTTATCTCGACCGATGGCTCGTATGGAGCTCCTACCCAGCGTTTGACTTGAAATGTCTTCACCGAATCATTTGGGCTTAGAATACGCACATCCTCGCAATACCAAGGGTCCGATTCCGCTGCATTAAAAAGTAACAGCCCATTGACATCTCCAACATCGGCTGCCTCTATTACAAATGTTAGATACGACCCTGTATAGAAGTTCGTTCCCAACACCTTGGTATTGCTTTTCCCGAGAGGCCCTAGAAGCATCAACGATACTTTCCCTGAAGTGCCAGAATCCTTGTGGCTACCTGTTTGAATGCTGATTGTGTATACCTTGTTCCCTGATAGCAGGTACCTGGGAAGATCACCAGTTTCTTCTGCCGATCCATCGGCAACACAATCAAATATCCAGTATTTGGAGTCACGGAATACTGTGATACGTTCACATGACCAATCTGAGTTGCCCGAATCTAATTCAATTGCACGAGGATCTCCTACATCAATCCGTTCTACACTTATTCTTGTATGAGTTCCATCAGCAGATGCGATAGTTATAGGTTTTGTTTCCCTTCCATCCCCCAGAATCTTGATTTTGACGTCAGCACTTCATGGATGTCAAAAAATAAGAGAATAAATGCCCTTACCTAATGCTCACATCGTCCAGTCTCAATGGGACAACTTCGATTGTATAGCGCACTAGTGTATCTCCATCTGCATAGAATATGTATTGCTTATATATAGAGAGTATTGAACCGCTCAAGCCGCGGAGAATCGTCCTGCTGTATAAACACACATACCTGGAAGACATTGCTCGTAATGAGGTTGTAGACCGACAGTGGCGACTTTACACCATTCTTCCGATGCTACTAATTGAGATAATAGAGCTGCGATGAAACCGATCGATATCCAAACCAGTATCGATTCCACATGTCGGCCGTAAATGTGTAACGTACGACCCATCGTGTTGAGCTTCTAGCCTTTATGTTTGTTATTGCAACTCATCAATGAGTTACATTTCATTGTATTTTTGGTCTAGAATGTATGGTGTATCGCCCAGACCCATCCCCTATGATGTCGTTTTGTCACACACACACACACACACTGACGACGGTGTGTAACACCAAACACAAGTAATAACCGCATACACATGTCATATGAAGCCGGCTCTATGTGTAATACTATAAGATTAATGCATTGAGTCTATGTTTGTACACCTGCTATTTTTTTCAGCTCCAGGTGGCTTGCGGCTTTGGCCAAAGAGCTGCGACTGCTCAACCGGTTCATAGTCTATTAATAGGTTACAATTGATAATTGGTCGAGTTACCTGCATATAGTTGTCCACAAGCAGCGTCAATTTTTTGACCGAAATGATTGCTGTACAAAGATTAACTTTTAGAGAAAAAAGGGAACGTACCGGAACGAATGTGAAATGTTAGCCTTTTTTAATACACCCTGAATATATATAAAACTACATTTGTAAAAATGCTCTGGCTTTACCTTGAAAATATCTATGGCATCGCCCTCAGTCCGCTCGTATGCCGCAATTGAACGTACTGCATAGTGATGAGCGATATAGATACGTTTGTCACGAAATAATGGGCATTACCTAACATACCAGTGTTATATGGGATAAGGTTGACGTGATACAAATATTGAACCTCTTCTGGACGCCGTTTAATCACATTCACCAGCTCTTCTGCGTGCTCACGTGTATCATTCTCCCCTTTTATAAGGACATATGATATCCAGATACGTTTACCAGTCAGACGTATACGTTCATCCAATGATAAAAATACATCCTGAAATGGATACAACCTATTGACAGGCACCAGTTTGTTGCGTTGTTCTGTGAAGGGGGAATGCATTGAGAATGCAAGGTTTACCTGACGTATATAAGTGACCAAATTACAAAAACTTACATGAAGATGATCTTTATTCAGCTTCTTAAGGCCAGGCAGTAGTCCCACAGTCGAAATATTAAGCCGACGGGATGATAGGCCAAATAAATGACGATCACTAAGTACGTGCATGGCACGGAACACATTTGGGTTAGAAAGGGGCTCACCCATGCCTGTATAGATATTATATATTTTGATCACATAACATGCAAATCCCCCAGAAATATAATCTAGATCATACTCAAAACTTTTAACTTACCCATGAACGAAATGCTATCTATTTGGTGTCCCAATTGCTGAAAGTATAAAACTTGGTCAGTTATCTCGTCAACAGAGAGGTTACGTTTTAGCCCAATCCTCCCAGTTGCGCAAAAGGCACAAGCATATGCACAACCAACCTAAAAGTCATTAAAAAAAGACCAATCTAACTATACCTGGCTCGATATGCATAGTGATTTGTGTGTTGGAAAACTTAGTAATACTGCCTCCACTTTACTTCCATCTTTGTTTTCAAATAATACCTTGCAAGCTCGATCTGACTTTGAGGTAATAGAAGCTTTCAAGGATAGCACAGATCCACCAAAATGCTCGTATAGATTCTCACGAAGATGACGTGGTAGATGATACATGTCAAGATAATTTAAAGTTTTCGTTCGATACACAGAATGGAGAATCTGAGTTGTGCGATAGTCAGGTTCATGGCTACGTTTCAAAACAGATCGTATGCCGTTATAACGTGCAGAACGCTCTAATGCCGGATGTAACATACTGTAACATATGATATAACCCAACCATTAGTCGTTTCTACATGATCTCGTTGAACCATGTTACTCTGTCTCGACCCTTAGCTACCCCGAAACTGACCAGACAGCGATTAAACGCCAGTTAAACGTGTATATCATAGGAGTACAATATAGACATCATCTCGGTGTGTATGCACCAGAGGCTATCAATATCAAAAGATATGTTTTACCATGGCCCGGCTATACACTAAGGTGGTGATATTATGACCATTGGGGGTATGATTGGCAACTCAACAGTAAAGGTGTACCATTTAATTCATCCGTAATCATCTTATTTGTGTATTCAAGGCATATATACTCTCAGTCTATAGCTAAGTAGCTAGTGCTTCAAGTGTGTAAAGGCGCTATGGTACTCTGCGATAGGGTAAGACGTGCCTATGCCACTTCTATAATTTTGTTTATTGGTTGCATAAGTGTTACTTTGTGAGCGCAGTACACCATTTGAGGCACTGTGCGCCAGAAGAGTTTGGCGTGCATTGTTGCGTCACGGCCCAATAAGACTTGGTGGAATAAATGTAGCATCACAATATTCCCAGTGGTCTTAGCCTATAGGCACCATTAAAGGTATTATCAGCCTGTCGGCTACATCGTAGTGTACGTGCAAACGTAATATTTGTGGATCAGGTAGGTGTGTATTCCCGCGCCGCGCCGTTTCGAAGAAACGCCTGTCGCCGTGTTATTATTCCATGTTCGTGTGCCTATTAATACTCCATAATATCTGCATTTGAACAAAGTTGATGGTAACGGCTCTATTCCAAGGGCCCTGACCAAAACATTCAAGTTAGTGTTACACTATTATTTACGTGTTGGATTGAGGCCCCTGCTCTGTTTGGGACTATATAACTGTAACAGAATTATATATCCCTCTTAATAGTTTTGCAGGTTATAATACATGTGCGCAAAATGATCTGGTTCACAACGAGAAGGGATCATCTTGACGATGGCATCCCTCCCAGCAGGGCGCCATCTGTCAACTTCAATTTCCTATTCAACAACACCCTCAGGATGGGATTTGGAATGCAGCTCATCGGTTTTGTAGGCATGAATCTCGTCTACTTTGCATACAGTGGTAAAGGGCTGTTTACATATGATCTAGCTGGTCTACCAGAAACTAGCAGACTTGATGAAGGATTCCGTGCTCATATTACTACGTTCTCAATGATTTATATGTTAGGGTCGCTCAGCTTGATGTGCTTCCAAGTACTTCTTGCCGACGACACTTGCTGGGCTAGGGGTTATCGATCAGGATCTAAGATTCTGAGATTGGCTACTTTCCTAGACACTATAAGCTCGACTATGCAGTTTATATTCTACTTATACATTGCCAAGTTCTACACTCAAAGGTGGTTCGTTCATCTTAACGAAGGAAGCTCGGAACTAGTCTTCTTCGTATTCACGCGCATCACTCACGCATTTGCCTGCTTCTTATACGGACTGGCCTGCTACCTTCTGGAAGTATACCACGATGAAGGTGCTGGAGACCTACACGCATACCTTAACGGAGTGTGCTTCGTCCTAACTGGCTGTGCCGGTATGTTACATGTACACACCCTCAACACTCGTGCAGAACTTATGGTGCTTGTCTTCCAGAAGGGCATGCTGGCCACGCCATTATTATTGATTACTCTTGCAGCAGCAACATTGTGGGCTGTTTACTTCGAACCGGAGGTCACTTTCGTATCACCTGCTCTCCAGGAGACCGAACTTACCAACGATGTCGAACACCAAGTAGAAAAATTCACCCGCCTTACCCCCAGCAGCCAAATCCAGCTTTACTAAACAGTTAACACGACTGTTTCAACAAATCAACATAATTTGATTAGATACGCTTACATGGAAATGAATAACGGCATTCTGGATACCACCGGGAAACGCTTGCAAAAGTCACCAAACTCAAAATGGCAAGTTCACATTTCTAAATTCTTTTCAGGCTACCAGCGGACTTTTAAATGAAGTTTAAAACTACGGTGAGAAAGTCGAGTTGTGTATTTCGCTATATAATGGTAAGTTGGACGCCTAGATGATTAGCAAACTCAGTGTTCAGGTACCTTGGCGATTAGGGAAGCCGATAGGACTCAAGAACCGGCACGGATGGGATAAACGTTCACTAAAAACAATGACCGGTTGGTCTATTTCGTTTCATGGATAGTCGCCATCTTTTGCATGTTATTCCAAGGACCCCCGGTAACTAGTGGAGGCTTGCCAGGAGCTCACCGTCTGCCCTGCGGCACCAGCGCTCAAACCGTGCCAACGTACGACATTGTAGAAGATATAGAATCTCTCTATCAACGTTTTTTCGCCTCACTCCCCACACAGGCTGTATAACTTTTTGTACAAACCTTGGAGGTGCCCTATAGACCCCGGAGGAAACTTTGGAGCCAAAAGAAGCCTTTCTGGAGCGTGACCTTCACCTCAACGCTCGACAACACATTCATGAGACCATTACGTATCAATATAACCTTTTTTTTGAAGTTCATGTGTTCTATCCCGTTTTGTTGACAGTCGTATTTTACAGGAAATCGCCATGGAACACAAGATATAGCACCGTAGGTGAATCTCGATTACATCAAATTGGTTCATTTCTAAGATGGCTGCAGCTGCGACAGCGGCGCCTGAAAAGAAGAAAGAAAAGTTGACGGAGTGTCCGACAAACGTGAGAGAAGCTATAGATTGGATATTGAGAGTAACAGGAAAGGATGGGAACGCCAAGTATAACGCGATTGGTAAAGGTAAGCCAGATTGATCTAGTTTAATGAGTGGTATTTAGATGCCATAGAGGTGTTGACCGGCTCCGTTGAAGAGCTACTAATGAGCGTTCATCCCTACGTCATAAATAACGATGAGAAGTACGTTGAAGGGGATAAGGCGGTCTTTATAAAAGTGTTGGAGGCATTGAAACTAGAAGGAAAGCACGGTTCTCCGTCTGGCGGCGCTGGGATAATAGGGTTACTCGGTGAAGCCTTAGCGGGATTCATTGGGTATACGCCGGATCCGCAGGATCGTGTGAGCTGGAAGTTGGACACTAAAGGCATCGGTTATGGCGGGGCGACTAAAGTCGGCTCGGGTAGCACACAGGCGCCATACACGTCCGTTTATGCGAATGCTACGTGGGATAATGCTAAAGGTAAAACATATGCCAAAATACTTCTTGGTTGCATACCACTAATTTTCTCAGGCCTTAGCTACCTTTACTGGCAGTGCAATGAAGTTGAAATTCCCAATAAGGATAGTAGGTGGACCGGAACGAAGACGGATAAGGTAGATACTGATATTACTATTTATCTGCAGAGTCGCGGTCATCCTTATACAATGATCAATCGATCGCAGGATGGGAAGAAAGTCGCAAAGCTACTTGAAGCATTCAAGGAGTTCAAAGAATGCACAAACAACAATGTCCAAAAGAGTGGTACCATTCCTGTCAGAGGACCATACGCTGAACTTATCGAGTACATACATGACCATGACGTGGAAGAGTTGACGAGAAAGCTGAACGGGGATGATGTTAACCAACGCCCTCTAGCTAGTTTATATGTTGTTGCTGAATCATATTTCCAAGCACTGGAATACAAAAACAAGGTGATACATGAATCAGACAAACGCGTGCCATCGAGCATACGCGAAATGTTATACTGGTTAATGGTACTACCATACACACCTGTATACTGGGCATTGGAATATCGTATAGAAGAGGCATGTAAATACGATGAGAAACACAAGTTAGAGTTTTACAAGGGTAAAAAACCTTTCCATTTTGCCTCCCACTCGGTGAATTATTATTTCCGCGTACCTTGTTACTACGCTGGTTTCGTCCTAATGGCGACACAGGGTCATATAACAGACAATACTGGTGACACCACAAAGGCAAATGCGCTATATACTGATAGCGTATTGCTCCACGGTATGTATGCCAATACACTATTCAACTTCGCATATCCCAGTGTCGTCGCAGAGTGCTACAAGTTGCTTTCGGACATCGTCTATAATTTGTTTATCAAATTACACTTCCTCAGAGAACAATCTAGAAGTTGTTACGGATTGGCTTGTGGATGGGTATGGTGTACATATGGCAAAGATATAAAAGGTGATGAAATTACATCTTGGATATGTGGGTGTAATCCACGTGAGCAACACTCCCCGCCCAAAGGTAATTGCAATGAATGGGACACGCACACCGCCAAATGTGGTAACAAACATCACAGTATCCCTTCCCCCCTCCAAGCATTTTTATGTGATAGACTATCACCTTTCAGATGTCGTGATGCGAAGTCAAAGTCACTTATCGAGAAACGTCGTTATCCACCTTACGAGGAACACCGTCAACACGCTCCTCCTAACCAATGGTGTCCGATACCGATGGGTTTTGATAAACACCACCACGCCGCGTGTTATGGTCGCTACATTACTCTTATCGTAAAGGACTATGTAGAGCCCCAAATAACACACGCAAGCCTATGTCAATTGGTCTGCTGTGTTTTTTTGTGTGACATTACGGACACCTTAAGGGATAGATATAAGTTTAAAATTATAACTATTGTTTTGTATGCCCCTAGAATGCGGTTCTTTTGGCAGTCAGAAGTGCATTAGCCGATACATGTGAACTAGATGGCGTCACATCATCTTGGTCTTGATCTACTTCACTCATGACCACATTAGCCTGACCTTCGTGTTCCTCGTATACGTATATAACGATCTTTGATCCCTGGACTGCCATGAGCATGAAAGTAGGTATAGCGTTTGGTGCCCATGGTTGAAAAGCTCCCGTTGCGGATCCAGGGTTAACTAGTATCTTCCCAGATATCTTGGATACGTCACTTATATGGCTGTGGCCATACACTAGGACATCTACACCCATGCGTTTTGCATATTCATAGACAGCATCTTTGTCTCCCCAAGAGGCAAGTTGATAGCCATTTATAAGACCGATTTTGAAATTACCTGCTAAAATAGGATAACCACATAAGCTAACATACCAACATTGACGATTATTTCCTCGGGATATGTTGTATTATGGTCGAAATCACCCTTAACAATGTGTAGATTTGGTGATATTCCCAAGAGAAGATCCAACATATCCTGCGATCCTACATTCCCGGTACAGAGCACTTGCTTGATTTTATCGGTGTTTAGAAGCTCGCGGAAACATTGAGGCAAATCAATCGCACGTTGAGGGACGTGCAAGTCACCTACGAGCATAAGAAGCTCACCCAAACCATTTCCACCATTAGACATCTTGTATACTCCACTCTTTCATTACACGAGGTATTTTTTACCTCGCGAAAAGAGAATACGAAGGAATACAAAGGATCACGTGGGGAATATATAATATATAGGTGTGTGAGCATTATATGATTAGACAACTACTTCGTTAAGAGTGTGTACTACAGACAACGTACCATTCTCGTTGCCTTGCGCCTTTAATATAGGCGTTACAAAAAGATCTTCCACCAAGTCCACTTCGCTACGCGCTGTGTCATCCGCCGTTATCACAACTTGCGCGCGATCGTCAACTCGTACCCGGTACCGTCTACCAGGCACGTACTCAGGTGATAGCACAAAATCAGCCAAACGATCTTCCAACTCACTTGTAATCAATCGTCTGAGCGGCCGTGCCCCTCCCTTGGTGTCACGAGGGAGCTTCAGCAAAAACTCAACGAAGGAGTCATCAACAACCACGTCGATGCCAGACTCATTCGCCCTCAATATAGTATCGTTCATCATAAGGCGCGCTATTTCACCTAGTTGAACGTCAGTCAGCGGCCTAAACAGAATTATATCATCGATCCTGTCTATCAGTTCCGGTTTGAAAAGAGATTTCAACTCCTCAGACACCTGAGCCTTCACTTTGGAGTAGCCTTCAGAGTCACTAGAAGATTTAGATTCAATGTTAAACCCAAAAGAGTGTATGCCGCGCGAAGCCCTCTCTATGAGGTTCGATCCTATGTTACTCGTCATGATGATGACAGCATTTTTGAAAGAAACCGTCTGATTCTTGGAATCCGTCAGTTTACCGTCCTCCAAAATCTGTAACAACACATTCAACACATCACTATGCGCCTTCTCAATCTCGTCAAACATAACCACAGAATATGGGTTTTTACGTAACTTCTCAGTAAGTTGACCTCCGGAGTCATGGCCCTTGTAACCCGGTGGGCTCCCGAGTAACCTGCTGATACTATGTGGCTCATTATATTCCGACATATCAAGCTTAATGAAATTCTCTTTTGCAAACAACAACTTCGTCAGAGCCCTCGCTATCTCAGACTTCCCTACACCGGGCGGACCACAGAACAAGAAACTACCTATCGGTCGTTCTGGATTTTTAATATTAGTTTTAGCACGACGAATAGATTTGCAGATATGCTCCACAGCCTCTTCATGACCGATTACAGTTTTATGGAGCTCTGTCTCCATATTACGAATCGCCTCCATCTCTCCCTGACTTAGCTTCTGCAACGGTATACCAGTCCATGTAGATACCACCTCGGCCACATGCTCGGGGCTCACCTCGCATAGCGGGTCTTCATCAGTTCCAATCACTTCAGGGTCGGATGCATCTTCACCCTTCAAAATTGGCTCTGGAGCTTCCGACGAGGTATCTACGGACACCCCCTCAACACCAGTAGATCCCTCCTTATCTGGATGGGTTGCGGTCTGCTGGTAGAAACGTATTTTAGCCAATGAACCAGCCTCATCAAGGATATCGATAGCCTTGTCAGGCAGAAACCTATCTGGGATGAATTGTTTGGAATACTTCAACGCTGCCATTACAGCGTCTGCATCATACTTCACCCTATGGTACCTCTCACAGGCCTTAGTGGTGGATTGCAGTATTTTCTTCGTATCTTCATCGCTAGGCTCATTTACATGTATAGGTTGGAACCTTCGTGATAACGCCGCATCCTTTTCGAAGTGTTTCCGATATTCCTTCGGGGTCGTAATTGCAATACACTGTAGTTCTCCACGTGCAAGAGACGGTTTCAGCAAATTAGCAGCATCTAGCGCTCCCTCACCAGCACCAGCGCCTACTAACATATGAGCCTCGTCTATTACCAAGATAACATCTTTCATAGCTTTCACTTCTTCAATCAGTTTTGTCAGACGCTCCTCGAATTGACCTCGGAACCTTGCTCCAGCCACTAAAAGACCAACATCAAGTTGCCTGATCCTTTTCCTCCTCATGCTAGGCATCACATTCCCCTCCAGCAGTTGCATTGCTACACCCTCCACAACAGCAGTTTTACCAACACCAGGTTCACCTATTAGTATTGGGTTGCGTTTATGTCTCCTGCAAAGTGTCCTTATAGCCCTATCAATCTCGCTATCTCTACATAACACCTTCTGTAGTTTACCTTCCTCTGCCTTCTCCGTAAGGTCAACCGTAAAAGCATTGAGGGGTGACCCTGGATATACATCTTTCAGGAGATCCTCCGCACGGCCAGGTGCTGGTATATAGGAGTACTGACTTAGTGCCTGTTTCCATGTGTCTTGCTGTGGTTCTTCATAACGTTGCTCCTTATTCTCAGCAACATATTTAAGTATCCGAGCCCTCATATCATCAGTGTTTATGCACAAATAATCTAGCAATTGGGACATTTCATGACTGTTGCTACGGATAACACTTAACAAAATGTGCTCCGTCTCAATTGTGCTATGTCCCAAACGTTCTGCCTCCACATATGACATCTTCAGCACTTCTTTGGCTTCTGAAGAGAATGTCAAAGGCAATTTATCCCCGTTTTCGGCGTCTGCAGAATATATGTGATTGACGCTATTCCTGCTTACCTGGTCGTTCCTCTCGTAGTGCCTTTGCAGCTTCTCGTACTTTTTTGAGAGTCACGTCATATTCGCGCAGTATGTGACCAGCTACACCAGCATCTAAGCATACTAGACCTTGGAATATATGTTTTGCCGTAATTTGTTGTTGTGCTTCTTTACGAGCTTCCTCTTGCGAGAGCATAAGGACTTTTACAGCATTATCGCTGAAGTTGTTAAAATCCAGATGTTTCTTTTGGCCATGATTACGTCCTTCACCTCGCGATTCACCGGTACCTTGGCACCCTAGACCTACAGCTGACTTTGGCGGGATGTTGTCTAATTTGCGATAACTGGCCCTAATGCCGTTTAATCTGAAGGCTTCTACATTGCCACATTGTTCTTGATGCATCAATATGGTGCCCAGAAAAACAAATAGCGTCGTTGTGGTCAATTTGGCTCCCATCACTGGTAAGCGTCACTATCCGATGTTACACCCATGTTCAATTTGTCTTAGATATTAAAGATAATCATCATATATATAATTTAATTCATCATTTTAAAACTCAGTTATTATGTATTCGTGTCTACAAGGTCGTTATGTTGGTGGATACCCGCACACGATCTAGCTCCTCTCTGGCGAACTGGTGTTCAGCCGTGTTTGAATATTTCTCCTGATTTTTAGGAGTAATGGTGTGTCTGCGATAGGTAACTTCAAGAGCCTCTCTACCTCTGGATTGTCGTCTGTGTAGAAGTGGGCCATCACCGAGTAAGCTACGGTATCACCGTTCATGGCGAACCCTTTGGCAACTTCTGCGTCATCCTTGCATATATTTTCAATCTCTAGATGCAAAGAAACCATGGAATCCCACTCTTCCGCAGCAGCACATACAGACAATACAGTATTGTACATATCTATTGACTTCTGAGTGTTATACTCGTTTGCCTTTCTCAACAGCTGCAATGCCAATTTCCACTCACCAGATTGACGACATGACTCCGCTGCTGTTATAAAAGGCTCGTGTACACCTTTTACAAGCCCCTCGGCTTCCATGGTCTTGATAACCTCAAGCGACTTCTTGAATTGTCCCGTTTTAGAATAAGCTTCTAATATTAGTTGGAAAACCACCGAATCTCTCGTCAGAGATTCATTACGCATGTTGTTGAATACCGATTCCATCTCTACATACTTCCTTGATATAAACAAGGTGTTCAGCAGGAGTTTGTACTGGTGTGACGTCATCTCTCTGTCTTCCTTTAGCATTTCACCGTATACCTCCATGGCAACCTTCCAATCAGCTACAGCATTGCAGAGCTCTAGAGCTGTCGTAACTACAACCGATTTGTAGTAATATGCCTTGGAAGCCCTCATTTCCTTATACATCTGCAGCGCTTCTCCATACATTTGTCCTTTACAACACGCTTCAATTACATTCAGATAATCCTCAAGTAGTATGAAAGTTTCATCTGCTTTGCCAAGACGTTGTTCTAGGTTTTTCATGTCATTAAAAATCCGTAGGCAGTCGATACCTCTCCCTTCTTTTGCTAGCTGGGACATTAACGCGCGCATCACTCCAGGGTCCACACTGTGTTTGTTTCTTATCATTTCATCATAGAGTTGTAAAGCGTCACTCGTGTATCCGCACTTTGCACAAGTGCATATCGCAAGCTTGTAGCTTACAGTATCTATTACGTTTCCCTTCTTACGCATATCTTCAATAACCGCCAACGTTATTTTGGCGTTAGAGTTCCTTTCTGCTGCTGATAATACTGAATTGTAGGCAATAGTATTGGGTGAGACCGCTGAGATATAGTGACAGATGTTATTAGTAACTTACTGCAATAAGGCGACGTTTGCAAAGTCTCGATACACTTCACAAAATCAACACCTAAAGTGGTATCCATCGTTAACGCCGTTTTCATTTTCATGATATCTTCTTCTGTGATTTCACCAGGTTGCGCTTCTTCAGTGATCTCATTATCTCCTGTTTCCGCCCCTGTAGTGTTTATCGGTTCAACATTGGGACTGTACCTATACTCCCAGGCTCTTTAGTCGTGCTTGTACGAGGTTCAAAGGGAAATATATTTCCACGATTCTTTTCAGCATCCTTGCCTTTATCTAATTCATCTGAAGGTGGCCATGGTAGTGCATGGCATTGGGATGTACGTTTACTTCTGTTTCCAGCATCAAATTCACAGGTTCCATCCCTTTTACCGACTTGATGACATAGTACATTTTTGGTCTTTGGTCTACCAATGGTGGCATCGTGTGTTAGGAATGCCAAGGATGCAGTGGTTACATTTCGCAATGTAGGCTGAAAAGACTGATTAAGAGTTGATAAGGCACGAAATTCACTACCATATCGCCATTCGTCAACATTAGGATCATTCCACAACTCTAATTGGTGTAGAGTCCTAGGTCGGAACGCGATGCGAAGGCAGAGTACCTTCCACCGGCCGATCAGCGCCAATAGCAGCCACACTCCTCCAAGGAGTGTACCAAGGCGGCTGCGACATGTGCATATGCACATGATTCATTATAATGGTCCCTTCTTCCAACAGATGATGCCCAATGTTACTTGCACATCAGCCGCGGAGCGCCCCCGCGACATTAGCTAAATTAAACACACTATGTATATTACACCAGAGTAACCGATAATACATATTATTCGGTTGTTTCCACAACATTGTGCCCGCGGTATCAATCTAAGTACCACACTGCTACATATTGTCGCTGCTTCTGTCGGAACCCAGTAGTTCATATACATCAATCTTCATTGTTGTAAATACCTGTTACACAATATTTGATTTATTGAACTCGCTACCAACCATCGTTGATCATATTTACCAATACCGGGTTCTCCAATGCAGCGGCTACTCGTTCCTTGTCTAGAAGCTGTTTATTAATAGCACCTTCGCTATTATGAGAGCCTAAACCGCCAATATAGATCCATTCAACACTTTTTACCTTCTGTAATTTGTACATCGATTTTAAATTGCGGTGGAAGACTTTGTAATAGCTTCACATAGATCATCAATCCGATAATAGTTGCCTGCAACACACGTCACTATTTAGTTCATAATATATACCTGTGAGCAATGCGGTACCGTGGGAGTGAAGTGTACGGTAATAATGTAGTTTTCTTGATCAATGTGTATGCTCTCTTCTTCCACTATTTTCAGCGTCTCCAGTGTGTAAGAATATTCCGGGTCCTTAATATTGCGTATCATGTCGAATATTTCCTGGAGGTTGTTTATAGAAAATTTCTTAGTGCTACACCTTACCGAAACTTCGAAAGGCTCGAAGTCCGTACTAGGACTGAAGAGGTCATTCGGTCCCGATGTGTCCACATTTTTTCGATCACACTGTTCATACAACAATGTAGTATCTATATGGAATAGAGCTTGAGCGTTTTCATTATCCAGCAGCCGCTTTTGCGAATCTGTAGTCGTTAGGCTGCTGGACCTTTTATATACAACGGGGTTAGCATTGTCCATCTGATAAATGAGCTAGTATAAAACAATAACATTTTTTATCGGGTCACACCGACATAAGTACTGGTCATCATTGCAACGTCGCAGGCCGCCACGCCTCACCACAGAATATATTGTATTACAATATCATTGATGTGTGTACACAAGTCACTTGCTATCGGTTAATTCCTCGGCGTATTGACCTATATTTCCACCCGATGAGCATCTCAGTATCCAATCAACCTTCCTTTGTTTTCTGGATTCCCGCATTTTCGATGGAATACATAACCACACCCACTGAACAAATCACTGATGATATCAGCTTGCTCAGAGTCATTGTTTGCGATTTATCCGTGTAGGAGAATAACGCATGACTACCAGCGACGACGATGATGATACGTATTGCCTTCAAAACTCCGCAACAAATAGAACCGGCCTCTTTGATGATGTAGTAATATACGGACGATCGAAAGAAGTTAGATATGAAGAGCACAAATAGAATTGTTAGGACAGCCTACGATTCTTATATTCTAAATCTAACGCCACTTACCGATAAGTCAAAGGGGTTGATTTTACTCTGCGCGTCGAATAGCACATGCCGTTGTGGCAGCGTGAATACCAGTGACCATACGCAGAATATTGTCAGTGATATCATGCCCATCATAGACACTAGGTTAGGCCCTTCGATACGTTTCTTCCTTAGTATATCTTCACTTATAATCGAGTTGAATGCATTCACAAGTGCAGCAACGACTACCAACACAAAACCAATCAGTTGTGTTGCTGTGATGTCATCCATGTGTGACATACCGCTAACTGCGATTGATCCTGATATAAGCGATATTGAAAGCCACGTTAACAACGATATTTTCTTCTGGAGCACAACCCGCGACAACAGTGCAAGGAACATGGTGTTGGTGCTTGCTGCAATGGTATATATCGACGGTCCACACCATATCAGCCCAGCTGCATGTTATGTTCACCAACACACTCATCTTACCTTTCTCTATGATCTGATGAACAATGTCAAGTCCCGATAGCATAAGAGGATAACGCCATGATTCCTCCCTGTTCATTGTTACAATACAACTAGTATCCACTTACCATACGCTCTTCTTGGTAGGATATGATCCAACACATATCATGGCTAAGTAGGTAGGTATGAGGAAGGTGTAGGTTCCATTTGGTGCCCCTCCTTTTTGTCTCAAAAGACAAATCTGGACACTCGTCAGAATACATCACAATTATTTTAGGCAATCACATTATTGGCGACCCCAATACTAAAATAAAAATTCTAAATATAACATACCAGTAGCGGTTGTGCTGAGTTTGTGATCACGAATATCACCATATAGATGGCCAACTCGAAGTTCATAGAGAAAAGTTTGTAACCTCCTTTGGTAAAATTTTTATCCTCGTCGTTACCTTGGCCCTGTTGTACCTCTTGCTTACCCAACGCATCTTCACTTCCTGAATTCTCATAGTCAGTATCGCAATCTCGGTCATATGGCAGCGAGACTGTCATAAGTCTGTCTGGATCCACAGATCCCATTGCGTCACTTCTGACTACAAGTTGCGATACATATGCCTCGGTAGAGGCAGTTTCAATCGATCTCATATCGTGTATATTGTTTCTCTTCACCACTGGTATGTCGCAAAGATACAATGTGTCCTTGTGCGTGTCACGGTTAGAATACCGTTCCACCGCCTGGTAAAAGTCGATGTCTTCCCGGTACCTTGAAGTGTTTTGTTCACTTCCCATCCTCTAGCGTGTGTCTAGGTTTAGAATTTATGTTGGAATCTCGTAACCGTCTTTCTATCGCGACTTATTGGTTGATTACGTCCTTCCACCTAGGGTGGTGTCTACGGTTACTTCTATTGTGTGTTATACGTTAAATGTTTTAACTTAGAAGATATATAAACACCGCCTGTGGACAACTTGACATTCGTGTTGCCACACCGCTACACGCGTTACTGCCCCCATGGCAAGCGCTGTCTAATTCGTTGTTTATAAAACCTAATTGTCAAGATTCCTGCACTGGTATAATTTTGCTATGTATAAGCTCTATAGTTTGTCGTACAACGGTTGATTTCATCACACCCAGGCACATAGGTGACATCAGCAGGTGAACAGGCGGTATCTCGGCGCCAAAGTATAATAAGACTTCCAGGATAGCAACTGCTATCACGGTGTGTGCCTACAAACTATTTCGCTTAACATATTGGCACACCATTGAAGCAACATTTTATTAGACACGCATTACTGCGTATATTTCCTTTTATCACATAACTTCCTTTGGTTTTATGGCGTTACAACGAGCATGGGCCACATTAATGACCACTTTCAATCGATAAAGCTCTACCAAAGGGTTTTTGCCAACTGACGTCAACTACGCCTTCCAAAGACCTTCTACCCATAACGTTAAGAGCTATAGTCAAACACAAAATTGTGCTAACGTTGGTATATAGTCTGCAGCATAAGTAGAAAACCATAGAGCCGTCATTCAGCAAAGGAGATATAGGTTAAATTCTAAAACGCAACATTCTTCATTCACCATTTGGTACTATATGGACAGTGTGATCACTTTTAATAAAATTAATACTTTAAATGTTGTTCCCACGTTCACTGTGGTTTAAAAGCCGAATGTATGGCTACTATGCCTCCGGTAAGGTTGCGATATGCTACAAGAGTGTAATTCAATTTGGTGAGCATGTCTGCAAGTTCCTCCTGAGTGGGGAAACTCCTTATAGAGTCGATGAGGTATTGATAAGCTTTTCTATCGTTTGCAACATAGTGTCCGAGGGTTGGTATGACAAAATCTGCGTATTTGTCATAAAGTGCTGCTAAAAGATTATTCTCACAATGGCTGAACTCCAGTATCATAAGCCTACCACCAGGCTTCAGGACCCTGTAACATTCACGCAGTCCCTGTTCCCTATCGCTGAAGTTCCTCAAGCCGAAAGCCACAGTGATAATGTCATAAGTATCATCAGGAAGTGGCATATGCTCCGCCGGTGCATTCACCCACTTAATGGCGTCTGACAATCCCAAGTCCCTAGCATAATTCTTGCCGACATCTGTCATCTCAATTGACGGGTCTAGTACAGTGATTTCTGGCTTGACCTTAATGTTTGGTGCGTGTAGCACGAATCCGCTAGAGTCTTTGATACGCAATTCTCGTGCCCTTTCCATTATACGAAAGGAAATATCGCCAGTACCTCCAGCGACGTCTAGCATCTTGATAACTGCTTGAGAATCGTCCGTTTTGCCTTCAAACGCAGCTTTAGCAAGATTCTTATTTATAGCATTGAATGACGATATAGTCTCCTTGACGAAAACATCCTTCCACAGTCTGTGGACTCCCAAGCTCATCAGATCGTTCATTAGATCATATTTTGAGGCCACATTTCTGAATACCGAACGTATAAAATTCGTATCATATACGGAAGAGTAATATTTTCTCTCGGATATGAGATTCCGGTGGCCTGCGCCTAGCACAGCGCTCCGTATCCCGCGCCTAGCGCTGCACATCAGAGTTGTTATACCCATCATTTATTAACAAAAATGTACAGTGGGTTTGACTACGGCAATCCGTACCTACCAGGCAAGATACTCACCCACCTTCTGCCGCGTCGGTGGTGTGTAAACTTAGCTTTATGATGTCTATATTACATTCTATTGTCACATTTTTTTTGTTATTTGTGCACACTATTATACTTGATCGTCGTATGCATCCAACTGTGGACAACATAGGTTGATGAAACTACCACTTGCAGCCTTGGTGATAAAGTCAATTTTTTTCCAGGCTACCGCACCCTTGGTCTGTATCTGTTTCACATTATCTTCGCCTACGTAATGCGGGTCCGCGATAAGGTAGGCTACATCGCCCGCATTGGAACCTATGCATATACCCAAGATCACGTAAGCGAACATTCCCGCTCCCATTATGATGGGCGATCCTATAGTTGCGAAATGTTTTGCGATGAGTCCGTTATAGTTCCTGAACTCTGTGACATCACTTAGATAGAAGGTCTTGACATCGTAGTTCAGGTACCAATTGATAAAATACCCTGCCTCAACAGTACCGATCCACGTAGTACTTCCGACGACCATGGTTGCGTGCGAAGGGTCCTTTTCTTGCAGATACCTTTGAATTTCTTCGTGAGTAGGTACAGGTCTAACAGTGCGATATTGCATAATATACCAGCTCACGGCCATTTGGATAGACCTGTAACAACAACCCCAACCACTGTCGTTTTTACCACACTGTAAGACAATATTACCACGGTTAAGTGACACTTACTTGCAAATAGTGGTAATATTGGTATGGTCCCTTCACTAGCGTAGCCTTGGCAGTCTTGTTTCCGATCCATTGGGGGAACGTAGCTTTGTTCAAATGTGGCTATATGCGTTTGAAGTATGCCGCATGTACAACTCACCGATATAAGTATATTTTGGTCCACTAGTGATTTCACATTCAATAGGAGTTTCAGATGTGTAGCTGGGTGCTCGATGTTAACACATTCCGCCACGTCATCCCCCGTTATTTGTAACAGATCAAAAATGTTCAATGTTGCACCGCCGAATGGGATCACGGGATTGTTTTTATCCGAGTTAGGTATGAACATCTTGCTTATGATATTCACCCTAACCTTTTCGATACTTTTGTTGTCATTCCCAGCACCGATAGAAATATCAAGTTTCCCAGAGGCCTTGTCAAACGTTGTCGTCAAGTAGACGTCACGCTTGAATGCTGAAACAGCAATTTGGAAGGGTCCTACATTCTTAAGTAATTCTATCACGGCTGCCTCTTCGAAAGCACTTTGTTTCTTGGGCTCGGGCTTCTTATTCCGCTGTGTCATTGTTTTGCCTTTGCTGCTTCCCTTTGAACCACTCTTGCCTTTTGGTTGACCTTTTGATGTCTTGTTGCTAGCTGATTCATCCTTTTCTACCCTTTTAATCGCCGGTGTTATGCAAACCTTGGTACTATTGCGTTGTGAGTCTGACGCAAATGAACGCTGGATTGTATGTCGCAGTGCCTGTAGTGCTGCGTCAGCTAATTCACCGGTAGGTTCATCGCCAACGTGTTCTGCTGACACTACGCATGTAGTCTGCAGCACTACCTGGATATCAGCTATATCATCCGGCAAATCTCCCTCTTGTACCTCGTTGTATATAACTGCATGTTTCTTGTAACAGTTGGTGTTACCGAAGGCGAGGTGTGCATATCCATAATCCAGATCGTTTGTTGTTGCACTATTAACAGTTACATCGTTCAGGCCCATAGATAACGCTTCGTTATCTAGTGTTAGAAATTGCAACAAATGTTCCCCGAGAAATCCTGAAACTGCCGATTGCAATGGCGATGGCAATTGTTCCGTTTGCTTTAATCCTAATAAATCATGGTGGAGTTCTAAAGGCCCCGCCAGTTGCAGTGGCAGGGTTAAAAAGAGCGATGTTGCAACTAGGTTATACCCTCTACGCTCAACTTCGGCGATCTCGTCCTGAACCTGCATCGATATGAAATTGCGATATATATGTTCATAAGATGTCACAAGGTTATATGAATCACTCACCCATATAATATCATCTATTTGTGCCTGTGTCAGTTTCAACTCCCCGCTGTTGTGAGTTGCGGTAAAGTATCGTATCGATTCTTGCAATGAGCTATTATCAGGTTTACATTCCCACTTGAAAACATGAAAAGTTTGCTGTAGCATATCTGTTGGCACCAAATCGTCTATTTTAGCTTCATCGTGGTCTCCCAGCAACAGAATTCCACAGTACTGTAGATAATTCGGTACTGTGTATTCGGATGCAAATTCTATAAGATATTTGTCACAAATGTTATGTAATGTCAACGTTACCTTTCCATTTTGACGTCTTTTGCCTATAGGAACAAATCCATTTTGTTTGATTTTGTGTATCCTTGAAGCTGAAGAGCAGCCTCGCGCCATTCTTTCCCGGGGAGCCTTGTTCATTACCTTGCAATCCGGAAAACACGCTCAAGCTGACAGACAATGCCATGTTGAATGTTTGAGAAGGAATACCGGATGTTTGCCTCCTAAAGACTATTTGTTTTGTCCAATTGTTTTTTGATACCGCACATCTCCACGCTCTAAGTGGGTAGATTCCAGACATATTGATGACCTCTACTTACTATCGCGTATAATACATCTTAATATACTGATGTGTATATCTTTTGGTGTATTTGAGGTGGCCATTTGGCATGATTCCTCCTGTCGGTAGCGTGCCTGTAAGATGAGTAATCATTGGCCGCGTTCTTATCGTTTGTTTGCAAGATGTGTTCGTGGACTTGAGGATGCATTATCACGAGAGCTCATATCGTTTGGTTTTCCACGGGACTGCTTGATAAAATCGCGTTCCGGCGTGACCATTGAAGAAGGCTCCTTACGTCGTCTTTACTTCCTATCATATTTTTCTAGGTATGTTACAGTCTAAACAACACAGATACGATTTATTGGATTATAAGCCATATTAATACGTTTTCAGATTATCTAACGGCGTTTTCGTTGAGGCGGCAACGTTCCCCTTGAGTGACAAAGTATCGTTCACGGACAGTTGCACAGCAATCTCTTGGCACCATTTCCTACGGCCAACCAGCTCATTCCTGGTGGACTCGCATCTACAAGACCGCAGGGGGTTCATACACAGTGACCGTTACGCATCACAACTCGTTAAGGACAGTATTTGTCAGTACTTCGGTCGAGATGCCGGCAAGCCATCACCATCGGTATCCTTTCGTGACCCCAATGTGAATCTACTGCTACATGTGGAACGTGGAGAAGCACGATTATTGGTTGATGCGGTAGGATGTGCGACTTCTGCGCGTGGTTACCGTTATAAGCCATCAATTAGTGATATCGACCCTACCATTGCTGTTGCCTTGCTTGATGAACAAGGCATTGCGTCATACGAACAATGTTGCTGTGATATAGCGCATTACGAACATCTGTGCCAGGGTGATATCTCAAATGACCCAGCTACAACCGAGAACGGAGTAGCGGAGGTTTCGGCCCACAGTGATGCTACCACTTTAGAGGGACCAACACTTCCAGGAGCTGTGGTTGATATCTTTAGTGGTTGCGGTATATTTCTAATCGAGGCTGCCATGCTGGCAGCACGTATCGCACCTGGTTCACTATTACCTAGTTTTGGCTTTCAGCGGTTCGGTTTGTATGACGATGTTTCCTTTCGTATTCTTGAGCAATATGCATCGTCTCTAAAGTTACCAGTTGATTCGGCAGAATATCGGTCTTTGAAGCGTAGTTTTATTGGTATCGAGTCATGCTGGGAGAAAGTTGAGGCATCATTGTACTCTGCCGAAAAGGCTGGTGTACTTGATCTGTTGCGTATCACACAGAGTGACTTCCTCAAGGACGGACTTTACGATAGTCATCGTGAGCGAGCGCCTGGAGAACGTTGGCGATACTTGATAGCGCGATTACCTCGGTTAAAGAACCAATTCAGCGACATTCCATCCGATCCAGCCACAACGTTGGATTGTGACGTTCCCAGGGCTAAGGGCAATAGTGCTTTCGCCAGAAATACAGCCAATCGGTCATCTGATTTGGACCCAGAACGCTACTATAGGTTGATCACTAACATTTCGAAGCTATCTCGTCCTTTTTTCGAGGAGGATGCAAAGTGCCTATTCGTGGTACCATCTATGTTACAACTTACGGAATTGCAATCTGCCTATGGCGCAAATCTACTTGGAGGCAGACACTTTGTCAAGAGCGGCATCCCTTCTACGGCATATCACGGTAACATGCAAGATACGGCTATATAATGGATTACTTGTGTGTTAATTTACATTTGTAGATACATTCGCACATTTTATGCACGAACCGCTTGCATTTTCGCGTTGAATATTGCCAATCTACAAAAATTTGTACATCGGTTTATTCGAGACTTTGTACATCGACTGTCATCTTGATTGGCAATGTATCTACTCGTGTATTTGGCCAGCGTGTCCAGATGGTCTTTGCCAAATCTGTCGCATGGCTTTGTGTAAATCCAACAATTGTTGCATCTATACCGTAGGTAGTTTCTACGCTCATTTCTTTACGTAATCGCTGTAGTTCAAATTCCGTTAGATATTTCACTGAGACCTTGGTTAGTGGTAACTTGGTATCCTGTCCGTTGTAATGAAAGAGTGTTATTTCTTTTCCACGTGTGTCATCACGTCCTGGTGCCATACGAGAGAGGTACCACTCCATGAACGATCCTTGTAAAACAAGATTGGAATCTGCTATAACATGGTACGCCGCCTCCCTTTGAAGCGCTTGTACACCAAGCATATCTAAAAGCGCGGGTAGTAGATCTGCTGTGATGAACTTGTTATCTTCAGTATCTAGGCATCCCCAAACATTGAGTACATTTTCCGTTTGTATTTCTCTTTCCGTACGTCTACAACACATTTTGTCCACGGCAAATAGAACAGTGTAATGGCTGAAACTCCCTGTGACCCATACTGGGAACCTCGGGTTTTTGTAATACGACCCCGCTTGACAATGCCTGCTAGCCTCTCTTTCTGTTAGAAATCCAACATTTCCTTCACCAGTTATCCCCCTTAGTTTATACGTTAGCGTCTTGTCGCCATCCTGCAACACCTTTTCGCCATCAAAAATGTTTGAGACTGCTTTTCCCTGTAACAACAAATTGACAAGTTCTTGGGAAGAGTGTCCATATATTCCGATGAGTGGTAGCGTCGGGTCATCCATATCGTTGCGTAAATTTTCTATTCCTCTGGTTGCGAGTACCGACAGCGTAAATGACATGACACCCATTTCTGACATGAGGAGGTGTATGTTTTTAAGGAAATGGCTGGCTACTTTGGCAATACTGTCCAATTCCACATAAATGTAGTTTGTGTCGTATATGATGGAGTGAAGAGCGTTTGTCAAATTCTAGACAAAATGTTGTTACATGTGTTTTGTTATACCTACCTGTCGTTTCAGCGGTTCAAAGAGTATAATCTTATATTTCGAAAATCTCGTAGCATTGTATAGAACAACACAGAGTGATTCCAATAGCGCTGGTAGATGAAGCCATTCTAGGTAAATATGTTGTTATTGGTTACGTTTTTAGCTTACCTTCTGGGAATTCCGGGTACTCGAGTCTGATGAAATTGAAGTATACTTCCCTCAATTTGATGAGTACATTTTCGGCAGGTTCAGTTCTTTGTAGAAGTTCCAGACTACCGTAGACGCTGTTATGGAAAAGAAGGCACTGTAGCATAAAAGACTGTACTGAGGCTAGTACTCCACAAGGTCCTCCGTATTGTTGTTTCAGTCCCCAGAAGAGATGTGAACTTGGTTGAAAACTGAACCCCTGTCGGCACCATCCTCTAATGTTGTCCGAGGATGCTTGCCTATTTTCTTCCGTTCCAAATAAAGTTTCTAGGAGATCTGTGAGTTGATTGCGTGAGATTGAAACTTTAGCAGTTTTTTCAGTAATGGGCTTCGCCGTGCATATATTCTGCTACTATATTATGGTATATGAATATATCATACCTGTTCCCCAGCGGTGTCCACTCCATTTTTGATGATTTCATGAAACTTGTCCATTTCATCAAGTATGAACCTCATCGATACTTTGTCGTTGGGTATTTTATCTGCCAACTTTTGTTTCTGCATTTTATTTTTGACAGATCCAAAGAAGCCTGATGTCTGATTGTTGTAATCTAGGTTATTAGGAGAGCTTTTCTTAAATTCCCTTAATGATAGCTCTAGTGCGCGTTGCAGGTCATCATCCATCTCCGAAGGATCGATAGATTCTCCGTGTTCTTCGTTATTATTCACCATGTTTTCCACCTTCTATCTGTATAGTTTTGATGTAAAATAAGTTGTTTAAAAATTTCTCGATCCAGAGTCTTGTATATTGACAGGTCGGTTGATTTGTCTGGGTATAGTTGTTTCATCCACGTTTGGTTTGAAGATCCTCGTTTTAAATTTATATTCCGTGAATTATTTACTTTAAAAATCCAGCATCTGAATATAAAATGATGATGTGCTTTCACGCGTTTATACTCTCCATACCACAGACGCAGTGAGCATACGCAGAGATAGCGTTTTCCATAATATATCGGTTTATCTATTTAGATAGTTGTTTAAATCGGTGTGTGATCGTTTAAGCAAGTTCTCTAAATGCAATTTTGTGTAATTGACCTGTAGCGGTGGTGCACATCAATTCGTGTGACGACATCCAACAGGTACCCGTACATCTGTCGGGCTCACATTGGCACTTTAACGTGACCTGCATCAATGTGATGATCATCTGAGTCCTATTTAGCACGTACCGTTTGAAGTGGAATCTTGACAAAGCGTTTATCTAGTAGTACTGCTGTACCATCCAGTGACACTGCAGACAGAAGGTTTGTGTGTTTCACATTTGCCTTTATTGCGGTTGCAGCACGATCAAACATAGCCGTAGAAGCTTTTCTTGCCACGTTAGAGTTTTTAACATCCGAAGATGATTTTGGTGGCTCACCGTCCCATTTGTTTCTTAGCTCCCAGATGGCAATAGTGCCTTCTTCATGCCCCGTGTATATCTCAGCACACATATCACTTGAGTCGAGGCATGTGATCGCCTGCGTATTATATCGACATAATGTGCTACATACCCTTCCACAAGCGTATATACAAAGCGGTGCTGCTAGCCTCACATCCCACAATGCGATGTGTCCATCAATGGACCCGGATATCAACACTGGCACTTCTAACTCCACAAATTTCAATGCCTATTAGAAAATGTTATGTCTAGTAGCATAATTAAGATACCGTAACGGTCTTGGTGTGTTTCGTCAACATGACTATTGGTTCCAAGACGTCACTGTCGATTGATCTACAAAACAAAATTTGATCGAATAACAGTAACATATCATACCGTTTGCGTCGTTTACCAATATCTATCTCGTTATTTTTAATACGCTGTTTAATTTCGATCTACAATTTGTGTCAGTCACAACTGTGTTGAAACCCACGTTGTCGTATACGAGAATATCTTTGCCATGGCCTGCAGATGCCAAGAGTGTCCCTTTAGGATCTATTGCTATTGCTACGATTGTATCCGTGTCGCTACGGTGATGTGACTTCCTAAATGACTGCGTACTACTTACCTTTGGCTCGTGGTGACCAGTGTCGGTCTAGGCTGGTAGTCAGTAATGTCCAGACTATATACCTCAAGTGACCCATTCATGTGCCCACATACAATCTCTACATTGGTAGCCATGTCACTGAGAGTGTTTTTTTATGTGTGAACCGTTATTACCTGGAGCTATGCATCGCGACGGCACTTGCTGTTCCCTCTTCAGTTGTAAACTCCGCAACCTTTTTCAGGTTGTCTGCAGAGTACAAAGCGACGTTACCATCGAAGCAAGATGTCACGACATGGCCTGAAATTACATATAACTTAGTTTCACTCAAGACTTTTTTTACCTATGTGGCCGTCGAATGATATCCCCGAAATCCAATCATTTAGATTGTCTACTTTTGTAGCTTCAGGTTCAGTAACAGCCAATGTATATACTAATTTGATAGTCGTCTCCGATTGCACCTTGTGTTGAGCGAGTTTTCTGAACACGTTAAAGCTATTTTTATAAAACCACGTACTCTGCCAGTGTGGTCCTTAGCGGTTCATCCCTAAAAAGGATATCAAAGGCGACGTGTTTCTCCAGGCCGAGGAGATCATTGATCATCTGTATAGTATATTGATATAGTGCAGATATATATGTTTCCAGAAGTGACAATTGAAGGCCGTATGGCCTTTTTATGTGACACATCTCATTATATATTTAAAAAAATGAATCCTTACCCGGGATAGGCCGGCACGGTCGATCGCCGTTGGTAGCATGAACGAGGTATCTTGGAGGTCATACTCCTGCGACGTTCCATTTTCGAGTTCAGCATGTATTTCCGCTGCTGACAGCGGCATATGATGATCGTTATCCATATCCATTATTATGGAATCTGCCCCTTTTTCGGAGCAAGAGAGCTGTTGTATGACAATTTTTTGTGACGTGATTAAGTGCTTACACAATGTGTCATAGTGCGATAAATGATCATTTAATCATTATTTCACGTCTATTTTAAATCTTTGACGCGTGTTCTTGTGTGGAAGGAGATTTGGATGGGGGTGTTCTAGCAACCTTGCCGTGATAAAAACTCGACACACTACGACGATTGCGAAAAAATTCGCTTGTTAGATAACGTCCGAGGTCGGATAAGTATCCCCAGGTGCCCCCCTCGGTTATGGCCATACTTTCTTTTGTATAGGTTCAAGTTATTCTTCCCGGTATCTAGGAATAGTTCCTTGTGTTTTGTAATAATATTATATAATTGTTGTATATCATATTTAAGGCTATATGTTGTATGTAATTTATCATTTTAAAGTGCATTTAAACTTTGTTAATTATAGGTACTGCCCAATTGAGTGTAAACTTTTGGACCTTCACGGTCTGATTACTCCTAATCAGTATCACGCAACATGCGTGTGTTACAATGGACCCTGATCTTGTCCTTTTCACATAATTAGATGGCTAAAGTACGGAACAAGAAATTTAAAGGGGTTGTGGAATCCTTAAAGCATGCTCTTACGGAGGCTGTGCCTCCAGAGTTCCTTCCATATAAGGAAGATGTGATCTCATATTTAAAACGTCACGGTGCACACGTGAATCCGCGGGAACCATGGATTACAAGACTAATTGCAAATCCTAATGGAGCCTGCAAGGCTGATCGGAATGGCATCATTGTCCATGATAGCCATTCCGTAGGTACTGATAGCACTTCAAAAAACAGTAGTCAACAAAACCCATCAGAGGTTAAATCTCAAGATTATTATGTAAAATCACAAGATACTACGGCATCTCATGAGATACAAGATGGTTTTGCGGTACCAACAAATTTGGTTCTTAGCTCCGAATCAGCGGTTATTGTTTCACAAACGTCGATAGATTCCAATGTAGATGAAGCCACTACTGCAAGGAGCTCGGAATATGGGTCAACTCAACAAGATATATATACATCGTCAAGCAGCAACCATGATGTAGAGATCCCTACAGTTCCAGGGCATGTAGAGATTTCGAATGTCATATCATTGGATGTAACCCCTGACGAGAGTCCATTTAAAACGCCCATATTTGATAATAGTAAGTGGAATTAAGCATCTTACAATTTTTTTGTAGACAACGATGTGAACCACCAAAATGGCATTGTGGTTCCCAGATATGAGAGTGGCAGGCCCAGCCGTAGAGCTGCTAGCCTATACAGATTACAAAGGACCTATAGTTCATCCTCTTGTAATACTGAAGATGCCAGTCAGAGTGTAGATTTATGTGATTCGGTATCAGGTTATGAAGGTAAAAAGCAAGGTAGAGGCTATACTCGTAGGGTTGTTGACAAGAAATTAGTTTGGCCATTAAATTGTTGGATATGTCGTGAACCTATGGATCGTGTAAATTCATATATTATATGTAGTTCAGTTTGTAAAAGGGCGTTCCATGCTTCATGTGAAAGTATGTTGGCTTTGAAGCTTAGACTACAATTAAAACCAATCGATGAAGATAAACCATTAGAGGATCCTTTACGCCTTCGCAATACCCGTCCTGCACGTGGATCTTCTAGTGTTAGTGTTGCTGGTGGTAATGATACTTCATCTCAAGAATTCTGTGCAACTGTTAATGATTCAACGGATCACGATAATTCGGAGCTTGTAATATCTGACTTTGCCTATAAGGACCAATTGGACAACTTGTTGGACACCTCACCAACTGATTCTAATTTCCACTCTGGTCTCGACGATGATCCCGTGACTCCTGCAAGTAGTGTTAACGACTTTGTTTCTCTTGAGCCCCAGGTAAAGGGCCGTTCTGCTGTAGGTAGGCTACGTGGATCTCGGACTATAAAAATCCCCGATGATATACCTAAGGAAAGAAAAGAGGACGATAATGGTTACGAATGGCGTGATTTGGTTGCATCATCTAGTGGTTGGACACGTTTAGCACCAAATTGTATATCACGGGATTGTGTTTTTTGTTTGAACTCTTATACTGGTTGTTCTGGTTGTTTCAAGTTTGTACCTCAAGGTACTCTTGTAAAATGTGCTATGGATGGCTGTTCCACATTTTATTGTTACCCAGATTGTTTGAAGCATATACGACTGATATTACCGGACAAGAGAGTATTTTTGCTACACCGCCTAGTATATGGCAACTTTAGAAAGCTATTAGACAGTAATAGGCGACCACTTTTCATTTGTCATAGCCACACATGTTGGAGTTGTTATGATTGTGATCGTTATTCTTACTTATGGGAGACTATTTGGCGAGTGGAGTCTACTCGTTCGCCTATTGACTTTATGAGTTATGCATGGCAGGAGTTGCGTAAATCGTGTCGTGGCAAAGTGGAAACATCACATTTTGCCAAAGGTAAACGTATCCCGAGACCTCCTACATATCCTGATGTTCGTGCATTCAGGAGTTTTATGCAATCTCGACGTTTCGGGTTACATGGAGTAATGACTGCCTCCGCGTTGGCCACACTCTATCCTCATTCAGATGATGAAGAGCGTCCTAAATTCCACAAAGTTACAACTAACATCTTACTTCGTTGTGTACGTTGTGAGCGTACGTGGTGTACAAACTGTGTACATCCTGATGTCCACGTTGTTCCTCAATCTGGTAAACAGGTTATATGTCACGATTGTATCCATCTAGAGCGTGCAAGTGGTGAAGTCCCTAAATTCGGTAGCCACCGGAAGCTCATGAATCGGTCTCAGCGAGAGATTATGGAACCCGGTGTAAAGCTCACTAGCCGACAACCTAAAGAGATTTATAACAAGGTGATGGCACACCTAACGGAGCAAGAGATGTATCATGGTAAGGTGGCTACAAAGCCTACATTTCTTGATCCAGGGATGTTATATTGTCATATTGATACCGAGGTTGTCACTGTCCGTGCTCCAAGGAAGATACGGCGTGATGCTGGGAGACCTCGAGGACGTGACCCATCCGATCTAATGGATAACGATGATCTACGTGACCTTGTTGATGACAATGTGATCAGTAGTTTAGAAAATGTTAAGATTGAAGGTGATTGTGAAGACGCCGAGTATTCTCCGGGAGATATTTGTCCCCCTCCTGCTCCTCCGCCGCCTCCACATATCGACATCCCGGGGTTACTCGGTGATATTAAGATTGAGAATGCTATTGGTGATATGCCTTCTGACTTGAAATATGAAGCTGATGTAAGTGATTGTATTTTGGGTACTACACAAGAAACAGTAACGGCTACTCAAGATTCAACAGTGGTTGTTTGTGCCCCTTCGAAATCTATCAGTGCATCAAGTGACTTTGATGTACACTCTAGTATTGATCACGCATCTCAGATTTTGAATGATGATGGTATGGATTCATTACGTGAGATTGATGAACCAGTTATTGACAATTTGGTCCCCGTTAAGGCCGAAGGTGAAGAGGATGCCAGACCCCCAGCACGTAAACCTGGCAGACCTCCCAAAAATAGAACTGTTACGGTTACCGAGAATGGTATCGATGCTAGTGCTGTAACAAAAATCGTTATAAAATCTACTCGACCTGTAGGTCGTCCTAAAAGTCGAAAGAATGGTGATATTGTGAAACCTGCAAGAGGCAGTAAATCCACTAAAACCCTTCCTTCTGACTTTGCTGAAGAGGATATTAGGAATCTTCGTAGGCGAGAGCGTCGTGCCGCGAAGCGTGCTGCACAACGTCAATCTGAATATGGTATCCGACGTACCGAGTTACGAGCGCAGTTACGCACGTATTTGAACCGTGTACGTTCAAGGGAGTTTAACACAGTTGTACGTGATTGTGATCCTGAGACTATCCTTCGTATATGTAGCGAGTTCCGTTACATGACTAACAACGTGATAAGTGACGATTCTTTACGTTCTGTGGTCAATGAAGGTCCACTATCACGTTGTAGTTGTCGTTTTGCTTGTGGTTCGGAATGTTCAAACGCTGTTAGTTTCGTGGAATGTAATTCTTCCAATTGTAATTTTGGTGACATAAATTGTGGTAATCGTCGTTTCAAGAACCTTAATATCCCTAAATTACGGTTACGTTCGGTTGATGGTAAAGGTTTGGGTGCCTTTGCATCAGAAAACATTGAAAAAGATGAGTTGGTCTGTGAATACGTTGGTAAAGTGATATCTCAGACTGAGTTCCAGCGTTGTGTGGATAGTTGGAGTTTCGCAGAGTTGGATAATTCCAACAGTGGCCATTGGTATATTATGAAGATCCAGAAGGATGTGTATATCGACTCGACTAATATGGGCAACGTCGCAAGGTTCATTAACCATTCCTGCGATCCCAACTGTGTAAGTGTCCCTTATAATGTAAACGGTACTTTACGTATGGGTGTCTTTGCTCAACGGCGTATCGCTTCTGGTGAGGAGGTAACTTACAACTACGGTTTTTCTTCTCGTGGTGTCGGTGGTGGTTTCAAGTGTCTCTGCGGTGCCAAGAACTGTCGGGGTATGGTTGGTGTACAGCAGGATACTACAGCTGAGACTTTGGAAGAGATTGAGTGTGCTAAATCTGAAGGTAAGGAATATGAAACATTGAGCCAGTTAATGTTTGACATGGCTTCGATATATACCACTAACAAGGAAGGCAATTATATGAAACCACGGCCGTCACCACTTGATGTTTTGAACGGTATATGGACTAGTGGCGACCTTTATCGTTACGACAGGTCACAAACCCGTTTGAGGCTCGGTGCTGAATGCGATTTGGGTGATGGTTTACGTCTACCAATGAGCCCTGTGGCTTCACTTGTTGCTGACAATACCCATATGAACCAGTCTTTATGGAACTATTCTAAGTTATTGGTGTTAGGTGGCCGTACGATGAAACAATGGGATACTGCCAACACTAAGGAGTTCGCTGCTGGTATCCCTTGGGGTATTATAGCATTGGAGAACAATGATGTGAGTTTATTGCGTAGTTTGGAATCTGGTTGTCTCTTCCCTGATTTGTATGCCAAGGCCAAAAGGTTCATCCAAACCGTTTGTATGGCCCAATCTCGTCATTGTGCTGGTAGCGAGGGTTGTGAGAACTTACAGAGGTTGATGGACCTTACCTGGGGTGCAACCGAACCTTGTTATGTGTGTAGCGGTTATGGCGATTGCAAAAACTGTGATTATTGTGGCGACGTGCTACATGACGATAACGCTTGTGGCGATTTCTATGTTGACCAATATGGTATGAACCTATGCAACGTTTGTCAAAATAGTGATCACCGTCTTGAATGGTTGATGGCAAGTAACCATATGCGTGAATCTTTGGGTATGACTTTATGGTCTCTTCGTATGGACCGTGCTTACCAACAATCACGGTCTACCTTCCGTGAGCTGTTACGCAACAAGGTTCCGGAAAGTGATGGCGAGATTCGCAGGGTTAGAATGGATAAAGTTGCTACAGGCGATCAAGCTACCGAGGTTGATACTCCTGTAGTATATCCATGTGGTGATACGTTATTCTGTTCCCGTCGTGATTATGAGCGTTATTGCAAGAGCCCTATGAGTTTTTACGAAGCGCAGGTCAAATATCATAATATGTGCCAAAATGCACTTAGAAATTATGATTGTTTCTGGTAAATGCCAACTAGACAACAGATTATTCAATGTTCGTCTCAATTCCCTCGCTATGTATACACCCCCTCCTTTCTTATTACATATACACTAGCAATACGATCATGGACGTTAATAGTTTTGCCGTTAAACGCAACGGTATTCCGGATCTGTGTCGGCAGTTGCTGGGACGGTGTTCCGCTTTATGCTCGGAATAACCGAGATTCCTCGTAGAACGTATTCATATAGATCTATATAGCAGGCTTTCACCTGTTGATAGCATTTCATAGTACTTGAACCCGCGCACATGGAACTCTAGGTGGTGTGTAGTGCGTCGCTCGCGATCTCAGAAACGTTAATACTACCAATTTCTTCCCTATATATTAGCATTTCAATGAATAGATTAGGTTAAATTGTATGTGATTTGGGATACTCTTCTGCTTTGTTGACACGATGCATTTGATTCTGTAAAGTAGCCTTCTATCGCATAGTGGAGATGCAGCGAGCTTATAGGTCACCACGCTGGTCACACAATGGACATAGATCAGGATTTCTATACAATGTGGTACCAACGACGGTCTCTGACGGTATATGCGTGACCCAGTCAGGTCAGAGAGCTGATTTGGAGCTTTCGTTGAGCCGCTCTACTTCAGGTACGGCTAAAGTTGGGAATGATAATGCTGGCAATGTATCAAGAACAGCTTTAGCATTGTATTTTGTTTCTGAAGATGGCTCAGAATGGCATACTACAGTTGTTCACGCACCTTACTTCTATGTGTCTGTGACAAGTGCTATGCATCTCCATATGGTAAGAGACTATTTGGACACAAAGTTTGCAAGCAAATCTATTGGGCCGGTAGTTTTGGAACCTTGTGTTAAGGTTGATCTTAGTTTACCCAACCATATAGAACGGTTCGACCCCGTTACCGGTCGTGCTATGCATGGGACAAGACACTTGATCAAAATCAGCTTCAACACCATAGACCAATTGGAACGTGCTCGTATTTTGCTTCAATCTCTGAAACAGAAGTTTGTAAAAAAAGAAGATGGCTCATCGGAACACAATACAGGTCTTGCTTCATTGACAACACAATATGTCCATGACGAATATTTCTCACACCAGTATGGATCATCTCAATTGGAAAATTTACACTTTCTTAGCAATAGGACACATCAAATACACGAAGATACCGAAATGGAAAAGGGGGCTGATTGCCTTTTACATTTAGGTGATATATACGAACATGATGTGAGATATGTCAACAGGGTATGTATCGATTTGTCTATTCGGTGTGGTACATGGTACGATGTTGATCGAGTTCAAGGTGTCGTTAGTTTATCTGCCCTGAATAAGGCCACACTGCCGCCACTTAATGTATTTGCATGGGATATAGAATGTTACAAAGCACCTCTAAAATTCCCAGATGTGGAAAACGACGAAATCATACTCATATCAGCCATGTTCAACGGACAAGGGTACCTTATTGTGAACCGTTCTGTGGTAGCACGTGATATTAGCGAATTTGCCTATCATCCATCTGATGAGATGGCAGGTGCAGGTAGTTTCAAAGTGTTCAATGAACAGGGCGAATTGAAATTGTTGCAAAGGTTCTTTACTCTGATAACATCATTGGCGCCACATATTATTGTAACTTACAATGGAGATTCCTTCGATTTCCCGTATGTACAACGTAGAGCTCAGATAAACGGCCTATCTATGGAGAGTATGTTAGGGTTATATCGAACCTCATCTGATGTTTACACTGGGAATGCGATAATAAACATGGATTGCTATAAATGGGTGGAACGTGATTCATATTTACCATTTGGATCAAGGACACTTAAACAGGTTTGCAAGATCAAGTTGAAATACAATCCGACGGAATTAGATCCAGAAGAAATGGTACCATGTGCTAGAAACGACCCCCAAACACTAGCGGTATACAGTGTTTCTGATGCAGTGGCAACCTACTATCTCTATATGAAGTATATACACAGCTTCACTTTCGCCCTTTGTTACATTGTACCACTGCCGCCTAATGACGTATTAAGACAGGGTAGTGGGACCCTATGTGAGAATCTGTTAATGGCGGAAGCATATGCAAATGGAGTATTGTTCCCCAATAAACATCAGCAAGCTGGAATCCGTTACTTCAGGGATCCCGCCACTTCGAAACATCACTTTATATACGAGAACTCGTACATCGGTGCACGTGTAGAAACATTAAGATGTGGGCTCTTCCGTGATGACCTTGAAGAACGTTTTGAATTAAACAGTAGCAAGTATCAGGAGCTATTAGATGACCTGGATATGACCTTGAAATCATGGGCTGACGCCAATTTGACTAAAGATGACAGTACTGATGCTGCGGATGACTCAGGAACGGCACCGGACTCTATGGATGTTGATGGTAACGAGTTGAATCCTCCGACGTGGCTAATCACACGCTTTGCTCGTTTCTCCAATTTCCAAGAGGTTTATCGTAACATGCGCCAGAGGCTCATTAGGTTACGTGATGAGCCTGTACTGCATACATTCCCGAGGATTTATCATCTGGATGTAGGAGCGATGTACCCCAATATCATCTTGTCACAGCGTTTGCAACCGACTGCCATTGTGACCGAACAGACGTGCAAGCAATGTTCATATTATAACGAGTCCGATGTATGTCAGAAACGTATGCAGTGGAAACAGAAACTTGAGATATCACCTGTCGACCGTAACCATATTTTACCGTTATTGAAAGATTTAGAATCTCGTACCTTCAAGTCAACTGCGGTACAATATGATCGTGATGATGCGAACGCTGGAGCTACTTCTGATGGTTCGAGTAACGAATCGGATTCTCCAGACTCACCTGTTGATCGTGTGACGATAAAAACGTGGCATCAACTGAATGAGCGGAAAAAAGCTGCAGAGTTACAGAAGGTCATCAAGGCATACTCCCAGCGTGTCTTCCACAAGATGAAGATAAATAAGGAAGTGGACGTGGAGAGTATAGTATGTCAACGTGAGAATCCATTTTACGTACGCACGGTCCAAAAGTTCCGTGACAAACGTTATGTATATAAGAAGTTGAAGAAGGATGCAGAGACCGCGTTAAAGGAGTTGTTACGACAGCCTAAAGGTAACGCTATGCGTATCAAGGAGATGCGTGATAGCATATTGCTCAACGATTCCTTGCAGCTAGCTCACAAGTGTATATTGAACAGTTTTTACGGTTATGTCAAGCGAGGCGGTTCTCGTTGGTACAGTATGGAGATGGGCGCTATCGTCACATATGCCGGCGCTGAAATTATCGACTCAGCTCATCGATTAATGAAAGATATTGGTATCCCAATCGAGCTTGACACTGACGGTATCTGGTGTATGTTACCTGACGTATTCCCAGCAGTTGTTGATTTAGAGGCGAAGGATGGTACATCGGGGTCACAGGGACCTAAGACTGTGGAACTTGAGTATATGACCACGGTACTGAATAGGTTAATTGAACGTCAATGGACTAATGACCAGTACCTTGAGATGGAGGATGTAGGTCGGTATCGCCGTGTAAGTCGTAACGAGATTCTATTTGAACTTGATGGTCCATGGCACGCAATGTTCCTACCTGCTTCCGAGAAGTCTGAAGAACTGTTAAAGAAACGTTATGTGGTGTTTAACCATCAGAAACAGATTGTTGAATTGAAAGGGTTTGAGATCAAACGTCGTGGTGAGATGCGAATGATCCAGTTACTTCAAGAGGAAGTATTCCCACGTTACCTCTTGGGTTCTACCAAAGAAGAAGCTTATCAGAATGCCGCATCTATAGGTCTGAGTTACCGTCGTTCTCTTGACTCACGGGCTGCGAACTTGGAAGATGATGATATGTTCGATTTATTGGTAGCACGCAAGACTGTTAAACGTCCTGTCGCTAAACAGAGTAATATGAAGTGTTTCGGTATCACTACCGCCCGTCGTTTAGCAGAACTGTTCAAAGATGATTCTTATATTAACGATGGGAACCTCTGTATGTCGTTCTTGCTTGCATCTCACCCAGCAGATGCTCCACGTACCGCTAGGGCGATCCCAATCCAAACATTCAAGGTAGATGTGTCATTAAGATCACAGTGTTTGGCACGTTGGTTGAAATTACAGTTGAGTACCGCTGTGAACTCTGGAGTACGTGATATTTTAGATTGGGATTATTACCGAGAGAAGCTTGATACCCAGATGCTTAAATTAGTATGTATCCCAGCAGTTTTACAGGGCTTGGAGAACCCAGTGCCTATGATCCAATTACCCGCATGGCTAAAGAAAAGAGAGATGACCGATAGCCGTCAGCGTAACATTACATCATTTTTTGCAGTTAATGTCAACGGTGTGGCTAGCTCCAAGGTATCGTCTAAGCGCAATGCTGCTGGTGGATCAGACCCTGATGATAGTTCAAATCTGCCTATCACAGCTACCTCGAATGTGAAACAACAACCTGTCAAGCTGTTGAACGTAAAGGCAGCAGACATATCACCAAGATCGATTACTTGGATAAAGGGGTTGAAAGTAAAATGGCTTTCATTGGTAAAGGATTTCCAACGTCATCGACGAAGGTTACAACATGATATAAACCGTTCAGTATACGTTGATCTTAAACGTGGTATGCTCGAGGCAGCAATTTCACATGGCGATACGCAACCATCTGGTGACCGCAGCAAACTTGATTTCTCAGTGATATATATGCTAATGACCGAACGTTGGCACGTATACAGTTGTACGTTGGACCCTGAAAATCCTACCGTGATGAAATGTATAGTTTCTGTACATAACAAACCGATATTTGTGACTGTACACGTTGAACTCTGGCGCAAACTATATGTCAACTGCTTGAAATACTGGGAAGCACAATCTAACGAAAACATTAGTGTCCGTGCGATCAATGAACGGTATATTTTACCCCGTGGTTCGGTACAGAAGAACCTGTTTGAGCTTGAGATGCGTGAATCATATTTTTTGAAACATATCCGCAATAGTTTAAGTTCGATCTTCCACAAGACACTATTGGGTGTATATGAAGCACAGGTACCTATATCGTTTGATTTTGCTGTTAAACTTGGCAATGTAGTCCAAGTACATGATTTTGACGCTTCAGCTGCAGTTACACCGGCGTCCGAGTTCAGGTCTAAAGCTCTCCAAGGGATCACTACCATGCAAGTATCGGATGTTCACTATTTAGAGGATGTGGAGATAATCTTCGTTCATGTGTTCCATGGGTTAAACCCTGACACTAACCGTCGTAATCGTGTATTTGCAGCTGTATACAGAAAGGGGCAGGATAGTGTTAACCACGTTTTCGTGGGCGGTGCATCTTCTAATTTCCCTAGGGCTGAATCGGAGTTCCCCAATGCCTTGTCTTTAGCATTGGATAAGCAGCGTGTACGCTATGAACACCATGAAAGCATCCGTCATGAAAGTTATAAAAACCCGGAAAGGTTTCCAGATTGCTTTGGTGAGATGTACGAGCCACATTACGACTTAAGTGCCACCGCTGCTGCCGGATGCCGTACCGCCTTGCGTAATCTTGACACTTATTTGCAATCACTTCAACCCCAAGTGTCACAACGCAAATGTATAGTTTATGCCTATTCCACGGTTGAACTAAGTGATTTGGGAGAATGGTCGGCTGGCGATTCGTGGCCCGTACACTGGGACCGTAATGTTAGTAGTGACCACCATCATCTACCTTCTAACGGATTCATATCTAAAGCTTTAGGTGCATCTTTGGCGTTGCTGTATAAACACCGCACGGAGGTTGAACTTAAACTGTCCATGTCAAGGGTCGCCTCTTTACCGTTAGGTAACCTCTTGAATATGAGCACTGTTGATGCTAATAAGCATCTTTTGGATGTGATGTACGCGAGGTCTCTGAGATCTTCATCAGCGTTGCTTTGGGGTACTGGTGAAGCCGGTTGTGACCTTGGAGTACGTCACTCAGTCCACATGCAAGCTTCTGATTATGACATAACGTGTCATGAGGGTAACTTCTGTATGTCATCTGCTGGAGTATATCGTGGCTATGGTGCAAAGATCGCATTCAACCAATCGCTTATGTACAATGCCATAATGCTGGAGTCAAGATTAGCTACAGGGTCACAACTTGCCGGATGTGATTTGAAACGATCTGCTCCAGATGGTACTCCAGAAGAGTTACAGCATGAAGTTCGTATGGCACATATGGCTGAATTCCATCCTCTATCATTCCGTATACTGGGTAGTATGTTCGATAACCTGATTAAGCTGACAAACACATTATTTGAGAAGGTGGAATATGGCACATTTCAGCAATTGATCAACATCTGCGCGTTTATCAAACCCTGGTTGAGTGACCCTATTTCTATAATGTACGACCCAGGATTGTATTCTAGGGCGTTGCTGTGTACCCAACAGTACCTATCGTCATTATTACAACAAGTGGAGAGCTCTTACCAGTTGCGTACAGTATACGTTACACAGACGTATGTTGTAGTGGACACGAACACTTTGAGTGTTACGAAGGGTCGCCATCGTGTGCATGAGGCCTTTGATAATTTGGGCTCCAATGACCCACGGTTCCGAAATATACCATTTTATGTTGAGGAGGAGTATGTAGCGCAGATCCAGCTAGCAGCCGATTGCTATATCCGTTACAAGAATTACGTGGATGCTACACACGAGAACTGTACGGAGAGTCTGAAACCATTGGAATATTTGCCTGGAGCTGTTGAGATGTTCGTTCGATATTTTTTGAAGACGGTTGCATTAGACCCATTGTGGAAGACCCTTGGGGAATATTATGACTACGAAATCGAAGAAGATGGCCTGTCAGGTGGCAGTGTGGAACCGAAGGAGTTGCTAGGGCGTGATAATAACGAGTTGCGTAAAGCGCTCGAGGAACATGTAGTTCACGACTGGTTACAGCCTGGTGTATTTTTTTCACGTATGTGCGAATTGTTGGAGGATGCCGATGCGTTCCTATCAACGTTTGATAGTCAGGGTACATTCGGTAGATTGGAGTTCCCGAATATGCCAGGTAGCTTTGTTTTCGACGGTGGCAATTGGCGTATGGAAGCGGTGAAGCTTGTTGCGCATGTACTACGTATCGACAGCGCCGTTGATTGGAACGATTTATCAAAAATTACGGCATATGAAGAGAAGCGTCACCAACTCTTTACACTAGCAGGAGAGAGCGAGTACGCCGCTGGAGATTGGCAGCCTCCAATGCAAAGGCTGGATTTACCTTCTGTATGTTGTAATGACTGTTTCATGGTCTTTAACCTTGATGTGATATCGAGTTTCACAACTGAAGAGACCGATTCCGGCATTACTTTGTATTATTGGCGTTGTGAGTTGTGCGGTGCCCGTCTTCGTAACCGTGATATCGAGTTGAGGATGATAAAGTTTTTGGAACAGCTGTTTTGTGCATATCAGGCTCAAGATATGCTATGTCCAGAGTGCCGTATTGTCAAGCAGCTACCACTGGCTCGTGTATGTCAATGTGGCGGTGCCTTTATTCCGCGTCTGGTTGCTCAACGTTGGGAAGATAGTTGTGCGGTGATGTCGCAGCTCGCAGATATCGTTGATATGAAGAGCCTTAGAGAGGTTCTCTCTGCATATGGCGATATGTGGTAACACTGACTATAACTGCGATATTACTAGCATTAATATATGTTTTTTTAAAGGGTATCATGATGTTGCATGAGTTCTTCGTATCCCACAGGGAACTGTACATATTATCGAGTTATCTTCTGTTCTTACCATAGCGTGTATAGGCTCGAGTGCTGCAGCGACGATCTCTCTGCATTATATTAGTTTGTTATCGAGGGTGTTATCATTGGATATATAGTTTTGTCCATACGAATCTTACCTGATTTTAGCTTTGTGAAGAGACAAAAGTCGCTGTTCAGCATCGACAAAATCTTCGTTCAATGCTCGGCGTTCAGCATCTTCCATCATCATAATACCATCTGTATATATGATTAAGATAAACACATGTGTCAGATACCTAGCGATTTCAATGTCTCATCTACATCTTCCACGGGAGGCTGTGATACGATATGACATTATAGAATATATATAACACTTACGTGTATTTTGATAGCAAAATCCGCTGTATCTTGTATACCACTCATGACGGCATTTTTCATGCTCTGAATTTTTATAAGTCATTGTATCGAAGATTTTGTGTTTTTTCTAGGTTAATTTGGCGAGTGTGTAGCATTTTAGCCGCTCGTTAACGTAAATACTTACCGGACCGAATGGCGATAACTTGCTCTGAGTCTTGACTCCATGTCCCGTATGAAGAAATAGCGTAGCTATCCAAAGTATTAGGAGCGTCATTGTGTTGTGTCACATTTGTATTTTCAATGTGTAAAGGATAACGTGATGTCGTTTCCCCATAGGTTGTGTGTAACAACATCACGGAATGTAGACACACGACATCACTCCTGTGATGATAGGGAGTGGTTTTCTGGACTAGAAGATGCGTGTTTTTACTGCTATTGCTTGGTGTGTATCCGTATTAGTACTCCCAGGCCAATGCGTGGCCAAGGAGGAAGAGCCTGAGACGCCAGCAGAGGCTATTTCGAAGTAGGTCGATGTGTACGTTATATCATCTTTAATACTTCTATAGAGATGTAAATGAGTTGTCTGAACAGGTAGACGAGGTCATGGAGGAAGATGAGGAGAGTGAGAAGCCATCTGACCAACATGACGAACATAAGGATTCACATGCTGAGGTAGATTGATCACTATTGTTATAAAATCACTTTGCAGCAACAGGAAAGGTTCGAAGATCTATATCAGAACGCTTTGAATGAGGTGTGTACAATGTTTGTGATATGTGTTTCACTGCTACTCAGGCTATGAAAGAAGGAAGAGAGGAGTTCAAGACGTTTGCACGTGATTCAGTTGAAGATTTGGGTTGGTTACCTATTGGATGTATCATCACTTATTGATATCAGATCTTCTGGAACTTGCATCAGATCACCTGAAACGGTTTTGGTATACAGGGCAGTGCCGTCGGGAGTATTCGAGACCGTGTCCCAACGGTTGGACCTTAGAAGATAAGAGCCAAGTATGTGTTGCTCCAGCAGATTATGATGGACCATGTGAAAAAAGAAAAGATTTCTCACATATGGATCAACCAGCTAGGGCAGATTATGCATGGCGCTGCCATGTCAGCTGGCCATGTGTTAATGACTTCCCTATCGATGATGATGCACTATGCCCACTAGAGTGGACTAAGCTTTCTGCGTCGATCTGTATAGCTCCTGCGGTATGTTACAATTTCCCATCTAATACATGTACATTTCAGAGCTATGATGGTATATGCCCACCTATCGCATCTTTCTATGGGCTGAGCAGATTGGATAAATCGAAACATGAGCAGCTATGCGGAGTAAAATGGCCACGCATAGTAGTCGGTTCTAACGGATTCTCAGATCTAGCCATGGGTGAAGGCTACGCTTCTATGGGCGGATCCGATTGGATGAACGCCGCCGTTGATGAATCAGGGGCATTAGTGCCTGTATAATACACATGGACTTCGTCCACAACAATCGCAATGCTGAATGCTAAGCAAACACCTAAAACAGTTATATAATCCGATATTAAAGTTACGATGTAATTACGTTTAGATACCTAAGTGGCATAATCATCTTCGTTCTAAAATGTTGGTAGAAAAGGTGGAATAGACTTAGTAACATGTTATATCCCCTATTTTACATTTGTTGGTGTTATTGGAATCGCTTCAGATTCATCGGGTAGTTTGTAATTTTCTATATAGTTGAGATCAGCCTCAGTCATCTGAGCGTTGTCGAGCAACAGTTGACGTAGTTTCCTTTGTCGTCTCAGACTCATCGATTCGCCTATATATACATATTATAATATTGGTTAGTATGCAATTTACCTGGTAACATGGTGAATATCGAGTAACCGGTGACCAACAGGATAAGGATATTAGTGATGAAGCTTCCAGGGTCCTCTTTATAGCTCACAAACCACTTCCCACGTTTATATGGCCCAACTTTAAGATTTTGTAACGGCTGACAACCTACAACCTTACGACGCCATTCCTTGTAGGCTGCATCACTTTGACGTGACTCAACCGTACCCCGACTCTGGGTTGAATAATTGCGGTGATTGTGACCAATTGGTCGATTGCTATGGTCTTGCGTGTAGTGTATTCGTTCGCAGACCGTTACTGCGATGTTCCTATTCGTCAAATAGTGGTAAAGTTGAAATTTCGAAAAAGGTCGGTGCCACCGCATTGACATACTGTGAGGAAGGTGTGGATTGCAGGTGTCAGAAACGGGTATCCTGGCACCTGTGCTTTTAAAATGACGTCCTCCAAGGCAATTAGTTCTCGGTGAGCTCGAATCCGAAGATTTGCAACCCGGTTCCACAATGTGATGAGTTGGGTGTCGGTGCCACGAAGAGACGACCTTCCTACGCGTCAGCGTCCTTAATATTTGTACCGAATCCATAGTAAGCGATATGTGTACTGTAACAGTGTACAAAGTAGGTGGACTCTCCCCCACCCTGTCGCGTAGAGCCACGAGTGATGTTTGATCCGCTCTTGAGCAGTGGCTATCATATTATCCCATTCCTGCATAACACTGTCTCCAAGTCAATGTCCGATCCAGCACAAGGGCCTAAAGGCCCTGCTGATGATCCTAAAGAAGCAGGGTCATCAGTGACATTACCATTTGATCCTGGGTGCAATGATGTTAACGTAGTAAAACAGTATGCCCTTTTAGGTACCCTTGGAGTAGGCTCGTTCGGCAAAGTAAGACGTAAGTGTTTGATGCTTTAAAATGTATCATATCGCTCAGTTGGAGTTCACTGTGATACCGGGCAAAAAGTTGCTGTGAAAATCATACACAAGGATCATAACATGAAAGCTGCTCATCTTAGTAGACTAGGTTGCGAAATCCGTGCAATGTCAGGAATGCGACACCCCAATGTAATATACGTACATGAACTTATCGATACTCCTACCACATTATTTATCATAATGGAATATGTCGAGGGTAGGTTATGTCGTCTTTACGCAACGTGTGTTAACATTATTATAGGAAAGGAGCTATTTGATTATATATCGCAAAGTGGGCGTATGAGTGAAGCTGAAGTTATACGAATAATGCGCCAGATACTTTCAGCCGTAGACTTTTGCCACAATAAGATGGTAATTGAATAGTTTTTTTTTGTTTTAAATCTTGCAGATATGCCATCGAGACCTCAAGCCTGAAAACATAATGTTAGATAGGCAGAAGAATATAAAATTAGGTGACTTCGGGCTGTCGAATTTCATGCGGTGGGTATCCGCAGCCACCGTTTTTAACCGAGTTGCAGTGAAGGAGAATGTCTAAGGACTCCATGCGGATCGCCGAACTATGCATCCCCAGAGGTAATCTGTGGGAAAAGCTATTCGGGTCCAGAAATTGACATTTGGTCATGTGGCGTAATATTATACGTACTGCTCTGCGACTGTCTGCCATTTGATGACGACGAAATGACTATATTATTTTTAACGATAAAACAAGGACGATATCATGTACCAAGCCATTTATCTACTGACGCACGTTTTTTGCTCCAAAGGATGCTAGATGTAAACCCGTCATCCCGGATAACTATGCGTGAACTTATGTAAGTCGTTGCTGTTGTTTCTAAAATCTATTTTCAGGTCACATCCGTGGTTCATTGGTTGTAATTATGCAAGTAGTAGACCGGGGGACTACATATCTGGATTCAGCGACCCTGAGTTGGTATTCCCTAGAATATTGGGAACTGCTGACGGTGGATTTGGTATGCTGAAGATGTCAAAACCGAAAGATAATGATATGATATCAGCGAGTATGGTGGCACTTCGGTGTAACAAATTTTCGCCACGCTGGTCAATGGGCGTAACTGGCTTTGTGTCCGAATCACAGTGCATTAGGCTGGTGAGTTCAAGGGTTGTTGATTGTTAAACCTCGCAGGTGTTGGATATTTTAATAGATATGGGCTACAAATGGGCATTAGTCCCGGCTTTCAAGCTGTTTTGTCGTCGAGATGAACAGCCTGGGGAGGCAGTGCCACCCCTTTTTGCAATGCAGATCTACAAAATGAAGTACAGATATTACATTTTGGACGTACGTTTGGATACTGGTTCGATTATGCCAGCATTACACGAGGGTGTTGCCCTCGTATCGAAGCTCAAACGTGGTTTAAAAATGGCTTCACTGTAACTTTAGCACCGTTAAATGTTGTTACAGTGATAACCGTTATTTTTTATGTTTCGACATCAGCTTAGCATGAGGCACCGCTCTCATGTCGTTACCATGTTCTCTGGGCCTTTTTTTGCGATCTGTATGCTTGATGTTAAGGTCCACCTTGGGTGGGTCGGAGAACCCAAACGACCTGGCAACACGTACAAGGTCAAGTGCGTGTACATTAAAAATATCCTTGAGACTATGCGATAAATATGCCTGCAAGTACGACTTGTAGGCTTCCCTTGATGCACGGTTGAGATAATAATTTTTTTCAACCAATTTCTCTAGCTGTACTTGTACTTTTGCTATTTTGTTTAACTCGAACTCATACTTGCTTAGGGGCACCTTAAGTTCCTTCAGATAGTGTAGGAACCCCAATTCCTCAGGCATAAGGAACATTATGGCCCTACCTTCGCCATCAGCACCCCTTGCCGTCCTACCTACACGGTGTATGTAATCACGGGGATCAGCTGGCGGATCATATTGCACAATCCAATCGACCTGTATGATATGTATTCATGTTGATGTTAGTTCACCTTTGGTATATCCCATCCCCTTGCTGCGACGTCTGTGCAAAGCAAGATACCGCACTACAAAGTATATGTGACATGTGTACCATAGCCTCACCTTAGCTGCGCAGAAAGAGAAGTATGCCCCTGACCTTTTGTTTTGTTGTTTTTTACCATATATAGATTTTGAAGGTATATCTATATAGTTTAATAGAGCGTCATGGAACTTTACGGAGTTCCCGCTACTGAAGAATACCATGATTTTCTTATCCATGTGACGCTTTAGGAAGGAGAATAGTAGCATGAATCTATTTTCAGCTTCGCATACGACGTAACCCTGTTCCAAAGTTGCCACTGTCGCAACGTCCTTAGAACATGCCTGGAATCATTGTACATATTTTACCGGTTCACATACCTGTACGAATACTGGGTTTGTCATGGATAGTCTGACCATATCTTCGACTTTTGAAGTATGTGTTGCAGAGAATAAACATGTTTGGCGTTTCTTTGGTATCAGTTTGATGATCTGGTTCATCTCTTCCTCGAAACCAATTTCTAGTATGCGATCTGCCTCATCGATGATTAGTATGAGCAAGTTCTTGAAAAGGAATCCTTGAGTGTTTTGCATATGATCGAGTAGTCTTCCAGGTGTTGCGATAAGTATGTTTATACCTCTGGATAAGCGTTCCGCTTCCTGTTTGCGATTTGTACCTCCCATAACTAGTCCGATAGTCTGAGGCAGATACTTGCATACATCTTTGGCAACGGCATATATCTGTTCGCTAAGCTCACGTGTAGGTGATATGATAAGCCCTCCAGTACCATTTCGTGGCATGAACTTTACTTGGAAGAGTACCTCTGCAAGCGGTACGAGGAACGCCAACGTTTTACCCGAACCTGAGACGCTTATTAGCTCAAATTAGAAAATATAGATTGATTCAACCAGAACTGGTGGGTACGTAGCAAAGATATGACCATTTGGCAGAACACAAATAGAATCTGTATGGCCTTAATTGCTGCAGATTATCCGGGAATTAGTGTGATTAACATACCTGTATGTGCTTTACCAAGTACATCCTTCCCCTGTAGTAGATGTGGTATACACTTTGCTTGGATCTCTGTAGTACGTTCGAACGCTAGTTCAGTGAGTCCATTGAGGAGTGGTTCCGAAAGATCGAGGTCAGTAAAGAGGACGTCAGTAAAGTAATCATGTTTCTTTGTCATTGGTTGCGATGCGGCAGTACTTTTGGAACCCGTGTCATAAATAGTCGTCGATTCAGGTTCTTCCTCAGTATCGCTTCGTTCCTTTTTTTTGTTACCCATCTTGATAGACTATGCGATTTTAGAGAGTACTGATTCAGTCGCGGTGTATTGAAGTTTTATTAGCCTTCCTAATGCTATCGTTTTTCGATACGCGTGTATGGCAATAGGTGTACGGCAGTTAGCGGTTTGTAATTAAATGTTGTCTCTGGGTCATAGAATCCGAGAGTTGAATTAACACATTGCTTATAGCATAAATTATCTTTATATATAAGTTGTTTTAATATATATTGGCCTCCTATCCTAGTATTTTGCTGCCTGACTTGGCGCGTTGTATCGATGTAAAGCATCATAATTGTGGATTGCATCATGGGGGCTGTAACTGATTTAACATCTCATTTTATGGCGTTCTTACTGACTATGTTAATAATATCATGTGTAGAATTTGGCTCATATCAAGACGTTAAGGAGGATGTGTGCCTGGAACCGTTATGGAGACCGAAATACGGGTGATGATCGACGTGATCGAACATATTATCATGAAGATCGAAGCTATGTAGGTTATGATTCTGGTGATCAATATGGATATCGTTATCGTGATAGTCGGTTTCGAGAATACGACCGTCGAGAATACAGTCCTGTCATAAGGGACTATGACGATCGTCATGATAGCAGAGAATGGAGCTATCGTCAGTATCGTGAATCGCAACGCCGTGGCGATGAATACTATGGAGGGTATTCACGCAATGCGGAACGTTATGACGACAGATATGACCATATGTCATACCCACATGGCGATAAAACTGCCGGCAGATATTTGACTAGGGTTATAGAGCGAGAAAGGGGTGAAACAGATCGTTCTCCTGGACCTACTGCGAATAATAGTAGTGGTTCACATAATGATTTTGGTACCAGTGGAGATGCCATATCTAGAAACGTAGATTCAAACAGGGGAGGTTACGTTGGTGCTCGAGAACAGATCGTAGACGAATATGGTGATGTCCGAAGTCATCGTACAATTGACACAGATGATCGCAATGCTACATCTAGTTCCGGTACTAGAACCGAATCGGCGGTAAAAGTGGAGTGGTATATGCACCCGCGTTATCAGGGTTCAAGGCGTTCAGGATCAGATCCCAAAGAAGATAACAAATCATACACAAGGCCACGTAGGAACCATGCCGATAGTACAGCTGAGCGAGAAAATAGTGCAACTGTGTTGGTACGTAACCTTTTGCCAACAATTAGTGCTGAAGATGTTGAGAATGCAGTTTCAGATTTGTGCATACAAAATGGCACATCTGCGCCTAATACAGTGAACATACGATCATATCAAACTGGGTATGGTGGTGTGTCACAACACAGCTTGGGTATAGCTGACGGCTACAATTTTGATGCCACCGCGGAACGGTTCGCAGTAGTTACCTTTCCATCTCCCGGTAACGCGGCCCGATTTATGGAATGTGTAAAGAGCCGAAAGCTGGAAGTCAATGGTTTAGAGTTTTATGTGGAATATGATACTCTGGAAGTGAACGCTGGTAAAAGTGCAAACGATAAAATAATGAACTACGATGATATGCTAGAATTCGAAACGCTTATGAAACGTCGTATCTTCTCATGTGACTGGATATGTCCATCATGCCGTTTTATCAATTTTGCCAGAAGAACAACATGTCTAAGCTGTGAAAAGGTAAAACCTTCAGAAGAGCAACTGCAAAGTCAGAATCTCCTTGTAGACGCTGCTTCAGCAGGACAGACTAAATTGATACATACCAATGTGACTGATGTATCGTCTTGGGTAGTATTGAAGGGTATTCCATTGGCTGCCGACCCTTCTAAGTTGGTCATCCTGGTATGTAGTAACGTACCTGAAGGTGCAGCACACCTGCAACGTTGTGTGTATGTTATAGACCCTCAACCTAAAAGTAGAAGGGGGTTTATGTTCTGTCAATTTTCATCGGTTGTGCCTGTAACCGGATTCCAAGAAGCTCTAGGTGACAAATTATCGGAGTTGATCCATTTTCATGATGGATACCTTAGGCTAGAGGCAGTACGTTCTCTTGAGAAGCAGGTGGCGGACGAGCTTCTAAAGGGTGTGCGTATGAACACGCTGAAGGTACACTATGAATTCCATCAGGAGACTTTTGTAGCCACCGCACTCGCTGATGAACCTACTGCAAAACTGGTTGGTAACAAGGAGTGTCGTACTGTTAAGGTGAAAACTACCAATGTAGGTGCTTTAGAGCAACTATGCAACACACACAATGCTCCACCTGGTTCAAGGAAATATGTTAATTCGTGGTTGTGCAAAGAAATAGCACTACCAGATGGGAAACCTGATACCGCAAAGCTTACGTATGATCCAACTTCTGACTATTTCTATGATTATCGGCTAGGTGTGTACTTCGACGCTGCGAGCGGGTATTACATGTCTCTAAACAAGGACTATTATGTATGGGATGAACCATCGTCTGCGCTTGTTATAGTAGAGCAGCAAGGGTCACATGACCCTGCCGATCAAGGCAATGCCCAACAGAATCCGTCCAATGTGGCAGGATTATTGGAATCTGCATTGAAGGCAGCGCAGATGACCAATCAGAGCACGCAGAAGGCAACGAATAGGGCTGCTGAGAAGTTATCAAGCGACAACTTAGGGAAGCCACAGTGTTCGGATATCGTCAAGGAAGGTGGGAGTGGCTCTCATATTGTCACATCTGCATCTCCAGTAGGCCCTCTTGCGCCATCCCAGCTTCCGGATGAGATATTTAGAACATTTGACCTTTCTATACAATCGGATGATGAGTGTGAGATGGAAGTTGATTGCGCTGATAAGCCGTCAACAATCATTGATACTTCGGGTGTTGTTACCGCGTCTAAGAAGGTATTGAAAGTGGAAGTACGACCTTTGGTGGTCTGCTTAGTATGCCTTCGGATGTTTACTGACCAATCGAAATTAGAGTTGCACGAGCGTAGGTCGCGGTACCACCAGATAATGCTGGAGTGTGACCGTTCTATCACATAATATTTATAATTTTATTTTCTTTTTTTGTTAAAATCATTATTAGTCTTATGTGTGTAATGTGCATCTGAGCTGGCAGCTATGAAGGAGCCCCGGGAGGGGAACTCAGCGTCTGTGGCGTCACGTTTTTCAACAAAAGTGCTTACAGACTCAGGTGATAGTGTATGTCGTACTGAGAATGCACTGGTTATAGTTTTAGACCTGACCCCTTCAGCATGGACTGGTGCTACAGCTCCAAGTGATTTGAAACTGCAATTACCAGGGTTTTTTCGACTTGTATATCGATTCTTGAAGACATATGCGTTCATGTCCGCAAACCATCGTTGCTGTGTCATAGGTACTCACAATTCAGGGGCGTTAGTTTACTTCATTGTCTTGTTAGCACTGTCGCAGACGTATATTATATGAGGGAGAACCTTCTTCGGATTGGCTTCCATCGTGTTTCGGTAATGCTAAGGACCAGAATGCAAGATCCGATGCTACGATCTTAAAGTTTTGGAACGCCATGCTAGAATTTATCGGTACATGTATACCATCGTCCAAGGACCCATTGCTGACAACTGCTCTTTCCATGGGTTTGCTATGTTAGTCCCACTTTTATTGATGCATCAACCACTGAGCAGATCTGAATCGTCTGCGTGTTACTGGTGCCGGTTTCGGGCGTCGTATCATATTCTTAGACGTCTCCGCAACCAACGAGTATCGCTCACAATATATCGGCCTTATGAACGTCGCATTTACAGCATCTAAATCGGTAGGTGGAAACGCACCCGGTGAATCATCACCATCTTATAGAGTATCAGTATTAACACGTGTGCGTTTCGTCGATCTTCGGTTGGTATAGTTTTCAGCACGTGTAACGGTCTGCAGCGCATACTGGAACAGTTGAGCGACGTGACCAACGCCAAATACCTAAACCTATCGAAGGTGCTGCAGTCTGTGGAAGACAATGAGAGTCGTGAACAGTCAGTTTTGCAGCTATTGATGGTATGTTTTGTTACATACTTACGTTTTGCTAAAAAATATACAACTGTTATATTGCTATTACAGTTAATGTAACATTCATATGTTGTGGTTAATTGCTTAACTCACTGTGACTGAGTTTTTATTCTCGTTAAAGTTCCCGTTTGACACCATTTTGCATGTTTTTTGTAACCATCGCGGTAACTTGTGAAATGTGCATACATCGTCGCTTATATTGCTGCAGTTCTGGTTTCTGCCTTCAGAGGGTGTCTCGGAGCAACTTTCTACTCAACTACCTTTTGACTTTAGCAACACTGCGGTATGCTACTGTCATTATCGCACGGTTGATATTGCGTTCCTTTGTCCATGTTGCTTTGCTGGTAAGTATTGTGTTATGTCACGCTTAACTAACATGCCGACAGTGCATTGCTCCGAGAAGGACGACAAGGGTCGGTATCGCATATTTTGTCTCGTATGCAAGTAAGTGTTACTTGCACATTTACGATATTTTGCAGCTCGCGTCTATCAAGACCACTGGTGAAGCGTAAGTCGGCAGGCGATGCTGATTTCTCAAAGACTTGAGATTAAATTAACGTAGTTCATACTGGGGTTCAAACATCCCCTGTAAAGGGCAATACTAGCCTCTTACCGTACCACTTTGACTTGGCAAAGTAGTAGAAGAAGTCTGCATATAGCATGGTTTGTATGAGCCCAGCGACCCAGCAGACACCACATATAAATGGTGGATTCTCGAAGAAGTAGCGATATACCCAATTGAGCAAATATAGAGCGCGATATAGTCCCATTGTGACCACATAGTTTGAAGTAATATTCTCTACTTCACGCTGGTGGTAGAGCATAGTAAGCTGTGGTAGTATGGCGACACTCTCGAGCCATATTGAGAAGGTCCATGTGACGTCGAGTAGCCTGTATCTTGGTGTTGTGAATAATGTTAACAACAGCATTGGTCCCAATAGGTACTTTTCGTATGGGAATCGGTCGATTTTACGGTTGTATGTTTGGGAGATTGGTGGGCATTGTCGTATGAGATATATTGTATATCCCGTGGTTGCCAAAAACAGTATCTTCATAGCGGTATTATAGAAGCTGATAAAGTAGACGAATAGATCCAGGTACCTGAATGCGAATACGATGAAATACAGTTCCTGCATACGGCATGATATACCCAAACAGTTCTTCGACAACTTCAGCTTGAGTATAAGAATGACAAGGCTTGCTAGGTGACACAGGTCTCCTGCAAGACGAAAGATGTTCATTGACATCTTCGCTGCGTTGTATGTGTAAGCGTTAGCAGCAGTATATAGTCCGCAATGCGGGGAAGGACGTATTTTTTTGTTCTAGTGCGGTACCGGGCTTAGAAATTAAAAATAAGACAATATGGATTAGTAGGATATAAAATTGGACTCCAATACATTCACAGCGCGATGCCGCACACGTAACAACGAGGCTCTGGCAACTGGGTATCGCAGACGCGAAGTGGCCTTTTGCGTCTTTGCCCCCATGAAATGGGCACACAAAGGAGGCGCTTTTAGGACAAATACCATATCAACATAGAGTCAATAACATCCATCAAACCATTTTTTAAAACAGTTTATACACGAATGTAACTAACAATATGGAGTGTGTTTATGGCAATAACACAATCGCGCTAATACATTATTAACCTCAAATGATCACGTCAAAATTGCTCATGGTCAAAATACGCACATCAAACAACATACGCTCACTTTTTGAGCTGTGTACTATCCGGGTGTGCCATAGCCTTTGCGGCACATGGATTCCTAACAAAACAAAACAGATACTACGCGACTCCGCAGGTGCACTGTGTATACCCTATTCTCATTAAAATGATGTACAGATTCCGAAACGGTCGCTGCGATGTTGCGTCTTTGGCCAACATGTAAGCGGCCGTGCCTACTAGACGGAACCCTTGATAGTATCCAGCCTGTGGTACCTGTTAAAGGAATACACGGTGGTTTGACATCTCGTCTAGAAACTCGAGAAGAGGGCGGCTGAACCATGGCGCCGGGCAGAAACCTGAACACTGACTATTAAAAATCAGATGCCGACCAACCTGATAGAAAAGTGCCATATCCACCACTTTTGCATACATAATGGACAATGTTCGGGTTTCTAACAACGTCAAAAATGTCGACATCCTCTATTGTAAATTGCGAACTGTTCAATGATGACAGCAGCAATGTGGGCAACGATATCGCCGCGAAGTTACGACGGATGTTAATAATGTTATTAGTGTACTCCCGATTTATCATCTCCGCCAAATACTTGTGTATCTTAGGGTCATTAGAACGAGATGCGCTCTTGTTGATCGCATTCGTCACGCCACTACTCAAATTAGCCCTCCCGATACGGATATTAGTATCGACATACTTGTTAACAAGCTTGTAAGTAGGGTCACCAGATACAGATTCGATACGATTCTTCCCGTCATGGCCTACATGACTATATACATATCGTGATGTCATTAGGGCACATAACTTGAAATCAGGACTGCTGCGTGCTCCAAACCGCCTGAATATCCCAGAAGTATAATTCACATACTCATCCAAGGTTCTACGGCGCATATGACGATATGAACTACGGTATTCGCGATGCAAGGCGAGAAGAAGCTGCTCGATACGATAATGCCGGAAGGAAGTGTGAAACCCATCACGCTCCTTACGTAATTTCGACAATAAACGACGTGATAGAGGCTGAGCTGCTAACGAGCGTATATAATGACAACAGCGGTAACTGCAGCATTCTTTCTGCATATTGTCATTCTTTCTTGAACAATGTACCTCTCTAAACAATGATATGAGATGGTGTTTCAGAGCAGAGTAACAATAGCGAGCATATGCTCCCTGGGCGTTGGATTTCCGAGGATAACTGCACTGATACAACGTATTACCACTAATACGCATGTTCAAGTTAACACAAGCCACCGCCGAGATACGCTTAACGTCAAATATAACCTCTGATTGCTGGGCTGGCGGGTAAACAACAGTGGTCTCATATGTGCATTCATCAGACTCCTCCTCGAATTGGAAATGGCCTTCTGTCGGAGTCACTATAATATCGCCCGCAGCTCCAGATCGCTTTTGCGATGATGCATTCGCCGTGTTACTATCACCAATAACCTTATGCAGATACATAAAGGATTCGTAATTCGGGTTATCATGTGTAAACTGTTTATCCCCAAATTTTGAACTCGTGTTCATAGCCGGGTTCATAGTGTATTTTTGACTTTGACGTGTACGACGAACATATGCTTTTGGGGTGTTACCAGTCGCACTCGAGGATAGATCACGATCACCCGAGTTTTTACGAATGCATACTTGAGAGAACGGTTCTGTCCTTCTGGCTTCGCGTGAATCGTATTCGCTACCGGTAAATGACTCTGCACTGTCATACATATCCATAGGTATTCGTCGTTTGGCCAGCAATGCATGACGTTGTGCCAAAGTGGCCATGTTCCAATGGTTATCAGCTGATTGGTTTGAGATGACACGTATAGCCTTTCCGGCGGACCCAAATGACAAATACTCCATAAGTATATTTGACCCGTATCCGAAACCTAAACAGCATAGTGGTAGATTTGGATATCGCAGACTTATCCTTTTAAGTGCACAGTCCAAATCTATAAGCGCATCACTATAGAGACTCAAAGGGAAGCACCTCAAGCCTGTCCATGTTGGAAAGGCTTCACTCGCCATGCCCAAATTTACGTTTAGATGGACCTGAACACAAGCAAAACCGATCTCCATAGCATCACTGATTAGGTATCGTATGGTTGGGTGTCCTGGTGCGTCTATATTGACACCCTTTTTATCTTCATGTTTTGATTGTCCACAGCCCTGACATAAACATGTATCCTCTTCGTCACTAGACCTGTCACATCTGCAATTGAAGTTTTGATTGCATATGCTATAGGGGACACTAACATCCCCAATGATTGCAATGACACCCCGAAGCAGTTTTTGTGGAGGAGGTTCAACCGGTATACCGTTACCTTCAGGGTTGTTTGTTGTTGCCGGATTGGCACCAGATGGTTGTTCTAATATGTCACCTGGTTCACATTTTCGTGCACAATCTGCCTTAGCGGCACCTAATACATCACGGACGGTATTAGACTGCCTATCATTTTTGTTATCATTCCTTTTATATCGTGATTGTTGATTTGGATCCTTTTTCCTATAGTTTGTATTTATTGAGCTTTCCAAATGTGTAGTCACAATAGGCGGTTTAACATTAGCATTATCCTGTGTATAGTGACTATTCTTGGGATCTTGCTTGTTGGTATTACAAGGGTCGGTTTGGAACCTAACGCCACCTTTCATGCTATACTTTCCGCATTTCGAACAGAAACCACCAACCCATTGGGGTAGATAGTAGTCTAGTACCACCAGGGCTCCGTTATGTCCCTCCAAAAACTCGCGGATAGCCACCTCAGCCTGTCCACGGAATAGACGTTTAAATAAAAACGAGGTCATAACCATCCGCATCAACAGGGAGGCTATCCACGAGAGCATAGATAAAATACGTGATGTTGCATCCGTCGTTATCGATACTAATACTCGATAGCATCTGTTAAGCTTGCAGAAAGATATTAGATATAACCATTGACAAAATGGAGCGAAAAGGTAGAAAGTTGGTCTATATGTTTTTCCAACAGTTGCAAACCTGTTGAGACGAGGTGAAAGTCGGTCTCCCGTGAAATATGGGCATACTAGCGCTACATGAAATAACTCATAGTAAGTTAGTAACGCCAGGGCGACTAACATCCATGTCGTTTGCCTTAGTTCTTGTAGAAAGGCATAGAATAGACAGCGAACTAGCCGCAAACGTGGTAAGACTATTTCCAACCTTCTCCAATCAAAGGGTAGCCTTAGCTTTAAGAAGCTGAACGGCTTAAGCCGAGATAACCATGTCCACCCGAACATATCTACATTCTTAAAACATTATAGTTTCAATGATATATACTGTGTAGATTTTTTAGCGGTAGATAGACAGCGTCTGCCGCACAGTACTGTGGTGCCGCTGCTGTTAATTTCTCCGCTTCTGCTGCAGCATATGACGTATAGTCGCGAGGATCCTTCTACACATCAGAACAGTCCACTAATATACCTTTACCGTAACTATCGTCGTATACGCATTATATTACAACGCGATGTGGTAAGTCGGTGTCTACACACGAATGGAGCTGGAATGTATATATGTATAAGCGTAATGTAGTGTAAATAGCCAACTTTGTATAGGCAATATTTCAGCGGAGGCTCTGGCACCACGACAGTGCCGCCTGTTACCTCGAAATATGACGAAAAAGTACCGCCGCCACCATCTGGTGGACCGTTTGTACCGCCGCCAAGTATGTTGTGAATGGTTAAAAAGTTTATAAGGGGCAACAGAAGCACCAAGGGGTGTAAAAGCGATGGGAAACTTAGGCGAAGAGTTTAAAGGTTTCTCCGCACCGCCGAAAGTTACGGGTATGTAGAAACGACACTGGTTCAATATATCGACAGACTACAACAACGCTGATTACTCTGCGTATACGTAAGTTTATCTATCTACTAGTGTATATGACGAGCACAGGTTATCTGATACTTACGATGATACGAGCTCTAGCGGTCAAGGTTTCCTGGATAGGGTTACATCAAATCCAAGAGCACGACAGTGTCTTGCAAGTATCAAAATGGGATTCAAAATGGTTAGTGGCATGGAACATTGTTGATTTATATATGGGTCATAGGGAGGCGCTGTCGGTGGCATATTTGGTGGTATCACCGGAGTATACACAGCAGTAAGACACCGCAACATCATGGTAATACCAATTTCTATGGTAGTTAGACATAACATAAATTATATTATTTATAGATTGGAGGTGCTGTAAGCTTCGGGTTCTTCCTAGGTACTTTGTTAACTCTGTTTTTTCACATATCGTAGGTTGTGGCATGGTAGTAAGATGTTGATAACAAGTCCCCTAGCAATGGTTGGCATTGGGCTATGGGAACCCACAACACTAGTGTCTATTGCCATTTTCATGGTATAAAAAAAGGTCACTGTTCTACTTAACAACCGTTCGTTTAATGTTTCACACGCTAAGCACGCATTGAAGCAATGTCATGGCATCTCCATCAGATAAAGCGTGTACGGTAAGAATATGGAAATACAGAGTATATCTACCTGATTTAATAAATTGTTACGATATCACATCGAGTTTTCCGACTCTGCAGCCTTAGCAGCAGCTTCGGCAGTAACCTTAGCAAGTATTGCCGCAACACGGTCCTCAGAGACCATCTCTACAGATGGTTTAGAGTCACCCGATGGCCCCCTCCAAAGAATCCCAACCTCTATCTTGTCTGCTTTTGGTAAAGTTGAATCCATAGATTTAGTAAGCACCTTAACGGCAAGATGCAAAGCATCATCCAAATCAAGACCCTCTTTCCATTCTTGACGTAACATAGATTGTGCGGGTTGACTGTTGTGGCCAATAGCTGTAGCCTTCCACCCTGAATAGTTACCAGAAGGGTCAGTATGATATAGTTGGAACCCCAGGTGTGAGTCCCAACCGGCGAAAAGGAAACTGACCCCGAATGGTCGAAGGCCACCAAATTGGGTATAGCTCTGTTTTAAATCACAAATTTGCACAACATGCTGCTCAACACACTGAGGTTCGCCAAAAGTATAACGATGTCGTTGCGCGTAAAGCTTACACATGTTTATAAGAACCGTTGCATCAGCAGTCAATCCTGCAACAGCGCAGAACATGTGAGAATCCAACTTGTATAGCTTCTCATTAATTCTCCCTGGGTCCAGGAGCTGTGTACTAATAGGTTTGTCAGCTGCAAGGACTACTCCACGGTCACATAGAAGGCCGACGGTAAGGTTGGCATTGTTTATAGCCTCGAGGGCATACTCCACCTGGTAGAGTCTCCCCTCTTGAGAGAAGGTTGTAGTCTTAGAATCGTAACGACGTGACATCTTGTTTGTACAATGTGTTGTCGATAAAGTAAGGGTTCCGCGTGGCTTCACGGCTCGGGGAACCCCTAACACAGGTTCGACAGTCTAGGTCTGGAAATGTGGTTGTTGTATGAAGCGAGTGGCAGCCTCGTAAATGCGATGACCGTGGTTCTTTGACTAACACCCTTGTTTCCAACCGTGATGTGCGTACAAACAACGAAACCTTGGCGAGTGTAAGACCAGGAGATCCCCCCAGCGCGCGGCCACGGTAGTTAGTGATACTTTTTAACACACGTCAAAGATGAGCTACGACCGCGCTATCACTGTTTTCAGCCCTGATGGGCACCTGATGCAGGTAGAATATGCCATGGAAACTGTGAAGAAGGGTGGATGCGTGGTCGGCGTGAAAGGAGGTGATAATGTTGTCATTGCTGCTGAGCGTAAGACCACGACAAAACTACAGATTCCAAGGTTAGTAATAACCTAGATAAACTACACACATCTATAGGAGCTCAAAGAAGATCCTACAGCTTGATAACAATATCGCGATAGCCTTTGCCGGACTCAATGCTGACGCAAGAGTTCTAATTAACAAGGTTAGTATCACAATGTAGGCAACAAATAATGTCATAGACACGTCTCGAGTGCCAGAGATATCGCCTTAACGCCGATGAAGTTGCCTCGGTTGGGTATATTGCTAAGTACATCGCAAGGCTACAGCAGGTATGAACGCTTATCACCAAATTATACAATAATATATACAGAAGTACACTCATAGAGGTGGTGTAAGATTATTCGGTGTCGCGCTACTTATCATGGGATATGATTCGGATGGAAAACCTGGTCTATACCAAACTGAGCCTTCAGGTATCCATTCATCCTGGAAAGCTCAATCTATCGGTCGTGGTGCCAAGGTTAGTGATTTTACAGAGCCATGACATGATTCAGAGCGCTCAAGAATTTTTGGAAAAAAATTATGTTGAGGGTATGAACTCAGAAGATGCCGTGGCACTCTCCATCAAGGCACTCATAGAAGTTATGGAGGTGTCATCCAAGAACGTTGAAGTGGCTATATTGGGGCCAAACGGATTGCAAATGTTGAAGGAAGAAGAGATTGACGAGGTGCTACAACGCATGAACGAAGCCAAGGCAACACAGTGAAGTTGCCGTGGCAACAGCACCCATATAACACTTATGGGCCATATAAACAACGTTGTTGCGGAAACAGCGGCGGACATAGTGCGAACAACATCTAATATTTTAACAATAGATATGCGATTAAGCAGTGACAGAGAGTAGGACACGCAAGTAACACGCTACTAAACGCAAACCAAGTAGATAATATGAAAACATACAAGTAACTCATAGTGTATGTAGTGTTTTTGAAATTGAAAGATGTGACTATTTTGTCCATTCCATCTTTAAATGACGAATCCCTAAGGGAGCGTGACTTGTGCGATATATTACTTTCGACGGCTACTTCTAGCAGATGAGGGCACACTTGGCGTATCCACTGACGGCTTTGTAGTAGCTGAACGCTCTTTAGAGGCCGAACGTAGCTTCTCGATATGCTGCATTAATGTGTTGTACAAAGCACATGAATTGACAATAAGTTGAGCATTTTGAGCACGTAGTAGCCGTACTTCAGTTTCCAGTTCAGCTATTCTCGCAGCCTGAGCGGCAGAAGGCGGTGTTGACGGCTCAACAGGCTCAGATTCTAACACTTGATCAGACGCGCAAGCCGCTGAAGATGGATCAAGAAAAAAGTCATCGCCAATATCATCAAATGACACTTCGTTATAATTATTTTTTTCAGTATTCGATTCGCCGGAGTCCACAACGCCAGAGGAACCATCAGCGGACGAAGGAATCCTACCGAACAAATCTACAGATTCACATACAGCAAATGAACTTATTAACTCTATATCATCATTTAATTGGTCCGCCATCTAACACAATCAATGAAGGCGAGCCTTACGTGAACGTGATTTGGGCTTACGCTTCTGCCGCACATTGTCCTTCTTCATACGCTTGTCTACAGCCTTGGTCACCTTACGAGAACCCTTGCTACCGCCAGATGAAGTGGAGGTGGAACCGCCACGACGGGATACCACATACACCTTATCACGCTTGTTAGAGGCAGTATGCTTCACCTTACGAAGTAACTTACGAGCCGTACTTGCACTGGCTGTCTCACTGTTCTGCAACGCCTCCACCCGAGGCAAAATACTCTTCAGCTTACGCTCAACACGTAATTTACGACGACCACGAGCTTCCAAAACTTTACGAATAGGACGATTCTTCAATTCATAAAGCTTAGCCTTATAACGCTTCATCAATTCCTTAGTCACAGGAAGCTCATAGTTACTGTGCTTCTTCTCGTCCGCCTCAAACCATGAAGGCAAGTCACCGTCGTCAAATGTACGACGGTTGTACGCACCGTCGATTACTGCCATCCGAGTGTCCTTGTTAATGAGTAAAGAACCCATTGCTTGAACCTCAGCTATCGTGTCCTTGTCACGAGAAAGCTCAACTTCAACGGCGTTACGCACACGATCTACAGTGTCAGCATCTGATACAGCAGGAACCACAGTAAACGTAGGTTCCTTCTTAGAACCTTTCACAGTCTTGGACTCTTTCTTCTTCTGCTTACGCGCAGTCTCACGAGGCTGGTCATGGAATACGTCCTGATCAAACCAACGATCGACCATAGCATCCTCCATAGCTCGCTTAGAGTTAACATCAGATTTAGACGATGACGGCTTATCAACTGATTGAGATGGTTCTGAAACCTCATCATCACTACCAGCAGAAGATACGTCACCGGAATCGTTGTCATCGTCCGAAGAGTCTGATTTAGCTTCATCCTCCGATTCCTGGAGCTCTTGCTGAGCCTTTAGACGCGCCTCGTATTGCATACTCTCAAGAAGGGATGAAAGCTCAGCACCACGCTCAGCATTCACACGCTGACGTCGAGTAAGCTTCTTAGCTGATTTCTTACGTTCGGCTTCTGCGAGCTTAGACATCTCATGATTTAACTCCAGGTCGATCTCCATGTTAAGCACCTTGTCATCCTCATCATCAGTTTCAAATTCCAGCTCCATAGAGTCACCACTATCAGAATCGTATCTCTCCACTTCTGAGTCATCGTAAACATGGTCACCAGGCTGACCGGTACCCTGAGCAACATGTTTTGGAGTGTCTGATGCAGAATCATCGCTATCATCGTCTAACTCATCGATATCCAGGCCCTTAAGAACACTCAACCTGAACATACTAGGGTCGGTGTCCAAAATCACAGAGTTACCGGCCATAGCTTTCTTATGTTTCATCAAAGCACGACGCTTCTTACGCTCAGCACGACGACGATCCTTACGCAGTCGATCTGCAACTTCAAGCTGTTGCATACGCAAAGCATCCTCACTGTCACCTTTGTCATCTTCACCATCATCCTCTTTATCAACAACAGCTTTAGGTGCAACAGGTTCTTTAGTATCAGATAAAAACTCACGACGCAACTTTTGACGCCATTTCAACAGATGCTGTAAATCAGAACGACCTGCAACCTTCAAGTCAGAACATAGTAGCCTGATCTCTTCGGTTGTCAAAGGGCTGTTATCTACAGCTTTTAGTAAAGCAGCATCCTTCTCAGCAGATTCCACATCATCTGTGTTACGAGGTTTGAACACAAAACGATGTGTCGATATCAGCATCTGTGGAGGATTATCCGTGGTTAAAAAGTCCAACACGCTATGCTCACGGAAATCATCACCCTCCTCGTAACCCTGCTTGTTCACCTTCTTACGTTGACGTAACAACTGATTCAAAGAAGTAACCTTTGAAGTTTCCTGATCGGCATCATCTTCCTCAGCCTTGCCTTGAGAGATGAACACATGGTCACAATTGAACAGTTTGGGATCGAGTGCCTTTAGGGTACGAAACCCAATACATACAGCAAAAATCTCAGCAGATACGTTACGACTACTCGAGGGTTTGGTTACCTTTACACGTTCGAAACATTTACCAAGGGTCCATATTAACGAATTGTAATCCGCAGATCTAAAAGTAAACATTAATCATGGTAATTGAGACTTACCTGAAAATCTTAGTTACAAATATACCACCCTTCCTCAATACATGTGCAGCTAACTTTGCAGCCTCAAGGACAAGAACATTCTGGTTGAAAGCGTCGAGATTCCAGTTAGTACCGACATTCGGTGCTCCGTCGTGTAGAACGACATCCACCTCAGCACCTCGTAAGTTATGCGATATCAGATTACGACAACGAGGGGTACGTATATCAGCTTGGATAGTTATGACACCCTTAATAGGACGAATAGGTACCAAATCAACACCGATTATAATGCTTGACACGGGCATATGCTTTGCAGCTACCTGAAGCCAACCTCCTGGCGCAGCACAAAGGTCAACAAGGACACTATAGCAATGTTATCAATTTTATAATGACTCCGAATAGGGAGGTAGGATACTTACTTGCAATTCTCAAATAAGTTGAACTTCTTAGCAAGTTGAAGTATCTTGAACGCGGACCTTGCACGGTAACCCTGCTCCTTAGCCAGGTAATAATACTTATCCTGGCGCTCCTTGCCTATCTTGCCCCTTTGAGTCATCTTGTCGACGAAAATCAATTAATCTAGACGCGTCGACGTAGATGACGCACACCCTACTTTATTAAGTGGCTATAAGTATTAAATATAACATTAAGCACGATGCGATGTGTGGTTATTACAGCTACTGTGGCATCGCACCAAGTACTAAAACGCCAATGATGACACCAAATAGACCTGCGGCTCATGTATAAATTGTACCCATGACGTACCGATGATACCAGCGAAAATCTCTACCATGAGAATCTTCACAAATAATTGGGGCTTCTGAGCATCAGCAAGTGCGCATCCACTGCCTACAGCACCGACGGAAAGCCTGTAATGCTCTATCGACGTATATGGAGAACACCTACCCGCAAAAGAGGTTGCACAAACCAGCGGCCAAACCAACAGCGAACAATGCGTAACCACGGTAAACTTCGACGAAGTACTCCACTGTCACTTTAACGTCAGTGTCGAAGTTCTCAGGACGTGGTGTAAAAGTGAACTGCATCGCAGCATTGATGAGAAGTACCGACACGATAAGCCCGTAGATACCAACAGCTTCACAAAAAATTACTGATACCAGGTTCTTCACTGTGATACGTGGCGCCTTGACAGAACCGCCCATGATAGAAGGACCACATAACAGTATACCCCTGAAGAAGATATAGATATCTCCATAGAGTCGGTCAGTTACACCGTTTGATGAGTAACTATGAAACCAAGCATAGCGTTACAGATGATATAGAACAGATATACATCCAATGTATGAATTCAGATAGCTCTCACGGATAGACGCACATCACCATTATCCGTTATAACAGTTCTGTGACACATCCGTGAAGTTTAATACGCACAGTTACAAAATATAGATGTTACAAACACACATATGGAAAACATACCATGCTGAACCTAATACGGAAAGTCCAAGCGACAGAAATACACCCAAATAACCCCAAAAGTATGGCGGTATAGCCGCAAACACAGAGTACCACGACACGGCCATCCTGGCGGTGAGATGGTCTCTAAGTGTCCTATTTTGCGATGGTATTTGTTAAAATATCGATATCAACAACTGTGCGAAATATATACCGGGCTATTACCTAAGTACTAAGCACACGCGATCCGACTCATGGGGAAACGCGACAATCAGTATAATTACTGCTTATGCAGAGAGCAGCCGGGAAATCCATGTTATTCCGGCTGCAAATATAATGGTGGTATACGATGCCAAAACACCTGGAATGGGCTATATGAAGCCAGTTCTACGCCAGGAAGATGGCGACCGTCGTAGCACAAGTTTACCAAACGAGACGTCTGAAATACAACATCTAGCAAGACTAAAAGGAGAAATCGATACAGCAATCTCACGTGTGCAACAAAACCTACAGAACAAAGCACTCACCCAAGCTGAGTGGCAGAAGGTCAATGATCTAAGACAAACAGCAAAAGTTAAACTGGACTCTGCTAATGCAAGGATAAATGATCTTATCAAGAATGTGCGAGTATCAGCTGATCGAGTATTAGCGCTACAGGTACAAAGGTACCGTAGGATATTCGATCAACTTACCGGAGAGTTTGCCTTGCTTACCAAACAAGCAGATCAACGCTACCAAAGCTTCAAACTATTCGGGGATAACAGACATAATACACAAGCAAGGGATATTGTGATGAACACTGGACAGGTGGTAGTTGAAGCTATTATGGATGTAGAGTCACTGACAGAGCAGGCGTCATTAAACTTAGGAATACTTCGTAAAGGCAACAATCGTGTCTCTCGTATAATTGGACGGTTAAATACTATGGTGCACCACCATCTCGTCGACATACACAAGTTACAACGCAACATCAACTACATACTGTTGCGCAACCGCACTGTTACTTCAATTGTCCTGGGCATATGCCTCTTCCTCATTATTTACAAATTGATTCTATCCAAAATTGTATAGACAGCACACTGGTGCATCGAGGGGAAGCTGTGGGCACAACGGTGTTACGTCCAATACGTTGTGGCAGCACCGGCCTTACACATTTCAATAATCTGCATCGAAAATGACTCAAATTACTCAAATAAATTCAGAAGTTATCGAACTGCTCCATGGGACTCAGGCAAGACGACTTCTATCGCACTTGACAGAGGAACGACTTAAGAAGCGCCACCTAAAGTCGAAAACTATACAAAAAGGACAAGAGTTATATGCAAAATTGTTAGAAAAACTATTGGAAGCTGGATATTTTCAACATTTTGGAAACGATGATCAAAGATTGTGTGATATCTTGAGACAACGTGACACTGTCGATGATGCCATGGCACCAGTCGCCGAAGGCTTGGGTATACCCGAGTCATTCGGCGCCGCGATCTTCTATTTGGTTATAGGTAAATGCCATATCAACCACTTAATGCATAATATATGCAGGATGGATCGCCGCACACCTCAAACTTACTGATGTTGACCTTTACGACATCGTAACATGCTATAGCTTATCGCAAACCGATGATGGGAAACTTGCACAGATTATCAAACAAATGGTACATATGGTCGTTTATAACGCGTCGATCAACGTGGAATCAACTAGGACATTCAAACAGATGGATGATGAGCTAAGGTGGCTTCTGCATAACGGAAGTGCATCAGGGGTACACTGCCGATTGAAGATGTTGATGAACTGCTCCGAGTACCTATATGACAACAAAGCCGACGATATCATAGTCGGAACTATCGCAACAGAACTGCCACGACTTACTAGGTGAGCGTCGATATAGTGACAACAATATTTCATAGGAGCCGTCAAATTGTACTAACAAGGGTACTTCGTCACATCACTGAGAATATCCTAGGATCATCCAAACGAAACGTCAGAAACCTCTCGCAAAAGGAAAATGCAAGCCTTTGGCGCTTGATCTCAAAAGGGATACATGACTCTGGTACGTCAAAATAAACAAACAAAAAAACATTCACATGCAGGGGTTAAGCAGCTGGTGTTTGATGACAGAGGGCTACTAATGGCACTGCGTTCCCTCGGAAGGGACTTCGATCTCAAAGTGCTCGCTAATATACTCACGCAAGATGTGCGCAGCCATGTAAACGACCTGGAGGATTACCGCAAAAATTGCGATAACATGAGAGCTGTGCTAGCCATAAGAAAACATGGCATTGTGACCGATATGTTCGAAACATTCAATCTAGCGTATGACAACAAGGGTGTCATACTGCTCGATAGGAACCATTTTTAACAATAATGTAGTTATACAGGTATATCTATGGCCAATACAGCTTAATGCACATAAAAGTACCTACACCAGGCGGGACTCGAACCCGCAACCTCCGCTTTAGGAGAGCGATGCGCTATCCATTGCGCCACTGGTGCCCGCCTGAGCCCCTATTTTTCGTTTGAATATCCGATATATCGCATATTAAAATTGATCAAATGAAGCGATACACAGCCATGCTGTTGTCAACTGATATGCCACATAGAACGAAGATAACATACATGACGTTGTGATACCACGATGGTCCATATGGAGCGTCTCAAATTAACCAAACCTGAAAGGGTGATGTATGCAAATAACATAAAAAATACAGAGTGATTCACAATAATGTGGGTAATGTGTCTTAAAAGCGAAAATTGGTAGTGGAATCACGAGGAAAAGTCGATGCAGGCTTCTCAGCCACTAATTTTTGCGACCAAGCGGCCATAACTACTTACAATACATGTAATAAGCTTGTATTAACGTGTAAAAAAGGAAGAAACAGTGTTGAAAGCACGGCGGTGCAGGCGGTGGCCTGGATTGAAGACGACCCAAGTGAGCCAAAGGCAACTATGTATATCGGATTCCATGGTAATTCTAAATTAATAATATAAAATACACTCGTTTTTATGTGTGGAAACATAACATGTGGGCCAATAGAGCTACAATTGGCACTGACCCTCCTCCCCACTGTATTTGACACCAGTCATGCGTTAGACGTATCGCACAACAATAACCGCTCCTGCATAATGCACGGATTATATAGTAGATTAACAAAGGCTCTCGAGTATATTTCGAAATCGCGCTATTTTGATGTATTAGGCAACCTCCCAGGCCAATGTGGCGGTCAATAAGACGCTGAAATGTATCTGACATGTATAGAAATTGTTAAATCACTGCACATCAAATGTTAAAGTAAAGTGTTATGAGATATTATAGTAAAAAAAGGAAATGCTCGTCCCTGTGCAGTAAGCGTCGGACTCAACAAGGCTGGAGTGGAAGGTGGAGAAGAAAGAAATTGAAACTGCAGTTTTCTTCTGTGTCCGGCAACGCGATAGCGGGCACACCTTTCGCGTATAAGGCACTATGATTAAAGAAAGAAAGAGTACAACTTAAATTAAACCCAAAAATATATAACAAAATCTGGTCACCCAACCAACTATTATAGACGATAATTGGCGAAAAAACGCTAAAGAGAAATGGTCATGATAAACGCTGAAACTGGCGTACAATAATTCAAGGCTTCTATATCACATGAAACAATGATACATATTATAGAACAGAAACGTGTCAGTCCCCAGGTGGACCCAGATGTCACTGTTTGCTCTGTATCGTCAGACGAAGACATATATCAGAACCCAGCTGACGTCATACTCACACACGCAAACAAAAAATCACACCTAGCACGCCGAAATGTAGCAGACTACGGTGATGATTTACTACAACACCTAGAAGAGAGTTCGTGGACCCAAGGCCATGCTGAAATTTTGCGATGCTTTGAACAACCGGAGCAGGCCCAACAAGACTTAGGCGATTCCTTCTCTATCGATTCAAACCTTAGATCATTAACTTTTGAGATGGAAACACCCAATTGCCCACTCTACAACTACTTTGGGAACAAGACGCCAGTCTTAACCGGCAAAATCACATCGCCGAGGTCTCAACCGACACCCAATGCCAACAATGAGTCATATGTCGGTTTGCTCAGTCCCTTAACAACTATACGAACACCTTCAGGATCACTTGAAAAGGAGCTACTACACATGGTGGAATCTGCTTGGAAGTCAACAGCGCCAAAGCGCGATATCGTATGCCCGAAAAAGGGCAAACAAGTATTCCTCAAAATCCTCACCACACAATTAGTATCTGGAACAATCATTGGACGTGGAGGCAAGGGATTTAACTGGTTTAGAAGAAAGAGCAAAATCGACGATATACTTCTATCAATGCCATGGGAACTATACCCAAAGACCGACCTAAGAACAATGTTTTTAGAAGGAACTACAGCAGCAATAATAAAGGCAACTTGTATTATTGCAGATCTCATGGTTTGTAAATATGCAGCACAAAATGCAGCAACAGTATCTCAAACGGATAAAATGTTAGTAATGGCAGTATTGCCGCTATTCGCAAAATCGGCAATGGAGAGGATAAGGGATGCATCAGATCCTGATATGCTCTCAATCTCTCTCTTCCAGAGCAGTACAGAGCGCAAGGAAATTGTGGCCGTCATAAAAGGGGTGAAACACAAAGTTAAGGCACTTGTTGGAGCCATCTCTAACTCAGTGGCAGAAACGGTAGATATTAAAGATTATCGTCATGTTTCATACCCAGAACAAGAAGCTTACGCTTCGAAAATGCTACCAAGTGAAAGGTTGGCACAGCGCAAGGCTGTGAGGAAACTGGTGGATGCATTTGAAAAGGCTGAGCTCATGGCAAAAAGCCTTGAAAATGAACAAGAAAGTTATGTAGGTTTAACTGACTCCCAAACGGAGGAAATCAGTGCATCGGAATTAAACGAAACCATTCATACTCTCGACGATATTGTAGACCCAACCAACACACAGCGTAATTTGGCCGCGTCGACAGTTGTATCTGGAAATAACCCAAATATCAAAAGCTACCCAATTAGTCTCAACTTCAAAATACCTGCAACAAAAACGGGAGACGCCATATCTATCGCACGTACCTCAAGGTGCTTCTTCACGACGAAATCGGCGGATGACCCAAATATGATTGACTTCAGCCTTAGTGGACCCTTCGAGGAAACTGTGGCAGTCGCATCTTTAATTGTGTCGGTTATCTAGTATGATTGGCTGTACGATAGTTGTGTTGTACACGTATAAAAATGTGTCTACTCTAAACGTGTACTAAAGGTTCTACCAAGCCAAACGCACAAACAGTACGGAATACAACAACCGTAGATAATAGGAGCACTTCGTGCTGATATGTCGGGGGGCAATGGTTGGGGCGTTGCCCTAGTCGTTAAGCCATGGACGGTGTCTATCACGTGACATCTCCACTAACCACCTTGTGCGGACGAACAATGAGAATATCACTTCCAATCGCCATTGCAAACAACGACTGTAGTGCCGCACAACGCAGCAACAAGAGCTAACGACACGCCGGGCAACGACCAACAATTGCACGTGAATACACCCCCTCTCCCTGCGAACACACACATAGCAAAAACTCTGTAATGTCTCTGTTAATGTTGCAAACGTAAATGACAGTTGTAGCGGTCCACTGTGGTAGAGATGACTGTTTCAGTGGCCCAGAACACCACTGTGAAACCAAACATGCTGGCGTATAGATATATTTGCGAAACATTCATGATAAGTGTTCAAGCCACCTCCTTGAGGATCACATTAGATGTGGGCCTCTTCGAGTGGGTAGCGGGGAAGACCGTGGGTGGTAGGTACAAGTATGTGCGCAAGTACTCCACACCCTGGTCAGTAAGCACGAAGTAAAGGTGCTGCCAGTTGTAGTGCTCCACGACGTAGTTACGAGACTTCAACGATTTACATACCATCATAACATGAAGGTTTGGTACGTTAATCTCGGGGTGGACGGGAACCTTGGAACTCTTCTTGCAAACCAAAACTCCCTCTGCGGAATCATGAAGTAACAGCGACAATAGTGCCAAATTAACACATGAACGCAATAAACCTTACCATTTATTAAATATTGGTAGATTAGAACACGGTTCTCCCGTGGGATAAGGCTGTATTTCATACCAGCCACCGTCATGGTGTCTGTCCTGTAACAAATTAGTGACCATTGCGAGCCAACCTACAGATAACACTATTCCTGATACACACCAATTAAATAAAGAGGTGGAAACCTAAATATGAGCTAATGAACTCCACAGGTTACAACGGTGATGATGCCAATATTGGCTCATGGGGTGGCCGTGGACCACTGGCCCCCCTCCGACGGTGGTCATCATAGAAAACATCGAATTAAAGCGTAAAACTTTGGTTTTCCACTTTAATATTGTGGAACACCCATATCAGAGACGGCAGTGCCGGCATAAATTCGTCGAATCTTCACACATGTCCTGACCGCGGTAACTATTGGAGGCCTCGGCGTACTACGTAGGTGTGCGACGAAAAAGTACAGAACCCATTATCCGTCGAGGAAGCACGGTGGGTCTGTGTCTGGAGTGTAAATTTATGCCGGGGTGTGTCCTACATGCTCCGGCGGGACCGCGGTGCGGCTCCCATATGTGAAAATAGAAAACGTAATTGCCCCCTCAATACGTGCGGAGGCAAAGTCCATAAGCACACATGTCTGAAACATCGTCGAAGCCAGATGGCAAAGAACCAATGGCGAAAAGGGGCAGAAAAGAGTCGGGTATGTCAACAGAGCAGGAGTTCCTGCAACAGGCCACAAGACGTAGCGAAAGCAGAGGGCGTCAATCTATGCATCCAAGGTCAAAACATAACAACAGGGACGATTTTCTCGCATTGGCACGTGTATACCCGGTACTGAAGAGGCATATGGTACCCAACCCAAAGTGGAAGTCACCCATGCCAAAACATCTCATGTATCACTATGACTTCACACACCCAGATGCTGTTTACCATCTCTCCAAGGCAATTTTAAGTAGTGTCTACAGCATAGACTTCTACCTGCCCTGCGGATGCCCAAACAGTTCTTGTGATCCGTATCTTCAAACAGAGTGCGGAGATGAGGAATGCGATTCATCTGCGCGCGACTCAGATACATTCGAAATCCAGAGGTATCTGGCACCGTGTGTTCCTGGCAGGGCCAATTACATACACTATGTCGCCGATTTGCTACACCTCGCATACAATTTTCCCGATCCACCACCAGATGGACTCGAGACTATCAAACCCGATGCAACAACGCTAAAAAGAGAATCAATTCTAAGAGGAGAACAGATCAAAGTGTTGGATATCGGTACCGGTGCAAATTGCATATATCCGCTCTTGGGAGTTGCCGAATACGGCTGGAGCTTCATTGCATCGGATATCGATGCAGAGGCACTCAACTTTGCGAAGCATAACTTACAACTCAATAGCATGCTTGGACTAGTCGAACTCAGACATCAGAAAGAATCTCTGAGGATGTTTAAAGGTGTCCTTATGCCGCATGAGTTTGTGCACCTTACCATCTGTAATCCACCATTTCATGCGAGCATAGAACAGGCTAACATGAACCCACGTGTGAATACTTCTGGTACGCTGAACGAACTAGTATTCAGACACGATGACATTACAACATTCTCTATAGATGGTACCGATGCGCAGAATCTACTCAAAAGCAAATTTGCCGTTACAGGTCAGGTGAATTACACTTTCTCCGCTGACCCGGCTGAACAGGGAGAACTTGCGTTTATTGAAATTATGTTGGTGGAAAGTCGATTTTGTGTACACAATGTGCTCTGGTTCACTTCACTTGTTGCAAGACTGTCAACGCTCAAACGTATCAAGAGTCACATACAATCTGATATGCGGCAGTATCATGCATCTAATACAAACCAAATTGCATATCTCGACGCCAGAGTAGATGATCTGGTTAAGCGACATGGCGATTCAGTGGTTATCGACGACGATGTTCGTGTCGAGGTTTCTCAGCTGCACGCCTGTGAGTTCAGGACATTTACCCTGAACCAGGGTAAACAGACGCGATGGGTTATAGCCTGGACATATTTCAATGCAGCACAGAGGTACAAAGTACTTAAGAAGTTGTACAACTAATTTGTTACACATAACCCTTACACATTTATATGTTACAACGCGGTGAGATGTTGGGTCCGCGGTTCACTATATATACCTTAATAACAAAATGAAGGGGCTTGGTAAAGCAAAAAAGGCTGTTTCCAAAACTGAAGCCGGTATAAAAACGAAAAAGATCGCAAAAAAAGAAAAAAACCAACCATCGGAAGGCGCGCTGAAGTTGAAAGAATTAGTAGACCGTGCGACTAAGACAGCCACCAAAACTAAACAATCGGTATCACCTAAAGATAGTTCAACAACCAAAACCAGCGCATCCCAACCCGTCGAAGTAGACAACATCGCTACTGGGCTACCGGAACAAGAAACCAAGCCTAAGGTCAAGCCTCGTCTTACAAAGAAAAAGGGTAAAATTGATCCGAAGGACTATATTGGTATGTTGAAAGCCACAGGAGAACTACATAGCCAATCAGACCATCCAAACGTCGTATTTGTAGGCAACGTGCCGCTATCTCTCGATAAGGCTCAGCTAATCAAAAGACTTGGAATTGACCCACGGATAGTCAAATCGATACATTTCAGATCACTACCCGTCGAAAGCAAGTTTGCAATGAACAAAAGGGTTGGAATTATACGTGGACGACTAACCGATGCAAAATCAAGCCAAAATGCATACGTCACCCTAGTAGATGAAAAATATGTCGAAGAACTGCTCCAAAAAAATACAATGGAGATTGATGGACACTATCTCTTCATCAACAAAACACCTCCATCGTCATTCAGCAAATTTAATCGCAAAAAAACAATCTTCGTAGGGAGATTGCCAAAGGATACCACTGAAAACGAACTATTTGACGTATTTTCCAATATAAGTCCAGTAAAAGGTAGGTAACATACCTAGTACGTATAACAGTCACAGGTGTGCGTATTATCCGCGACCCTAAAACGTCGGAGTCAAAGGTGAGTTGGCGTCTACCGTTACCATACTGAGCAGGGGTTCGGTTTTGTTGCATTCGATAACCGAACAGCAGTACCAGAGGCGATTGAAGCCTTCAACAACAAAACATTCAAGGTAAAGTATGATTATATGTCTCACAATACCCCTAGGGATACACATTACACGTCATGAAGGCTCTTGACCACGAAGCGGCAGCTGCACAGAAGGCCAAGGGTGGCAAGAAACGAGGTAAACCGACGAACAGCAAACGTAACATCCGTCGTGGAGACAACAAAGATGGTAAACGGTCACACAATCGGACTATCAAATCTAACAAGAAGAACAAGCAGCGGTGAAGATCTCGCAGCAGTAAATGTTGCGATGAATTTTCAACACACTCTTCACAACAACACACACATAATCTATTTTGCACATAGAACTATGGAGTACGAAACCGATGGTTCGCAAACGACGAGCTTATTTAACGCTCTAGAAAGCTGTCTCGCGAAGTGCAGACATCCCTTGAGTGACGAGGGCATAGTCGAACACTTCGAAAGCCTATACCAGAATAACCTTTTACAGTACAATAAGATTCTTGCCTTACTTCATAATACACTAGATGAATGCGAAGCAAACGTACAGCTGGTCGAAAATGCCATTAAAAACGATAGTGATATTAAGGATGGGATGCAGCAAGAACTTAACATTCTTATCGATAAGATTGATACTGCAAAAGAACGCGTTGAAGAACTTGAAGAAGAACGAAAAGATCTAGAAGAGGTCTTAGAAGGGCGGACAAACTGTGAAGCAGAGCTGGATCAAGTGTTGGAACAAAAGACCCAAGAGGCGAAATCCATAGAAACTTATATAGCGTTAGCATATTATGCCTATCATAAAGTCAGATCATCCGTAGGTATCAACAAGTTAATGTAACACTTTGCAGGATAAAAGGGTTAAAAAAAAGATTGATGCAATAAAAGCTTGGGCAAGCCGCAAAAAAACAGCTACGCAAGCGCGCAAGAATATATGTAGAATGATGAGGGCAGAAATACGTGACACCATTCGCACGTACCTTATCAATGTAGCTCGGATAGTAAGTCTTATATCTGTGGTTTGATAGATCTGCTCTAGGTACGCATTCATGCCGAAAAGGATCAAGAAAAAACCCAAGTCCTTGCAGAACATGATGAAATCGTTCTTAAAACTGCCGATACCCAGAAACGCATTGAAACCATTGCAGAAGAAAAGGAGAAATGTGAATATGCGTTAACTGTCGTGGAACAAGAAATAACTGAGGGTAACCTTAGCGTCGCAAAGCTAAAGAAGGAGATTGAAGACTTAGAAAAGGTTAGTACGTTTCAAGGCCATGCCAACCCAACACAGGAAATCGCCAATGCACAGATGCAGCTTGATGACGCCAAAGAATCTCAACAGCTCTTACATAGAACTGAAGCTGAACATTCTTGCAAGGTAGGTTTAGGAACGCAGAATGGGGGTGATACTTAAAACAGGTTTTCAAGATGCAGAGCGCTGTTAAAGATATAGAAATGTAAGTATGGAACATATGGACACATATTGCCCTCAGCAACAATCATGATATGACTGTGAACCTAGAAACATATAAATCTCAAATAAATGAGCTCCAGGAGATGGTGAAGGTGAAGTCGGAGGAGCTCCAACTGAAACGTACGGAAAAATGCAATCAATTCGCTGCCTGCAATAGACTGGTGATGGAAAGGGAGGAAATAGTGAGTCTGAAGGCTTAATGAGAATTATAAATGGTATAGGCAGCGGAGTTTGATTTGAACGCAAGGGACCACATGGAGATAGTGAAGAATTTTCTATTGAATGGGAATGGAGTTCCAGACCGCAGAACAACCATTTCCAAAGCCAAACGTCTGGTTAGCATTCTAATGTGGTGATGAGACGTAAGAACAGGTATCAAAATTGAAACGAAAGCTCAATAAGCTTAATGCCCAGAAGAATAAATCGTCAGAATTGATACAGTCGATCTCCAAGGGTAGGGAGCATATTATTTGTCAATACTTGCAGGTATACAAGCTCAAAAGGACGAAAATGTCAAGCTGAACGAAGAACTTGAAGCGGCTAAGAAGAAATGTATAACGTAAGACCCTTCCCCATTTTACCTAGTCACTGATACAGGTTGAACCAAGATATTGCACATTTACGAGAACAACTTGACAGCGTTACATCGAAAGAAGACAATAGAAAGCAGATGATAGATGATCTTATAAATGAGGAAAATTATATCAAGAAAACTGTAGGTTTTCACAGTTGTGTATTTAATGACCTACGCAGATTGCGGAATTGGAAGCTGAAGAGGAAAAGATGAAATTCGAATATAATGCGAAGGTTCAAGGTTTGTATGATGATGAGACGTTATTATTGACCATATAGAGCAAATAGAAGCGCAGAAGAATAGACTAAAGCGCCTTAAAAATGAAGACTGTTCTGACATGGCAGAGATCATCGACGAAGAGGTTAGGAATTATTAAGATGGTCTATGTTAACATGTCATGTAGAAGAAGAACAGCGATATACTGCTTAACGCAGCACTAGAAACAATAGAGCTGGAATATAGAAAGGAAAAGTCAAGGATAGATGCTGAGCACAAGGCCTTGGTGAGTATACTGCTATATGGTATATCAAAAATTTTTTTGCAGGTTCTAGAGAGACAAGAAACGTTTAACGCCATTATAAAAGTGAATACTAGCGAGATAGAGCGGCTTAAAGCCGCAATCGCTGAATGTGGGCGCAAATCAAAGGAAGCTGTTGAGCCAGCTGTCACTCCGGCACCTCCACCTTCAGCGCCACGGAAGACGAATGTACCGTCAGAACCCTCCAAGTTTGTGAACATTATACTTGCAATACATAGATTCAGGATACCAGGACCCCAAGAAAACAATGTACAGTTTAAGGTGAGGGACCCTTGAGAGGATCTGATATATGATAGACACCAACATTCATCGCTGCGCCGGGCACCACCAAGGATTATAAACCGACTCAGATGGTAAATATTTTCATGTATTTGTCATGCACAACTCTATAGGTTGCGCCAAAGAAGGAAGCGAGGCGAAAATGCATTCGTCGTAATCCTGGGCCAAATAGCGATGGAGCAGAACCGAAAGATGAGCTGGATTTGTTTTGCTAGCGTCGACTAGCGTTTGCCACCCACATAACGTGTTATTGTTTGGCTAATGGTGAGTCGTCTAGGCTGTATGTATAAATGCAAATAGAATTCAAAATTGCTACATATGCAGCGCACAGCTGCTTCAAAGTACACTTCATGCAAAGATGCTTCAATGCTACTTCATAATTTATTTTCATCCGTAATATGTAACACACTTCCCCAAAGGTATCATTTTTCAAAAAATGCAGCGTCACAATGTTGGTGTCCAGACGAGATTTGATGTTAGTGGTGTAGATGTTACAATGGAGTCGGTGCGTCGTGACCTTTACAGATTCAGTGAGTTCGGCCGGAACTTTTGCCCATCTATATGTAGTTACTGGTTGTAATAAAGGTGGAGGTGATGCGGAATATGAGGTACAATTAAGCGCCGAATCATTGGAACCTTATACAGATTCGTAGGTTATTGAAGCTTCAACATAAATTCCATACAGAGGAAATATGCAACTTCTGCCTTCAAAACAAACTTCTTACTTGCCAAACGACCCTGTTACATGCTTATGTATCAAAAACGAGAATACATACGCTGTAGCTATGCTGTACAATGAGGGTGGCGCAAGGTGTAAGTCAGTGGGCCAAGTCTACGTGAGTTTGCGAGTGTGCATCTTACAGTACAATTACAGGTTGTAGATATCGAGTCTACAATACCATCCGTGAGGATGATGTGCCTTGTAAGTGAATGTATCTATAGTTTAAATGTGACATAGGGAGGCATTAGCAAGTTGGCGTTCGCCCAGAACGATAACGTGCTACTTTTCGGTGGATCCCATTGCGGTTCAATCCATGCTTGGGATACTACAACCTATTTAGAGGTGGCTTCGATGCCTCCAAGCGCCTCAAAAGGTCACCTAGATCCCATTGCTGCCCTGGAATTGCTGGACGACGACACGTTGCTTTCTGTTGATATATCGGGAAAGGCGTTTAAATGGTCCTTGCGCAATTTATCTGAGCCTGTGGCACGTTTTGACTGGAGTGGTTTAGCGCCTTCTTCTAGAATCTCCGCTGTGTGCCGTGGTAGCACGTTTTATTGTGCAATGTTGAATGGTTGGCTCTACGACTGCAATTTGGATGGCACATCTTCACGGAGCTGTGCAATCCATGATTCTGCCGTGACATCTGCAGCTTTATCTAACATCTATGAAAGAGGTTAGATAATTTCCTTTTGTCATTTACAGTGCTTCAGAGTTGTTGGCTACGTCAGCATTCGACTGCAGCGTGAAGGTTTGGGACTGCAAGGTGGGTAACTCAGCAACTTTAAATATGGAACCTAGGAGACTATCAAGCCTCTATACGAACTGCATCCTTCGCTAACTTGCACAATTGATTTGGCGTGGTAAGTTCCAGTGTGTGTAGTAGTTCATTGTTTACTAGGAATCCTGTGTTATCTGAAGTTCTTGCAACAGCAGACGATCAGGGAAACGTTTCCATCTGGAGCTTGTTGGCGAACAGAGAGGTATGTCGGCTATTTTGAGCAACTATGGTGATTCAACGTTTGCAGATGCCGGTGTGTACTACCAACACTAATGAAGCTGCCAGCTGTGTTGCCTGGACACCCAGCGGCCGACTTCTTCTTGTTGGAGGTAATGGTGTAAGCATTTTAAATCCGCTTGAAGAGGTGAGCGTGTTTTACTGTTGTTAATATTATTTCTAAGGCGCTGTTGTCGGAGCCCGACGAGACAATATCGACTCTCACCACTACGACGGTCACTACTTCTTCTTTCACACACCAAATGTCTACGCCTCCAGATTAATGCAGGCGACATTATAAAATGCGGTTATTAAAAACATCTTGTCAATTCTTGGTTTTCTTTTACATCTCCGGTAGTTTAGCGTTCGGCCAGGAAAACGACAACATCAAGCCCGTCTCCGCAGTACCACCGCCGTCTGATGGCGTAGAAGCTACGTCATCCGAGAACATTTTACATAAAGATAGTGTACCAGACAGCGATGGTATGTTGTACGCCAATGTGTATTCAGCGGTTCACACACTACCCAGGCAGCTTCAATAAAACTCTCAAAGAGAATGTTACCAAGCAATCACCCAGTACGTCACATTGTTGAATTGTAATATATACCACGTGCAGTTGATCGATTGGACGAGATGTCGAAAGGTACTTCTATTTATTGGCAACCTGTTATGACGTGGCGTAGATGTCTCTAGGGAGATAGCTACTAATCCTTATTTTAAGATACCTAAATACGATCGTAAACTTCGGGAATTAGCAGTATTGCATCCGGGTATGTGTTCATCTATGTTAGTTATATGTTCTTCAGATGTAATGGAGAAGCTGGGTGTGTACGTCATTCCAGTGAAAGCCGCTATTAGAAACGTTGATGGGAAACTGAGGTAATTGACAAACATAAATATAAGACATGTTATGTAGCGAGAAGCCTGTGGAGGGCGAAAAAAATCAGACTGAAAACGAGGCTGACAAATCCAATGCCGGTAAGTTTCTTATACTTCGTCTAAGATTCTATGCAGCAACTGCGATGCAATATAACCTTGCGTACATCATTAAGCAATCAGGTGTGTTGTTTTTTGATCTGTATTGTATGCATGTGTTTATAGAGATGATAATGGCGATGACCCCGGAGGAGAAGCTTCAGTTCATTCCACGTCTCAAGGACACTATAGTGTACGAGATTATGAAGAACGTTCGTACTATTGAAAGTCTCAGCGCACAGAGTGCTGAAAGTCGCACATTCGATGCTAAGTAGACGTTATTCTAGTGTGTGATTCACACATTTTATGAGGAATTTGTCATGTTCGTGTTCATTTTAAAGACTTTTTTACAAAACAATAATCTCTAAATATTATAGAATTATACATTTATGCACATCCTTCGGGCATTCCGCTCTTATGTACCGCGGCAAGGCGCCGCCGAGGTATGCCAGATTGAACGAACAGTATTGCCGTTTTCACGTCGCCATATCAGCAGTGATGACACTGATGAACGGTTTAGACATGTTAGTGGTGCGTTACCGCGTACGGATCGTACCTACGATAAGCCACAAGTCGTGGTAACTGCGATCCCCCCGGCCAAACCGTCAGCTGAGCCTTCTAGCAAAAAAAACACAAAGCTAGACTCAGCGGCTATAAAGAGCATCCCATTAGAGATTATAGAAGATGCGTTGCTCAAGTTCGTGCCCGAGAATATCAAATCTATAAACATCGGTACGACCAAAGTTGCATTTATATGAACGGCACTCAGGCAATGAGCCACTCACACCGGGTCAAGCATTCTATCTCGAGAACCGTGACAAGTTACTTGAGAACTTACGACGAAGGTATTTCGAGGAGACTGGTGCTGGACCGAGTGACGGCGAGATAGAGAGTCTGCTTCCACAGTTGATGGAAGAGGAACCTTTCGGCTCATATGACCCTGATCCGGTAGTTTCACCTGGTAAACACCACCTATGGGACTATGATACAACCACGTTGTCAAGCACTAGGTAAGCAGCTGGTCGCACTTAATAGAAGATGTAGTAAAACCATCCACCTAAGGAAGGGAGAGATGCCCACATTGCAGCAGGTTGTTGACATTTTGGAGCAGGTATGTACAGTGTCATATGGCAAAGCAACGTTCAGGAACGTATATCAAACGTGAGCGTCGTTGACATGGACAGTTGCAACCGGCGTGACCAGGCAATGTACTGTATCGTTGGAACAGGGGCAACTCGTGCTCACTGCCGGTATGTTGATGTTCTCTGTTGCATACAGTACTAAACAGCCGTGTTGGTCGTATGCTTTATAGAGCGATTGTCGACCTAGATGTCCCCTTTGTATCGGATACAGCCTACTGTTGTCATTCCAGAAGCGACGAGTGGATAGTTGCTCGTCTGGGTCCTTTGTGCGTACACCTAATGGTGAATGAGGTCCGGCAGAACCAAAGGTAGCTTCATATGTCTGATTGACCAACTCTTTCAGTATAGAAGACCTATGGGCGGAATCTCGTGCAGAGGACGCTCACCGTCTCTCGGAGCAGCTCCCCGAGCCTCAAGTTTCACCAGTCGACAGCAACATAAGTATAACACAGTAATTCATTATTTTAAAGGTGTAATTTGTCTTGCATTTTGCCGCCTCCGTGCCTCGGCTCGTTCCGCTGGTCTCAGGGCCATGTGCGTGATGTAGAACCCCGTGACGACGGATATGGCTGAAGATGCCAATACCGTCAAGCTTTCTTTCATAGATACCCCGAACGGCATCCTTATTTATTATGTTATTGTGTATATGTAGCCCTATGTGAGGTTGTATTACTATTTCATTAGTCAGGGTTTCAGGCGTGAACCTTGAATGAAAACACAACATCCTTGTTCGTGAGCTTCTTGTATACCGCAGCGAATGTCTCAAGCTTGTCTTCTACGTTGTCGTTTTGTTTGTCCTTGGGGTCAAGGAAAACGCGTAGTACACGGCTTCCGTCGCGTTTAACGCGTAGCACTTTTCCGACGATTTCGGTAGGCGCTGCGATATCCTCTAGAACGGCCTCATGGACACTGGTAAGTGACCTGTTCCTAGGCCTGATACGGAACTGCTTGCCACGGTAGTTCTTTGGTAATATCGACCTCTGGGCGATAATTACAACATGTTTCTTGGTCTTCTTTTCAAGTTCAACCACCAGACGTCCGTGGATACGGCGCACATGGGACATGTAGACGCGGTATGGTATGAATATGATGACTGCGCTCTTTTTCAAAGCTCCAACTTCTACTTCCTTGCAATGTGAGATCACCACATTCTGCACGTCGCCCTTAAGGTCTGCGTTGCCGCTGGTCTGAATGTATACTAAGCAGCTTGCAATTTCCAATTCTAGCTGTGTAGGCTCGTGGTTTCCCACAATTTTTCCGGCAGCTTCACCAGCCATTGTGTGCTAAACGGATTCTACAGCTACCGTAACTTGTATATGGCACCGGCCTCCAACACTACAGTCGACAGACACGCAATAGTTGCCAGAAATACTCTAGGTTTTCGCTTACAAAAACCTCTGGCAGCCTTCAGCCGAAAAAAGTACGTATTAATCAAGAAAATCCGTGGGTACCTTAGCGATGGGGCACGGTCGCAACATACGGCTGCCACCGGAAGGTGTTCATCTCTCACACCGCTTATACAACTATAAAACGTTCCAGTGTCTATTATTGATCATTTATGGCGACGTATTGCTGCTATATAGCATAATGTTCTTTCTTTATGAAACTACGTTGGACTTAATAAGTTGACGGCCCTGATGTTCGCTACACCCGTATTATCACCCGTCTGAATTTTTACACATCCGCAGGAGATTCATTTTATGATTCGTATCCCGTTCTAGATTTGCGGTTACACGCCTAGGTATAGCTGTCGACACCTTGGGGTGTCTTGTGAATAGATTTACCTCATGACTAGCTCATTTAGCCTACTGTAGCTAGAATATATAGACAATTTGTAATTACTTTGGTGTAACTGAACTGCTGTGGTCGCCTTGGTGGGCACGTTCACCGGGTCACCCTGTGCTGTTGACTGTGTCGTATTGGTCACACAACACTTATTGTAATGGGCCACACACCGACATAAAAGCTGATAATATATATATCAGGTCTTCGACCTTTCGAGACAGCGACGAATTGGCATCTATGGATCCGCCGTCGTCTGTCACTGACCTTGCCGAACGGCAGTCATCGCCCAGTTTGAAGGATTCAGAGAGTGATGAAGTGCCGACATTCAACCTACATACAGTCTCTATTAGTACAGTATACCAGTCGGACTCGGATATTACGCCTTATTCCTCCGGCATCTCCGTGTCTGAGGACACTCTAGGGAGGTCGACCGCGCCTGGATCGTTCGACTATAAAGTCGCATCTACAGCTGAGCCACGGCGAGGTGCGACTCTACAGCATCGACTAACACGCGTAGAGCGTGGTCAGCGTGCCAATGAGCAGCTAAACGACTTACTACGTGAATTCTGCGAGATCGGTGCAGACTATGCCAAACGTCTACAAGCGCTCGGTGAGCGCATAGAGGATTGTTTTGATGGCGAATCGAATGGAGCTTCAGCGGCACGTCGCGCGTTTCGATCTTATGTTCTGAAACTGTCTGACAATCATCGGGAGTTTGTCGACGCTGTAGAACACGAATGCATGATCCCAGATGAGGGCTCCAAGGCATGTTCCGATATAAGGAATGACTACGAAGATGCTATGGAGCAATACGAAGCAGCAGAAGCTGACAGATCGTCTTTGGCAGCTTCTGTGGAGGACCTGTATCTTCAGATGAAGACCGCAGTGGAGATGTGTTCACAGGCCTTTCACGAACCACCTTCGGTGAAGACTGGGTTACACTCCGGTCTGGTATCAGTATTCATTAAGTTCATGCAAAAGAACAGTGAGCTTAGTCGTATCCCATCGGATGGTTCTCGTGCGGCTCTGGATGCGGAGACTGCGAGGTTATCTGAATCCTTGCGTAAGCTTGACAGCGAGAGAGTATCTGGCATGCGTGACAGTTTATCTAAGTTCATGGTATACGAGACCGCACGGTTGCGCAATTTGCAGTATGACATATCGCATTTGGTCAGTGCGCTGGATAGTCTAAATCCTGAGCTTGAGTGGACTCAATTTGAGGAGGAGGGTTACGTCGATTTAGGCGAAACGCATACCGACAGTATTTGGACCTCACGTCGCTATACCGGTTACCTTAAGACAACTATACCTGAGGTGTGTACGAATGCAGTTATATCCGTTTCATTTATATTTAGGTTTTCCGTAACTATGCGGTGTCTCGTCTGGCGCTTTCTTCGCCTAAGGAGCGCGTACTCAATCGCATCAGTCGAACTTTATCGAAATATGTGGATGCGGTTTGGGGTGATAGTTCGGAAGGTGTCGTTATGTGTGATTTTGTAGGTGAGATGCAATCGTCGTTGGTGCGACAGGTATTTTGCAACCTTGTGACTGAGCAATCGCTACGCTGTAACAAATTACCTTCTATGTAAGTATCCATTAATCTCTATTTCATGACATACAGTTCTGGTTTGAAGTTGTTATCACGTCTTTTTGGCGCGTTGCTTGCGTTTGCGCAACGGCAAGGTGATGCTTGGAGCGGGTATGCTGTGTTGAAGATCGCCGACTTTGTTCACGCCATGGTGGAGGGTACCGCTCAAGAACCGCAACGCCGGTCTCTGCGTGAGTGTATATATTCGCACGAATACTGGAGTCGTATTCCATTTTGGGAGGAATGTCTGCTGATAACGATTGCTCAAGATATGACTGCACTTGTGGATGATGTGCGGCCAGATACTGTTTTGCGCCCTGTAACAAGGGAGCTTTTAGGTTTCAAACAGTGGATGGTTAGGTTCGGTATTAGCATTACAGAGTCCCATTCTTTAATCGAACGAGTGTGCGGTCGACTTGGTCTACCAGTGGAGTATACACAGTCCCTCTATTAGTAGTTCAAGGCTGTGACAACCCCTTTTATGTGTAATAATACACCTACAAACCGTCATACTGTGCTAGTGTTCGCTTCTGCGAGTCACCGGCTTGTTCGACGGATAAAAACGCTCTCGAACGTCACGGTGCACCAGAATGGGTGTTCTGTCTACAAGTGAGCTACACATCGGTAACATATTTATCTAATTTTTGTAAATGACAGATACTTTGCCCGCGATTCTTGTAAACGTGGACTTGTTAGCCATTCTTGGCGTCGAAGTCGTCGAGGGCACTGATCTTTCGGAGTTAAAACGTGAACTTCGCCGCTCCTTCCTCAAACGAGCCAAACAATGTCATCCAGATAAGCAAAAATCTGGCAGCAGTGCTCCAGATTCAAGCCTGGAATTTGCCAGACTTAAGGCAGCGTTTGATTATCTACAGAACGATGGAGTTTTCAATACGTTATACAATCGAGCTCTGCACCAAAAACGAGCGGAACGTGCTAGAAAAGAGCGAGCACATGGCATAGCTGCTAAGCAATCCGCTCATCTCGATGCTCTACTACGAAGAGAGCAAGCGGCCGCTGCTGCTGCCGCCGCCGCTCGACAGGGTCCTCCAGACAGGCGTGGTACTGGAGATTCTGCACGGCAGGCAGCTTACTCGTCACCATATGGTGATGTGTTTGAGAGTTCGTCAGGTACTAAATGTGATTCATCGCAGGAGGGCGTGTTATTTGTTGCGGCACGAACAATGAAAATCGCAAATGAGGCCGAGGTCAATTGCCTACTTCTAAGTGACCATTTTTCTAAGATGTTCTCAAACTATGGGTTACTCCGAGTGGAACCTATTGATATCGAAGACACTGGTAGTGACGCCGTCAACGTGAAGATCGGTATCCTGTCCTTTGAGTCCCATGAGCACGCTTTGAAAGCATTGCTTCACTATCGCAACAACCGAGGCCAATTCAGGTGCGATCTTTATGCGTTAGCGCTCGGACCAAAGATGGGTCCCGTGAAACCCCAAAATACAGGGGAACAATCGGATAGCCTTGACGACATGGAGGCCTCGGTGTTGAGACGTGTGAGACAGGCGGTATGTATAACTTTCAAGTATAATATATGTTTATAGGCTGATAAGAAACGCAAGTTTACCCATTAAGTGTTGGCATAAGGGTCAGGGTGATACCGATATGAGTCTGTAAGTCCGAGTCTGTTGTAGCTCCCTGGATGTGGTTCTGACCCGTCGTATATTTCTGCGTTGACGTTGGTTCGGTTGTAATGTAAAATTTACCCTCTGCAACTGTACGTTCACCAGAATATTTTACACCTTCCAGCTCCTCCTCATACAACCATCGATTAGCCCATAGGTCAAGGAGCCTCAGTGGCTTTACAGGAGCTGTGTTAACTCGCATGTAAGGGTCAACCACGATATTATCTATACGCAAAATCGTCACCCAGTGCCTCACTCTGACGAGAAATGATGGTAGTGAGTTGTCACTTACCTAAGGAACCGCGAAATGCGGCGTGATTTGCGATAACGAAAGCTTAGCTGCTCACCACATAGTGTCTGAACAGACTTGATAATATTTCGTAACCACTTACCTGTTGTTCTATTGTTGCCTCTACTTTTGCATAAGGGACCCTGCATATCTATTGTTCACAGCATTTGTTAAACTTACGTGGGCTTGCCGATAATGGTCCAATCACGCGAACCCACTAGTAACACCGTACCGAAGGTTACCTTATCTCCTGCAGCACTATAATCGTAAATGAGCTTATTTCGTACCTGCTGAACGTCTACGTAGCCGTTCTATTTGCACGATATCTCCTTTGGTGACCTGGAGCATATATGGCATTATGTTTTGTTACCTACTTTATGTTGATGCAAGTGTGATGACTTGAAAACGCAAAATGTTTCCGCTGTCCCGTCTCTAAGTTGTTGTAATACTTCCTCCGGTGGGAGCACTTCGAAGTTCTGCGATTGATCCATAATGATTTCGTCACTCGTGCTTGTCCGTGACTCTTTTGCGTATTCATCCATTTCCCACGGTGTTTTACGGCCATAACCACGAATAGATCGTGTCTGTGGCAACCTTTCATGTAGCACGAACATACATGTCGGTGGGTTGACGGGGTTTACATATCTTGGCTGTCGCCATTTACGCGCCAGTCGTATTCTATTTTTGCGCGACTTCGTAGTGCGTTTCCAACGCAACTTTAAATCACGATATGTCTCAAATCTATCCATATCCTTATCAACATCTCTCATTGGGTGTATTGGAACCCTTGGCGGATTAACTCGCCTACGTCTATGTTTGCCGATAATGAACTCCTACTAAATATAAACATAAAATAATGCCACTTACAAATCGATGGCCTAGTTGTCTTCTCTGCTTGTGTACCACTATTCCACGTCGTGAGTCACAATTGTAGGCATTTGCAAATATTCCACCGTTTCCTTGGGCATATTTGGGCACGCCTACCGCCGGGATTGGGACACTCGTCGGGGCTCTAACAAAGGAGCATACGTGCCTTTGGCATGATATGTGATTAGATGTAGCATGAGAAATTATCTGCCTCAAAGAGCGCGCCACCGAGGTCACGTAGCTCATAGCGTCAATTTCTCTGTCGGCACTTTAACGGAATATATGTCTATTGGTAGGTGACGTTGTGGAATCCCGTCACATTGTGCCCAGATAAGATCCTTCTAAGGCAATGTTCTTTGTACTGTCATTGAAAGGGCTGAGAACATTGCTGGTCATTTGTGGCTTCTATTCTGGCCAACATTAAAATTATATAACACTGAAGTTCTCAGATAAAGTCTTCATGATAATTATGGATATAAATAGTGGCACTAATTGGCCAAAGTCGCTAATGTGCGCCTTTTACGGGTTATCAAGCCACACACCACGCTTGTTGGAAGGTTATGCCTAGTAAGTTAGTAGATTAAACGGCTTGCCATTTTCTTATATAATACGAAATCACAGATGGTTATCTAATGTTGTCTATAATACGTTCACCGCTCTCTTTTATCGCACATTAACCCGGATCATACGACACGATGAAGCTCGATCCATCACATTTTAGCCAGTTGAGCAATACAGAGTTTCGTGTACTCACGGCAATTGAGTTGGGTATGCGCAATCATGAATACATTCCGGTGAAGCTAATTACAGCAACGGCTAACTTGCGTTCTTGTGGTATGAGCAATGTTCTTTCGGCACTAATGAAGGCAAAGCTGATCGCTCACAGCGGTGAGTCCTACGATGGCTACAAATTGACATTTTTGGGTTTGGACTACCTTGCTTTGCGTACTTTACACAAACGAGGTGTAATCAGCGGTGTAGGTCGTCGTATTGGTGTCGGCAAGGAGGCCGACGTACATGTATGCACGGACTCAGAGGGTAATTTGTTGGTTCTAAAGCTACACCGTCTCGGTGGGTGTTATAGTGCTCTATAATGGTTAATATTTGCTAGGTCGTGTATCCTTCCGTGCAGTGAAGCACAAACGTGACTACATGGGCAAACGTAAACATGCCAGTTGGATGTACCTATCGCAGCTCGCCGCAAAGAAGGAATATTCATATTTAACTGCACTATGGGACGACAAATTCCCGGTACCAGAGCCTTTAGATATTAACCGTCACGTCATCGCAATGAAATATGTTGATGGAATACCTCTGTGTCAGGTTAGTACTGCCTACGGCATGTTGAGCAACGTATTTTCAGGTACGGGAGATCGAGAACCCTAGGCGTGTGTTGAAGATGCTAATGAACCTGATAGTTAGATTAGCACGTGTGGGAATCATACACGGTGATTTCAACGGCTTCAATCTAATGATCAGCGAAGACGGGGAGCATGTTACCGTGATTGATTTCCCACAAGTGGTATCGGTTACACACCAGAATGCGGAATTTTATTTCGACAGAGATGTGGAGTGTATCCGTGATATGTTTCGTAAAAAGTTCAAGCTCGATGTATTCGAATACCCTAGGTGAGTTGATTTGCATCCTGTCGCATTTTACGACACAGGTTTGCCGATGTGGCCCCTAACCCGGAAGAACAGAATGATAGTGATCGTCTCAAGCTGAAAGTGGTTATTGACAAAGTGGATGACAACATATTGAGTGAGATTTTGCAACATTTACGTCACGAGGAGTTTGAACAACAGGATAAGCCTGTGGACGATGTATCTGAGGACATGGCTACTCTTACAATAGGCAAGGAAGATGGGGAGTCTGAAGACAGTTATGACGGTTACTCCTACAGTTCTGAAGATGTTTCGGATGCGTACAATAGCGAATCTGGTGGCAGCGATGTGTCTGAATCGGAAGATAGTGATAGTGATTCCGATTCGGATGCCGACGAGACAAATGCGGATGTCGCTGATTCCGATGTTACACCCATCCAAATTTGGAAACCGCATGTTAAAAAGATCAATGCAAGTGCTTATGGGCGTCGTCTAAATAGCAGAGCACGTAACAAGGCAAAGGCCGAGACCAAAAAGGGTCACCGTCAACGCAAGAAATTGACTGAGGCTAACCTCGCAGTGAAAGGTAGTAACATTTGGTAATTAAACGTGTATGTTTATTGCTGTGTCCTTGGCACAGGTATAGTCGATGGATCCGGTGATCTTATGCGTTTCGAGAATGCGTATGCGACATTTTTTCGTCCAGGTATGTTAACCTGTACGCTTACGTTGTCCTCGGTATACCTTGATACTCTGGCTAGAGTGGATGTCTCACAACTGTCTTTAAGTCGCCTATTTATATCTATGGACGATAGGATGTTTTCGTCTTGTCGTGACCAGTGTGACACCTGTGGCGGTGTAGCCGCATTGTAGGAATATAACGAGTCTATATCATGTATTTCGCTGTCTATCTCATCATCATCATCATCGTCGTCGTAGAGGTTGTTTAATGTTTCTACCGAGGTTGCGAATGTGCAATTGGAGCTGTGTTTTACCGAGTTGTTATCGTTATATTCCGTAGGTGCGCATTTTGATTCGGTGATATTTTTGAAGAAATCTAAGTCATGTGAGCCTGGTTCTACCTTGGCTGTTATGCGTTTCAAATGCGCCAAATCTATATTTAATGGCTTCTTACTACGGTATTGTGGCGTTAACTTCCCGTATGTCATTGTATTATTATTTTTAACCTCTGGGATATGAAACCGTGGTATTGTAGTGCTTTGACCTGTTTGTTTATGATAATCATATTTTATTTGTGACTCTTTTTGTCCGATATTCGATACCTTGGATTTTGTATCTCGACTTTGTTCGTCGTTGCTGAAGAACGGTATCATTTCACGTTCCTTTCTGGGATTATCCTGACGGTTATTTCCGTCATCCTGTGAGCGGTAGCCTGCTGCGAATGTCTTTGGCTCCCTTGTCATGTTGAGTGTGTTATTCTATACTTCGGATACCTTTTTCTGGGAGTTACAACAGCCTGCAGATCCAGTTGCCATGTTGAACAGTCCAGTATCGAACATCAACTTATCGTCTCCTAATACTTGGAGGAGAGAAGCGTATGTGTACAAGTTTGCCTATGCAGGCGTTGAAAAAATGAAAAATTATAGAACCGTTTTTATGTATCAATCTCAATTAAGCATTAATAAGCCTTAATATCACGGTGACATTGTAGCAGCGTGAAAAAACAATTTTCGCCGATATAATAACATTTTTGTACGTCCACAGCTTATTTTATGAGTTTTACGATATCACGTTGTGAAATGTGTATTCATACAATCGGGTAATATATGATCTATAGGGGACAGGTCGATCCCAGTTATGTTAATAAATTTCAATGTGCTATTCTAAATAAAATTACATCTGACAAGTTCATGTGTCGGTATGGTAGAGGGATGCGATCTGTAGGACATGACAATGCATTCGCATGTGGTGTGACGGATAGATGGACGAAATAAAAATATCAAATGACTCTTATGGACTACGGTGTTGCTATGGGGGCAGCATGAAAGAAAATTCTACGGCAGCGCTGCTCTTGGAAAAGTTTTGCAACCTGATTGTAGTGCCTCGATGTGAATACGAGGATCGACCCCGTCACGAAGTTTCACTTGCTAACCGTATATATAACCTATTTAGAGGGTGTGTTTTATCACGTAACCCGGAACGTATAATTTTGGGTACCGCTTTTCCCTTCACTTATGTAGACACACGTAACGGACGGGTAGAAGGCGCTGTAGCGACGGTTAACCACGTTTCACGACCTGCCACTGTAACCACATTGGTATGTCACTTAGATATATTATTTAACAACAATTTGAATATATACCGTTACGGGTAAGGACCTGTGCTGTTGTCTATCGTCTCCTGACGCTAACGGTTCATATTTCAAGGCTAGGAGCAGTTGTATGCGTCTGATTCCAATCCACACGATAGCGTTATCGTGGATTCTCAGACAGGTGTGTTACGCTTCGAGAGGCGGTTGGACTAAATTTCTAGGCCAACCTTCAACTAATTTGAAGATTCGTACCACACCTGTTACTTTCATCACGAACGGAGCTTATAGCGATAGAGTTTCTATCCCAATACAATCCCAGTATCGTGAAACTAAAGATTACAAAATGAAAATCGGTACGCACAGTGGCAATTTTCACTGCGATGAAGCATTAGCTGTGTCCATGCTGAAGTTACTGCCCGAATTTAAAGATGCGGAAGTGGTAAGAACACGTGATGAAGCCATATTGGTAACGTGCGATGCCGTCGTCGATGTAGGAGGTGTTTGCGACCCCGAAAAACTAAGGTAACTAACCGCTTATTCTTGAATATATATAAAATAACAGATTCGACCACCACCAGAATGAATTCAATGAATACTTTGACGATGACCATAAGGTCACCCGGCTTAGTTCAGCTGGTCTGGTCTACAAGTACTTTGGGAAGCGTATAATTAAGGAGGTGTACGGCTTAACTGATGAATCTGAGATCGAGGAAGTCTATCAGCAAGTATACAAAAGTCTCATAGAATCTTTGGATGCAATTGACAATGGTGTAGCAATAGCAGATGCGCCGCTTAAATATGAGAATTCGACCCATTTGTCAGCAAGGGTTGGTCGCCTGAACCCAAATTGGGTGGAACAAGGAGTTGATGTGGATGAACGATTCCGACAGGCAATGCAGTTGACGTTATCAGAGTTTGATAGTTTTGTTAGGAATTCAATTCACGTAGAACTTGCTGCTATGCGCAAATTTAAGGATATATATGACGATCGCTTCAAATTACATGAATCCGGGCGGGTTATTGAGACGCCACCAGGGATGCCATTTTCGGCGATCTTGTACAAGCTTGAAGAACATGAAGGAACACCTGTAGAGAAACGTATTGCATTCTACATAACATATCAGAGCGCAACACAACAATGGAGGTGTAGTTGTATCAAAGAGGCTGACAGTCAGTTCACGTCAAGGGTACCTTTCCCCGAGCGTTTGGGCGGTCTTCGAGGTAAGGAGCTGGAAGAGGCCTCTGGTATCCCTGGACTTTCTTTTATACATAGAGCTAGGTTTACTTGCGGAGGCTCTACCAAGGAGTCCTTGTTGAAATTGGTTTCTCTTACTCTAAAGGAATCCCAAACGGCCGTGTAAGTTGGGGGTTACGTGACTCCACATGGACAAGGCAGTTATGCTGCTATTCATGTAAAAAACGACGCTATTTCATAATATTTTTATAATATACGTGTTTTTACAGAGTGTGGAGTAACGGGTACATCTGGTAATAGAAGTGTATGCCATCGGATACCGGGTCCATCATGGACACCTGTATTAATAGCACTCCGTCTTGTTTTACTGCAATACGTACCCTTCTTGCTAATTTTATACCATTGGCGACACTCATCCAACATCGCATTGAGTATGTATGCAGATGCGGTGTGGTTACATTGAACTCTTCAAAGACATTGGTGTCGTAGCTAAAGTCCCATTCAATAGCGATGGAAGAACGACCTGATCCCTGCACCTAGTTATACAGCCCAGATACGTTTCTTACCAATCCTAGCACACATCGTTCGTTGTTTTCTTCTAATGGGAGCAGTTCTAGAACCAGTTTTGTGCTCGTGGAATCCGAAGCGATATCGTGTAGACATGGATATAGCAACCTGGGCTACAGCAAGTTTAGCGGTAATATATCTATTAGTTACTCACCGAGATTGAGAAATAGTCAACATCTATGAAAGTGAAATCTGATCCATCAAATGGTAATTGCAGCTGTAGGTATGTGGTTTCATCAAAGTAGATCCCTTACCGGAGTCATGCTTAAAGTACTGACTCGACATACTAAGGGTTGACTGACATCGCTTGCATATCTGTATTCACTGTTACTACCACAGTGCCCTTTCATAACAATCTGTCGTTCGTCGCTATCATATATGAGCACAAGCTCCTGCTGCAGGGAGGGTGGGGAGATTGAGGTACTAAACATACATTCTGCGAGTACATGTTAAGGCAGACGAGCAATGTCTGGAGCGGTACCGGGATATCCACATTATGACGGTACTCAGTACCGTCCATGGCTGTGACTGCATACTTCTGTAGTCTATTCTTCGGTACGCGTACACATGTGTACATAGATTGTCCTTTCATCATAGATTGTATGGTCATACCTTGATATTGTTCAATATATGCCATATTCCACTTACAATTAGGTTCGAATACAAAGTGTATAGAGAAAAGGTTCTTCATTTGGTTATTCGCATAGTCAAGAGTATTAACTTTTGATCCTGTAATATTACGTCCTGTATAATATTTGTATATTTCAAGGTTACACAAACCTCCTAACGAAGGATACACTGGTCTCAAGATGCGTTTCAGTAAGCCTGCTTGTGAGAAGACACAAACAACTCGGTATTCGCTACGGTGCCGACGTTCCAGTGGAGATCCCATTCGGGTTTCCCAGTCACCGATGTCAGACTTCGCATCGGCAGCAGCACATTCATCTTGGATGATAGACCTGCTTCGTGATATATACAATTGCGACATGGCGTAGATTTTTAATCTTATTCCATCCCCCTGTCGCGAATATTAGAAGGCATCGCTGCTTCAGCGACCGGCCCAAAGGGCTCACAAAATGTGAAATGAACGCATATATACACAATTACAATACATTATTAATTTTTTGGTTACTTGCATTATTATATGTGCTGCAATGGGACGCGAGGTGTGTCGACTGTCGGTGTCGGTATGCTAGTGGAGGTGCAAGCCTCCAGCGTCGTCGTATCCCAGGATTCCTATACAGGTCGCCTAATGTACCACTCAGAGGCTTCTTCAGACCTCAAGCACTGCCTCCGGGTATCCACGATGAAAAGCCACCGGAAGCATATTCAGAACAGTTAGACAAACACAGAGATACACTAGCAGAACAGGCACCTCCCATCGCAAGCAAGTACTGCATCCTAGCTATCGAAACAAGTTGCGATGATGCATGTGCCGCTGTCATCTCGAGGTAAACATGTGAAGACAATAGATGTTCATATGGCGTAGTGACGGGGCTATCCTCGCGGAGGAGCGTGCCAGTAACCCGGAATCTTTGGTTAAATTTGGTGGAATCAAACCAGATGAGTCATATCGATTCCACTTAGCTAACCTTGATTCGATAATTCAGCGTGTGCTCACTAAATCAGGTAATGCAAACCGAAGTTGTTGTTTATTAACATTTTCAGGGGTGAAAATGGATGACGTGAAACGTATCGCAGTTACCAGAGGTCCTGGCATGCGAATTTGTTTAAAAGCAGGCTACGCTTCTGCTCTAATGCTAGCGCAAAAGTACGCTATACCACTAATTGGTGAAAACCATCTCGCCGGGCATTGCTTATCACCCTTTATACAGGGACACCAGCTGAAAGTTACTCATGAGATAGGCGCGGAACGTTCGACAGTATGTAAATCTATGGATTATTTAACGTTGTACAGGAACTTAGGTATCCATTCCTCTCGCTATTACTCTCCGGTGGCCACTCCCAGATATACGTCGTAGAGGATCCGGCAAAGTTCCACATGATAGTGGATACCATGGACCATTACGCGGGGAATGTCCTGTACAAATGCGCGAAGGAATTGGATTTACCGATAGACAACGGTGGCGGTCCTTCTGTGGAAAAGGCAGCACGTAAAATGGAGGGTGATTGCATTTTCAACATTTCAGAACCTTGCAAAGATATGTCATTCACCAGCTTCTGGTAAGTCTCAGCCGCTGAATGACTGTAATACCGTCACAGTTTTTCTGGGATACAGACACAGCTTCGCGAGCTCCTCATTAGACTAAGACGCGAATATGGCGCGAACGTGACATCGGAACGTCCTGGAGTAGTACATCATCTTGCGTATGCGTGCCAGGAAGGTAGTTATATGGGTGTATGTTGGCCGCATAAACTGTACAGCTGTATTTCAACAAATATTACGCCAACTCAATAAGGCATTGGACATTTCAGAGACACTATTCGGTATTGACCAACTCGTAGTGGTGGGAGGTATGTTGCGAATCGTAAAGTCGTAAAACCTTTGTAGGTGTCTCTTGCAACAAGCGATTACGTGAGGTGATAGCGCAGCTGTTACATGAGCGAGAGGAATCTGCGACTAAAAGGAAGCGAAACTTTATTTCTCGCATTTACGGACAGGTTAACAAGGCGGGCTCACTCCGGCGCTTTGATCGCAAGGACGCTGATGATAACATACTCATACAAAACTTAATGGAACGTATGAGTGGTGTTAAGGATATATCTGGGCTCCTCAAGTTGCTCTGGACCCAAGACCTATATCCCGATCTGCTGCAGCGCAGGGATGGCGTCCATATTAGCGTCCAACAGAAGAACGCGTTCTACAGTGCCGTTATACAGGCATATGTCTCATTACTAAGTGACAAGGATGCTTATAACATGCACCGTAACTTGCAACATCGTGTGCAATCGAATATAACTACCCTTAAGCCCAGTGCTTGGGTACTTGCACAGCTTGCAGAGTTAGAACGCCAGGATAATTCGTCACTGATATACCGTCATATGAAGTCTGATAGGCCGGATAAATACCGATGGCAACTGTTTACAACATCTAGCAAATACTGCACGGATAATGCGGTGATGATCGGTTATAGCCTTTTGGAGAAACATCGGTACGTTTCGTATCGATTTGTATAATATCCTGTTGCAGCGCAGGGTTGGATGGCTTACATGAGGACGTTTTCGACGAAGATGTCACTGATAGGTGGAACCTTTCGTCACGTCGGCACTGGGAACTCCTTACTGATATCGCTCATTTGCACGCGCTAACTGAGGACTGAAGCGAGACAAAGGGTCTCCTCAATCTATTAATATATAATTCTATTCATTATTGTATTTCGGTCCTATAACGTTGACATCCTTCTTGTTTCACCCCTTTTTTGTGGGAGGATCTGTACTAGAACACCTACAGTAAGTAAAAGCAATATGCAAACGTTATATGTTATGATTGTTAGTTACTTTAGTGTCACATGCCATGCATTGATTTCATGGTTTCGTCGTCCATGGCCGCGAGCTGTTTGGCAACCGCGACATCGTCATCCTCATCATCTGATGAATCATAGCCACAGCGACGGTCGTCATCATTCGGTACGAATCTCACTTCGTCGATATCGTAGTACTTGGGACCTGGGACATTATATCGTTTGCGTGCTTGGTCTTCGGCATATCGTGTAGCGACAAAGTTGTACATCTTTCTCAGCTCACCCAGCTGCAGGGCGAAGTAGTCGCATGGATGCCGTTTCCACCTTAAGGGTACCTCAGGATACAGTTCTGGCGACGTCAAGCGATCGATAATTTCCGCCTTTTCCCTTTTTTCGTAGTGGTGTAGAAAGTACTTAGATACCCATATCCTTTTTCTGAAAACCTTTTCTATACTGCGATTTTTTACTGGTTTATGTACCTCCTCAAACCAATAGTCGAAACTAACAAAATTTGGTAGCGGTACCATTAAAACCCCTTTAAATTTCATGCTATCATCTTTGGATGCTTGCCTTAGTTTCGATATACGTTGATTATTCGTGGCATCAGACTCAACCGTGTCTTGGTCTGACAGTTCCTCCAGCTTATTTTTTAGCGGTGGAAAGACGTCCAAGAATCGTACATGTTGTTGTATTTCAAATAGATCCTTTGATCGTTTGTCTACATGTGGTGAAGAAAGGAGACACCATCGTTTCCTACGCATGGGCATAGCTTTCACATTACCAACCCTTAGGTTGGTATTCTCACGTATCCCGCGGATTAGTCGATCCGCAGCAAGACGCAACAAAAATGGGTAGTACGATTCCAACCTGATACGTATGAAGCAATTGTCTGGCCAACGGTTGAACGACAGGTTCACATCATTTGATTCTAGATACGGTAAATCCAATACGTCCTCATCCGTATAGTTACACGAGCTGTGAAAAGGTTTCGGTAGAGCATCTTCATTCATTTCCTCTGAATCTTCGTCATCCGACATATCATCAAATGCCTCTCTTTCCCAACTAAATAATCTACGTAGTTTATTCCTTGCAGATTCTATAATACTATTACTCCCTGCTAAGAATTTAGCGGGACCAAATCTTCCAGAAACCATTTGTTGCGGATCAGATGCATCTCCGCTGCCATAATTGATGCTATTATGGTCCTGGAGTGGATCGTCATTGGAGTGTAGAATAGCATCAGGCCTATCTGCATCATAGAGAAAGCCGTCATTTACATCCTCTTGTATAGTATAGAGTCCTAAATCTTCGATACCGCTGCCTTCTGCAGTATCTTCATCGAGCACCGGGATGAATTCCGGTTCAGCCGACAACGCCCAGCACCGTTGCTGCGATTGTCTACCCTGATTCGATGTAATAGCTATTGGACACATACACTCGGCATATCCGGCCTCTTTATTGACCATTACACAGGTTGGGTGTGCAATTTCTTTCTGGAAGGTAGCTCTGTGTCCATGGTTATGTACTGATGGAGCAGCCACGAAGCACGGTCCTACTTTATCGACACACCTCGGTGTATTCCCGTTAGTACTAATTTTCAGGCCACTCTGACGCCGCGTCACCCGTGCGATGTACCCGTAAGGTTCTATTAAAATATTGCCGCGCCGCTTATGAATATCGACGGCATATACCGTCGTTATACAGAGCGAGAGCACCGATACCATCGGTCATGAACAAATAAAGCGATATTACGACATTTTAAATAAAAGACAATTGAATAATGGTGACTATAGTCGTTGCGTCGTGGAGCCACCTGCTACTGTCAGTTTATATCAAGGTTAAGATTCTACACTGAAATAGTTTCCAGAAGCCTTCTGTTCCTTGTCCTTAACCGAATCGTGTTTATTTATACGAGGCCTGAAGTTAACTTGATCACGTCGGAAAGTGACATCAAGCGACTTCAGGAACCTGTTAAATCCGATAACCAGTGGTTCTGGTGACATCGCAGTAGCATTTACACTACGATAATTGTTAACGGAAAAACGGTTCTGACTTACCCAGGTTGACCTTCAAATACAATCACACGGTCCGCCAAATATGTGGCCATGATGAAATCGTGTTCAACAACAAAGGCAGTTTTCTTCTGATGCAATATGAACCTGCATAATATGTGGATGATAGAGTATAGATGACTAACCGTTTGATTACACGGCTTGCCATAATACGTTGCTCAGAGTCCAGGTAAGCCGATGGTTCGTCGATTAGATAGATATCTGCCGGCTTGCCCAGTACCAAGATCAACGCTACACGTTGGAGCTCACCACCTGATAAATTCTTCAATTGCTGATCATATAGCTCTTCCACTTGCAACGGTTTGATTACGTCGGTCTGGAACATTGGGTTGCTGAACGCCTCTTTGACTTTCATCATTAGTAGCTGACGGAGCGTGCCATCGAATTTTGCCGTGATGATCTGTGGCTTGTAGCTAATTGAAAGGCGCGGCATAGCGGCCTCAGCGTCAGAGTTATCAGCTGCTAATATTCCAGCTAACATTTTGATGAATGTGGTCTTTCCGGTACCATTTTCACCAAGCATGACCAAGATTTCTGAATCAAAGAAATCTCCAGCAGATACTGTTAGAGTGAACGTCCCCAATGTTTTCTTCATCTCTGGGTATGTATAATTGTGTAGTCGTTCTATTTCTTCCATATCCACATCTGCGGCAACTTTGAAGCATAGTGATTCCTCTCTAAATCTCAAATTTTCTGTGGGCACAAAACCATCCAAAAATATGTTGATCCCTTCACGAACACTGAACGGGGATGTTACTACACCGTATACTGATGGTTTCCCCCAAAGGCAACAGATGTAGTCGGACATATAGTCCAGCACTGACAGATCGTGTTCTACCACGATGACATATTTATCATGGTCTACAGTTTCCCTTATAACACGTGCTGCGATGATACGTTGCCTGATATCAAGGTAACTGCTAGGTTCATCGAACATGGTAACCTCGCAATCACATAATACTGCCACACAAATAGCGAACCGCTGCAGTTCACCTCCTGATAGCTCAGAAACCTGTCTGTTGAGTAGGTGAGCAAGCTCCAGTGTAATAATTAAATCCTCAGCTCTACCACGTTTGTCCTTCGATTCTAATATCTCTCCAACACGTCCAGATACCTGCATAGAATGTGCCTAGAGATATTGCCACCTACCTGTCTTGGTATATTATCTACGTATTGTGGTTTTACTGCAGTTTTCATGCTCTTTTCAAGGATCCTTGTAAAATAGCTTTGTAATTCAGATCCACGGAAATATTGCAATATTTCTTGCCATTCGGGCTCGTTCGTGAATCTTCCTAAATTTGGTTTAAGCTTCCCCGATAGTATCTTCAATGCCGTCGACTTGCCGATACCATTGGTCCCTACGAGCCCTAATATCTGTCCCGGTCTCGGTACCGGCAGTCTGTGTAATTTGAAAGTATTTGGTCCGAATCTGTGTGTGGTGTCCTTGCCCAAATCACGTGGTAAGTTGATAATTGTGATGGCTTCGAACGGACATTTCTTAACACAGATACCGCAACCGATACACAAAGTTTCCGAGATGAATGCGATTTTACTAGTAGGATCGGCAATAATGCATTGTTTTCCTGTAAATTGATAAAAATTGCGAAAAGGGGTATAGTCATGAGCAGTTGGCCAGCTATTTCTACATTTACAGGTTACTCAACGATATATATATGTCAAATTATATGCTTTAGCTATTACACACCTGTTTTTGATACCGGGCAGTTGCGTTTACATTCTTGTCGACACTTTTTCGGTTTGCACTTGTCTGTAGAAACAATAGCAACCCTTAGTTTGCTCTCTGACATGGAACCTGCGGAGCTACTTTGCCCCTTTCCATGTCCCTTCATTTTTAATGACTATCTTGAAAAAAACAATATCTACATCTGCATATCATTGAGATGCGCGTGCGGTGGCTATGCTAAAAAACCCTCCGCGCCTCTATCACCACCGGCTGGGCGTTATATAGCTAATGACTATAATACTATTTTCTTTATATTTAAAAAGTGAATACTAATATAATTATTCCTCGTGTGTAGCCAAAGTAGCTAGTACCGCCGCAATTTACTGATACCACTGTGCTTTATCTTAATTACTCTCTGGATACTTTAAGCGTAGTTTCATATTGCCTGATTGATATCGCTGCCAGCTGCATGAAAACTTCTGTTAAAGGATCTGGATGGATGGTATCAGCTGTACGATCGAATAGTTTGCCACTTGAGCCATGCGAGAGCAGCATTTCCGCCGGCAAGCGATGTGTGAAAGTGTATGTTTCGTAACATCATGAGAGAGCCAGTGAAGGTGCATTTGTCGCTCTAGAATCTGTAACACTGGGTATTGGCGATGCCAAGGTGAAACCAATATCGCATCAGTATGAGTGAGTTAACTTTGGGTGAGCTGAAAGCTCTGAAGCAGCGTGAAGTGTCTGACAATAAGGTAGTTTCATGATATACAACGTAACAGCGTTACAGCCTCCAATCGAAGAAAGTGTTAAGAACCTTCACAAGGAGAGGTCACATTTATTAAAGCATTCTAAGGCGGAGCGATCCAGTCAGAAGTCTGGACCCAAGAAATCGAACAGTAAGGGCCCCGTAGTGTTGCCAAATAACACCGCTTGTAATCCTTACAATCCACTGAAATTTGGTAAAAAGGGGCAAAGTAGTCGTCTTATAGCCCGTGACCCTCGTTTCAGTGATTTTTCTGGAACTCTTAACGATGAGCTGTTTCGTAAATCTTACGCATTTTTGGACGACATGCTCCAAGAGGAGGTGAAAGATATCAAATCAGCTTTACGTGTGGGTGAACGTGCTGGAGCGCATAGTTTAAAGGCGGCTGCAGCTTTAAACAATATCTCTCACATGAATATATCAAGTTTTTCTGATGCTAAGCGGGCCCTAGATAGGTACAAGACTCAGCAGAAGCAGTTAAAGAGCGATCATGACATACGTGAATTGAAGAAGGATTTGATTTCTGAGGAGAAGAAGAAAATCGCAACTACATGGAAGACCCCTTTTTACTATTCTACTAAGAAGGTGAAGAAGATGTTACGCGCTAAGGAAGAGGCAGCTATTGAAGCTGCTTTGCAATCATCTGTCATCAATGCAGACGGGGCTGGAAAGATTCACAAGAAGGTGTCGCGAGCATCGAAACGGAGTGCTTTACGGCATAAGCATGTAGATGTTGTTACGAAAAAACGTAGAACATAATAATATTAATGTTACACGCGCGTCTTTGCGTCCCCACTGGTGTATCCATGTTCATTCCTAATAATCCATAATGGAGGCCGGCAATGCGTTATCTCGCGTTTTAAAATGGCGTCGTCTGTTTCAAACCACTAAATGGCCACAACTTGGTAACGAGGTAGCTGAAGGTCCGGGTAGCAAGTATACCAACTTCTCGCTTCAACACATTATGGATAAGTACAACTTTCTGCCTACTTTATTTACTCAACGTGAATTTTTACTTTATCTCGGTTACAAGAACCCCGAAATAGTCGAGGATGCGTGCCTGAAGAACGACGCTTTCAACTACTACCTCAGGACTGACATGGCCGAACCGCAAGGTGAGCTCCCAGAGGCGCTGCGCGCTTTTGACGAAACCAAGCATGGTTCTAGCCATCATTAAATCGCAACAAAGTAACTATACTGTCCTAATATGTTTGTATCATATTTATCATTTTATGTGATCATGGCTCTGATTTTGTTGATCGTCTGTCTAGTGAATAGGCATTATTTTGATGATTCCGGTTCTAGTGTCTGTATTACAGTTTCAGTCTGTCGTCTAAGTGCTTCCATGCGTTTGTTGTAAAATGCTTCGTCTTCAGGATCTATCCACTCAGTGGGCTCCTCCTTCAACTTCTCCCTCATATACTCTTCCCGTTCCTTAGCTCCACGTAGCCTCCTCCATTCGAAGTATGGTACATGTAGTACCTTGTAACCCATACGTGTGAGTAGTCGATGCTTCAATTTGGTGTATGCTGTGTATTTCGTGCTGTTGGCATAGAAATGCGATGGCCCATCGACCTCTATAGCGATAGGTCTATCGTCACCAGTGGGTACATTTCCATTTTCATCAGCTAATGGACCGCTTAGTTTTTTGGTCAACTCACGTATAAGTTCCTCTTTCTGTTGCTGTTGTTCCGGGCTAAGATTCTCGACATCGGCATCGAAAAAGAACTTCCCATCCGTCACATTAGTGGTACTTGACGATGATTCCGACGACGGTTCTGGTTTTTTCATCCAACGTGAATCGTCCGATTGTTTGGTAGACGAGTCACGTGCGGTGTTCCCGGCATCGGACGATAGCTGCCTTATGGCGGCGTGTTTTCCGAAATGTGAATTGGTTGCAAATGTTTCTGGCAGTGCTAATTTCACTGAAACATTGCTGCGATAGAGACAGCGCCTAAGGCTTAAGCTTACCAATGGAATCATTATACTTTTACAAATCAATACAATTTAAATGCTATTGACTGTATTCTAAATTAATATTATAGATAGATTCCATGTGATTTTCGGCTTTTAAATATCGCAATATCGACAAACGATGGGGGAGGTGTTCCGATGGTATGATGTCTGTGTTAGTCTACACACATCTAAGTGATAGTATGTCCATCAACTAGGATCGTTATTGACACCAGATATTTCACATTAAACTGCGTGTGTACGCCCTGGCAATGTCTATCTGCCGACACATACCCATCGTTGAGGGTTACCATTTAACCTTCCCGCCAACAATCTGTTATACACATCTATATGTATATCTTAGGCCTTATATGTATTCCTTAAACCATTATATTTTGTCAAAACTGTATAGTGTACACACAGAGTGATTCTCAGCACACTGCTGCCATAAATTCTCCGTAATTTCTTCGGATGCTTCGAAAGTACGCCTCGTAAGCAATTGGCACATGAACACGTACCACACATAACACACTAGCTTGTTAGGGCACTGCGAATACTACGCTGATGCCGTAGACACCAATGAAAAATTTGGAAGAATAATAAGGGTCCAGCCTTTTGTAACACCTTAGTTAAAAAAGGATATACTTGCAAAATATGGTTCTGTCTGATGAATTGAAGGATCTTAATACAGATTCTTTGAGCGATATTGTTTGGAAGCGGCCTTACACGTCATGGTCAACGAGGACCACCGATATATCTCGTAGCAATGCTCCGAGTGTGTCGGAGCCTGTTTCAGGTGTCCACTCTCTGAAAAGTGTGTTCTAAGATTGTTGATGTTAATTGTGTTTTATAGGCTACCTCTCACAAATTAAGTTGGGTATTGAGAGTGCGGAGTTGGATTCTGAAAGTAACAACTTGAACCAAACCGTGGCTGCCTCTGACGTGTACAGTATTAAAGCTCCAAGTAAATACGTTGGTCTATAGTTCATAGAGCATATTATTGTTGTAGGAACGTATGAAGAAATTGGAAAGCAGCTTGTATGGGATTCAGTCCAATGTGGAATCCAAGCGTAGCAACATATTAGAAGTATGATATTTCTTTGTGATATAACACTGTTCATAGGAGATATATGAGAAGATTAACAATTTAGAAACCAAGATAGCAGATAGTGAGAACCAGGAGCGACGTGCCTATAACGAAACAACTAAGAAGGTATTGATGATGAAGATGATATTCTATGTTGTTACAGATTGATGTGATTCAGCGTAACGTTGCGAATGCGAAATCTAAACAAGAATCTGAGATAAAGGAGGCTGTATTGAAGATGGAAGCTGTATATCAGAGGTAATTTGATATGTTATGGTTTGACATATTTCAGGTTCAATGATACGCTTCGTGCTGAGAAAGAACATTGGAAGAAGCTCGAGCAAGATGCAATCAACAACGTGACTAACAGCATCAAGAGTATTAGGTAATGTTCACCTTTGTCTCGTTAATTGTAATATAGGGATGAATTGGAGGAGATGAAGAATTCCAAGACCCAGGTAGCATCGTATCTGCGAAAGTATATCGACACTGAGCTTCCACAACTGAAGGCAAGGATAGTCGCAGCTGGTGATGAGATTGGAAAGATGGAAAAGACGTAAGTTATGGACATTGAGATGTAACATCGTGTAGCATTGCTGAAAATACCAACGAGGACCTGGTAATGTTGGCTTCCTTCATAAAGCAGGAAACTTCGCAACTGTAAGTTAAATCTGCATCTTGTATGATTTATAACAGCAACGACATCAAGCGTACGGTACTACTTGAAATTTCACGTAACACTGAGGCTGCCAAGTGTCAACTGGCAAAGGTAGGTAATTCCCAGTAATATTGACATCTATATGTAATCTGTGATTTCATGTCTATTTAGGAGTGTGAAGAGCGCAAGCATATGCAACAAAGGATCATCAATCTCATGGAAGAGACACTTAAACGTTTGGGTTCACCTCTCTAGTCCATTTCCGCGAATATGTTCGTCGCCTTATTTAAGGTACTGTAATCCACGAATATCATGAATTATCAATTATAATTATGCCATGTGTTACGTCTATAACGTTAGTTGAACCCCCCTTTGGCGGCCGCGCGCCACAGTAAGTTTCCGGTGGTGTTGGTCTTTTCGGTTATCAAAATGAATCCAGCTGACGAAATAAAGTCAGAAATGGAGAGTGAAGATGTTTGTATGGCCACCGAAGATGTGGCGACTGCTGTAGATGCCGATGTTGACTCTCAAGCAACCGCGTTACTATCATTTGCCGGTAAGTACTGGTTTTTGAAAGCTTAATTAGCGTTTAGTTTTGGACTATGTGAATGATTCTCGCTACAAACATGGTATACGTTCGGAGGAGTATGGTCGTTACCATGGTTACTGCTCTAAGCGTCTTCGCAATCTGCGAAAGCAACTACGTGTCGCGCCTATAAGGTCGCATAAGTATGTGCGTCAGGAGTTCCCTGATGTCATAACTGACAAGCGGTATGATTGTGATTTTTGTTGTGTTATCTGCTGCAGGCACCTATTGATCCTTGCTATGACTGCTGAACGTTGCTGGAGCTATGGTATGGTTCTTAAATCTCACTACGAGGCTTCTCACACGGCAGTAAGTATGTTTGTGCGGAGTTTAACTATTTTTAGGGTCCGGAATTGCGTCATCGCTATTTAAAGCGTTTTGCGAAAGCACTGCATACGGCCTCCCGTCTTGAGAAGCTGTGTCAGCAGTTTGCGGAAACCAACAGCGCCAACAATGCGAGAGTTTACCGCAGCTTTATGGAGGGTGTTGTTCACCTTGAGGATAAACGTTATAGTGAAGCTTTTGCTTCACTATCACTGTATGCGAACGTGATGGATCAGCGTAGTCGTATGAATCGTGACAAAGTTCTTGCGGAATCATACGCAACGCAGCTCAATCATGTAAATGCCATGATGAAGCTATGTTCATTCCACATCCGTTCTGGTGGTGTTAAATCAACGAGTAAACCTGTATCTAGTGATGAAGACCAGAATGCTGAGTTGCTTAGTGTTGTGCCTGACGAGTCAGGGAACCTTACGTTATACTGTAGAGGTGCACTTGTTGAGGTGTCATCGCAGTTTTTACTGCAACAGCTCCTGGACGTGCTTAACGCTACGGATAAGCTTGCTGTGTCAGATGCTGTTCTGAGGCAATTGGCAGAGTCTAATGACATGGATGTGTCCCTTAAGAACGATCTTGTTGACAAGATTCCATCCGAAACGCTTTTGTCATCTTACGAAGAGCTTATGACACGTATATCGGAATGCACAGATACAATACACTCTGAGATGATGATCTCTGTAGAGGGTCAAGAATCGCTTCGTCGTATCGAGGGTGTGTTACTACATTTAGGTCATAATTGTTTTTTTCAGGTGCAGTAGGTATTCTGAAGACCTTGTTAGAGATGGAGAAGTGTGTTATTATGGAGGTTCTAGCTCTTCATTCGCTTCTTCATGCCCGTAAACCATCTGTTGGTTGTCGTGGTCTTCCCAACTGTGGCGAGGCTCTGAGGTTTGCGCACATACTGAAACAGCAACTGTCATCTGCCATGGGTCACACAAATATGGATCAGGCGTTCCATATAGCTCATGAGTGTACAAGATCAGTGAATGGTATGCTTTTGGGTTTACATAAGCTGTCATCTGGTGATTATGATGATGGTATGGCTTTGATAAACTGGTCACATTCCAGGCTTCAGCGCGAGATGCCTGCTGTGGATATCCACAACATCAGGTTGCTTTGGCGTAGTGCTATGTGTTTCAATATCCTGCACCGTTGTGGTAGACTTTGCATGGTACGTTTTTACAAGCGTTGTATTGCGATCTATGGTCGTCACAAGTTGTGTGATGACGTTGAGAGTTCCTCTAAGCGCGGTTTGCATGCTATTTTTGACCTGAAGAAGCGTATGTTACCTTGCAAAGCTATTTTGTTCGACCTGGCATACATTCATCACCATCCACCTGAGATTGGCAGTAAGAGCGGCATCATCGGTGGTGTGAAGAACATGTTTGCATCTTTATGGCGATAACATGTTTGTTTAATGTTATACGAAAACATTTTGTATGTAACGTGTATGATTTAGTCAGATATTAAATTGTTACCTCCAATTAAGAGGACAAATCCAATATTGTTTCCACAATGTCACCATTGTGTCTCAACAGACCTTGTTTTGCCTGTTCTCTAGTACATCCAACCTGTGTCATCACGAGGTCAATATCGCTCGAGTTAATAGTGTATCCTTCAGTGCTATCGCCAGGGGTTGGACTTTTGGTAACTGTTAGATCTTCGCTATCGTCCTTGTTGTCATCCATATTGGCATCAGAAGGTCGTTCACCTGTTTCCTTGCCACCTGCAGTGCCTGTGTCAGCGGATTGTAGTACTGCTGATAGTTGTGATAGCCTGTGGGCTGCTTCTATTGCAGAATTTTGTGTCATATCTTCCACCTTTGCTTCTCCGAATACTACATAGGTATCTGAGTTTGGTAGTTTGTATACGTCTGGTTTGTTGATGACAAAGAAAACTTGTTTGGATTTTTTGATGCACACCTTTGTAATCCCTTCTACTAATTTGAGACCCATTTTGTTTAGGAGTTTCCTTGACCTTCTTTCATTTTTGTTTTGTCGTCCTTTGGGTGCTGTTCCATCAACACCCTTCGATTCCTCGATATCTGACTCTCCTTCGCTAGACATTTCGTCTTCGCTATCGTCAACCGGTTCAGCGACAACGGCATCGATGTTTTCCTTGTCGATAGTCATTTTGGTTGCTTAGATTAGTGGAAAATGGTATATAAATGGTCCACGCTTAGGATTCCGCCACATCAAATGGGGTGCAATATTGAGTGATACCGCTGGCTGCAGCTGTGTTTGCTATAGCACGATACCTTACATAAAAGTACAGCTAGTTTCAGTACAGCCACATTGTTACGACGTGTTGGTGGGCATTAGTTGTCATAGACAGTTGTTTTGTTGTTTGATTCTACTGTTGAAGTGACTAGGTTGTTATACACACTAGATATACAGAAATTTAATGTTTCATTTTGTGTTATAGTACATTTAATAATATACATTGTATTTTTAGGGGTCATTGTCAATTATTCTGCAATGATACCAACCTTCTTATTTTACAATATATCTATTTTACATGATAGGGAGTCGTAATTGACTTCTGTATACTCCCGTAACCAATAATTTGCGATCACTTCCCAATAGTGTTTCTTGTTCCTCAATTTTTTCCTCTTCAACACGTTTTTGTATTGCCGCTAGTTGTTCTTTCGTTTTTCTACGTCGTCGCTCTAATTCCGATCTTGATCGTTTCATCAACTTTGACATGAATGCCAATTTCTTCTGTTCACGTAGACTATCCCTAACAAATGTCTCCTCATCTTGTTCTTCATGGGTGGTTGTTGGTTCAGTTGTAAATGTCTTTTCTTCTTGATTTACAGCGCCACGACGTTTTCCGTCTATAACACGTAACATTGTTTGTAGCGCATGATTAGTCTCGCTTAGAATTGCAAGTTGTTCATTTAGAGCATCTGCCCTTGTATCAAGTTCGTCCTTAGAGTCTGGTGGTATGAATTCTTGCTCCACTTTACATAGTTTTTCAAACAAAGATTTTCGTGCTACTCTGCAATCGCAATATGTTGTTTGCATATTATCTCTATCACGATTTACTAGTTGTCGCACTCTATCCGCCACCAATGGAAACGCTGGTGATGCTGATTGTGGATCAAATTGGTAGCGTCGTCCATGTCGCTTCCTTGGTATAAGTGAGGCTTCAGAATTCATTTTTTTGAATTTAATATGCGCAATGCGCACAATAGATTGTGGCTCAACATGCACATATGTGATACCATAGTTAAACGCGACGTGGTCGATGATGTGCTTTGTATATACACATTGAGACATGGCTGCTGGTAACGGTTAGGGATGGTCTGTTAAACGGTTTCTTTGCTGCGGGAGTGTGTTATAAGCTCCTGTTGCTGCACCGCAATAGGTTATATTCTAAGGAATCACTCATAATCTGAGTATTTTGAAATTGGCTGTATATCTACTTCAAATCATATTATATTAAACCAAGATACTTTCTACGCCTATTTTGTCGCTCCACGTGTTAGTACCGGGCATAGACATCACGATATAGGTCACTTTCCTTCGCACAAACTACTTTGAAGAGGTTTGATCATGAACCTCATCCTTGTGAAAGCGGATGATATCCGTGATGAGGGTATAGATAAATTTGTTGATATCACTGACAAGCGACGAGTTGCACATATAAGATACGTTTTGAAGGCCGATGTCGGCAAGGAGTTGAGATTCGGTATCGTCAATTCGACGCTCGACACTGCTATTGTCACTGAGGTCACACCTAAGGTTGTGACCTTGAAACTATCGGAATCATTTCAGAGGTTCGTTTCATCAACACAATGTTGTAAAATGGTCAGGCACCAAGAGCCAGAGGAACCAGTAGTTGATCTGGTCGTTGGTATCCCTAGACCTAGGTCACTGGACAAACTATTGCAGGTAACTACTCATTGTCTCTGTTTCTTTATCTGGGTGCAGTATTCAGCCAGTATGGGTGTTGGTTGTATCAAGTTGGTTTGTTCATCACGTGTTGAGTTGGATTATTTAAAATCCCATCAATTGGAGCCTGATAATTTGGAAGCATCTCTGATGCTTGGTATGGAGCAGGGGGTTTCTACCTATATGCCGCGAATTGAGTTGTTTAAGTCAATGGGTGCTCTGCAGAGGCATTTACAGCAGTGTCCCAGCGGTATCAGGCTCATCGCACACCCCGGTACGGACGACACCTTAGGTTCCTTGGGTATAACGGAACACCTGATTGGTCCTATATTGGTCGCCATAGGTCCCGAGGGTGGTTGGCTGGACCATGAAGTGGATTTCTACAGTAGCCTTGGATTTATGAAATTTAATATAGGTGAGCGTATCCTTAGGGCAGAGGTTGCGGCCGTTGCCATTATAGCACAGTTGCAACTGTTACTATCAGACAAGATTTTACGTCGAGGGAGGCAACTTGCCATTCGAAACAGTAAACTTTGAAATTATTTTCAATGTAGTGTAATTACAATCCTAGGGCTACAATGTGGACCATAGCAATTGTTAACAGGAATATGGTTTTAAGCAAGAAATGATTGTGCTTATTTCAGTTTGAAGTCGGTGGTAGATAGTCCATAGCGGCGTCACAGAAGCCAGATATCGCTTCCGCCACAAGTTGTTTACACGAGCCATTTCGTTTTGCTGCGTAGATTCGTCCCAGTGGTATCGATGCGACTCCATACCCCAATAATTTGAGCTGTCGTTGTCGTAAAAGTGCTCGAGAGCGTGGCTGTCCATGTGGGACGAAACAATCTGTGAAGTTGAGAACATCTAGAACGTGATTCTCCACCGGGAATGATACGCTTACACGATATACATTTGCCACTGTATGTACCGTCTTGTGTGGTATTTTCATTGCAATCAAGCTTTCTGAAAGCAGTGCATCATAATCCAACTCGAGTGCTCTTTTTTTCCGTGACCCTGGTGTAAGCGTATACAGGTCATCACGTTGGTATTCCAACCAATCTACCAGTGTGGAGTGTACCTCTGTTGGTATCTTGTAGCGTTCAGTATCCATGGAATGGGTAGTTAATTCGGTTGTATTGTTTTCTTGGCCCTCCACGCTTACTGGTAGACAATTAAGGACGTGTAATGCGATTTGTTGTGCAGAAAGCATATCCTCCGCCAGACTGTCGAATAAGGTTACGAACCTCGGTAACATGATCATGAGTAGACTATCTTCTCCCAAGACTACACATGCCCACATGAGTCTTATCAAAGCTTCGCTCGGTTTAGATGGTGGCTGTGCATCGCACGCTGCACTAAGTCTACCTCTTACCCATGGTAAATGTTGATTTGATTCCGTCATCAGCCATATTGCTTTGGATATCTGGTCTAGTGCATGTTCGTCGTTGAAATCTATGTTTGACTCCGAATATGCCGTTACAATATCGTCACAGAGTGCCAAAACTGCATCATCAAGGTACCCTATACGTACTAATGAATATGCGGCATCCACGAGTGATATATGTGTGCCCTCCTGCAGGAAACTGCCGTTGCGTAGCGCAGCTACGCAGTTATGCATAGCAGTCATAAACTCAGGACTCTTGGAGAGCTCAGTTACCAGCATTGCTAACTTTCGTGGAGGTAGTTTAGCTGTAGCATTGATGAACTCGGCAAATATAATATTGCGTTCTTCCGAAGGTAGCTTTGCTGATGATAGTCTATTTAGACATGATGTGAGGTTCCGTGAGAGTATGCGTACTGTTGAGTCACCTTTGGAGCCACCAATTCCCATATCACTAAGGCATTGGAATAGAGTGGTCATATTCGAGAGGCTATAACACCTCCATCTACCTACTCTTTTTTCTATCTGTTCCACTAGTGCGTAGGCTAGTTTATCGAGTGTGGGTAGAATACTTCTATCTTCACATTCCTTGCGTATCCGGATTGTCATTTGTAGTAGCAACAGGCAATCTTCAGCGTACATTTTGTGAGCTCCGGTTGCGACTACTGTCAATAGTTTCTTGAGTAACTGTACTGGTACCGTCCCTGCTTCTGTTAATCCCATTAGGATTTCCACAACATTTTCAGGCATCATAAGGTGTACCTTTGCCTCTATAGCTTTGCACAATTGGGTGTAGAACCGTTCATCGGCAACGTATGCGAACCCTCTTACTACTTTTGCGAGTTGCAACGGTGTGAACTCGTTAGCCAACAGATAGGCCCTGTTCCTCATCTTTTTGAAAAGTGGCTTGTGTGACTCTTCCATATGCGCGAACGCAGCTACCGCAGCAGCTAGATCATGGGTACTCATTTCATCAACATGATGTTGTAGCGCCGCCGCGAGATCTTCAAAAAGGTCTGGATCCTCAATATCTGCATTTACGAACGCCCATGCCACTGTTGATATATCACGACAGGTTAAATGTGCTACGTGTGAGCGTACTAGTGGCGAAATTGTGCATAGAAATAGTTCACTATCAGCTTCTCTTACTTTTGACAATGCCCAAGCGAGATGTACAACATCCCGCATACTGGTTGCATTTGCATTTTCCTCTATCACGCGTCTAATACGGGCGAATAAAGCTCGATCAGTGAACCCCAACGATGCGAATGCCCATGCGATCCCACATAGCTGCTGCAGGTTAAACTCATCGATTGATGTTAAGACTGCGCTGCTGATGCGTCCGAACATTACCGGGTTTCTTACATTTAACCTTGCAAGTGCTGTGGCGATACATGTGATATCCAGTGGTCGTTTAAACAGTTGGACCTTCTCCTGAGCTAGGCCAATGAGTGTATCACGCAGGTCCACACTGACTGAACTTTTGACAGTGAGTTTTGATAGTGCAAAAAGGCTGCTAGCAATTTCGCTGGGCGTCAAATCTGAAACATGTGATTGTATATTAGCGAGTAGTAGGTCTATCCACCTTGGTTGTACACGTAATCGTACCAATGACCATAATACATTTGTTAATCCCTGAGAATCCAGGTCAGCCATGTTCCTCTCTATTGCTCCAAGCAATCTTGAAAACGTTTCATTACTTGTCAATGTATACCTGGAGTATGAGTTTGTATGTCTTGCGAGTCTGTGTAAGGCGGTTGATGCATTGACAGCGTTCATCTGTTCTATTTTATCATTGATTGCCAGTATTACTTGTGAAGATGAACGGCACTTTAATATAGCTTGTTGTATTACTATATGTGCAGGGTTCATATTCAACCATGTTTCCGGTTCTAATTTAGTTTCTGCTTGTATGACGGCGGCTGGTGATGCCGCATCGATAACGCCTTCGGGTTGATTTGATAATATGCCTTTCAAAACTGCCTGTTCCGAATTATTGAGTAACCGTCCCATGAGTAGGGATGGTGCCACTTTTTCACGCATTTTATCATCATCAGGTAAAAGTTTAAGTTCTTCTCTATTAATTGTGTTATGGTTCGCCACATCAGTGTCAAGTGATACTGCCTCATAATATGCATCTCCTGGTAGGTGTAGGTCGTTGACTAGATACTCCGCTGATGGTGTGGATGCTTTATCTTTTACCATCCATCGTGCCGATGTTTGTTGCTTTGTTTGTGATCCTTTACCAATATGCACAGGGACATTTTTGTGACCATCGCCTTTATGCACAGGCAGTGTTGTATTTTCATTTGGTATGTTATCCATATTTTGGTTGTTATTTCCTATTTCTGTGTTACTGTTGCCCGTTAGAACCTGTCTAAAGCTATCAAGGTTTACGAGTTTAGATTGGTTTGCTTCGATAGCATCAAGTGATTCTATGCATTTTTTAGCTTTTGAAATAGCCCGTTGTGATTCTATGCGTCCTTTTTTTCTGAAATTCATATTCCATTTATTTTCAAGCTCATTCAGTTGCTGCCATACAGGTTTAGCGGAATACATATCAGCTTCATGTATTTCCCCTTGGTTAAATCTAGACTTATTAGTTGTTTTTTCTGACCTTAGGGAAGTATAGTGTTTCTGTGTTGAGTTTTCTGTTATATTTTCATTACATTTGTTCAAAAATTCATCATGTATATCAATTCCATGTTTATACTCATCACTTTTATTAGTGCCATTAGCAAGTGTCCTGCGGATATGGCGGTTAATTATTCCATATTTTCCAGGTTGTATTTTATTCTGTAACCTGAGTATGACACCCCAAATTGGTGACTGTCCTTTAGCAGCGGAATGTATGAGCCTTTGTTGAACCCGTTGTACGTGCATCTTACTAGTGCCTTCAATGTAATATATCATTTTTTTCGAGTTATTTTGGGACAGATATATATTTCAACAATTGAACTGTATGTATTCCGATGTGTATCAAAATATTTTTTTGAGTTTATTCTGGATTACAGTTTCCCTTTTTAATTGGTATCCTTCTTTTTAATTTTTGAATTTTATGTTCTAATGTGAGATCATATGGCATTTTCGGATATTCTTTACCATATTTCTTTCTCATCAGTATCCACTTTGTAAAGTCCTCTACTTCATATGTTTCCATGCGTTCAACATCAATACCTTCTGCGGTAAGGGTTTGGAACATTTCCCTCCTAGGAGGGTAATCCGGTACTTCTCCGCGTACATATAGCGGCCACCAACCTTTATGGTCACCTTCTAGAACGTCTAGAAACTGATCAACTTGAGATATATCGTTATTCTCGTTTCCTTCAGTATCTTTAGAATCTTCAGTAGAGAACCTTCTATAATAACATTTCCATAATTTTCTATGTGTAAATGGAATGTTTGTTTTTCTTATTGGAGCTTGTAACGTGCTCAGCTGTTGGTATGATATTTTTGAATGGTATGTGCGCGACGACGACAGTAGTTGTATGTGTGATTGTCTCGCGATATAGTTACTTAACCGTATCGAATATTTTAAACTTGTTATTGGAACCATGTCAACAATGTGTGACCTTTTAGTGGTCAAATGCGTGAGCGTCGTTGTGTAGTGTCGTTAAGATTCCAATGGCATCGACACATTGTCTAACTGCTGCGCTATTTCGTAACGTGCTATCGTCGGTTTAAAAAAAGGTGCTTGTAAAAAGTGTAAATATGAATCAATGAAACGTTCGTTGACTGAGGAGTCGTTGAAAAGGCCACCCGCTGAAGGTAGGTCGTTGACGATGTCATATAAATTGTTATATAGAGACTATTTTCATTGCCAAAGCAAAGCCTATCCAGCCGGAGGACCTTGAGTTGATAGTTTTGCACCGTGATATAACTCAAGAGTGGCGTAACATTGCGACTACGGAGAACCCTTATGGGTTTGTCAAGCTTGGATTACCTACAACTGAGCCCCCTGAGCCTTCTGATGCTACTTTGGAGGAGGCTGAGCACGATGAGCGTTATACTAGGTTGCTAGACCTCGTGGACGTCAGCTTATTACCCGAGGAGCTTATGCAAACTGACTACGTGCCGCCGCGTACTGTGGATGTCGCTACTGAGATGGTTGACGTCGCGCAGTCTATGCGTCGGATCGACCAGGTGATGGAGCGCGAGGCTAACGAGGAGGAGCCTGAAGAGGTTCCGCCGCCACCTATGGATGATCCCATGGACCTCGACGTGAACGACGAGCACCTCGTTGGTGACTACAGTTACTCCTTTTGTGAGGAGGACGATGGATTTTAGGTGTGGTAAATATCGCAAAATAAGATCTTTTAAAGATTCAATAGTGAGTGAATACGCGATATAAGTTCGGTTTTTGCGATGCCGTCCCTGTTCATTTGATCGTCAAGCACCGAGAGCGCTGATGCTAAAGTTTCGGTGTTGATTCCCCAAGTGCACTCACTGAGTACATCCATCAGGTTGACGTGTGCGTATTGCCTTAGTGTTGGATATTTGTGTGTCAAATATCCTATCATGGCACGTAGTGCACAGCGTGCTCCAGGCCCATTACCTGTTGCGTAATAAAGTTTAAGTAGACACTTGTAGATTCCTTTTAGGTAGCTGTAGTTTGCAGCTATACGTGATTCCTTTGCTAAAAGATCTGCTAGTTCGTATCCCGGTACTATAAACCCCTGGTTGATAAACATTCGAGTTGTGGACACTACCCTTGCGCATAGTTTGGTATTTCTTGCCTGTATAGCTGCGCTATACGCTTTGACTACATACAGTGATAACATATGTTGTAGTTCCATCCATTCACCCGATTCCGCTTGTACCCTTGCATTCAAATGAGAACGCAAGAAATCTATGACGACTGCTTCTAGAGTACGTGCGTTCCATATCTGCTGTATCGCCATCCCGCCTAGAACATGTAGTAGAGCTCTTACCAGAATGTATGAGAACGTTGGTAGATATATCAACGACAGGAAATGTTCGAAGCATAGAGGTGCCACCGAATATCCTGGGAACCTTAGAGCTAGATTGTTACACAATCTAGGAAAAGTTTCACCAGATTCCATACTATCTGACGATAGGCTGAGTATCAACTCCTGTAGATCGAATGTATGTACCACATGCCAGTTGATGTTATGTGCAATAGCAGCGAGTAGGGGCGTTTCTCTGCTCTTCATAATTATAGATTCCTCTAGGTATCGTTCATGCCCACAGGCGAACTCTGGTGTTCCTCTAGATCGATCTTTTGAAATAGAGCGTGTAGAATTTTCCGGTATAACACCCATCTTAATTCCAGGTGATAGTGAAGATGGGTATTCTGGATCTGTGTCTAGTTCATTATCCGAGCGTTGTGTATATTCCTGTTGTGCAGTCCATATTCCATGTTCCGGTATAGATGTTGATGCGGCGGAATCACATCTTTGTGTCAATCTATTACGTGAGCTCATGCATGTTGTGACATGTTCGACTGCTGAAGCTTGATCTATACAAGATATTGGGAAGGTTCCACATCTTGCTATTTCATATTCGTAGGTTGCTCCATAAAATATACGTTTCCATATCCATTCTGGTTTGAAATTGAACGACCCTCCGAAAATATGTGCATACATGAAAGTGGCCCGTGCCCTTGTATTTTCCAGTGGTTCTAGAGATATAACAACTAGGCTTTGTGCTAGTCTCAGTATCCGACTTTCTCCCATTGAGTTCATCATGGTGAATTTTATCCCTTGTGCCATGTTAGTCCTCTGCATATGTAGTAGATAGCAAATAACTTCTAGTGTAACTTCTCGTACCCATGACCCTACGTCTCCTCTTGTATCTACATCATAATCAGTGCAGCTGTGTTCCAACGTTGCTACTATCCTTTCACATACTTGTGATGAAACTTGTTCTTGCGATATATGATGGACAATTTGTGCCAGTGATATCAATGCATGTTGCCTTGTTTGTGCATCATTGATATGTTTATGTTTGGAATTGGTAACAACTTCTTCGCACAGGACATTAACTATCTTTTGGTGTTGTTCTATAGCCAGTTCCTTTGTGATAGCTGCGAAAGCTAGTGCATGTCCCCTCCTTGCCGATACATTGTCAGAAGTGTTTTCTATAGAGGTGATAAGGTGTTCAACAAGTTCAGTGGCTTGTATTTTCCGTGTGTGTTGCAGTATTTCGAAAAGATCTGTTAAAGCTTCTACTGCCGATATCTGTACCTCGATTGTGAAACTTCTGAGACAATCTTTGAGAATCACAATGTATATATCCATTTCTGTATCCTTGATAGTCAATTCCTTGTTATTTATGGTAATACGGCATATAGCCCTGATCAACTCACATATCGCTTGTCTTATGATTACCCCTCCTTTCAATCTGAACAACCTGTTACGTTCGAATATGACGGGTACTTGTCTGATATTATCGAAAGCGCTGGTTATAAGGTCCCCGTGTGTAACAAGGTTCTGCAGTATCTGTGCTATAGCGCATAAACTACCGTGCATGACCCCTAAATTTCTCGTGATTAACTTTGATAAGCAATCGTGTACAACTTCTAGATAAACCGGTTGTCCATTTCTGGTGATAATTTGGCTATTCGGTGCATCCAAGAGTGCTAAAGTGATCCTTCCTAGTGCCGTTGCAGCGTACCTTCTGGTTGTTATATCTGGATGATGTATTTTTGTTTTCATAAGATTATCCACCATAGATATGGTGTAGAACCCTAGTTTGGATATATCGTATGACACTTTGATGAACGCGTTTCTGCGGTTCGACACGGAATAGTAGTCTGCCATAGTGATTATGTCCAACCCATATGCGACATCACCAATTCTTCCTACAAATTCCTGTAATGCCGCACATGCTGCACGTCTACAGTTGATTGATATATCGAATACTGCCATGTTAACTAGTGACTTGCTCATTGGTATAAGGTGTGAGGGTTGTATCAGTGAGCTTGCGAAGTTCCTAACAATTGCCCAGCAAATATAACATGATGCATCCCTAACTGATGTACCAGCAGATCCTTTTCCTCTCCATACATCAAAATCCAATGTCAAAACTACACAATCCAATACTTTGTCTAACATATGTGGGTGTAATATGCCACCTCTTATAATTTCGGCGATAGCAAGGCAGCTTCCATGTACAGGTGCTTCTCCCTTTGTGAAACATTCGAGTTCGGTGTCATACTCGTTATGTATGATATTTAGTATATACTCTATGATTTGTTCATTGAGGTACATTGGTAGTTTTGCTGATATCCTTCCTATTGACTTAGCTGATGCCCATCTTACCCTCATATCATTATCTATCAGTAGGAAGAGTAGATCTTCCACAATAGTTTCTACCCTTTCATCGATTTGGAAATTTTCAACAAGTGGTTCAGGTTCCGTAACAACAGGTTTCGTTTCTATCAGCTGTTTACACATTTTTCTATATTTTTGTGCAGTAAACTCTGGCGGCAATATATGTATTGCTAATCTTCCTAGGCATCCAGCTTTAAGTTTCCTATATGCTGCTGAGTTTGTTACGTTATTGTTGATGATGCATTCTGCTAATTTGGGTATATGTGCTTGAAGTTCATCTCTTGACATATGTTTGAGCATTTGTTTAAGCACGGTTAGTATCCCAATTTGTTTATGTTCATTCGTTGTGGTGTTTGGTATATCTATATATTTGATAATATTTTGTTCTTGATTATCTTGGTCCATTTCATCGTTATCGAGATCCATTTCCGCTGTATTGGTTCCATTTTGTTGTGCCAATACTGCTATGCAGTACTGTATGAATTGTGTGAATTCGTCAGTGTTAACATCTGGTCTTGCGTACAATGCTGATAGAACCACAGCTGCTGCTTCCCTTGACCTTGTTGACGTTAACAGATAATGGAGTGCAATATTGACAATTCTAGTTTGTAGTGTGATCCCTTGTCCAGTTTCATCTTTCCATATTGTTGATAATTGGAACGGTGTATATACCAGTATCGCTATCCATGCTAGGAATACATAATCCATACACCATCTTCTATTATCATATTTCAAATCCATTCCAATTCTGTTATTTTTTTGTAGGAATTCCACGAACTCAATAACCGGTACCAATAGTTTGACATCATTTGGCAGGAATGGTATCATCCTTCTGAGTCTGGCTACTTTTGCTACATTGTATACATGATAACAAACATGTTCTATTGCTAACAAAGCAGGTCTTTTGGGGTGGTTTGGTGCGCAGGTTATAACTTCTTCCCAATTTTGTTTCGTTGTTTTTATGAATTTTTTCAACAGTTCTAGACAGTTATTAACCAATCCTTCGACATGTTTGAGTATAGTCCAAGGGTTATCCATAAACTTCGCTACATTATTTTCTAATTCTTTTGTTGTATTTGCTATAGCTTTAAGTAGTTTAACACTTGGTGGATCTTTTTTTTCTTCTTTTTTTGGTGATTTATTTTTATTTTTTTTATTTTTTGTTTTATTTGTATTTTTTTTCAGTTCATTATCTGATACTGGTGATTTGATGTCTTCCAGTTCCTGTTCGTTGCTTTCAATGGAAGATTGGTATGAGGGTGTTTCCAATGAGACATCAGTTCTGAATATCAATTGATCACAATCTGCTACTAGTTTTTCTACAATTCCGTATACTTCTTCATTTTCGGAGCAGAAAATGACTGTATTTTCGATGTGATCGTTTTCCATCTTGTATATGGTGTATTTCCTATATTTAACGATAGCCCTTGTATAGTTTGTTAACTATAGTGAGATATAGAATGTGTATTCTCTAGCGTTGTATGTTTAACGCTATTAAATCGGTTATATCCTCCATCCGTCAACCTCCGCGTGAAACCGCGGGGCGCCGCACCTTTTTAGTACTTGTTTCACTAATTGCCGTACAACGTCTCGAAAAGAGGAGTTGCTACAGTATTGGTTATATTCGCTGTTTTATATCGAGTGATGTTATTGCCCTATTAACAAGCCGCACTATTTGCCTGACGTTCCCCTCAAACATAGCAGGCAGATGCGAGCTGTAGAATCCGATAGCTGCGTACACTCTTCGTGGTATGTTTTTTCACACTTTGCGCATAAATTTAACTGCAAAAATGTTAGGTGTGTGAATGAACTATAAATTGTGTATATGTAACATGTTTGAGCATATAAATGAAAATGTTGGTTGACGCGAGTGTCTGGTGTAACACCATAGCTCGCTATAATTTATACACATACCGTATATATAATTTTCTCCTTACAGTATCCACATTCCCAATAGTCTTTAAGGTTGAATTTGTGTAATAATTCCTGCTATAAGTTGTGGAATCTCTGCATAACCTACCACATGGAATCTCACCCCTGGAGACACTGTAGTGCCGCCTTCTTTTATGACTAGCCAACCACCAATTTTTAGACGTTGGGCTAAGTGACATTGTCAAATGTAAATTAGTCGATATACATACCGAGTGAGCGATATGCATTAGAATCTCCTGGCAGACGGCCTGTACACATCGATATCCAACTTTTGGATCCATCGGGTTGTATTTCCATGGGTAAAACCGCACCTATATATTATCCCACGATATTGTAACACCATTACTTACGTTCTTGTATAATGTGTGACATTGCCGCTGAGAAAAGGTGACGCGCACACATATGTATACACATGCTTACCTATATATACCGTTATTTCTTGTGCAGTAAAATTAGAATCGAATACTTTTTTAATTAAATTTTGTCTTGTTACTGGTGTTGTAGAACCATCTTTTGAAGTATCTGTGGGTCATTATAGGTCCCCGCGACTTTTGATGATAGACACGTACCTGTATCAACGGAATATAACGCTGAATCCAAATCTTTCAATGTATAGTAACGTTTTCCTTCTACTATTACATTCTAATAAGATTATGTTTGTATTACAGTTTTCTCTACTAACCACTAGCATGTACCCTAAATCAGATAGAGCATAATTAGCCTGTTGTAAGAATTCTTTCTTGTTACTAAACTCATGTCCAGTACCGCGTGAAATTGCTGTTACCATAGAATCCACAACATGATCTTCTAGGTACTAAATAAACGTTAATAAATGGATTAGACCAATATCTACCTTTGACGCCACCAGACGTTGCAAAAATAGCTGCACACCGGACTTAGATGACATATTGTATCATTGAACTATAAGTTTATGTGAAATGAATTCTATATGACGTAGTGCGCTTTCAGCACGAAGACGATGTAATAGGGACTCTGTAGCTTCCAACATGTCCCACACTGTAAAGGTAATTATAATAACAACTGTATTATACCTACCATAGACAGAGTCAAACCTGTATAACTCTTGGTTTGCCCAATATATAGCAGCAGTCTGCAAAAAAACAATATATGGATAAATCTATCTGTTATATACCCACCTGTATTATCTGTAGTGTACGTGAATCACCCTCAAAAAGATCATCAAATAAATCCAACCAATACGCAGTTATCAGATAGATCATGCCCTCAACATCTATACGTACTTCGTCTTCCGAATACCATACATGGCCATGAGGGATGCGAGCTTGATCGATCCATGAAGCGCCATATTTACGGATCATCCGCTTGGTCACATAGGGTTGGAGACCCTCACATAACGAATGGAATATCAATAATACGTATTCTAAACGTTCACTTTGTGACAGTGATTGTAAAAATGGACGTGCTCGACGATCACGTGCTGATTGACATGCCGATGCCGGCTCTTCTTTACTAATCTCAGGGCGATCACAGCGGAAATGCATCGTACGACAATTAAATAGTAACCTCTTGCTATCCATACCGCCAGGTACCCCTCCCCTTAAATGTATACGTTCATCTGGTGCGAATATTTTACTATAACGCTCGTTACCGATACCCCAATCCAGGTATAACAGATAATCCTCTTCGATCCGTGTGATATGGTTCCTGCGTTTATTAATGATTGTCGATTTGAAGAAGTGTCTTGGGCTTTTGAGGAAAAACTCGCTACCCACACTACAACCACGATCGGTGGTATCCTCGGTGTCCGACGTTGCAACAATGTCCACACGACTACCACCCTTTGCGAACTCAGCATCGTCCGCCCCGTGACGATGGTACTGTGCTAGCTGCTGCAACACATCAACAACCATCGCAGACGGGCCACGCTCATGTTTACTGTTAGCTGGCCCTGAATATCTAGATATACGGTCAAATACGTGATAACCACGCTCATCCACTGGTAATGTGGTGACATCTAGCAACTTGCTGGATACACTCGGTGATATTGCTTTTGCTGCCCACAAATCTATGGTTGGCGGTACCACGTCATAAACATGGAAGACTAAAGTAGCTTCATTTATCGATTCGAAATGTTTCGCGATGCAATATTTACCATTTGAATGGTCCCCCTTGGCACAAATGGAACCTATAGACGGCTGTTCCCATGTAAATGTCAGTGTGCCACTTTCTCCAAGGATGGAATATACACATTTACCACTAGTCCCACTGAAAAAACCGGTACTGCGTACACCAAATTCAGTAACACATAAAGGAGGCAGGTCCTCCGCTGGGTACTCCACCCACTGGCCGTCATCTAATCCTGTGCCATTCCCGGACAGTACCAGTTTCAGATGTTTCCCGCATAAATTGGCTATACGTATTAATATGGACCCATTAGATTTCCTTAAACGTGGTATCCATAAGGAGCTATTTGACGACCATGTGAAATCATCAGGTAACGATTCATATGTTTGGTATGCTTCTATCCCACCTGTGGACAACGGTCTACCTGAATTATCACCTCTTCTTTGTATTAATTCTTCCAGGCAATCTTTTAACCCTTTGATATATAAGCTGCCATCGGAAGTTTCCTGTACCCTGATCCTCAGGGTCTTACAAAAACGGTTACTACCGCCACTGTTTAAAGGGTCGTGATGTACTTTGAATATGATCGGGCATGTACTATCTCCACTAATCGTCCTTCCAGTTTTTGATCTTTGGAATTCATATTCTGGCACAAACACCTCGGATAACACATCCTCACCGCTTACACGCTCAAGCTGGATATGTAACAGGTACCTTACCCGGTTCAATATGACTCCATAGTTCAGTGTGAAACAAACACCGTTATATGTACGGTTGAAAACACATGAAACTGTCACGGCTGATCCTGGTAATATACGTTCCGGTAACCAGGAGGACCAAGAGCCATGCTTTATGCTTTGAGAGTAACGATGTATCACGATACTCGTTTCATTGCACAATAAAAGTTCAAATGTACGTGATCCCATCGCGGTTAATATAATATTACTTAAAGAACAACAGGCGCCACTGGCGCGGCGCCTGCAAGTTAACAATAAGATCTAATACGCTTAATCAGACTCAAATCTAACTCGAACACCGATACTGCCGGGAATGAAATAAAATAGTAGAAATGAAAATACCTGGTATCTGTATATGAAAACGACGTAACACATCAGGATGTATTACACCCATTATTCCCAGGGTAACACCAGAATCCCCGGAAGACACCAGTTTTACAACACGACCTGGCATAAATGCGCTATCTGATAAATTTTGGGCCAATTATCAACCATACACGTACCTTCAATCTCTTCTAAACGGTACATGTGTTTCCAAGTTTCCGGAATCGCACTCTTGCTCTCGCCAAGCTCCCAGCGCTGGTATTCACTATAGAAACCGAGCTCGTTAAGTAAAGCTTCCGATACACCTTGGACCTCCTAATAAAATATATATCGGACAGTAGCACATAGGATACCACACTTGTAATATACACACCCAAAATTGTAACAGGTATAACACCTACCTCCAAACCTGCCGTGGAACTGTTCGCGTAGCCACAGGCAACGTTCTTGTTATTGATAGCACGGACATCAGTGTCATCACTGCGCCAAATGACATCTCCTACCTCGAATACCTGGATTGGTAAACTGGCACCTTTCAGATTAGCTATGGTCGTCATTATCCCCGGTAGTAAGGACACCCTGCAGGCCTCGAGCTCAGAGACCTTGGAATTCTTCAATAAGACAGCACGACGTTCACTCTTGTCATCAGGCACTGCCCAACCCATACGTTCAAACATATTATGCAGAGAATCCAATATGGGCATCAAGGTCTCTTTATAACCACAACTAGATAATACATCACGCACAATACGACCGAAATAGGTCAACGACCTTAATGAACCCCGAGGAAATTCATGCTGATCTATTCGGTTATAACCATAAGCGATTGCTATATCTTCACCGATATCACAAGCATGCTGGATATCAGGACGACTTATAGGCACCAGCGCCTCTATAGTATTATCCTTAGCATTATAACTCCCATCCACCATCATCTGCTTCAACAACACACAGGCATCATCACCACTGAGATTAGGGACACCCACCAACTTACGTAGACTATCAAGGTCACCAATCACGCTACGCTGGCTCAAATCAGGTGATAAAACGGTACCGTCTGAGTATTTAGTGTGGAAAGGTTCCACTGTAAACGGTTCCTCACAATATTGTGAAAAACAGTGCACCAACATGTTCAGACAGATATTACCCTTTACACGATCCGTAGCGGTGACCTCGATGAAAATGTTACGAGTATCCAGAGTCACCTTTGTAGACGACGAATTGGTGATGGGTGGCCAGGAACATACATTACCGTTAGCATCACGTAAAACTGGATATAAATCTCGACCTTCTAGAATCTTGAGGTATGGCTAAAACAATAGATGAACACAAAACCCAATAACAATATACCTTTAGATGACTATTCGTCTCATTATAATGACGCATAAGCTCGGATGCGCTATATTCACGGCTACTATCACACAAAGGTGCGAATACTATAGACTCGGGGTGCTCTAAACCGTAGACCAGAGGCTCAGTTATACGGTCCATATCATGGGTACCGATAGCAGCCAGCGTCCTCTTGCGACATAGGTTCTGATGAAGTTTGCTTTGTAATTCAAGCAAACTGTCATAGACCTGTTGAGTAAGTTTAACTCCGCGCAGACATGCCGCAAAAATATACGGACGTGTAAAAGTAGCCTAATGAATATAAACAGGTGGAATGGGAAATACTGCCATACCTCTGGTAAAGCTTCTACATATGCAGTAGCCCTTGGACTTGCACATGAATATCGAATAACTGGTGCAGGGATGTTCTTTTTATATGCCAATAGAGCAGTTGCCAAGCCTTCGAGGCATAACAGGTCATACCTATACAATTGGTTAGATTAGCATACATGTAGACACACCTGTTTGCAGGAATCTCGATTTTTACCACCTCCACACCTTTTTCATCTAACAGACATTCCTCATATTCCAAACCGAAGCTGAAACACAGCTCCTCAAGGTCATCCAACGCTGAATACTCAATCGACACACATGGAAGGCTGCACTTACTCAAATTACTATCGAGACGGCGGAATAATTCCGCTTTAGGGATAGATACCGTAGGCATTTTAAATATATCATGAACACAGAAAGGGAATACCGAACTTTATCAACGCGATGGGGGACCAAGGGTCTGATACATTACCAAATATATCATAACCATAATGTGTATATATATGTGTATTGATTATAAATAGCTTCTATCAAAAAAATGATTACAGAAAGAAGTCATCTCTAAATCTTATCTGTACGACGAAGAGCCACCATTTCGTGACGCATCTCAATCGCTTTACGACGAGCTTCCTCGTAACCAAGCTTAATAGAACTAAAACCTTGAGTCTTACGCTTGTTACCCTTCATATAAACAACACGCCATAAATGACGGTTAGCATCGTACCAAACACCGCTCACCTTCTCACCGTTTTGCGTGTTACTAGGCGTGCTCTTCTTCTTAGGCTTAGGCGTAGTGTATTGCGTGCGAGTCTCAGGAGTGGAACCCGGAGACGTAGTTAACGTCGACACAAAACGACCAAACTCATTACGAGATGAGCTCTCAAGCTCACGACCAAAGTTACTCTTGGGTGAACAGTGACTCTTACGAGGTAACACCGGAGCCTCAACATCACCAGTAGTAAAGTTATTGTCATAAGGAGAATCCTCGTAACTAGTCTGCACGTAATAATCCGGAGTAGGGTTATCCTCACGCGCAACTGAAAACTCACTAGAAACCGTACAACTACGCTTACTGTATTCAAAACTACGGTTCAACAATGTATCACTAGATCCACCACGCATAACACGACCCTCGTTAGGCCAACGACGCGCAGTAACCGGAGCAACAACCATCTTAGCCTCATCACAACAACTTGAAGAACTCTTGTATCGCTCAACCACACAGTGAAGACGACGAACCAATGATTGCAAATTTGATGAACCTGAAACCGGCCAATGCTCAGTACAAGGCTCCAATTCAGATGTCACCAAAGGACACCGACTTACGTGACAGTTACCACCACTAGGACGAGCTATATTGCAGCCACATGCCAACCTGTTGGTTTCTGAACCCACGTACACGCAATAGTTTGATGTACCATGATAATTACGAGCAAAACATGATGATGTACTTGATAATGGTGGTGTTAAAAATAAATCCGAATTATCAGACTGCGTGTCGGTATTCTGGGACGAAGGTAAACTGCCAGGTACACCAAATGGACGCATAATAGGCTGATCTATACTCCCAGAAAATGAAGGAGTAGTTACCATAACATCACTAGAACATTGTAGAGAACCATCATGACGCACACCTGATTTATAAAATGGGTGGTACAATTGACCAGATGAACGCATAAAATCTTCCAAATTGTGACCTGGCTCAAAACCGTTACCCTGACAAGCACATGGATATAAACGCTTTGTACGGACGTTAGTACTATTAGTAGCAGGAGCAGAAACTTTGTAATGCCCACTAGTATCAATAGCAGCGTTGGAATCCGATGTACTCTTTAGACGAATTACAGGACGAACAGTATCATATGATCCATCTTCAGGCACAGCGGGTGTACCACGAGCAACATGGTTCAAATAACGACCATTGCCATCATTAGTGTATATATCAAATGAATCTATAGGGTAGTCCGTCTCAGGTAAGGAAGTAGTGTCAGCCGCCGTGTCCACTGTCTCAGTGTCAACGAAACATTTGTCAAAAGTCTTACAATGAGTACGATCAACAAATGGAGTTTGATCCACTGGATAAGATTCGTAATTTGTCACACAATCCCTCAATGAAGATGAACGCTTTGTCGCAGCATCACCATACATATCAATGGGATAACCATCTGTCCTGTTACTGCATAACGTACCTTCCATACCAGAATATTCCTCAAGAGGTAAGGCAGGAGGTATGTCACCGTACTTAGTACACGGGGGAAACCCCGAGGAATTTAGGGACATACCAGAATCAGTGATCATACTAAGTAATATGGGCGATTTAAATATTGAAAAAATAAGGTAATCTCCCAATCACTTTTCCTATTAAACCTAATAGTTAACCAATTAGAATGTTGAAATAATAAAGCTGTCCAATAAAAATATGGACTAACTATATCTATATATATATATATATATATATATATATTGTCAAGTGTACCACGCGTGAAGTCTGCTTAACTGACAATTACCACATAAAGGAAGAACCCTATTATATACAACCAAGAAGCCTTACGTATAAAAGAGAGAATGCCAATTCAACCAATGTCCAGGGCTCAACAAAGAACCAATGATTTTGGATGGATCTAATATGATGACTGTAAAAGCAATGGAAAATATAGAGCAATATAACTTCTGAATATAATAAAAAGTAACCCTCAATCCATGTTTTTTAAAAAAAAATTAGGCTAGACAAATATAAATGAACATATCACGGTAAAAAAGACACCGAGATCAATCAGCCAAGTATAAAATCCAGAATATCCCAACAGGATATATATAGAAATTTGATAACCCAAAAAGAATCCAAAGTGGTGACAAATGTAACAAATAGCCTTAGCTAACCAAAAAAAAAATCACATAAAACCCCCCTTACATAAATCAACACTTTTATGGCCCTGAATGAAAAATAAACCAGTTAACAAAAAATATGTCCAACCAGTAATAAATTTATATTCCACACAGCGCTAACTTTATATAACACGCTAACAAGACATGATATGGGAATTTGTCTAGATAACTAGCACTACTATCCAACAAATATCCAGGAAGAAAACCTCCCAATCAATTAGGAATAAAACAAGAGCAAGAATGTCTTTATAACACCCCAATGACAGATGAAACCCGCCAATATAGGAGCACTATCAGAACCAAAGAAGGACACCTGAGTCAAAATGTGATCCTCGTTGAGCCCGACGGAACGGTCATAAAGACACAGCTCTTAATCCATTCAGGAAGAAGACCTCGGATATTTGAACCCTTATTTTACAACGCAAACATCCTTTCAAGGAAGCAAATATACAATCAAACAACTCCAAAAGTTAAATCAAAAAATGTGTAGGCCTAGCCTCAATAAGGCACGCCAAGGACGGTAATGGCAAACTCAACTGTTTGCCTAATATAGAAAAACAAAACTTAAATGGAAAGACAACTTTTCGATGCCTTTCAAAACAATAGACATAGCGATAGCCCGTAGATGTTGCGGACAATACGACTACATGTCTAACGTCCCCCGATACCAAACGACCCTACCTGTCGTGCTGTCAGCGGACACGATTACGATTGTGATAGCCCAGACAATTTATTAACAACACACACCTCGCAATATTAGACATATCACAATTCAATAGACGCATATTCAAAACTCATTAAACACTAAACCATCACAATATAACTTAACCTATACGAACAAATTTTTTAGAAAATCCTGTCACAAGCAAAAAAAAACACATAACACAATTTATATCGATATATATCTATATTTTACATAAATATTTACAGGCTTAGTCACATTATAACACCTTAATCCACAATGTGTAGCCCACTCTAGCTAGACAAGCGCTCACCTCAAATATGGTGGATCGCCATGAAATTATCCAAGAGAATATTAAAATATATAAATTATATTTTCTATACAATTTATGTAAAATATAATAACAAAACAATAAACCAATATATAACCAATTACAATATAACCACGCCCACTAATAAGACATGACTCAACATTCAACCAATAAATAACAAATATAGAGATATACAAAACTGAATATAGACTCTTAATGACATATTATAAACGCAGTATAATGGTTAATATATATGCCATTGATGTTTAAAAAGGGGGCAATTCACTCTTTTTTGCATGATCGACATAACAGTACACGTGATATGCCCTCATGGTATATAGAAGGTACTGTCTCCTCGTCAAAAGTAGGTTTTGGGCCATATATAGTAACACAAAAATCAGGTAAATGTGGAAATGGCACCGAAGCATAGTCAGTACAACCAGATAAACCACATTCTTCTAGAATGAAACGTGACAGAGGAGTGTCACTCACATCAATCTCCCTATCAACAATAGTTAATTCACATATAATAGGAAAACATACCGAAGAAAAGGTGATAGCGATATCGCAGCCCAATCCGTCTCAACAGCCAAAGGGTTACCCGAAAGGTTTAATCTAACAAAAAAATTTTAAAAGGAAACATTTATGCTAACATACCGTTCCAAAGGTACAACGCTTCTAAAAGAGTCCAAGATTCTTGATAAGGATGTAAATTTATTACCAGATAATATCACATGACGTAACTTAAACATCACATATAACCCGAAATCCAATAACGAACTGCATAATATTACATAATAACAGAAAAAGAAAAGCTACCTGTCACTTAATAAATTGTCACTAAGATCCAACTCTTCTAGCAAAACATGCGGTTGCAAAATACGATAACTCAAATGACGCAAATTCATATCAGCAAGGTTAGCACACGCACTACCTGTAGCAGCAGTAGCGTCCAAAATGCGCTTAACCTTGCAAAACATTTCCAGATCACCATACAAAGTACCACGTAAAGGGTCGATACGGGCCACATTAGCATAACAATCTTCAGAATCAGAAGGCTGACCCAGCTGCTGCCGGATCTTGTGCCTGAACAATAAATATAAATTATGAACGAAGAGAAAATCAACTTACATAGCCAAATATAAATATTTCGAATCAGTATCCATAGACAATAACGATTTAATCATATCCAGCTGCTGCTCTAAAATAATATCGGTTACGTCCTTGCCAAGTGACACTATCCGCAGAGAATAAGGCATTATAGCAGGACCACGCAATACAGATGACAAATCCTCCCAACCACTTGCAGAATCCATACGACTACGTGAAAATTCCAATTTAGCAAGAGGCAAAGGCATATCACCATTAGCCAAAACCTCCAATTTGTAACGTAAAGCTAATAAACATGGAACAAGGTCACCGTTAGAGTTCAACTCAGATGACAAGTTGCACTTAGACATATGACGCAGACGAGAATAAAAAGAATCGATAACACCTTCATCAGTCTCGATAGTCAGAGATAAGGATACGTACGCAATGGATTCCACAGCACAAGGCTCATACAATGTATAACGCCATGCATACTCAGGAACATCGACGTCTTGTAACCTGTAAATAGGAATGTAACCAAAAATGAAAATGGAAAAACATACCTTCGATTATGAGAAACACATGATATAGCAGACCATGTGCCATCGAGCTTACCACAATTCTCTGAGAAACATTATAAGTATAAGCAGGAAATAGACACATACCTTCAGAAACACCGGCTATAATAAAACTGTCACTAGGCCACAGCTTCACGCAATCGTTAAAGTAGAACACAAAACTATGCGATTTAGAACAATAAAAGGAACGAACAAGGTAATAACCCAAAGCGTTACGACGATACAATAACCAATCGAAATGCTCCCACAAACACTGATCGTTGGGGTCAGTATAAATAGCAGGGGTCAATGTATCCAATTCATCAGCCAAGGAACCATGAGTTTCAGATAATTGACCACGATGACACCATGCAGAAAAATTCGAAAAGTTCTTAGCGATCAATTTACTGAACTCGGAATAACACAGATCATCCACACTACCACCAGATAAACCCTCAGATTCTAACACCTTCAAATAATGACGAACGTAGTTCACGTGACCCCAACAGTGGAAGTTACGACCGTCAACCTTGAAAAGGGTCATACATAAAGAAAGCTCTTTAGTTAAAATGTCACTAACACCAGAATAACGCATATTAAACAATAGCGTTAATACCCATAAACGATGCTGCCATAATGAAAAACATTTAGGAGTTTTCTTCAATACGGACTCTGTAAATACAAGCTCATCCAACAAAAGTGATACCAAACGTTCACGGTCCAACCTTGGTTGTAAGAAATAGTTCTTGCGATAATGCCATGATGGGTTGTACTCAGGCATGAAATCTATAATCGCAGTCGATAATTCAAACATACGATCAGCCTCAGCAGGATCACCCAAAATACCATCGCAAGATTCAACAGTACACTCACTCTCACGCACATTATTCACAAAGGAATCAAGTAACTTGTAACCCTTCTCAAGCTTACGCTTAAAAGCCTCAGCCTCTTCAGCAGTTTTATAAAAGTCTTCCCGACGGATGCCGTGCATTATGACGAAGAAAGAAAACAATCAAATGAAACAATGAAGGTAGTCAGAGAAAACAATGTGAAAAATAGAATAGATGATACACCTAGTCACACTAGTATATGAACCACAGCAAGGGGATTGACCTGCAAACCTTACTATAATTCAAATTACAATCTTTGGAAATTGTAAAATGAGGCGAAAAAAGCAACGCGATACGTGGTTGATAGGAAAATAACCGATAAATATTACTAGCAGCAATGGCAACCACGATTATATAATTTGATAAAATTATCAAAAAAACAATGTGTGTAACCAAATAAAACTAGACGCATTTAACGGGGAAACACTAGGATTCCAAGACAAATGAAACTAATATAACCAATAGATGGTGACCAGGGGTACACATTACGGTACCATATAGCTTAGTAGGGAGCCATAGTAATCGCTAATGAACAGTTCGGTGACTAGGGACCTGTGAGTGATTCCTGCCCAGGGAGCATACACATTAGTATTATAGCAGCTGAAATGGTACATAGGTTGGACAAATGACAACCAAAGGGGTAAAGTAAGGTCACAGAAAATTTCAACTGTATAGAGATTATAATAGATATCAACCAAGAATAATCAGCATACACAACACGGCACACAAACCATCACGTGTGGCTGAAAACAAGGTCCGTAGAAGAAACAAAGAAAAACAGTAAATAAAAACAATATAACAAAAAATAGGTGTACACATAAACACAAATGAACACCAAGAAAAATAATAGAAGTGGCAATAGGCTGGGAAAGCGCCTAGGCTACAATAATACGAGAAACAACCATTAGTACCCAGAAAGACCGACTCTTATCGATCAAAATATAGGCGAAATAAGGAAAAGAATATAACCTTATATATATATCAATGACAAAGATGGAGAATCATGACAGACTATGGGTACAGACCGAGGAACCAAGACGAATAGAGGTTGTAAAACTAGAAGCATACCATGTACTGGCAGCACTCAAGGATTACTTGAGAAACAGCTCAACTACATCAAGCTTGGTACCGGTACTAGGAGTAGATAGCAGCTCGGGAAAGGCATTACACGAACCAGCACTCACGAGGTACTTCAAAATACTAATTGTAAAAGGGGTACCTAGTGAAGATATATTCATGGATATCGCACATATAAGACCGTTTATAGAGGTCATGAAGATGTGCGATACAAAACAAAGCAAACTTATCATACTATGCGCAGAAGCTATATCCAAGTTCACACAGTGCGAATACGCTAAGTTCAATCATAAAAACGTACCAAACGTTATTAATACCACCTTCGAGGAACTCGTAGCATTATTCACAACGAACGTTGAACCAAAGGATGATCTGCCAACCCTAAAGATACTCAAAACATTAAATGATATCTTAAATTCAAAGGCAGGAAATCTAGTCACTAACGAAAATATATGCCTCATGTTGAAAATGATCGCAACACTACTTACAGCAAGACAGAGGAATATAAGTATACGAAAATTAGTACATGATGAAATTGTAAATCTACTACAAGCATCACTCGGACATTATGATAGGACTATCATCAAGCTGCATAAACTCAAAAATCTATCCAGAAGGGTTAGTAGCACGTTCATATTTCTCAGCTTGCTACTCGCACAAACCACAACACATCATCCATTCGCATTCTACCCAGAAGATTCATTCCTATCACCAGATGATAAGGAAACTGTAAATAGGTTTAGACATGACCTGGCAATGCTATCACAAAATGTTGTCGCATTCCCATCATTATGGAATGAATTCTGCTCAGAAGTATGTATTGTAGGATTAGAAACACTTAATAAAACAATGGAATTCGGATCACTCAGTCAAAGGCAATATAATATGGTACTACCCATAGTACAGGTATTCATGGCAAACTCCATATATCGCATGTGCTTCACAGAATCCCTAGGACTATATTCACTAGTACTAAGGACACTCAAAAATATGCTATTCTACTTCAGAGCACAGATGAAAGCACAAATAGAAGCACAACTCACACATATCATCGCATCGGTTATCAATCATAGATTCGGGACAAAGGCATACTCCTTCAAAGCCGATATCATCGAAATGAGCATGGAGTTTATTGTGGATTTGTGCCATAATATACAAATCATCATAGAACTATATGCAAACTACGACTGCGATGTTAGATGCGCTAACATGGCAGACGTCTTAATTAGAGGAGTTATCGAATGCCTAGTACCAAATTATGATCTTGAAGCAACCGATGCAACAAACGAACAGATCAAACTGAGAACTTTGCCCTCAAAAGGTAATAGTAAAAAGAAAGGTACCTCTAATAGTGCAAGGATCCCTGGAGAAAACAGTAGTGCAATGAACCTAGAATATATGGCATTAAGTGCAATACAGGGGATACTCAAAGCTTTAGCAAGTGATAAGATGGAATCTAGTGTTCACGAAACGGCTGAACAAGATACGCATTTTGCAAGACAAAAGAAATGGAAAGATACATTGAAAAGAGCCGCAGATATATTCAATACAACAAAACTAGGAGATGAATGGATACCACTTGTAAAAGATATAGGCCTACTACCAATGGAACATGAACCGAAAGATATTGCAAACTTCCTTAAATGTGTACCAGAACTGGATTTGAAAAAAGTAGGAGAGTATCTAGGTACACATAAAAATCCAACTTTCATGGATCAAGTGAGGACAGAATTCGCTAAACTTCATAGCTTCAGAGGATTGCCAATCGTAATGGCAATAAGGTTGTTCTTGTCGTCGTTCAGATTACCTGGAGAATCGCAACAAATTGAACGTATCATAGAGGTATTTGCAGCTACATACTTCGAAGCACAGCCATTAGTAAAGGATAATGAACAGGACAGTGGGAACGAAACGGCAAACGGGGAAGATATACCTGAAAGCAAAAAACCTAGATGGGTTGTACAGGAAAATGTGTTCTGGCAACTTAATTTTACGTGTTACGGGGTAACAAATCTAGGGACTATAAATGATCATATCGCAGCCGAGGACGAAGAACCATATGAACATTTTACAAGGCAGTTCATGCAAAATGAAATTGAAAATATACTTACAAATGAACGTATCAATCTGGTCACAGAGGCAATGAGAGACCCCTCTGTTGTAGCAGCAATGCAATTGACAAATTTGGATTCAACGCAACAGGAAGATGATACGAAACTTGCAAAATATAAAGATCCAAGTACAGTGGAAGGGACTCTGAAACCAGGGTTTGCATACGTAGCTAATGTTGATGTCATCTTCGTACTATCATACTCTATCATCATGCTTAACACGGACCTGCACAATACCCAAATTAAAAAGAAGATGAAATTAGAAGATTTTGTAAGGAATAACAAGGGGATCAATAACGGCAAGAACCTCCCATACGAATTCCTAGAGGATATATATACCACCATCAAGTATCACGAAATCAAATTGCATAAAGGTAATGAACAGGTGGAAGTGGTAAAATATGACAACTTCTTCTGGGTAGACCATGTGCTACACAGACAAAGGTTAATGGGAAGCTTTAATACTGATTTAAGGGCACATGGATGGGAAATTAAACGGAGCATTTTCCATTTACTATGTGAAAACAACTTCTGCAAAGCCCTAAATGTAGCCCTATACAATTCGCAGAGTATAGCGGCACTGAAACGATGTGTACGGCTACTTTGGCTGTTCACAAGGGTAGCGATGAAGTTTGGACGCTCCGAAGAAATCAACAGAATATTCCAAATGAACACAATCACTATCGATGAGACACTAGGATACAAGTGCCAACTGTCCTTAGCGTTCATATTAACGCTCATAGCCTCTGCATCTAATATGTTCGATAGGGTATCATGGGTCAAGGTACTGGATACCGTCAGCAAGCTCTACTATCTCAACCTATTGCCACTATCATTCGCGGCTCTTGATATAGACGCACAGGTATATGGAAACTGCGCCACCCTCACAGACGCCCTGGTACCGCCAACTATTAGGTTTAAAAGGAATATGGATATTAAGAGGGGGGCAGGATGGTTGGGTGGATGGACGAATTTCATTACATTTACAAAACCTGCAACGCCAAATAATAGTGAACAGAGTGATTACTACGATGGAGAACTTGATGAAACACCGAATGTAGACGATGATGAAAGGAAACAAACACAACAACAGTTTCTGTTCCTTTATGATATACAGTCTGGTTGTGACAACCCAGTGGAGAATCCATACTTCGATATACACCTTATCAAACGTGGAGTGAAACCTATAGCTTCGCAAGAAGATGAAGAGGCTATAAAAGAGGTCACACAGGCATTCAGTAATGAAGCAGATAAGGAAGAGTTGTTGCCACAGGTACTGGGATATATGAATCTCAGATTGGCATTCCTTAATATATATAATGTAGATCGTTTGTTTGTCGGCGCTGCGACAAACGTAGATGCTATGAACTACATGATGTTTATCAAGGTGATTGCATTGCGGATTGTGGAGGCTGCGGTTAAGGAAAAGGAAGTTCACGAAGTTGCAAAAGTTAATAATGGTACACATGCACCACAGGGACAAGCTACACAGGGACACACAAAGGTAGAGACTATATTCTCCATGGAAGGAGCGCTGCTGGACCCGTGTCCTAAAGAGATGAAACACTTTGGCAACAAAGCGGAACCCTCATTTTGCCTAGGGATATTCACGAAAATATCTATAGTCGTTATGGAACAGACTAGAGCTGCTATTGAAGGGCTGAACGCAGACAACGATTTGAAGTTTAAATTCACCCTGGTCATACTTGTAAAGTATTTCTACCTTTTTGCAAGCACACTCATACTGCCAGAGGCATTGGAACATATCCCAAAACCAGAAGATGTATTAGGTAAATTGGGATTGATGGAAGATTATAAACACCTTGAACTTGATGATGACCTTGGGAAATTGGGAAATATAACCAATAAGCTTGTACAAGCTGTAAGGTCCGATACCGTATTATCATCATACCTCTGTATCATGATGCTAAAGGTGGTTTTGTGGCTTACCCAAAACGCATCAGATGACGCAATAGTGATCCGCCGTGAGTCCTGCCATGGCACTACCAAATCATCGCCAAGTCAAGATGTCAAATGGTCTGACCTATGTTTATGGTTGAGTGCGTGGCTACTCCAGATGCTTATACATTTTGACAATAGAATTTTCTATAACCATATCGAACCAATAGTCAAAGTGTTGTCAACAGTCGCCACGACGTCTAGCATCGCAAAAAACGAATATTCAATGTCAGTTATTATGGCAGCATTGCAAAGGGTAGTTAACCACGACTTACCATTCGCAAAGGAAGGAGCAAATATACGACCGGGTGCAGCCAGGAACAGGAGGATACTCAATACCGTTGGTGCTATTCTGCCAGTGCTACTGGGGAACCTGAAAGCTCATGCTGCAGATAATGTACACCTAGTGGGACGCTTGACTACACAGACACTGCTGTTTCTAATTATAGCCACTGGACGTACACAAAAGACAGCGGATGATGATTACAATCAGGGGGTACAAGCGATACAGTTGCTGACCGAGATTAGATCATCGGGGACAGATAATAACACTGTAGAAGCATATTGGTTATACGTGGTCCACGCGCTCTCGATCATTTGTGCCGTGGGTCGGCAAAGGGTATATATCGAAGCTATGAAGGCCCTTACCAAAATGTTACTTAAAGAGGCCGGGCCTACTGGCAGATGTGCCAAAATCATACAAGTTGTGAGAATATTTGACTACATACTGGCACCGATACTCACAAACAACTTCCAGTACCCCCTGCCATACGATGCCGTTGCAATGCCGATTACTATGATGACACCGCAACGTAGCAAGGAACAGGGTGTAAATTGGGAGATCATGGGTGTATTCAGTCGGGGCTACAGCGATGGCGTGCAGCATGATATCTGGATGGAAAACTTTGTCATAGAATATATGAAGTCCCATCATAAGATGGATCCAGATGATATGAATACCAGAAAAGCAGAGATGACCAGCCTTATATGCCAGTACATGTTGGCAAATTTACCAACATTAAGTAGTATGAAATTGGATGATACGGATATCGAACTGGTGAAGGAAAAGGCAAGCAGTTTGGAGTACCTCCTTTACTCCTCTGATCAGGAGACATGCTGTGACACCTGTGTAAAGAGGTATATCACGATTACCAATTATATCCTCAATGTCATTATACCCAGCAATGTAGGAGACTACACCGATGCTACAAGCGATACTTACCTGGAGTCGTTGAAAAACTTTTTGCTGGTACTACTCACTTCTCCTGAGCTCAAAAGTGCCGAATCTAGCTGCTTGGAACATTTCAAAAATGATAAGGAATTGAAGATTGCTCTAGAGCATGTTAGGGAGTCCGTTGACATGGCATCTGCAAGTGCTGGAGAGTATGTGCTCTCTTCGCTTCTGGCTCACACCTTTGCTACGTCAGACTTCCTCAAAGAGCTGTTCCTTGATATTTTGAAGGTGGTGTTCCCGGCACCGCCTGTAGAAGATATGCAAGCTGAAGAGAATGCGGATGAATGAACTGTTTTGGGTAAAAACATTATACTCCAAAAAAGGTCTTCTCGTATCGGTACCTCGTGGTGGAGTGCATATAGCCTGCAGAAATACCAACCTTCACAAGGTTAATATATTTTATATATAATCGCATTATACGCTAGTCATATATAGGTTGCGTTCGATCTATTTATCGTACACATGGTGAAGGTGTGTACGGACGAGAAGGTGGACTTGCCATTACGGCAAACATTCCATTGTCAAAAAACTGGGCAATAAATTTTAATAAAATAACTAAATCTTCATTGTAGTCGTAATATTGATATGTGATCTCGGTAAGCCTATAACTCAAATGTTGTAGAAAAGAGTGTACAACACGTTGCAAAAGATTGATAATATATAACCTATACAATGCTTTCCAAGTCCTTAATGCGTAAGTATGGCGGATTCTTCCATAATACAGCCTTACGAAGCATCGGTTTCACGAGGAGCTACACAACTGGCCAGCAACCGGACAACGCAAGGCGTATGGAGGCTATAAAGCAACTCAGGAAAGTAACAAGGGGCGGTATTGCCGAATGTAAAGAGGCGCTGATGAAATGTAATTGGGTAAGTTATAACAAAAATGTAACATGATGGACATATTGTCCATGGCTGATATAAAAAATAGTCACATAATTACAATAATTGTGGTTTGATACTTTTCGTAGGACGTCGATGCGGCTATCCGGGATATACGGAAAATGCAACAGTTATGTGATGTCGATATAGGCCCGGATAAACAGCTATTCGGTAAGTGTGATTTTTGTGAGAACATAGAAATATCTTTGTTGTAGGTAAAATCGCATTGCCGAAGGATATATCGAGAGAACGGAAGTCTGTAATTTTGGAGTTATCCTGTAATTGTGACTTCATAACCTCTAGCAAAGAGTTCGCTCAACTGTCAAGTGATATAAGAAATACCATACAAAAGGCAGTGGATACAAAGGACATTGACATTGAACAAACAGGAGATACGAGTGGTACCACCAGTTTAAACATCAGTGAAGCTAACGAATTGATACATGAATCGGAACATGGAACTACCGTGCAACAGATGCTACAGAGGGTATCAGCGGAATACAAACGCAGAATCATGATTTCAAATATTTTTATATACCAAAGATCGCAGTGTGTGGATAATACCGGCGTATATGTACACCACAAATCAGCCATTGGTGAAAGCGTCATCGGCGATAGACTGGGTATTGTTAATATCAGGTACCACTGTAAAAGTGATACACAGCACAACACAATAGTCGAACCGCTAACAAACATCGCAAAATCGCTGGCACTACAACTAGTTTCAAACCCAAGGACGAACCATATTGACGATGATCAAGGAAATGATAAAGATATAAAAAAGAATATTCGACATATCATCGGGCAACCCTGGCTTCAGAAGGATCTAATAGAAGCGTATATAGAACATATGTGCTCTAGATTGGGAATCAAACCCACCAAGTTAACAGATGATATGACAATTCAGAAAACATTCAAGTTACTACAAGCAAATATAGATACAACATACCTAGGGGTACACAACGCGCTTTATATGGCTACAGGAACAAACCCCATTATATATACACATTGATAAGTACGTCAAACCGACACACGATGTCTATGTGTGTCCGTAGGATTGGCGATACATCAAACAAGTCACACAGTCACCCTCCAGTTCCTCGGCAATAGTATACATGCGTCCTAGTAAGGACATGTGCAGCTCTATAATACAGTGGATTTGTTTACTCAGGTTACCCCGGGCATCAACCTTCTCGTCGGCAGTTCAACGCCGAGAATGTAATGCGGGGCAGGTTTATTGGGGGTATGCTGTGTGGAATCCGACGTTTTTAGGCCAGGTGGCAGCTTATTTGGCCCATAAATGGTTGTATATAAACGTCAAAAATTAGGCTCCTGTCTTAACATCGGTTGCCACTCTCTTGTGCGGCATCCACCTCATTACTTATGGAAGTGCAGCGCTACACGCAACGATGATATGGCCTTAGAAGCTAGGAAACCTTGAAGTGTGTAGAAGTACTAAATTTAGAAAATAAAACTTTGTTTATACGTAAAATGTTAGGAGCATATACTTGAGATATTGCCAGGTGCAGCTAAACTAGTCGTCAGAAACGTGCAATATTTACGCTCACCTATTACATTGTTACCATATCAAGCCATTGTTATGGATTCAAAGAAGGGTCGATGTGATGTGGCATCTCATCGTTTCAAAAATATAAAGCTCACATCGCTGAAGGCACGTAATACAGGACCTCCCAGTCTCAAACAACATTCGATGCGGTCTGTAGCTTCCAATTCAAGATACAAAACTAGTGTGAAATTACGCTACTGTGTATTGATTCAATCAAGACATTGAATGTCGAGATTGCCATTGACAAGAGGATTAAATTACTTTTATCGCGGATCTTACAACACAACCAACCAAAATGAATACCACGTGGAAAATAATTCTGGGTGTATTGTTAGCGGTGTGCTTTCTTGCTATGGTCATTTCTGTTTATGTCACGAAGGATGGCAATAATTATAATAAGATACAAAGCTATGTTCTCGGCATATGCTTCGCAATTTTTTGTGCCTTAACCTTTGCAGGCTTGATGTATATAGCGTACTACGTTGGCATGTGTGATATGTCTACTCATGGTTTGAAGATTCTCTATGCAATGATTTGTAATAAGCCTCCGCCATCCATGCGAGATCGCATGGATTAAAATCTAATTGTGCGACCTAGTAACACATGGGCTAATATGCCCATTCGATGCGAAACATAGCGTTTACTGTAGTAAAAAAAATTCATATCACTAAGATCACGTGGCACATAACAACCACAGTGAAACCGGTGAAACTCCCCACATGGGATTTCGCAGGAGACTGTGTATCGCGTTTGCATTGATACTTAAAGAAACGACTAATAAACCTATAGAGTCGATATATGGCCGTCTGAGCCGGTGTAGGGCTCATAGACTTAACTGCCAGAATGCAAATTGTGATCCCTGGATACACAGTAGTACATTCTTCAGTCGAACTGAGGAATGGACCAGAACTGTATCCAGGATATTATTATCCATATTATGACTGCGTACTCACACTAAAAGATGCATTACTACGTTATCCCAATATCGACACTCGTCTCCTCTCCCACAATGTGGAATGTGACTCCACAACCGTACACAGGAAATAATGTGGTTCCATACTGGTTAGTTGGGTTTTTACCACGTCATGGGTGATGTCATGCATTGGAAATGTACAATATGTAAGAAAAGCGCGTGTAACCAGGGAAGTTGAACAATTCGCCTGCATTTGGTCTGTGACATCTGCATTAATGCCTTAATTGTAATATCTTACCTACACAATTGATCTGGTGCGAACAATATCGTGCTATAAGTTGCTTTGATCCACAAAAACATAGACGGCAGCAGCAAATAGCATAGTAAGACTGCGTCTGCCCCAAATACAAACTACATGGTACATTAAAATATCAGGGATGTATAAAATCTGATACCTGCCCACTACAAAAAGAGAGAAACACACTTCTATACAACAACATAAGGCCAGGAAAAATTAGTTGTCGTTGTAGAACCTTAAAAAAAGGTATACAATGACATCGCAGCTAAGTCAGAGTTGCGGGTGATGTTCAATAACCCAAGACACACTAGTGCATTTATGAAAATTTTGAAATGTCATTAAATGCCGACATTTTAACCATTTAAGTACAATAGTAAACGTTTAAGAATACATTTTTTAATAATAATATTAATTATATCTCTGTACCAAGGTACATTACAAAGTCCGATGCGCCACTGTTACTAACATCCAAAGTTAACTTTGGATGCATTAAAAACGCATCGCCCAATACAAATGGGAGTGGTTCTGACGTTTCAGCACTTATAATTTTTTTTCCATTGATACACGTTGGGTGGTGCCGGATCTCCACCATTGGGTTTGTATCGACAATCAGACATAGAAAAGGTTTATGCCCATTATCGAAACAGTGTGAAACCTGCGTGCCGGCTGGTACTATTAATGACCAAACTGAAAAATTGCACGTTGAATGAGATGGTTGATATATTTTCACGTACGGAGAAATAATCACAGGATGCACATACATAATACTCTGCGGAAATCGGCTGCCTTTGCACATCTCGACACCTATTAACTCTAGAAACGTTTTAGTATCAGTAGCTTTAGATGTTAGACCGCAGCGGATCACATTGTCGCTGTTGTTCATAAGCTCAACACAATTACCGCTAATGTAACTGTGTAAAGTGTTTGGTGGTATAAAAAATGCATCTCCAGGTTGAACCCCAATACAATTCAATATGAACGCAAATGTAATAGACACATCGGTTCCGTAATGTTTGTTTAGTAGCAAAAATACTTCTTCAGAAAGGTCGTGATCAGTTGTTAATTTTACTGCCTCAACCAGATGGTCGACCAAGTCAGAATCACTTTGAGCTGTGAGTATGGTTTTACATAATCTGAAGTATATTGGACCAATGCTTTCCTCGTCAATATGACGCATATCTGATAATAGGTCTTCAGATATCATCTTAGCAAACGGTGGATACTTCGCGGCATATGAAAGGATCTCAGTAATTGGCCTCAAACCACACATGGCACGAAATGGGCTCAAAGCTACACTCATTTCGGGTTTAGCCTGACCATCTGCTATTCCTGGATGTTTTGCCTTGAACAACCTCAAAGCATTTTCTGGGTCAGGATGTACTTGTAGGCTCAGAGGCTTTGCTATAGCTAAGACTTTAAATAATATTTTACATCCGACGGGGCCGTTGTCAAGGAAAACCTTTTGCATACGACTGTACACCGTTCCTAACCGTTCTTTGTAGCATTCTTTTGCGTCTACTGCATCGTTGTCCTTTGTACAACCATCTGTCGCCTCCTTGCAACTGTGATCAATTATTGATTCTGCATGGTTTTTTCGCAGAGAAGATAGTTTACACGGGGCGGAATCATGATCTCCAATCCACAATTCGGCGTAAGGAGTAGATTCGATATCTTTCAAATTTGGTAAGGAGGAAGTGTTCTCTCCATGAAGATATAGTCGACATACCAACGATGACGGCCCTTGTACACCCCAATCGTAGTTTCTGACTATAGGTGTGATTCTATAAAGGCATTCTAGTGTCTCATCCATATTTTAACTAATATTTGTGTAACAGTGTGTCGTGTATTATACATAAACCTTCGCTTGAGATTCTACGACCAATTATACTCTCCGTTAAGTAGTATGTGACAATCTCGGTAATGATCTAATATACACGTTCCAAATATTATGAGTTGGTACCATTAGAGTCGATCGTGGCGCAAGGCATCCACATGGTTGGGTTAGGTTGTCTGATCCACGCGTCATCATCCACAATAAACATACTTTTCCTAATTAATATATCGGGAAATGTAATAGTTTGTGTATACCGTAGGATTTACGTATACATTGTTAATTTTAAAGGTAATCGCTTTGTTTAACACCAGTGTGTAGGATGGAGATACCAAAGACGCTTAGTACACCGGCTGAGGCACAATCCGCCACCTATTCTTCTATCACGAAGATGCCGCGATATACATATTACCTGTCTAACTATCAGTATTTGGGGCCTTCCGTAAATCACAACACCATAGGGGAGGATGACAAGAGCCATGTAACATCACCAAAATTCGGATTGGATAATAATATTGATAATTCGGGTCTTACACCAGGTGATGGTCAAGGTGTATCCGGTAATTCTACGGTATTGTCAACGCCACAAACAGCTTCACAAGCTCAAGAATATGATGTTGGACAGCTAGCGGCACCATTTGAAGGTCACGGCTACAATGGAAGCCAAACTACATCTGTAGTAAAAGGTGATGGTGTTATGTGGGCGTCTGACCGGCAAAATCAATCTAAAGTGTGTTCGGTTGATGCAAACGACGAACTAGGTTCTGCGTCAGTAGCTGATGATTGCGGTAGCCATTATTCAGACTCATCTATGCTTTTTGAAGACCAACGTAACCTACGTACCACAATGTATGTCGATCAACCTCTAGCTGATAAAAGGCAACGATGGATGGCAATGTACGCATCTGGCAATGTTGAGGAGTTTCGAAAGAAACAAAAGGAGATTATGGATAATATTGCCCGTGAGTTGACTGCTGATAGTGATTTATTAGAGTTTCCAATCCGTTGCATCTGTGTTTGGGGTGAGACTGCTTCTGACGGCAAATTTGACCCACTATATATTAGAGTGGGTGACGTGTTGGTCAATAGATACCATGTCACTGAGGTTATAGGGAACACAGCATTTTCTGTGGTCCTCCGCGCCCGTGACGAACGCAATGCTGAAGATGTATGTATTAAGATTAGTATGCCGGATACTGTAAGCCAGGCTATCGATGAAATCAACTTGTTGAAAATACTAAACACCATCAGTATTGAAGAGAGCCGTGGTATCGTGCAACTGAAGGATTATTTCTATTTTAGAGGATCAGTATTTGCAGTTTTAGAAATTTTAGGCGCCAATCTTTACGAGGCAACCCGTGAATTGTATAACAAGCGTAAACTGCGATTGTCACCAGGAAGACTTCAGGAACCTTGCCAGTACATGGATCTAGATGAGCTTGGTTGGACATTGAAATCGATATCAAAGATGGCCTACGATATCCTCACATCTCTGAAGTACATGCATCGTCTAGGTATGATAAATTGTGATTTGAAGCCGGAAAATATTGTCGTCAACAACGGTTCTGATACACCTTTTGTGAAGCTCATAGATTTCGGATCAAGTTGTTACATCCAGGAACGTCTGAGCGATTATGTACAAAGTCGTTCATATCGCGCACCAGAGGTTATCATGGGTCTGCCATATGACACTCAGATTGATATATGGAGTTTGGGCTGTGTATTGTGTGAATTATACATCCAAAGGATCCTCTTCCCCAGTGACAACAATGCCACCCTAATGGCATCTATGATTAGCCTGTTGGGAGTGCCTCCGGTGTACATGCTTGAGCATAAGATGAACAGTACTTTCATGGTTTTACCTAACGGTAACGTTGCTGACTTGACTGTTCGTGCTGATATATTAAAAGACCGTCAGAAGGCCTTTAATTCTGACTATCAATCATCTCTTCGGTGTAATATTTCTGTGAGCAATTCTTCAATGGGTTCTGTGATTACGTCCCATTTAGGACTTAAGACTGAGCTGAACACCACTGCTGACTATGACTCTTTTGTTGATGCTAACGAGAGTCAACTTGATTCCCATGGTGGCATTTCTTTGCAGCAGAACACTAACATCACCCCGGGTAAATATTCGATAATGCAGGATAGGATGCTATCACAATGTGCTGGTAGCACACATTTGAATCAGGCTGGTAAGGGCATAAAGCTCGACATCTGTGACGGTCGTTCTAATGCCAAGTGTGTACGTATAATTGAGCCAACTAGGTGTACGATTGACGGTATGCTGAACACTACAAGTTCGCCTTCCTTGGCTATATTTGGTGACTTTATCAAGGGGCTACTGCAGTATGATCCTTTGGAACGCCTTACTGCAGAGACAGCCCTGTCACACAAATTCATTACAGATTACTTAAACGCTGCTTAAATATCTCTTTAGCCGTTTTATTTTATGTCTATCATTGTGGTTGTCGTTGATGTGTAAGGCGCCGTCGGAAGGCTCTATGTGCCATTATCCAAAATGTAACGGTTATTAGCTATGGTGGCTGGTGAAATTACGATATATCTGCCTTCAGCAGATTATCAAAGGGCCTATAATGGCGAATCTATGGGTCTGTTAGTGGGATGGCATATCCCTAGTCTGCGAACAAGTGTAGTAGTGACTTCCTATCCTTCTTGCCAGGTACATATATGTGATATAAGTTACATTTGGTTGTAGTTGGATGCATTGGAGCGCGCTTTAAGTGAATTGTCTGAGGTTCCAGGTATGCGGAACTTATTTCGAAAACATGGAGAACTATCGCTACTGGATATTTCATTATACCGTGATGACGAAGGATTAGTGTTACTCGGGTAGGTTATAATCATTTATTGTTGACTATTTTCAGATCTGATACTACCATTTTACCGGTTCACCTGGTACAATACTCTGCAAATGATTTTAACGCCATATCTTCCGCTGAGCTGCTTGGTTTAGTAAGAAATAACTGGACCCATGTGGACAGTAACGTGTATTCGGATCCATCTGAGACTAATCTACCTGTTTATTTTCTAATCGGTGGTGCTTTGGTTGAATATTTGGATGATAAGCTGCACCCAAAGTTAGACGATTCTAGCAACCCCGAAAAATATGATCGTTTTTGTTACCTGGAGCTTCTACGTCGACAACGTAGAGCTCACAAGGTAAAAACAGCGGTATATGAAGGACTGGTACAGTTTGTGTTATCTGTATCCATGGCTGCAAAGTACCTTCTGTCAGCATCTTCATTTATCCGTTCAACTTTTTTGTGGCGTATTATGTCACAATTTACCTCGATAGCGGTACTGTCGGGTCGTGTGTTGCAATTCGCACAATGGAGTGATCGATATCGAGCTATGAAATTACAAAGAGATGTGCTGGAGTATTTGAGGATGCGTCATGAACTTCGTCAAAGTGTCTGGTCCTTTGTGGTAGATCTTTTATCTGGGATATTGCAGTTTATATTTTTACGGAAGATTGTGGTTTATTCAGTAAATTTTATGCGAGTGGTAACCCGAGCTACATACGTATCTATTATAAAGTAGGTTATTAACTTAACAGAGCTAATATTATATCAGGTATCTGTCTTACAACTTTGCTATGCGTATCGGTAAATATTGCAAGCTTAATAATGAGGTTGCTGCGTTCCTGTCCCGTCTGATCATAAGCATGCTTGTAGTCTGGAGTGTGATTGTGCCTAAGCTGCATGAGAGTTTTCTATGGTTTTCTCGATTATTTCAATATTCAGCGTTATTTGGGATTACCTGCGAAATAGCGGTACTCGCTGACATCGTGACCATCGAGACGCTACATATGGCTTATGCGCACTGTATCTTACTATTTATCACCAAGTGGATGCATCGTTACAAATTTTCACTGCTCCAGCTGATAAAGTGGGTTCCACATTTGTATCATAAATGTATTTTAGGGGTAAAAAGTGGAACGAATTGAAGCAGGCATTAGATTCTAACGAGTATACTAGGGAACAATTATTTTTGGGTACCGTGATGTTTAGTCTACTGCTGCTCATCTATCCAACTATATGGGTATTTTATTGTGTGACCCTTGTTGTGTACCTGCCAGTAATAGTCGTGAAGATATTGCTGAGGAGTGTTATCCAGGTCATAACAATGTTCCCATCCTACTACCTAGTGTACAATGTTCTGTTTCCCAACCGGTACAAGGAGGGTATCTATTTTGTCCACGAGATTGTTTGGCCTAGCTCACTTTATGGTATGGAAGGTTGGAAGTTGGATCTATTTGGGGTGAACAGAAGGACGGGCGTTGTTAACAAGAAGGGATCGGGTAGAACCGAGATACGTTGCGGTTCATTTTCTGCACGTACATTTACACAACCTATTATACAAGGTTTGAAGTCGTGTAAGAGTAACCTTTGTTTCTGGCGAACGTGAAAAGTACGGTGGTTATGCTAGGTGTGTGGCGCGACTATAAGACTATGTTTATAATATAGCTACACATTTATAGATTCTTATTGATATCTTAGAATTTAATCACCAAGATGTTACGTGTACCATTTGCCGACGATCTTCACTGCCATCTACGGCAGGGCGACATGATGTCGCTCGTGACGCCTCTGATTAGACAGGGTGGTTGGTAGGTCCTCCTTGCAACTAGCTCATGTTCATAAGCAACCGTGTATTGGTGATGCCAAACACTATACCTCCAGTGACAAGTTGTAAACAAGCTGGTGAATACCGTAAGCAATTGATGGATATCGAGCCCAAAGTGGACTTCCTAATGACCCTTTACCTCTCTCACAAGATATCAATTGATGATTTAAGAGAAAATGCAGTGATAAATCATGTTCAAGGGGTACTTCATTTGATCTTTGAGTAATATTGATTATAGATTAAATGCTACCCAGTTGGGATGACTACCAACTCAGACCATGGATTCAAAGTAAGATTATACTTAATCGAGCTATGTATATATACTACTCAGTCGATAGAGGAATTTTATCCTCTGTTTAACGAAATGGAACGCATGGGACTATCACTGCACGTGCATGGAGAGCGACCTGGGTCTAGTCCTTTATCTTCTGAGGCTGACTTTATCAACCACGTCGAAGGTGTAGGTTTGACTTGTCATGTACATTAATTATATGGCACAGGTTTCAAAGGCATTTCCGAAATTGAAAGTGGTAGCTGAACATGTATCTACCAAGGCAAGCCTCGAAGCGATTGGGCGCATCCCTAATCTTGCTGCTAGTGTAACCCCGCATCATCTGTTTTTGATCACCGAAGATGTTTTGGAGCATACTGAAGGTATCACTCAGGAGAACATTGTTCAACATGTGAAGAATCCACACCTGTACTGCAAACCATTGGCGCAAGGACCAGATGACAGGGAAGCTCTGTTAGAGGTTAGTATCCCAACTCAAGTGGAACCCTACCACGTATCCCATAAGTATTGTCTCATTTGTATTGCACTAAAGATAGTGATTTCATATAGAGTTATGCAAACCAGTTTACCATCAACCTTCAGGCGGTGCGGTCACGAAGCAGCAAGATTTTCTTGGGTTCCGATTCTGCGCCACATACTATGTTAGTTATAGTATATTTTGGTCAATATAAAACTATGTAGCGAGGCAAAGATGTCTGGAAAGCCACCTGCAGGGATATTTACTCAACCGTTTGTTATGAATGTGAGTAGCGTGGATCCATCTCTATAACTTTTGTGTCAGTATCTCGCTACTGTGTTCAATCAACTTGGTCGTCTGGATTACCTGGAGGAGTTCGCGTGCCGTAACGGATCGCGGTTCCTAGGTTTACCAGAAAAGGAACCCGAATGGATCGAGGTTCTGGATGAAACGATGGTCGTACCGTCTGACATAAACGGTGTAATAATGCCATTCTTAGCTGGGAAACAGATCGTTAAGATAAGATGTTAAAAGGAGAAGTTTCATTCATTCAACGATGCAGTGTCGGCAATAGGAGCCGCATCGCCCTTGAGCACTTGTATGTACTCGTAGAAGGCAAATACTGATGTGTCATCAGTAAAGTTTTGAGTGTAGTAGAACGTCGACGCCAAGTATGACGCGAACATCGAACGCAGATATCGATCGGGTAATCTCTTCATGATCTCCTCTATAGGCACCAATGTAAGAAGCGATTGTGGTATAGCCTTGGAAAGAACAGACTGTACCAACCTCATATCGTCCCACAGAGGGTTAGAATCCATGATATCCTTTTTAAGTCCGATGATCTTGCTAGAGAGTATATCGGTGAGATCGCAGCGTGGTATCCCGCTTCTTAGCCCTTCATTCCACAAAGCGTGGAACTCCCTTCTAGCGTTTCTGGTAATGAGGTGTAGAATCTCGTTGATGTAGTCTTTGCGGAACTGTGGGAACTCCCCTCCTGCCTTGACAGTCATCTTTTCGTCGAAAGTTTCGTCGTCAAGGACCAGGGCGGCAAGCACCTCGAAACTGCTGCTAGTGACACCTCCCTTGTTTGTAGATGCATCTTTGAAAAGTATCACACCCCTGTTTTCCAATATACGCCGTGCGTCCTGGGTAATGAAGACATTAGCACCCTCTACAATGAACTTGTAGACACACTTGCCTTTCTCGTCAAATAGCTTGTTCACATTAAAAGGTGTTATAGAAGATGGTCTACCACCACAAGGGTTGAACAGGTCCGATACACATCCTCCAAGGTGGAATTCATCCCTGAATTTGTATCCATGCTTGACTTTTGTACCGTCTGGTAGTATCATATCCACTGCATCTTCTGGTACCTTGAACCCTTTTTCAGATAGTAGCGCTTCATTATAATGCATCGAGCTTGTAGCTTCGCCTTTTAGGCGATTAGCAGCTAACCTTTGTAGCTCGTTGATATCCAGACCTTCTGGGTCATGCAATACACCACTGCGGTCTATAACCGTGAGTGTCTTGGTTTTTGACCATAACAAAGCGTTGCTTCCCAAATCTCCATCTGGTCCTCCTGTCAAGAACCTAGTGACATTTTCTTCCTTGAGATCGTATTTTTTCAGTAGCTCGTGTATGTATGCTTCTATACCGGCGGTGGTCATGCCATAAGTGTCATGTGGTATCCCACCCATTTCGGGATCTTTTCCTGTTGTGAACGACCTCCAGAATTGGAATCCACGTGCTTTAGCATGGTTTGCCGCCCAGTCCATCAAATGTCCAGTTCCAGTATGTTCATCCGGTCCAAGGAAGTATATTTCTTCCTTATTGAGTCGATCTACCATTTCATTATTTGGCATCATTACGTCTATGAGCCCATCTACATAGCACATGAAGCTGCTTCTTGTGTATACATTAGCGAGTTCCTTAGTGGCAGCTTTGTCCAACAAAATGACCCCCTTGCTTCCTCCTTCAGGTATATCTTTGTTTTTAAGGCTCTGGGTATAGGAAAGGTTGTAGGCCTCATCGAATACCTGTAACTTATTCCTTGTGAAAGCTTCTTGAGAAAACGATTGTACAACCCTGATCCCTCCTCTTGATATTTCGCTGAATCTAATATGGAATCCTCTGAAGTAAGGTCCCAATATCATAACGACCCCGTATGGTGTTTGAGGGTAATCGTTTTTCGATAAGAAAGATGGGTCCAATCTGAAAGCGAGGCTGATTTTATCCGCTGCGAAGAAGTTTGTCCTCAATGTGCAATTATTGAAGGTCAAGAATAATGATAATATTTTCGTGTGTTTCTGATCATCCAATGTTTTTATCATTTCCTTGAGCGCCGAATTGTCATGATCCGTGTTGATACCGTAAGCATTGAGTAGTGGGCAGTGGAGTACACAGAAATGTCTGTATAGCATTTTGACCATATCGTAGTTTGCTTTAACGGCATTGAAAATTTGGTCAGGTAGGTATGGCGGTATCATAAGTTTTGACCTAATATCATATAGTTCCGAGGGTGTAATTTGTTCTTTTGCTGTTAATCGTTCAATTAGTGCCACATGTGGTCCTACACTTCCACTGAAATGTTCCACGAAAATGGAAGCACAGAATGCATATGCCATTTCATGTACCTCCAGAAGCCTTTCATTTAATATGCCTAGGTAATGTGAATGTGGCAGTACGCCGCATAACCTTACTCCGGCAAGAATTGAGTGTACCCTGTCTTCTAGTGACAAATCTGGATTGGCTACTTCCGTTGATGGTAGCGTTGTTATGAATGCCGTTAGAATGCATACATTGTTGGATAGTGGATCTATATACTTTGACTTTGAATAGCATCCATTATATGTGATGCAATCTCCAATTCTTGAATAGAAGTCGTTTTGTATATTTTCCCTTTTGAATGCTACATCTATGCGGTATGTATTGAATTCCCTAGGTTCTCCCGAGATAGCAATGCCAAGTCCCGTATCCGATTCTACCAATTGTTTATTTAATTTGTAGAATATATCTTCCGTGATTGTATTTTTTTTGTTTTTATAGAAGTCGCGATCGAGTAATTTGCTAAGTCTCAATTCTCCTGGTTCCGGATTGGTAACTGTGAAGTTTGGCAATTGCAAGAAGTATATGCGTAACCTTTCGAATAGATTATCGGGGTCATCGAATATAGAATTTGTTGATCTAAAGCATTGCATTCTCCATACTGGTTTTGTCATATCTCCAAAATTGAGGTATCTTTGTTCTACACTTCTTTCAACGGCATATATTTGTGATATTTTTTGGTTTAACAAAGAGGCCCTTGTAATAATGAAAACCCTTCCATCATGTACCTGTTCGATGAGTGGGAAATAATCCGATCCGGAATTTTCGTGCAAGATTTTAGCGGTTAATACGGATACCATGTTATTTGCAATCATTTTAGCGTTTGAGGTACTGAAGTAGTATTCATTCAAACCTAACCTGTTATAGTATTGGTCCATGGTTTGGTTGATCATATCATCACTGAATGTCTTGAGGTCCTTTACTATTCCGTATACTTCCCGGAACTGTTGCGCGTATCTATCGCTAAGCGGAACATCTTCTCTATCTCCGCTATCCGGTACTCCTGAGAGTCCGTCGTCGTGTAAATAATTGTCCAGATTATCGTCGATCGCCATCTTTATAGAAATATTGGTTGATGGTCTGGCCTTCTACGTTGGTGTGCCATGTCGGGTGTCAGGCGTCCTCGGAGCGCACTTTGGCTAGTGTTGATAGTGGTGTATAATATTATACAGTTATATACGGCCACTGATGTTCCCAGGCTGCATTAAAGTTCGGGAGAGACACCCCCATTCCACGGGTAGTTTTGCACATGTTAGTGCTCTGATAGCGGGGAGTATTCTTTTGTTGGTATATTTTCTGGATTATAATTTTACTAATTAAATATTGGTGTCCATGTGTAGAATTTTTTTATAAATCTAAACTTTTTTATATATTTGCTATCGAACCGATACCTTTTTTTTCATGTGTTGAAGATTCGTCGTGGTACATGGATGTTTTACGCCTCAGGTGCTATTGATACATCATCGTCTATCTATATCGTCGTCCGTATCGCTCCTCATCGCGTATTGTGTATATTTTCTTCATGGCGTGTGGCGCACGGGTTGAGTCCTCCATTAGTATTGCCATATTTTTCATGAACTTGGGTGTGTATGAGTGACACGTGTTATGCGTATCTAATATTTCGCAATGTGCAAGGTAGACTATTAATAAATTGTTGATGTTAGGGGCATTTTAAAAACTATTGTAATAGACATAATTATTTCGGTATAAAAGCGCGGTAATAGCAAAAATAACAGTAATCAATTGGGCTATAGCGATTCCAAAGTAACACCTGCCGCTTCATTGCGACTACCTTATTCCATGAAAGAGTAATGATAGGGAGCCTTGATAAAAGTATAAATTCCGTTATAAATTGTTATAAAGTTTTTAAAAAATAATGTATATTAATATAATGTCGTATTGGCCTGTAGATGTTAGTCTATAATGTGATAGTTGCACATTGCCATAAGTCAAGTCTCTCGTGTTTACTATGACGCTGGTATAGTTTCCAGCGAGTTAACCGTCAAGTTTTATCCAATTAAAGTGTTATAGTGATATACATTTTAGGTTGGTATAAGCGGTTGGTGGCGGCAGTGTTATCCTATCAAGGTTACGTACGGGGATATATGCTGATGGTACTGCTAAAATGGATTTCTTACCTTCACACCTTATGACGGTACCCGTACCGTGTGCAGCCCTAGCAATAGATGCTGATGAATATGAGAAATTAAGGGAGTACATGTTGGTCGCCGGGCGTGCCAATAATAACAACCATAATAGGTTGAATGTTATCGTATTAGATGGTTTCAGTGGCAGTGATGGTAACACTGAACCTGTTCAGTGGGAACCAGATATCCCTAGTCATTCAGATTGGGTCTTCCTCCAGAGGAGGATGCCGCCTGTTATAGTCTGTGTCAGGGATTGGCAGCATTATGTAGTAGATTCATCTTGGGCAGCTACTGCTGGAGACGATGTTGGTGGTGAATCAAATGATAGTGTTGATTTCCAAGATGAAGATCCTCACGGTCAAACAAGTGTACATCGTGGCGACTCTGGTGAAGCGCAAATAATAAGAGGTGATATGAAGCAGCTTGCAGACCTTATAAAGTCAGATGTTGAACGTTGTCTCGGTGCATATAGACGTAACCTTTTAGATAAAAGGCCGGTAGCGGGGAAAATCATGTTCCTTATTGTCTTACGTGAGGGTACTAAAAATGCACAAAAGGCTGTTAATAGTTTAAAGAACCTCAATGCAAATGAAGTTGCAGCGGTATGTGTTACCAGTGGAGAGTTGGATATAGCCAATAAGGTGGGCAAGTTGGAGCAGCTTATGTACGACCATAGTATCGCATACTACGAAAGGCGTAGTTACCTATTATCAAAAACATTGTCAAAAGTTAAACCAAGTGCAGGGGCGACTGTCGATGAGACTTCTGAGATTAATGCGGCGATGACCAACTTTAAATTGGCATACTTTCAACAATTCACTGGGAATTTTAAAGATAGTGCCCAGACATTAGTACAGGCATGGTCTCACATAGTCCCAGCGGCAACAGCCAACCCGTCATCAGATTATGCCAGTGTTGCGCTATACATTGCTCTGCAACTTATCGGTGTCCATTTTGCTTGTTCTAATATTGTCGATGCACTTACAAGTGCATTTGAGGCTGGAGCGTTCTTCAAGCGTGTCCTCTACTCAGACCCGCAGATATTGCTATACCACAACCTGTGCTACTTGCTATATCACTCTGTGGCGCTACACCTGGAGAAGGCCGTAGACTACAAGGAGATTAAGGCTAATGATCACCTACGACATCATGCAGTTAACTTTGCAAAATGGGCTATTCAACATCTAATCAAAATGAGAATAGCAATCATGTCAAATGAGCATACTAATGAGCCAGAGAGGTCTTTCGCTACCCTATTGATGCGTGGTGATGATGATTTTTCGCATCTTTATTCATCGGTAGCCTCGGAATGTACCAACCAGACTGTGAAACAGCGGCTACATAAACTGGAATCTATTACCGAAGAGCTGTTAGTGCGGCTAATGGACATGTTATCAACATGGAGCTGGTACAATACTTTGGTTGAGGTTACCGAGTTGTTGGGAGATTCTTTATTACTCTCGGGTAATTTGAAGCAAGCTTGTTTTATTTACTCCAACATTGGTGATGCGTTAGTGAATTCTACAACCCTTGAAGCAGAGTATCTGTTAAAGAGTTGCACTTCACCTGTTATATCTGAGGCATTAAAACACAGTACAACTTCAAGGTCGACCCAGACTGCAGACAGCCCCGTATCCAAGGAGCACAGGCTGCAACCTAATTTCCCTAAATCAGCTACTGTGATGATATTAGCCGAACATGGGCATGCTAAGATCTGGTTTCCCATATATAAAAGGATATTGACAAAAATGATGATGACTATTAACATGATGTTGGATTTCCCGGTAGATATACCCGTGTCACTATTACTTGAAGCTGATATCCCTTCTGTAGTATGTGATGATCAGGTAATATCGGCATCTTCGAGTTCTTGTATGGCCACTGGTACACGTGACTATGCATTGATTTTACTTAAATCATTGCTGACTTTATATTCGATTACCAATGTGGTCCTTGATTTCGATTCTTTATGTTCAAGGTTGGTATCGGGAATTTTAGATACGGATATTGTCAGCTCGATACTGTTGAGTAAGAACCACACGCCGTTTTATGTCCTCGGGCAGGAAGAAAAGAATGATAATATGGTAGCTACGAAATTACAAGTGGTTATCACGTTCCATGTTGACCTTCCATTTTCCATAGAGGTGAACCGGGTGACCATCTGTACTTCCATTGGTACTTTTGTGTTCGACATATCGTATTCCGAGTGCCATGATGGTCATGTTGAAATATACTTCAACCCATGCACGGGTATGGAGAGTGACTTGAGCAAAGATATAGATACACCAAGTGATGACGATGTTAATACTGTGATTGTTGAAGATACGTTATCATATCCCAATTTGGGTAGTAATAAGGTGCTGATTGATGGCCATCGTCGTGTGATATTGGCAATAACGTTCCCTCCTATAAACAACAAGTTTATGATTGACAGTTTCAGTTTACTTGGTGTAAGGTTGCATTGGACTAAAGTGATGTGTGATGGCACTTTAGTGGACATAGCATGTATAATTCCGTCATTGGTTAAGGTTCCACGAAGAAACGCTTGTACCGAAGACCCTTTATTCATAGGTGATGATACATCCGGTACTTTTCGGTTACTGGACTACGTGGAGAACGTGGGTTCGTCTCGATCGACGCTTAAAGCTGATGACATTTTGCAAATGACAATGGTTGGGTCTGTGGACCCCGAGCTTCACAGTACCATGGCCGAGACCATCTTAGAGCTTACAAAACCTACTCATATGGGTTTCAACATATCAGAGTTGACACCATCTGACGGTGCGTCTGTGTCCTATGTGCGTGGTGCTTATCGTATGTTTGTGAATCGTATTTACTTTAAGGTATTTTTGGGTAACATAGTCGAGGGTCATGTTGCCCCTGTATCCTGTGTGTTATTGTTTAATAAGCAGATTCTTGGCGCTGATACTTTGGGTAGGATCAAGTTTTCTGTGGAGGTAACTTCTACAGCGAGTTCCCATATTTACTATGCTTTATGTCGTGATGAAGATGGTAAAACTGGTGTAATGCGTCAATGTCTGAACAACAAGATCTGCTTTACGTTGACCGAATTTGCAGATTCTGAAAATTTTGAAGTTGACCCTCAATTAGAATCTCAGAGTGTTTCTGAGAATGAGACTGTGGTACCAACCCTGTTTGCTGAGAACCATAAGGTCAACTGTAGTATAAATGAGGATATGAGAAGTTTCCTTGATTTGGTAAAACGTGATGACAATACTGGTGTTGTGTACATATATGGTTTGTTGAAAGTGCTCTCTCATGGTCCCACGAATATCCAATTCAGCTTACAAATGCAACCTATGTTAGGTCATACATTAAAGGCTGTAGAATCTAAGCTCCTTGTTGTGACCGATGTCACTGAGACTTTTGTACATGAGCCTATAAGTATGGATTTAAATCATGAGCAGGTTTATAACAACACTTTTGGTGGTTTCCTCAGGCTGCTTAATATGTACCTATCTAATAGGAGTCCGCTTGATTATGAAATTCATAATGTGAGGGTGTTATACGACGGGGCCATTGCGGCTTCAAATGATCAGTTATATGGATTCTGTAACCATCTGGATCGACAGAAGAGTATACAATTTATGCACATGTTCGCTGGTAACGACAACTGTGGTAGTGCTGTGGAAGTACAATGTGTCCACTCTGTAGTTCACCCGGATGCGTTTCCCTTTGACAGGCTACGGCCGTCTTTCCAGAACCTTATAACGGTAGGTCTATATACATGGTGACTGTCAAACTTCCCGTAGAAGGGTTTAACTCTGGAACATGTGGATGAGAAGACAGAAGTGTCTATCGCTGTGAAACATCAGAGTACCGTGAATTTAGGCGAACCGTTCACATTGGTTGCGGATATCCATAACACGACGTGTCATACTTTGGTAAGTTTCCAAAATTATATTTTGTGTATAGTGTATGTGTGTGTGTGTTCGGGGGTGGAGACATGTTTTGTGCAACTCCTTCTAACTTAATCATATATTATTACAGGACTACAGCGTGACACTGTCGAGGAAGGATCCCGTAAATGTCAATTTCATGATATCAGGACCACACACGACCGAGGTGATGGCCCTACCAATGTCGGTCCACCGAGTGCAATGGGTTCTTTTGGCCAACGTGTGAGTTTAAAGTGCACGTATGAGTATATATGTCCCAGGTGCGGCCACCAGAGGTTGCCGGAAGTGCATGTGATACAGCGTCGAAAAATGACACTATCCTGCGAGACATTTTCATCGGTACCGTCGATTGTGTACATCGTGCCTCAGCCGTTAGAAGCTGTGGATTACCTAGATTAACATGGTTTAATATAATATTTTGGCACTTTGGGGGTTAATCATGACGTTGACACGTGTTCCAGAGGTACCACACACAGATGAGTCAGTGACCCTTTATCCGGTGTCCCATTAGTGCTTTGGGTTATCGTTCACGGTATATGCGGCGTTTTTTATAGATCCTTGACGACACTTAGGTACCAAATGCCCCAGGTGGCAGATACACGTGGGAAGGCAGACAGGTTATGCCGCACACACTCACACACACAGTGCACGATAACCTTCAACAATATTATATACTGCACTTTTTTACATAGTAGTATCATTGTGCGTCTCAACAACGTACAGAATATATTTTACGAGTATAACTCTGTGATACCTGCAAGTTGTAGCTCGTGGATTATTATTTTTTGATTCTATACAGCTCGAACGCCAACAAATCAAAATGAGCGCTTTCAACAAGGCTACCGGTATTTACAGCGCCAAACTCGGCCTGTACATGTACGCCATCGCCATGCAAATGGTTATTGGCTACTTCCTGTTGCTATGCTCCCCTAACAAGTTGAACGTCGGCGGTATCGTCAGAGCCCGCACCATTCAAGACTTCAAGGATATCGGCTTCGATATTATGCAAGGTGCCGGTGTTGTACACATCTTGTTGTCAATCATTACCTTCGCCCTTCTCATTTTGGCTCACTTCGTTACCTCATGCTTCAAACTACCCATGCTTGTTGTCACCATCGTTCAAACCGCCTACTGCTCAATGACCGCTGGATTCTGCGCCCTCTACCTGCAACGTGGTTACGACAGCATCACTAACATCATTAAAGTTGTTGCCAAGAAGGTTGTTGAAGGTTACGACCCCAAATTGAACGAATTGTTGGTTGACAACCGTAATGCATTGTTCGCCATTGGTATGCTTGCGGTGCTTGCTACCTCCTTCTTGCACAAGGCACAAGTAGTCAAGGGAACCGACTCACCCACTCAAGTTATGATTGTCATTCCTTGCATCAGCCTCGGTCTAGCTGTTTCTTTCGGTCTCTCTGCCCCTTGCAGGGACTACAGGACATTCACTCTTGGTTTCTTCTGGGCCCTGGTCTGCATTTCTGGTGATGTTATCAGCTCGGTTAGCAGGTTCTTCTGCTTCAAACCATTCAAGATCTTGATGTTGGCTGTCTACGCATCGATTGTTCTTTTGTCGGTGATCACCATTGGTGTATGCACTAAGGTATACACTAGCGGAAGAATCGACTACTCTGGTTACTTGGATGTTGTACACGGTACCATCAAGCAGCTTGCCGACAGAACAAACGAGCACGTTAAGTACGACAATGTTGATTCCTACATCAAGAAGATCACCGAGAACTACCCCTAGTCATTCAGATTGGGTCTTCTGCAGTGTCCGTAGTGATAATCTCCTGAGGAACTTAACGTATACATGGGCAACGGTGTCTACTTGCTAGTCGTTGTTCTTCTTTCTATCGTCTGCCTCATGTTCGCCATTCTCGCTCTTTTCTACTCTCTATTCAGATTCTTCGACAGGTCACGTGACTCTGACGAAGGAAACGTTAAATCTGACAATATCAAGGTTGTCCTCTCCTAAAAATAATAAACTAATACATAATAATATTATGTCGTGTTAGTGTGTGTGTAGTACAAACCTTGTGATACAGGCAGTCACAAAAAATGAGTGACGAAATCAATGGAAATGAAATATTTACAATAGGAAAACACAAAGGTAGATCCTTTGAAGATGTACTCCAAAATGAACCGGGATATGTGTGCTGGGCTCGACAGATTGAAACGCCGCGAGGGCAAATTATGCAATTCTGCAATTTTCTTAAAACAAAAGGAATAGAACCATACACAAATAATGATTTTAACACAGCAGGTAAGTAGATATCTACAATTAATCATCATATCGACACAGCAGCACATACAAAGTCACCCTCAAATAAAACAGAAGATAAATATAATGCTTTGCCACAACCTACAGCTTCGAATATTCAACGAAATGAACCTGAAACGAGGTCATATCACAATAAGAATACCACAGCAAGAGAAATATCACTCGGTGAGACACTCAACGCAAAGTGGCGCAGACTTACAGAAAAACGACAACAGGATAACGAAGAAAAAAATGAAGATGGATATCCAAATAAAAGACCAGTGACACAATCGCATGAACAAGATGTCACATATGATGATTATATGGATCTGAAACACTTGCTAGGGGTCACAATCAAAGCAAAACCAAACGTATATCCAAGACCATCTTCAGGGTCATCTACAGATGATGATGAAGGAGGTGGAGGCGGTGGAAGATCGTCAGGACGAGCATCGACACAGCACTCACAAGAACCAACAATAACATCCGTGTTCAATATGCTGGAACAGAATAATCGCAATCGCAGGGAAAACGGACAAACTAATATCGAGAAATTCGAGACCAAGACACACACAAGGAGTGCTAAAAACGATAATACATGGCCAGAACATCCAGTCATCAGCATGATGAACGGCTATGCCAGTAACGATACAACAGATGTGACTACGCGAGATTCAGCGAAAATACAAAGAAACGACGTTATAAATTCAAGAAATACAGTATCCAGCGAAACGGCGGATATAGAACGTGAATTGGATATACAAGGAGTAGTAGCGTTGGTATTGCATTCAGAAAATGCATTCCATGTCGCATACCAAAAAGGTACGAGCAATAACCCAAGCATGTGGAAACACATACTGCCACCGCAGTTGTTTAATTATCTAACAGCATTAAATTGTGGATTGAAAGTTGCAAGGGGAAATAAAGAAACTTATATAGTATTCCCAGCACAAAGTTATGGGACGGTGCTTAAGGGGTTAAGAAAAGTAATAAATAAAACACAATGTGCGGTAGATCCGATACCAAATTTCATACTCAAAACGTTCCCAGCGTTCAATCAGTTCGCAAGAAATGTCAACCTACCACAAAAAACACAAGATATCATAGCAGGACAGGTATGCGAATACACACGCAAAAATATGGAAAAGATACCTGAAATTGTTGGACAATCGTTATATACACAATTAAAACCGTTCCAATGTGAAGGGCTGAATTTTGGGATAAGAAAAAATGGAAGGGTTCTGATAGGCGATGAAATGGGTCTAGGAAAGACACTACAAGCTTTGGCAATTTCAGCATTCTATTGGATAGATTGGCCGCTGCTCATTGTATGCCCATCGTCATTAAGGTTCCAGTGGAGAGATGAATGTATCAAATGGTTGCCGCATCTAATCAATGAATATGATGTATGTACCGTAAAAAATGGGAAAATGGCAATACCAGATCATACAAAAGTGGTCATCATATCATACGATCTTTATGTACTCAACCAACACTTTAGACATAAATTTAGAACCGTTATATGCGACGAATCGCATTATCTAAAAAATCAACATGCGAAAAGAACAAAATGTCTAGCACCACTACTCAAGGAAGCCGAAAGAACAATACTACTATCAGGAACACCCTCACTCAACTCACCATCGGAACTATTCGAACAAATTTCATGCCTTATGCCAGCATTCTGCTCAGAGAATACTTTTATTGAACGATACTGTCAGAAAAAACTTAACTGGTATAGTAAACGCATGACGTACTCAGGGTCACAACACTCATCGGAACTACACCTGTTCCTAGTGAGAACTGTCATGATAAGACGGCTGAAGGAAAATGTGCTACACGAACTACCACCCAAAATTAGGTCAAAAGTACCCATTGAGCTACCAAAAGCGTTCCTACGTGAATCGAAGCAGTATATGGAAAATCTAGAACAGGCAGGAGTATCAGAAGATGATCAGTTCTTAGCATCGTCACAAGCGATGTTCAAACTTACAGGAGAAGCGAAGATAAACGGTATACGTGAATACCTTGTACACATGTTAAAAACTGATATCAAGTTTATAGTTTTCGCTCATCATCTAGCAGTGATGGACGCCATTGAGGACACTTTGCAGCAGCAAAAGACAAAGTATATACGCATAGACGGAAATACACAACAAGCCAAGAGAGAGGAAAATGTCAACTGCTTCCAAAACGATACGCAGTACAAAGTCGCACTACTCTCAATAACAGCTTGTGGAGTAGGACTCAACCTAACGGCGTCCTCCACTGTGGTGTTCGCAGAACTGCATTGGGTACCGGGACAAATGATACAGGCAGAAGATAGAGCACACCGTATGGGAACGAAACATAGGGTCATCAATGTATACTACCTGATTGCAGAAAACTCAGTGGACGAGACTATGTGGAGGACAGTCAATCGCAAATGGGAAGCTGTAACGGCAACCCTCAATGGAGAAACGTCACACCTGACGCTCACCAAGGAATCCGAAAGGGCCAAAGTTAACGAATTGAGTAAACAATATAAAATCACGGATATTATGAATTAATTCTACCTGTTTCGGTTATATGTACTAAATGTGACGAAAATCAATGCAGCAGCTGTCAACCTCTGGTACCCGGCACTATTGACTGGCCGATGCCCATCAAACGGCGGAACGGAGGAGGCCTTGAGGATACCAACTCCAAAGGCAAAACCTCATGTATATTATCAAAGGTAAGCTTAGAAACGTCAACACCCAAACGATCAAGCATATGTAAGAAACGCTTATTACGCTTCAACTTAGACAACTTCACATGAGCGTCACGGATACGACGGTTCATGCTACGACGGTCTTCACCTACACCAGCAGCATCGATACCCTCTGGGTAATAAGTGTACGGAGTGACCTTAGGACGCGGTTTACCATCACGCAATAAAGTGGCCATCTCCTCCATGTGCTCATCCTCACCAGTAGCACATTGATACTTAGAAACTAACTCAGCAGGAAGAACCTTACGAGCAAGACGCGATAAAGCACGACGACTGTTGCCAGATTTAACTATACCCTTTAAAATAGATCGAATCTTTTTCAAATCTTCAGGGGTACCAAATTCAAAATCGTCATCAGAAAAATCACTAGGCATAAAGTCAACGGGAACGTCACTAGAACCCTCATATTCATCACTATCAACTAACTCTTCACTATCTTCAGAACTTTCAGAGGACCCTGGGTCATCCACAGAAGATTTAGCAGACCAAGGCACTTGACGTGGTGGGAACTTAGTCATAAGGTAGAGACGGGTTATAGGGTCCAAGTGACGCTGCCGGCTACGACGCAGATGACGATTTATTCGACGAGTATCACGACTCTCTAATGGCTTAGGAACGGTCTCAGTCGCCGTTGAAGAACCTGGGTCCGATACATCACCCGTTATAGCCCGCACTTCACTGAATATATCACGAACGTAATCATCCATAGTTGGAGGGTTGTAGTAGTTGTATACAGGCTCAAGTGGGCCCTTGGGAACCACTTGTGAAGGTTTGGGAGACGATGGATACCCAGAAGGGTCCTCGGAGGGAGATACGTCCGAAAGTGATGATGCAGCAGCCGAAGATCCACACTTTGGAAAAATATTTTCAGCAATATCCTTGAAATCCTCCACGTCAGAATCGTCACTTCCAGAATCGTAACTATCAGTATCACAATCGTCACTGTAACCACTTTCGGACATTAACCCTTCCTCATCAAAATTCAATGGTTCCGACGATTCGGAATCACTGGAGTGGCCCGTATCGGACTCGGTATCGAGCAAAAACTGTTCATCTTCATCATCAAATGTAGGCGACGAAAAATTATTATCGCTACTAGCCCCCGGTGTTGAATCAACGTATTCATCCACATTGGGTAACGCGGGGATGGCATCGCCAGCAGCCGATGACACCAGACTATCGGCAGGGTCCAAATCGGCATCTTGAGGTTCACCTAAGGCACCACGAGCTAATGTAGCCAAATCAGATGGAGTAGCGGCACCGTCAGCATACAACCGATCTAAGCGTGTGGTCCATTGAGAAACGTCGTCGTTAGTCATAGCACAGGCACCAAGAAGAGCAGATTGGTCATCATCTACCAGTTTAGGAGAATGATCGAATGGGTTGAAATCGGAAGCACCACGGATCATTGCTGCTAACTCAGATGCATCACTGTCGTTATACGATTCCAACTCTGATATAACTGAGTCGGCGTAAGACGTTGTAACAGGCTCAGCTTCTGTGGACACTAGAGAAGCCGGGACTATATCTTCTACATCTTCAATAGTAGAATAACGCGGCTCGCTATCCTTATTCTGACTCAGACTACTTGGAGCAGAGTGAAAACGCTCCCATAGAGACTCGATGATCTCACCACGACGCTCGGGACTACAGAGATCATCTGGCATGGCACCCTTAAAATTATAACTCTCACCCTGTACATCACGTAACGCAGATTGAACCTCGCCAGTTAACTTTCTAAAGTAGGCACTAGGGTTAGATTCGTCGAAACGAGTATAGACACGACTCTCCCAAACACCAGGGCTACCATATTTGTAAACAGTACGCTCCATAGGAGGCGGCTCGATAGCCTCGTTGTTTAATTGAGCGATCTCCATCGCAATCTCATTGTACTTATTTGTTGCTTGACGCAGCTGCCAATCAGACATATTATCAGCGTCATCAAACAGAGTTGCTCTATAACGTTCAAGCTCCTCACGACGCTTACGGTTCTCAAGATATTTCACATAAGCAGTAGAGGCGTTACGATCACAACCCAAATAATCCAAAAGATCATCATAACCACCAATCATACGCATACGATCGAAATCATGCGATTTTAGACGATCAACAAAGGATTCATGAGGAACGGGACTATAGGTAGCCTGCTGTTCAGGGGTCTCCTGACCTGTGATACAACGCTTCTCCATATCCTCAACTAATGAATTCTCACTTAACTGGATACGGTTCTTCACCAAATCAACACTCTTAATATACAAAGCAGGAACCATAGTACCTATACGAAAAGGCTGACGTCTAACACCGGTATATTTACGAGACAACTTACGGTCATTCACGTGGAGGAAACCGTCAACAGTAGCACCAATGTCAATATAGTATCCCAAAGGGGACCTTCGACGAATGACACCAGATACAACCTCTTCAACACGAAATGAATGCAGTGGACGACGGGTAATCGGCTCACCTGTTGCACTCTCCAATTTAGGGAGGTCTAACAACGATAGACGAATAAAACGACCATCATCATCTATAGATTTCACAATAACCACGATATCATCACCAGATGATACACTGTGATCTACACGGTCGATCCAACCCTCGCTCATATCACGCGCATGAAGAACACCGTAAGAAGTAGAACCTATATCAACAAGTGCATACGTTGGGAACGTAACTGCAACACGACCTTTCACCTTCTCTCCAATACGAAACAATACAGGATCAAGACGCCGACGGTTACGAGTTAACTTCCATTTCTGACGTAAATGAACAGGACGACCAGATGAATCGATGGAACGTTCATTAAGCAAAGTCATATCGTGGTCAACTATTGCCTTTACAACACGGTTACTCAGGTGATGGGCCATTAAAGGACACTGAGGTGGACGAGGCTCCTCAGCCTCAAAACCAACATACTCACTCTCCAACTTATCGACCTGACATTTAGTCAAAGGCCGTGACTCAGCAAGTAGTGGTCTAATGTCATGAAATGAAACTGAAGAATCTCCTAAACGTGTAAATGCAAGTACAGAGGGGTAAGATACAATATTTGACAACTGATGTGGTGACACCGTGCCGATACCAAGCAGACAGAACCAAACAAGGAGCAGCATCGCTGTCACAAGGTATTTGAATAAATAGCAAGATGTAAAAACATCACGGAAAACGTAGCTAGAATACCCACCCAAGACGCCACTCTAGGAAAAAGTCACTAAAAATGAAACCGGAGGACGCCCTTTACTTCTCATCAAGATCATAAAGAAATAAACTAGTCTTCAAGGGGTATAACCGGACGATCGACCAGGTGGATCACGCCATTGTGACATCGCATATTCCAACGTAGCACTCTCGCACCATTAATCATCGTGTAATCGCTCTTTATCCTAACGTCACCACCGTTCTCAACACTAAGCTCGCAACCGCTAAGCGCTAATAAAGTGGAAGGAGCAGCCCTAGCAGTATCAAAAGTCAGCCAAGGCTGCATTGGTGAGCCTATAATGTCACGGTGTAACCACAGGTCACGAGTAAAATGAGAACGAACAAAATCAGAAACACGCTCACCAGAAGAAGTAGACAGACGGTCTATACACTTTCTCATACCTTCACTGATCGGTATGAATCCAGTGAAGGGTCCTGGCAGTGATAATTCATGAGCTAAGCCGTAACCTAAGCGAGATAAAACCTGGGTAATGCAAAACATACCATGTGAAGTTTCAGGATCAAATAATGAACCAAATAGACGGGTAAATTTACAACTTTGACAAAGATTTAACACTGTACGACGAATATAACGATGCTCAAAACACCAATACACCTTCCTATTTATAACCTCAGGATCCTTACTCAAGTGACGAAGACGACCAGCGTTTATAGGTCGAGGACCCCAATGTAAGGGGACACGAGGGGACATAACATTAAATTCAATAGTAATATCTACTTTTACATATCATACAAACAGAAGACATGACATATTAGCCTTCCATGGGGAGATGTGTGACGCGGCATCACAGGCAATGACCAAAACATATACACACTTATGCTTAGAAAACAAAAAATCATAGGCTAAGATTATAGAAAAGAACATGTAGAATATATAGGGATAGTAGCTAGCTAAAAATAATAGCATCTACATCTAAAAGACAAACCAAATATATATACAATAGGACAGATATACCATTCAAAGCGATATCGCTGCAGTCCAAATGCTCATATCAAAGTCAATGTTCGACTAAGTACAAAAATAAAAGGTGGCAGAAAAAATAGTCAAACAAGAAGACGCTCGATATGGTCCTTAGCTTCCACAATCTGCTGGTTCATAGGAGATCCCTCACGACTAATAATAGCACAAGAAACAACAGGACGTGACACGCCACAAGCACGACCCAAAGCTATCTTGCTCTTGACAAAAATATAAGGAATGTTCTTGTCTTCACAAACCAAAGGAAGATGCAATATTATCTCTAGAGGCTCAGCATCAGCAGCCAAAACAACAATCTCAGCAAGACCACGGTTCAATGCTTTAGTAGCTGAAATTATTTGTAATCAAAATATATATAAAAAAAATACCTTCGTTCGCACCCTTCTTCAATTGCTTGTAGTTACAAGCCTGCTGAACAAGATCAAGAAGAAGGCCATTCATCTCCTCAGTAGCAAGAGGAAAAGCCTTAGAACTACTGTCTTCACTCGACATTATGTAGAAATCAGACAAAAAGTAATGGATCGGGGTTAATCGGCCTACGGCGCAAAAATAAATACCCCGTGCGATATATATACAGCAGAAATATAAGATAAAATACCGCTGCAACCAAGATCTGATGGGAAATACGCGTACACACCTGTGTAACAAGTATCACGGGGTAGCTTGGCAAAATGATACGACACAGAATAGAGGTTCAAAACAACCACGAGCTTGTAACTCAAGTAATACGCTAGATAATGTAAATTATCACACGAACAGCCGGAAATAGGTACACCGAACCAACAAAAAACGATATGACACAAAATAAAATAGAGATGGCGTACGCAGAATAAATTTTTACAAGTACAACAAGGCTAATGGAATCCCTGGGAACCCCATACCACGACTAGAACGATAAGTGCACATCAAGGTTCGACCCCTGAAGACGATATTTTCCGGGATTTTCGTTTATCGCATTCTCCAAAGCAGTTGTTAGAACGGGTAGAACGGGAAAAAACACAACGGTGTCGCAGGAATACTGGAAAACCATAACACATTCCGGACAGTAACTATTAGCGACCAATATAAAAACCCGTAAAACCCGGACAAAACTCAAAGAAATTGAGTTTATGTCAAACTATAGGTCGCTGACAAGCATAGAAACTTGTATAGAGACTAAAAAATACATATATATAGGTACAATCAGCTGCCGTAAGGAAGAAAAAGATAAACGGAGTCCCATGGATGACTATCACGGGATTGAAACAGAGGATAATACCTTCTTGTTCACATCAGAAAGTGTAAATGAAGGACATCCAGATAAAATATGCGACCAAATCGCAGATGCTATACTGGATGCCTGTCTTGAACAGGATCCAAATAGCAAGGTCGCATGTGAAGCATGCGCTGCACAAAATCTAGTCATGGTATTCGGAGAAATCACAACAAATGCTATCGTGGACTATAAAGCTGTGGTAAGACGAGTATTGACAGATATTGGATACACATCAGACGAACTAGGTAAGACAAATAAAGGATAAAAAGAGATAACAAAATAGGGTTCGATGCTTCAACGGTAGAAATCATGGTAAGACTAGCGCAACAGGCTCCAGAAATTGCCAGCGCTGTACACTTGGGAAGGAAACTTGAAGAAACTGCAGCAGGAGATCAGGGCATTATGTTCGGGTACGCATCAGATGAAACACCTGAATTAATGCCATTATCGCACTCACTTGCAACTAAACTTGGAAAAAGGTTAACAAAGGTGCGAAAATCCAAAGTTATGCCTTATCTGAGACCCGATGGGAAAACACAAATCACCGTTGAATATAAAATCGAAAAAAACGGACATCTAGAGCCCAAACGAGTGCACACCGTTCTTATTTCGACACAACACGATCCTGATGTAAGTCGTTAATTCACAAAATAAGAAGTCTGTAGATCACTATTGAAAAACTTCGAGAAGATCTCATGGAACATGTAGTCAAACAAACTATACCAGCACAGTTCCTTGATCAACACACAATATATCTACTCAACCCTTCTGGAAAGTGGGTACACGGGGGACCTTCATGTGATTCGGGGTTAACCGGAAGAAAAATCGTCGTTGATACATACGGCGGTTGGGGCGCCCATGGAGGAGGCTGCTTCTCCGGAAAAGATGCCACAAAAGTGGACAGATCAGGAGCATACTACTGCCGTTTAGTAGCAAAATCGCTAGTAGCAAACGGGTTCTGTAGAAGAGTACTGCTACAAGTGGCATACTCAATCGCTCTTGCAAACCCTTTATCGCTGCACGTCAACTCGTTCGGCACTTGTGCCGAAGGATATGATGATAACGCGCTTAAAGCAATAGTTACCAGAAACTTCGACTTCAGAGTAGGCTGCATTATCAAACAACTGGACCTCACCAGACCAATATTCTCAAGAACCAGTTGCTATGGGCATTTCGGCAGACACGGAGACGAATACACGTGGGAGCGCTGCAGGGACCTTTCGCACGAAAAGGGAGCAGTTAACCACAATTTTAAATCTCTTGGTAACTAGTCCATTGCATGGTGTGTGGCGTGATGAGTCCCACAGAGTCACGAACACAGATATAGCATAACAACATCCAGACGTTATTATAAATATATTACTATGGAAAAATCACCGGATGATATAGACCCGGATTCGGGAGTTAGATACTCCCATACAAAACATCCCGCGCATAAGTATACCCTCGCACCGGGGTTTAGAGCTAGTAATGGAGAATGCCTGGCATATTTCGCAATACTGATACATATACTCGGGATACTATATGCCATCGGATTTATACGATCGGCCAAGTACACGGAACCGGCCTGGGTAACGGGGTTCAGGAGGATTCCATACATACAACAAAACCCAATCATTACTCAAGCCGCAACTAGACATTATTGGAGAGATAGGTACAACACACATCTATTAGCAGAGACTAATGTTCTGGAAGCAAGATTAGAAAGCGGAACAAAGGATGTAATACAACAGTTCATGGATATAACAGAACAACAATCAGATGAGGAAAATATAGCCAAAATATATCTCAAACAACGCTTACACAATATTGTCAATGGAATAAGTAATGTTGGACTTGAGGAACAGCTTGGATTAAACAAGTATAACAGCTTTACAAACTTCGTAGATGATGACAACCTTATAGCACAAGTACAAACAGCGGTACGTAGATACAACGATAATGCCGCAGAAATGCATCTATTCGGAGAACCAATCGCTGTCAAGGACAACTTAGCGGTACAGGGGATACCGTATACAAACGGTACGTAGCCCTTAAATACGGGCTGACAATAGACAGGGTCTCAACTATTCACCGGATACATGCCTTCATACACTGCAAGGGCAATCGAACGACTGCAAGAAAATGGCGCAATAATCATAGGGAAGACTGTAATGGACGAATTCGGAGTGGGCAGTACCACAAAAATCGCGAAAAACCCATTCGCTAATACAAGAGTAGCAGGAGGGTCATCAGGGGGATCAGCCAGTGTAGTTGGTGGAGGGATCATCAATATAGCTATCGGCACAGATACAGGGGGATCTATACGTGTTCCAGCAGCGTTTTGTGGCTGCCTAGGATACAGACCCTCGTATGGACTCGTGAGCCGATATGGGCTTAGCGAATTGGCAGCCAAATTCGACACTGTAGGAACATGCACCAAAACAGTAAACGATGCTATTAAGGTCATTCTAGGCATGATGGAGACGTGTACAGAAGATTCGGCGGACACTGAGGCAGCAGAACAGGTAGCAGAACAGCTAAGAGAGCTGTTACACACGGAAGATAAAGTGGCATCCAGCAATCCTCTACGCGGGCAAAAAATTGCTTCGCTAGATATAGAGACACTGCAGCGTAATGGGTTACTGGAACCTGATGTAGCCGCAAATATGCGTGACGTTGAAAAAACTCTCCGAAAATTAGGAGCAGACGTCATTGCCATACCGCCACTACCACTGACGAAAGCAACGGAGACGTATCACATGTATGTCGCCGCCCAAATGGCAGGAAACCTACAAAGATTCGCTGATAAACAATATCACCCAGAAGGCGAACATCTATCTTTCGATGCTATGACGAAACAGATGGATAGAACGACCGCGGTCAGGATGCAGTGTGGTATGTTATGAGGACCAGTATATAATGCAAACAGGAATAAAACTCTTACGGGAAGGACACTCACACGAAGAACTACTCGCTAAGGCAAAGGAAGAAATAACAGAATGGATAGAAAAATATGGAGTATTCAAACAGTATCCCTTGGTACTATCACCAACCAGCGCCCATATGCCACCGTTGGTATCAACCAAGAGAGAGAAGCTCTCTGACATAATCAGGGTAAGCAATGTATGAAACAACACAAATGTAGTAGGACGATATATATTCCACATTCGCACCGATCATAGGTGCCTGTGCTATAGCGATGCCCACTGGAATGAGTAAAGATAACCTGCCGTTCAGCGCACAGTTAACCGCTGCAAGGTTCGCAGACGCTTTGCTGCTCAAAGTGGCCTCGGCGTACCGAACACATCTGCCATTTCATGGTGAAAACAACCCTTAATGAAGCATTGGTAGCATTAACATAGACTCAGTGGTGAACACTGTGAGGCATTGTTATAAAAGGTACAGAGGAGATAGAATAATGCTAATTAAATGGACTATCTTCAGAGTAATGAGGGGGTAAATGGGTGTACACACACACCACGACGTCGGTAGGTGTAGCAGTGGGCACGGTATTACCGGCGACGGCAAATCATTTGGTACAAAATACCGAAAACGAATTTAGACACTGTAAGGTGCTAGTTGCACCTTGCAGGGTTTAACTGGATTCCGCACAAAGCGACAACCAAACGGAGAAGCTTGTGCGGAGCCGCAACATCAGGGCACTGATGGTTTATGCTATACGCAGTATACATTGAATATAGTGTGATACACGTTGTTATATGACCCCAGTAGACTTGCAAAATTAGCAAAAGACAGTGATAATATACGTGCACAAGATACTGGAGACCACGTGCCCATAACAGAGGCTTATATCTAACTACAGCCATGAAGACGCCACAAAAGAACTCTTTAATTCAATAAAGATGACGGATACAGAAACACAAATAGGAACAGGTGAAGAAGCTTCGCCAAGAGATACGGGACACAATAAAAAAAGACAAGTATATGATTGCAATATATGCTTCGAAGATGTATGTGAACCTGTAGTCACGCGATGCGGACACCTGTTCTGCTGGGAATGCCTACTCACCTGGATGAATAAACCAAATGACCACTGTCCAGTTTGCCAAGCTGGCATTACCAAGGAAAATGTAATACCCCTATATGGACGTGGACAAGAAAATAAAGACCCAAGGTAAGATAATATGAACAAAATTATAATAATATAACAGAAATAAACCCACGGAACCAAGACCAACAGCTGAAAGACCGCAACCACAACAGGCACAAAATAACAGGAACAATACAGTAAGTCGAATGAACAAATAAAAATTGACAATATATGCAGCAATTTGGAGGAGTAGTGTTCTCTATGTTCGCATTCCCATTCTCCGTAGTAATGCCATTCCATTTTGGCGGATACGGGAATAATGGGTTTTTTAACTTCATGAACATGATGACAAACACAAGGCAAATGACAACAGGTTAGTTATAAACAAAAGTAAAGTAAAAAACCTTATAGAACAAAGGAGAGCACATGTAAACTCCATATTACTCATGGTAATGGGTATGCTGATAATCGCATACATAGTTATAGTCATGTAACACGGAAATAGTTCCGTGGATTGTGACCAGTCAAAGAAATAAATGTCGAGTAAACTAACAATGACGCGTATTAATAACCAAACACATTCACTGTCTATATATCGTTAATGGCCGTAGTCGCCCGGGTTACACACGACCTACACCAACACGACGACCTCATCACAAGAAAATAATATATCGCACATTTAATTAAAGTATTATTTCTAATACAAAATACACCAAACTGGTCAATAGGGGTTACTCTACAAAACCGCTTAACTAGCGGAAACTGAACCGCAGAAGTAAAAACAAACGCCAAACTAAAAAATCGAGGAACACAACAAACAATATGGCAACAGAAAGTAGAGTTTCAACCCTGCAAAAACTATTCAAATCATATTCGGTAAGTAACACAACATGCTATACAAAACAAACAGGGTGGGAAAAGCGTAATGAACTCCAGCAATGTAGACGACCTAGTCCGTGAACTTGTAGGTCAAGTAGCTGTATAAGAACAACATAATCAGGGGTTCGCACCTTCTATCAGCGAATTAAATACATTCAAGCAAAAAGTCGGAGATACATGCGGTATTGAACAACTACAAGAACTTGTAGACACACTAGAACATCCCGAAGATACAAAAGAAAACTTCCTCAAGTTCTTCAAGTTCTATGATACCAACAACAAAGGCACCGTAAGCAGACCTATGCTAGAAAAACTACTCACACATGTCGGAGAACCACTCACACAAGAAGAACTTAGCGCTTTCTTCAAAAAAACATGCGACCTAGGAGACGAAGTACCATACGAAAAACTCATCAACAAGTAAGTCAAGTACTATTTAAGAACTAATACAATGTTAGCCTTCTGATGAAGTGAATTAGTACCGAACTCTTAGAAAGAACAAAAAACATCGTTAATCTTGAATAACCTTATCTAAATCAACTATTGCCAACTCTCGTCAAAACCCATAGGTTTTACATTATACAGCTTCTTTATACCTTCCTGACGCTTTTTGGTTTTAGTCTTAGCAGCTTTAGTGGCAACGGCAGGGGATTTCTCCACATGAGATGGACTCGGAACGGGTGAAGGTTCCGTAGTAGGCTCCAAGACAGGAGCAGGTTCCGAGGCAGGGGTAGGTTCCAAGACAGGGGTTGATTTAGCCGCTGGTGTAGACTGAGGCACAACTTCCGTTTTAGTAGACATGCTATCGGGTTTGGATCCCAATGACGGGCCTTTACCCCCCGGGGAAATCTCATCCAGTCCAGGTTTCTTCTCAGACGGCTTAATCGCCGGCGTAACTTTCTCCGACGGTGAGCCAGACGATCTTGACTCTGGGTCTTTAGGTGGGAAGTCCGCAGTCGTAGATCTCACTACAGGGGGGAACCACGATTTAGCATCTGCACCTTTAGGAGAACTCTCTGGCGAAGATACTGCTGATTTAGACCTATCTTGTGGCGATAAGCCACTTCCTGGCTCATCCTTAGACGCTTTCTTAGCTGCAGGTAAAGACTGAGAATCCTTACCAGACGATGCACCCGATGGTTGAAGCGCATCGGATGGTTTTGAAATCTGTTTTTCTACCTCTTTAGTTTGAGAAATAGACCCTGGGGAACTGGCCTTTGGGACACTAGAAGTATAACCTGCATTCTGCGAATGAGTCGCTAGCTTTGATGGCGGCGCTTCAACTTTCTTAGCTTGGGGAGACTTTGATGTATCTAGAGAAGATTTTTGCGAACTCGCCTTCGTAGTTGACGGCTTTGAAGTATCCGGTGCACTACAGAAACCTGTACGATCGTTATTTAGACATCTGTTCTGGTAGTCGAACGCCCATTTCAATGTGACGCAGTACCACAATGAATTCGCCGTAATAGCAATCCAAGTCAGGAAAAAAAATGTTGCAAGAGCTTTCTGACCAAATCTCATCTTGATAGAGTTAAGATGATTTTGACTTAGCCACAGTTAGACACTAGTTCTGTCGTAATCTTGATTACCGTTCAAGGAGCAGTCCTTTTAGATGAAAATCGAATGCGGATGTATCAGAGATGATCCAACGCAAATAAACGCCAAGGTAACGTTAAATAGATAAAAAATCCGTAATATACACCAAAAGGAGACAATGCGCCTACTGCAAAAATCATACAATAGAAGCGGATGATCTTGGCGACACTCCTAAATCACGGGACAACCCGTATGATAAATTGTAAAAAAGTTATGCACTCGTAAGTTCACAGAACAGAGTTGCAAATGAATGAAAACCCACAATAAGGTCGAGTATATGAAAAATCAGTATCAGAGGAATGATACACGCCAATCAGAAACACTGTAATGCAACGACCACGTTGTTACAGTGTAACGACAGCTCTAATCTACTATTTGCTACTGTAAATCACCCAAATGGTGCTATCACACTATATGAAACACCTTAGGTCCAAATATCTATAAGTGACCAAGACGCCGAACATGATCTTCCGTCAACCTGTGGGTGGAGACGTAAAGGACGACGTGGCGAATATCAGGTATATTCCTGATCCATACTTATTACTCGTGGGGAAACGAAATCGCATATAGAGTTGCAGAGACAACACGCAAAACGCATCTATCAGGCATCGAACGATGCCAACAAATGGCCCCCGTGCGACATCCAAGAGACGCAAGAATACAACTGCAAATACTATCTATACATCAGAAAACATAAATAGGCGACCACTAAAGTGATTTAATGCGCGTTAGCGTAATGATACATTAACAGGTAAAGTTTAGAGCCGCTAATGCTTCCAGAACTGAGGGTGGCCTAAAAGGTGAGAATAGTGAGGATCAATCGCATTCAACAGAATTGCTCGGCGTGCCACACGGCTTTGCAAAGACTCAAGCATATGAGACAGAGATGAAGAGACGTCGCTGGCGGCAGCATCTGGACTCAACGTTTCAAGAACCGATTCACAATCGACACATTTCAGTAATCCCATAAGCTCAACATGTTGACGCTCATGCAGCAAGAGTTTTGCATCCCCTTCTGTTGTTATGGAGTCGCGAACCTTATCCTCCCATGGGTGGAAAAAAGGATCGGCCAGTTCACCGCGCTCCTCCAGTTGGCGAATACGTAAATCCAACCAGTTCTCGAAAGATATGTATTCACATATCAGCCATCGAAATGCATCACTTCGACCCGAGTCAAACACATAGCGAATGTCGGCCTTTTGCGACGAGTTGAGCGCGACGGAAATCCTCTGGGCGTTACTCATCGTATTCGGAAGTAGGCGACAAAACTCCGTGTAGTAGTAACATAACGATAGCGGGGGTAAAAACACATGGCGTAGCTCCTTTAGAACTTTAAGCTCATGGTTGATTGTATCGATATTGGCATCCACGTTGCCGGAGTCCGTACTCACAGACATCTCATGATGTAACCAGTCAATTAGACAATAGGGTGATGCCACCAAATTTGCTTTTGACAAAACAGACGCACGATTATTACGCCCAAAACGACTTACAAGGTCGACACCCTGCAGACTTCCATACCAATTGCGCATTGAGAACCGAGATGATGGGCCAACCTTTAATGCGATCTCAGATGCAACTACCAGCATGAAAAGGTTAGCAAGGTCAGATTCGGTATCCAGCTCATCAGGAGAGTCACATGACGAGACGTAGGAATCCGTTATGATAGTCTGCCGAGATCGAAGGCAACCATTCAACATCCGGCTCCTTAATAACCCAGAGAACGGATGGCACGTTACACCAGTTTCACCCTTTAACAAAGAGTCATATGCCTCAGTCATAAGCGATAACTCGTGGATCCAATCACTAGACCGGCCTGCAGCTTCGTATGACAACTTTCGCTCCAAAAGGCCACGCAAAAGGCACTTTAGACGTAAGTAGTGAACGATGTAGGGATCCTTGGATGTAAGCACTGGGCTCACATAACGGTTCTCGAGTTTCTGCATACCAATGGCTACACGACCTATCTGAAACGGATTAACACGTATCGTACGTGATGCTGATGTGTCACGGCACCCATGTTCACGTAGATGAGCCGCGAAGTAACCGTCGTAGCATTTCTCACCTCGGAAATATACAGCCGAAGCAGTAGAGATGCCGGGAATATTGCAACTTGCCCGAACCGCATCACGCAAATCGACGTTGTCATGGAACTGCGATATCTGCCTTCCCTCGTATTTTATATGGCGACGGACTGCCATAGCAACGCGCAGTTCACCTATGCGATTATTCACCGCGAGGTAAGTACCAGGCAGCATCCATTGTTCCATCGAACTTTTCACGAGATCGTCAAGTCGGTGAAATGAACCATTAACATGCACATCTTCGCACATATCCTCGGTGATGAGCATTAGCTCTACAAGGTCCGGCTTCATACTTGTTGCAGCAATGACGCTCAAAGTACCCGCAGATCCACCGGCCAATGGTGTGGTCATATTGATAATGTTCAATTCACTCAGCAAGCTCAGAACTCCCAAATGATATGGAACCATACAACCACAAGGAGCAAACGAGAACCCTATGTCCGCTACCGTCCTACCGACCCGATCAAGTAAAGATGCATCAACGTGATGAACCTTGTTGAATATCTCTTCTAGAGTCATTGAGTTGGAGGATCCCGTATCATCATCTATTTGCAAGTAACCCCAAGATGAGTAGTCCGCGAGCATATCGCGGACATATTGTAGAGCGAGACCGCGGCGTCCCAGGAATAAATCCAACTGTACACAACGGTCTTCTACAGGACCCAAGTCAATGCTGTTGCCCCGTGTAATACATAATAACACTTGGTATACCGAGTCAACCAACGATGAGAATAACAAATGCACAGAAGGAGCATTGGTTGATACATAGTCAGGGTTGCCATCAGGAGTAGCCAGACGAATTTCAAATGGACTATTGTATGCCCTAAATCTCGATCTGTATGAACGTTTGGTATTATCTTCGGTATTTTGTTTTGAATTCTCGGGTCTCGAGTCCACATCGTCGGGTCGTGAAACCTTAGCCTTGCAACGTATGTGCCGTACAAGGTCCATTGCCTGCCGGAGACGATAATCCAGCTCAAGGGTAGACTCATCGAACCGTTCGACAGGGGTCCCATGTTCTTCCAAAAAATTGCGTACTCGATCTACGTTGAAGTGGCGTATTAAATTGGAACGGTCACTTTGGTGACTGAAACTAGTTATGAAGATACGAGGACATATCCAAGATGATGATGAGGCATCCAAATATCGATATCTTCTCCTAGTACGTGCTCCTACACCTCCAGATGGAGGTACCCGGCTGAAGAGTTTTGTCAGCGCCTCCTCTACTTCCTTGTTAACCAGATGGTCATGAGGCCATCCATCGCTTATGACACCATACACATTGGCATGGTTATAGTTGACAAAGCCACGCCGCACCTTCATGCTAACAGAGCTTTTTTCCACCGACATCTTGCAACAATGTAGAGTCAGACAACGAAGTGGCGACTTATCCACAGTTACAAGGTCAGCGACAAAAGGTATTATTAAGGATCGCGTGGCATTTAGAAAATGACGCCTATTTATGACGTGAGCAACACTCAAGAGCTTACCTTTAGACATGACAGAGATGGCACCCCGACGCAAGTGTTACGCGCGGCCAAAGGAGACCAAAATCAAAAAAGAACGCAATCTTCAATGATTATTTAAAGTGATGTTAAATGTTGAATTGATACGTTGACCAGAAGCACTAATGGGTGTGCGAAGAATCAATGTGGATCGGCGCAAAGCGCCAGTGCCAAAGCACCGAAACTTCTATCCATTGAAATTCGTGTTCGCACGCCGCTCGCATGCCACAAAACTGCGGTACGGCAGATAAGTGCTATGTCGCAAGGACGTAGCTCCATGATCCTTGCGTTTACGGACCACGATGGCCATAACTCGTTGAATCGTTCCAAAAGTGAACCTCGATGCCTTAGGTACAACTCGAAACAACGCTTTACAACTTCCTTTCCAAATGTGGGCCATTCCATCAAAAAACTAAGCTGGAACAAACAAACCTGTTACCACATTAATCCAATAGTATGACTATAACCTACCTCACGTAAACGCTCTGGTATACGACCGGTCTCGGTACAAGTAAACACAAATAGCACTGTGTAACTCATATTCCACTCCCATTGGGCACGGAATCGTGATAGTCCCGCGCACAGAGAGTATAGCAAGCTACGCATACAACCACTGTCATCTGATAGACATTCGGTGTTTTCAAATACAACCACGCAACGTGGTATAGAAGAGACGAAACCTGATACAAATTGCTTTAAAAAATCAGGTTCTTACCTTTATGTGAATAACCGAAAGCGAATTGCCGCTCTAATGACGAAAAAAACTGGTGTACCAACTTCTCACTTAAACCCACTTGAGGACGTAAAAAGTCTGTCACATTGGATAGTATCAAAGTGCTGCGTAGCTCGTGCGATAGTGCAATTACAAGCTGTGTCTTGCCACAACCTGAAGGACCTTCGACGACCACAAACGGGGGAGATGACGAAGGTACACTTGTTAAGCATTCCGATACAAAAGAGTCAAGATCGCTACGCAGTGAAGAACCGAGAACCAACGAATCAAAACCCTGGCATATCTCGATAGAACCTTTAGAAGACGTTTTTAAGGGTGGGAAGCCGCAATAAGAACCGATGCGTCGAGAGGAGCTGTACGGCAGCACGCACAAACCCGGAATACCGACAGATAGTGCCACAGGAGGACGAATACAAACAGCCTTGTCGAAACAGCGTGCTGTTAGGGATGCGTCTCTGAATATACGGGGGTCACGAAGACCAAGATGGGAAGTTCCTTCAAAAAGCGCTGACATGTACTCGCAAGCTGCCAGACGCACTATGGTACCTAGGCAGCGTCTATCGTAGCTAGAAGTGAGAGATACAAGGTAACTCAATAACATATCGCGCTCATCGTTGTTATCTAATTGTAATTGCTGGCGCAAATAGCGTTCATGCACAAACCCCCGGCCGGCAGATAGATGTGAAAGATTAACACGGTAATGTAGATATCGTATCTTGGACAACATATACTCCACTCCAGAATCATTGTCTGATGTAACGTCCACATCATAAAATACGTCCTCTTTAGGTGAATTGTTGGAGTCTTCGCTGTCGTAGCAGCAGAAAAGGTAGACAGGTAAGTCGTTATAAGCCCACATGGAACTATAATCTAGCAACAGGTCCACCACAAGAGCAGAACGATTCAATCTAGATGATTCGGCGTCTAGTGCCTTAAATAGCATTTCACTGCCTTTCAGTAACAGAAAACAACCGCAATCCGACAATAACTTCTTCAAAAATAAGACGTTATCAGCACTATCGTCCCAATTGTCTAAGAACATAGCAGTGAAATTTTCATTAGAGGTGGAAGAAGATAATTCTCCCTGAAAACAGTTGTTATGTGACGTATCTATTGATCCCTCGTCAGCATGTTTCAAACGCTCAAGTAGCGTTTTCATTCGTTGATATGACAAAAAGGCATCGACCGAGACGCATAGCAATTGGTGTTCAATATTGTTGTAATGTTTGTTGTGGTCTATAAACATCAGAACCTCAGATGTATGTTTTTCAATAATGTCATATAGCCACTTAGATGATGGAAACGGGTCTGTGTCGCCATGATCATCCCTTCTCAAAAGGGCAGCAATATTACAACATGTACGACATCTGCAGTATATAGCGCCATATAGGCTGTAGGATAGACCTCCTGTGTTAACCGTTCGTGCCACTCTCGAGAGGTCGATAGTATATATCCTCCGGTCTCGGTCATGGACCGAATTATCTCCATTTAACCAAAATGTCTTGCGGCACAATTGCAAACAGAGATCCCATGCTTCAGAAGGATCTGCTGATGACATCCAAAACCCACAACGTAGGTTATATCGCCGCTCTCTCAAAAGGATATTAAGGACACGAGCAACAACCGAGTCACGTATAACGGTGATTATATTGTTTCCTGCCTCTTCAAACTCTTCATTCACTACTAATTGGACATTTTCTTTCCATTTATTGGATACTCCGTGCAAATAACGCGAGATGGACTGTAAGAAGGTATCGATATGCGACTGAGTTTGTTCCCCGATTTGTGACCTACGTATTGAAGCGGAGTTCCCCGATAAGTCACCACCATCGATGGTAGACACGCTTTGGCATTCGTCAGGAACCGCTATTTGATGCCATTGGTACCATATTCGTTGCGATGGCGAAGTGTCGACGCCGACATGGTCATCGCGTCTTCCGGGAGGATCACAGCGTTCCAAACGAAGTGATCGATGCCCCGTAAAGGACACTACTTGTATATAATCCATATATTTCAAGAAGTAGTAAGCAAATGAAGAATTTATGTCTCAACGTATGGCCTTCCATACGCAGGGATCCCATGCCTATAGTACAAGGGATTTAAGCAATGAACCGCCATATCAGCTCTATGTGTACAACATAACGGTTTTAACTGTATAAGGTAATTAAAATTGCAAGGCGGGAAGCATGGTGTGTATGTTGACATGATGGAAGGTGCTGTCAACACACAAAGCAGAACTTCGCCTACCATTATTCGACGTAATAACTTGTGTTGGCTGCTATATACGTTCCAAAGTCAAGATGTGTAAGACTGTAGCTTGTTAAAATTACCGCCTACAAAAATGGCAGTGACAAATGCCACTATGGAGAATGAATGAAAATACGGTCATTATAAAAAGGTTTCATGAAAGTTTTTCTTAAAATATATGATGTCCAACGCTCAAAATTATGCATATAAACTGTATAAACTAAAATATTTCGAGCGTAACGATGCGGAGATTCGAGGGTTAACATGCCCTTAAATTCCCGCGCCAACAACGCCTTGTGAAGCGTATATAGGTCAGTTGTATTTGCAACCTGAAAGTATATTTGGTTATGCCTTTTTATTAGATAAAAAAGCATTTGGGTGTCAGTGGCTAGAGTCGTAGCACTGTGCTATCCACAAACTATATAATCCAAAAAATCATATATAAAACTCAAACCAGTAGAAGTAGTACAGCTGTATTGCGCATGTTACTACGGCAGTTGCGATCTTGAGTCTAGTATCTTTATTAGCCTCCGGGGCAGGAGGTATAAAGAGTGCAACTGTGGAAGATGTTGATGCGCAGAAGTAGACATATGTGACGTATTGCAGGCCTCGTATCACCACTGATAAAGATGGTATGCAAAGCCTAATAATAGATATCCAAACCGTCAACTTGCAAAACATCAACAACGGTATCTGCATATAACCAGCGACAGACAATAGAGGTACAACTGAAACACGGCTCTCAATGCCGCATATAATCGTACGGCAACCCCAAATAGCAGCAGCCATTAGCAAGGAACATGACCAGCATATCGCTAAGAAGAAACAAAGGGTGGAGAGCGACAAGAAACCTCCATCCGTGCCATTGTGGTACTGGTTTAAAGCATACATCTTAAACAAAGCACCTGCCATCATCACGTTAATCCAAAACGGTGCATAAAGATCCGGTTCATTCCACATACGTCGTAAAGTTAGGTATACCGGATGATTAACGTCGCAGTAACCTTCAAGAACCCCCAAACCGAAGTTTTGAGACGTGTCATGATTAGTGGACATCGTGCCAGAAACCGGAATATTACTCAAGTCATTGTTTCCATTATTATTATGCACGTTACTAGACGATGTAACAGTATCATTTAGGGTTAAAGTAGTTGACCCATTTGACCCGTCCCCGTGGGTGTTTTCATTCGTTGAAGCAACGGAGGTAGAAACATCAATGGTCTCCTCTGTCGGCCATACTGGCATATTGAACTTTTTGACGACATTATCGAATAGCGAGTGTAAAGATGCACATAGAACCTCCAACAGCCTTAAACAGGCAAAATCAAAACACATATATGAGATAAGAGAAGCTTTGCAACGCCTAGCAAATTCCACTTGGGTCAAATCGAACCATGGTTTTAGCGAAGCAAGTGGTCCATCCAAGGTTACTGGGTGATTAGAAATCTCGATATCACGCATAATACCCTCGGGAGGTAGACATTTCTGGTTTGACTCAGGACGTGGCGACACCGCCGAGCTTACGCTGGCTATATCACCATCCATAGCTTTCTAACCAAACGAATGACAATTAATGCGATATATATTTGACATGAAATTCTGCTCTAGCAATATTTGCTGGGCAGAATGAAGAAGGTATGCGATGCCAAGACATATGTAAGAGATTAGGTGGACGGCTTATAGAATTGAAAATGGAATGTTGATAAATATGTATGTTAAATACTAAGAAATCGAATAACACGGAACTGGAATTAAAGTTAGACATACTATGACAGGCCAACACGACGTCCGAGATAACCAGCACCTTACACATTATCTCCGCTATAACACACACAATAAGGCGTTAAATAATATTGGTAGGTATCCACTACATAGCAACGAATTATCCAGTAGACAGACTGGAAGCGTCAGTGATGTCATTGAAGCTCTAACATAATGGCAAGCTAGATGATAGAACGACCCTAATATCCTGTTCAATAGGATATATTGATGGAAGTTGAGAACATTGGAGAGTATTTGGATGCTCCGGGGCTGTGTGAAACTAACAAATGTGACCATACGTTTTTTTAGAAGATTGTGACATTGGGACACCAATGTGTTCTCTAATCTTGCAATTATAGCAGAAGGAGGGTCTACACATAGGATATATAGTGGCCAAAATGACAACTGGACACATAGCCAAACGTGCTTGCACGCCTAGTGCACGTAAAAATCTGGTGCAGACTACAAAGGATATATGTATGAAAAAACTATCAGAGCTCACAGAAGATGAATTAAAGACTTATTTGAAGGTCATGGGATGGCCTAAAGCCATATCACCGGCTGTAGAATCGTATGCTGAACCGGGTAATTTCATAGTGTGGATACTTAATCGCATGCTTACCCAGCTCAAAAAATGGATGACTCTGCGTACTAGTGGTAAACTTGTGGAGGAGCAGGATGAATCGAAGGAAGAAGAGATGAAAATAGAAGAACATAAAGGAGATATTGATATGGTAGAAAAACCTACCATCTTCAGGACAATGGAAACCAAACTTGTGGCCTATCTGGTGGGATATACCGGCGACATCAATGCCTTATATTCCCATTCACACGTGCTCATCAAAATGGCGACATTTAACAACACATTGCACACCACACGATTGGCGGAATCACACCAACATAAGGCAAACAATCCCGGAATACAGATGATGAAAGCAACGGATGCCGAACAAGTGCTTGAACAATACCGCGACTCAGTGGAAGCGGTGAACGCCCTCATAAAAGCAATATACTACCAGTCACCGCCACTAGATACAACTCCAAGGGAGGGTAATCGAATCTGCGTGGCGCTTAGCTTGAATGAAATGGCTGAAAAGTTTATAGATGATGTCAACATGTTTGTAGTATGGAACCAGGCTTTTCAAACCATCACACCAACACATATGAACAAGTCTGTTGCGACTTACGTAGCGGATATAACAAGCAGTATACTGGAACATATGGGTATTGTGGCGGGATTCTTGCGGGAGCAACTGGACGAAAGTTCAAATGTCAAAAATGCATACAACTGTGTGGCACAGACACTTATGGCACATGTACTATTTGTACGTGCTGAAATTGATGATTTTAAAAGACATTCCAAGGTGATAATGAAAAAACATGGTAATGTTAAGGAGGGGCATCCTGAAAAACTGGACCAGAAAGTCAATGCTGCTGTCAATAGTATGATGCGCTTACTGGCATTCACATGGGCGCCTAAGTTCGTCAATGGGCTTAAACAAATGATCAAAGCAAAAGAATATGAGGATCTGCTGGACATGGAACAGCTAGGAAATATGGACCTAGATGATTCCACTGTCACATACAACAGAAGGTTGCTACTCAACATTGTCAAAACCATCCACCACGCAGAAACCGATAAATCCGTGATACAACATGGCAGGGGGCTGTGTATATTACTTCCGGACATATTTGAAGCATTGGTTGATGCTGTGGACGTACATACGCGCAACCAGCAAGAAACAACCTATTGCGGAGCTATGATGCTCGCACTCATTCTCCCCCTCATCATCAGGCTGATACAGTCAACGCTAACTGTGGTGGACACTCAACCTGAAACATTTGTCCACTATGTAACATTGTTAGATCTCGTAAGCTCGTTGTACAACATATTGAAGGTAGCAAATAACAAACATATACTTGTCCACGCAGGTGACAGGTCAGACCTAGTTGTCAAAACTAACCGTCAAGTAATCACATTCGTTTTGGATACCCTTACGGCAGTATATGCAAAGGTCGCTAAGTCGCGTAAGCGAAAGACAATGATGGAAAATTGCGACGAGGATGATGATGCTATTAGGGTGATGATGAAGAGGGCACACTTAGCGTCAAGCAAATACCTGGATGTGACTTCAGAGGTACACACTATACCCAGACTATGGGACGCGCTCTTGTTGCTCGTATCACTTAGTCTAGAGTACGCTGATGAAAATATGGAACAGATCATGCATCTGTTATACCAAGACGCTATGTTAGATGACACAGATTACCATCAAGATATTTTTAACATGCTTATCAAACCTCAAATAAGCCTAGAGGCTAATGTAAGTTACAGGAGTGCTCAACTTTTTGCAGCTAATTTGGTTTCAATGTACTCAATTGCAAACGATATGCCATCTCTCCTGGATCACATGGGCGAGTTCGTCGAAAAAAAGGGCAGAACTAATAAACAATACTTTTACATGGCACATCCACCTGCGATATGCGCATTTTATAACAGCAGCAAGGAGTCATCAACCTCACAGATACCTATCGTTATCCAACACTTTGCGGAATGGCTGAAAAAGAAACATGCCTTCAAAGCTTTGCAGTATCCGCTTATGTGTTACCTTAGTGGTGTAGAATTTTCTTCAACCTTGGTAGCTAAATCTGAGGACGCTTTAGATGAGATTATTTATTTGGTACCACTAGAGCCAACACCAGAAGGTGTGTTGATGGCCATCCAGCTGATATGTGCAATACGTAAAATTAATTCGTGGTCAAGTGGAGAAGATTCAACCCAAAGGTGGAATGGCCATATTAATATACTGTACAGGTATGTACAGGATCTTACAGAAAATGTTGGTCGTGACTGCTCGTCAGCTATATGGACCGCTATGTTTTGGTTTGCCTACCATTTAATTTTGATTATACGCGATAACCCTGACATGTGTGGGTCAATGTCTGGCGTAGTAGACCTTATCCTTGATAAGATGGACATAGTGGTACAAGCCCACGCCGATGAGAAGGACTTTATGGAAACGGCCAACACATTGCTAATGGCTAACGCACATGTCTTCAGTCATCTGAGCAAATTCACTGGGATAATAAAATGCGTCTGTGTCGCTCTACTTAAATTTGAAAAGGATGCTGGACTTTTGGATAGCTTCAGAGAGACCATCGAGGTGCTTGGCAGGGACCGAGAGCTTATAAACGAGGTCTTAGATATCAATTTCCTACAAACAATGCTTGCAGTCACAACGAAACAGGGTGCGATGATCGACTTGAAGTTGAAGTCCATTCATATTATAAGGCAAGTGTTAGAAAACGCCAGTGGTCTATACAGGAACAAGGGCATATCTAAACTGTTCCAGAGCCTGGTTGAGGTTGCTAATGTTACAGCGGCTAATTGTGATATGAAATGTGAAGAGGATGTAATTTTTTTGAAATCGGTCCTTGAGGTGATGAACTTTATACTGGGTCGTGAAGAACAGCTTGGAATGAGAGAGTGCGCTGAGGTCACGGTGGCCGATTGTTTCACGTCGTTGAAAGGGGAGCAAGGGCTGTCTGTTGCAACTCAGAAGGATGCAATTTTGACCGTAGGTCTATTAAAGGTGCTTGATGATGTCAAAAACGCATTGGACCTTAACTGCATGAACGGGCTCCAAACATCGCTGAAGGTAATGCAACAATTGGCAAAAATCTGCGTTTTCGTCATGGGGAAAATGTACAGCGAAGATTTTATGGGTTCTTTGGATATCAAGACATCCCATGAGGAAAGGAATGCTTGTATCGGAAAGATATTGGCAACTATCACCACGGGTGCAGTGGTGAATGATGAACAGGTTGCCACCGGTGAGGATGAAAATATGGAGCCGTTGCAACTGGATAGTGGCAGTCGTAGTCTTGCTGATATCCTGTTGTTCGTCAATATCATCAAGACATTGCAGGACAGCAATCCCGCATTGTTGGATACGGCATTCACAACGATAGGTAACTTAGGGCAAGTAACCGATATTCTCAGCGAGATGGCGAATACCTTGAATTCAAACAAACAAATGGATCAAGAACGTCTATTGTACCTTTCATGTATGTTATACTGTACAGCCTCGAATGTTCAAAATACATATGATGAAGCTGCACTAAAACAGGTATCCAAGTTACATGAGTCTGTCAAGGTCCTTACCTTGTTATCACCGGCTGTTTTGGAGGCATTAAATGAAGCTATACTTGAGGTGGTATACAGGATAGTGCCACACGCAAGTGAGAAACAGATACAGGCCCATGCGGTACACGCACTATTCCTCATGGCAACCATGCAACACATTATATGTTATAAGAGGAGAGGGGTGCTAGGGTTTGGAGCTGATCAGCTTGAAGTGTTCAAGACACTGTGTGGGTGCCAGGTAGATAAGGTGTCCGGTATCGTACAAACTATACTGGAGAACACGGAACCTAGGAATACGTGGAAGAACTTCGCGACCCATCTAGAAAACATATACAACCGAGCTGAATCACATCCAACACCGTATAATTGGATATTTAGGGCAGCGTGTCTGGAGGTCATGATGCTAATGGTTGACAAGAACCACTTAAAGACGATATACGGTATCAAGGGGGCAGCCAAGAAGAAAATACTAGGCTGTTTGGATGGTATCCTGGGCCTACACTCTAAGCAGCTCGAATGTTTATCTTGCGATATGGATACGTGTAGAAACAAGGAGATTATGCATTGGGTGATCCTGAACTACCTGATCAATATCGCCATATCTATAAAGATTTTGGGATTTACGCGATTCCAAGGTATGTGTTGATTTGATATAATCAAATTCATATCTTTTGCAGTTAACAAGTACATGCAAGAGGCTTACGGTGTTATATCGGAGCATCTGCTTGACCTCTCAAGGCTGGGTTTACACTTCCTTGGTTTATTCAAGACGGAGGCTGCGTCCAAGACGCTCTTTGAACAAATTGCAACCAACGTATACATAGCGCTATACCACTGCATCAGGACTGGTATGTTGTGTGATGTGTGTTGTTCATTATTATACAGCTGAGGGTATGAGCAGCGCCCAGATAGCGAAACTCGTTAGACCATGGATGAAACGAGTACATGTAGTGACGTATGTTATTACACGGTTTGTGTCACTTCTGGATGAGCAAGATGCTGACATGTTCGCATACGTTGCACGATGGATGAGTATCATATCACACTCCCAACTCGTGGACGCTACCAAGTGGTATATACCGCACATTGTCACCTCAGTGGCCCAAGCGTGGTATCATGTGAATAAGGCTATCGCAACAAACCGTGGAAACCAAGGTAAGATCTGTCCCCGGCTGCTATACCCTTACGTGCGTGCAGCTGAGGTTATACGTAGCAACAAGATACTCAAGAGCTGTGTTATTGAGTCTATCGGTGCTTGCGATTATCACGCTGTGAAAACGTTGTTCCTCTTGTTAACGCCCGAGATGCGAGCTTTTATGAAGGAGAACACGAATGTTTTCAGCCGTAGCTGATGCTAATAACACTTTTGCTGCTGCGGCGCATTTAATCTTTTGCTCAAAAACAACGTACCTTATATATATAAAAGGAAGCTCGTGCTGGCCGTCCACCTTCACGTCTCCTAATAACATGTTCGATCCGCGGTCGAAGAAAACGATAGAACCCTGGTAGCGCACTGGCGCTTCACCTGGCAATGGTTTTACACAAACTACGATCTCCCGTCCTTCGGCATACGCTGATCGAAGAAACGTGTAGCATGCGTTACGTGTCAACGTGTTCCCGGTAAGTCTCAGCTCTAGCAGTTTTTTGGTTATTTCTGCCTCTCCCTTGGAACGCGATACAAATGCGCGCAGGTCTGGGACGAAACGGTGAGTTCGAAGAGTGAGAAGCTCAAACATACCTTCTTTCAGATTTTTTCCACGACTGGTAGTAGCGACATCACCTTTAGCACGGGCTTTAGCGGCAGAATCACTGAACTCGTTTGGAGGTTGGTATCGCCAGGGTAACAAGAATTGCGCATGAGACAAACGTCCAACAGATAATTTCGAAGTTAGCATACGTTCAACGGCAGCGGAGACCCTCTATAGCAACATATATAAGTGATGAGTTACACCTACCTCGTCTGTGATGTTATCTAGAAGAGAAGAATAAAATCTATCATAGATGTTGTCAAAAGGTACATTCTCTGATTCATCCAGGAGTGACGAAGGGTCAAAATCAACGCTCAAAACGTTAAATCTCGACGACGAGTCCATGGCACTGGAAGGATGCTACACATGGCTGTGTAACACATCCTAGGTATTAATAGAGACGTTCAGAGCGCTACTAGGTAGAGTGGGTTATGTTATGTGGTATGGTTATGTTGTAGCGGAGCCTATGGGTCAGAATATGAGATCTACGTTCTAACTGGCACTAGGTAAGTAACTCGTCTGTTGGTTCGACCAACTAAAAAAAATGTAGAATAATAATGTAAACTTCAAAATAAAATAAAATATGAAGAAATAAGCTTGCTTGTGGTGTGTATGTCAATATGCCGTTGGTGATACGACCAATGCTAATAAATAATGTTACTGTAAGTTATCTACATAACGGATCATGATTGTATGACTATTTTAAATGTGTGCTTCAGCCTATAGAAACCAACTGGCCTTCGCTATGGTGGACAAACCAGTGGTGTAGTGTATTGCGACGTTCGGAAAACGGTGTACACCTATGGCTCAAGGCAAAAATGTATCGCCAAAGCAAACATAAAGGCGTGATACATAGTGATCCATGTGTACTACTAAGGTTATAGACACTTAGAGTTGTATAGTGACAGCGACCTGGTGTTTGTTGGTGAATCTCCATGGCCGCAATACAGCATCACCACTATACATTAAATATAACACGGAACAATGTGTACAAACGATCTATCACTGTAGACGTGAGATACGTATCCTTGATCCGAAGAAGGATAATCTAGACAATGGTACTCATACACTAATCTTCACTAGACTACCTGCCCAGACAAACGTCTCACTTTTGGACGCTGTAGAGCTGAGGTATGTCAGATGAGATAGACTGTATGTAACAGTGGCGTAGAACACATAGCAAAATATTTTTGGAATGCAGCCCTTATTAGTACTGATCGAATTCCGAGGATAGAAGAAAAATAATATGATATCGAGCTGAAAACACGCAAAATATGTGCGCCAACATAAGTATTAATGATAGAAATTAAAAGCTCGCTTTAACCATGTCTTTGAAAGAAGCAAACCAATACAATGCGACTCATGGTATCGATGGAACCGAAAATCGCAACAAAGCATTGATGTTGAATAACGACCTCAAAGCTGAAGATATAACAGAACATGAGGAAGTTAGAGAAGGCAATATTGACAAAAAAGAAGTTGTATATGCCCTTCTCTCTAAAATGGAAATGGGGAATGTAAAGAGCGTAGAATGCACAAAGTGCAAAAACTGTAGGAGACACATCCGTGATTTTAATCAGCGAAACGATATAACGAAGTTATACGATGAAGTAGGCCGCGTATCGGATGTTAAAAATATATTAGACCAACAACTCAGTAACGTTCCTGCAAAGGAACAAAGAGAAAGTTCATACTTCCACAAAAAAGGAGACACACATGACCATTACCTTAAACATTTCACAGAAAATACATATTTAGAAACTGGTACAGCTGTGGAAGATACGACGGACGCAACGGACTCAAACGCTGGAGAGCCAATAACCACTGACGAAGAGGTTTCGCCAGTGGCTGCGGAGAAAAATAAGCAGCAGTTCGGCGAAGAAGAATATTCTGCCGCAGAATTACAAGCTGCAGATGATATGTACCAAGAGTACGCAACTTACAGCGAAACAACCGCCGCACCAGTGACGGATGAGCATATAACATTAAATTTTATAGATGAAAAATCAAAACCCACAGATTTTTCCCAATCAATTGGTGGTGTGAATGTGGAGGGCACGAAACAAGCCACAAACGAGGTAGTAGAATCAGAAGTGTACTTAGAGTCAAGCGATTTGAAAACTGCAGCCCATTTAGATGACCTAGAAAGAGTAGATATATCGCGACAATCTGAAATTCAAAAAGTTGTGGCGAATACCGGTGGCGAAGTTGGATTGACAGGTGAAAAGTTACACGAGGTCAAAACGGAAGCGCTCGGCAACTCCAAAGAGCTAGGTGGGTCATGTCGGGCCGATGATTACACGGCAAAAACCAAAGAACCCACTTCAGAAAAATTAATAAAACGCTTAACATCCTCTGAAAAGTCCTTGTCTCTCCCTAGCGAAAGCGCGTCGGATAAGCACGCGATGATAGTTACGCCTGCGGACACACCAGAACTGAGACGCAGCACCGCGCATGATTTTACAGGAATGCTATCGCAGAAGCACACAACAAACGAAATGGCAGGTGAGGGTATTAATGCTGGGTCTGGTAAACAGATCCAAATATCAGCTCTGGAAGATGAACGTAGGAAGTATGCAGGGAAGACAGACCTAATTAGCGCAGTTGAACTATCAAACAGCAAGTCATTTCTTGTTGTAGGTACCCTAAGGGGAACGTTGAGTATCTTTTTAACAAAAGACATTCTATCAATCGATGAGGAAGTCTGGATGGCGCCTACACCAGGAGAGAAATCTGAGTCTGGAACACCAGACTGTATGATTTGGGGTTTAATGACTAAGAGGCCACTTATCACAACGGAAGCCCACATTGGTGAGATAATACAAATATCCATTGTCGAAACTATGCAATATATTGGTATTGTTGCCAACATTATCACGGTAGGAAGGGACGCTTATGTTAGATTTTGGAGTTTACAGCGTGACAGGATGTACGCTGATATATACCTGAGAGGGATACACATGATACACCCTTCACCTGTGGGAGCCATACCTTTGCCTCACACTAAACAAATGTTGATCGCGCTTGCTCATGGGCGTCTGGAATACTGGGATCTAAAAGAAGGGACACAAAACCGACAGATAACAATGACAGCGACTAAGGATTACACAGATGCCCAATGCGATGTTCTGAGAGTAGATATGTCACCTTCAGGTAAAATGCTCGCTGTTCTGTCTACCAATGGATGGCTGATGTTATATGACTCGGAGACTAGGAATCCAATAGGCGTGGCAGATTGCAGGAACCAGAGGGGAAGGTGGTCAAATGGCGAGGACGTAAACGGAGTAACCTGGAACAGTGCCGAAAACCTGATATTAGTCACCACTGCTGATTGCAGGATAAGGATGCTGACCACTAAGGCCTATTACGACGATGAGCTTATGGAGCTTGAGAAGTTTAAGGGGCATGTAAATGAAACAACCCGATTGAAAGCTGTATTTGCGGGTATGGATGAAGAATATATAATTTGTCCGTGTGAAAGGAAGTTCATATGTGTGTGGAAGCACAACATCAACCTTCGCAAGCCGGCTTTCAGCGGCGACGACTTGCGACCTACCAACAAGGCTTGTCTGAAATTTAAATATGAAGGTCCACGTCTAAGTCAAAAAATATGTGTACTCAACCCAGGAGAGTGGATGGACTTACGGCAGATGGTTATTAGACAACAAAGGGAAGGTGGAAGCGACCCTACACACTTGCCTGAGGTGTCGTGTGCCTGTTTGCCGTTTGTCAAGAAATACAAGAATCCACAGAACATTGACGTATCAAAGATAGACACAAGCCGCCACATAATTCTCCTGACACCAGAAAGCGAAACTACAGTGCGCTACAGTTTAATTTCGATTGATGTGCTCAGGGCCTATTTCGGCTCAAGGAAGCCCGGGTATGCGTGAACAGCCATGAAGGCAACGCAATGTCGAGGAAAATGTAAAACTCATTAATAATTTGTACCCGACACACTAGTTAACCAGTAGCGTGGTGTGGCTTCCGTCGGTGAGACGGAACCCCAGGCATCGCAGCAGCGTAGAAAATTTATAGAAATTATTTTTACGCTGCTAACTACCCAACAATGGAGCGCCTTCGATGGCACCCAATATAGAGCTTATATCCCCGCTCATCGTAACACTTTTAATGATTCCGATACACATTCAGCAAAACGCAGTTATAGCCGAGTAAATACCAAAAAATATACCAATTTATAACCAATGGTATCCATTGCGCGCGAACTTCTTAGACGACAATATATAGGTATTGTCTATGCGAGCTGATACATAGTGTACAGAACTGACGAAGAGCAGTAGCTGCATTTTCTCTGTGGGACTAGAAAACGATGACCTTTTTCACTGGCGTATATGCTTCCAGGGACCACATGGAACGCCATTTGAGGGGGGGATATTCACGGTCATGATGACGTTCCCGGAGACCTTCCCAAATGACCCTCCGAAAATGAAATTTGAACAGAAGATGTGGCATCCAAACATATACCCAGATGGAAGGGTGTGTATATCAATCTTGCATGGAGCAAATGACGATATATACAACGAACATGAACCCTCGGATGAGAGATGGAGACCGGTACTAAGTGTAGAAAGCATAGTTCTCAGTGTTATATCGATGCTCACAGAGCCAAATGTAGAGTCACCAGCAAATGTAGATGCCGCTGTGGAACTCAAAAGAGACCCGCTTAGCTACAAGAAACGTGTACAGTTGTACGCTAGGAACACAGTCACATGAACATCGTATCTGAAGTACAACTACTAAAACTTAGATTTAAAATTAACTTTTTGGACCATACATGTGTTTATTGTTACATTACAGGTCCAACAGAAACTATTATGTGCCGAGGCATAAGGCATCGAAAAAGTATAACAAAACATCACAGATGTGATAGTACAGCTAATCACTGCTGTCAACCAAATCACTATCGTTCTCCTTGTAAGAAGAATCCATACCAAGACGCAGCCGTTTACGAAACATAGGCGTAGAAGGAGACACGTCAAACCCAACGTCACCAAGAGTACAACTTAGAGTACCAGAACTTGACAACAACTTGTTAATGATTAGACGAGCACTGTCGTCCTCCTTGAAAGATACGTAACAGTAATCCGGCACGCGCGTATGACATTCACCATCATAGCCGTCCACACCTATAGATGGGAACCGAATGTTCACAGGCTCGTAACCTAAATCACAAAAAAACTGACGCAAAACCTGCGTTATCTTGCCTTGGTTTAATGGAACTATATCGGAAATACGCTTAACAAACAACACCTTGTCATCATACAACACCTTTGAAGGCTTACACAGCTCACATTCAAAACGACAGTTATCAAAAGTCATCGACGACACTATCGTCTTCGCACGCAACGCGTTATCGTGATTGTCAAATTCAATGTGACAACCAACACCAGACGGTAACAAGCGAATAGACTTAAAACCCTCAAGAGATGAGAATCTAGAATTCAACTCCGATTCCTCAAATACACCACCCACCTTGGACACCCAAAGTGTGTTGCGATGACCACCACCTGACAACCAACTATTCAACACATCCCTGTCACTAGAAAGAAGTAATTGAATACGACTAATACGCTCTGAGTCAATAGTACTGCTATCATAAGGATCGTCATAAGGACGCTTATTCACACCAGACAGCTGGCCATCACTCACTGACATCATGGATTGAGGAAGCATGGAGAGGTTAGACATACTAGATGAACCCAAGCTTCGAGGAGTGTATTTCATATCAGGAGAACTGTCCGGAGGAGTCAGTACACCTTGGTACATAGCGAACTGAGATCCAAACTTAGATATCAGTGATGAAGGTGGAGGGGGAGGCATAGTCAAACTTGGAGGTACTGCGGGAGCAATAGAGGGGTCAGCACTCTCGTTACCATCCCAAGTTGCACGAGTAGCAAACTCCATGTCACGCATAGAAAGCTTTGGTGATGGAATTGACACGGAAGACGTCTCTGAACGCACGCGACAACTGCTCTTAATATAACGATGTGAACAAGAACCGCTGTCAGAAGATGTCTCAGAATACGATTCTGATTGACGACGACGACGATGATCGCGACGCAAGATTATGTTATTCAGACTTAGTGTTGAACCCGTACAACGCGTTTCAGATTGGTGAGATTGAGTAGCCGCAGTCATGTGCGCGCGCTTTATGTCCTCAACGTCACCACAAGTCTGAGCATAGTCGATATAGGATTCAGAGATGTCCCCAGCAGACAAAAATTGATGCGCCGTATCAAATAACCACATTATCAAATCGTGCGCACTCTTTGGTACTCCATCATAAGAACTCTTGGGAGCAACAACACGGCAAACAGCAGCGATAAGTGATGACATAAAAGCAGCGTCACACTTACCACAAGCGTCCAAGCTCTTCACACCCTCAATCACAAACAACCAACATTGGGAATCGTTCACAAAGCGCTGTAATAGCTTCTTTATCACCTCAAGGTAATTCTCAAGGGTACCTTTATTACTCATCAAAAGACGTAGCTCCTGACGACCCCAATATGTAAGTAATCTGTATGTACCCTTGGCGTCGCAGCTAAAGTCACCCATCTTAGACAATAAGTCTTCCTGACGTAACAAGATACGACGGAAAACCTCAATTGATTCAGGGTGGTGACGGCGAAGACAATCGGCCGCAGTTATATGCAGACTTATCAGCGAACTGGTCTCGGTAAGTGCAGTCACTGCCCTATCAAATACCTCAACCAATTCCTCAACACCAGTTGAAGGGACACTGACAATCATCTGCAGATAGTTTATCCATATGTTAACAGAACGCGGCATATGACGACTCGAACGCTCACATACCCAAAGTGCAAACTTATCACTAACACTCAGAGCATGTCGAGAAAAACGCATCCACAAGTCATCACGCTCGTAACCAAGGTCGTCCAACGCACGCATGTATACGATTGTGATACGGTCACGGTCACCACATTCTAACTCAAAGTCAAGATACTCATTCCACAAGTTGTTCATCTTCCCAGGGTTAAGAATCTCATCAAATTCAGATTGTACCTTCAATTCAAAACATTTACGACGCTCCCAAGCATCAAAACCCAACTTATGGATCAATTCGCCCTCGGTAACAGGCCTGCGATATTCTTTAGGGAGTTCAGACTCCCAGACGCGGTATTCGTCCAACAGGTCTGGCAAACCTGCAAGAGGAAGACCAAGTTGACGAAAAAATAAGGCACGAACACGTTCAAGTTGGTTGCCATAATCACTTTCATCACAACTTTCAAGCAACTCTTGCTCAAACTGACGATATTCACTCCAAAGCAGAGGACCGTCCAAAGCATGAAGACCTACTGATTTCAAACCACGCTCAAATAAACTACGCATGCGACCGAGGTTACAATCAGGTAGTGAACGACGACGCTCAAAACGTACATATGCTATCCAGATATCAGCAGAAGGCTCATTGTCAACAGCGCATTCATACATGGATATTATATCATCATCACTGCTATCACGCCTTTTATCCTCGATCCAGGTCAACCAAAAACGGTCCTCAACTACGCAATGCTTTACACATTGTGTTCGGAGATACTCCAGATACTTATCGTGCTTCAGACGAACGGCAATGTATATACCTTTGGTATAAATTGATAGATTCCAGGGGTCAGACTGCACGCGAGCACACAGATGCTCAAGATCATCAACCGTCACTGCATCCTCCCGTTTCAACGGGCTATTCGTTTCTGCGCTTTGCATCGCGGAATCTCATATTGCACCGGCCAGAAGCGACGCTCGAGCGGAGACACCGGTGGACCTCACACACCAATGCAGCACTCATATAACACTGTTATAATATATGAAACAACACGACAGACAAAATCAAAAAGATCAAATAGATTAGGACGGCATGACGCAAACGCCCAAACGTTACTGAAACTGAAAACCGCTATTGGGGGCCATGTTTTGAAAGCCCACGGCCACAGGTGCATCAACTGCATCACGATCAAGCTCATAGTCCTCAGGAAAATATTGCTGCATAATCTCTCGAGCTTTACGGTAAATTACAGTCATTTTACTGTTCTGTAACATCTCCAAAGAACGCACAGCATCAAGCTCCTCAATGGCAACAACGTAAGGATTCGCAGGTAAAGAGTTTAGCTCCATTAATTGGTGACCAACCTGCAAAATGTTCTCTATAGCACGAAGCGCAACACCTATCAGTTTGGTGTCCGTAGTAGTAAGAATAGTACAAATGTAACGTAAACAACCGCGGGAAGCAAGATTCTCCGCTTGCTTAAGATCACCACCAGAAGCTGCGTTACAAATAGCCCAACTAGCCTCACGCTGAACATCAAAGTCGTTACACATCATAAGCTCTAGCAACTTCTCAACAGCATCAGAACGCAAAAACGCCTCAACCTGGTCACGAGTACCAGCTGCAATGTTAGACAATGTCCAGCACGACTCCTTCCTTATAGTCTTCTTATCAGAAAATAACATCTTGTATAAAAGAGGGATGCAACCGCAATCTACTATAACCTGGGTTTGACGGTCAGTGCCAGTAGCTATGTTTCCAACGGTACGCAGTGCGGGGGTCTGAAGCACAGGTTGTGGATGGTCAAGTAATTGCACCAAACGAGGACCAACATTAGCATCCAAAACAGCCTGTATGTGCTCCTCATTGCCATCGGAAATATAGGACAGCGCCCAGCACGCGTCTGTTAGTACCTAAAAAAAAGTGAAAACAATACATAAAAATGAAAATACTAACCTCAATGTCGGTGTGATTTAGTAGCTTAGCCAAATATGGGATGGCCAATTTAACATCCTCAAAAACTGGTTTAGGCTTTCCACGACATAAATTCGACACAGTCCAAGTAGCATTGCGGATCACACTGTCCTTCTCAGAGTGAACGAGCAAATACAGTAACGGCTTCAGCGCTCCCAAACCTAATACCAAGTCACGGCACTCGGGAGAATCCCCTGCGATGTTACCCAAAGCCCAAATAGCCTGCTCACGCACCTCCTCACGAGGAGAATCAAGCAATGCAATCAGCTTGGGTACTGCACCGTTGTCAGTCGCGACCTTAGTCTGCTGCTGATTACCAGATGCCACGTTAGTAATGGCCCAGGCAGCCTCAAATTGAAGCTCTGGGGCGTCAAAACGACTCAAAAACTCAATGAAAACAGGTACCACACCAGTGTTCACGATCTCCTCAATAGGAGGGTCAACCTCAAGTGATAACAGTCTGCGGAAATGCTTGGTACACATGAGCTGCGTATTGAAGTCAGTAGAACGAATACCGGAGACATAGGGAGCAAGTGCGGCAGGGGTCCAGTTCGACGAGTTCATCAACATATCAGCATCATGGTCGGGGATACCGGAAAACGACATTGGCCCGGAACCGCCGACCATCGTATCCATACCATGATGCATCGAAGTGTCATCTTCGTTAGGATTGCAACCACGGTGACGCTGAAATTGACGGTCGCGAGTCTGCTTGCGGATCTGGGCCTGCAAGTCTTCGCGCTTGCGACGAGAGTCCTCGAAAATTTTCTTGTACTCCTTCTTACGCTCCTCTTTTCGAAACATTGTCAATAGACGATTAATAGAATGACGCTAGCCAGTAGAAACGGTCGGGAGCAGCTATACACCCGACGCCAAGAACGAAAACCAACCAAAGATGGACACACTACTTTAAAAACATACCAATCAAGTAATGTGTTTAGTTAACACCAATCGAAATTGGAAAAAAAACTGACAACTGCCCTAGAATGGAAAACAGCAGGTAGTGAGGCGTGTAGTGTAGAATCACGCGCAGCGGCGGGAACAAAAATGCGGATATCGACTAATCAAACACCAGTGCGTCAAAATGTAATCTACCAAGTTCATAGGTCACAAGAGGCACGGAACCATGCGAAACAAATCGCTCATAGCGACCAGACATGTCTAGAGACACTTTGTAAATGTAGTAGGGTCCACCAATGTATCGATGGCCCACTCTAGTGACACCTGTCGCCACGGACTGATAGCACATTTAAACTAGTTGTAGCAGAGCTATGTCACAACGACCCGGACAATGTATACCACACCCGGCACACATAGCACCGAGCCGTATGACAAACCCCAAACCAACAACGGAGACATAAACATACACCCTTATAACGTTACAACGCAGCTGGATGTAATGTTAAAGTCTAAATGGCTAACACAGTAGTTATAACATCTGGGTCACTATGACATTACGGGAAATCTAGTGACGCAGGTGACCTGGATTAAATGCGGGAACAAAATTCGACGAAATTTCAATGGACGGAAAGACGTATTTAAACGTCAAAACACTCACTTCTTGTGGGCCTTGCCAGAGTTCTTCCTCTTGGTGGATGGCTCATCATCTTCAGAACCTTCCTCATCTTCTCCAGCCTCGTCTTCATCCAAGTCCTCGTCATCACTGTCAGATACGTAGCTCTCCTCTTCAGGCTCAAAGTAACCTACAACGTGAACCTCGTTCTTGCCACCCTTGGTAGTAAGCTTAATGCCGCCTACGGTTGAGAAGAAAATGTCGACGGTGGCGTGCTCGCACACATCCTTCTGAAGCACACAAAGGTTGAAGCTCTTGTTGCCGTCAACCAATTGCACGTAGGTCTTCTCACTGTGCTTAGGCTCGTTCAAGCAGACCTGGGACAGGTGGACAATGTTAGCCAAGTCATTCTTGGGGGTGACACTGCTACCAGGGGAAATAACAGCACCTACAACAAAATCAATACGGGATCGCTCAGAAAATACATAAATTACGCTAGAGACAAACAAACAAACGAGTCTCACTGGGACAAAGCACACAAATGGGCCTCACACAATACGCACACATATACCAGCACTAATGTTAGCAAGGAAACGTACCGAACAACATTTTGAAGAAGAAAAGTATGAGAACTGAAAAAGCTGAGAAGTGAAAAAAAAGAAGAAAAGAAAGAAGTGATGAAAAGTCAGGCAGCTCACCAAGATTCTATCATATATCGGGTGGGGAGAAACGCAGCGAAAATTCCCATGGGGAAGCTTCCGAATATTAAAACATCGGAGACGCCATTATCTAGACAAAACACATGTGTACATGAATTTGGCGGTAACACAGAAGAACTATTGACCGACGCACCCACACAGCAAAAGAATAAACTAACACATAACCCGTCAAGATATCTATGAGCACACAGTAGACACGTAAACACATAAAAATGATAAATTAGTCAATTGTATGAGGTGGTAGGACGACCTTGAGACAGCGCCTTAGAACCTCTTTGGGCAAGGCCTAGATCAGCGTTATGGCTTCCGGCATATCCAGCATGTCCCCGTAGTAATATATCGCAAAAGCGACACCTAAGTAACCCGCTATACGCAAATACATCCGAGCTGTCGCAGAAATTGGCGGCTCAGGGACCATATCGAGCATTCCAGGATACATCATCCTGAGAATAGACCTATAGTAAAATTACAATGATATAAACGTTCACTTAAACCATAAAACTATACACCAACAACCCAGATTAATAGTTATAAGAAAGTTAGCTTGTTCCGCGGTGTACATTGGATTATTACTGGCAGTCTCACAGAAGGGGGTGCGCGACAATGACCTAAATTAGTGGTGTCAATCTACTATCGCTAGCAAGGCGCACATTGGGTGGGAAATTAAAATGTGTTGACCCGAAAGCTTCGGGACCAAGAAGAAGCAGAAATCGCAAATTTTAAACATAGTATAAATTTTATAATGAGAATATCAGCAATTGATACTGCCAGAGTAGATGATCGTACATTGTAGATAGGAGCTGACAGGCCAGATATTAGGAAGAACGACGCCCATGGTATTCGTTTCGCTACCGAGATACCACTGGCATTATAAAGCGTGGCAAAGACTCACAGCAGGATACCTTAGAACATGTAAGTCACATCAAAAAATAGTAGAACTCACTTGTAGTTGTCAAAAATAGACTGCCAAACAACGAACTCATAGGATATGTTATCAACGATAAACACCCTAAAAGCATAAGGGTAGCATGTGATAGGTTAGCAAAATTATAGACTAAAATATTAAAACGCAGATATATGTATGTAGTCAGATACAAAAAAACATTCCGGATGACAAAAAAAGTATGGGCACACGACGAACATAAGGAGGCAAAACTAGGTGACATCGTAAGAGTTCAACCCTTGGGATATCGCATAGGACCCTGGAAGACATATGTGCTCTCCAGAGTACTACATACACAGGATCCACACCTCAAAAACGATCAAAATGAACATAACTTTGATTAAACAATAGAATGATGAGGTGGGAAGTTACAATATAACGCTAAATAAATTGTTGACAGAGAAACATATCTTAATGTTCGTTGAAAACGTGTATATTACGTAAAACAAAAAATTAAACCTTAAATCTTAAACAAAAAAACATGGTGGTGCGATATGTCGGTACACTAATTGTGGCGACCACAATGTGCCCTGGGTGAAAATAGTGACTATTTGTTGCGATGGGTGCGACTTGCAATCCCTGATTTCAGCATGTGAGCGTGCAGATTTGCCACACTCTTCCCGCTATTCTTCAAATCAGCCTCATCCTTAAGGCGTTGCTCCTCCTCGTAACGACGACGCTCTTCAAGCTGACGCTTGTATGCACCTGTCACAAACACTTCGCCAACAGAATCACCGCTAGCAAGGTCTGCCTTCAACTGCTGCTTGTCAAAAGTAATGCTACGCTCCAACTGACGAGTACGAGCAGTGCGGAGCAAACCAGACATGTACTGAGAATCTTTCTTAACAGTTGGGGCAACACTGTCACTAGAGGAAGATGGAGCGACACCCAAGTATACTAATTTTGAAGGGTCGTCGCTGCTATGACGATCATTAGACGATGAAAACTCCAATTCGTCATATAAGTACAGCTCAGGATCCAAGCTATCTGTAGACAAGTCGTAGTCCTTGAACTTCACAACCACGGCTTTCTTCTCTTCAGCAACCCTAGTTCTACGTGGTAAACCAGCAGAATCTACACCAGAGTTTTGTGATAACTTGGTACGTTTGGAGAATGGGTGAGAGCCCAACGAGTCTGAAGCAGCACTGTCAGAGTCACTATCAACCCCGAAAACTGACAAACTTCGAGAACTGGTAGTCCTAGAAGCCACGTTACTACTAACACCATCTTTAGATTCACCAGACGAATCCGAAGGTCTACCCGAGAAAGAGATCGATATCACCATAGATATCTAGATGCACAAAAAACGATTAACAAGAATCGAAATTGCTCAACGTCATAGCTAGCAGTGGAAAACAGTTAGTAAAGTTATATATAATTACACCAAGTTACAATTGTGCTCGAGATGCAGCAAAAGTTGGAGACAAATAGAAGGAAGATAGATACCCGGAGACAAAACGATAAAATGGGAAATCGAAGCCTCACAATATAAATATGATAGTTGAAAATAAATAAAGATTGCAATTTCAAAAACGGATAATGCTCATACGGTCGAAACACGTAGCCCGTCGCGCGGGGCTTACCTAGGGATAACATTACCACATAACCGCCATAACATGTCGCCATGTAACACATACGCTCTGGACTTTTAAAACAAATAGATATTTTAGGCACGAGTAGGTGCGAGAATCTCAAGCGCATATCGCCCATCAACCTTCACTCAAAACAATAACTCTGAAATATCTATAAACAAATATATCGCAAACATGGATGACGAAGAGGGGAGATTGTTTAGATGCAGAAGAACCTGCTGTGAAATGCTAGAAGATAGAGGATACTTTATTCCAAATCAAGAAAAACTCGAAACATTCACAGAGTTCAAGGCAAGATATGAACTGTATGACAAAGTGTAAGTGAAAATCTCATATAGCGGCAATATAAATATACAGGCGCTCGAAGATGTTGTTAGTGGCATCACTTAAAAGTGATAAGGAAACAAAGTTGCTAGTATACTTTGCTGACGAAACCAAAAAAACTGGGGTCAAACCGATAAGAGAGTAAGATTCTGCGCACAATAGAATACAGAATTGAACAGATTAACCGAAAAAATGGAAGATCACGATATACATAGAGCTATATTGGTCACACAAAACGTCCTCACGCCATTCGCAAAAGATGTAAGCTGCAAGGTTATACAGACAAACCCTTATAGGCTATACTGGAGGCAGCTCCGAGAAATATCATTGAAAACTTCCTAGAAACGGAACTACTAGTCAACATCACCAAGCATGATCTGGTCCCGAGACACATACCACTCACACCGGATGAAAAACAAACGTTACTGCAAAGATACAAAGTAAGGTTATATTACAGAAAATCTACACGGTTGTAACAGGTCAAAGAAAGTCAGATACCTAGAATACAGGCTGCAGACCCCGTAGCACGATACTTCGGCCTTACAAAGGGACAGGTATGATCAAATGGTGATGTTATCATATAATCCACGATAGGTCGTCAAAATTATCAGGCCAAGTGAAACTGCCGGAAGATATGTGACGTTCAGGCTAGTGTACTGAATTGAAATCGCAGCAGAGTGCGATGCTGTTGTGCTCTAAACTCGTTTATAATTGCTACTAAACAACTTCCACACATGCCCGTTGCCGTCCACAGCACATGTCGCAAAGTCACCTGTAGATATGTCGAATGATATGTCCATAATACTATCGTTATGTTCACACAACACGGCTTTCACTTCTAAGCTACGCGTCTCCAAGACACGCAAACTATAGTCCCAACAACCAGCTACCGTAATGGCACCGTCCGATCGTACCTCTAAACAGCCGATTCCAGACTGTTTAGCGACATCGCTGTAGATGTTAGCGCGCTTCAGTAGAATAATACCGTCAGATGCAGAGACATGTAGCATGTAGACGTTGCCGCATGTGTCACCTACAAGCAACACGCTCCTCCAGGCAGCCAGTGATGGAGTGGCCTCCACGTCCTTTAGCCTGTACGATAACACAGGGGCGCGAGTCTTGCGCAGATCGAACACTGATACCAAACCACATTCGTAGGTGGAGGCGAAGTGGTGATCAGAAATAAATGGCAGCGGCTCGATGTTCTGAAGGGTACCCACGTCATCACTCGGTGCAGATAACTCAATCGATGCTGAGGCTGAGACAGTGATACGGTCTCTTTGGGCTTCTAAACCTACAAAACAATAATAGTATTTTACACAACCATATACCAGTACGGTCACACGGCAAGCGAACGTCGTGACAAACGATATGGTTCAAGCCAGAAGGACACAAAAGCAAAGGAGATGCTGTAGAACATAGTCCAATGCGTGAAAAGTTGCTGTAGTCGATAGTCACATCACCGAATAGCTCTCTTCTACTCATATCAAACAAACAAAAGCCACACTTGTGTTGCAAAACAACGATATCGCAAGCACCTAGAAAGATGTCAGTAAGCAGATAGCGCAAAGTGGAACATGTATTCATAGATTTATACGATACCATCTGATTGTAGCGGTACAATGGATACCAGATCACGCTCGAGGTACGAAGAAGCCAAGAGGTTCCCAGTCTCAAGGTCCCAGCTGCATAAGTCACCGTGACTGCTACTCGTCAGCAATCGCCTTCCAAGGTAGCATGTAGACGTTAAACCGTGGTCACTTCGAATACTCACATACGGTGAATTGTTCATTATGGCGCACAATCAACTAACGAATCGGGCTAGATATAACAGACTACTCATTCTAGTAACCGCAAAGCAGGATTGTTTGCAATCGGCAACATGGGTACACAGTCATGAAATTGGTGAAGCACCAAGTCACAGGCAATTAAAAACAGGATAAAGAGAAAACCATAAGCAGAGGTAAACGTAGCGTATACAACAAATAAAAGTTATGACGCAAATAAGACAAGGTTATGGGTTGTAGCCGTGATTCGACCAGAAGCCGTGTATACGCCCATACAATTGTGCTATAGTAGAGATCTTATAGTTTCAAACATCGCATTGATACTCGCAAGACTCCAAATAGGTGTAGCGAAATGCCCATTCAACCACTTTTGGTCGTCGTCGCACTGCACAGTAAAACGGCTGATAACAACGGATGCAACCGCCTTGCGATAGGAATTAAAGTGGCGATATTCGCACTGTAACTTTACAGCGAAAGTAGGCCGACGAAGGCATTTGACAGGGTGTCATAGAGCGACGCACGCCCCAGTAAAGCACTAATGATCATCTGCCAATCACAGCGCCGATGCAAATTTACACTAATAATAATAATTTTTAGAGTCAGACGAAGCGTACGTGACTCAAGCTCGAGGCTCACCCCCTGGCAGAAGGGGAGCCGATACCACACGCACGGCTTCATAGGATGCTAAACCTCGTTATAGTAATGCGTAGTCCAAATTAAAACGCCAAAATGACACGCGTATATTATATAATGGCCATGCGCCGCAATTTCGCGTCGGTGTTGCATCATGAAATGAAAAAATCGGCACATATGCCAGCTGCAAGTGAACGGCCGCTTTACAGAAACGCATTCGACAGGGCCGATAATGCAAAGCTTTGGGCACTCGACAAGACAAGGTTCGAGAAGAGAAACTCAGTGGAGTCGCTTTCAGATCTTATTACACCGCACGCTCATGGACATAAATTTGCAAACACAGGAGTCACCAAATACGCACACTATGTCAACGTCTGGGAACCTGTGTTCCCTAGGACGCCAGATGTCGCAAAGGGTGAACTCATCTCCGGTGCAAACTTTACACGTACAAGCGGATGGCACCTACCAGGAGAACCGGCTATTGTCTCGGTCGGAAAACTAGCACCAGACAACCAAAGAGCTATCGGATATGCAGAAAACGCCGTAGTACCAGACTCTATAACTCCTGATGCGTTCCCGGATTTCAGAGAATACAGATTACCCAAGGGCACTGACAGAAGGGCCGCCATATACCTTATGTCGGCCACTGCATTGTTCTTCTTCCTTGCACTGGGGAGGTCAATAGTATGCAAAGTTATCCATTATTTCTGGATCGCAAGGGTGAGGAAACGAAATATGTGAAAATATAACGCACAGGATATTGCTGCCAGTGGATCGGTAGAAGTCAACGTCTCGCAAATGTTGCCTGGTGACCAGGTAACTGTTAAGTGGAGGTCAAAACCTGTATTCATCAAGAGACGCACTCAAGATGAAATTGATCGTTCGAGGTAATTTTATCACAACTAAGCACTGTACAACGCCATGCAGAAAGGACGATGAAATTGTAGACTCAATGAGGGACCCAGAACTCGACTCAGATAGGAACGTGAACCCTGAGTGGCTTGTGAACATAGGAATTTGTACCCATCTCGGTTGTGTTCCCACAAAGGGTGGCAACTATGGTGGATTCTTCTGCCCCTGCCATGGGTCACATTATGATGCATCGGGTTAGTTCAATAATAGAGCTGTGACATCCAGTGCAGGACGCATCAGGCAAGGGCCCGCTCCCGCGAATTTAGAAGTCCCGCCGTATAAGTTTATCGACGAAAACACAATCAAACTAGGCTGAAACCCAGCATAATATACCTTATGTAAACAATCCGTTATCAAAAATAAGAACCGATGTGAATGAATGGAAACGCTTAACTCATAAAGGTAATAATGTGTAACAAGTAGTATTCGAACTTGCACTTATCTTACCGCAAGAGAACTCTTGTGCTGTGGTTGGTGTGGCGAAACGAAACGTGATAATTCAAATCAAATATCTGCACTTTTATGAGCTACTGTTCCACGATTTTTTGGTACAACATTAGCGACGGGCTCTCGAATAATCTAAAAGTCGAGTGGATCAGGCAACTTTCGATCCTTCTGTCGTTCGGTTGCAATGATCTGAGTCGCGATGATGCAGGCAATGCCCGCATTAATACAATCATACCAACCATACCGACGCGTGCGAGACTGATACATGTCACTCCACTGGTTCGCTGTATTACAGTCACATGCCGATGGGTGTAACCAGGCGCCCCGCCATTATCGTTACTACAGCGTGGCGATGAAATTACATTTAAACCTAACATTTGTGTACTTCATTAGAACACAATAATGTGTTATAACAGCGATCCTGTGGAAAGAGTCTAAATCAGTGAGTAATTAACATAGACAACAGGACGTCTTTGGGGGCTCTTAACTTAACACAACCCATGAAGGTTTGCTCAAAGCCTGGAGAATGTGAAAGGTGAGCTTGCCCTGATGAGTTGCCCACTTTTCTCTGCCTCCGCAGTTGTTGGGAAGATGACTCAAAGACTCATCAGTCAATAATTTGGCGAGGTAGACGGCAATATCGGGGGCCAATAAGCGAGAGATCTTACCAGGGGACGATGCACCGAGTCGCTTAGCCAAGTTCACAGGCAGCTCGATCTCCTTCCTGGTACCAAGTGTTTGTAAGACAGGTATATATTCTTGTAGACGCGCCTCCATGGGGTTATTCTGGCATATATGGTCAAGAATTTGTTGGAAACGATTCTTGCCGACTTCCTCAGACGCACCTTCATGGACCAAACGGAGGCAGCGGTCAGCCACCGTCTGTTTCCTGCTTGGACTACCAATGGTAATTTTGATGTTTCTGCTCTCTGATGTGTCCTCACCATCACCATCCGCACGTAGCTGGTGATCCTCAAGGGTCTCTTCCAGATCTGCTTCCACTTTCTCAGCTATTTCTTTAGCTGCCTTAAGGGCATCTTCTATAGTTTCTTCAAGTTCCTCAGCCTCATCATCATCAGATTGCTCTTCCTCATATACTTCTTCTTTAGCTACCTTAAGGGCCGCCTCAAGAGCTTCTTCAACTTCCTCGCCAGATGATGCTCCTTCATCATCCGCCGCACATGGTTCCTGATCTTCAGAGATACCATCATCATCAATCTCATATTCGCCGGCGATCGTCGATTCGTCGTCATCGTCCATAGCAGTATTAGTAAATAGATTCATGATTGTGCTGAGAATCGATGGGCGTCCCGTTCGTTCTCGGAGGCGCCTCTTAGCATCTTCCCAATCTACAGGTCCAATCATACCTTGAGCATATCTGCTGACTGTATCGTTGAACAGCTTCCTGATACGTCCATCCACATTCTTCTTCTCGTATGACTTGGCGAGATGCTCAAGGATATGATCGAGATGTTCGAGAGGCAACTTGCTGTTTTGCGGGGGTAAACAAAATGCCTCGGAAATCTTGCGAGGTATCTCGGAAAACAGTTTGCGATTAAGGTGCAGCGACACGGATCTCTCAAGGTCTTCAGGCAATGGCGCAGTGCCGTCGACAAGGTATTGACGAAGTTCGCGGGTGTTAGGCATCCGAGCGGGATCGTTGATAATGATCCTGGTGTACTCCTTGAGGAGGTACCTAGCAACACTTTCTGCCTGTTCCCGAGTAATCTTATTATCCTCGAGAGCGGCAAGCTCCTCAGCAAGGCGTGCAGGCAACATGCTCTTTGCATCCGGGTCGAAATGCTTAGACACGTGAGAGGGAAGCATGGCGATGAGCTGCTTAACACGATCGGAGGCACGCTCATTAAATACCAAGACATCTTGTGCAGGCTGGCTTTCCTCAACCTACAGTCTCACTAGCTTCAGGTACAGCAACAGTTTCGGGTACATCAACCTTTTCACCTTCTACGTCATTACCAGCGACGATATGGACGAATGCCAAGAAGGCAGCGAATAATTGAAAAAACTTGGGTGCTGCCGTTATAGTGACACCGCAAATTGCCTTAACAAATAATAATATAGACTCTGTATGATCTGTAGACCATTTATGAACGAAACGTGTCACGTATTGTTAATTGTGAGACAGGAATCAGAGTGAGAAGAAAAGAAAAGGGGAAATTCTAGACACTCGGCATGTGTCGGGATTGCCGTGTGCTTCAGGAAGACATTGGAATACCTACAATAGAATATATTACTAAGAGAAACCAGATATGATCCTGATTATTGAACCATGAGGTATCGCATAGATCTCTCCATCGCCGATGATTCGCGGTGCACGTGTCGCTAGGGCTCCCCGAACCAATGACATGCATCTAAAATATTACAATTATAAATTAAGTAATAAGGATTTATATTGATCGACATAAGTCTATATGGCTCTTAATATTACTGTAACATCATCTGACTGTGACGAGCAGATCTACTGCAGTAGATTGCTATGAACAGAACCCTCTCAAGGTCATTTTTCTACGTTGAACTGCACAGTGCCGCAAAGATGCCATGTTAGCTAGATAAATGTGCTAAGTATACGATTATAGACACGGATACGTTTCCGGGCAACGCGCCGTACCAATGTGCCAACGTAATACTTTTCGTTAACGTAAAATGCGTTATACATTGTCTTACAGAATGCCTGAATGGCAACTGAGCCTCTGGCGTGGAATTTGATCTGTTTCGTAACGCTCCCTCCGAGCTTATGGAAGTCGAACGTCACGTTGAATTGTTCGTATGCCACCGACATTCCATTGAGTCTTGCTAAGGAATGTGTTGTACACCTTCAACGTTTTCGGCAACATTCTACGTATGAAAAAAACACGATATTCTCCAGCTGGAACCATTAAAACGTGCTATATTCGATCTCTATCGCTTTGATTTTTAGAACTTCCTTCTACGCTATACATCAATGGTCCATTGGCTAACCATTACAGACACCGAATAAACTTTTAAGCCGTAGAGCAGTTCATATATTACACTTATGCACTGTTAAGTTTTATAACGTTTTACTAACTAGAATACTGTTCGTCCATTGCACGAAATCCCTGGATTACCCTCCAGAATGGGCAGAGCCCATTACCTCAAATGTCAGGTCGAAGCCGATCACTTGTTACAACACGGAAACACAAACTTGCAACTTAATAACGGGAGTTGAAGTACTTTACAACTCTGGTACCATGCTATTCGGCTAAAGGTGAACTACGTTAAGCTTTCGTGTTGGCGTACAAATTGAAAGTAGCCATAGAAAAAGTAAAATACAAATACCAAGGCAGGGAGACCAAGGCCTACAGCTAAGCCAACGTACCATGGGAGCTTATTACAACTGCAATCGGTACAGCCACACCTAATGCTGCACTTGCCATTGCAGTTACAACTATCGCCGGTAAGACATTGACACTGACGTTTACTACACTCGCATTTTTTACCAGTAAACATATATACCAATGCTACAACCAAGCCTATGAAAATCACCAGAGCGATACAATACCCCAATGCTACACTTCTATCTTTATTGAAGACGGTAGAGTCGAGCAGGCCTATGCGATAGGCGAAGTAGAGCACAGCAACCAGCAAGACAACGTTGAACACGGAGAGAATAATACTCGCGTTGGCACCAGAAGGTTGGCGACTGTAATGATAATTTATGAGCACGGCAGCTAGACCTATGCAACCTGAAAGTAAGAGAACACCGCTAACACCAAAAATCATTCTAAGGAGAGGTTCAAACGGTTGGTATCGTACGATGTACGCAGAATATATGACTAACGCGACTAGGGAAATGGATGCTAAAGTTCCCATGGTGGGGAAATATGTCTCCACATTATTGTAATTTCTGGACACACCGAAAATGGTGAGACCGCAGATGCTAAATAACACCAATAATCCAATTGCACCTAAGATTTTTTCCTCTTTAGTGAATCCAACCTCTGTAGGTCCCAGATAGTGTGATGCGCAGAAACTTCCCACTAGCAAAAGGATTCCAGCAGGGATGATGAAGTAGAGTGTATTGCTATCTTTTTTGACTATTCCAACAATGATCGCACATACTATGGCAGTAATTATGAGGATACCCAGTATGACACATATCTTCTGGGATCCTTTAAGTTTTTCAAATGACGTTTGTTCCCTAAATGCTCCTGGCATCCTATGGTGTGCCTCACCAATGGTTTCCACGCCATCCCCTTTTACCGCCAGAGATAGCAATGTTAGGAGACTCAAGAATGTTGTTGACATAGCGGAAAACGGAAGAGACTTGTTATATATTTCAGTAGTGATAATTGTAGTATTGCTGCAACTAGTACTTCGAGAAGCTTTAGATTGAATCATGCAACGGCGACAGTCACAACTCTCTCATTCTCACACCAATTTAACACGCCTATCACATCAAGGGGGCTCCGGGGCTACATAAAATGCATTTGTGCTATACTACGTTATATGACCCACCGGGCACGTTGTGCAGCATGTCTACACTTAGACCCCACCTACGAGCCTCAGAATAGCCTCAAACCTCCACATAACTGCCATTATACTCTGAAACATAATGTTCAGCATTTCGATTTAGTTGACGTAGCCTCTACAGAATGCTACAGAGTGTACCGGCTTAGTCACGTAGCCACGCTCACGGTCACCGTCCACAACCGCCATTACATCGCACCCCCCTCAGGGGCTTGATATACCTTTCACCATCCAATCAGTACTGTTCGACGTATAAAACACCGTTAAAGTCGCCAATTGTACCGCAACTACCACAAACGCCATGTTATGACGTCCGTGTTGTGACTTTAGTTGTCATCCACCATACAGAAGATTATAGAAAACCAAAGAGTAGACGGCAGTTGGCTGTGTCCAGTACTTTTAGACAAATCCGACCCGTAGCCGACCATCCTAGTGAAACCCTCTTCTCAGTCGAATTCCGAACCTCGGACCGCCATTGGAATATTTCCTTGATAGTGTCGAGCGTACAACGGCGATAGGCGGTAGGCGCAATAGAGAAAGGGAACCGTAAAAATTAATTGAATGATGACAAAAGCATACGTACTGGAGTCAGTTTTGTCTTGGGTTACATGCAATATCACCATGATGATACAGGATAATAGAACAAGTAAACCGAGGACGCCGAAGGTAACTTCTAGTTCCGTGTAGTCTGTACCAAAAATGGTGATGTAACGCGTTTCAGCGCTAATATACCCAGTTGATAGATGATTCTTTTCTCCATTCACTACCTTCAACAACGAAACTAGGATTAACAGCATGATTTGCGTAACAGACATCATGCCTATGCCTCCAGCACGCTTGTGTTCCTCCACCTTTAGTAAACAACAAACGTAAATATGTATAAAGCAACCAGCTTCGACAACGTAGTAGACGATATCTAACACTTGATAGCGATGAATCCTCAACTCGTACGATGGTACAACGCTCTTACTAGTATATAACTAGATTCTCACGTCTCAACATGCAATCGAGCCAGCCAGGACTATCGAAGCTTTCCACTAATATACAACTCCTTTGACGAGAAAGGGGAACCGCAGCCCTAAATAGCAGCTTGATGCAATATCAAATGACGTTACTCCTTGCCACATTGTTCCATTTTCTTCTATATACAGCCCCATCCACGCGGCACAAAGCTTTGCTGAGGCCGTTCCCCATATATAGCACATTACTGCCCTTAAAGCTCGGTGATGAAGCGTATGTAAAGATCGGAGTGCTTCGGCAAGACCTCCGCGCTATTCGCATGCTCCCACAGGCGTGGACACAGTCCACAGCCCTTATGTCACCATTTTCTCCAACACATGGCAATAGTTTGTGGTCCCTTGATCAAATTGCATCATTACAAGAAAACATTATTTAACGCTGGTTACGACAAAAGTGCGACAAACTTGCTATGCTGATATTCAAAACACTGCACAACCCTAGCTGTGGTATTGAAATAGCCGTCATTCCAACACAGCTCTTTCTACAGAATGTCCAAAGATATAGCTGAATTCCACTGAGTGGTAAATAACGGGAGCAGCCTCTCTAATAAAAAGGTTGTTGGGTGTTCCAGGGCAAAGGTGTCACATTTTCGAGGTTGTCTGCAAATGGTCAGCGTCAAGGTCGAGATCCACCTTTATAATGACGGATATCCTTATACATAAGCCCTGTGATTAGACCAAATAGGTAGTAACTCGGGCTGATATCTTCAAGCGATGGCATTTTCAGCGACATGCGGCCCCTACTCCACCACAGGCACCAACGTTATCAGACCCATTACGTCTGAGGCGAATGTAGGAGGCCTCACGACCTGATAATACGCTTCAAATGTCCTGATGCGTTATGTAGAGCCACAACGGTGGCCGTAATCACATCTAGCACAGTCATGCTTGTGTATTGCTTGGCAGTATGCGAGATACGTCCAACGCAGGACTTCGTGGCTTTTAACAAAGTGTTAGTAAATCAGTTGGTGATACCAGCGAATAATGTATCCTTCTTTACGAGGGGGAAGCGACAGATGTGACTTTTTTCATTACATGCATTGTTGACGAGGGTCACGGCACTCTAGTAAGGTATAAGGCTTACCACAGCAACATGGGACATAGATGGCTAATGAAATCTGTATTGAATAATACATTATATTTCTCGATTATACTGCATTGTAAAATATTCCAAGTGCATTCAAAGGGAGCTGTAAAACGCCATCTCCTTCCCCACATGTCCCACCATTTAGCTTCATTTCAGCCGGCCAACGCGATTATCGTTGGCATATAAGATACACCCGCGGTTTGACGCACCGATTGGCACCTCCACAAATGTAACGATTACGTACGCAATACACGAGTGGCCAACAGCACCCTATACCTCACCACGTGCGACTAACATTTACAAAAACCCACGACCGTCAATCAACAGTTCGTCGACACTCATTTAGAACACAGTCACTCTAAATATCAATGTAACGCAGTGCATGGGGGAAATCAGACCACATACAACACACATCATTATCCAGACAAGGTCCTAACACAGTGTCTCATATGCAAGAGCACCTCTAATCGTTTTATTTGTCCTCTATCGTCATTGTTGACGCCTTATAACTCTTTCATGAGGTACGTAGCCTCGAGACAGCTTTATTGCAAATTAATTAATCCCTTCAACACCGGTTGACGTTCACTCTCACAATGTGGTGATGTTGCAACGATATAGCGTAACCAGCATAGCTTCAACACCAGATCCATCAAAACACAGCATGTTACATTTCACTTTTTACAATTTATCGAATCTTACAGTCGTCGTTACCTAGTATTTCCCAGACCACGACCCACACTACACATTAATACAGCGCTTTGGCAATATCTTAATAGACTAAATGCATATTTTCTAGCATTGATTTATTTACTTATTTTAATAATTTGGAGCCGTGAGTTCTTTATGCAATCCAAATTTATTCTGTGTGACGGGTCATCACGTCATACCCAAGCCTGTCACACACTATGGTAATATTACCCATACCCGGCAAACATTTCTCATGATAGAATCAATAATTTATTTGTCTGGTAAAATAATCAGTAGACCGTAGGTATAATCGCACAATGTCCATGATCGGCTACCATTACACACGATCCACTAACTGAACATAAATCGCGCCTTAGATCGGAACAAGCATTGCAGTATTACGTAGGTTATCCGTGGGCCAAAATTAGCATTATCTATTACATGTGTAATCTAACTTGTAAGGACGATCCTTGTACTACCAATGGATGCTAAATCAGACACATCTTACCAATTTACTCTACGCATACTTCACCAGGTCTACACACCTTATCACCATGATATTAATACCATAGTTTCCTCTTATGTCGCCGGAGGTTTCTTCGATATACCTCTCCAAGGTTGAAACCTAATCCGATGTGCCACCCGAATTGTTACACTCTAATTAATAAATGTGGTTGATAATTAAGATAATCAACTGCCTCCGGGTTGGACACATATAGGTAGTGCGACACTTTATCACAGACAACGTGAACGACAAAAGGTAATACCGACATTAACCATAGTGTAATTCTTGTACTACTCCAATATACGAATTGGGTCACGCCACTTCCAGTGTATCTGGTTTATCTCACGCTCAACCGCTTCCGTTATAACCAGAGATGGGTCCAAACACGCTAGGTTCTCTCTCAACTGATAAAGATCACTAACACCAATCAACTGTATAGGAGGTGATGATAACATTCACCTTCCACTTACTGTACTCAAAATAAAAGGCCTCGTGAATACCCAGCGTAATGACATTACACATAGATTCGGGAAGCCGTGACCAATCGCAATATCGTAGTAATCTCTCACCGCCCTGGCAGCTAAAGAGCCGCTGAAAAGACGTCACAATCATTGTAGCAACTACACGTAACATACCGATAACGTGACATATAGGATGGATAGCGTAGCAACCGTCCCGAAGTGGTGGGATCTAGGTACTCCAAGTACTTGCCCGTAAGCACACCTCCCGCAAGAGCGCCGTTAGCAATTATATTTATTCCATTGTTCTGGGGGCGACTTAATTCGACAAAACCCTTCTCCACATCGTTACGGGACAGCAGATTGTACGTCAGCTGTACTGTGACGGGTATAGGAATACCACACTGGTTTGCTAATTGACTATAGCGTAACAACCTCCAAGGTGTCACATTCAATAGTCCCCAATACCGTATCTGTAACAAGTGTGTACAGATAAATGAAGATGCAATGGCAGGCCCTTACCTTACCGGTAGCCAGAAGTGTGCGAAGCGTATCCAGAACCTCTTCGATATCATCGCCGTCCTCAAGCTGTAATAAATCGATATAGTCGACATTCAGACATGATAAGCTAGCCTCGACTTCCTTTAATACTTGACTATTTTTAGACACTTTAGTGGCCAAAACTAATTTTGCTCTGCAATTGACACCTTGTTTTCTAAGCCATCCACTTATTATAGGCAATTCACCGCAATCACTAGTATCTATAAGGTTGATTCCGTGACCGACGGCGTGATCCAAAAGCTCATGAGCTGTTCGCTCCTCCACATACCTGCCAAAAGTCATAGTACCCAGGCCAACCTCAGATATGAAGAGGTCAGTGGCACCTATACGGCGATGACGTACGTTAGTCTCATTGTTTTTGATGACTGGAGTAATGCCCTTGCGCAAAACTTCATCTAATCTAGGTAACCTGAAGACACCGTGGTCAAGCGGCTTCCGAGAAAGGACACGATGCACATTAACCGGGTAACCACGACATATACCTCCTGAGAATACTATAAGTACTATTACATGAAATATTAGAGCTAGCATCTATACATATACTGATGTAACATCCACGACGCCGCGGTGACCCATGGTCGCGTAGACCACGATGTGTGATATCTGGTGACATGGTAGAGGTGATTTCAGAACATTCATTGGAAGCAACATTTTTTCGCATCATGCCACGAGAGCTATTACATGGCATCGACTCTTAATTGCACATATGATCCCGGACGGAATAAGTCGAAAATTGTCGGGACATAAGCATTTTTGTAAAGGGAAATAATAGCAAATTTTTAGTGGAATTACAATTAAAATAGTGGCAAAATGTCTGCTCCGTATGAGCCTATAATTCGGAATCCTCCATCCCAGCTCAAAGAATGTATCCATTGGACACTCAGAGTTTGTGATAAGGATTGTCACAGTGCCGGCGTAAGCTACAGTACCTTCGAAAAGGGCAACCCAAACGTCATCCTGTTGGCAACTTCTCGCCAATTAGTGCCACGCAATGCCTTGTAGACATATTTTATGTGATGACCTCCTCTGCAGGTGGACTGGTGCCCGTCACGAGGAAATCTGCAGCTAGCCACAGTCAAAGGATGTCTGGTGCAAAGAGGTGATTGTCCCTAAAACTAATGACTTGAATATCATCTGTATTTATCAACAGATAACCAAACTAAATTATAGCGATTAGCAGGGCATGATAAAAATCTGTTTTTTCATGGTTAGCTCTAACTCTCCTCACTCGGGTCAGACAGTCTAGATGCTAATAGAAATAATGAAAAAACAGTTCACCGAACACTAACAATGACCTATTGTGACGATTTCTGTTACTTTGTTCTCCATCATAATTGAATTGCCGCGCTTATTTATCCCAACCATGGTTTAATCTAAATGAGACGTTAAGGATTCGGTTCTGCCTGGATATTAACATCTATATGTCGCTAAATAAACTTAATGGTTCTTAGTCGCAACAATAGTAATATTGTTATGATCTTACCAGCAAACCGAAATGCTTTTATTCGTACCGACATTGGTCCCACAGTTGAGTAGCAATGTTAGGCACATTAAATAAATTACCTGTTATATTATAAATCAACGTCGCAGCTAAATGAGAAGGTAATTACAGATGAATACCGACGGTATCTTTGCTACAGTTTTAAGCATATAAGCTAGTAAGATAATTCACTGTACTTATAAAATGGCATAAATTGTAGATGCAAGTGCGCAGCGTACAATTAGCAGAAGTCATAGAAATCTTATAAGACTCAACTTTGATTCGTTGCCGAGTTTTTAGTCAGCCTCCTTATCGTGCAATCGTTACCTCATCAAAGAGACCACAATAGTTAAATGGGAAGTCAATAGGGCAATATTCTGAGTGGCGCTCCGCGGAACCTGAGACCACTGCATGAGCAATAATTACATCAATACGACGTCAGAAATTACATATGAAGTTGTCACCCATGCCCTAGGTCTACCTCCAGCAAACCCTCTTCTACCCTTTGCTACTACTTCAGAAAATACAATTGTAGGATTAAAAATATATACAGAACAATAGAGAACGTACATCGCCATCATTGAAACCAATCACCCTACTACCAATCTTAACTTGGCGAATGAATTCATTACGCACACGGTAAACCTTTGGCAGCCTACATCATTTCGTAAAATTGTAATTAAGTGAATCATAGAGATAATGAAAGGTGATGCAAACGGTATATTTTCGTCGTACGACCACGTCCATCATTAGGAACCAAGAGCATCTTCAATGCATCAATGAGATGCATTTTTCGTACACAACGGAAACAAAGTTTTGAGGGATTGTCAATAGCGTCCCCCGATGAATTTCGTGATTCAGCAAACCTGCCGCGTCGTGAAATATCAATGAGTACAGAGAAGATGATGCCAGATGGAGCAATTCTCGGGCTCACACCGGTGATTACAAGCTAGAAAACCTCAACTAGCTTTTGTGTAGGTGTAACCGACGAATTTATATAAAAAAAAAAAGATGAGATTTGAAAAAAATAACTTTGCAATGCGCAGTCATCGATTGCGCTAGACGTATCCAGACAACGGTTAAGATAAATTACACAGTCAGTATATGAATGCGACAATTAAGGTATTGATATCGATACGCAGCTACTGACATACAACTACCATAGCAACTGAATAGGTATTGGAATTGAGTCTCCATGTTATTCTGAGACTTCAGTAAGTAATGCCTTTAAGCACTATTAGATTCGTATTTGTAGCGCCCATATAATAGACAAGGTGGTATGAGATATAATGATGCCATTAAGGATTGGTCCCAAGGAGGTATTGATGTTGACCCCCAAGCACTTGGTATATGCCTCGCATGTTGTGATTATAAAAGTAGTAAACTGGAACCTGGTAATCAGTACGAAGCATTACGTGATTTAATCAATGTTTGCAACCTTAGCGCAGATGTCGCAGATGAATGTTGGAAACATTATGACATTACGAACGACGAAACCTGCTATAAAAATACACAGCCCCTCCTCACTCTACCTATCATCTTAACCCTGTTTTGGGTACCAATCTACTACTAACTATTGTCAGTGACTATACGCGCTGAAACGGTTCGATGTAAGGTTATTTACCTCTCGTAGTTATCATGGCGCTACTCTTTGCTGTATGACGAGGGTCCACTATTCGATTCCAGATGAGACTATTATCTATAATAAATATTGCTATGATTAACTAGTATGTAATAGATAGTTATGGCAATATAATTGTTTGCGGAGGTAATTATTTCAGAAATTTGCAAGAAATAAATCCTCCCTTCCACCAGTCAGTGTGTTCAACATCGACACAGAATGTGGAGGTGAAATGTGAAGATATATAATCATACATAGTGTTAAATGGGTTCTGAACTAGGTGTTTTTTTCATAGAAAGTTGTAATATACGAGTTAGACATACGATAGTATTATTCACCTCATGCTACAGCAGCAATGACTAAGGTGGGAGAACTCATTCTTAAAAGGTTCCTACGAGTAACACGATACGTTCTATGGAGAGCAAGCAGACAACTTGTTTTATGTAGCTGAAAGACAGATCTTTGAGTGACTTTCATTACCGTTTTCCTCATGCCCATGTTTGGAGTCTTACCTGTCATGTAGATTAGAAGTAGAACAAGTAAGTTTCTAAGTTTGGCAATGATATGAAAAGTTTGAGACAAATGTTTTCAGCTATATATAAACACACCTCTAGTGATATAATTGTCAAATGTTAGATGGAACCTCAGCTCGACCAATAAAACAGTTGTCCATGGATTCACGTTATCGGTGGAAAGACTTTGGGGCTCACAGCAAATCGGAACAATAGAAGTTAGAAATAATGCCACGATTAAACACATGGTCGTGAATGAAGTGTCCAACTTCGCTCTTTAATGATGTCTAACATGTTAATTCGATTATTAGTTCAACATGGAAAACATCACAGTGACTTATAAGTGTATATACATTGCTTGAACGGTTGTGGAATTAGTTCAATCCCACTTTTATCATCATTATCATTCAGATTCGTGGGACTAGTGAAGTTCGGTTACAACTGACTGATGATTGATGCAAGATATGACATTGTGAGTTGTAAAATTGAAAATCATAGGTGAACTAGTTTGTTGTAGTCAGTTGTAAGACACCAGAGTGGGCAATATGTGTATTCGCATGTAACTGTTACTGTCAGTAGACACGTTACTACTGGTGTTACCATGTCACATTATTATTAGTCTCACATACCTCGTGGTACAATCATTGAACAATAGCTGACGTAAATATTCTAAATATACTACTAGTGATATTAGAAGTTCATGTACACTAATGTGATGAGATTGTTGGTATACGGTTATAGGTTTTGACATCTCATTGATTCCACAGGCAGAACAAACCTATCAAAGAAACTACGTTCATTGAGGTAATCCTTCGTCCAATAATTGTAGGACCGTTATTTTAAAGCCCCGTTAAACGAATGTCGTCACATCACAATAGTATTACGTTTTCATTCAATGAAGATTTCTGCAATATTACATTGTAACGATATTGACTGGTATCAGCAAGTCAATAAGATGACATTAAATTACTAAGTACACCCGCCGATACCATTTGAGATCAGATGTACGTTATTTGGTGGCAATAACGTTGAACTA